AAGTTCCTATTGATGTAACATAAGTTTAATTTTTAAAAGTTTTAGAATCCATTAATATGTTTTACATAGTTAACTAAGAATTTATTAAATTAATTTTATTACAGTAATCTAAATTGTTATTATCACTGCTTAGCATTTAAATATTATCTAATACTACTTAGCTTATTATAGAATTGAAGACTAAAGAACAATTAGAATATTAGGTTACATCAAACAAAATGGTAATATTTTAAATTTAAATAGATTAGAAGTTATTAAATTAAAAGTCTCCAGATAATTTTATAGAAGATAGTTAAGAACTGCTACCAATAGCAATAGGCTAGAAAGAAAGCTAAATTACATTTTAAAAATTAAATTATAGAATATATTATTCTAAATTTAAGGTATATTAACTGTCAGTATATATTTAAGTCTAAATATTTTAAATATTTGTCATAATTTTGGAATATCTTTATGCCTTTTTAAATAAAATTAATTAATAAAATATTATCAAAAAATAAAAAATTACTATTAAGAATACTGAGATCATATTTTAATATGTTGTGTAGGGGTAATTTTGTAAGCCTTAGCCATAGCTATTACTTTACCTATATTACTATTAGCTGTTAGAAATGTAAAACTTTTAAGAGCATGAAAGACACTATTAAACATCCAAGAGGCATTAGGATATATCAAAGAAACTATTAGAGTATTGTGCTGAAATATACAACATTTTAGAGATAGGAGTATAAAATATTCCATAAATTGACTAGCTTATCAGTGTTTTAAATTAAATAAACAATTCTAAGTAAGAATTTTTATTTAATTTGAATCCATAAACTTTTCCTGAAATAGTTTCGCCAGCAAAAATTAAATCAATTTATTCTAAATATTTGAAAGTAGAGAGAGAATTGGAAAATTAATAAACAAATTTAGCAGTTGTTTCTGAATCTAAAATCTAATTCAAGTTGTAGTTTATATCAACAAAAGCAATAAGATTTTTTAACTTTAACATTTAAATGACTTGAGTGTTAGAAACTATTTATAATTTTTAATTAAAGAGTGAATGATTTATTAGAATAAGATTTTTTTTAAATGAAAGTAAAATATAGTTTTAAAATATATTATTAATCTTAAAAGGGATTAATCAAATTGAAAGAAAGAAAATTGTTTATTTATTTAATAAAATATTTTTAATGTTAAATAATTATTTATTTATTTATTTTCTTAACTACTTTAAAGAAATATTTCTAATGAAAATAAAAAAAATATATACTTTATTGCTGAGACAAATGATTGCCATCAAAATCCCAAATATGAAGAGTGCCTTATTGATTAAATGCATAGATTTTTTAATCTTGAGTATTATAAATAAAGGCATGTCCTAGTATAGTTTGATCAGGAGGATAAATGTAGGCAGCTTATTAAGTATTAAGATCTAAGATCATTATAGATTTACCTTCATCTAAATGATTAACTGAAATAAAGGTGTAGCTATTAGTATTTTTAATTACGAAATAATCTGAAATTTGATCTATCCATCTATAATTATTTAAGATATTGAAATCGATGTACTAATTTTATAAATTGATTAAAATTATAAATTTAAATGAATGAATAAATAAAAAATACTTTTTATTAGTTAACATCATAGATTAATATTCGTCCAGAAATTATCTTATAAGATACTTCAGCAGAGTTAGAATTTAATACAATTTAGGCACTATAAGCTAAAGGACTAAATGCATCGAAGTAAGGGGTTAATAATAATTATTTCCCAGTTTAGTCTAAACCTTAAATGAAAACATATAAATTTGGCATTCCCACATTATCTTAAAATACTGAAATGTAAATTTCTTAATTATTTTGATTTAAAATAGGAATCATAGGTATTGATTGTACAGAAGGAAAATCTATTATTTTTAAATAAAATTATTTTTTTTATTTATGATTTTACAATAAAAATCTTATTTTTATAAAAATAACAAAATATTTTTATTTAAAACTTATTTTTCTTGCATGAAATCAATCTTCTTTTTAAGTCTAGAAAAGTAATAATAAGAAAATTACATAACAATTAGGAATACTAAGGTTGAATCTCGTTATAGAAATTTATTACCTAAATCATATATTGTAGACATAAGTACAAGCTCAAACTATTTTGAGGCATTATCCAAGAATAAAATTAAATTTACTATGCGTAGATAGGCTGTAGTTAAAAAGTATTCTATTCAAATTATTTTGGCATTTTAAAGATAATTATTTGTTACGTGGAATGACTTACCACTAAATAATTATATTGCAGTTAATCTTGCATACTGATAGCCAAAGACTTAACTATTATTTGATTGGGATCGAATGGCATGTTATATTGCTTTAGAGTATCTTAAGTATCTTTAGGATAAAATATTTATGTTAGAAGAAGTTAAGTAAGGGTAAAAAAAATACCTATTGTGTATAACGAATTAGCGTTTCCTAGTTTATATTCAGAGTAATCAATTAATTATAACTAAGTAGACTCTGCAACAAAAAATACATAATAGGTGTTCTATAAATGCGCAAATAAACTGTTTTACATGGTTTACACTATTTTGTTAAGAATATCTTAAGATTATTTAGAATTAATTAAATATTTACCTTATTATACACTAATGTAAACTCCAGTATCTACATTCCAAATTACTATAACAGAGTTATCATTCATGAAGACTAGATGCTCATTTTCTGGAAAGGTTAGGCACGAAAAACTTAATACTGGGCTTGCTAATATTAAAATATTAATCAACCACCTTATAATAATTTGTAAATAATATTTACTTGAGTAGTAAGTATTAGCAACTCTTTGTTGTTGGATATTATATGCAACAACTATATTTTTATACGAAGAAATTACTGCAATAGCTGTATCTATAAAGTTATCTGCTTGAGCTCCTTAATCAACTACTTTCGCTTATTAGATAATCGACATTGTATATATATCAAATACATAAAATGTCGAAGCGTTTATTCCTATTATCGATTTTATTGCTGGAACGTATCTTATATAATAAATGGGGTTGACCACTTATTTTAAATAAGTGTTTAAGCTTTTTAGTATTTTAAAAATAAAATATTACTTTCTACGACGTTTGTTACTTTATTAGTCTCTGTATCAACAACGTAATAAACGCTAGGCCATGAATTATATTAATCATTTGATAATACGATTAGTATATTAGTTTATGGGATCAAAAGTAGCTAAAGTGGTGCCATTCCTTTTTCGTACATTATTCCTATATGAAAAAATGAATGAACAATTATTATTACTAATAGGTTAAAAAAAAAAAATTTATTAACTGTTATATTCATAACTTTAAGGGCAAGTATTTTAGCTACAAATATATCCTATTAGCACTTATAAAAATACCAAGGTATAAAAGCACTTTACTTTCATATTTAAGTAATTTTTTTTTATCAAACTTTGCTCTGCTTTCTCTTATTATTTTACTAAATCTTTTTCATACAATTTTTAATTTATCTATCTTAATCAAAATTTAAGCACAACTTTTTTCAGTAAATTCAGTAGATTTTTATTTCTTTTTTGTTTAATAAGCATAATCTAAGTAAATATATCATCATTAAAATCTAATTTAAAAAAAAAGCAACTTTAATTAAGTTCGAATTAATTAATATCCACATATTCATTTAATACAAAGGAAACAAATTAATTCCATAAATTTTAGAAATTTAATAAAATCATGTTCATCAGATTTGTATTAGCATTTTTGTTTCACTTAGTTATATTGTAATAAATAATTTAGATATTTTTTTTGCGTAAGAAAATGAAATGTTTTTTATTTTATTATGTTATTTACATATAGTTTTTTATGTATAATACAGTTAAAAAATAAGCTTTTTTCTAATAATATTTTGATAATTTCTTTACAATCTTTTTATATTTATTATTCAGATATTTTGCTATCACATAGATAATTAGTTAGTCAATTTTTCTTAAAATATCTAAATAACTATTTTTTTTTTCAATAAAAATAATTAATGTGCAAAACAAACATTTTTATGAAATCTTTTTAAAAAATATGAATAAAATATCCTCTATATATACCTTAAAAAATGCTATTATAATCAAAATTTGAGAAAATTCATTAACTATTAAAAAAAATTTTTTCAAATTTAAATTATTTTTAATATAAAAATAATTTGGATTCTTGATAAATGAAGTATCACATTATATAATATTTCATACTTAGGATATTTTTATTTATTTTAAAAAGTTAAAACATTTTTTTAAAATAATACTTCTAAAAATAAAATATAAAAATAAGTAAGAATTCGATTTTTAAAATCATTAATTTTAACTTTAATTAAATCATACATTTATTTGAGCACATTTATTAAGTAAATAAAATTATCTATCCTTATAAATTAAAATCTTGCCATCATTTAATTATGTTTTTATGTAATAATATAAATTCCAATCAACCTATAATTCATTACGATAATAATTATAAAATTCTTAGCTTCTGGTATTAAAAAATTATTTATAATTAAATTTTTAATTATGAATAATCATAATTTAATGATATCTTGACTAATTACCAAGATATTCAGTAACCATTTTAAAATATATTTTTGGTTAGCAGATTTTTCTTATTTCAAACCTTTTATTTCTGTTAAAAACAATCTATTCATTTTTATAAATATTGTTAAGTGTCAATTTGTTTTTATTTGTACTTAATGTAAATAAATGAAATTATTTTTTATGCATATTAATAAATTTAAATTTAAGTTAAATCATATCAAATGAATAAAAAGCTAAAAAAGATTTATTTTCAAAAATTTCAAATAGTAAAATAAATTCTTTTTTATCCTCATAATAATTAGAGTGTATTGTGTGCGTATATTATGATAAGCGAGTTGATTCTTTAATTATTTATTTCTTATTTAAATCAAATATTCCAAAATATTTTTTTTTGTCTTCATAAAATAGCATTGGAAGGAAAATATTATTTTGGTTATCTTTTTCAACTTATGAATATTCTATTATGTTGTCTTTAATTAGTTTAAGCTTATTTTCTTTTTGATCTAATTAAAGAATATATAAATTATACAGGTATTCATCTAAATCTTCATAATAATATTTAAATAGCAAAATAAATTCTTTTTTTTCTTCATTCAAATAAGATAATCTTAAATCTGGATCATTTAAGATTAGGATCTTTTCATTTATAAATTACTTGCTATTTACATCATATATTCCAAAATATAATTATTCATCTTCTTTATAAGTCATAGGTAAGTATAAATTATTATAGGAATCTTTTTCAAATTTTGAGTATGACATAATATATGTTTTTAACTCTAAAACTTTATTATATAAGCCATCATCTTATTCTTTTGGTAAAATTGAACATAAATTATAGTATGAAGGTCCTCCATAATCTTAATCATCTTCAATAAAAATTATCTCAGATTTATTATCATTATATAGGTAATTTTTGATACGTTTATCAAATGATTTTCCTAATTTGCCATTACATCTAACAGGATATAAATAAGAAATAGTTTTTTTAATTTTTTAATCTATCAACTAAAAAACAATAGATTAATTTGTCCTCCTTATTATAGAATATTCTAAATTAGGTGTTTATGATATTTGATCATTACAATTTTACAATTTTTCTAAATAGTAAGATCCTTATCTATTAAACCACAAAAAGTTTAAATCGTAGCTTATAATTTATCTATATTCATTTTTTATAGTCAAACATGGGTAAACAATTGAGTTTTTTAACAATATTGGAGGATAATAGTGCAATACCTTATAATATTAAGAAATTTAATTAAAATCTTAGTAAATAAAGTTGAAACTATAATCATAGTTCTTTTTTCCTTTTATCTTTGATATCACCATATTAAAAGTACTAGTGTATTATATATATCTATTTGAATCTCTCAATTAAATTAAAATTTCTTTTTTATTAACTAATATTTTATGTATAATACAACATTTCATAAAAGATTTTATACCACTCTAATCAGAATTATCGTCAGTTGACATTTAATTTTAAAATAAATCCTTTTCTCTCCAATCAACCAAATTCATATTACTATCTTTTGCTTTTATTATAAACGTCCAACTAGAAAATAATTTATTCTATCTACTCTTTAATTAAATAGGTAATACAAAAGCTTGTATAATTTTTTTTTACTTTTTTGATGAAACTATGTAAGGATTTTTTGTTTCTCTAATTATTGCTAGATTAAATATGTTTAATTAAAAAATTTTTGTTTCCAAAACTACAAATAAAATTAATTTGTTTTATTCATTTTTTGAATAGCCTGATAAGCTGTTCTTATCACTACTTTTGAAATAGTAATTAAACTCACTCTAAGTAATAGGGAGTAGTCTCAATAGTAAACAAGATTATTGTTAAAATATTTTCTATTCCACAAATCTTTGATTGATGTCTATTTTAAAAAGTACTTATTGACATTGATAGTAAATTATTTTATCCTAAAAATAATCTATACTATTTTCAAATTCGCCTAGATCTTCTTCAGGCATGTGATTATCAAAAATATATTCTTAATCTTTTATATAGAAAGAGTCTTTGAAATTATGCTTCATAATTAATGTTAGATCAAGGTTAAGAATATGTAATTCAACTTCAGTAGCTGACTATAGTGATAATAAAATATATTTACCTCCTAAAACTCCAGCTTTAAAATTGATTTTAGATTAAGCATCCTAAATCTTGAACTCATAGGATATCAAAGTCTCTGGTTTATTGCTTATATCTAAAAGAGAAATATAAGATATTTCCCCTTAGATTCCGTATTTATACATACAATTTAATAAGTTAATTTAATCTCCTCGAAAATTTATTTCATATAAGTCATTTTTATAGAGACGAGTTGGTATAAATAAGACTCTACAATAATCTTATTTAGATAATTTTATTTTATTTACAGAAATAGTTTCAGGTTAATAATCTTGGTGTTTAAAGAGATTAGGTCTAGTTACTTATTCTAATTCTACAGATTGTAAATATTCTTCATACTTACTTTATTCAATTAAGCTTTTAGAGTTCATTTTTTTTTGACTGATAGATAGTTAATGTGTTTTTAATAATTTATTATTGATATTAAATTATAAAAAGAATATATATATAGAGTGATTAAACATAGATTTAAGGAGATCATATTAAAATTTGTATAATGATCTCATTAAATAATAATATCTAATTATTAAAAAAGTAACTATAGAATCATATAATTGAGTTTGAAAGATATTATATTTAATTTTTTTTGAAATTTATTCTATTTATTTTTATCATCAGATACAAATTAATAAATAATAATAAAAAAATAAAGTAATTTAAAATAGATTTTTATATTTAAAGATTTTATTAATTTTTTAATTACTTGCAAAAAATTATAAAAAATTTTTTATAAAGACACTATATTCTTGATATAATAAGTATTTCTTTTAAAGACTATTTGAGAAAAAGAATATTTTATCAGAAAAAAAGTTAAAGTATTAACAATTCTTGTTATTTTTATTTTAAAATCAATCTATTTTAATTTTGAAAAGAATTTATTTAATTTTCTTAAAGTTTCTGATATAAGAATAATTATAGCCCCTAAAGATAAAATTCTAATCTTTTTTTTGATCTCTTACTCTGATTATGAAAGTCTAAAAAATAAAATACGGTTGTGATAAATACTAAAATAATAAATTTTATATAAAAATATAGTGAATAAAATTTTTATATTCTTCAATTTTTCTTTTGTTTTTTTATCTAAAATAAACAGTTTTTTTATTTTTGTCTGAGTTTAAATATCTAATTGAGTGAATCGATTTATATGAAGAATTGAGGTAAGTATGAGAGAGAAAAGTATTAATAGAAATAAAGAATGAGTAATAATTTATATATTTTATAAGATTAAGATATTTTAAATGAATATTTAAGATAAATGAGAGAGAATATATATTTTTTAAATTTAAATTCTTGATAAATGTAGTATCACATTAGGTGATATTTCACATGTAGGATATTTTTATTTTAAAAAGCTAAAATGTTTTTTTAAAATAATACTTCAAAAAATAAAATATAAAAATAAGTAAGAATTCGATTTTTAAACTTTAATTAATTCATTTATTTATTTGAGCACATTTATTAAGTAAATAAAATTATCTATCCTTATAAATTAAAATCTTGCCATCATTTAATTATGTTTTTATATAATAATGTAAATCCCAACCAACCTATAATTCATTAAGATAATAATTATAAAATTCTTAGCTTCTGGTATTAAAAAATTATTTATAATTAAATTTTTAATTATGAATAATCATAATTTAATGATATCTTGACTAAGTACCAAGATCTTATTTAGCCTATTTAAAATATATTTTTGGTTAGCAGATTTTTCTAATTTCAAACCTCTTGTTTCTGTCAAAAATAATAATCTGCCTATTTTTATCACTACTTTTAAGTATCAATTTGTTTTTATTTGTACTTAATGTAAAATAAATGTTTTATATTTTATGCATATTTATAAATTTAAATTTAAGTTAAATCATATCAAATGAATAAAAAGCTAAAAAAGAATTTTTTCCAAAAATTTCAAATAGTAAAATAAATTCTTTTTTATCCTCATAATAATTAGAGTGTATTGTGTGCGTATATTATGATAAGCGAGTTGATTCTTTAATTATTTATTTCTTATTTAAATCAAATATTCCAAAATATTTTTTTTTGTCTTCATAAAATAGCATTGGAAGGAAAATATTATTTTGGTTATCTTTTTCAACTTATGAATATTCTAGTATGTCGTCTTTAATTAGTTTAAGCTTATTTTCTTTTTGATTTTCTTAATCCAATTAAAGAATGTATAAATTATACAGGCATTCATTTAAATCTTCATTATAACATGAAAATAGCAAAATAAATTCTTTTTTTTCTTCATTCAAATAAGATAATTTTAAATATTGATCTTTTAGGATTAGGATCTTTTCATTTATAAATTACTTGCTATTTACATCATATATTCCAAAGTATAATTATTCATCTTCTTTATAAATCATAGGTAAGTATAAATTTTTATGAGAATCTTTTAAAAATTTTGAGTAAGACATAATATATGTTTTTAACTCTAAAACTTCATTATAAAAGCCATCATCTTATTCTTTTGGTAAAATTGAACATAAATTATAGTATGAAGGTCCTTCATAATCTCTACCATGTTCAATAAAAATTATCTCAGATTTATTATCATTATATAGGTATTCATAGATATGTTTATCAGTTGTGTCAGGATATTCATAATAAATAATTGTTTTAATTTTTTAATCTATTAACTAAAAAACAATAGATTAATTTGTCCTCCTTATTATAGAATATTCTAAATTAGGTGTATATGATATTTGATCATTACAATTTTACAATTTTTCTAAATAGTAAGATCCTTATCTATTAAACCACAAAAAGTTTAAATCGTAGCTTATAATTTATCTATATTCATTTTTTATAGTCAAACATGGGTAAACAATTGAGTTTTTTAACAATATAGGAGGATAATAGTGCAATACCTTATAATATTAAGAAATTTAATTAAAATCTTAGTAAATAAAGTTGAAACTATAATCATAGTTCTTTTTTCCTTTTATCTTTGATATCACCAAATTAAAAGTACTAGTATTTTAATGATATCTATTTGAATCTCTCAATTAAATTAAAATTTCTTTTTTATTAAATAATATTTTATGTATAATACTAAATTTCATAAAAGATTTTAAACGACTGTTATCTGAATTATCATTAATTGAATTTTTTTTTTTTTTAAATAAATCTTTTTCTCTCCAATCAAACAAATTCATATTACTACCTTTTACTTTTATTATAAATGTCCAACTAGAAAATAATTTATTCTATCTACTCTTTAATTAAATAGGTAATACAAAAGCTTGTATTATTTTTTTTTACTTTTTTGATGAAACTATGTAAGGATTTTTTGTTTCTCTAATTATTGCTAGATTAAATATGTTTAATTAAAAAATTTTTGTTTCCAAAACTACAAATAAAATTAATTTGTTTTATTCATTTTTTGAATAGCCTGATAAGCTGTTCTTATCACTACTTTTGAAATAGTAATTAAACTCACTCTAAGTAATAGGGAGTAGTCTCAATAGTAAACAAGATTATCCTTAAAATATTTTCTATTCCACAAATCTTTGATTGATGTCTATTTTAAAAAGTACTTATTGACATTGATAGTAAATTATTTTATCCTAAAAATAATCTATACTATTTTCAAATTCGCCTAGATCTTCTTCAGGCATTTCATTATCAAAAATATATTCTTAATCTTTTATATAGAAAGAGTCTTTGAAATTATGTTTCATAATTAATGTTAGATCAAGGTTAAGAATATGTAATTCAACTTCAGTAGCTGACTATAGTGATAATAAAATATATTTACCTCCTAAAACTCCAGCTTTAAAATTGATTTTAGATTAATCTTCCTAAATCTTGAACTCATAGGATATCAAAGTCTCTGGTTTTTTGCTTATATCTAAAAGAGAAATATAAGATATTTCCCCTTAGATTCCGTATTTATACATACAATTTAATAAGTTAATTTAATCTCCTCGAAAATTTATTTCATATTAGTCATTTTAATAGAGATGAGTTGGTATAAATAAGACTCTACAATAATCTTATTTAGATAATTTTATTTTATTTACAGAAATAGTTTCAGGTTAATAATCTTGCTGTTTAAAGAGATTAGGTCTAGTTACTTATTCTAATTCTACAGATTGTAAATATTCTTCATACTTACTTTATGCTATTAAGCTATTAGAGTTCATTTTTTCTTGATTGATAGATAGTTAATGTGTTTTTAATAATTTTTTATTGATATTAGATTTTTAAAAGAAATATATATATAGAGTGTTTAAGCATAGGTTTAAGGAGATCATATTAAAGTTTGAATAAAGATCTCATTAAAAAATAATATCAACTTATTATTTAACTAACTATTGCTATATAAAACATAAAATCAGACTTTTAGTTATTTAATTTTTAACTGAAATTAAAAAAATAAATAACATCATATTATTGAGTTTGGAAGATATAAAATTCAAATTTTTTTGAAAATATTTCTATTTTTACTTTTTTATTGCTGTAAATTAACAAATAATAATAAATAATTTTAATAAATTAATTTAAAATTGATTTTTAAATTCAAAGGTGTTGTTAATATATTAATTATTTGCAAACAATTAAAAACTATTTTTTATATTCTTTTAAAATAAGTATTATTATTAAATACTATTTGAGGGAAGAATATTTTATCAGAAAAAAAGTTAAAATATTAACAATTAATTCTTGCTATTTTTATGCTTTAATCAATCTATTTTAATTTTGAAAAGAATTTATATAATTTTCTTTAAGTTTCTGATACAAGAATAATTATTGTTCCTAAAAGATAAGAATCATATCTTTTTTCTCTCTTACTCTGATTATCTAAAGTCTCAAAAAAAAAAATGGTTGAGTATATAAATGAAAAATCAACTTTATCTTAAAAGTTAATTAATAATTTTTTTATATACCTCAATTTTTCATTTCTTTTATATCAAATATAGCAAGATGCCATTCAAAAATTTCGTCGTTTATTGATAAAAATAATAAAATAAAATATCTTTTTTAAGAAATAAATAAATAAAGATATATAGTATATTTTTAAATATAATTTGAGTTTTACACAAAACCAAAGATGTATTGTAAATCTTGCCATTAATTTTAAATTAGGAAATAAGGTTTTATAGTTATCATTTTTATAAATTTTTAGTTTTATTTTTTAAATTAAAAAATGTTTTAAAATACTAAAAAAATTTTATTATATTTACTGAATAATTTATCTTCAAAGAGATCATTAATCCTATAAATTTATCAACTAAAGAAATGAAAAGAATAGTATAAATAATAAATAAAACATATTGCTCTCAAAATTAGAATCTAGCAAAAATAATTTCTTTAGATATCTAAAAAACTCCTTTGTTAGATTAATAACTAAGAAATAAGTTACTTTTAAGACAAGTCTTTACTAACTAAGAAAAAACACACTTCTTTTTAAATAACTAAGTCAAGTAGGATAATTAGATTTTTAAAATAACAGGAAATAGTTTTTTTGATGCTTTTTATGCTGCTTACTGCTTACATGGAGAAGTTATGATTTCTGCAAGTGATATATGGCTTTCAATTTGTCATAAGTTAGGATAAGACATAAACAGAGATTAATAAAAATTTGAAAAATTTTTTAATACCTCTGAAGGGATAAATATGCCTACTATTTAGATTGAATCTTCTGTTTTAGGCTAAAAGGTGTTCCCATGCAAAGAAAATAGATGGGATCTCATTTTAGATATATTTAATTATTAATTCTAAAGGCGTGTTCAAGGATAAATAGGATTACTAATTAAAAATGATTTTGATCTTTTTTCTTCAAATTTGGTAGAACAAACATCAGCTAACATCTTTTTATTATCTTAAATGGAAAGCAATTTACGCTTTTAATCTTGCTCTGTATGCGGAATTTAAAAAATTCATTTTATAGGAGGAATTGAAGATTTTGAACATTTGGCTTTTAAGATTAAGTGTTTAATAGAAAATAATTTTGCTGATTGGTACTTTAATAGCTTCTTTTTAGAACCAATCTTCAAAATTGTAAATAAGTTTATTGATTAAATGAAGCATCCTAAAGACATAGATATTTAGTTTTGGAATAATGTATTCAATCAAAAGAGTGTTGATGAAGAATATTGTGGCAAAATAATTAGTGAGAAGCAAATTTTTGATGGTTGGATAAAATATTTCTTTAGAAGTGAACTTTAAAAAGAAAAGATTCCAAATTTTCTATCATTTACATTTGTTCCTTTTAAAGATACCACATAAAATAAAGATTTTAAGCTGAAATTTTCAACTGGAATGATAGGAATTGAAGAAGTAAATCATAATGTTTTTCGCCCAACTACTTTCGTTAAAATTAGTGAGGTTATAGAAAATTGAATCAAACAATTGTTAGCAATAAACATTCATAGAATTAAACTCAAACTAATTATGGTTGTCATTCAGGATTTTTATAATATCGTTAACATGTAATTTAAAGATTGATTCCTATTAAAAGAAATTAATACATATTTATGGTATTTTAATAAATAACAATATACAATATAAATAAATTGAATAATTTATTAAATTAAATAAATAATTTAAAATTTTTAAATGATTGCTTTAAAAATAATTTAACTTTTTCTAATAGTAAAACTTTAATAATTATTTCTTGGTTATTTCCATTTTTACAAAAATTATTATTGTTGCTTTAGTTAAAATTCCTCAAAGATTTTCTTATTTTTCCTCCATGTCTTTATGGTAATTTTCTTCGATTGTATTTTGATTTCTATCAGTTGATATCTACTTAAGCATATATGAATCTCTTCCAGTATTCGGTGATGAAAATAATAATATATTTTCTTAATCTTTAAGATTAAAATAATTTAATGTAATAATTAATTTAAATTTATATATTAATTACTTTATTCACAACTTTAAAGTGATTGCATTTTTTTTGTTTCAGATTATCTTTCTTTCATTAAATCCAATTTAGTTGTAATATTTTTTTAAGAATAGTCTTTATATTTTAATTCTGAAAATATAAAATGATTAATTAAATATATTTTATACTTTAATTTTAAATTTTACAAATGTCACTGAATTATGTTTAAAAGGAGATTAGTTTTTTTTGTTGCTAACACAAAGAATGAAACTTTAATAAAAGATTTTATATCTTTTGTTTTAACTAAAGCTTCTTTAGCTATTTAAGTGTTTGTCTTTCTTATTACTTTTAATTATATTTTGAAACAAAATTTATTTTAGTTCCTAGTTTTTCTAGAATTCTTCGAATTGGTTTTTTAAATTTTTAAAAAAAACCAAATGAAATGTTCTTCACCATTAAAATAATATAGAGAGAATTAATTATGACTATAACGATATAAGCAATAATAACAAGATAATTATACTAATTGCTGTATATAAACACTCCCATCAATACAGTCACAGCACATACTGAAGTAGTTATATGATCCAAGTTGTTTAACTAAATCCTTTTGTATGGCTTATAAATTATTAACATTATTGAATATAAGCTTATTATAACAAATACAATAATTCCTTTAGTTTTAATATCCTAAGAGTAGAAATTCAAAGATAAGATTATTGATATTTTTTAAGCCATCTTTACAAATTCCCAATAAAAGCATTTATTAGTATATTCTTTATACAAATATCCAAACTTTCTCTACACAATTAATGACATGAGTTTATTTTAATATTTTTTTAATTAAAAGAATAAAAGACAAGGGAATAGTAGAACATAAGCAAATAAAAATGGTAAAACCAAAGTAAGTCCCCATTAATAATAACTCTCAGTGTAACACTCATATGTAACATTTTTTAGTATATAGTCTTAACTTCCTATTTTTCTGCATGATAAAAGAGAAATAAGTTATGAAACCAAATCAGGCTGAGAGTAGATCAGTTAAAATATCATAGCTGTATACATCATTTTCAAAGGTATTTTCTTCAACTTCATTATCTCTGAATATATTAAAATTCCCAAAAAAAGAAGGAAGAGATATACTATAGGCATTGCTAATGAAAATATTAGCTTTTAATACATAATAGGAACTGGACTATTAAATTTTTTGATAGCACAGTCTAGCGAATTCGTAGTTTAAGAAATAGGTGCACCAAAATACTAAAAAAAATTTACTAAGCCTTATATTATTTATTATTTATTAAAATTATCGAATTGCAAAAATTTAAGAAATAAAATCTAATATGTAAAGAAATTTAAAAATAAATTTAAGAAACTAGTTTTAATTTTAAAATAAGAAGCTTGATTACCTATAGGAACAGTAAGATTAAAAGTTGAGATACAAGATATAATTTAAAAATAAGTTGTGAATATTTTAATATAAACACTTACAGGATTCTTTTCTTATTTATAAGCCTTTTGTTACATAACTGCTAGATCAACATATTATTTTTTGAGCTTTAAAAAAAAACTTAAATAACATTTCTTAGCAATCTAATAATCATTGGATTTGATTGATATAAACATAGATATAAGTGTCCATGCTGATATAAAAACTATAACTAAATAATTTTAAGAAATCTCATCACATTTTACACAAGAATACTTTCCTACTTTTGAATAGCTGCTCTTCCAAAATTTGCCATTTATCTATTTTTACAAAATTTAAATTTCTACTTCTAAATATTTATGCATAAATGTTTTAAATATATTAACAACATTTTTTCTATTTTATTAAATTATTTTTTCATGAAATAACTAAAAAAAAATGTGAATATATAGTAATCATAAATGTTGAGATTTATTCATATTAATACTCTAAATTACTTTTAATCAATCTTAATGTTGGGTATGAATATAAAAATTTTTAATTGTTTAAGTTAAAAAAAATGTTTATAGGTGAATATTTAAGTTAATAAGAATATAAGAAAATTTGCAGTATTAAAAAATTTTTAATTTTTAGAATTTATTTAATTTAATTTTTAAAATTAAATTTCCTTTCAATATATTTAAAAAATATTAATAAAATCAATTCTTACTAAAAATTAATCATAAAATTATCTTTTTTTATCTGTAAAAATGAGTGGAGGATTTTTGCTTTTATTTTTGTAAATAAATTATTTTTCCAAATAAAAAAAAATATTTATTTAAAATTAAATAAATTAATTATTTTTTTCTTCATTTTACATCACACTCTTCGCAAAGTGGTCCAATGTGTCCTTCAAAACAAATTTTATCTCCATATGGTCCTCCATTGCAATTTGCTAATAAATTACTACAGGAAATAATATTATCATCATAGATTTCTTTTCTCCAAAACCCTTAATCTAATATCATTTAGCTTCCGCCTAAGCATTCTGCTCCTTCAGGACATTTATGGCATGACACTTTATCAAAGGAATAAGTACCTTTATCACATATAGTGCATTCTTCGTATCCATTATATTTTTACTTAATTTCACCAATTTAACAATCCTAAATTTAGACCTCTACTTGAAAGGAATAATTATTATTTTAATCTATAGATTCAAGCTTTATTTAATCACTGGTAATCAATAATGTGACATTAGTTAACGGTTTGCCAATTAAATATATGTTTTTAAATGAGAAGAAACTGTTTGCGATATTATAAATAGCTTTAGTCTCTCCTTTAAAGTAATATTCTGAAAAATTTTATGTTTCTAAATCAACTTGTAATTTTAGATAAGTGGTTTGTATTTAATCTGGATTATCAAATTTCATCAAATCCATTTGGTCATTTCTTAAACTAAATGTCATATCAGGTAATAAAGCTCCACTTCGGTGTTTTGTGATAATAATTTTATTTGATTAATTTTAAATATTAGATAAATTATTAGTTAAATCACTTATTTCTTCTAAAATAAGTTTTGTTGGATAAGAAAAAACATTTTAACCATATAAAAAAGCTGTATTATTTTATATTTAATTATTTAAAAGGATAGGTATAATTCCATCATATTTAATACCACCACCTATTTTTGCTGTGTTGTTGACTATAATGTTATTATATAAAATTAGTTAATCGTTTTAAGTTGTCTATTAACTAGTAAAATATATAGCTCCACCTTTTCCCTTATCAGCTTTGTTTCTGTAAAACTTATTTTCTACAATTGAAAAGTTATAAACCTAATTAGATAATTTTTTTGTTTAATAAATTGTAATTAAAATTGAAAATGTCTGAAAAATTTTATTTACACCCATTTAATTTTGCTAAATAGAAAAAACTCCTCCATTTTATCCTGAAATATTGTCTAAGAACATACACCCTTTTACTTTTGTTTCAGAAGTTGGGTTTATCATTTGTATAACTCCTCCTTCTTTTGACTTTTTAGAATTTAAAAAAAATAAAATAAATTTAGTTAAAATTTATTTAGTTTTTTACTTATATATTTGTAAAATTAGATTCAAAAAGAGTAAGTTAAGAAGATTGTAAAAGTCCAAACCCACCATAGCAGTTTTGTAAACATTAAATATAAGAAAAATTAGATGATTCTATTTAGACAACAGATTCAACAAAGTTAAAAAACGATATATTCTAATTAATTGTAGAATGTTATTGCAGCATCCTAAAGCTCTTAGGTGAATTTTAAAATTAAATATTATGAGATGAAAGGTTTTTGATAAATACAGAGCTTTAATCGAAATATGCAACACCACCTATATTCATTTTTAATTACTAGATTTAGCAATTAAGAATTTTAAAATCAGATTAATAAGATTTAATTAGCATTTAATGATCGTTTGATTCTGAGTGGTTATCAATAATATCTTTTATGATTAATCTATCCATAACTATTTTACTATACTAAGCATATAAATATGTTGAAGGAGTTTAATAAAGTAATGTATTCGCTAGTAACAAGGAATTTGGGGTTGACGAGGAATTTGTTGTATAATAAGATCCATTTACTTCCAATTATGAGAAGCCAACTGACAACAAATAGCTAATATCTTATCCAAAAATGTTTGTAAAGTTAACATTAATTAACCAAATATTTGTATTTATCATATTTTGTTTACCAATATCGTCTTAACTATTTTTAAAATTAAAAAAATTTATCCAAAATTATTTTTTATAAAATTAAATGAAAATTTTATGATTTAAGAATAAAATATTAAAATAAAATTCTGTTTTCAGCATTTAATTTTTAATTAAATAAAAAATTTCCTAAATAAGCATTCAATTTAAAATTAAAAGACATATAAAATTAATAAAGTATGTCATTTAAAAGTGTAAAATTAAAGATTTTTGGCTTTACTTAATGTAGATTAAAGATGATTGTGTTTTTAATTGATATATATTTTCAAAAGAGCTATCTTGAATAGATAATAGCAAGTTAGTCCCATAAAAGTCAAAAAATAAAGCTCCTCCATTCAATTTTGTAAGCGAATCTTTGAAAGTTGATTGTGTTATGTTAACAATTAAATTATCAGCAAATGAAGAAATATAAATAAAACCTCCTATATGCGATTATGAAACTAAGAAAGTTGATTATAAAATTTATATTTATTTAGATTTTGCAAATATAGAACCTCCTTTTAGGCTAATTTTATCTAATATTTAATTGGGAAGTATATTTTATTAAGAAAAATAAAGCATCGTATCAAATATGCAATCATTAACTTATATGTTTTGTGTTACCAAATAGAGAGCGTTTGAATCTGAGTTTGAAACTAAGCTAGTAAATTAACTTTTATTTATAATAATATCTCCTACAGTATTTGAAACTTACAGTGCTGTGCTTGAGGTTACTATAGAATTAGGGATTCCGAGTAACTTATTATTTTTGAATTAGCAATTTTAAATTAAGTAGGTGTTTTTATATGAAGCAATTATAAAAATAGGATTAGCTTATTTGTATTCCTTTGATTGAATTAACAAAATATTTTAAAAGGTGCTATTTGTTATATTGATAATAGCTTGGTTTGTTTTTAAATTTGAAATATCAATCAAATTTGAATCATAAGCAATTTTTTAATTTATTGTTAAATTAGATATTGTAATGTTTTGAGTTTCTTAAATAGAAATACAACTTGATGAAGGCTTATTTTAATACTGATTAGCAAAGCTGTTTGAATAAGAACAATTAAAAACTGAAGCTTAGAATTGATAGGATTAATCACAATTTATAAAGGAAAAATAGTGATTATCAATAAATTATATGTTTTAAATAGAAATGTTTAAAATATTATTTGTTGTTAATAGATTTGTAAAGAAATATTAATCTTCATACTATTGATTGCTTTAAGCTATGCTATTATTTTAAACTGTAAAATTTGTTGCTATTATTTAATGATCTGGTGAAGGCAAACTTGAAAATAAAGATGAAAAAAATAAATTTTATGATATTGTTGTAAAGGAGTTATTTACTAAAACTATTTAGCTCATGTAAAAACTTAAATTTTAGTACTCTTCTTATGCTTCAATTTAAAACAAATTAGCATTACAAAAAGTATTTCCAGCTATGTTTACGTTTGTAATATTTATTTCACCAGCATAAAATAGAGATGTTGTATATTATTTTTTGAGAATTCTTTTCATCGAGCAATAATTATTTAAAATATTCAATCCATTAATTTACAAGTAAGTATGAGTAATTTGAGTAAATAAAACTAAATCGCCTATGTCTGAATTAGTTATATTTAAATTCTAAATCGTTACCTTTTAACAAAGAAGAAGTTATTAATTATTGTAAATAGGAAAATTTTACATTTTTAGCTCCATTTGATGTTATAAAATGCTTGTTTCTAGTAAAAGAGTTTGTATCAAGAGTTGTATTTTGTATAATTAAGTCAGAATTTATTAACTAAATCCTGTTGCAATCTTATTTTTCCTAATTAATACTCTGCATTTTTATATTTGTTAATTGAACTTGGTTTAAAATGGAATTAAATGTGAGAGAGCAATTAGGAATTTCAGTGGTGTTAAATTAAAGAATTATATTGTCTATCGAAATAAATGAAAAGTTGCTGAATACAAAATCTCCTAATAATATTATTGTTGCAGGTTACTAGTTTGCATCTGTAGAGTAAGAATTAAATGAGATTTGCAAGATATCTAAAATGAGCAAATTGAAAAAATATTCAAACAAATTCAAAGGGTATTTGTAATTTGTATAAATTGTAGTCTTAATGCTTTTAGTACTCTGTATAAATCTTTGGTATCTTTGATTCTTATAATTTTAAAAATAATTTGAATTATATTTTATTTTCAAAATAAGAAATTACCACCAAAAATGAGTATGCAATGCTTTAATAAGAAGTAAAAGGGTAGTCTTTAGTACCTTAACCAAAACTGTTGTTTTATGTGTATGGTGATTAGCTATTTAGAAAATAGAATTCAAAAGAACAAGATAAGCACATTTCAACATTTTAAAGGCATTTAGAAATATCAAAAAATAAATTGGAATAATCAGCATAAATAAACAGCTATTTCTAAACAGGAGTTAAGGAAATATCTTAGATTGTTTATTGATATTGAGTCTTAACCATTAAAAATTACTCATAGAATTTTGTTTAATTATTAAATTTAAAGATGTAAACGTTTCCTTATAGCTAAACTCCAGCAACAATTAAATTAATTTACTCAATATACTTAAGGACTGTTATAAAGGGAACTACTTACAAAATTTATTTTATAGAATAATCTGTTTCAGAGAATTGGCTAATGATATTATTACAATCTTAGAAAACTATCATTTTAGATATACTTATTTTGATCATTTTTAGAATGCTGCATTTGCTTACTTTTAACAATATTTTAAAAATTAAAACTAAAATTTGATAATATTTTATAAAGCAAATTAAAAAATGATTTTTAAGGCAGTGAAGATTTATTTTTTTAAGAATTTTTTGAAAATTAAGCTTAATTTTAAAAATATTAATTTAAAATTTATTTTTAATTTTTATTATCAGCTATTGAAATAAAATCTATTTTGAAATATTTAATTGCTATTATATTTTAATTTAAAGTGCTTGAAAATATTAGTAAAGTATCTTCTCTGTTTTATTGTTGAAAAGATTTATGTTAAAATTAAAATTTCAATCAGTTTTATTTTTGAATTTTATTTAATTAGCATTTTAAGAAATTTTAAATAAATAAATTCTACTTTAGTATTGGTATATGAAAGTTGTGTTAAAGTCCCAGACATACATTTTTCCTATTGCTGATGCAGAATATACTTTTTGGTCATTTAGATCGTATATATGACTAAATTATAAAGCAGAACCATCTGGTGCAAAATAGCTTAGATATGTTTAAGTGTTCAAATTGATTGCTATTACAGAAGTAGGTGAGCTATAAGAATTAATAGATACATATAAATAGTGATCAGGATATTGTATAAGTGTATAAGAATAAGAACCAAACCAATTCATATTGCCCAATACACTAAAATATGAAAACTTAAAATAAAATATTTATTTAATAATTTATTTAGTTAAAATATTAGAAGAATTTACTTTTAGGGTATCTGTACTAAATATCATTATATTCCCATTTTCTAGCTTATAAGCAACTTAAGTATTATTTGAGTTTATCACAACTTGAGTGCTTGTTTAATCTTAATAAATCCCAGATTAGTAATTATAGTAAGTCTGATATCCTCCTGACTAGTTTGATGTTTCAAGAAAGTAAGAATTAGTCTACTAAAAAATAGAAACATAAATATCCTATTAATTCAAAGAGAGACATAGTCTTGGAATTTTTTATGTTACACTATAATCTATAAAGTAAGTATATAAAATTAATTATTAGTTAATAAAAAGTAAAATAAATTAATTAAATTAAATTAAATTAAAAAATTTTAACATTAATTTATAGTTCGTCAAAAATAAAAAAAAATTTCTTTAACAATTAATTTTGATTTTTTATCGTTAATAATGCATAAAAATTGTATATTGATATAATAAAATTAAAATTTACATAGTAAAAGGCTTTGTTATGGATTATTTTCCTACTTAAAATTATATATTTAAATATAATCTTTTGTTAAGAGGTACAGGTTAGAATCGTTATTGATCATAAAAGTATTCAAGTATGGAGAAAAAAATTATTTTATGAAAGCCAATTAAAACTTTGAAGGATCAACTGATTTAGGTATTTAATAGAGATTTAAGTTAAAAGAAGTATAGCAAACTAATAAATAGTTATAAATTAAGCTATCCTATTAGCTAATGATCAGGTTTGTAATAATTTGGCCAACGTTTGATTCGCTTTAAGAAATGGCTTTATATTAAGTAAATAAATTATATTTAATTTTGTTTATTTAATATGGATTGAAATTATCTTACTTAGTTGGTATATAAACTTAATTTAGTTTTCTTAATAATTTGTCATGTCCATTAAAATTACATTTAAATTTTAGCTTATAAACACATAATAAGAGTTTAGATATTGAGTTATTACATTACTTAGCCAATACTGTATTTCTGAATCAATAAAATAACAAATATTAATGCTTTGATAAAACAAAAATTCAATTTACATGGAAGGTCTACATTATAAATTAAGCCATCATCAGCATCCCATAGTTAACAACTATAATCGTATTTAATTAAAACTATATGTTTCTTATTAGGAAATGTTAGGCATTTGAGGTAGGATATACTTTGATCTATTTTTTTAGAAAATTAAATATGTTCAACATGAAATGAACTAATTTTTTTTGCTTAGAAAATAACAAATTACTTACTTATTTAATATGTTTTTGTAACATTTTATAATTGTAAATCATATGCGATTATTACATTTTGCAAAGAATACAAAACAACCACTGAGTTATCACTAAAGGCATCTCCCATTTATATTTATTAAACAATAGAAATCTACTAATTTACTCTCAAAGAGTATATATCTAATAAGTAAAACGAGTTAGAATTCAATCCAACTATAGAATTTATGCTAGGAATATACATAATCTACTAAATAGCAAAATTCACTTTTAAAATAAAATATTTGTTAAATAAAAAGATCATTTTAGGAGAGTAAAACTTTACACTCTACAGCATTTAAGACCTTTTGGGTTTCTTTGTCAACATAGTAAAATAAACTTCTCACAGATGTTTAATCAGTAACTTTGATTATTAAAATGTTGGTATTTGGTATCATAAGAATGCTTTATGGACTCATGTTATTTTCGCTTTGTATTCCTTTTATTTAACATAAAATAACTTATTTACTCATAAATACAATTTTATTACTGTGATATTCGTATATATCAGGGCAATAGCTTTAGCCATTTACTTTTATGTTATTTATCTAAAGAATAATAAAAAGTAATGTAAATTTAAGATATTTTAGATCAATTGAAATCATTCTGATAATTTTTTTAATTAACTAACTTATTTTACTAAATTTTTTCTTTTTTCTTTTTTAATTAATTTTTTCAATTAAACATTTACCATATATGTATGTATTGTAGGATGATTATTTTCATAGTAAATTTAGCATTTAAAATCAGTTTTTGTTCTATATATAAAACTATAAAGAAATCTAGATTTATAATTTTTAAAATTGTAAACATTTGATTTTTCACCTCATATTACTTATTAAAAGAGACTTTGAAATCAAAATATTAGCCATTACTTTAAAAATAAGTATAAATATTGAGATAATTACCCAAATAATTTATTGATAAATAATTCGGATTCTACTAATTTACTAATTTTAAAATAAATAGCAAATAATTAAAAGAAGTAATATAATAAATAATTAGATTTCTTAAATTAAGAAGTTTATGAAAACTAGAAAACCCTTATTTTTTTCAAAATGAATGTATGCATAATTATAAAATAAAATAAAATCTAAGGTAAGTAACAAAGTAGGATATATGTTATATTTTATATTTTAATATAAAATATATTTTATTTTATATAAGGTTACTACTAAAATAAATTAATTAGATCAGTGAATTAAATTGCTAATTCAAATATTAAGGAGAAATGTAGAAATGATTTAATACACGATAGTTAATTAATATATTTTAAAAACAATATAAATCATTTAAAGGTTTTTAAACATGTAAGTAATTCAGAATTTAATTTGCTTTAGGATTTATATTTTTTTTGATCATTTCAATTAATTTAAACAAATTAACAATATTTATTTTTTAAATATTGTTAGAAATATATTTTTTTCAAAAATATAAAGTGACTAAGATAAATAAATCGCTATATTTAATTTAAGTAGAAAAAATCAACTTATTATTAATTACTTAATTTGTTAATATTTTAAGATAATATAAAGAGGAGAACTAATTACTCCATTTAAGTTTGATTCTTTCTATAAAATTTATAAGGATTTTGGATATATATTTAGTTATTTGGAATGGGAGATTAAGCAGAGTCAGTCAACCTTTTAGGAAAAGAGTAGATGTCTAGTTTAAATTAGTTTACAGTAAATATGAAGACAATATTCTATGAATATCTTTACACAATATTGAGAAATGATGATCAATCAATACTAATAAATTTTAGTTTAACCTTAATTCAATACTTCTAAATATACTACTTCGCATTTCATCCTGCTGTAATATTTTTACTAATTACACAATTAACATACATTATTTTTAATACATAATTACCTGCTTATTTAATTCTTTTTGAGTATTTTTTACTTATGGTAATCCAATTAAATTGAAATATTGCTCAAATAAACCCAAAGTAGGATTTTAGTAAATAAAGTTAAAATTAAAAAATAGGTCATAAGTATATGGAACTAATCAAATGCAAGTAAAATATCATCTGCGTTTGGATTTCCTGGTATTATTCATATTTATAGAAGTACTTCAGTTATGGTTTACTAAGCTTTCTTCTACATAGCAATGATAACTGTGATTCTATTCTTCTTTATCTTTTTATACTCATTCATTACTTTGGCTAGGTAAAGGACAGTAGGAACACTGCTTCTAAATATTTAATAGCTAATTATAAATTGCTTTTTAACTATTTTGTATGTCCCTTTCATGGATATATTTATCTCTTTTCTAAATTGTGAAAGTGTGAACGGTGTATTATCTCTAAACATTTACAGTAGCATATAATGTTGGAATGGTATGCATATCTTCTATGCAACTGGATCAATTATAGCTTTAGTTATTTTAGAAATATTTTCATATGTTTTTAGCATCCTCTATTTCGATGGAATATAAAACGATCAAAAGGTAATTAAAATATCTTAAATTATATTAAATTTATTGAGAAATAACTAGTTAATTAATTAATTAATTAAAACAGGTTAATAGCGTTAAAAATTCTAGACATGTTATTTGTATTCACATAGTATAATTTATTCTAGTTTTAACATATAATTTTATGAATACACAACAATATAATGGTGTTTTGAATACAATATATTTTGTTTGTGCACTCCTGGTCTTTTATATGATTCATAGCAGACTACCTTTCAATCATCCTATAGTTTAGCGCTACTAGTCACTTTTTTGTACTGTATTTGTATGGACTGCTATGATGATGGCATTAGCATAAGTAAAAAATTAGATAAAGCTTTAATTATTCAAAAAACCTTTTTTAATAAAAGCTAACTGAAAAAACTGTTTTTTAAGGCTTAATGTATGCCTGGGCAATCGGATTACCTTTAATAATATTTACTGTGTTTTGGATTCCACTTGAAAAAAATCGCAAAGACTTCACAATGAATGTTAATACTAACAAATTTTCATCTCCTGAAGAAGTAATTAATTAGTATTTTGTTTTATTAGGTATTTATTTATCTCAAATAATTAGGTTATCGAGCATGCAAATTATGTATAGAAGTTAATTAGAAATGATATGAAGAAGACATCTACTTCACACTTGCTTAATGGTTATATAGAGTTTCATAACAAGACATGCTTGAATTCAGCTTGTCCTCTTAAGAAAATAAAGTTTTCTTAAAACAGCCAAAAAAAAAATTCAGGAAAAGTGCTGTAAAATAAATAATAAGCTTCTAATAACATATTTAACTAGAAGAAATAAGACAAGAGATATTTATTTTGTTATGAAATGATATCAAAGCTCTTTGAAGCAGCTATAGCCACTTATCCTTAGGATGTGTCATTAAGAATTTAATATTCAATTTTCCTAATGAAGGTAATGAAAAGTAAGTAGCATGCTATCAACGAAGTAGTTGAAGCAGAAAATCTAAAATGCTCAATAGACGATAGATTTACTCTTTATTATATAAAGTATTTTTAAAAATTCACTTTTATTAATGATGATATTCAAATGAAATTTAATATACAAAAGGAGAAATATAGAAAATGAGATAAATGAAATGAGTAAAGAAACAAATGGAGAATATACTGAATAGAGAAATTTAGAAGGTAAGATTCAGCATTTTAGAGCTGCCATGGAGTAGACAGTAACACTTTTAATGGAGTTTTGGAGCTAATTTTCAGACGATAAGCCTGATCTTATAAAGCTTTATGACATTGGCTCAAAGCTGTTTCCTCTAAAACTTCTAGTTGATGAGATGTGGAAAAAAATATCAAGGACGAAAGGAGAATAGATTCCAAAATTGCTTAGAATATATTCAAAGTATCTTTTAGATATCTTCAATGATAAAAAATAAGGAATGGAATTGCTAGAAAAAGCAGCTAAGCTTGAAAATTCATACCACAATAAAAAAGATTTATCAGTTAATTATGCCTCAGATTTGAACATAGATGGATAAGAAGATGGAATGATTTTTATGACAATGGAAGAAGTAAATAAATAAATACATTCAAAATTGTTGCTAATTTTTACAATTAAATTAATTTAGGATAAAATAGGCTAAATATTAACATTGAATTTGTCTTGTTCAAGCATGTTTGGGTATTCAAAGACAGAACTTTTAAACAAAAATGTTAATATACTGATGCCTTAAATATATTAAAAACATCACGAAGACATTCTAAAAAGATATGTTGAAACTAACGAAAGCACATTTATTAATAAAGACAAGTAGGTTTATGGGAAGAATAAATCAGGATACATTTTTCCTGTTATAATTCATATCAAGCCTATTTTTCATGCTCTTAAAGATGGCATGGAGTTTCTTGGTATATTTAGAAAAGAAAAAAATGTCAAAAACTTTGCATACGCATTAGCAACTTACGATAATTAAATAAGAGATATTTCTTCATGTAAGATTAATAATTTGTTAAACAGATTGTAAATTTAAATAATTATAAAAGCATGTCTGAATATACTTGGTATCGATCATAAGACTATCTCATTGCAAACTGTTAACCTCTAAAACATAGTAATAAATTTATTTAAATTAGGAATATTTTACTTATTCATTCATAAATTTTGTATAGATCACAGATATTCTAAGCGAAAAAGAGCAATATATGTAAAAAGTAGGGAAGCAGAAGGAGTACACATTTCCAAAAATAAGCGAAGATTAAGTCATATTCAATAAAGGGTCGTTAACAGTAAAGCTGAATGTATGGCTCTAAGAGGTATCTTTTAAGGTAAAGTCAAATGCTGGTTACATTCTGAAAGTTGAATCTGTTTAGAAAAAAGCAAATAAACCTCAAGAATCATAACTCAATTAGTAATCTAAAATGAATAGGACTAAGTAAAAGAATTTGAATACAAGTTAGAATGTAATAAGATAGTAAGATAACTTATAAAAAGAAGTATCTTTCTTATTCAAGCTTGTCATCGAAGACTACTCCATTTAATATGAAGGAGAATATATAGAAGGTGTAAAAGGTGATAATCCTAATAATTTAAATAATACAGCTCAGTTTAACGACACTGAATAAGAGTCTAATCTAAATTCAAATAATCCTTATTCAAATAACAGCCATATAGTGATGAATAAGCAATCTGCAATTTTTAGTAGATAAGATCAAGATAATTATGACAAATCTAACAATTTACTTTAAGAAGCGATTTCCAACAAAGTAGACTACGGATTAGGGTAAACTATTTTTTTAAAATATAAAAATCTAAAAAAAAAAATAAATACAACTAATTATTTATTTTAAATTTTTTAGAGAATATTTAATAGAGAGAACAACTTTTTTCATAAATAGATAAATAAATAATTTATTTCTTTTAAATAATAAAATAATTTTAAAAATCTTTTTTACTCATTCTTTTATTTAAAAAATATTGGATATTCTTTGATTGGTTAATTCATAATTATTTATTTAATTATTTGAAAAAAAAAAATTTTAGGATTAAGATAATGAGATTAAAAGGAAATGTGATAGTGGATATTGATAGAGATATGACTGATGAAGAATAAAGCGAATAGGAAAACAAATCAGAGAATGAAGAAAATGAAAAGTAAGCAAGAATGAATAAAAATAGGGTAGAAGAATATGGTCATGAATATGAAGGAGGTTCAAACTAAATGAAAGAGTTAAATTAAGAGCTATAAAAATAAAGTGAAAGTACTGTTGTTAGCACTTTAAAGAATTTTTCTGTTTTTGTCATATTGACTATGATAGCTATTTCAATAATTGACTTTGTTGTTAAGAACTCTTCAATTAACTCATAAAGCTCAAACTTTACTCTAATTAAGTAAACTGCTAACAGAATATCCGACTTAAATTTGATTATATCAGATATTTTAGAATTAACATACTTACAAGCAGGTAATAATAAATATTATATCAATAAGCAAACTAAATAAATAAATATTAAAAAAAATTGCAAAAATAAATTTATTTTTGATAAAGAAACAAAGAATAAAATCCAATTATTTCATATTTATTATAATAATTCATCGTTTGTTAAATAAATAATATAGGTGTAAGAGATCCTCAATTTAACTCAGTTTCATAAAATCCAACTATTTAATCTGATACTGACTTCCTTAAAAATAGCATTTAAAATACAATTTAAGAGTATGAAAATCTAACGATATCTATTTAGAATAATGGAAATACAGACACGTCAAATACAAAAATATATTTTGATTAATCTTTTGTTGTAAAATAATATCGAATTAATTTATAACTTATTTATGATTTAATTTTAAATTTAATAGCCATCAACATTTTAAGTTTCATAAGCTTCTTAGTAGATGATTAGTAAATCTCATAACATAGTTCAGTTAGATATAAGCTAAATTCTACAAACTTAATCTGATGTATTTTTTGTTATTTTTAATGGTTTAAATGATTATATTAATCAGCTAACTTTAAGCTATTATGATATTGCTTAAAAGCAATCATCTGAAATAAGCAATATTTAAAACAAATCTTTAATATACTTAATTGTATCTATCTCTGCAATGGTTGTCTTTTCTATTATATTGACCATTTTCCTAGGAAGAACTATATTTGCAAAATAACTTATACTAAGTGTTTTTCTTGAAATTCCTGAAAAAACAGCTAAGTATCTATACTCAAAGTGTGAAAACTTCCTTGCTTAGCTTGGATCTGGCGAAGAAGAAGAAGTGCATTCGGAAGTAGATTTATTTATAGAAGACAAAGAGCTAAACGATGAAGGAAAAACTACCTTGTTTGGTAAAAGAAAAAAAAAATTCAAAAATTCTGATAATGGCAGTATTGGGTTTTTAATTAAAATGCTTATCATAGCAGTCATAGTAGAAGTTTACTTTGTGGTTAACTATATTTTAGGTATAACTTATAAATACTTTATTTTAAATAAAAAAAATTAATCATGAAAAAGCTAATTTAAATATCAAAGATATTTCTTAAAATTAAACTTTTCAATTTATAATGGAAATTATGAAATTAAGGATATTTATTTATCATTAATAGATTTTTTGAATAAATAAATTGTAATTTAAAATTAGGTGGAAATTAAATAGTTGTAATAAATGGACTTCTCCTTGAATATAATACAACTTGTTTTGCTTTAGGGTATTATTCTCAGGTTTCAAATTCTGAAAAGCAACTAATTTATAATAGTAACTGGAATCTTCTTAATTCTAATTCATAACAAACAGTTTCTACTATGCTCAACAATTTATATACAGTTGACTCATTAATACATGAAGTAACAAATAATTTTTTTTGCTTAGTTTACACTATAAATTTGCTTTATTTTAATTAAGGAGCATGCTTCAAATACTGAATATCATTAAGTTGAAGGAAGTTATTTGTCTATTTTTGAAAGTGTTATGTTCTAAGATGCTTGTGTTGTTTTATTGGCTTAGCAAGCTGTATCATAAAGTGTATGTACCAATTTTTCAAATGGTATTGTTTAGCAGGTAAGTTTTTTTACTAAAACATCAAAAAATTAATTCTTACAATTTAATTTTAACAAGGGAATGATTGCAGTAGTGATCAGATACTTTTAATTACTTAGATATTAATATGATAAATATACATGGATTATTACTAATCCTAATCAGGCGTATCCTTATAATTATACTAGTACAGATCCTAATTGGGTAGTTAAATCTATATCTTAAAATGTAACTCTAAATAATTTGTACAATCTACTTAGAACCCCAGATACATATGAATTGAGTAATAACTTTTTTTAGATTTTGTCTTGTTGTATTAATAATTTTTTTACCTATATATAGCTCTCATATAAACTTTATACATAGAAAATGCCTTTAAATATCTCTAAGATCAATTTTTGCATGAATTCTCTTTGCTTTTGGATAATTATAAAGTACAAAGAATACTATTCTTAGCACTATTTATACTTTTGCTTATTACAGCATCAATTACTTGCTGGCTTCCTTTCCTTTCAAATTTAAACAAAGAGGTAAATTAATTTTAGAAAATAAAATATTTTATTTAATATTTTAATAATTTTTCAGATATGGTCAACAAAATGCCTACTTTCTTTCATACCTGTCGATGAAGTAAATAAAATTAGAGCCATTTCTAATTTTATTAAGGATTATATTCTTGAAAGAAGAATTTGATTATACCAATGAAATTTAAATGCAAATGAACAAAAAAAACAAATAAACAAATAAATACATTAATTATATAAACCAATTTACTATCTATATATATTTATAAAATTAACATATTTGTAATGCATTCTTTTCATAAATATAATAAGTTTATAATATTATAAGTTCTCATTAATTAAGGTTCAATTTTTTAAAATTTTAGAAAACCTTCAAAATTTATTTTTCATCAGTTAAATTTAAATTTATCCCTCTCAAAAATTAATGAAAAAAACTTTAGTTATAATATTTTTTTAATTAAATTAATTTTAATTTATCTCATTCTAAAATAAATGAAAAAAAATTAAATTAAAATATTTTTTACCTTAACGAGATCAATTCTCTTCTCTCTCTTTTTTATATTTTTAAGAATGTGGCAAAAATAATGAAAACTAAAAAATTTTAGCTCATTTAGGTAATATTTTACCTCATTCCACAATTGCCTCTCATTCATTAGGCACCCAACTAAAGGCTGGATTTTCATTTTTTAATTTAAAAAATTAATACTGATTTCTATTTTACCATAAAATATTAATTACATTTTTATTTACTTCATTATAAAAAATATTCAAAAGTAATTATCGATTTGTACAATAACATAAACAAATAAATATTTATATTTATTTTTTTACATTTTTATGACTTCACGTAGTTATTTATTTAAAAAAATGAGCATAAAATATTATTTTAAATTAAAAGATAATTTATAAAATTGATTTTTCATTAGAATCAGAAAAATGTTTAAACTATTTAACCTAAATTTAAGAATGCAGTTATTAAAATAAATCCAAAATTTTGTAATAAATTTGATAAAAAATAATTTTGAAAAAGAATAAATTTTTAATTGAGTGATTTCTATTTGGCTGCACATTTAAAAAATTAATCTCTTAAATGCATGTTTAATAGGAAATTTAAAGTTATTTTTCGATAGATGCTCGAAAAAACTCTAAATGATAATATTAAAATTAAATACATAAATTCGTTTTAGTTGTATAAATAGTTATCTTATTAATTTAAATAAAGAAATAGAAATTCAATTTTGTTAAGTAGAAACCAATAAGCAAGAAAAAGGAAGCCTTTTAGAAAGACATGAAGCTATAAAATAAATTTAATAACTATATCGGAAAAGTGTATAATATAGATAAGAATATTTAAAAGTCTAAAAATAATGTGCATAAGAAAAAACCAAGTGATGAAATTTTATACAGCTCGTTAACATAGATTGATGATAAGATGAATTAATTTAGAACGGAATATTAACTATCTCTAAATTAATCTAATAAACTACATATTATAAAAAAAAGGCAAGCTGTTAATTTAAAATCTACTGATGCTTCTATGCTAGCTACTTCAATATAAGCATTTTTATGTGCGTAAAAATAATTTAATCATAATACTTCACATAAAAAGAGTAGCCAATTTGATAATCAGCAAAGTATAATTTCCGAAAGATAGTAAAATTAAAGTAAATAACACAGAGAAAAGAAACTAGTCAATATTTAGAATACAAGTTATTCAAAAGATAAAGAATACAATTGTTATTCTAGCAGATCTCTCCTAAAATCTCCTAAAAATGATATAATGCATTCCCACTCTTACACAAGTAGAGTTAATGACAGAAGTTCTACTTTGATTTAAAATTCTTTTTTTGGTAGTCCTAAAACCTAAGTTTAAATAACTTCAAAAGTTTAGATAAATAGGCCAAGCACTTCCATGAATAGAAGCTAATAAAAATTAAATTAAACATACCAGTAAGTTTAATAATCAAATATTTTATAGAATTAGTAATAAGTAGAAGAAAATACTCGAAAGTTTTCTGATTACTTAATTAAAACGAAATAACAGTAGGACGAAGTAATTCAAAAAACATCTAATTTTAAAGATAACTCAAGTAATTAGCAAAGCCCCTAAAACAAAAACAGATCTATTAGTTTGCAGGACAATAATGAAGATTGCAATGAGCAGTCTTTGACCTAGCTCTTTGGGAATGTAAAATAAAGTTTAAAAAATAAATTATTATTTTTATTTTTATGACTTATTTTTTTAAAATGATAAATAGCAACTAATATCCTCTTTATTATAATCTCTTGTAATCAATTAAATTAATAAAATTTTTGGAATTTAATATAATGTGTAAACTGGAGTTTCTATAAGTTAGCAAATAATTAATTTATTTGATGTAGATATTAAAACCCTCAAAACATTCAAAAGGTATTCTGAGATTAAAAATAATTTTAATTCTAATAAATAAATAAATAAATAAATAAATAAATAAATAAATAAATAAATAAATAAACAAAAATTGTTTGATTCTAAAAATATATTTTTAAATGAATATAGCTTTTCAGAAAGATAGGACTACTTGATAAAAAAAATGGAAGAAAAAATAGATTAATTGCTGGAGCAGCAAGAAAGAAGATCGTATGAGAGACAAAACATCCTTAATGAATAAACTTATAAATATGAGCTATAAAATGAAAATAAAAATAGATAAAATTAAGATAACTTCTAATGGTTGAAATTAAAATCTAAATACGATGCCTTTAAAAAGAAATTAAAGACAATCATGATCGAGAAAATAAGTCTGGTAAGTTAATTTTATATAAAGAATAATTTTATTATAATATTTTATTAATTAATTTATTTATTTATTTTAGTATCAGAATCAAGTTTAAATTGTTGAGTTAATAGAAAAAGAAATGTAAAATTCTTAGAAATAGAAGAAAAATTAAAATGAGTCTAATAATGAACCAATTCAAAAAGAAAACAAAAAAACTCATGGTAGAGAAAAAATTGATAATTTAAACCAATTAAATATTATAGATGCAAGGTCAATCATTCATAAGCTTAATGCTATTCAAGACTTTTCATACAAAAATGGAGACAGAAATCATTAAATAAAATATTTTTCTAACATCAAAATGCTAGCAGATATTTAGAAAGACAAAAAGCTTTGCCTTCAAACTTAATCATATGCAAATTAATTTTAAAATTATCTAAACGGTGGATGGGATGAAGAAAAAGAAAAGTTATACTAAGCTTGCAAGACTTAAGCTGTATAGAAATATCTCAATACAAGTTTTGATATTAGTAATGTAAACTAACTAATGCTTTAACCATTCGTTTAATAAATTTAGAAATCTATACCTTAATAGTTTAACAGAGAAGAGCTAATTGAATAGTAATTAATTAATTAATTTAATATTTAGAAAATTAATTAATTATTCATTTTATTTTATTAATTAAATTAATTTTTGAAAAAATAAGGTACCGTAGTGGTGTTAATTTAAAAAAAGAAGAATATGAATTTATTGCAAGTACTAGCAAATTGTTAAATTTATGTATAGATAAGTAATTTACTCAAAAAGCAGTTGATTTATTAAGTGGCAATATAGTTGATTATTTAGAGAGAGATTTAGCTGAAGATATCATAATGAAGCACGAAATAATAGTAGATAATCTAAAGAGATTTAGAAATGATTATTTTAAAGCTAAAAATAATGTATTGCAAAAGAAATTTAAAGAGTAAAAAAAACAATAAATGGAAAAAGAAATGAATTAGAAAAGATAAATAGAATAAAAAAAATTTTTAAGAATAGTTAAAAATAGATTGACTAAGCTAATTGATTAAAATCCCATAAAGTAATTATTTATTTTTTTCAATTTTTAAATGATTGTCACAAACAAGATTTTATTTTATTTAAATTTAATTTATTTTTTTATTTTAGGTAAGCATCTTATAAGAATTTTTTTATAATATTGTTTGCTCACAAGTTAAAATAAAGATTGCAATATGCCAAAACTCATAAAAAAGTATATGCATCAAGATTTAATCCAGATGCAATTGAGTAGATGGCTAAGTTAAAGGAAAAAGAGCTTGTTAAATAAAAACAATAAGAATTCATTAAAAAGATTTCTCCTTCAAAAGATGTGATAGAAAAAATGAAGCAGCAAAATTCAAAAATGCATAATGTACATCCTCCATCGATATTATCTTACTTCAAGCCAATTGACAAACACTCAGATTAATGTAACATTTTATAATTAACAATTATTTAATTTATTAAATTAAATTAATTAATAGATTACTTAGAATACTAACAGCAAGAGAAACTATTATAGCACATGAAACCTTAAATAGATAACTTCAAATTGAAAATGAAGGATGAAAGAGATTAGGAAAAGTTTCTTAAATTTTATTCTGGAGGACCAAGTCAAAATATAAATTTTAATGCTAAAGTAATTTAAATTATAATTTGTTTATTCAAAAAATTTAAGAAATACTACCTTAAAAGCTTAATTAATTTTAATCAGCTAAAGTAAACTTTGATAAGAAAATAAAAATTTACTATTATATTCAGCTATCCATTTAATATATATTATTAATTTCCAACCTTATCCAACATTTATTTATTTTGAAAAATTTAATCATTTATTTTATTAAAATTAAAATGATATTTTATTGTTTTAATTTTATTTTAACTACCTTGAGATATCTGTTTCTAATTTATATAAATTTTAAATAAAAACTATAAATTAAATAATTTAGTTATACAAATTACAAGTAATTTTGTTTTTAAATCATTTATTGATATTTTTAAAATAGAAAATATTTTCTTCATATTAAATTTATAATCATAATTATTTAAAATTTAAGAATTACAAATCTATGAATATCTCAAATAAATTTATCTATTAAAAGTTATAATTTAAATTTTATTAATATTTCTTTATTTTATAGCTTTATTCATTTATTTATTTTTACAATTTATTATTTTTGATAATAAAACCTTTTGTTGTTTTTAATAAATTAGATAAAAAAATTTTTTTAATATAAAAATTTAGGATAAGTATGAAAATTTATATTAATAGCATATTGATAAGATAATTAAGATACAGAAATTAATTAGAAAAAAAAGAATCCTAAATGTCATCAAAAATATTAAGGAATAGGAATTTCATAAAAAAGTAGAAGAGCATGAGTAGAAACTATATGAATTTTTAGGTAAAACTTAAAAAATCAAATTCTAATCAATCAATAACTTATAAAATGAATATGTATTAAATTAGGAAAATATTCTCCATACTAAAAGACCATGAGAATAATTTATACTTCTCTTAAAATAAAAGAGCAGCAAAAGAAAAAATAAGATGAAAAATTAAACAAGCAGTTTGTTTTAAACTTATCTATTTAAAAGAGCAGATCAATTTCTGAAAGTGACTCAGTTACTTCTCCTAAATCTAGATTTAACATTCAAAACACTATTGAGAAAGAATAATAATTGAAACGCATTTCAAATGCCTTAACAATTTATACTAATGATACTGATGACATAAAACAATCTAATAGTTAAATAGAAGAGAATAATTCTAATTGCAATTTAGCTAAACAAATAACTAGCAAAAAACCTAAATTATTTGTTCCTAAGCCTCATTCAAATTTAGCTTAAATGAAATTGCAACTTTAATAAAATAGATATGAAAAATCTAAAAAAAAAGAAGATAGTTTAAATGAAACCGTATCAACAAGAAGAAATACTTTATTTTCTAAAGAATCTTCTCAAATTAATCCTAATACATAGTCCCCTAGGTAAGTTAAATATTAAATTTAATTAAATTAATTAATTAAATACTAAATAAACAAACAAATAAATAAATAGATTAATAAAAACATTCTCGGGAGTTGTAAAGTAAGACTTTCTTTTAAAGTAGTAAAAACTGATACAAAGTGCTAAGTCGAACTTTTTCATAGCAATAAAAAATTGTGGTTTTATTTTTTCACCCTCAGATACTATGATAAAAGATGAAGAAGGTAATAGTCCACTTTATTATGCAGTTTTAAATCAAAATGAAGAATTTGTTAACTGGTTACTAAAAAAAGGTGCTTCTCCTAATTAAATATGCTCTCAAGGTATAATTATAAAATAATAAAATAAAATAATTCCCTCCGTCCACTTTACAAATTATTTTTTATTTAATAAAGATATAATTTTATATAAAAAAGAGGGTATTTATAATTTAAATGTAATTTATTTATTTATTTATTTAATATATTTTGATTTATAAAACTAAAGGAAACACTCCAGTTCACATAGCTTTTAACCATAAAAATTTCCAAGTTAAACAATACTTATTTTTTAAATGTTTTCAATATCTTATTCTTAAATTAAAAATAGATAATTCAGAGTTTACTTAACTATGGAGCGGACATAAATAAAGTGAACATATAAGGATTTACTCCAATTGCCAATTGCCCTTAGTACATGATTGATAAATTAGATTTATCTAAATGTGTTGTTTATTCTTCCAAATAAAAATTTGAAAGAAATATCACTAATTTTGATAATTCATAATATTTTTACCATAATTAATAACAAGAGTTCTAAATTGAGCGCTTACAACTAGAAAATTTTTATCCTTTAGACTAATCTGTAAATAGGACAATATTATTGAAAGAAAATAAAAGTGAATGAATGAATAAATGATAAATATATTTGCACACTTTTTTGATACATAAATTCTCATCAATTTAATAACTTAAAAATAAATATATTCAAATATAAATATTAACTTTATTTTTTTAACATTTTTTAATTCTAAAATAAAAAAGAAACTTTTATAAAATATTAAATCAAATATTATTTCTTTGATACTACAAATTAAAATTTACTAAAAATTAAAAGCTAAAATAAATAGAAAGTATTTTGCACATAAAAAATATTTTCTCATTTAGTACTTGAAATAATTTTTAAATTGACATTTACAAATCTAGGAAAGTTAGTTAAATTTTTATTTAAGTTAAATTAAATATTATATTAATTCTTGAGATTTAATTAAATAATTCACATTTTTTTTTCTTTGTTTTAAGTTAATTAATTTTTACTCAAAAGCAATAAAATAAAATTAATTAATACTTTAATTAAAATGAAATTTTAAACAATAAAACTTTTTTTTATTAAATAATAAATATATTTTTCGTTTCATAATTATTTATTTTTCTCAAAAAAATATATTTTTGATATTGAATAATTGAAAAACATATTTTTATTTACTTTAAATATAAAATTATAAATGTAATATATAAATAAGAATAAATTTGAAATTTTTAAAATAAATAAATAAATTAATTAATTATATATAAATATAATGAATGTTATATATTATAAATATAATTATTAAAAAACTTTAAATTTATATAAAGAGTAAATAAAACTTACAAAATGAATAACAAATAATATTATATGTTTTAAATATATTTATATAAAACTTTAAAATTAAACATAATTAATTAATTAATTTTCTTTTTTTCTTTTCTTTTTTTTTCTTTTGTTTTTTCTTTGTTTTTTAATTTTTTTTTTTTTATTATTATAAATTATTTTCATATAATTAAGGTTGAAATGAATTATTAATCTAAGTTGTTTAAATACCCTATTAGTATTATTACTATGTTATGTATCAGGTATTCTAAACACTTAGATTTAAGAGGCACTTGATAAAAGATTGGCTGGTTTTCCAGCAAATTGTATAGATTTAGAATTACTATTTAGTAATTAGTTTAATCTATACAGCCATCATAGAGAGAAGTCCTTTGGTTATAGAATATTTCTATTAATAGAGCTGCGTAAAATAAAATATTTGTGCAAAATTATTAATATTTTTGCAGCAGCACTGGTATAACTTTGGCTGATAAGGCCAAGATCTTTCTGGAGTTTTATTGCTTTTACAAAATGAGCTCTATAAGCTACTCATTTTCTTGTTCTAAAAGGTACTTCAATTTATTAATTTTTTCTTAATCTTCTTATTTATTGTTTAAAAAGCTTTATTCTATTTGCTCAGGTATACTTTCGATAAAGCTTAGAAAACTGTATAGCAAAGATAAAGAGTAGAAGCCAAAATGCTTCTAAATCATTAAGCTATTTCTTAGCTTTTCTTATTTTTTAACTGTGTTTAGGTGCTGATTGTAAAGGGCATCAATTAGCTCAAAAGCAATAGGATATTTTCTAACTGGGAATTCAATATTTTGCTTATTCTTTTCTTGGTTTTCATCAGATCTTAATGATTAAGGAATAAGACTATTAGATACTGATTTATTCTAAGTAAATAAATTTTTTTGGATATTCTTTTGTTAATCATTATTCATAATAAAATTAGTTGATTCACCTTAATTACTTATTTTAGGTGTCAACTTCATTATTTCATCAATTATTTTCTTTTATGTTGATTAACTTTGTGAGTCTTAAAATTACTGGTTTTCTTGGTTAAGATTAATAAAACTACTTGAGTATTAAGCTTATTACGAAAAGCAAGATGCTTAAAGCTGTTGTTAATACTAATTGCTGAATCCACCTTAGCTGCTTAAGTAGTTAGTTGTTGTTGAATATTGCTCATTTGAGCTTATTTTTCTTAATGAGTGCTTAGAATCATAGAAAATTTGTTCTCCAGTTTGCAAAGAGGCAAACTAATTTCTCTGATTTTATTATTAGTAAGTTGGGATAAAGTCTTTAGATTCTTTAAAATTATTTAATACTTAATCCTACTAATTAAATGCTAAGTATTTAGGATCTTGGTAGACATTTTCATTATTGTAATTATTGTGCTAATTGCCTAAATAGTAATTGTCTTCAAAATTATATGAGTCTTAGATTTGATTTGCAGGTAAATTCTTATATTTTAGTTTATTTTCTTGAAATTCTTCATCAAAATCTTTATTGAAATTATAATAGAAGTAGCTATTTTCTAGATCAAAATTAAAATCATTCAATTATTCTATTCCATATTTATCAAATATTCTGTTATTAGAATATAAATGCTGAATGATACAATTTGTTGGTTCTTTTTTTATCATAAATTAGTCTTATCCAAAATTTTCTATTTAAACTTAAATTGATTTTTCTTTCTGAATTAAATTTTTTTCCTAAAAATTTTAGTAATATTTTGATTAATCATCAGTTTAGCTCTATTCTGTGTATTCTTATTTTAAATATGGATATTTATTATTATTGTTGTTGAATTATTAATCAAATTCAAATCCCTTAGATAATTGGTCTTATTTAATGAACATTTAATTATGAATATCTTAGCTTTTTTAATTATCTTAACAGTTAAAATGTGTTGGATTGATCTCATTTAGATTAGCGTTTTTCTAGTTAAAGCTCTGGTAATAAGAAATTTCCATATTGCTGTAGTCATCATAATTATTTAAAACATTATTAAAATTAAACTCGCTTATGATATTTTAGCTTTAATCTCTTGATTAGCTATTAATAAAATTATTCTATTCATTTTAAGGAAAGAGTCCAAAGCGATATTCATTAGAAGTTTCTTCTTGCATATTCTGAATTTCGTGTTTAAAGCATTTTTAGTTATAGGTCTCTAAATTATTCAAGTTGATTTAGTCATTTTAGCTGAAAAAATTGTTATTTTAATTTATTAAATTTGTTTCTTATCTAACCATAGCTAATTTCTAGTTGGCTTCTCTCTACAAAGCAAGAAACGAATCATCCTACAAGTTATGGAGATTTGTTGAAGATCCGGTAATAGTTCTATTTTTATCACTCAATTATAATGCTTTCTGATAATCTTCATTTATGATCTTGTCATTTAAATTCTCTTGGTTAGCTTGATTTAGTTTTTCTTGTCCATTAGGAAGCTCTTCAACAATCTGTTATTTCATACCATCTTTAAAAGGAATACAATCATGTAATTCTAATTCAATATCAAACAGAGTGTTTATTTTATCAAAATTTAGGTCGCTTTGCGAGTATTTAGAATTAAGGTTCCAGTTAGATATTTCTTGATGCTCAAATCTATCAAAAGGATTTATTAAAGGACTGTATATACTATTATCCATAAGATGATTATTTTAAAAATGACTGTAGCAGTTTGAGTCTAAGTAATAATTTTAGTTTGCGCTTGTATGAGAAGTTGACATTGTTTTTTTTTTTTACGATTTATTTATTAAGACTGTATTTTTTTTTCAAATTAAAATTATTTATGATTAATTCTAAAAACAATCAATATTTCTATAAAATTTTTGGCAAATATTATTATTATTATTATAATTATTATAAAATAGATAATTATTAGAAGGAACAAAAAATATTTTTCATTATTAATTCAACAAAAGAAGAAGCTTTTCCCACCAGAGCAGACAGACAGATGAGTTATTATATTCTAACTTTAATATCCATCCTATATATTAAATTATATTTACTTGAAAGAAAAATTTATCTTTCCTCAATCGTTTATTCGATAATTATCTTTTGTTTTTCTATAAAATCTTTTCTTCACCTGAATTTTAAATACGTCTGCATCTTTCTCACTTTTTGAGATGATCCCACATATTTTTAAAATATATTACGTAAATTCTTAAAATTTATGAACCAACTTAATACGTTTCTTCTATATTAAATTTAAAAACCTTATCCCCTACTTTACATCAATATAAAAATAAATTTTTTAATCAACTCAAAAAAGTAAAAAACAGAAAAAACTAAATTGTCTTCATTGTAAAATAATTTTCTTTGTATAAAAAAACTCATTGTATATTTTTAGCCCATAAAATATTCCTTACATACAGCTAGAAAAGCTTAAAAAACCGCTTAAACAAATAAAATTTGATTTGATTATAAAATAATTATCATAAAAAGAAACAAACATTAATTATTATAAAAAAATCAAATTTGTTATTAACTTTGGATAGAAAATCTTTTTTTATAATTAATAAAAAATACTCCCCAAAGCCTTTTAGTATTTTGTATTTAAAATTGTTAACTCAGTTTTACTTAACTTTGTTAACTCAGTTTTATTTAACTTTGAAATATATTTCAATATAAATCTTCTTAATCATTAAAATAAAGAATAAATTAGAATTCTATTTCACTTAATATCTGTAAAAATCATTTGTTAATATCAATTAAAATTTTTTTAAATCCTTTCTAAATTTATGCAAAAAACAATTTTGTAAAGTGAGTTTGTGTGGTATCTAAAAGGACTTTAAAAATAAACTTCAAAATTTTCTAACAAATAATATTGAAGAATATCTATCTATGTATGTATATAGTTACTTTGATTAATAACCAATTCCTTAAAATTAAAATTATTCAAAATTAAGATATTCATTTATTTGTATTTATATTGAAACAATATGGACCAACAATCAAAATAGAACAACAACATTCAAAAGGATTTAGGGGAAATTAAACAGACGCTTTAGCATAAAATTGATATGACCTATGTGAAAAGCTAAGGAAGTATTTCAAAGGAAAAAGCTTAGTGCAAAATTTGCAAATTTTTAGTTCGTTAACAAATATTAGAGTGTTCAAAATGCAAATCATACGGCTGCGCTGTTTGTGTTTAATCTAAATTAAATGAGAATCTTATATAAAAAGTAAATAAATGTCCTTTTGATAATGATTGCTCTCAAAATGACGAATACAAAAAAGTAAATAATTCTCAGCTTGATTCACTTCTTTCTACGATTAAAATTACTTGCCCTGGTACATCTTTAAAAGGCTAAGATAAATGCACTGAAGTAGAGAGCCTCAGTTATGCAAACTGTGAGTCTCACTTTGCAAAATGCCTCTTTATTTTACGTCCTTGCAAAATTTGTGGGATGGAAATACCTAAAAAGTTCATGCCTTAGCACTTGAGTAGCGAGTGCTAGTAAAGTCTTGTGAACTGTGATGATTGCAAATAAAAGATATTAAGAAAGGAATTTGAAAATCATCAAACTTAATGCCTTGCCAAAATCTAAGTCGTTTGCAGAGGTTGCCGTAAGAGTTTTCCTAAAATTGATATTGATAAGCATGAAAAAGATTGTGAAGAAATCTCAACAGTTTGCTAGAAGTGCTAGCTGCCAATAGCTAAAAAGGATGAAGAAGTACACACTCCTTCTACTTGCTTTCTTCTTAAGAACTTTTAATTGTTTAAATAAGAGATTCTTTAATAAGTCTCTAAATAATAGCAATAATATAAAGATTCACAAAGCCAAAAGAGTAATTTAGCAGGCGGAAGAGTTCCATAAGTTAAGTAGCAAGCATCTCAATAAAATTAGGATTAAGCTTCAAGTCATAATTAATTAGATGACACAAGTAAAGAAGACATGAAGTCTATCTTAAATGAAGTAGAAAAAACTTCTCATAGCCAACAGGCCATTTGTATGTAAATGCAATCTTTAAGAGAAGAAATGCTAACTGAAATTAAAAAAATGAATTCTTTTCATTCAAGGCAGATAGATAGTATCAAACAGTAACAATAAAATGATTAGGAATTATTTAGAAAAAATTTTGAAGTTGAAATGCATTTCTTAAGAGACGAAATGTCTTAAATTCACAACTAAATTAATACTAAAACAAAGACAAATTAGTCTACCTTGATAAATTAAGATCACAATTAAAATTATTTTCATCAACAAACCAGTTTTTAAAAGCAGCCTACAATTAATTTGAATGACAGTTAAACATTCCTTTACAATGACTATGGTTCAGTTTATCAATCCACTAAAAATTTAAGTGGTAACACACCTAAATCTTCTAGATACCATACTTCATACCTAAATCCCTTTGTAGTAAAAAACTATCAACCTTCCTAAACAAATTACAACTAATCTTAATTTCAAGATAATCCACTCTCACAAAGTCACAGATACCCTCATAAGGAAAATCTTCTTTAGAATAGAAGAGGAAGTAAAACATACAGCCAATCGCAAAAGAAGAATGATTAAGAGCAATTATCAAATTCGCCTGAATAAAATTTGAAATTAAATACTCTTAGAGGATTTTCATAGAAGTACCTAAATAAATTGATTAAAAAAATTATATAAAAATTTATTTTAAAATGAAAATTCTTAGCAATAAAGAAGAAGGTTATAGACTACCAACAAAACCAGAAAAAAAGATATAAATACAAGATCAAAATGAAAATTTACCATCTATAAATTTGAGTCAAAAAACACCTACCCAACTGAAAAGAAAAATATCATTTACTAAAACCTAGCTTGCAGTAAATTGCTTATATTATTAAAATGTTTAAGATTCATTTTTTTTATAGAATATTAGCATGGACTCCAAGGCTTTTGAAGAGCTTTAAGTAGATAATTTAATAAGTACTTTATTATTAAAAAATAAAATAATTTAAATAGAAAATAAAGCAAAATGCTGTGGATGAAGCTAATTTAAGATGTTTGGTAAATTTTATAAATAAAATTAATACAACCTAAATTGTTATTTAAATAGAAAAAGGGCATAGTAAAATAATTACAAATTTTACAAAAAAATATTTTTTTTATTTACATCTAAAGTGGAACAACGTAAAATTAAATATTTAATTAATTTAAGATTAAATAAATATTTTATAAAAATTAGTGGGATAATGTAAATTAATTACAAATTTAATCTATTAAGATGACATTTATAAAAAATAGTTAGTAAAATTTTAATTTATTATCATAAAAATGTTTGAATAATGCTGAAATATTTATTTAAATTGTAGGAAGTAAATTATTGTTTAATATTTCAATAAATTAAATCACTTATTTGGAAAAAGAAAGTAAACATGTATTTGAGTTTAATTTATATCTAATCTATTTTAAAATTAAAATAATAGTGCGCAGTAATATTTCTTATATTAATTATATGGATTCTAAATGATAAAATAATTATAAAACAGGGAGTAAGTTGTTAGTTATTTGATATTATTAAATATTTTAAATTTTTAATTAAATTATTTAGGGAGTAAATTTTGTTCATAATAATTAGTTTTTAAAGAATTTTTCAATTGATTTTAGCATGTAAATTTATTTTAAATATTAATTAAATAATTTACATATTTTTTAAATCTTTTATTTAGGAAGATGAAGTATTATCATTTTTATTATAGCTACACAAAATATTAAATATTGGTTATTTTAATAAGCATGGAAAGGTATTTTTGTTTTCACTATCTAGCTATTTACCTTATTGTTAACTTTTTTAAAATTAACAATTCCACATAGAAAGTAAAATTAATTGTTATAAAAGTAATTGTCTAATGTATTTTATAATAATTAGTTTGTAAAATTAGTTCATAAAAATATACAAATTTAAAAGATATTTTCTTTTTGAATTGAATAGCATCCGGTAAATATTTTCATTTAAAAAATTATTATATTAAGGTTTTTAATAAAATAGACAGTAAATTACTTTGAAGAATTCATTATTTATATTTTTATGATCACGTTTTGACATAAAGTTTGGAGTACTTAAATAATTTTATTTTAGCATTAAATTTAATATTTCAATTAAAATTAGGAAGGAGTAAATCATTTAAGTGTAAAAGTATTTTTATCAATGATAATCTGATATTTAAAATAGAATGTAAAAAAATTAATTAATGACAAAGTTTAATTTTAAATATTTCAAATAGTGTTTTAGCTGTTATGAAATCATGGTCAAATATAGAAAGATATTAAGGGAACAATCTCAGAATAAATAAATTAATGTAATTCCTTTTTTTATCAATTTTAATCAGTAAAAATACTTTTTTTAACAGTTATGTAAAAAGCTATTTGGTTAAAAATAAATAAGTTAATATTTTTATTTAATAGCCAAAAAATGAAAATATAAAATATAATAATAACTATTAATACTTCAATATCTTACAAAACAATGAAATTGATATTTATGATAAGAATTTTTTTAAAAATTAAATTAAGATAAATTTTATAAATAAATAAAGTTATTAAAAATGAATATAAATATTTATTTATATTTTTATTATTATCGTTATTAAATTAAATTCTACAGCCTATTCACTTTAAAATTTTGAAATGAATTTCTATAAAATTTAAACCTTCCTCAAAATTAAATATAATGTTAGGTAGGCACTCTTTTTTAGCCTTAAATTAATTAAAAATTATACCTTTTAAATAACAGAAAATATTTTTTTAGCTATTATAAATTAATTAAAACTAAAATAATTTATTTATTTATTTAAAAATAAATGGTCTTTTGAAAGAAATGAAAGAATATAAAAAAAATTTTTTATTTTATTTTCTGACAATTAAATATTCATATTAAATTATTTTAAAAAATCAATAAATTTAAGTTTGATTGTCCAAATTTAAATTGGAAATATATTGAATTTTATTTTTTAATTTTACACAATATGTTAAATAAAATAGACTGAATTAACAGATTAATGAGGATTCAAGAGAAAAATGGCTCATTTATGAAGATAATGAATTTAATACTTTTAGAAATATTTTGAAGTAGGTAATTGTATTTTAACTTTTATTTTAATTTATTTAAAATTTTATTTAAAACTAATAAATTATATGTTTATAAATTAAATTAAATAAAAATTTAATAAATATTTTAATATAATATTTATTGTAAATTATATATTTATATATTTAGTAACTAACTATCTAACTACTATAATAATTTCTTTATTCTTAATTTAATTGTTTCACTTTATAAAATATTTTTTCTTTTTATTTTATTAGAAATGGATTTTATCTTATTTTTAAGAATTTTTTAAATAGCTTTTCATTTAGCTTTAAAAAAGACAGTATTTAATCAATTTATTAGTTCCCTTGAATGGTTGGTGAGAATAGTTTTTAATTTATAATGAATTCTTTTTTTTAATATTTTTTATGATTGTCTTATTTAAGTTTGCTATATCTACTTTACTTTGTGACTTGTTAAAGAGTTAAAAATAAATCTAATTAGATCTATCGATTAAAAACAATAAGAAATACGATTTATTTGATAATTTATTTAATTAAATATCAAAAATATCTTATTATTTTATTTGTTTTTCTTTGTTACTTAGATTTATTTGTTTTCAAAATGAAAAAAGTTAGCACAATTGAAGAAGCTTCAAAAATTTCTAATAAGGCTCAAATAACTGACGTAGTCTTTAAGGGTCAAAAAATAAGTATGTTTGATTTCAGTGCTTTTAGCAAGGTTTAAAGAATAGATTGCAGTGATAACTAAATTGATGACATTTCAGTAAAAATAAATTTATTTATTAATAATTGCGATGATTAAAAAATTATTTAACATAAATAAGTCTTTAGCAAAGCTTAAAGAAATGACAAATGTCAATTTTAGCAAGAACTCAATTACTAAAATGCCTGAATTTGTCTCAGTATAATAATTGGTCGTTTTAAATCTTGGTTACAATTAAGTAGAAATTTAATTTTTATCACAATATAAAAAATTATTATCAAAATGTAAATAAAAGATCAAACAAATCGAAGGATTAGATAAGCTTGTAAATTTAAAGGCATTGATTTTAAATAATAACGAAATTACTTCTATTACAGGAATATCTAAATTGGCTAATTTGAATACTTTAAGTAATTTATTTGCTTTAAATTATATGAAAGTTCACAAATAAAACATATTTTTTTAAAACTAATAAATAGTTCTATCAAATAACAAGATTAAAAAAATAGAAAATCTTATTCATCCTTAATTAGAAAAAGTTAATCTTTCTCATAATTAGATTAAGGTAGATTAGTTTTTTATAAAAGTGTTAAAATATTCACATACATTTTCATAAAAAGGCAATTGAAGGATTCGAAAAGCTTTAACAACTTAAGGAAGTTAAATTAAATGAAAATCAAATCAAAGAAATCCCTGAAAATGCGTTTTAAAACAACAGCAAGCTTCGTATTCTTGATCTTGGAAAGAATCTTATTTCGAAATAAGAGTAAATAAATAAATATTCATTATAAATTAAACTATTGATAATATTTTTTGAATTAAAAAGAAACTTAGAAGGTTTGCAATAATTAAAATGTTTGTCTAACTTTAGTTTATTGAGTAATCCTATCTTAGAAAATATTACTCCTGAAGAAATCCATGAAATAGTTCCATCTCTCGAAATATTTAACAATAAAAAATTGGTAGAAAAGGTTACTCAAGTAGAAAAAAGAGGTCATTTAACTAAGGAAGAAAAAATTAAAAAGAAATTTGAAAAGAGACATGAAAAGAGATAGCAACTTGGGCTTCCAGAACCTGAATAAAAGTAGGGAGCTGATGAAACTGTTAAAAAATAAAAAGGAAATGATGGTAAAGAATATAAAAAGGACTTTAAGAAGGACTTTAAAAAGAATACAAATGACTCTAAAGGATACATGAAAAAGAATTCTTAAATTGATGAATAAGAAGAACTCAAAAAAATATCTTAAAAGTATTTCAAATAAGATAATGAAGATGAACCTCAAAAACCTCTATTTAAACATGAGCAATTAAGCAAAAAAGAAGCCAAAATCTAAGAAAAGCACTAAGAAAAAATAAGAAAGAATAGCAACTAATCATTTAAAAATGAAGATGAAGAAAATGACGAAAACGAGCTAGACGATCTTGAAAATCTCCAAAAATAAATACAAAAAGCATAAAAAAATCAAGAGAAAAAGAACTTTAAAAATGTAAGAAAATATATTTAATAGAAAATATTTTAAATCAAATATATAAAATAGGACAAAAAAGAAGGTCAAGAAGGATAACATAAAAAGAAGACAGCTATTCAAAAAATTGAATTCAACTCAGCAGCTATTAAAAAGCAATCACATATCAAGTAATATTCTCATGTCTAGAAGAAAGAATAAAAGAAGAAAGAAAAGTTAAAATAAGCATTAGGATTTGATGACGGTAATAAAAAGGCATCAACATGGGATGATTGATTTCTATCTTGAAAATCAAAAAATTAAATTGTTTCACTTGATAAACAAATAAAATTATAAATATTATTGTACAAAAAATGTATATCATTATTTATAAATGCAATAAAAATTGTTATAAGTAGGTATTCAATTTACAAGAAATAAGTTTAATTTTTACTAATTAATTAAATTAAATTTTGGAAAAATTAAAAACTATTTATTAATTAATTTGTTAAGTTTACAATATAAATTTATATAATTTTAGTTTGTTTTTATTAAAAATTAAATATTTTTATTACCAATATTTAATAATATAACTTTTAGAAAATTAAATTTCAATATAATTAAGAAATTTTTTAGATAGATCAATCAAAACATTCTTTATTTTTTTTTATACTTTTCATATTTAAATCTTATCATGTTTTAATGCGTTAATTCTATTTAAGAAGATTTTTTTATGAAATAATTATCTATATCACATTTATCCTATTTTGCTTTTCTCATTTATTAAATATTTGTAATAATTTATTGAATCAGAGCTATTAATAAATATAAAGGTTGCAATCCAATAACTATAAATATAGTGATTAGAAATGATTAGCAAACTGTATCTAAATTATCTACAAAGCTACTGCTAAATTCATTCTTTTAGATATAAAAGTTTATAATTAAATATTATATATAGAATACTAACCAAACAAAACTATTTATTATAGAATATAGGTTAGTTAACATTGATAGAAAGGGCCTATAATAAATGAAAATGATTAATTCTATAGATGTAATTGTTATAGATAATATCAAAGCAATTAACCAAAAAGAGCTCAGTTAAATAATTACCGTTGGAAATAATATATTTTCCAAGAAGAAACAAACATAATAAACATTTCTTCTTATCTTACAATCAAAAATAGCACCATTTAATAATTTTTCTCTATTTATCTCATCAAAACTAAGATTATCATAATCTTTCTTTTTAATTTTATTTAACACCTAAATTTACTAAGAAAACAAAATTATAGAGAGATAAGCCAGTAAGATTACCAAAATGACTTTTTATAATAATAATCCAATAGACTCACTAATAAGAAAAAAAGATTTTATTTATTGATTAATACCTACTACAAGCATAGTAATTACCAGTTAACAGAATTAGATAATAATGTTGCTGATTAATCTTTGATAGACGATCTTTGATTTTTACTGGATTGTATTTTGGTCATTTAACTTTTCTACAAGCAAATAAAATGAAATAAAGACAAATAAACAGATTCCAAAAACGAATAAGGTATGTCCACATGATTATAATATGTTAAATGAAAGGTTGACAAGTTTATATCTAGAATCTTAAAATTAAGTGTCACTTTGATCCAATATGCTTTCATAAGCATTTAGGTATTTATATTACATGGATGGAAATGAAGATTTAAATTCAATAAACACTTTAGATATTTAAGCAGGTAATTTTGTATTTATAAGGATATGATAGCTAACTTTTTAAGAATTTAAGCCGGTAGCAACTAAACTAAAGCTTGATGATGATATCATAGATAGAATTATGCTTGAAGTTATAGAGCTTGCAAAAGAAATTTAACCTCCTGTTTGAAAATATTATTAGGTCTATTCAATCTTCTAATTACTGAAGTAATTTGAATGATAAGTATCATATTATTACTCGCAAAAGCTTTAAAAGAGTTAAGAGTTTTCAGTGCAACTTAAGCATTGATTCTTATTTTCTCCAAAGCATGTTTAGCAAGTTTGATCACAAGGTAGGCATTATATATTTTTTTTAAAATAACCTTTACTTGTTAAGCAAGTACGGCAAGTGTTATCTGTAAATAAATATTTCTAATCAGGACAAGTTAAGCAGTCAGTGATCAAAGAGCCTTTACATGTTTTGCATCCAGGATTGCAAGGAATGCATTTAGTATTTCTAATAAAGAAACCATCTTAAGTATTACAATATTAACAAGAATAATCTGGTAATAAAAATTTCCCAACTGGGCATGTTAGGCAATCATTAGGTAGAGGTCCTGAACAACTTGAGCATTTACCAAAGCATTTATTGCATTTTATACCATCTATAAAGTATCCATTAAAGGTATCGCAATCTTAGCAAGATCGATCTGATTGTAAATATTTCCCTAAAGGACAAGTTAAACAGTCGGTAGGTAGAGGGCCTTTGCAACTTTAGCATAGAGCATTACATTTTAAACATTTCATTCCACTTATAAAGAATCCATTTTTTGTATTGCAATTTTAGCAAGAGTTATCTGCAAACAAGTATTCACCTTTCGGGTATGTTAGGCAATTAGTAGGTAGAGGTCCTTGGCAATTATAGCATTGAGGATTACATTACAAGCACTTAAGCCCATCTATATAGAACCTATTTAAGGTGTCACAGTTATTACAAGAGTTATCTGCGAACATATATTTACCTGAGGGGCATGTGAGGCAATCAGTTGGTTGATTTCCTTTACAACTTTAACATTTAGGATTGCACGTCTAACAAGAATTATCTTAAAAAAGATATTTACCAGTTTAACAAGCTAAACAATTAGTTGATAAAGGACCTTTACAAGTCAAGCAACCAGCATCGCATTTTAAGCACTGCTTGCAAATCATAGTCTAAGGGTCTATTAAAAAAAATATTGTTTAGTATTAAATAAGAAAAATTAATCTGGCAGTTAATACATTGGGCTAATAAAATAAAAATATTTTTATGTACAAATTCAATAATAATTTAATCTTAGTACTTCCACTAACAAAAGTATTAGAAGGGCAACTTGCTAAGCACTAATTCTAATACAAAAAAACTCCAGCATTACATGTTTGACAATTATTATTAGATCCTTTTAATGTTATTTAATAAAAAATATGTTTAATTTTGCAAAATAATTAAAACAAATTTACCTCCAAAACAAGTCAAGCAACTTGAATCACATTTTTAACATTTAGTACCATCACTGTAATAATTTGTAGCAGGACAATTACTTACACAGGTCCAACCACCATTATTATATAGTAATTTTCCAGGTGGGCAAGTAATACAATCAGTATTATCTAATAATTAATTAATTTGTTTATTTATCGATTTCAATATAAAAACTAAAGAAATTTACTTGGGCCACCACAAGTAGCACAAGAAGCATCACAATCATGACATTCTCTATTTTAATCTATGTATGTAGTTGTTGGACAAGTTACATAACAAGATCCTTTGTATAAATAGTGTGTGATATCACATTACAAGCATGCTGTTGGATTGCACGATATACACCATTAACTACACTTTAGTTTGAAATAAAAATGAGTTTTTATTGGCATTTAATAATAATAATTTTGATTTTTACTTGGATTAAAATTACAAATAAATTTCTCAGACCATAAGATTTTTATGATGAATTTAAAGAAAGTGTGGCCTTTATTTCTAAATTAAGAGTAGGACTTGTATGTATTGCAGTTTTGTCTACATAAAAAACCAAATCCATAAATTTTTCTAATCCGCACAATTTATCTATAGTAATGGCTTCATTTACCATGAAATTGGAAGCCTATTAACCATCATAATTAATGTAAATGTATTCTTTATCCCAATTATCTATAGCTACGAATGTAAAACCAACTCTTATTTAAGAATGAGGAGGCCTAAAAATGTTTAAATTAAAAATTAAAAATATCATTATTAATATAAATAAAATTTTATTTTTACAGTTAAGTAAAAGTTCTTTTAAATGATGCATTACTTGCAGCTAACATATAGCCACCAATATAATAAACTCCATTACAGACAGATGTATAAGCTCCAGAACTTGTTACTGTACCGTATCCGTTTCCTTCTAAACCAGTAACTGTTAGTCCACCAGCAGCGATTTCACTTTCAGAAACAAAAGTTTAAAATAGAGCTTTAAGTAGATACATCCCATCTAAAATAAGAATAGTTAATTTTTTGGATAATTTTTTTTAAAAATTACTTGATGGCAGTATATCTTAGCAAACATTTCCTTATTTAATAGTATAAGTAGGGCAGGTAGCTACGCATTAATTATATAGTAAATAAAAACCAGATTTGCAAGAAGTGCATGATTTTGTTGTATTGTCACACGTAGCACAAACAGATGCATCACAATAATCTTAAACACATATTAATAAAGTAGGTTCTCCTCTTGATCCAGAAGGACAGGTAGGTACACAAGATGTTTAGTAAGCAAAACCTGTTGTACATTAACATTAACCATTATTAGCAACAGCTCCTGTTATACATGTGAGACATTAATTCTGTATTATAAAAATTATAAAGTTGAATTTAATAGTAATTTATTTTATTTATGTTATCAATAAGTTATATATAATTTTAGCATGATTTTGCCACATTTCTCAAAGAGTAAAAATTTAAAGTTAAAGGATAGCAATTAGAAAGAAATATTATAAAATACAATCAATTACTAGGAAAATAAATATATTAGTTAATTCCTTATACTAAAAAAATTTTTATTTTCAAATTAATAATATTTTTTGAGCTTTTATTTTTAAGAAAAGAAATATTAAGCTCATTCAGCATGAAAGATATTCCTAATTTTTTTTTGTAATTTGATTTTTTTAGGTATTTTTTATAAAAAAAAAATTTTGTTTAATTTTATTTAACCCTTAAAATTAAATAAAATAATTTATGGTTTAAAATTTTAATTAAATTATATTTTATATTTTATAAATGCTGCATATGTTTATTAATATTTAAATGAAATTAGATCTATATTAGAATTTAATTATTTTATATTAAAATGTACATTTGCAGGTCCAGAGCAAGTTTAGCATCCAGGATAACAAGTATCTATTTCAATATATAGCTCACTTAATGCAAATCCTCCTGTTGATGCATAAGTAGAAATAGATGATTAAAATGCTAAGGTAAATGTATTTGCTGAATGAGTAATATTTTTATAAAATTAATAAAGGTAATCATATTTTGTTAGGCAAAGTATTTTTCCAAGATTTTAATTGGCTGCTTTTTGATATTAACCCTACATAGTTCCATCCATAAACACTTAGATGTTATCACTAGCTGCAAAATTCCTTATTGTGTAGATATTTACTCTTACAGACAAACTCGAATGTGGTTAAGTAATGGTGTAAGTCTTTTGAATGTTTTAGTTATTCATTTTATCAATAATACCATACATCAACTATTTGTTTCTGTTAACATAATCTAATGATGTACATTTAATTGTGAGACTAGGCCATCCTTAGATAGAGGATGCAGTCATTTCTAACTGAAATTCATCACTTATTAATAAACCATCTATATAAAATGCTAATTTTAGTATAATTTTTACAAAATAAATTACCAGAATAAATATCCCGCAGGAAAAAAAAGATGATTAGTAGAATTTAAAGTTGAATTTTCATTTTGTCTAAGTAATTCTTAAATCTAAAGTAATTTCAGAAAATTAAATTAATTATCCTTTTTATTCGAACTTTTGTTCTATTTCTATTAACACAAATAAAATGTAAATTATCAATTTGTATTAATAAAAAAAGTATCTTTATAAAAATAGTCGATAAATATACACAAAATATTAACCACTGAATTATAAAAAAATGTATAAATAAACTTTGATGTTTTAAGCTGATTTCGTATTATTCGTATTAAAAAATTAATTTTTTGTTGTTAAAAGTCTATTCCTAATAAATCAATTAAAGCCTATTTAATCTTTACATTGTTTTTAGCAAGCCTCTAAAAAAATATAAAATTCATAGTAAAGCAAATAAAAATCATTTATTAAAATAAAAAATATAATTTAATATCATTTTAATAGCTAAACATCTAAAATCAATTTGATTTATTTAATATAAAATATTAATAAAATAAGCTAAATTTTATGAATTGAATGTTAAATTATTAAAATATGAATTTAAACAATTTGACACAATAAAGTAATATTGAAATATTTATTAAGATTTTTCTATTTTAGATGGAATCTTATTTAATATAAATTTAAATAATACAAAATATTCCCTTTACTTTAATTAAATAAATTATCTTTTAATTGGTTCGATTTAATTATATCCACAAATAAATTTAAAATTTTGACTAAATAAACTAATTTAGTTAATAGAAAACCTCAATTATTCTGACTATTATTAGTCTAAATTTAAATCAGAGTTATTAAATTCCTCAGAACCTCTTTAATTTATGTGAATTGCAAATTATGAGATAAGAGGGAATATAGTTAATTACTTTTAATAATTAATGTCTATTGATAATTTAATTTCATATTTATCTAATTTACAATTATATGATTAATTACCTGCTTCTTAAATTTTCATGAATTGCAAAGAAGTTAATATTATCAATAGATTATGAGAAAAGTACAATTATGATCTGTAATGTATAGATATTAATAATAGGATCTATATTCTGTAATTTTGATTATTTCTAATACACACTTTTTCAAAATTAATTATTATAAAAAATGTTTAAAATAATACAACAGCCACAAACCTTAATTTATTTATTACCAAATCTATTATTTAATCAGTAAATGCTAAGGCTATTCAAGTTTATATTATCTATAAAAAAAGAAATATATTTAATTTACCATTTTTTTCTTATTTTTTATTTTCTATCAAAAAAAAAAAATTTAAAATGTGTTTTAGTCAAAATTATGATTGAAATAGATTTGGATATAACAATTATCATTTCCAACTCCTTTTACCAATAGGTAATTTTATTTTGATAAAATGTTAGAAAAATAATTTATATTAATTGATAGAAGTGTACTTAAGTAATATTAAGAATTTTAACAATTATTGCTTGTAAGTGCTATCTTATATAATCAATAATTTTTAAGGGTAAATTATATATTAATATAAATTTTAAACTAATTAATATAAGGTAATTTGCTTAATTTGTAGTTTATTTAATAAAAAATTCATTTTTTTTAGTTTTAAAAAATATTTTACAGTTAAAAACTTCTTACTTTTATATTGTCTAAAAGGAAATTAAAGCAAGTTTGAATTTAACTAAGTATGGTTGTTTGACTGGCATTAAGAGTTTAATTTATAAATTATTTAATTTCTTAGTTTATATGAAGCTTTTTAATATATGCTAACTACTGATATTCTAAAGAAATATTTTACTAGTATTTCATGTGTGAATAATTTTATGAATATCAATAAAACATTTTAAATTTTTTATAATTCGAGGAATTTTTGTAAATTAATATAATTTCATCAAAAAATAATTAGAGCTATTCTTGCATAATAATTTTGTGGATAAGAAAAATATAATTAGTAGAACAATAAATATTGTTTTATAAATAAAGAAAATTTAAAAGAAATAAATAAAAAATATGTCTTTAAGCAGTTTAGAATCTGATGGAAGAAAAAAAATAAAAAATTGTTTAATTTAAGATTTAATTTGCTTTTTAATGAAGAAATCTATATTTTTATATCAAACATTTAATCTTGAATTAATTTTTTTTAACTGAAAATAAAAAATTTCTTTTTTGATAGGCTCACTTAAAATCAGAAAATTTAATAAAAAAATATTTTTCAACAAAAATTCATTTTTTAAATAAAAAAATTCGTATTTGTTGTATATTTTGATAATCATAAGAAAAATATAAATTAATTTTTGAAAATATTAAAAACTATTTATTAATGAATTTGTTAAGATGACAATATAAATTTATTTAATTTTAGTTTATTTTTATTACTAAATTAAATATTTTTATTATATTTTTGTTACTAATCTTTATTAAGATTACTTTTTTGAAAATTAAATTTCAATATAATTAAGAAATTTTTTAAATTAATCATAACATGCTTTATTTTTTTTAATTATATTTATATTTTTTATATTTAAATCTTATCATGTTTTTTTGAGTTAATTCTATTTAGGAAGATTCTTTTATGTAATAATTATCTATATCATTTTTATCCTATTTCATTTTTCTCATTTATTAAATAATAGTTATAATTTCGAGGATCAGGTTTATTAATATATATAAAGGTTACAATGCAATAACTATAAATAAAGTGATTAGAAACGATTAGCAAATTGTATCTAAATTATTTATAAAGCTACTGCTAAACTCATTCTTTTAGATATAGAAGTTTATAATTGAGTATTATATGTAGAGTGCTAACCATATAAAACTGTTTAATATGGAATATATGTTCGTTAACACTGATATAAAGGGCCTATAATAAATAAATATGATTAATTCTATAGAAGTAATTGTTATAGATATTACCCAAGCACTTAACCACTAAGAGCTCAGTTAAATAATAACTGTTGGAAATAATATATATTCGAAGAAGAATGAAATAAAATAAACATTTCTTCTTATCTTACAATCAAAAATAGCACCATTTAATAATTTTTCTCTATTTATCTTATCAAAGCTAAGTTTATCATAATCTTTCCTCTTAAATTTGTTTAACATCTAAATTTACTATTAAAACAAAAATATAGAAAGAGAGGCGAGTAGGATTACCAATAGGACTTTTGTTAATATTAATCCAATAGACTCACTTACTAGAAAAAAAGATTTTATTTATTGATTAATACCTACTACAAACATAGTAATTACCAGTTAAAAGAATTAGATAATAATGTTGCTGATTAGTCTTTCGTAGATAGCCCTTGAATTTTACTGTATTTTATTTTGGTCATTTAATTTTTCTACAAGAAAATAAAATATAATATAGACAAATAAACAGATTGCAAAAATGAATAAGGTATGTCCACATGACTATAAAATGTTAAATGAAAGGTTGACAAGTTTGTATCTAGAATCTTAAAATTAAGTATCACTTTGATCCAATATGCTTTCATAAGCATTTAGGTATTTATATTGCATTGATGGGAATTAAGATTTAAATTGAATAAGCACTTTATATATTTAAGCAGGTAATTTTGTATCGATAAGGATATGAAAACTAACTTTTTAAGAATTAAGACCATTAGCAACTAAGCTAAAGCTTGATGATGATATCGTAGTCAAAAGTATGCTTGAAATTATAGTGCTTGCAAATGAAACTTATATTCCTGTTTGAAATTGTTATGAGGTCTATTTTATCTTCTAATCATTGAAGTAATTTGAATGATAAGTATCGTATTATTACTCACAAAGATTTTAAAACAGTTAAGAGTTTTCATTGCAGCTTAAACATTGATTCTTATTTTCTCCAAAGCAAGTTTAGCAAGCTTTATCACAAGGAAGGCACTATATATTTTTTTTAAAATAACCTTTACTTGTTAAGCAAGTACGGCAAGTGTTATCTGTAAATAAATACTTCTAATCAGGACAAGTTAAGCAGTCAGTGATCAAAGGGCCTTTGCATGTTTTACACCCAGGATTGCAAGGAATACATTTAGTATTTCTAATAAAGAAACCATCTTAAGTATTACAATATTAACAAGAATAATCTGGTAATAAAAATTTCCCAACTGGGCATGTTAGGCAATCATTAGGTAGAGGTCCTGAACAACTTGAGCATTTACCAAAGCATTTAATGCACTTCATACCATCTATAAAGTATCCATTAAAGGTATCGCAATCTTAGCAAGATCGATCTGATTGTAAATATTTCCCTAAAGGACAAGTTAAACAGTCGGTAGGTAGAGGGCCTTTGCAACTTTAGCATAGAGCATTACATTTTAAACACTTCATTCCACTTATAAAGAATCCATTTTTTGTATTGCAATTTTAGCAAGAGTTATCTGCAAACAAGTATTTACCTTTCGGGCATGTTAGACAATCAGTCTCTAGTGGTCCTTAGCAATTTGAGCATTAAGCATTACATTTTAAGCATTTTATACCACTTATAAAGTATCCATTTAATATATTACAAAATTAGCAAGAATTATCTGGAAATAAATATTTATCTTTAGGACAAGATGTGCAATTTGTATGAAGGGATCCTAAACAATTTGAACATTAAGGATGGCATTTTATGCATAAATTATCTTTGATAAAAAATCCATTTAGAGTATCACAATTTGAGCAGGATTTATCAATAAATAAATATTTGCCTGCAGGGCATGTAAGGCAATTAGTAGGTAGAGGTCCTTGGCAATTATAGCATTGAGGATTACATTACAAGCACTTAAGCCCATCTATATAGAACTTATTTAAGGTGTCACATTTATTACAAGAGTTATCTGCAAACATGTATTTACCTGAGGGGCATGTAAGGCAATCAGTTGGTTGATTTCCTTTACAGCTTTAACATTGAGAATTACACTATTTACAATTAATACCGTCTATGAAATATCGATTATTAGTGTCACAATTATTGCATGATTTATTTTCAAATAAATAAAGACCTGTTTTGCAAGTTAAGCAATTATTATATGAAGATCCATCACAGGTTTAACAATTTGCACTACATAGAACACATTTTTAACCTTGTATAAAATATCCGTTTGTATCACATGACTAGCATGAATTATCTGGATGCAGATATAATCCATCAATACAGGTTAGACAATTATTTAAATTAGGACCATTACATGTTTTGCAGCTAGAACTGCATTAAGAGCATTAATTACCATTTTAATAATAGTTACTTTTACAAATACATTATGATCCTTATTGAATTTATCCAGATTAATCACAAGTTAAGCAAGAATTATCTTAAAAAAGATATTTACCAGTTTAACATGTTAAACAATTAGTTGATAAAGGACCGTTACAAGTCAAGCAACCAGCATTGCATTTTAAGCACTACCCTTAACTTACATAATAGCCAGTTTAGCAAATGCATGATTTGCTATCAGCGGATTGAGTAAACCCATAAGAGCAAGTACAAGAGTTTGCTTAAGGTGAATAAACAGCATTTGAGTCACAATAGCATTTATTTTTAGAATTATCAAGATATGAAAAGGAAGGGCAATTAGAGTTACTACATGTAAAATCTAATTGAATATGTTAACCTGATACGCAATTAAAGTTCATTGCATCTCGGATATCTAGGAGATAATTTGCTGATTTATCTTTATTCAAAAATATTGTATAACCTTGCTAGAAATTTAAATTGTAAAAGGGTTCGTTAACTAGTAAGTATTCATGGTTTTAAGTGACGGTTTTTTCATAACCTATTACTGAATTGGTTTACGGAGCGTAAGCTATATTCCAAACATATCCTTTGCTTGGATACATTATATTTTAATATTATATTATAGTCTACGAATTTGTATTATCTTCAAAACTACTAAAACCCCTATTTATCATTTGTAAGTTTGTAACATCAAATACTTCATATTTAATATATAAACTACTTTTTTTATCAAGAATCCTAGTAAAAATTAGCTATTTTCTGTTGGACTCAAAAACTTTTGTTAATATCAAATTTGTTTTATCAGAACCAACAAAATAACTGTATTTGCATGAAAATGTCTAAGTATCAACTGCTAAATTAGCTATGCAAAATGTTGAGTAGTCAAGAAGAAATAAATCATAATTTAGATCAATCAATTTATAAATTGTATAAGGCAAAGAAACAAACTTTGTAAATATATTTCCTTTGTAACATAGGACATAAGGATATAGCATAATATAATCTTAGGTCATGTCTAATTAGCTGTAAGATTAACTTGCTTTTGATGCTTATAATTAAGCTATTGATTATTCGTAAAAAAAAATCTTGGGATTTGAACAAATATAAAAGTAGTATGACCCATATTTTCTGATCATATTAACTTATGTGCATTAACTGTTCAAAATAACAGAATTTATCTATAAATAATCAGGTTTCTAGCTAGTAAGTTTAGTTAAATCTATAATTTAGAAATTTAGATTGTTTTATGTATAGAAGTTGAGAAAATTATTTTATTCAATGAAATACAAAGACTAAGCTAAATCTTAAAACCCATTCAAGATATATGTTTATGTTATAGATCCAGACAAGTCATAAGTGCTATATCTCCATTTATCTTCAGGGAGCTTTTTATAAACTATTGCAGATTATTCTTAAATCTAATAGACATTCCCATCTACTTAAATGGGTAATATGTCTGGATCTGCTGTTACAGTAAGAATTAAATTTAGAATTGTTAAAAAATAAAAAAACTTGGCTGATTAACAAGTTTCTGTCATTATTATTTTCTTTTTCTCTTCAATTTTAGATTATTTTTTGAAAAAATTTCTTTTATAGCAAATTAAATTAGAAATTTTATATTTCTGAAGGAAATACAAATTATTTTTGCTAAATATTAATAAATATTTGTTTGTATTCATCTCTTGATTATACTAGATGAGGAATATGGATGAATAGAAAATAATTAAAAATTTTTCAGAATAAATACGAAATTCAATTTATATATTTGAACAAATGTAATAAGTGTAAACTGTTGTAAACAATACTATCCATAATTTGATTTAAATATAATTATTGATTTAATAATTTCTTTTACAAAATATTTATGGAGGGAGTGTAGAATTTTATTTTATTAAGATTTGATTAACTTTAGAAACCAATTACTCAATTCATATTTTTATTGTGATTGCAATTTTTGCTTTTAAAATCCCCACCAAATAATAAGCACAAATGAAATTATTTGATAAAAGCAATTCAGTATATAATCTTTATTGACGTCAATCATTTTTTAACTTTTCAATAAAAAGCTGTAAACATACAAATAAGTAAAAACCAATAAAAAAATAACTTCCTTTTAAATTTATGTTTGTCCAAAAAAACTTCTATTATAATTCTTGCTCATTTTATATGAATTCATCTTGAACTTAAGGATAATTTTTAATTTATTGTATAGATTTCACAAATTTGCTCATTTTAATAAAAAATTTACAATTTGTACAAAATTTACTAATTTATATTTACTTTTTTTTATTAATCATCATAAAAAAGATACTATTTATCAGAATGAAAAGTAGTAATTTTTTAAGTAATAACATCAATAATTAAATTTAAATAACTATTTATATGTATAAAATTTTATTTTATTATAGAAACCTTTAGTATTTGTCTATCTTTAAGAATTACAATTAATTATTGGTTCATTAAACTTATAAGAGTTTAAAATTAATTAATAAAAAAGAAATTATGAAATTTAACATTTAAATCCAAGATGAAATATCAAAAAAAAAACTTATTAGTTATAATAATTTACTATTAATTTGTTTCTTATTTCAAATCAAAAATAAAAATTGTCATTTTGTATTAATTTTTGATATTTCAATAAAAAAGAATTTTCTCATTTAAATATAATTTATAGATGCTTAAAATTTTCAAATATTTTGGTAAGTGAATAGTGTCTTCAAGCAAAGAGGTAATTAATTAATTTTATTTGATATAAAGATAATTCAATTGAACTAAAGATAGATAGTGATTTCTTAGCATTTAACAATAATAATTTCAACCTATTAAAGACTTCAATTACTAATTAAAATACAAAACAAACAAAAAATATTCAAAAGTAAGTATTCTCTGTTTACATAAAATTAATATTTATATTGGCTAAAAATTGGCATAAAAATAATATTAATTTCTAGGAAAAATTAAAAATTATAAAGTTAAATAAAAATAAGTATTATATAAATGTCAATTAGGTAATTCTTTTATTTTTGTTTAATTGTTATTTGAGTAAAAATTTATATCAAATAGTATTACCATGAATAACAAAATGCAATAAATTTTTATTAGTTAAATTTCATTTACACAATAGTAGGTTTTTAATTTAAATTTCAATTAATTAGTTTTTATTCTAATTTTTTCAAAAAATTAAAGGACCAACATTTTTTATTAGTAGAGCTTTTTAAATTAACCCTCCACCATAAAAGATAAAAAGAATTCAAATAACCAAAAAACTGAAATGTTTTTTTTGATCTTTTGTTAGTTTTATAATTATCTATAAAACTCATTTTAGCTTAAGTTGTGAAATAATAATTATATTAATTAAGAATATCTTACTTGTTTTAGTATTTATGAATGATAAATTTGTTTTCAATCAAAACATATAATTTAAAAAAGGAAAGCTTAACCATATAATAAATATTTTACTTATGGTAAATAATCATAATCAGAAATAAATAGCATTTTTAAAAGAATTATTAATAATTTAGAAAATTCTTGACTTCAAAAGATAAAATTTAAAAGATTTGATTATAATGTAAAATGATAAAAAAATAGATTTAATAAACTACTCTTAGGTTTTTAACAATAATAATACATTTAATAATATAATTCATGAATTTGTTTATTTTATTTTAAAATTACAATAATAATGCATTTATTATTTTATTTTTAATAAATTAAAATGTTAAAACAAAAAAAACTTTACAATTAAAACAATAAAATTTAATGAATTAGAAAAATAAATTACTCAACATTGTAAAAATAAATATAAATATTTTGATGAAAATAAAATAATTGCTAATATTTATTATTTTTGAAAGATATCACTAAATAAATCCAATTAAGATGAGAAATAAATATCTAATTTCTAATTTTTAAAAAATACATTCTTCTTTTTATTTTGTCAGAAAAAATAAATGGATTTGAGTAGGTAGATTGAATAAATTTTAATCTAAAGTAAAGAATAAGAAAAGAGAGTTTTTTAAGGGAATAAATAATATTTTTATTTAAGTTTGCTAAAAATTAAATTAGATGATTGTCATTATAATTCTTTAAGTAGCAATAAATATACAACAACATAATCATAATAGATAGCTAATTAATTGATGAATGAATGATAATAGTCAAATAAAATATTTAAAGGAAGAGAAGAAATATATATGACTATCATGCAAACAAGATATATAAAAATGAATTATTAATTAATTAACTAATAATCAATCAATTTAATCAAATTAACATTAATAGTTTTGTTATAGTAAAATAATTAAAAAAAGTTAAATAACCTTTAATTGTTTTTTAATAAAGAGGTAGGTAGGTTTAAGTAAATAATTAGATAGCATGCAGCAAAATTCTAATTTTAAAGATGAAAAATTAGAAGACTAAATTCAGCAAAAAGAAAATAAGGTGATACAAAAGCTCCAATATAATTAAAGCCTAGTCTAAGTAGAAACTCTACTACATAGTTAAGTATCTAACTAGCAATCAGATGAAAAGATTATGAGCTTAAACATAAAAATTTCTCCTCAAAATACAATATCTTTTAATTCGATTTTACCAAACGACTCTTTACTTAGTTTGCTTTTAAGGCCAAATGTCACAATATTGGAAATATTCACACATGCAGATTTTGTTTAAACATTAGAATAATCTAACAATTCGCTAATTGAGAAGTATAGCAACTTTTCATATTTTAAGTGATTCTGAATTGATGTTTTTAGTTTTAAACTCATTAATGCTTTTGCCGAAGATTATGAGGAATATATATTAACTAATTACAAATTCACAAACAATTTAAATAGGATAAAATATTTTATTTAATTATCTTTTCTATTTTATTTTAATTAGAATATGTGCTCATATGAAGGAAATCATAGACTTTATAAAGGTAGAAGATTAGTCTAAGGATGAACGAAATTCAGCTAATAAAACTTGTCAATCAGAATATGTTAACTATTTCTTGTAATCATTAATTACTAATTTAAGTCAAGCATAGCAATTATCGTTAAAAAAGCTCATTTCATTTTACAAAATAAACATCTTATTTAAAAAAATCTAGCCAATAAAGTTAAAAGTGCCAAAATAAACAAAAAATTAATTTAAAAAAAGGTTGTCTCACCATGCAGCCGATGTTATTAGCTCTGATTAAAAGGAAATCTCCTACATGTTTTTCCCACCAAAAGATAAAGTTGCAAAAAATAAAGGGGCAGAAACCTTTTATAATTTGTATTCATATAAAGATTAACTGCTGGTACATGCAACATCTGCTAATGAGAGTGACAATTCTTATCCTTCTCCTATTTTAAATTCTTTCAGTGAATAAGGAAATAAGTATATTAAATAATCAAGCTTTTTAGAAGATGTGTCAGTAGAACCAAACATTTAGAAGCGAAATTATTAAAAATCTCAATAATACTTATAAACATTAAATTTATCATCATCTCAACAAAGCAATTTGTAACTATTGTGTGATGGGGATGATGAAGAAAAACATTAAGTTGATTTCCTTTTGTATTTCTTGAGTCTGTTATTTGATTTTAAAACAACTTCAAACTCTATTTCTATTTCCTACTTCTACTAAGTCTTCCTTAATTTCTTCAACAGAAACATGAAAGAAGTACACATTTTAGTTTTAAATTTCTAAAAGTTATATTTTTTTCTTTATAAATATAGATGGAATATTACATATTTGAGAAAATTCCTTCGTTCTGTGATCGACTAGTTTGTATGGTAGACGACCAAACAATAATGGATTTAATTTTACTTATTATAAATTAACCTAAATAGTTATTTGAGGTAGATGCACCGAGTCAAAGTGCTCTGCCTAAAGATCTTCTTTAAGAAAAGAAGTAAGATGAAGAAGAAATTAGAATTTAATTTCATTTTCAAAAAAAATGCGAATTGATTGAAGGGATTTTTGATAATTTATAAAATAATTTTTAAAACTAATAAATAATAAAAAATTCTGGCAATAATATTAGTACTAATGCAGATGCTTCTTCTGCTTTGCCTGAGTCATAAAATATAGATGAAAAATAGAAGCAGAAATCTGAAAGCATCTGCTAAGAATAGAATTTAGAGTAAGATATTTTATTTTGGAAGATGAAAAATAGTAGCATGATAATTTGTGAAATCCTTGACCATTTTTAAGATATCAATAGAGGCGAGGATTTAGGTTTTTATATATTAAATTACCATTCATAAAAAGTATTTTAGTCACTTTCAAGCAATGTAAATAAATGATTAAAAACTGAATGTTTTCTTTAAGAAAATTCATTTTTATAGAATATAGATGAAATTAGCTTCAATAGTGATGTTGCTTAGCATCTTCTCGCTTTTCTCTAGAATGAGGACATTTAATTTCGCATAGAATTTGGTATTTAATTACAATTTTTATGAATAGCCCTAATTATTAATCAAAAATTAGAAACAATTAAAGGAAATAAAATCGTGGAGAAGTATTTCAAAGAATCCATTATCTCAATAAAAAGAGAATTGAATTTAGCACAAGTAAGCTTAAGATTACGAATTAATAATTAAAATAAAAATAATTTTATTTGAAACATAAACAATTTTATTATTCTAAAAGTAAAAAAAAATTGATTCATTTGATGGGCAGTTTGGTGAAAAAATTGCAATGTTTTAAGCTCATAGACTAAAGCTAATTAAATTAATAGAACTTGCTTTCTCATTTAAAATAAAGGAAGTTGTTTAGGAAATATTTGACTAAGAGATACTATAAATTATAATTGTAAAAATTTTTAGAGTGATTAATTAATAATTTACAAAATTATTTATTTATTTATATGGATTTTTATTCTTAATTTGTTTTAATTTTATTTCTTAAAAAAAGGTCTTATTTTTTTAGTATGAGTGGAACAATCAACTTCATTTAAATGTCTTACATTTGTTTGAAACTATTATTGAAGTTGCTTAACAAAATGATAACCCTTCTTGGATATTTTATGTAAATATTATTTATTTTTTTTGGATTTAAAGTGACAATTATAATTAAAAAGATTATCAAAAGAGTTAAACTAGTGAATTATATTATTTCAAATTCAGAAGTCACTACTAGGAGAATTACTAACCCTGTAACTCATGTAACAAAAGTAATACAAAAATCATATATTGGGCACTTGAAGAAACTAGCAGAAAGTGTTGTTAAATGTATTGAATAAAACAGTCACTATGAATGTTGGATAGAGGATTGTAATTTTTAAAAATTTTGAGTAAAATTTATTTTAAATTTAAATTTATTAAGAAAATAAATGGGCAGACTTAAATAAAATGGTCTAAGTACAGTAGAAAATATTGAAAGGAAAATTAGGAGAGGAAGAATAACCTAGCAAATAAAAATTTTAATTGAATTGTAATGCTAAATAATCACTTCTCAACAGAAGAAAATAGCTTATTGAAGGTAAAAAGGAATCAGAAAAATAAAACAATACTGGTAATTCTTCAAAAAATTAAGATGTCTTTTAGCGTTTGAATAGTCCTATCAAAAAAACTATAACGCTTTAAGTAGGAACTCCTAAATAAGTAAATTAAATTATTTTTCAATCATTTAATACTAATTTGAACATTTAAAATTGTTTTCAAAAACAATTAATTGTTTAAGATTATAATGATTTTATTATTTTTTAATTAAAATAAACTAAAAGAAACCAAACTAAGTGGATGAGGAAGAACGAGGAGAATCAGTAAGTTCTCTTTAATCAAAGAAAGAACAATAGCAATAAGTACTTTAGAAGTTATAACTTGATTCACCTATGCTAAAAAGTAAAAATCATACTCCCAAACTTGGAAGCAGTAGCAGTTTGTTAAGCTCACAGTCTTTAGGAATACGTACTCCAAAGACTCCTGTTTTATCAACCCCGACTAGAGCAATTTAAAATGCTCCTGCAACACCAAATATGAAGAAGATATTTCTTAGTTCACCAATGAAAAAACCAGATAATTAATTAAAGAGTTTAGAAATGTTAGATTAAATAAAACTAAGTAATGATGAAAATATCTAAAATAACAATGAAAAAAGAGGAAGGAAAAAAAATAGAAACTGGAATACCAATGTCGATGAATATAGTAATGAGGATGAATTGGACAGCTTAAATAGCAGTAACAGTAGTGTTTCATCAGCTGATTCCTAAAAGAGTAGATCTTCATCAAATGGGAACTCAGAAAAAAATTATGGATGGAAATTCAAACCTAAAGAGTTTCATACATATTTGTTGAAAGATTTAGATCAAATTACTTTTGAAGATTAAAGCTAAGTTCTTACTCAAAAACACTCGATAAAGATTAATGAAGTAGGGTTTTCATTTTTAAATAAAAAAGAAAAGAAACTTTTTGATTGGAATTAAAAAGCAGAAGATGAAGAGGAAGAACTAAAGTAAATGCAGAGATAAGAAGAATGTTTTAAAGAATTACTTTAAGATTCTGTAAAGTAACCAAGTATTCATAATTTATTTAATTTAGAAGCAGCAGCAGCTATTCAATAGAAAAGAGAATTTTTTAGCAGTATGATCAATTTTTCCTATTAAAACCTTGAAAGTAGCAAAAACTCTGCGTGCTCTTCACCAAACAAAAGCAATCAAACTCCTAAAATAATTTAAGAAAATTATAAAAAGAATTCTATTGATGAAATATCATCTCCAAGAGTTCTTAAAGAAAGCCCTTATTAGACAAGTAAAGCAGAAAATACTATTTATCGATCTCCAAATCTTCGCAAAAGGAGTTTTAATGATTCTCCCTGCATAGAAGTTAACAAATAATATTTTGGGTACTTGGTTAGAGATAAAATTAGGAAATTTTCATATGACACTTAAGTGGATCCTAAAATTAAGTAAGTTTAAACACAAGCAGCTAGCTAAGTAAAATCTTGTCCTCAAAGTCAAGCCCATTAGAAATTATCCCTATTTAGTGATGAAATTAATAAAAAGAAAAGTAATTTGATATCTTTCCTTAATATGAAAGAAATATAGAGAAGTAGAGAATCAAGACATTCTTTTGATTTAAATTTTCTTTAAATAAATGGCTAAATAAAATCTAACAAAAGCTCAATATATAAAAACGATCTTGTAAAAAGTGTTGACAGCTTAAGTTATTAAAAAAAAAATTAAGTAAACTCAAAACTAATAAAACAAGTGAGAGATAATTTGGATAATAGCGATGATAGCTAGAGCTTATAAAAGAGCAGAGAGTGTTTAAGCGATGAGAAGTTATCATTAAAAAATTTAGAAAAGGCAAATATAGGATGCTTTCAATCAGAAATCAGTTCTGAAGATGAAAAAGTTTAACAAAGGACATAATTTCTTGGACGTAAGTAAGTAAAAAAGAAAAGTACATTTTATTAATAGATGAAAGAAATCAAAATCATGGACTTGAGTAATTTAGCAAATCAAAAAATTGAAGAAGAATTATAGTTGGGTAGCAATCAATTAATGAGTGATGAACCTCACAATAACGTTAAGTCTATGTTCAGCAAGAAAAACATATTCAGCTAGTAAAGCTCAGAAGAAAAAATTCTCAATAAAAGTAATTAAATGATTTATTTTTCAATTATAAAAATTTTTTTTAAGAAATAAAAACTAAAGTGCATAACATGAATATAGAAAACTAAGATAAAGAATCCTATGGGGATTTAGAAGATACTTCACCACTAATAAAAAGATCAACTACTACCAAATTAAATATAGGGTCAGAAAAAAAAGTTTTATCAAATAAAAGCAATAAATCTCATAAATCATAGGTTAATGAATAAAATAACATATCATCCCAAACATCAATTTAAGATAGATTGGAAGGTATTCATAAAGATGATCATCAAGAAATCAGCCTATTAAAAGCAAACGAAGATGTTATATTTTTAAATTTGATTTCTGGAGATGAAGAAATAGCCTAAAAAAATGGAAATTGGTAAATCACTATTGCAAACACGATTATGCAAAAAAGCCAAAGAATGCAAAAGTCATTTTTTAGCAAAAATTCAAATTCCCAATTAAACAGTCCAAATATACAAAAAAGTGATGAATAATCATAATATTTTATGTTCAATAGCGAAAATAACTAGCAAAGGCTAAGTTCATCTTCTTCCTCATATATATCTCTATCAATACAAAATAATAAATCCGAACTAGGCTCTAATTTTTGTAGCAATTTACAACAAGATAATAAGTCTGAAATAGCTTTTGAAAAAATACCTAGATCTAACTCAAATACAAATATAGTTGCTAATTACTCAAATGAAAAAGAGGATTTAGGAGATCCAAATGAAGAAGACTTAATTTTAAAAATATTATTAAAATAACAAAATAATCACAACAGCAGTCTCTCTATTGCTTAAACATTACGAAACTCTGATTAATTATCAAGTATATCAAACATAAACAATAATATCTCTTAATAAGAATAAAAAAATTCTTAATCTCATTAATGAATCTGTGAATTATTAATAAAAAAATAAATAATAACTTAAATTTCAAACAAATTTAACTAAAACAATATAAATAAATAAATAATTTTAACAACGCTACTCAATAACATGTAAATTAAATTAATTTAAAAACTAAATAATAACTATTAATAATAAAATAAATAAATAACTACTAAATAACTAATAAAATTGTTAATAAATTTAATTACTTTCAAATAAATAATAGGTTAAATTTAAAATTAAATTATTTCATCAAATCCACCAAAATATATGTTAAATGCCTTAATATAATTTCTTAAAATTATATTACTTGCTGTAATTTTGCATCAATCAACCTTAGCTTAATCTATCTAGTATAAAATTATAAATTTAAAAACTAATTAAAAAATTTTATATTATGTTTTTTTACGTAAAAGACTAAGTTAAAATGAAAAAATATTATATATTATTTCAAAGATTCAAAAAAAGTGATTTATTAAATTTAAATTAAGAAATTGAATTAATTCATTGAAAATTAATTAAATTAACAAAAAAAGTATAAAATTATTAAAATTATTATATCAATATAAAAAATATCTTGTCCATTCAAATAATTTTTAAATTATTTATAAAATTTCACTTTTAGTTTTTAGTTATGATTCTTAAAAATTTATTTAAAAGAAAACCAATTTTATACTCCTTACCTTTTTTAATTTCTTACCCTTAGTTTAGTAATTACGCTAAAACTTAATAGAAACATTAGAATTAAGAAGAATAATTAAAGAATTTATGGGATGGTGATGATGAATTTTAGAAGGAATGGTATAGCAAAGGTAACTAGTATTGGTAAACTTGCGAAAGTAATTACGATGGAGTGATGGGAGGCTATGGACATTTGAATGATTTAGATATTAAATTTAGTAGATATTTCTTATAATAGCTTTAAGAGAAATTTCCTTAATTGAGTTAAAATTTCAACAGAGCGCTAGACTGTGGAGCTGGAATTGGGAGAGTTACTAAAGAATTACTTATGAATGTATTTTAAAAAGTTGATCTGCTAGAATAATGTGATAAATACATTTTTGAAGCTAAGAATTAGCTGAAATAGTATCCAAACGTTGAAGATTTTTATTAAATGGGTTTATAAGAATTTTAATTTTAAAAGCAGTATGATTGTATTTGGATTTAATGGGTTTCAAATTAAATAAAAGATGATGATTATGTCAGATTTTTATAAAAATGCTCAAACTCACTAAGCTAAGATGGATTTATTATTGTAAAAGAAAATATCAGTGAAGAAGGGTTTATTCTTGACTCTTAAGATTATTCTATTACTAGATCTGATTCTATGTACAAACAGCTATTCAGTAAAGCAAATTTAGATATTATTCTAGAAAAGAAATAACCTGAATTTCCTGATGAGTTATTTGATGTTAAAATGTATGCATTAAAAAGAATTTCTGAAAATAAAAATAGTATCTAATAGTGAAAAAATTGTGTAGCCTTATGATAATTACATTTATATTACCTTAAATTCTAATGGCTAATTAATTGTTCTAATTTAAATATTATTTTTAATATAAAATAAATACTAAAAACAAATAGTTTTATATTAGTTTTTATAGTTTGTTTATACTTTTGTCTTACTTTTAACAAAATGTTCAAATTATTAAAATATTTAATTTTATTTTAAATTGAGTTTATATAAAAATTTATTAATGATTGTTTTCTTATTTATTTTTGAGTAAACATTTTTCTAAATTAAAGTAATATAAAATTTTCTAAACCCCCATTTTAATCTAACATTTGTATTGAAACTATTTAAAAATTTTAAATTATTTTTAAAGTTAATAATTAATTAGTTTGAAATAATTTTTGTATATACAAGACTGGAAATTAAATTAAATTATATTTTAATTTTTAGTATTTAAATTTGTTTCATAAATATTTTTATTTATTTATTTTAATGTTTTTTTGCTTTGATTTTTAATTTTCAATATTTTAATGTATCAATAATCAATCAATCTTTTTAATCTTTATCATATTACTTCATCAAACTTGGTAAACGTCTGGGAATTTTTTTCTTTTTACTCATTAATTTTTGGATGAAAGGGTTGTTATGAATAGATTTATTAGAAATAAATGGCTTTCTTGAGCGTAGACAATCTGTGAGAACTCTTTTATAATTGTGTTAAGGATAATACTTTTTGTATTCTTTCATAGAATCAAAGTCATAAATAAAGAAGTCAGCATTTGAAACACTTTCATATTCAACCATCTCTTCATCATATTAATCTTCTGGAAAATTAGTCTAGCTGTCAGGTTTAGGTTGGCCATTGTTCATATTATTATTATTGTAGTTGTTGTTGTTAACGCTTGCCCATGAAGTCATTCTAGCACGATTATAGTTATTGCTATTGTGTGCAAAAGATGTATGATTAGAGTTACTTGCACTATTTACTTACCCATAAGTAGAACTACTAAATTATTATCCCTTTCCAAATCTTGTACCTATTCCTGATTATTTTTTTTTAGGTGTGTTATAGCCACCGTTAGTGGTGTTAGGATTGTTATCATATAAGGGTTGATTATTGACAAACGATTAGTTAACTTAAATGCTATTCCTAGATTTCAGAAGTTATTTATTTTAAATATATTTCTAGTGATACATTACCTACTAAGAAAAACTATCAGCAACAGGAGGGTAGGCTGCATTTTTCTTAGTTGAACTAACCTAATGTGAGGGGCTATTTAGCTGATTTTGACTTTAAACTGAGCTCATCTTTCTATTCTTGATAGCTTATAGAGGTTAAATTTATTTATTTATGTGATTCATTGGCGCTTATCCATAATTGTTAATTCCATACAATGCTGCACCTTAAACCTAATCATCTTGCATCTAGAAATACTATTTTGAGTTAGCTCTATTATATGCAATTAATTTTCTCATGTCGTTTGTGTTAAAATTGCCTGGTATGAAAGAAAGAGAGTTTTATCTCATAATTTTATTCATTTATTATCCTTCTTTTTAGATAAAGTTGCTTATTAATGGGTTTTGCTAATTATTTTTATTAATTGGAGAAGAGTAAGAACTTTAAACATTATCATTTTTAGCGGCTTAGTTATTATTGATAATTACCGTATTTGCCTTCTTAGGCGTAATCTGAGATTACTCAATGCTATTCTCATTTATTAATTATAAATTATTTCTATTTAATAAATAGTCTTTCTAATTTAAATGATTTTTAATTTCTTCTTTTTCTGGATTTTAAGATATTGATTTTTTCATTTAAATTAGCAAAGGAGAATTATTCTTTAATTAATCACTTCTTGAAGAAAATCTTCTCATATCTTCATTATTTTAACCTGGTGATGTATTTTCATCATCCTGCGAATTTTTTGTAAGTATTTCTTAAACAGTAGCTAATTCTCCTAAACCAATATTTAAGAAGTTATTTTTACTTTTAAAACTTCCCTGCTACTATTTCAATTTATCTGTTTTATCAAATTAATAGTTTTCTAACAAAATATCTTAGTTCTCATTTTCATCAGTATTTCTTTTGTTTTGGCTGCAAGTACCTAAATCATCCTAATTACTTTCTTGAGTATCAAAAGGGATATTGTTTCCAAATATCTTTTCTGCTTAAATCGTTATCCTTCTATGAGTTGGAGTTTTAACAGGTGAATTTTTAATATCTATTTCAGACTTTTCTGTATTGGTATGATAAGAATTGCTAAGTTTAAAATTATCTTCTTGAGTTTAAACTTTATTTTCCACGTTTTAAGGTGAATCCAAGCTGATTTTAGGTTAAGGAGAGTAATTTACAGCTTCTAATTCCTAGCTGTGCTATTCACTTCCTGTATTTTACTTGTTAAAGCCAAAAAAGTTAGAATTTCTGTATTGTTTATGCTAAAAGCTTGGGGAAGAGCTGCTTTCGTATTATTGTAAAGAATTGATATCTATTTTCAAGCTCTACTTTTATTCTTCTAAAATATTAGTATTGCTGGGGTTAGACTATGGATTTTAAGATTAATTTACTGTGTTGTTGCTTTTCTGGTTTTACAAAAATTAGTGGTTAACTAAGGTTAAAGAAGATGCTTCCACATCATACATGCTCTATTCACTTTTTCTCTCAAGTATTCTCTCTCCTTATTAATAACTTACTAATTTTTTATTTATCTTTTCTTGAATAGATGATTAAGATTGCTACTGTTATATTGTGTCTTCGATATTGTTTTAATTAAGTTGACCATCTTAATTGAAATTAGAATTTTTATGGTGAAGATGGCTGTCTTTGTGATTTTATGGGCTGCTCGAAAACTAGCTAATTTTAATATTTTAAATACTATTTTTTATTTCTTGAATATTTTCTGAAGACTGCTCATTTATTTCTAGCTTTTCTTCAATTAAATCTTTGTTTGGAAAATTTTCATGTATAAAAGGTTTTGTCTTTACTACATTTTGCTCAACATCACCATCATCATCATCTTCTTCTTCTTCAAGATAACTTTCGCTTGAGGATTTTTCTTTATCTAAAATCTTTCCTTAAATTTAGATGCTGACCTATTTTTTTCTTGTCCTAGGAATTGATTTTTTTTAATTTTTCTTTTACTTCTCATTAAGCATTTAGAGTTTTTCTTTAACTTGTTAAAGCTATTAGTGTGTTAGCTTTTTTTGTTCACTTGAGTGCTAATTAGCTTATGCAGCGGTTGATTAATTCTTATTTTCATCCAGACTTTAGTCAAAAGATTATTTTTAAGGAGTACTCTCTACTGTGTTCGTAGCAGCAGCAATATTTTATTAGGTCAAATAGCCACTACCTATAGCACTACTTCCACCAGCTTATCGAGGAGTTGCATTTATATTAACACTGTTCACATTACTTGTGTTTTCGTATGGCCCTTATGTATAAAAATTCTAAGACCTCTCTGTATTGGTATCAAAATTATTTTGTTGATCTTAATTATAATTTTAACCATATTATCCTCCAGCAATAGTATGCGGCAATTGGGAAGTAGATCCCTATCCTTTGGAAAGTACATCGGCAGCATCATCTCTATTAATATCAGAAGATAAGGCAGCAAGTGATTCCATTCTAAATAGACTTTGCTTTTAAACAACACTATTCTATCTTAGGTATGGATTATAGTTATTCTTGATGATACTTAATTGTTTTTATTCTTTTCTTTGAACAACTATTTCAGGAACTGAATCATTTTAGCTAATGCCACTTTCTCTTAGTTATAGTGTTTGTTGGCTACCAAACTGGTTTTGCTAGTCAGTAACGAGAGATTAATTATCATCTGTCATGCAATTATGGGTATTCTCACTTTCATAATTGACTATTTCGCCATCGACATACCTAAATTGCATTTTTTACTTTAAAAAATACTCTTTATCATCCATTTACTGATTTTATTTTATTTAATCATATTCTTCACTGAACTCATTTTCATCACTAACTTCGTCTATTTCTTCAGATTATAAAAATTTTAGAGCCAAGTTATTCCTCACTTTCTTTAAATCATCTCTAACATTCTATAAATTAAATCATTAATATAAAATTAAAACTCTAATTTATTTAATTACATAATTTTTTTAAAGTGAGTTAAACTTATTTCTTTCTCTAATAAGAGCCTATCTATTCTAAATTACAGGATAAATATATTTAATCATAATTCTAAATCTATTAAAATGAGGAGTGACCAAACTGCAATCAACTATAGTATGATCATAAGATCCACAAGAACTACATTTCGTACTTAGCTTTTTGTCTTTGAAGTTGATCTCATCTTTCATCATATAATATTTTTCCTTTTGTTTGAATTAATAAAATCCTATTAGATCTGCTTGACTAATTAAAAAAAGAATTTTCAATAATGCTAAATTATGTTTACATAATCTTCTTAATAATTTTTTATAACAGAAATAAAGTCCTCATTCTCTAAATAAACTAAATGCGTAATATCACGACATTTAACAGCTATTTCTCTAGGTTTGCATCCAAAAAACCCAAACTGACCAAAATACTATCCTTTCTTTAATAAGAATTATTTTTAAATTTATTTAAAACAAAATCAAAAATCTTAATTTCATTAAAATAAATTAAAACATTTATATCTAACTAATGAACAGTTTTTTTTTTCAAAAATTAAAAAATTGCTTTAACTTGAAAAATAAATTAGATTTGAAAATTTTAATCTTAAATAAAGTGAAAGATTTATTTCGAAATATCAAACAAACTTACTGATAACTTTGCCATTTCAAAGATTTCACCACCATCTTTTTCTAAAAAGAGGGATACTTCTCCAGTTTGTATAAAAAATATTTTATAGTCAAGCTCTCCTTTGTGAAATATAACTTCTCCTGGACCATACATGATTTCTTTGAGTTTCAAAGATAATGCTCTTAAACAATCTTATGAGAAATTGTTTTTAAAAATTCGAGTGTTTTATAAAATATTTCCAAAATACTCAAGTTAAACTTCTTCTCTAAGATTTTTAGCTATTGTATTTAATATCATTTATCCTTTAAGAGGTCCATCTGCTTGTCTTGAATGAGTGTAATCTAAATACTTAATAACTTTAAGTTGCAGCTTTTAGTTGATGTTTCTTTTAGCCATATAATCTGAGATATTGTTCTTTTACTACTTTATAGCTGCTTCCTTGTTAGAAATTTCTTAGAATATAGAACCAATTGTATTAACAATATAACTAAAGAAGCAAGAACCAAGAACTGCTACTGATGTACAGTATAGTTTCTCAATAGTTGTTACTGGCGCTATATCACCATATCCAATTGTAACAATTGAAATAGTTGTAAAATAAAAAGAATTTATGTATTTAATCCACCAATAATCATCAATTAATTGTTGTTTTATCATCCAGCTATTCATTCCAGATTCGTATTCCAAACGACCAATGTAATGAAATTAGCAACCCCAGAAATGGGCTAACGCTATAATCATAAAAAATAGCTTTGTCAAGGTCCAACCAGTGGGAAAACGATACCAAATTCTAAAATGATCATTTAAATCCTATGATAAGCGACTTATCTTAATACATCTCAAAACAAAAAATATTAAAGATAGTATGTAATTGTTGAAGATGATTAAAATGCTTATTAAAATAATTAAATCTATCCAAAAATATTAAATTCGGCTATAATTTTTAAATATCGATTCTCTACTAAATATTATAATTCCTTCTTTATAAATAGCTGTATTCATACGAATCAAAATTTCTATTAAATAAAGTGCTCCACATACATTGCGTAAAATTTAGTAGCCAGGCGTCACTATTTCATACCCTTAAAAGCCATTAAAACTGCTAATTATCAATTCAAAAAATGCAGTTAAAATAGTTAACCCCAAAATAATCACATCATAAAATACAAGCAGCCAAATATTATCAGGCTAATAAACCTTTATTGCTGAAGAAAATTTCTTCATCACTGGTATAATAAACTTCTAGCATTTATTCAAAATTGTATTGTTTCTAAGTCTATCTTTTTCATCTTTATCGATATTCGCTTTATCACCTATCATTTAGTAATGCATTAACTTCAGATTATGAAAATTGTAGTAAATAGAAGATCGTTTGAGTTATTTCATAAATCGTAAAATAATCAACACTTTTCCTAATACATTCCATCCGCCTTGTGATTTTTCACTAAGTGTTTTTTTCTTCTTCAAAATAGAGGGTTAAGATTGCATAGTACTCATAAACTTTACTAAACCATCTTTAGTATTTGAACTCCGAATAAGGTTGTTAGTGTCTTTTGTTCCAAAAGGTATTATAGTTCCAGATTTACTAATATTAGACTTATGTGCATTGAAGAGAGAAGCAAAATGTGATTTTTGCTAATTATTATTTAATACATTTGTACTGCTTTTTATTCCTACAGGCGATAATAGGGGATTCAAATTCTATGCTGATAAAAGTGACATAGATACTGCATGATTATTATTGTTATTATTATTATCATTGTCTTTTGAAGATAAAAGATTTTCAGATACAGCCGCACTATTTTGCTATAACAATAAAGCCTTTTTCTACTCTATGTTAAAGCTGCTAGATGCTGCATGATTATCTAAACTTCTTGAATCTTAATAGGCTTCTTCGATATGACTATTATGCATTTTACTGATAGACCTTTAAATCTTTATATTTCTACTTTTTTAACTTATTTTATCAAAAATCAACAATGATCCTCCAATACTCTTGGTCTCACCTAATATTAATTTTTCACTTTCATTGCAATTCTCATTTATTTTATTTAAATCTTCTTCAAATTCTACTTTTTTTTATGTTTGATTTTGCTTTTCCTCCCTTTAACTAATTAATGATTTATTATTTCTCACTAATCCTTCTTCTTCATTTGATGAAATTTCTTCATCTTCTAAATTCCTTGATACTGGAGCTAAATCATGAGTGGCGCTTGACCTTTTCAGCTTACTTAAGCTAGGGGCTCTAGGCATCACTTAATTTTTCTTAATGCCCTTCATATATGTTTAGTATAAATTAGAAGTATTGATAATTGTAAATGAAAATTTATCTAAACTCCAATTAATAAATAAGCCAATTTAATAATAATGATAAAAGAAGAGTTTTAATTATATTGATTATTTTCTTAAGTGCAAGAACTCTAAGTATCAAAATAAGTTAACATCAAATATAGTATTCAGTTTTAATAACTTAATTAACAAATAATAATAAAATATTACCATAAAAAAATAGATAGATAGATATAATTCCATATGAAAATTCAGCAATTTGATTATTAATTTTTATATTCATTCATCTCAACTTACATTTTTTACTTCTTTAAAAAACTCAATTTTTAACTCTGATATAAATTAACTATATAACAAGCTAGAAAAATTACAATTTTTTTTTTCTTCTTTAATCAGTCTCTTCTAGTATTTAGCAAATAATTAATTTTATTTTTTTGAATTAGTATTTTCTTATTAAAAATTTCTTTAAATTTTATTTCGCTGAATTTTTTATTTTTCAAGTGAAACCTTTTAATTTAAAGACTTTGATTTATACATTAACCGATAAAATTTTCTATTTTATTTATTAGATTATTTTTTAAATTAATTAATCATACTAATATCACTATTAATATATTTGATGATTCTTTAGATTATTTTAGTTTATTTTTAATGTATGCTGAAAATATAAAAAAGTTAATTTATTCATTCATTTATTTTTATTAGAATTCAAAACAATTAAAGTATTTTTTTTTTAGTCAATAAAGTTATTTGTTTCAGGTTGTGATATTTTTGAATATAAAAATGAATTTAAAATAAATTATTAATTTACTTTTTTAATTTATTTAATAATCTTAAAGTTAATTAAAACAGATATTTTAGATTTTAATATCGCTCTGCTATATTAAATAAATTATGATCTAAATCATTTTTATATTTTTTTAGTTTATACTTTAAAAAAATATGTCTATGTAATGTAAGTTGTTATAAATTTATCTCTAAAAATTTATCTGTAAATATTATACAATTTCAAAAACAATATTTTTTGCATTAAATATTTTTTATTTAAATGTAATGTAAATAACAGAGAGTTTAAAGTATTTAAAATGTAATATTGATTATAAATATTAAAGGGGGAATTTTTAAGTTTTTAATTAAATTTAAATTATTTTGAATTTAATAATTTTAATTCGAAGTTTTAAGCTAAGTTTATATATTAAAAAATCTTTTTAAAGAAATATTTATTATTAAAAATAAAAAATAAATATTTTTTCATGAAAATATTTAATTCAATTATTATTTAAGATTTAAATTTAATAATTATAATTTAAATTTAATGATATAAAAGGACATAATAAATAATTTTTAAAATTGAATTTTAACACTTTAGCGGAGAAAAATCAGCGCGAAAGAGGATTAAATTGGATTTTTGTGAAATTAATTAGTAATTAAAGCAAATAAACTTTTTGAATTGTTATTTTCTTTCTTTGTTAGCGAAAGTAAAAGATAGAGCCAATCAATCATTATATTTTTAGTACTAAAGCATATTAAAAAAAATAATTTAATTTTATTAATCAGCTCAAGCTTTAAATTCACATACATTTAATGATTATGGAGGAAGAAAGATAATAGATTTTAAGTAGTGCTAGCAATTCTAGATAGATGAATATTGAGTGTTAAGGCGACAGTCCTGCTTAAACGTTAAATTAATCTCAAAATAATGTTTAGTAAAGTGCAGTAGAAGTAAATAGCCAAAACGTTTAAGAAAATATAGAGCAAGCAAAAGTCTTGAATAACTAATAAAATGGCTAATCTAACATAAGTGAATAATACTGGCAGAGCAAAAAAAATGGTTTTATTTAAGAATTAAATAAACTGTTAATCCAAGGAATTGATTTATCTGAATAAATCATGTTTGCTATGCCATAAGAAATTTTATCGTAAAAAATATAGGATTACTTTTCAGCAATCAACGATCAATCTAGCACTGAGTAAATAGCTGATTTGTAAAGGAAACTTATCAAAGAAAGCTGCCTGTGGATTGTAGAAGGTAAAAATTGCAATGATTTCGATTTAATAAAACTCTGTACGGTTTTACAAGAATACACTAAATAATGCTTGGCTTAAATTTCTGATATATCCCAAAAGGATTTTGACTTTTATCGTGACATAATTGGCGAATGGGCTGAAAAAAAGAATTATGGATTGAAGCTCACGAAAGATATATAAACTCTGCTATTAAAATAATAGAATGAAGGAAATTTAAGCGATTAGCAAGTAAGTGCTTTAAAAATAGGATTGCATGAAATTTGGGAAGTAAAAGAAATTTAGTGTCTGTCTAATAATACAAAGATTGAAGAGTTAGACTATATTAGAAAAAAGCGTCGCTAGCACCAAGCATTGCTTAGAGGACTAGAAAAACTCATCAAAGCTATAGAAAAAGGTAAAGGAGAAGATGAGGCGTTCAGTGCTTATCAAAAGACAGTGATGAATCCTCCTAAAATGAAAGTTTAGACTAAAATTAATGGAAAGAGTAATTCATAAAAATAAAATTAAGTAGATAAAAGTATAGAAGATAATTTGAAAAAAATGAAGATTGATAGTGGAAAAGTAACTCCAATTGATGTTGGGGAGATGCAAAACGAAACTAATTAATAGGAAAACAGTTAATTAATACAGCAAGAAGCTAAGCCAAAGAAGAAGACCGCTAAAAAGTCTAATAAAAAAGCAGCTGAAGGTAGTGATTAGCAAATTGAATAAAACGAAGATACACAAAAATAAAGTATTTGTGAATCCTCTGTTAATAATAATTCAATAACACAAGAATAATCAAAATAAATTAGTTCAAAAAAAAATTAAAACGAATCTAAAAAAAGTGGGAACCAATAATAGTAATAATCAGCATCTAATACCTAAAAAGATAATAATTAAAAGAATTTACTCAGCTTCTTTGCTAAAAAGAATATTAATAATAACGCAAATGTGGCTAATCAAAACAATAATGATATTAATTCAAATAATTTTAATTCTTTACAATAAACTTAAACTAAAGATAATTTAAATAATATCAATGATTTATCAGAAAAAAATACTGAAATTAATTAAATGGAAATTAAAACTGACCAATAATAACCTGCTAAACCTGTTAAAAGTTTATTACGAAGAATAGGAGGAGCAGACCCTCGTCCAAGTCATCTCTAAACTACAGACTTAATTAAGGATACTACTAAAAACTAGGAAGTATTCTAAATTATTAAATAAGAATGCAAAAAGTAGTGGAATTTGATTTAAAAAAAAAAATAAAATTAAAACAATAGTCAAACAGAGGTAAAAGGATTAAATAAAGCAGATAAATTTGGTAGGAGAAAGATTTTAGTTCTTATCCATGATTTTGTGCGCTAATACAGAAATGTGTATTTTGATTAATAGAGCAAAATCATTAATCCACGTAATTTCTTGTCTAAAGACGAGGACTTAATATAGTATGATTTGGATAGTGAAGATGAAGAGCAAGAATTAAACGCTGAAAACATTGAAAACGAAGAAGATGATATAGACGAAGAAGACCAAGATGATGATGATTCTGCCAAATAGTTTGTTGTACCAGATGGGTATTTATCTGATGAAGGATTTGATAGTGATAAAGAAGATATCTTTGATTAAAAAAAGCTCACTTTCTAAAATTATAACTTCGTTGAAAATGCTAATAAGCAGGGATTTATCTTTCAAGAAAAAGACAAAGCAGGTGATGTCTAAAACTTTTTGATAAATTATAAAATAAAAAAATACGATGAATAAGAAAATTTTCCTCTCTGTTTGAAAAAAAAGACAAATACCTCAGATGGATAAGCCCAACCAACTGCAGTCATTGTTTGGACTAATGAAAGATTGAAATAATTTATAAGAGCAGCTCATGGATCTTACTAACCTAAGAAGGCACTCCTTGAACAAATATCGAAGATCGATATAATGAAAGATGTTTCAAAAAATCGTTTAGAAAAGAAATTTAAAGAAATAATTTAAAAAGATGATAAGCAAGACGGTGAAGCTATTAAAAGATGGTGTGTCCATTAAGCAATAATAGAGTCACTAGAATTTGAAGAAAATGAGATGGAGGAACTTAAAAAATAGCGTTAGGAGGAATATAAAAGCACAAGACAAAGCAAAAAGGATGAGAAAATTACCAATTAATAATAAAATTCTGCTTTGAATTTGAATAATTTAAATAATAATTAATAAAACGGTGGGGTTTAATAATAAATCAAACCAATAGTCGGATTAAATATTTTTTCATCAGCTGCACCTCTTAAAAAGAATATGAATATTACTCCTATTAAATCAGTACTAAAATCAGATGATGAAGAAGAAAAATAGGAGCTTGAAATCGCAGAAAAGAAGTAAAAGGAAAGAATGATTGAAGAAGCAGCAGCTGCTGCTAGCAAGAAATAAGAAGAAGAAAAAATATAGTAATCAAAAGTAGAAAAAAAAGTTATTTAACTTTAAAGGAAAAAAGAGGATTTAAAGCCACCTAGTGTTATAACAGCTGAAGAAAACTCTCAAAATCAAATTTAAAATAGCCAACAAAATGAATAACCATCACGAAAGAATTCAAATAGCATTAATGAGAATAGCAATACAAGCTAAAAAAAATAAAAAATGCTTTAATTAACTCTTCAATTTAATAAAAAATCTTGATTTGAATAGCATGAATAAAATAACTAACTACCAAACAAACAAACTAAATAACTTAAAAACACTAGACCTACCTTTATTAATCAACAACTAATTTAAATTTAGAAAAAATGTAATTCATCAACAAATTAAATTAAATTTATATTTTTATAATGCCCATTACACATACAAAAATATTATTCATTAAAATCATTTGTTTCTTTTCTTAATTGTCAGACTTAATTCAATTTATTTTATTTAACATTTACTATCGCAATTTAGGTTTATTTTAAACAATTTTTTAAATATTTCTTATTCAATAAGTATTTATACATCTATTCATACCTACATCAATTTATTCATAGATTAAATCATAAATTTATATGCATTCATTTGCATTCATATTTTATATTCATTCATTAAGATCTCAATAATTATTTTCACTCTTAATTTGTTTATAAGAAAATAATAAAAATAAAATTTTTAACATCTATCTATCTTAATCTAATTTTAGAGGTTTTCTATGATAACTTAAAAATCATGATAAAAATTATTAATTAAGATTAAATGAAAAATCAGAAAATAGCTTTTTGTTAGATTAACTATTTAAATGTTTTTTAAATAATTTGTTATAAATATTTGAATATCACATTTACATACAACAAATTAATTTAGAAAAATAAAAAAAATGGATTAAATGGATTCATTCTTATTTTTTATAATAATTGGAAAACTTTTTTTACTCATTCATTCAATTGTAATGAATAATACTATAATTAATTTGAAGAAAAAGAAAAATTTAATTTATTAAATTAACAAATAAATAATTTCCAAAACAAAAATTAACAGCATTAATTTAGAAATTATTAAATAGTTTATTAGAAAGGTAGGTACGTAGGTAGAATCAATAATACATTAGACAAAAAAATGAAACAAAATTAGAAGCTATAAAAATTAAATATCTACTTAATAGACAATAGACTTTTAAGGTTATTGTATAATTTTTATATTGAAAAGCTACATGACCTTTAGTCATCCTACTAGCGATCTTACAAGCTTTGCATTTTACTCAACTTAATAAAAGCATGCTATATACTAATGATGCTTTTTAATAATTCTTCACTATAAGACATTAATAGCTCTGGATCAGGATTCGAATTTTATACTTTCCTTGATGCAGAAGCTTATTTAGATAGAATTTAAGGCAGTTTAATTTACTTATAAGTAACAGTTCTAAGTATAAATTCTGTTCTGATGATTTATATATTCATTAAATTCTTATAGTTTGCAGCAAATTCTATTAATAATATGAAGCTTAGTCATCTAGAAGGGGCAAATATAAATACAGGAGAGATATAGGTGAAATAAGATATTTACCATGAGATTATTTTCTCTTTTATTTTTCAAACATATGAATATATTATTATTATTCCTGCAATTTATATATCGTGCATTCTAAGAAATGCTATATCTATCCCTGCTTTGGTATTAGCTATTCTAAATGGTAAATTATTAGAAAAATTATTTTATACTTTTATATCATCTGCAATTATTTGTTTTTAATTTTATGAAATACATATTATATATGAATTATAAAAAGGATTAATAATTAAGGATTCAGATTATAATTACTTAATTTCAAGTAAAGATTTCCTTTCTAAAAGGTATATATGGTCTGATAAGATACTATATCTATTATAGTGTCTCTTGTTATCAATTTATGCTTTAGAAAAAGGAATTTTTGGTTTATGGATGATAATACTATATGTATTTTTAGAGCTTGCTTTTATAATATATAAAAGACCATACTTCTCAAAGCATATGGAAGGAATAATTATGTGGATTAAAATTTTTATCTTAATGCTTTATATTTCGTGCATCAGCTTAAGATCAAATATTGACTAAGGTCCCAGCTTATTTTTTGTTTTACTAGCTCTATCAGTTCCTATTTCACTTAAAATTACAAGGATAATAATTAATTAATAGTTAACTATGATAGAAAATGAATTAGAGAGGTTAATGAATAGTACTACTTTATCATAAGAAGATAATAATAGTAAACATATTGATTAAATAATTAGAATGATCATATATCCAGAGAGAGTTTTTCTTAGTAATCAATAAAATTTCCTATTTAATTTAATTATCCCTCATGTTCATAAGAGTGATGCATAAATCAAAAGAGATATTTTCAAAGCAAATTTACTTCGCACATTTTAAGTAAAATTATTTAGAGAAATAGACTATGAACTGAATGAGTTAAAAAAACTATAAGCTGGATAAAATATTGGTGAGAGAGGTAAGACAAAAAAGCTTGGGAGATCTTAAAATTAATCTGGTAATGAAAGTAATTACGATCAAGATGAAATGGCATAAAACTAGCTGGATGCTTATAATGAAGCAAAGCAAGAAATTCTTGCATAACAATATGCATTAAATGAAAAATAGATACATGGTAAAATTTATATTGAAAAAGCATAGGTGTATGGAGATGATAAAGTCATGGAGGAGAATCTGTAATCGTATTTTCATAGAGTAATTCAAAATACTAAAGATAAACAAGAATTTACAGAGATTGATGTTATACATCTTGTATATATTTTAGAAATTTTAAATAATGAAAAACTATTTGAATTAAAATTCTTTCAGAATAAGAAAAAAATGTCAATCAAGCATTAACAAATAGTCAAATCTTTGTTTTCCGAGTCATACGAAAAGAAAAATATGCATATAAAAGAGTATGGAAAAGAGAGTATATTCCATACTGAGCTTTAAGAAGCCTTGAGCTATGACAGTCTTATCAACTTATTGCAGTTTTGGATAGACGAAACGATAGAAAAGAAACTTCTTATCCTAAGTGTTATGCGATAGAGACACATTATACTTGACGAGCTTAGAAAAATGCTAGAAGATGTTCAATTTAGGCGCAGCTAAATTATCAAAACAATATCCCATTTAGTATAACTAAATGATAAAAATAGCAAACTTCATTCTCTTTACATTTGTTATTTAGAAAATCTTTCTTTTACAGATAAAGACATCAACCTAAACAAATTTAAAAAGCAGTAATAAATAAACTCAGTCTAAAGAAACTATTTAGCTAAGCTTGATAAAAGTGATTCATGTGTTGTTTTTGCTAGTGTAGGCAAGTCAAATAAAGGATTTTTAATAAAGAAAATTACATAAACTTTTGAAAGAATTTTTAATTACAAACCTGTTGAGATTATAAATGCTTCTATAGAGAAGTTAATGCCTTATCCTTACTAAAAGCCTCATGCTAAACTGATCAAGGATTTCTTCAGCGATAATATGTAAAATGAAAAAGGAAATGTCCCTCTTGCTTTTGGTTTAAGTCAAAAAGGATATATTATACCTTTAGAGATAAGCATTAGAATAAATAATTTTCAAGGTGATTTTGGACTGTCAGCATATCTATAAGTTTTAGATAAAAACTAATTAGTCAATGAATATCAACAATAGTATTATAATTATTTATCTAAAGAATACCTAATATACGATGAAAGCAATTTAAAAGTAATATCCATGACATTTGCCCTTCATAGTCTACTCTTTTACAGATTTAAAAGTATTCATTCTATTTACTTAAGAGGCTTTTTCCCCTTTCTCAGAAAAATTTTCTAAAACCACTCGATGAGGTCATCTAACACAGGAAGAAGCAAGAGCGCTAAATCCTCAAATAGCTTGCTTTAATCAAGTAGGTACTTAAACTCTAACCGCAGTATTACAAGTTAAAGAAGAAGAGCATAAAATATGATGAAAGAATTAGATAAAAAAAAAAAAGATGTAAATGGATCTTAAGCATCTATAAGCAGTGATAAAAAGCACAAATAAAAAAAAATTTAGAAAGAAAAAGAAAGATTAAGCAGCTTATACTCAAGAACTTTAACTAAAAATGTAGAAGAAATGGATTTTTTAATGATTGTTCAAAAAGGTGAATCTATTTCTGATGATGACAGTCCTTAATACATTGAAAGTAATTTTTAATTCTTTACTATGTATGTTCAAATTTGTGAAGACAGGATAGGATAAAACAATCAGCCTATTCGTTACTTAGAAATAACTAAAATATAAGAAGTAAATGCCTTTAATAACTCAGGCTTTTTGCTGAATGTGTTTGATGATTAAATAAATATGCTAACAAATAAATAATTTTTTACGTAATAAGTTTAAAATAAAATTATTTAACATTTAGAAAAATTTTACTTTTTCTAATAACTGATTTAAAATGGTGAAATTAACATTTCGGACTTAAAAGTTAATGAAAATAAATTAAGTTTAAAAAATTTATAAAGAAGTAGTTATATGAGTCCAAAAAAAGGCAAATACTCAAATAATGAAATATATAAATACTATATATCTTATGGATATAGCCAACTTCCTGAAGTAATTAATGAATTTGAGTATGAAAAAGAAGAATCTACATTAGACAATAAAAGGTTTACTTTTTCCAATTAGCAAGAGTAAAAAGCTGAATAAGCTAAATTGCATGACAACCCAGATAATATTAATTATGAATAGTTAGATAAATTTTTCAACAATAGAGAACCAGAAAAAGCACATAGAGGAAATGTCAACAGCCAATCAAAAGAAAAGTAGCCTAGATTAAGCTAACTTGCAAACATAGCTAAGTATAAATTCAATACCTAAGAATATGTCAAAAAGCCAAATTATAAAAGTGAAGTAATCAATTTTTTTTCTAATTCCTCAATCTATATTTTATTGATTTTAAATTTTATGTTACTAAAACTTTATGTTTGAAATTAAATAATATAATAAGAAAATAATTAAAATAACCTTGAAATATATTAAGAAATAAGAGGGTATAAAGAAAAATTTCAATTTTTTATTTACCAAAATATACTAATACAAAGCAATTTATTTTGTTCAATTAAAAAAAAAAAATTTTTTTTATACCCACTGCATTAAATTAAAATATTTATTTTTTATTAAAAATATCTTAATAGCTTAATGAAGATTAGAAATAAAATCACATTTCAATTTTTCAAGGTAGACAAGTTAAGTTAGCGAAGCAGTAATCAGAAGATTTGAGTTTTGTGAGTAGTTAGATAGATTTGTAAGAAAGTCCTCGAAAAAAGTAAGATGGTCAAATTAAACTAAAAAATTTAGATTAAGCTTAAACATCACAAAAACAGTCAGAAAATTAAGTGAAAAAGATAGAAGCCACTGAAACTATTTCTCCAGTGAAAAATTAAATCAATTTTCCTTATTCTCCTTCTCAGTCATTAAGTTTTCATTAAGCGAGTAACCAAAAAGGATAAGAGCTTCTAAGTCCAAGCTAGCAAAACGTTATTCCATAATTTAATATGGATGATATAAATTTTCAAAATACACCTTTGAACTCCAAAGTACAGCATGCTGTATTTGGTGAGGCTGCAAATCAAAATCATAACATATACTAAAACAATCAATATTATTCATTAAATTATGATAATTCTATGCAGTATCTAGCAGGTGATAATAGTAAATAAAATAATATTGATTCCTAAGTAATGAGCCCTCAAGCAGCTGTAGCTACAACTTTTTATTAAGATAATTAGCTGAATAATTATCTTTCTCAAAGCTAAATACTAACTCCTAGTAACAGCTAAGGAATTATTCCATAACAATATGGGCTATTAGGACCTTAATTAGATTAAAATATATTTTAAAATCCAAGTTAAAGTAGCTTAATGAATATAAGCAACTTAAATATAACAAATGTTAATAATAATTTTATATATGACAATAAATAAATTTAAAACTAAAAGAGCTCGAAATTTTTTAGTTCTAAATTAAACTAAATGTCACAGTTGAAAAGTCTACGCAGTAAAGTCAGTTCAAATACACAGCCTAATTTCATTTAACAGTTTTCTACCTTAAATCCTGGAAGTAATGACCCTTCTAAAGAATTTTCAGGATAATCATAAAGCAAGGATATTGAAGATACGAAAACAAAAAAAAAATAATACATAAATATCTAAGATGCAGTTGAATCTTCTTCTACTCACTCAAAATTGTCTAACATATCTTCTTAAAAAAAGCAAGTTAATCACATAATTTTTAGCACAAAAGATCTAAATGCAATGAAAATCATTAATATTTTTGGTTTCCTGAGTATATCAGTAATTATATTTGTTACACTCTTTTAGTATTATCAAATAATAACTACATTTTAAGACTTTGAATCAGATTGTAATATATCTGATGTGCCTACAAGGTATGTTTCTAATATGGCATATATAGTTTATGGAAAGAGTTTTCAATTTCTGCTTTAAAACAATTTCTTCACCTTAACTGATATTTAAGTTTAACAAGAATTATCTAATATAAAGTAAGTGTATAATAACACATTCACTTAATAGCTGTCTATGCTAATTTCTTTAAGTATCCCATAGCCAACAAACCAATTAGTATTTTATCTGATCGATGGCTAATATATTGCTAATTTATCTTCTCTTTATGGAACGGATAGCAGTCTTGTTGGAGTTAACAGCAATGATTTAAATAATTACAAAACATATAATTATGCTACTAATGTATTTTATGGTTGCATTTTAACCTTCTAATACTTTTTTCGCTTTGTTTATGGGTCAGGTAATCCAAGATCTACTTATATTGCATTATCAAATCAAGACAGATTGTAAGTAGAGCTACTAAATTTATTTAATTAATCAGAACAGGATCAGCTAGATTCAATAACTGTAAATCGTGATTTAGTTACAAAGCTAATGGTTTTGATTTTAATTATATGTCCTTTATGTGTATCAATTGTCTTACCTCTTTATGCATACATATAAACCAAAAGACAGGAGATTTTAATGCTGTTTGGAACATTCAGTATATAGCGTCTAGATTAGTGCATGCAAGATACCAAATTCACCACTTTCTACTTATTTGATATTAGCTCTAATTAGGCCGCAAGTTAAAAATAAAATGTTTAAAGGTAGTTGCTAAATAGTAAAGAGACATAAAAAAAATAAACACTAAGTTCATCAACTCCCTTACCAAAAATATCATTAGTCCTTGTTTTCTTAAGTATAGTAATAATTCTCTTCACATTACCTTATCCTATAGCAAATTAATAAATATCTTTCAGATTTATAGATTAAGACAGTTTAACACTTTAGCTTAAGCGTATATTTTATTAATTTTCAATTTTTGAATAATAAAATATCTTTTTTAAAAAGTCGAATTATCATAGCTTCGTATGAATATTCTAGAATCAGTAAGCAGTGCCTATTACTCTTTCTATTTAAAGATTCATCCAGAATTATAGAAATAATATAATATAACCTATTATATGACAAAACTTTAAAACTCAACCTCAAATATTGGATAAACGCAGCTACAAATTTAATCTTTATTTAATTAAATCTCCTTATAAAACATGTAAATTTGTTAATTATTATAAATTTTACTCATTTACTATTAATTATTTTTCAACAATATGCTGAAAAATAAAATTTAACTACATTTAAAAGCTTAACCAATAGATAGTGCCTAAGTGATAAAACAAATTTATGAATTTTGTTGTCACATGAATAAGGCATAATAAAATTTATGATATTTTATATACAGATTCAATTAAAATATTGAATTTTTAGTAAAAATAATTTTTTTAAAGTGTTAACAAAAATTTCTCATTTTTTATAAATTTTAATGCTTAAAAATCTCCCTTAAATAAAAATTAAATTAATTAATTAATGTAATCCCTTAAACAATTTTAGGTTATCTGCAAATTATCTTTTACAAAAAATAATTTAAAACATTTAAAAAATTTTGAAATTTTGATGAAATTATTTTAATTAATAAATGCAGTTTTTGTTGTGAATATAATTTATTTTAAAAATTATTTTATTTTAAAGTTAAATATTTTTAAATAATTAAGTGAAAACAAACTTTAATAAAAAATAGGTTTTAGCAAGATTTTTATAATAATTTCATTCCTAGCTACTTTGAAAAAAGCTTATGTGGCAGTTATGTTTAATCTTCATATGTTGTATAACTTACTGATTTAAATCAATAAATATGTGACTAGCTTCATAATGGAATTTTGAATTAAGGAGCTTTCTTTATTTTAAAAACAACTATCTAAATATTAAATGATTACTATGAAATGGCTTAGATATAATCTATATCAGATTTTTAGAATGCATATTAATAATATGAATAATCTTTTTCAACTATGGACTTTAATTAAATGTTTAATATATTAGCTGATACATTAGATGCTATGACAGATGGTATTGACAAATAAATGACTAGTTATTTTGATTATATAAAAGTAATATCTATTATTTTGATGGTCTATCAATTTTTGGTTGTTGGAGTAATTTTGATTATAAGTTGGATTTTCTTCTATATTTCTCTTGGAAGGTAGCTCAATGAAACCAAACAGCTTTTATCTGTAATAGACATTTATTCTATAGTTAACAATCCCTATATACATAACTTCTTAATATAAAATTTAAGGAGCTGATTAATAATGTTAAATATTCTATTTATATTTGTTAGATAATAGAGATTTACTTTTAATTTAGTCAAATTTTTTATGTTTTAAATCAAAAGAAATAACAAAAAAAGTATTAATAGGTATTTCAATAAGATACACTTAAATTTTTGTTAAAAACAAGCTAAAGAAGTATTAAAAATACATCATAAATATTAAAAAAATATTTAAATTTTTTTCTTCATTTAGATTACAAATTTTATATTAAATAGAATGAAAAAGAAGTTTATATAAAATGATTGTATTTTAATTGTGTTAAATCAATAAGCTTCTTAAAGAATGAAAGCTTAATTCATAGAGTCTGTTAGTTTAATATTAAAAAACTTAATGTTTAACTAGTAATAATCAGTACATTAAATTTTATTTATTCCTGATTAATATGAAAAACATTTTAGTTAGAAAACAAGTGAACCAAATTTTACCTAAGTATTATTCAAGGACATTAGAAATTTTCAGGATAAAGCGAAAGAATTCATTGAAAATGTTGATGTTTAGGAAAAAATAAGTTTTATAGAAGTACTTTATAATTCTAGAAATGAATTAACTGCCTTTGCAAAATACAAGCAATTGAATAAAAAATTATTTTTTTTTATGGGAGAAACTGAATCCTTTTTCTTTGGTTAAAGCAAAATGTTTTAACTTTAGGAATTCATTATGCACCTTAAAAGAGTAAGAAAATAAATATTTTTGCATTTGAAAATTATTTTAATAGTTTTATTTGTAATAATAGGACTAAATTAAAATAACTCTTATAGGAGAAGAAATAATGAAAAATTTAAGAGAAGATTCAGTAACAGATTGGAAGGATAATTAAAATATAGAATTTCTTATTAAATTGAAGAACCAAATTTCGAAAAAAAATATTCAATTTCTAACATCAGAAGAAGCTTTATAGATATCACTCAGGATAAAACCTAAGCAGATTCTCTAGAGACCTAAATATAATGGCACATTTTAAATCAGAAATGAATTAACTGCTGATGTAGTAGTTTTTACTAAAACATTGGAAAAGCATTTATTAAATTTGAAGACCTATTCCAATATAACAGAATGGAATCCAAGTACTTAAAGATAAATGGTTGAATAATAAATATAATATTATTAGGTAGATGATATATTACTTGAAAATCCTGTGTAGGACATATCTAAATACTATAAATATGGTACATTATATATATTGTTGGTAAATTAATTGTAGTTTAAAACAATTTTTATTATTTAGGAAATTAACTTGTTAAAATGAGTGAATTATTTTTGAATTAAATAAATCTCTTTACACTAAAGGAAATTAAGTTAATTGGATCAGTTTAAAAGTCGTCGATACCAAGATAATCATTTATGTCTGGCTGTGATATTTTATTTGCTAAGCAAGATTCAAAACGATCTAGATATATAATTGCAAGTTTAATAAAAGCATGCTTTGAAGAATAAAGGTATCTTGTAGCTAGATTTGTTCTAAGGTAGAACAGCATTCCAAAGCTAGTAGTTTTGATTCCACATCTTAAAAAAAACTGTGAGTATTTTTATATCATAGAATTGCCAACTGTAGAATCTATTAGAGATTATTCCTTTAACAGTCTAATAAGATCTACTCCAGAACAATAAAAACTTATGAGCTAATTGATAGACGAATTAGATTTAGATTAGGATGAAAAAAACTAAAATTAATTTAAGATCGGATCACAACCAAATGAGACCATTGCTAAAATTAATGATCTAATATTGATGAGGTTATTATTATCATTATTAATTAATTTAAATTATTTAAAAATTTTTATTTAAATTGGCTTTAACAAAATTTATTATTTTGAAATTAATTTTGAACAATAAATCATGAATATGATATTAAATAATCTATTATTAAATTTTCTATTCAATTTTAATAACACTAAAATTTAGTTTAATAAGTTTATGCTTTGATAATTAGTTAAATATAAAAATCTTAATTTTGAAATAAGAAGAAATATGAGTGATAATTAATTAAATAAAACTTGAATGAATATTCTTTTTTAAATGTTAAAATTTTAAGTTTAATTTAAATAAATTTAAAATTTACTTATTTTATTTTTATAATTAAAGAGGAATGAATGTGAATGAAGAAGAAATTAATAAAAAGTTATTTACAAAAGAATATTAACAAACATTTAAATCAGCTAGTTAAAAACTTCTGAGTAATATTAATGAATAATTTAATTTAAAAATCATTAATTAGTAATTGTATCATGATAGTTTTAACTAAAAGATTTATTGGAAAAATTTAATAAGTTAAAAAGATGATAAATTATTTAATGATTTAAAAGATATATTTGGCTCAATCGAAAAATAGAATTATAAAGATTTAACAAAAAAAGCATATTAATAAATTGATTTTAGTATGCCATAGTCAAAAATTATTTCAATTCTATCTTAACCTCTATTTGATATTAGAGAATTTTAAGAATATATTCAAATTGTGTAAAATTTAATATACAAAACTATGGATACATTTATAAAAGGATATACTAGTAATATTATTATTGAACTAATTCTTTTAATCAGAAATAAATCTATCTAGTTTGAATAATATGAGGTAATCTATTATTTTAAATTTGATCAAATTACTTTAAAAATTAATTAAAATAAATTATATTTTAAAATTAAATTAAAAATAATCAATTTTATTGATTTTAAATTACTCTTAATTTGTTTAAATCTAGTTTAATAAAGTAATAGAATCATTACAAAATTTATTTAAAATAAATCATAATATTTTAATCATATAAATAGGCATTTAATTAGTTTTTACTCAAATTTTATGAGAAGTTTCAAAATGATTAATTTATTTCAGAGATTGTTAGTAGTGAGATAAACTTAATTTCAACAGAAAACCATTAAAATTCAGTCATATTGACTTAAATCGAAGAGGAATTTTTAAGATAAAATCTCTTATAAAAGGAAATGTCATCACTCAGAGTATCAAGTAAAAATTAAGAGAATATATGCCAAAATTAAACTTCTAAGATGAAAAAAATTTTAGTGAATAGCTTAAAAAATAATCAAAATAATGATGAAGAGATATATTATTCTGATGAATCAGAAACAAATCAAGCAAGAAGGCAAAAAGAAAATGATAATTCTCTTCCATAGGATAATCATGAAAATTAATAAAATTTTAATACTTAATAATAAAAGAAATAAAATAAATAATTAGTTTCATTCACTTAATTAAGCAGCTATAATTCAATTTATTCAGAATCTGAGACTTCTTAGCATGAAGATTAAATCATTTAAAATAATTAAGATCTAAATTCTTCTATTGAAGAATCAGGAGAAGAAGAATAAAAATAAGACTTAAAAAGAAACAAAGGAAATTTTTCCAAAAAGCTTAATTTAAATGATGTTAATTTTAAACTATGCTCAGATAATAAACTTTTAAAAGAAACTCTCATAAATATCGACCTCACATATAGAAAACCTTAAGTATTCATTAAATGATTTATATAAATTTAAATAATAATTTTATCTTAAAAAATAGGTAAAAAATATACCTTTAGAGTCAACTCCAGTTTAAATTTTTCAAAAATTGTGGTCTGATGAAATTTGGAAATTAATTACAGATGAGACAAATAAATATTCTAAACAAAGCTTTGATTTAAATTAATACAATTTAGACAGTTAAAGTCTAAAAAAATAAAAAATTTGCTTTTTTAGTTAAGACTAAATAAAAAGATTTATAATTTGTGAGATTCTAATGGGAATATAAAGACTTCCCAGCTTTAGTGACTATTTTAGTTCAGACCCATTATTGTCTGGAGGTTTGAACAGGATTTTAGGAAGAGAAAATTATTAACTGCTGACTAGATATTTGCATATTTCTGATAATTAAAGTAGAATGGTTCATGTAGATGATCATACAAAATTTAAATAGTTTTAATCGATTTTAAATCGAAACTATTAATAATTTTATGTTCCTTCAAACTATCTTGCAATAGATGAGGGCATTATACCATTTAAAGGTAATTTATATATTCTTAAATTTTAAAGTCTAAACAATTTCATAAAAAAAGGAAAAACAAAATTTAAAGTGTATTGTCCCTAAAAGCCTGTTAAATTTGGAATTAAAGAGTATTTATTTTGTGATTACAGTGGTTACACTCTCAACTTAATAATTCATTCACCTCATGAAAAATAAAATATCAGAGACATTTATCAACCCTAAACTCTTTAAACTCAAGACATTGTAAATGAGTTGATCAAAGACTATTAGCCACTTTCTGGAAGTATTTTAATCATGGATAATTATTATAATTCATTAAATTTAATACATGATCTTAACTAACAAAATATCGGAGTCCTAGGAACTGTTAGGTAAAATATTTAATTTTTATATTATAAATTTAATTCAATAATTAAAATTAACAAATAAATAAATATTTTTTTAGCATATAATAATTTTTTGAATTCTATTTTTTCAAAAAAAATAAAATACAACAAAAGGTCAAATGAATTTTAAATACTAAACTAAAATTTTTTCAAAAACACTTTTTATTTACAACAAAAATTGATTTTTTATCTTATTCATAATAAATAATTAAATTAAAGTATCTTTTAGGAAAAAAAGAAGTTTAAACAAAGAAAAATATTTAAAATACAGACTGGATAATTTCATTTAATTTTATTTTAATGATTAAAACTTACAATTTAACTAAGTTAATTTTTACTGAGAAATATTTACTTTTGATTAAAAATTAAGAAAAATTAAAATTTATTTTAATTATTTTTTAAATTGAATTTATTCTTTAAAAATATTACTAAAAATTCCTTAAAATTTTTAACTTAAAATGAAATAAAAAAATAAATTCACTTTGATTTTATATTTATTTAACGACAAATTTAAAATTTAAAAATAAAATAATTTATTTAAAAAGGCCGGATAGAATGAATTTTACTGAAGAATAAAAAAAAATGATGAAAATTTAAAATTTTAACAAAGGAGAGACAAAATCTTTAACTAAGGATAACATTCATATATTCCTTTGGAGAGATAAAGATAAGCTTGTTAAAATGATTACTAACTTTTTAGATAATAGAAAAATTGTGAAAAGTATGAAAAAAACAGGCTAAATTAAGACTATTCCTTTAATGGTAAATAATAAAGTTTTAAATTACCATTTAAATACTAAAATATATTAATTAGGTTGATATTTACAATAAATATGCCCACTCGGTAGACAAGAGAAACTAAATATGCTAAAATTATAGAATACACAAAAGATCCTAAAAGTGGTGGAAATGTGTTTTTTATCGTTTATTAGATACAACACTTTGCAATGCTTACATAATTTATAAGATATTAAATGAAGGAAAAAAGAGCCTCTTAACACATAAAGACTTTAGAATTAAAATAGTAGAAGAGTTAATTCAAAGTTTAAATGAATCAACAGCTCAACTCACTAAATCTTTATCCCATAATAGAGGTATTATCTACTCTCTAATCGATATAAATAAAGTTAGAAAGTAAGGTGTACAACAAGAAATTATAGCTCATTTTCTAGAAAGGTAAAACTAAGTCGGATTATGCTCACTTTGCAAACAAGCTACTTTTTTTACCTGTGAATCATGTAATTACGGTAATAAAAAGATTGCCTTATGCCCTGTGAATTGTCATAAAGAACATATGAAAAAAGTTTATAATCTTATAGATAAGTGATATTAATAGAAAATATTTTATTCTAAGCAAAAGTAAAACATCATTATGTAAAATAGTAAACTGAATTAAAAAGCCAAAATAAAAAAATTTAATTTTGAATAACTGTATTTTATTTGTAGCGAATTAAAAGTCAACTAAATAAATTTGTTAACTTATTAATAATAAAATTTATTTTAATTTCATTATTTATTAAAAAATATTTATTTTAATATAATTTAATTACATTCACATTTATTTATATAAATAAATATATAAATAAATAAATGTGACTGTATTTTATTTTACAAATTAGAATAAAAGACTATCTATCTATTTTTGAAATTATTTCGTTAAATTTCTATTAACTAACGAAAGAAGTATCAAATATTAAATCTTGCTTGTTTTTAGAGTGTAGATATCATATATAAATATGCAAATAAAAAGATTCATTCATTCATTTATTGATTTATTTTTTTAATTTTTTGTAATTTTTTACTGTTTTCTTTTGAATTATTAGATCAAATAAATAAATTACAAATAAAATTAATTAAGTAGAGAAATCTTATAAAATAAATTCATTATTGATAAGTAAATAATAAATAGATAAGTAAGTAGTATTTATTTTATATTGAGCTATTAATTAAATGTCAGATAAGGGTGTAATAAATCCAGATTTTATAAGGCAAACTGTTCAAGATGAGCAGTATTATTGGAATAATATTGAAGTGATTTGCCAAAGTGTTTTAGGAGATAAAAAAAAGTATTAACTCATTATTAAACTACCATTCATTTATATCTAAAATTTATAGAGAAACTTATGCGCCAATTTTATAAGTGGTTTAGGAAGTCTTAGTGGATGACGGTTAAAGTGGAGTTGTTAAACTTTTAACAATAAGAGTATTATTATTTATAAATAGTAATTTAAATATAATTTTAAATAAATAAAAGCTCTTAGGTACATTGGTTTATCCTTAGTCAGCATAATTTGAACAGTATTAAACTAATACTAATTTTGTTTCCAGATTGCTTAAATCCAATGATATTTTAAACGTTTTATATGAAATTTGTTTGTATAAAGCTGAAGTATAAGATGATAATAGAGGTGAAAGTATGTTTAAATCTGAAGGTAATCACTTTATTGATTTTACACATTTTTGAACATTTATTAAAAATTATGAAGGAAAGGAAATAGGAAAGGAATTTCTAAAATATTGCCTCGAATTTGTAAGATTTTTAGCAACTACATGGGAAAATTCTAAAACAAATAGCGGAGATATAGTGCAAACACAATTTAGTATTATCTATTAGAACTTGTAATAAAGTGGTGTTAAATTCCCAGATAAAAATTCTTATTTTGGTGAAATTAAGAAGAAAAAATCATCAAAAACCTAATAATCTCAAGCTGCAACTTAATAACCTTCTTCTAAAGTTCAAAAATAGGCTGCTGGTGATTCAGCTTGTAAAATTAAATACTTTTTGATAAAATAATAGGACAGAGAATATTTTTAATAGTTTTTAAATAAAATGAAACTTAGTTTCGCATAATAAATATTTTTATATCAAAAATTAATTATTTAAATATTAAATTAGCAGATAAATTAATTGCAGATTGTTTATCCCATGTTGAACCTCTTCTCAATATGGTTAACTCAAATGCAAGCATTATTCCAGCAATTTAGGATAGTAAATATTCATTAAAATTATACAGAAACTTATTTTTACTTTCATAGAAATTGAGAACGATTAGGTGATTTATGTTTCTTATGTTTAGAAGTTATAAGAATCTATGGAGGATGCTAAAGATTTTGAGACTCTCTGGGCTTTCCTTGAATTTTTTAATGAATTAACTCAGGAAATTGAAAAAATAAAGCAAAATAATTATTCTAAAAAAGCTTATATTTCGTTCAGAAAAAGAGTATTAGAAGTAGGTAAACTAGATATTTTACTTTTTAAGATGAGATCACATTTTTATTTTTTATTTTAGCTTAATAAAAATTAGAAAAATTTTGGTAACCTTCTTCTGCCTAAGCTTAAGCTTAATCAGTAGCTGAATCTCAAAAGTAGCCAGAGAAAGTGAAGTAAGTTGAGCAAAGCCAAAAGTAATAACCTCAAGAAACAAATACCGGAGGAGGTGGAGGATTTGATAATTGGGGAGGAGATTTTAACTAAGGATTTGATTTTAATGCATAAAATCAAGGAGGAGGAGGAGGCTTTGACTTTAATGCATAAAATTAAGCTGGAGGATTTGGATTTGACGGTGGGTTTTAAAATTTTAATTTTGAGGAGCAGAAAAAGGCAGAAGAATTAGAAGAATAAACACGCTTGCAAAAAATTTAGCAAGAATAGTAGTCTCAAGTTTAAAAATAACAAGAAGAGTCAAAAGATCAATAAAAATAATCCTAAAAAAATAACAATTTCTTTGATTAAGAGCAACATGAATTGGACAAATAGTTTAATAAAGGAGGATTTGATTAAGGTTTTGGAAATAACTTTGATAATGGTGGATTTGGTGATTTTGGCAATAATAATGACTAGGGATTTGGAGGAAATTTTGGTTAAAATAATTAAGGATTTGGCAACGAATTTGAATAAAATAACTAAGGGTTTGGTAATGAATTTGGAAAGAATGATTAAGGATTTGGCAATGAGTTTGGATAGCATGATTAAGGATTTGGTAATGAATTTGGTACTTTCCAAGAAAAGCATTAGAATAAGGATGCAAATAACTTTGATTAGGGATTTGGAGGATTCTGGGATAACAATTAGCAATAAGAACCTAACAGAAAACAATCTTAAGATAAATCTCCTCAATTTACAAACAATTAATTTTTCGATAACTAAGATACAATCAAAGAACGTCCTCCAGCATAACCAAATAATTAAGATTTCACTGGATTCGGTGGGTTCGGAGACCCTCAACAAAGCCAAAACTAGCAAGGGTTTTAGAATTAAAACTAAACAATGAAAAAGTAATAATAAAATAATAGAGCCTCTCCTTAAAATCAGAATCAGAACACATTTTATAATTTTGATGGCTCAGGTGATAAAAGTCATAGTTATGCATACAACATGCAATAAAACCAAGATAATAGAAGTAAATTTTAGCCTAATTTTTAATAAAATACTTATTTAAACATAAATAAATTTAATTAAATTAGGAGGTGATTTCAGAGATAGTTTTGTTGAGTTTTCAGAATTAAGTAAAAAAAATTTATTCATTTAAAATCCATTTAAACAATTTAAATACTTTTATTATAGGCAAAAGTGACATTTCAGCTAGAGACTTCCCTTTAAGAAACACCATAATTAATGTAAAAGAAGTTAGGGGCACACTTCATACTTTCAATAAAGAGACATTTTAAGTCTTACAAGATTATAATGTTACTTAGTAAATAGTTAGAAGATTTAAAATAGCTAACTTAAAAGTGAAGAGTCCACTTATTGAATCTCAAGATTTTTAAGTAGGTGTAATTTCAGAAAGGATTTTTGATTAAAACTCTTCTCGTTATTTAATAAAATGTGACTTATTTTTCGGGAATAAGGTAATTTATTTACTATTTTTTTTTAAATGTTTAAATATGATTTTTTTCATGATATTAGACAAGCTATAATGTGGAGAATTTCAACATAGAATTCGAAGGAGATTACAGTAAAATATTTAACATTAAAAAATAATATTAAAATTCTTATTTTTATAAATAATACAATAGCTTCTCATCTCTACATCAAAAATGACAAATTTCCAGATATAATTGAACCTAAGAAGTAATACAAATTAAACTCGATGTTGAGTTACACAAAGACTCCTTATAGCTTGATAAACGCAAATGTTCAAGGAACTATAAATGGAAATGAATTTTACTTTACCATATTTGTACCCAACTTGCTTCCAAGATATGTTCATTTTTATGAACCCTCGAACAATATGCTATATTTCAGATAAAAATGGAGATAAAAAAGAGACCAAATCATTAAAAGTGACCAATTTGCTCTCAATAAGAGAGTAATCAGAACTCCTATTTATTTCAAAAGATACTTCCCTCAATTTTCCGAGAATATGTCTCTTGATGATTTTATATATCATAATAAGAGTAATACAAATGTGTTAAACTATAAGCTAAGAGGTACAGTAGAATTAGACATACCAAGTATAGAATACATGGTTAAGTTTATAGTTAGGCCTAATTTTACTGCCGTTATTCAAGTTATTCCTTACAGTGGATATTTAAATACTGCAAAAGCTTTAATAGATCATTTCGTTTTCATTTTTGGTTAGCAATGATTCTCTTTGAGATTTAAATTAATGATTAATATAATGTACATTTTTATATGTATAAATAAATAAATTCTATTGTACCCCAAAGATAAATTTATTAAATTGCTTATTTGTGTAAGATTTTCATTTTTAATCAAAAATATATCAAAATGAATTGTTAAATAATCAATTAATTAAATATTTATTAAAAAAATTAAATAAATATTATAAATTATCAAAAAAATATTAATTTAAAAAAACTAATTTGTTTAATTTTACTATTCAAAATACTAAAAAAATACTTTACATTTAATCATTTTAGTAATTTGCATAAAACTATTAACATATGTAATACTATTTTCTTTTTTCTAATTAAAAGCCAAAAAAATTTGATCAAAAAATGAATAGAAAAATAATCAAAACATTCTAAAATAATTTCTGTATTGAAGTATATGAAATATTTACTATTTAATTTTACAGATATAATTAATTAATAATAAATGACAATAATAGATTAAACATAGATTTTAATAAAATATGGAGGAAATCTGACTGTTACTGATTTTATTCTATTTAGTAAAAGTGATCTATTTATTTTATCTTTTTCATTACTGTCAGTCAATAAAATATTTTAAAATAAATTTGTTTTTACAAAAAGAATAGTAAACTCATACTTCATCAACTTATTAATACTTAACTAACTGTTCAAAGTTCTAAATTTTTTATTTAAAAAATAATTATTTGATAATCTCTACATGTTATTCTTTTCTATTTTAAATCAGAATTTATCACAAATACCTTTGCTTTAAAATCAAGCAGAGTATTTTAATTTTTATGAATAAAATTTTTTAATACAATTAATTCATAAAATATAATTAAACAAACTTTAATTAAAATTTTGAAATTAATAAAAATCAAACCAAAAAGAAGGTTTAAGTTCATATTTCACTCAAATATACACAAACTGCAAAACCTTCTTATTTAGTTAAGAATTTTTGTTTTGTAAAATTTCAAATCAAACTTATTTACTGTAAAAACAATTTTTTTACTCTAAAATTTAGAAAAAAGCTTTATGTATTTTTATTAATTTTAGTAAACTTTAAAAATGAATATAATCAATAAATAATAATCACTTGAAATATCACAAATTATGATATCATGGTAGGTGGTGATATTTCAAATCAAAGAACAGCTATAAGTAAAACTAAAGTTAACAAATTGCAAAATAGTCACTCAAATAAGGTGTCTAATACAACTAGCCTTCTCATCTTTAAGGCTTGTCTATAATGGGATAGTTAATTATAGTAAGAAAAACAAAGCCTGATATTTAGCTCTAACACTTTAATGTTTTAAGAATTGAGTAACTATTTACATTTCAAATATTTTTCATCTTCATAAAAGATGCACCTCAAAGTTAATAATTTAGGTAATTAACTTAAAGTATTTCCCATTCTTAAATTTTCTTCACCGCTAATATGATTTTAGATGAAATTAAATTTGAAATCTTAGAGATTTACACATTTACCTATTGCATCGCTTAAAGCTTAAGCACCTGAATCACCAATAGAGTTACCCCATAAATATAAGCATAAATTTGTAATTTAAGGGCATTTGCTCAACCCATTTGCAATTAAAATTGCTCCTTCGTTTGCAAGATTATTTAAGTATAAGTAAAAATTTAATTTTGTAAGATTTTAGCAGTTCACTAACCATAGATTTATCTCTGCTAATCCTTATTATTTAAACTTGTTTCCTGAAAAATTGAAGTTTAAATCTGTAAGTTTTGTACAACAACTAAATCCAGTTCCTATATTTGATATACCTTCTTACTATTGTTGGAAGTACATCAATAAGTTAAGCTTTACTAAATCCTTGCATTATTTTAATCCCTAACCAATAGCAACAACCCCTTATTAGCTAATTCTGTTTTCACTAAGAAGTAAAACCAAATTTTATAACTTAGAACATTTACTCAAACCTGCTCCGATACCAGATGCTCCAACATCTTCTATAACATTTTATAATATTTCAAGCTCTAAATCTAATATATTTTAGCAGGAACTTAAACCTTAACCTATTGCTACAGCTCCTTTATCTCCAATTTAATTTTAGTTTAAATACAATAATAGATATGTGAGATTTTATAAATTGCCTAACCCTTTCCCAATACCGATTGATCCTTCATCACTGATTTTATTTTATTAAAGATATAATTTCAATATGTTTAGGTTTTGACAGCTTTTTAACCCTTCACCTATTGCAGAAGCCCCTAAATCACCAATTAAATTATTAGATAAAATAAGTCTTAACTCTACTAAAAGAGTGCATTTTGTTAATAATTTATTTAGAGTAAATACTCCTTCATCCCCAATATAGTTGTGGTATAACCCTAATTCTAGAAAAGTAAGATTTTAGCAATTACTTAATTCTTCAAAAAAGGCTGAAGCTCCATCGTCTTGAACTTAATTTTCCTCTAAAGTAACACTTAAGTGAACTATATTTTAACATTAGCCCAGCGTATTGCCTAAAGCCTTTGCCCCTTACTCTCCCAGATCATTGTTGCCAACTTGAAGATGGAGCTTTTGAATCTTATTAAGCTCTCTAAAAATTTTTGCTATATCTATCTGATAAGCTTTAAAATTCCATATCACATTTTTCCAATATTAGAGTTAAATTTGAAATATTTTAACACTTTTATAAAAATGATTATATCATATTTGAGACTTTTTATTTGATATCATTTTAGCTAAAGTTAAGTTTTAAAATTTCTATATTCCTAAATTCTTATAAATTCTTGAATAGTAAAGTGGCCTTGTGATCATTCATTTTAATGTTATCAAAATATAATCTTATATTCTAAGCATCTTTGAATTAATTTAAGCATAAATTAATTAAATCAATATATTATTCAGAAATGTCGAAGCCGCTTAATTACAGATTAAGATTAGTGTCACCATTTATGTGAGATTAAACAAAATCTTACAGCTTTTAGAATGCATTTTAGTATTACAACATATTATTTCTTCTAAATAAGAGTATCTTGATAAAAATCCTATAAATTCGTTTTAGCTTTACTATTTTAAATTGCTTTAATTATATTTTAATTAATTGTAGATAATAATATTAATTCCTAAAATAAATAGGTTTAAAAAATACCTTTAATTATTCAAAGCGAATTCATACATAGTATAATTGTTATTGCAATAAAAAAATGCAAAGTAATAATTAAACCTTTAAGAATTAGATTAGATTTTTATTTATAAATCTAAATCCACAAGGTCCTTAAAAATTTAGATAATAATTCAATTAATTAAAAATAAAATCTTTTTTTATTTTATTAAAATTTATTATTTTATATGAATTTAATCATAAAATCTATATTCAAATTAAGAATCTATTTAATTGGAAATAAAAAAAATTGATCTGTTGATCAAGAAAGAAAAAAAATAAAAACATCATAAATTAATAAGAATTAAATAGAATAATTAAAATATGAAGTATTTTTTTCAATTTTTAAATAAAAGATAGGCAATAACTAGATAGATGATTAGGAAAAAATAAATTAAACAAGCTATTTATTTAATAAAATAAATTTTTATTTTATAACGAGTAATTTTAATTAATTAATATAAAATTCAATTAAATTTTTTTATAAAAAAGTCCATCAATTATTAAAGCAAAATTTAACAAAAAAATCTTTAAAAAATAAAAATAAAAGAAATAATAAATCTTAAAGAATAAATTACAATATAGAAAAAAGTATTTAGAGATAAAGGACTTAGCCTTAAATTTTTAATTTAATATTAATATGACAATTAAAAAGATTAATTAGAATTAAAATATAATAAATAGATAAAATTTAGAAAAAATACTTTTACAATTACAGTAAAACCTTGGCCAACGACTCACTTAAACATTTTTTAGATAGATCATACGAAAGACCATTAAAACGGAAAAAAATATTAAAAGTAATTTTCAAATTTAAATTTAAACTTCCATAACTACAGTATCTATTTTAAATTATACATGAAATCCTTCCTAAATATCCTTTAATTTATTAAAATAAAAAAGAAACAAAATTAAAGCTAATCTCTGTTGTAGAAAATGAATACATACACAAACAATTTCTAAAAAGAAAATAATAATGAGAAAAGCAAAAAAAATAAGATTTTAAAATAATTAATTAAATAGTTCAAAATTAGAAATAATTATAGAATGATTTATAATAACCAGCTAAAAATAAAATAAAGTGACCTATTACACTTAGAGAAATGCTTTAATTTTCATAGATGCAGCACGGCTGTTAATATTCTGTTATTATAAGTGAATAGATTAGGTAAATTTAATAATAAATAAACTTTTGAATATAGGTTTATGAATAATGTAAGCTGAGTAAAAGAAATATAAAGTCATAAAATACAAAGTTAAAAATTTACAATTTATTCATAATATATATTATAATAAATCTTTTCCATGTTGTCAATAACTTTGTTAAAGCAAGAATTTATCTAGACTTATGTAGTTTGCTTCCAAAAAGTCAATAAGCATTTTGCTATTTGTTTAAAATTTTCATTTAAATAAAATTATTTTGAATTTTTATTTTAATATATTCCATATATATTTTATAGATTTCTAATCTGGGCAGTTTTATTTTTCTTTTGAGGATTAGAAATCTTCTTTTGACTAGTTTTGATAAATTATTACTCATTTTATTCTTCAATTTGTGTTTATTCTTTTATGTATTGTGTGATTATTCTGACTATTATTGAGAGCTTGATAATTCAGAAATTTGACTATTATCACATGATTTTAATAGTTTAATTGATCTAGTTATTGAGCTCTAAGAAATTTAATATTTATCACACAACTAACTATTTCTATGAAATGTTATTTTTATCAGATATAAACTGATTCAATAAATCTTTGTTATTTAATATCTTCTTCATCAAAAAAAAAATTTGCTTATATAAAAATAAAGAAAAAATAAAAATGAAATTAGAAAAATAATCATTTAATTCATGAATAAGATATAAACTAGATTAATGTAGTAAATCAAAAATTATTAGATTTATTCATTTAAGCCATTTTTTATTTTGTTCAAAAATAGTGATAGAATATCACTAAATTTTAGAATGGCTATTAGCTATATAAACATATTTACATCCATACATTATTCCTATCAATAAATTAGATACATTTTAAAAAGTAGAATAATCATGAAAGAAGTAGAGCAACAAAATCTTTATTGTTAAATATTTTTATTTAAATTTACTTCTAAATCATTTTTAAAACAAATCAATAAAAAATTGTTAAAAAGTTTAAAAAAACAATATTTTAAATCTTTTATAACAAATAATCTCTATTAATGATTATGAACTTAGTTTTAAATTTTGAACCTAAAAAAGTTAAGAATTGATTTAATGAATTGATAGTAAAGTATAATTATTGAAAGATATTTATTTTTACAATTTTAATTAATTGATTTTTTTATTATAAGTAAGTAAGTAAGTAAGAAATTAGAGATATAAAATATAAATAAATATTTACATTAAATAAAATATTACTTTTGAAACTAAATTAAAGCTATTTCTAATTTATTGAAATAAATAATTAAATTTTTATTATAATAGTTAATTGATACAAATGAATTATAAATTTTTAAAAATAAATTTCAAATATTCGGATAATCAGGCAAAGCATAGAAATCTTTTTAGTTAGAGTCTTATTCTTTTAAATTTGCTTCTGTTGTTTGTTTGTATTAGGAATTGTTAAGATTTTCTAAATCAACATCATAGACAAATAATGATTAATTTAATGAAATTTGTGCTAAATTATTTTTAAAACTTTTTGACAAGTCGTAGCCTGACTAGTTTTAAGATTTTAGTTTAGGCTATTCTAATTGATTATCTTATCTGGAACTTTACTTTTCCATGCATATTTATAGGTCAAGATCTTTCTTTTGGTTGTTGTACTGTGAATTAGATAAATTTGAATCAAGGAATTCTTCTTATATGTTATCTATTTTAGGTTTTTATTTTTAGGAAGACTTTGTTTATTAATTGGATGCATGGCTTTTATCTTCAGAGGATTTTGATTTACTTTTAGAGCTATCACTATCTTCGCTACTTTCAGAATCACTGTATGATTGTTTCTCTTCGATTGGCTAATTGGAATCCTGTGTATAAGCTCCTTTCATATTATTGAAAATAGATAATCTTCCTGGTTTATTTGTAGATGAACTTGTAAAAATATAAGGATTCTTTTAATGAGATGTTATATTTTCATCAATTGGCTTTTCTTCTGGAGATAAGCACTCGTTAACAAACTGATTTTTTGACGGTAGTTTTGGTGCACTGCTGTAAATGCCATCACATAAATGTAAGCTATTTTTAGAGTTTTATTTTTGCTTCATAATTTAATTTAAATCTAAATCTTCTAAGTGCTTAGATCCAACATTTTCATACTATGTCTTCGAAGCATTTCTAATTGGAGTTGATTTAGGTGTATTGTCTGATTGTCCTTCTATAATTTTTGATAGTTCAAATATTTCTCTCAGTTCAGTTCCTAATTCCTTGACCAATTACCTACTAACTCTTTTTAAATTGTATGGAATCTTAAGAAACTTAGTTTTTTTAAATTAATTTTACTTATCTTGCAAATGGTAAGGTCTAATATTTTCATAAGCTTTGTGTAATTTCTAATTTAAATAATAAATAAATATTAGCCTATAATTTTTTGCATTAAAGAGATTTCTATTAAATAAAAAATTCAGAATAATCTAAAAATGATTAATTAATTAATTACTTCATATGCTTCAATGTTGTCATACTAAAGTTTTTTACAAAAGAGAGACTCTTATTAGGATGCTGTATTATTTATTGAATTCATCTTATTTCTATTTGATAGTGTTTCAGATTTTCGATGCTTAATTTACAAATTTCGTAGACTTAGGGTTTAAAGGAAATCGTCATTTTTTTATATTAAAGGCTTCTGGCTAAAATTAAAAAGAATTAGCTGATTTTCATCAAGTAAAATTTTCTTTATCTTCTCAATTTCTTATAATTTATCAAGTATTATATAAATATCTAAATCTTTTTGTGCATACTCTCTCGCTTTCTCTATCAGAAAATTCTCTTCTGTATTGAAGCATTTACCGCAAGTGATGAGCCTCAAAAAATACCATATTTTAGCAGTTATTTTCTTGCTTCTGTTTATGATAATTCTGAATTATTCAACCAAGAAGTCCTTTTTATTTTTGAAGCCAATCTCTTTAAAATAAACTAAATTTTATATGATGTTTGATGATTAAATGAAAGTGGGTTTGTTCATTATTGAATCTTAATGCTTGAATATGTTTTCATTCCCGTTTTTGTTCACAATAGGGCTCTCTCCTATTTCTTACAATTCATTCTGCTAATTATTTACAGCATTGCAATTATTAAAAACAGATTGTTTTTTTTTCTTAATATTTGTGTAGTACTAATTTTGTATATTTTCTTAGAATAATTAGAGTTATTTCACTGAATCTTTTCTTTAGTGTTAAAATTTCTAAGCTATACGTTAAATTAATGGATCTTCTTTAACTATTTTACTCTTTGCTTCAAAATTTAAATTAATATTTATTTGCTGTTTTTAAACCTATTCATCTCCTATTTTATCGCCATTCCCATTTACTTATAATTTGGATTGCTTTTAATCATTACTTTATTATTGTGCATTATCTTCAATATCCTGAATATTTTTGAGAGATCTAGGTGTGATTTTTGGGGATTCGCTTTTTTAGTTTGGTTATTTTTGAGATATTGCTTTAAATATTGATCTCTCGTTTTCTATGATTTGTGATGCTTATTTACTTTCCTTTTCATAAATTAGATCTTATTTTAAGGCAACCATCTGTATTGATTATTTCTTAATTTTAAAATGTTCTTTTGGATTTTAAATAATACTTTGTTAAGTCTTCTTATTATCCATTAATTCCTGTTAAGATTTCACATTTTTTAAATTACTGCTAAAGTTAAAATTATATAATTTGTTAGCAATTTCTATTGTAAATTAAAAACTATTATATTTAGTTACAAAAAACCCTGCTACTGTAATAACAAATTTGATTAGACCACCAAACTAAATCATTACATTTGAAAATTTTTAATATTATCTCTTCATACTAATAGTTTCGGGACTCCTCCTAATATAGGAAATTTAATATTCTTTATTTGTACTATCCAAAATAAAGTTTTCTTTAACATCTTAGTAATCCTAAATAATCAAATCTATATTATCATAAGACTAATTTATCAAGCTATTATCATCACTTTGTATATGTACAGGTTTAAAAAATACATCATTTTATTTAAATACTTTCTATGGAACAAATGAGAATGAAAGTTCTTCACTCAAGTATTTATAATAAAATGTTCCCATCTTATTTAAATTAATAGAGTAATTAGTATGATAAATAGTCACTTTGAATTGTTAATTATTAGCTTAAAATTAACTCAATTCTGCGCTTGTTGCGCATCTATCAAAATCCCAAGCTTTATTATTTTCATCGCATTATATTACGCTAATTTTTAGGAACTCAAAAATTTGGCTTGTCTATTATCCTTACAATGTAATTTTAAAATTAGTGCTATTTTAGTTAAAAATTAAATTAATAAATAAACATTTTAAAAGTTAAGTATAAAATCTTATTTAAAATATATCAAAACTATCAATCAATAATCATAATTGTCATTATTATATCATGGTCATCACTAAAATTGATTAAATAAAATGCTTAAGATTTTGACAAACCAAATTCAAAAACTCTCTTTTCAGATTAATAAATCTATGGCGTTTTAGTTAGCTCATGATGAAAAATAAAGTAAGATTATTTTACCATAAATTTTTTAATTATAAAAATTGGTTATTTATTTTTTATTTAGAATGCAAAAGTTAAATTAAATCATTTAAATACGCAAACTATTTTGAATAAGTACTAAAAATTTGTTAATTATGCTGTTTTTAGATTTTTCTACAAAAATAATTGATTTTGAATATTTACATTTGGTAATAGTAATCAAAGTAAATAAAAGATAAATATTTTTAACTTAATATTTATAGTGGAAGAACCAATAGACAATAACTAACTAAGAAGATTGAATTTATAGGTTTTTTATAGACCTTATTGTAACTTAATAAATACAGCTAATCAAAATAATAAAATGTTTAAATATTTACCTCGGACATATCAAATTCTGAATACCAATACTATTTATTGTGTTAATAACATCTTAATCTAAGTTTTTTAAATCTTACTATTAGCATTTCTACATAGTAATAACGCTAAATTATTAATTCTTACTTTGACTTGTGTTTTATACATGACTTATAAAAAAAATATTTAGATTTATAATTTTAGTAAAGAATTTCGAAACTAATTTTTATTTAAATACCAACATTTTTTCATTTGTTTTGCAACTTTGAAAGAAGAATATGAATAATTACTAATTTTAAATACTATTTACCCCTATTCAACTTGGATTGCGAAATAAGGAACACTAGCAAATGAAAGATTATCATTCTATTAAATATTAACAGCAAAAAAAAAGTTATCCTAATTGAGCTCTAGCATGCTAGGATTTGGATTATATTCATTTTGTGTATTAATCAGCAAGTTAGCCTGGTTCAAATAATCGATAAAGACTATTATTGTATAATATAAAAGAATTATAGACATTTCTACTAAAATGTAATTTGTAATAAAAAATAATAATATTACTATTCCAACATAGAGTTGTAATCAATAGCAAACTTAAAATACTTATGATAGCTCCCAGGTAAGATTGGTAATGAGTCTTTTTATCTAAATTCAGACTTATAGGAGTACCAAATAAATCAAATTATTTAATTAGTTTGCCCGATTTTTAGAAGAAAGTCATTATGCTTTGCTTGCTAATTTATCTACTTTTTGCTCAAACTAATAAACAAAATTATTAAATTTAATTATTGGCTATATAATTAAAAATAATATAGTTGTTCTTTCTTTAGTTATTTCAAAATAACCAATGAATTCAACTAAAAGATACTTAACTCTCTACATCGTTCATAAAGTCAATTATTTTATGATAGTAAGTAAAATTATAGATTCGATTTTTTGAAAATAAAAAGAAGTAGAAATTAATTAAAAATAGCTTTTGATCAACAAATCAAATTTACATTCATTTATTCATATTAATTTATTAAAATAATCATCCTTCAATTTGTTAATTAAGATATTTTAGCATCTTAATGAATATTTAACTATTGATAAAAAGAAAATTAGTTATTAATAATTTCAAAAACTAAATAATAATTCACTTCCTCATAAAATTAATTAAGTTCTTTTTAAATCTAATTCTAATTACTGCTTACTAGCAAAAATAATATATATTTGATAACATCCTTTTCAATAGTAACTACTCTTTTTTCTAGTCTTATTTTTTAAATATTTTTATTTTAAAGATTTATTATTTAAAATTTAATATTAAATTTTTGAGATTTAGGGTAAGTCATAATGCTAATCGATAGACTAATTATTTAAGTGAGAATCATTAAATTTATTATCCTTATTACAATCAACCCTTTCTTACACTAGAAAAATGTATTTAATTATATATTTGCTTCTCCTTAATTTAAAGGAATTACTAAATTTTAGTATTAAAAATTTATTTTTTTAAATTGATTATCTTTAAATCATCTATTTTATTAAATAAAAGTATTTACTTAATAAATTCAACTCATATTTCTTTTTGAAATAATAGTTTATAAAGCCAATTAATTATTTTAAAACTTCAAATTTAATCCATATTTTGCTTCATAAAATGTCCAATTAAAAAAGGATGAATACTTTTTTAATTTAATGAAAATATTTTATTTAATAATTTAAAATTTGGTTTTTTTATTGCAAATGATCTATTTAAATAAAGTAATATTTATTCTATTAAATTAAAATACATATTTTAATAAATTACTAATTTTATAAAATTAATTCATCCATCAATATATTTATTTCAGCAAATAATCCAAAGCATTTAAAAATAAATTATTTTATAGAATTTAACTTTTTATCATCAAAATATTTTAGTTTTCTAAATTTAGTTGTTTTTTTTAAAGATTAAAAAGATTGAAGAAATAGATTATTTTTGTAAATTAATTTAGATACGATCGATATATGTAATAAATTTAAAAAAATACTAAATAATATAGAGCTAGGGCAGTTTTTTAGTGTTTTAAATAAAGAAAGAAACTAGATTTTAGATTTTTATTATTTTCATTACTTTAAGGTTAAATAACTTCCTGATACAATAAAAAGGCATCCTATTATGCTAAAGATATTTGGAGCAACTTTGAAAATGAAGACATCAGACAAGAAGCTAAATATGACTTAGGTATATGACAGAGGAATTACAACTGTGGCTTTTTCTAAAAATAATGATTTATTATAGAATATGTTAGCACAATATTAACTAAAGCCAGTTCCTATAAGCATAAATATATTGTTAAGAGTAACATAGCTCTTAATTTCATCTCCGCTACTCATTATAAATATAGTTGAGGCAAAGATAGTACAAAAGTATAAATATTACAACAAAACTTAGATTGTGACTTTTCCGCCTAATTTTCTTGTAGTTACTATAGAAAAACTTAAAAAAGTAACAAAACCAAGTCCATTCAAAAAACCAAGGAATATGTTTGGGCTTTAGGATTGACTGTAAGAATCAAAGAAGTAGTTTAAGATGAAAGGAGGCTTACAGACAAATATGATTCCGATTACACAAAAAAAAATACTGTAAATTAAATATTTAGAAACATGTTCCTTTAGTAGAATTGAAGCTAGTATTGTTGAAAATATAGGATAAGTCATTACAATAGAGGTACAATCTCCCATGGTTAGATACTTTAGCATAGCAACAAAGAAGTAATCTGCTATAAAACCAAAGAGGACTCTTTTCAAAAGCAAACCATAGGCTTCTTTATCCTTAGTGTAGATATTTTAATCGCCTTTGATGGCAATAACTGATGAATTAATTAAAAATGAGCATACTGACCTTAAACAAAATATTTCCATTGCTGAAACATTTGTAACTTTTTTTATAAATGTCCCACTAAGAATAAAAAACACTCCTGATACTAGCATGTACATAATTGCAGTATAAGTTTTTCTTTCTTCTTCATAATAGTTAACAATTTTCTAAGTCTTGTGAAATATGTCTGTGATAATGCTTGTCATTTTCGTTTTGTTTTCAAATTTTTTTACAACAAAAATTGTAATTCTAATTAAGTTATTTTAAAAATTGATTGTTTTCTTTAAAACAAAAATATCATCAAAAGTTAGTTGGTCCACAATTTTTTCAAAATCTTTTAGATTTGCCTAATTTATCATAAAATTTGTCGAAAATTTGCATCAATAATTGAAAAATTAAAGATTGAGAAAAACTTTTAGAAGAAGTGTTGGCATATGTTTTAATTTACAAAAAAGTTGTGGTATTATATTTTGTTATGTTTTCTAAGAAATATTTGGTTTGCTTCTAACGCTTACCTTTCCATAAAGAAATCTATATGATTTTTAGTGATAATTATCAATATATTAAATAAAATAAATTAACTTATAAATTTGGCATAAAGTTGTTATTCTATTCTTAAATTTTATATTTGATTATGATTTTTAATTTATATTATTAACATTTCCCCTGCTTTAACAGTAAATCTATTGATGATTCAAATTCTATTCATATTTTAAATAGTCTCAAAAAAACCTATTTTAATGAGTTTTTAGTTGTGTTTATTTTATTTTTCTATGTCAAAAAACATTATTGCTATTTAGTTATAGAAAATTGAAGTTTATCAAGAGTAATCAGAGTTTTTAAATATTAATTTTACAAAAAAAATTATTAAAAATATAGTTTTTTGAAATGAAATATTCTATTATTTTATTTATCAGTTTGCTTATATCTATTTATATATATATATATTTATTTGTTACTTCCTCATTTATGATTAATTATCTAAAATTGATTTAGGTTATCTATAACAGCTCTAAAAATTCTAAATTAAAAGTGTAAAATTGATTTATTATAATATTAAATTTTTGATTAATTCTAAATTAATTTTTGTCAGTAAAAAATTGTATATTTTTAAAATTAATTTAAATATTTAAATATCTCTGTTTATCATTCAGATTTACTTATTTATATCAATTGGTCATTGAGATTTTAATATAAACTATTATGAGTGTATAATCAATAAATTATCATAAGAATTTAGAGAAAAGGGCCTCATTTGCTATATTACGAATCATTTAGTGTATTTAAATAAAAATAATTACTTTTAAATAATTCATACAGTAGTTATTTATTTCTTATTAGTTCTACTTTAATTATTTTTAATATATCATCTTAAATTAAGGTAGAAATTTATTATTGATTGTCATTTAATAAAAACATATTTAAGAGATTCCTTTTTAATATAAAAATACTGCAATAAGAAGCATAGTTAACTGAGGATGACTTTAAAAATTAATATATTTATTATTTATACGCTTCCTATTGTTTTAGTTTTTTTAATATTAGTTTAAGCTATTTACATTTCTTATAGAGATTCTCTTAATGCTACATTAAATGTTGTTTAGTATATGGAAACTTAGAAAAAAGATAGTTATGATTAAAGAATGCTAATCAGCTACCAATAAATAGGTGTTACAATGTAAACACTGACTTCGTTATTTATAATAGTTGGAAAGTTTTAAAATAAAATTATTTAAGGAAAGATTAAAATAAACCCAATATATTCAAGATATTTGATTAATTCAAATGACTATTCTTTAAACATCTCATCAATAAGTATATAAAATATGAAATCATAGAATACATATTATTTAAATGAGTGGTAAAGTATTATCTAGAATCAATACATTCTATAAATATTTATTCTTATTTTTTTGAAACAATAGGTACTTCAAAAATATCACAAACATAATTAGTCTAAGTGAAGATTAAAAATAAGACCTCCTATAATATGATTTAGGTGGTACTTTTATGTAATTTATAATTAAAAGCATAGATTTATAGTATAATTCCTCATAATTTACTTCCTTCTAGCTCGCTAAAGTTAATAGTGGAATCTTTTATTTCACTCCAGCATATAATTATAGCTTGGCTTCAATTAAAAATCCAAGAAATTGTTAATATTCTAATGAGCTCTATTATGATGTGAGATGTAGTAATTGGTTTTAAAATACATTTAGTTAAAACATTATATAATACCCAAATCCTTATCTTTTAGGAAGTTAAATAAAAGTAGGAATGTGCTAAAACTTGCTCAAGTAATAAATTAACAATTTAATAAAATTAATATATTTATTTATTTTATCTATAATATAGTGATAGTAGCTCCAAGCATTCAGTTATTTGCTAAATATACAACCTTAATTAACTGTAAATTTTAATGAGTAGGTCTCTTTAAAATTTAGACTCATATGTTTTTACAATGTAATGAAATTTATTATCAAAAAAATTATAAAATGACCTTTTTATTTGTGATTGATAACATTTTTAAAATTAATTTAAGGATATGACTTAATTCTTTATATTTAATAATCAAAAATACATTAGGCTTTCATTTATATTAAACTATTTAATTATCATAAAAATATTCAACTTTATTAATTAATTAATTACAGATTTCCAGATACATAACAAGTTGTTTATGACAAAAATAATAATATAACTTATTAGACTTCACCTTACACATTAAGAGAATTACTAAAAAGATATGAATTCGATGATTAAACTATTGATTATATTATGTCTAAATTTCCTTAAAGTTATTTTAAAACACATTAGAATTATAGTCAGGGTGACGATCTAGGCTATTTTGGCCTCGATATTCAAACAGGAATATTTGGTTTATAAGTTGAATGTTAAGGTGTTAAAAAATACATAAATGCTTATTAGGGAAATGTCACATACTATCAAAACGGATAGCAATATACTGACAATATTTTTGTAAATTTTTCTATTATTGATTACGATAATATTTAAAACTTATCTGAAACGATGCAAAAAACAGTTTATAGATACAATGTCAATACATTTATAATTGGATTATTGCTTTCTTCTATTGTTCTTATCTTTACAATTATTTCTACCATCTAAATAACAAATAAATTTTTAAATTCTCTGGATAATTTAATATAAATTTTAAATACATTGCACGAAACTAAAGAGAACTCATGTCTTCTTGTATTTGAAGACGAAATTATAAATTAGATTATTGATTAAAAAAATATTTTTCTTTTCGCAAAAGAGTTTTATGAATTGTTTGAATCTTTCGAAATATTGCTTTAAACTCTTAAATATGCATCATTATAATTAACAAGTGGAAACAAAGACAACTCTTTACTGTCATGGAGTATGGCTGTTAAGTTTTTTCAAGCTACTAATCATTCACATAGAGCATTAGGTATTTGCTGGAATAATATTGGTATGATACATTTCTAACAAAAAAGATACATAGAAGCTGCATAGGCATTTTAAAGTGCAATCATATAAGCTGACTATGAATTGGGATTTTATGATGATATGAATTATCCTTTTAATTTTGATATTAATGAAAATATTTTAGTAATCAAGTTTAAAAGAATTTACTCATACTAACTTTCTATTAAAAAATGGATGAAAAGGAATTAAGATATATCAGTATGGAAAGAGTATAAATAGATCATGATTAACCTAGGAATTTTAGCTGAAAATGTTCCTTAATAGGTGAATCTCAACAAATTAGTTATCGCACTAAATTTAGTAGATTCATTAATTGACTCAAAACAAGCTCTTAAAGCTCAAAAATATATCAACTCTGCATTCATTTCCTTTAAAGATTACTAAAAAGAACTCTAGAATAGTGATTTTGATAATCTAAATTAAAATAAAAGACTATCTCTTTCTAAAAGTTTCTAAAGCTCTGTTTAACTGCAAAGGAAAAGGGCTTAGAGTTAAAATTCTCCCAGCAATATTTAAAGCAGAATTTAACCCTAAAATTCACGAATTACTTATTAAAATAGTTTATTTTCAAATCAAAGTCCTTTTCTGTCTAATTAAAAGCATTTTTTTCCAAATCAGAACATTTCTATTCTAAATTAAAATATTTCAAGCTCTAAAAGAATTTAAAATTAAAATACAAGTTATTAAACTAATTTATTTGAATAATCTCCATTGTTTATAAGTAACTAAAAAATTATGCTTGATACTTCCTATTAAAATGAAAATCATAAAAATTGTTTGCTTAAAGTATAAAAAAAATTAAGTGACTCTTTAGACAACTCTAAAAATTCTTTTTAATTTTGCAAAAATTCTTCAGGATAAAACAAATAACTTTACTAGATAAACGAAAACTTGGAACAAAGCTACAATTCCTTTTGTAAATCTTCAACTAGCTCTTTAAAAATATAAAGTGAGGATAGTTTTACTTAATTAAATTATTTCAAGTCTATTTCTTTTCATGAAAAAAAACTTTTAGTCTAAAAAAGATTTAAACCATAAAGCTGTGTTGGAGACTAACATTTTGAAGAATCTCAGATAGGAAATGAATCTAAATAAGACATTGACCTTGAAATTACTAAACCCTTATAGAAATCTTTATAGCCAGTAAAGTCAATTTTTGAATATGGTTTAGCTTCAAAATAAATTTACATAACTTGGTTTAGAAATAAAATGATTCAGCATATATTTCAAAATAAGAATAAGTAAGAAAGGTAGGCTCTTCTCACAATTCTTAATGAAGACATCGACTATGAATTAAATTAGAATTAAGATATAAATAATAGTCAATTGTTAAGCTAAAAATTTAAAAGTTTTAATAAAAGTCCTGAATTTTAAAATTGTACGACTTCTAATAAAGAATAAACCTTGAACTCGCCTGATATTTTTTTTAGTAAAATAGAAAAGAAAAAGCAAAGCTTATCAAATTTGCTTAAAAGAAAAATTATGAAAATTATAGGTAGTGGTGAAACCAGTAATGGTAATAAATCATCCAATTAAATCGTGTTAAGTAAATAAGAAGGGAGCAAAAAATATAAATAAAATGAAAAAGAATCCAAATTAAATCTTACTTTGAATCAAAAGAAAACAATAAAAATAAGTGAACCAAAATACACAAAAGCACATAAAATAAAAAGTTAAAAAGCTGATGAAACCTAAGAATTAAAAGGGAATACAATTTGGTAATCTTAAAATATTAATCCGTATGATTCTTTTGATTAAAAATCGAAAAATAATAACATATTTGGCAAAAAGAATATTTAAGAAATACCTGAATGTATATTTAATTCGATGATTACTTTTTATCAAGCCAATGTAATGTTTGTTTTAAAGAATTTTACTTAAGCTGCTGAGCTCCTGACACAAATCTTTGAATAAAATTAAACATCCTTGACTTATCTAAATAGTAAAGTGCTTAAGCTACTTTTGTAAATTATTAAAAACTCTAAACTTTCACTACTACCTATTTATAGTATTTAGAGCAGCTATGGTTAGTTTAGTTTGAATTTATCTTTCCTTATTGATTGCAATCAGCAAATGTCTTAATTTTAAGCCTCTAAAATAATTAGTTCGACAGTATTAAAAATACTTTAAGAACCAAATGACAGATTTAACATTCATTTAAATAACAAATTTTAAACAACTTTGGTTAAAGATTTATCTGCATTCAAAGATAAGTATGCAATAATGTTAGAGCTAAAAAATTTATTTTAAAATATTATTATCAATTTTGATAAGGAAAAGCGCTTGTATCCAGATAGTAAGTAATGTTTTGAAGAAAAATAAGGCAATTATTTTAAATATTTTATGTAGAAAGCTCTCTTAAATTTTTTCTAAAATTAATATCATGAGTTTAAAGTTAAACAGTTGTTGAAATAAAACTAAAAAATAGATTTTAAAAAACAGATCAAGAGAATATTAGTAATAATTACTGACCAGAAAATACCAAATATTTCTCAAACTGATAACTAAAAATTAAAACAGTATTCCTAAGATTTAGATATCGATATTATATTGTATGACTTAACATAAAATAGCTAAGATAATTATTTTAGTCAATAAGATATAGAGAATAAAAAGAATCCTAAAATAAATTAGTATCAAAGACTGAATTAGGATTTTATCAAAGAAATCATTACTAATAAAAAAAATCTTGCTAATTATTTAATTAACTAAAGATTAATTATTTAAAAGTTTAATTTTTTTTAATAATTTGAATACTTTTGAATATGAAACCGAAAGCAATCAGCAACTATCAAATATATGTTTTTAATGCTCATTTAAATATTTTGTTTATTGCAATTACTATGTTTATATTTTATTGTAAATATTTTGTTTATTTGTTTAACTAAAATTAAATAAAATTACAATTTCATTGAATAAATAGGTATTTTTAAAAACACATGTTTGACTAAAATACAGTATATAATTTAATATAAAATATAGAAGATAAATTACAATAAAGTTAATTTAGAAAATAAATATTTTTGTAAAATTAAAATAACTCAAACTGAAGTATTTTATATAGTTGTTTATTAGTTATTGAAATTTAGTTAATTATCATCAATTGGGTACTTTTTTAATGCATTTTAGTTTTTTATAAAGTTTTTATTAATACAGGGTTTAATTCTGTTATTTTCAGACGCTATTTCTTATAAGTCTTCTTGTACTTTCATAAAACTGTCATCTTTAATACAATTTTCTGAACATAATTAAAAATTTTAACTAGATTTATGAATTTATGACAACTTATAATCATTAATTTTTATCAAGTTACTTAAATAATTAATTTACAGCTACTTTTCTTCTAAAGTTTAATTATAATTTACAGATTCATTTTATAACAAGCAGCTTTATTAAATTTATGAAATTTCATTTAAATTACTCTATTAAACATTTTGAAAAAATATTTTTTTCTTAGCTTATTTATCAGACTTATCAGAACTTAAAGGTTAATTAGATTACTATTAGTTAACTTGTTAAATTTAAGAACTTTGTTAAGAGAAAATTTCTAATAATTCACTGCCTAGCTCTTCGAATAATTTTTAATTAATTCTAATTAAAATAATTTTTGTAATTTTAAGTTTAAAATCTTATAAAATTACTTTTCTAAGTTGGGATCGTTGTTTTTCTTCAAGAGTAAGTAGGCATCAAATAAATTCTAATTTTGTCAATAAAATAATATTTTTTATCTTAAATATCAAATTAACTTTATTACTTGATAGGCTTCTACAGATGTAAATTCTTATCTCTCTTTCAGTAAATTGTCACCAGAAAGATTTGTAGAGGAGCTCAGAGCAGAACATCCCAATTTTGTTGATTTGTTCAACTCTTTTGCTACTTTCTTCTACATGTTTAAGTCTCTAAAACTTTTATTTTAGTATAATTTTTGCTATTATTTAATTACTGGTTTAGGAAAAAAGTTGAAGAGAGTTAGTTATTCCTAATTTAATATCATTTTTTTTATTTTTTCTATTTCTTGTAATTTATCAAGAATAACATAAATGTCTAAATCTCTATTAGTGAACTGCTAAGCTTTTCTTATTAAATAGTTTTTCTCAGAATTGAATAACTTTCTAAAAGAAATGTAATTTAAGAAGTAACTAAAGCATGCTTTCATTCTTTTAGATTTAGAAATTATTTATTAAAAATACTAAGAAAGTTGATTTCTGAAGGAGTTAACTTATTGTTATGCATAAACAGTTATTTTAAGTGTTGATTTATCAGTCAGTTTAATTTATTCTTAATTTAGTTACAGCTGACTTACTTAGTTTTGTTATACTTCATTTGAAAGAATAGACAATTATCTCTTATTTTAGTAAATTTATTTTTTCTTCTAAACTTTAGGACTTTCTTCATTGTCTAGATATGTTTTGATACCAGAAGCAGTTGAAACCAATTGATTTGAAGCGCTTTTAATTTATAAGATACCTTTTTTACTGTCTTTTCTTAAATCTCCAAGATCTATAACATGAGGTAATGCATCATTAGCATTTTAATTTTTTGATTCTCTTTGGTTCTGTGTATTTGTACTATCTTTTTATGATACTTATTCTTCTGTTCTGGCTATTTCTTAATTTTTTTTATTCTTATTGCTGCTTAACTCAAAATCATACAGCTTATTAGCGAGTTCTAAACGAAATTAAAATTTGTTATATCTAGATACAAATACTTCTAGTAATAAAAATACGCATTTAACAAGGCCTCCAATTTAATACATCAGCTCTGTTAGCTTTTTAAATGACCTTTATATCTTTACAGAGTCTAAGCTCCTTCTTAGTTGCAGTTATAGAAAGGGTTAATCAGAATTGTTAAAGTAGTTATCTTAAACAATTATTGTATTAGTAGGATTAAAAGTAATAAAATTTTCGACAGTTCCACTAGTCTAAAAAAATATATCATTGTCTGTGTTTATCTCTACATCTTTGATGAATAAATCTACATTCTTGAAAGTGTTATAAGGAGAGAATTAGACAGTTTACTAATCTTATATATAAGGTTCTGCGTAATTCGTTGTATCTTAAGGATTTATATTAAAACTAGTTGTGTATATAAGTAACTTAGGGTATTTAACTGATTAAATAAAGCTGCTAAAGTAATCGTCAGAGCCACATTTCTAAGGTCTCCAGCTATTTTAACTTAAATGTAACTCTGATTAGTTGCATCTTGTAACATAAATTCTTATAAATGAAAATCTGTCATTAGTATATATTCCTTCGACTTCAAGCTCCTAGTTAAGCCTTTTTTATTTATTTATTTATTTTTAAAAATGAAACAAGCCTTACAATAAATTATATTGGATATGATAATTAAATGCAAAATATTTCATTCAATGTTTAAAGATGATTCATTTATGTTTTTATTAATAGATTAATTAAAAAATAATGTGTGATTGCTTTTAGCCATTAAATAGTAACTTGTAAAATACTATGCAATATTTAACAAGTTAAGCTTGCAATTTGAATGCTAAATAATCACTACTTTTGATTTCAATAAATTTTGGAAAAAAATTCTGAAGAGTCTTGAAAAAAATTAGTTCTATCAAAGAATTAATAAGATATGTGCTAACATTTATTTATTTATTAATAATCTAAAGATAAAAAAAATATTTTTTTACTTTGGACATATAAAATTTTTTCCAGATGAGAGGATATTCATTTTAGAGTATTATTCTTCTCCAGATAATTAAAAATGTTCTCCACTGCATGGTTCCATTTAGATTTAAGTCGCTGTTTTGGTCCTTACTTGACCCGTCATTATATATGTTCTAATAAATATTAAGCGTAAGCATAATTAAAATTCATGATTTAATATGATAAGTACGTCTGCAGAACTGTGATGTTAAATAATGGATTAGTTGTAAAATCGTTTTTTGGCTATTCAATACCTAGCGCAAACATAAATGATTATTTAGAGAGAGGTAATCTTTGTGGATTTTATGAGTATATTTCTTCTTTTTAAAATTGAACATTACTCTTTGTTACATATCCCATAAAGCCTTTAATTATTAAAAAAATCAATAAAATCAAATATTTAATTCAGCTTTTTTGAATTAATACAATCTCTGAAAAATAAGGCAACAAACAGGATTCCAACTAAGCTTGCAAAAGATCCAACCAAGGTATTATAATGAGTTTTTTTATTCATAACAAGACTTACAGGAACTCCAAATAAGTCTATTTTCTTAATGAAATTTACTAAGTTATCCATATTTGATATTTTACTAATTATATTTGTTTTTAAATTTTAATAAATATAAGCAGATTGACAGGCAAAGTTAAGTCCTCATATGCAATTATGTATGTAAGTTCTAGTAAATCAATTCATTTATTTATTCTATTTTTATATTTATCGTGTGATTACCCCCACTACTAAAATAAATTATGCAAATGATGGTATGAATTAATTAAATAAATAAATATTATAAAAAAATACATACACCACTTTTGTAAATTAGAATGCATATTTATAAATTATTTAACGAATTTAACTGTATCATTATTAAAAATTAAAAAACTTCTAAATAGTTCTACTGGTCGTAAAGTTTCTTTTATTTATTTGTGTAGTAAGTAACAAAAAGAGATATTATTAAAATAAATCTTTTTATTAGAAATATCCAAAAAACAATTTTACATAAATAAATATTTATGTATAATAAATTAGTTTAAAAGCATTAGTAAATTTTAACTATCAAACCAAACAGGTAAGTATATTGATAGATTTTACAATTTTATATTAGTACTTAAGAAGCAATAACTTAATATTATATTGTTATAAATTAAAAATACAATTTATTTTAAAAATATTATTATAGTGAGTTAATTTAGCTGTTCCTGCATTTGAAATATAACTAACCATGATATATTGATTTGTGATATTTCAAATAATTTTTATATTAATAATGAATTTTTTATTGCAAAGTGCTATAATAGATTTTTTTTAAAAATATTTTTCAATAAAAAATATAAAAATTACATTTTATATTTATTAACAAAAAGTGAAAATAAAATTAATTAATTAAAAAATATTTTGAATTTTATTTTTAAATTTATAAAATAATTTTCTATATATCAAAAATTGCTTTAAATTATTCTCAAATAAGAACAGTAAATTATATTTATTTATGATCAGCTATTTGTATCTTCTATATTATTATTAGTTTTTATTTAAAAATTATGCTATAGGTCATTTGGATTATGCTTTAATTAAAGTACAAGATTTTTATTAAATGAAATTTCTTTGAAATTAATATCTGAATCATTAAGAGAATTGGCTTGTAAATTTTTATTTTTATACTCTGGGACAGTCAAGCTGTTACTAAATTAAGATGATGCTAATTCATTTTAATTTTCTTTATTTCTACTCAAAGCATTTTCTAACTTATGTTAACTAAATAATGATTATTAATATTTTTATTAAATTACTAATCCTCCTCCCTATTCTTAATCTTCAAGTTATTTCTCATAATTTAAAGAGTTATTTTTTGTATCTGGTACTAAATCAATTTACTACTTACTTTAAATTTGTTATCCATTCTAATTTTATTTTTCAGGTTTATACTTGCTAATCTTATTTTAATCCTATTTTGTTTTGTTACATTTATATCTATGGTTTTTATTTAATGGTGAGAGCTGTAAAAACATCTAAAATTAATTATTTGTTTCTAAATTAGTCTGCGATATCTCTGAATTTCCAATATTTTTTTAACTTATTACGCTTTAGAGCTCAAATAGATTTTATATTTCTTCTCCTAACTCTTTGATGAGCTTTTGATTTTATCTTTAATTTTTTATATTTTTAAAATTGAATCCAGAAGAGAAAAGTGAATTTTACATTTCATCTTTCTACTCATCTGAGTTTTTGATTACCTTATAAGCATCAAAGAGGTTCTTTTATAATATAACAATAAATTAATTTATTAAATTGATATATTTTTTTAATTAATAAAATACTTTGTAAGCTTAAAATGTGGTAAAAGTATCTCTTTCTTTCATAAAGTGATTGTTATCAGCTAATATTTATTGTTATTAATCTTTATCTTGTTTTAAATAAAGTTAATGCACAAATTTAGATTTTGCTGGCAAAGTTTTATTTTCTATTTATACTTTGTTTTTACTGCTTTAATTTTCATTTTTTATAACAGGCTTTTTAATGAAGTTAAATAAAGTTATTTGTTCTGGCGAAAAAATTATCTTTTTTAGTTTTTCTATTTCTTAAAGTTTATCAAGTATTACATAAATATCTAAATCTATTTTTGAGTATTCTTGCGCTTTTTTTATTAATAAATTCTCTTCTGTTTTAAGGCATTTCCCAAATGTTAAGTAATTCAAGAAATAGCTGATAGACCCTTTTATTTTAACACTTTTATCAGCAATTCGCTAAACATAATCTAATAATATAGATTTCTAATTTTATTTTTAGGCTTAACGAAGAATTTCTATACTTTTTTGTGGACCTCCAGCAGATATTGGCTCAACTTGGTTAAAATTTATCGTATTCTTGTCTTCATTTAAATTGATTTTATCTTAGATGATAACGTTAGATTCTTATTCACCACTTTAAGGTTACTTATTTGCTTTATTTAATATTAAAAAATTAATTAATTATTAAATTTATTTTAAATATGTTTGATAAAATGTAAGTTAAAATTTATTAGAACCTTAAAAAAAAGTGAGTGAAAAACACTTAAGTAATTCTTGCATTAATAAAAACTCTCTCATTCGATAAATAAATAAATAATTGTAAAAAATTTATAAATGTAAATTAATACCATTTTATCTATCAAAATCTTTTTGTGAATAGTTATTTTAACTTAAATTTTTTTAGCTTGGATTGCAAAGGAGTTGATTTTCCATGATTTGCTCTATAGAGGAAATAGTTATTTTATTATTTTGTTGCTTTTCGCCTTTGTTCTTTTGGGAGTTTAAGATGTTAAATTCGTATAATTTATTAGCCAATTCTAATCGAAAATTAAATCTATTGTATTTCGCTAAAAAAAATCCTAACACAAGAAATACGCACTTTATCAAACCTCCTATTTGGATCATTAGCTCAGCTATTTTAGTAAAGGAACGGTTTATAGTGATAGTATAAGGACTTCTTCTTAAGTAGAGCGTTACAAAAGTACTACTACCAGTGATATAGTCAGAAGTTTCTTTTATTTCATCGATATTTAGAGTAAGATAGGTTTCTTCTCTTGGGTTTTTTGTGAGTATAACATTTTCATCTGTGTGAATGATATTTTTTTTGATATAAATATCTGCACTTTTAACCATAAAATTAGGTGAAAATGTAAAACTTTATTAATCCTAAATATAACCCTAAGCATATTTGTTTGTATTTGCAGGAATAATGTTAAAATTAGTAGTATAAAAAATAAATCTTGGTCTTTAAACATATTTTATATATGCGTCGTAATTGCTCTGAGTACCACAATCTAGTGGATTCCAAGTTCGTTTATCATATTTCTTGAAATTAGGATCACACCTTGTAACCACTATCTTAATAAAAGAAAACAAATCATTTGTGTATAGGCCCTATGCCTCTATTTTTTAGCCTAAACTAATATAAATAAATTTTTAAAATACTCATAAATTTAAGAATAAAAGAAGAAGTAAGTTGTATTGTTTATTTCGGGTAATTTATAGATTATTAAAAAAGTCTTTAATTGAAAAATAAAAAGTCTTTAATTTTTATATTACACAAATATTGATGTATGATAGATATTTTAAATTTATTTAGTTATCATTGCATCGATTCAAGTATTCAAATGATAACATTTCGCTACTAATTAAGAGACTATTTATTTTTTTTAATTCTTAATTTTTTATAAAAACTTCTTATCAAGTTTTTTTCCACTATACTAAAAAGGGTCTTAATACTTACAAACTTTTTGATATATCTTTAACAAATAGTTTGAAAAGCATAGCTTTTTTTAATTTTATTAATTGAATTTTTTCTTATTAATTAATAATTTGACCAGAATTCTTATTGATTATTTATTATTATTAAAATTTACTTCCCACCACTAAAATAAAATGCAAACATTTACAAAAAAAAGATTTTGATTGGTGCGAAGGGATGGGTGTATGTAGGTTTGATTAAATTTCAGATAATGTATCCAAATAAAAATCTTAAATAAACAAAAGTTGTTATATCTCTTTATATTATTTTACCTAGGACAAAGAAAATTCCTACTGTTTAAAATAGTTATTTTACTATATTTATCTTGACCCATTAAACTAAAGTGCTTTTCAGAACAAGGCTCCATATCTAAGTAAATAATTTAAGTTTTTTTTGTACCTCCTTCCATAATATAATAGCTAAAAATAATATATCAAGAAAATACTTTGATTTAATAATTATTAACAAATTAATTAATCAATAAATACGTTTAAATCACAGTAATATTAAAAAAGGGATATATAGTAAAGTCATTATTTGGTTGTTCGAACCCTAAAGCAAACATAAAACTATTTTCATTTAGTTAAATTAAGTCAGGAGATTATTAGTACTGATTATCTATAGTGAATTATGCCCTATCCTTTTTAACAAAGCTTAAAAAATCTATTTCATTATTTTTTAACATTAACATCCTCAAATAAACGAATAAAATTAATTTTAATCACTTTGCCAAAAGAATGCGAAGATGAAGATAATTGCGATTATACTCATAATAGAACCTGCTAAGCTTTTATAGTGAGTCTCTTTGTTCATCACTAAAGCAACAGGCACACCAAATAAATCAATACCTTTGATGAGGTTGCATAATTTTTGAACTACCATTGTTCTTAGTTTAAATCTATCTGATTTATCTATCAATTACTTCAATATATATTTTGAGGTAAATTTTGTTTTTTTGTAAATTAAATTCATTATTTAATTGACTGTTTTGATTCTTTTATTAAATTGTAAAAAGAAAGTTAGATTTAAGCTTTTCTTTTTTAAGTAACCTTACTTATCTTCTGCATGAATATATCTCAAATTTAAAAACAATAAAGATTTATTTTTCACTTTTGTATACTTATATAAAAAAAGTATATAGAGTAAGATTAAATATTGTTTATTGAGGTTATTTAATTACTTTATTTACATATTATTTAATTGATGAAGATATATTAATTATTACAACCGTCATCAAAAATGGCTATATGAATTAAATTATTTAACAGAATTATTAATTTTTATTTTCAATTATTACAATTTTTATTTATTTTATTTTATTCATAATATTATAAAAACCTTTTATTTGATATTTAAATTTTAAAAAATTGGAAAAGAAATTAAATTATAAAGATAAAAATAAAATAAAAATAACTAATTAAATATAAAGTAGACATCAGTATCTTTATTTATATGCCATGTAATCTCTAATTACTCTAAATTATTTTTGATCTGAGCTATCAATACTATGTTTCAAAAATTCAATTTTTAATTAAGTATTTATTTACTTATTATAGCAAAAATTTAAATTATAAACCCTATATTAATTTTTTAATACTATTTTTTGAAATAATAAGATGTAAAATATTTTTAATATCAAGCCTTCATAGTTTATTCAAGTAAATAAAATCTGTAATTGGCAATAAGCTTGTAAAATTATTAAATTAATAAATTTTGTATTAAATTGATCTTTAATGAAATTATTAGTTTTATTAATTTATTTTTTATCATATTTTAAAAATGAAAGCAAGATCCTTATAAATTTAAAATGTATTTTATATTTGTATATAAAGAATTTTTCAAAAATTTTCTAAAATACTTTTATTTTATTAAAAAAATTGGTAATAATTTACATTTTAAATAAAATTAGAAACTTTGAATTTATTAAATAGATTTTGAAATAAAAAATGGATATATAAGTAACCAAATTTAAAATGAATTAAAGAAAAATTAAATAAAATGAAGAATAGCTTAATTAACTTGATTATATTTTTTATTGATTTTGATTTAATTACTGTTGAAAATTGATAAAAAATAATTAGGCCATTAAATAAGCAAAATTTTACTTTTGGTGTTTTTAATAAACATATCTTTGCAAATACTCTTCATATAATTTAATAAAAATATGGCTCAGAATTATTTTATTAATTTAATTTATAATATGAAATGCTATTTGAAGCTTAAATTACTATTTTATAATTTATAAAATAATATTTAATTCAAAAAAAACATTTTTTTAAAAATTCATGCTAGATTATTAATTAAAAACACAAATAAATAAAATCATCATGATTAATTAAGCCAAACAAACAACAAAATTGAAATAGGTGAAAAATAAATATTAAAAGGTTGAGAACTAATTAAAGAATGAATCTTAAATAAAAACTGTATGGTAATTATTATAGAAATTTGTAAAACGACTTATTGTAATAATATTAAAAATAATTCTTTGAAAAAAATTACTAGTGAAGGTTATTTCATAAATAGAGATCTGAGAATAACTGAAATGTAAAAATAAGTCAGCAATGGAAAATGTGTAAATGGAATATTTATTATTGAGAAGTGTAATAAGGAATAATAATAAAATACAAGTTGGATAAGCTAGCTAGTTAGATTGTTAAAGAAATTAAAATTTAGAAAATAAGCAATATAAATTTTGTATATTTAATTTTATAATTATTACTAATATTAACTTTACAACTTTATATTAAATTATTACTTTTTTTAATTATTTTCAAGAAGATTTTTTATATGTAAAGGGAAATCAATATAGATAGAGAAATCCATATAATTAGTGATTAATAATTAGGTACAAACATCTAACTTTTAAATGATGAAAAGCAGATGAAGTCTATAAAAAATTTTTAAGAAGACAATTAAAATTTTGCTGAAAATTAGCATAACTATTACAAACCAGGCATGAGTTCAACCTCGCCAAATACTTATCATTATTATAGGAACGAAATAAACTAAATATAAGAAAGCAACAATATTTCTTACAACTAAACTCCTTAAATGCTTTCTCTTTAGAGTTTTAAAGAATAGAACTAAAATATGAGTTTTGAAAGGTTAAAAAACCATACAAACAGGTAAAATTCTCACTTCAAGTAATAGATTCCAGCTATATAGCTTAAGGGCGATGAAGATAGCTAATCTGTTCATACTAATTTTAGACAAGTTGATTCAATTAAGGAGAGAGATTGTGGTTCTTCATCTCATTCTAATTCATTTAGTAGGATTCGCAGGGATTCTTAATAAGGTCAATCTGAAGTAAGAACTAATAGTTTAAATCCTTAAACAAAATATGCATTAGCTAAGATAAGTAAAAAGAATGGAGATATTTTCTAATCGTATCATGAAGATGATGAAAAATAAAATAGAAAAGATTCAAAATTTTTATCTGTTCATGCTCCATCAATTTATAAGCCAGATGATGCGAATGATAGCTTGAGCGTATCTAAATTCCAAAAAAGCGGATACTTATCTGTAAGAGGAAATAACTCTTTTTAAAAAGAGAAATCTGACTAATAAGAATCTTAAAATTAAGGTACAAAAAGCTACAGAGATGATATCTCTGAGCTACAACAAACTATATTTAATCGTCCGCGATTGGGACTAAATATGCTTTGGAAAAAAAGATCTCTATCTATCATATAAAAAGTAGCTCGATTTATAAACATAATTCTTTTGTTTAGTATGAAAAAAAGATTTAAATAGCTTAAAAAGTCTGATTTCGAATTAATAGGAGACTATGCGAGTAGCTATGAATATTATTTGTACAAGGACTAGTTTGAGAATTAAGTAATAACATTCTTATAATTCATTCATACATAATTTTTTTATTTGTAATAATCTCTTCAAGCTTTTAAATACAAAAATTTCCAATTAATATTATAAGAACACAGCTTTTTGCTAAAAATTATCATAAAAAACATTGAAAATAATTCAAGCATTAACTTTAATTGTAATCCAAACTTTTTATGCAAACCATTAATTCTTCCAGATAAAATAAGATACTTTAGTGTTTATAAATAGTTGTAAATGATAATTTAGAATAGTAAGGAAGGAAGGAAGGATACTTGCAAAAATTTTTAAATTAAGATGATGGGATTTATTGATTAGTTAGTACTTAATTTAATCAAAAATAATTCAAATTAACCAAATTATTTAGTTAGTTAGATAGCTAGATAGTACACAGTACGTCAACCAATTATTATCATACTAATAAGCGAATTAATTAAGTTATTTATTTCTTGTACAAATTAATAAAGATCAATTCAAAAAAGTTGAGAAAAATATTAAAGAAAAAGTGTAAGCTGTGCAATTTTAATAAACTGCATTTTTGTATTTTTGGAAATGTTGAGGAAGAGTAACAAGTTTAAAAGTAACATCTAATTATTATATTTTTAATATTAATAGAAAACATCTCTGTACTAAAAAGTTGCTTTCACGCTTTTTGAAGGATTAAATAGTAGATTTTTATATTAACATATGATTAATATCAGTTTTAAGTAATTATTTATCTAAAAAATATACAGAAAATTTTAAAAGTATGAGAGAATTCTGTAATCTTTAAGTGCTTAAGCCTTATTAAACGATTAAGTTGTTATGGGACATTCTGATGGTAGGAATTACTACTTTAAATATAGTTTTAGTGTAACTAACCATTTATTTTTATTTAATTTCAAATTTCGAATCTAATTTAAAATTAATTTAGACCTTTGATTTGCTTTGTTGATAGCATTGACGATACCAGCTAGTGGATTTAATTGTATAAATTATTTGTTTATTGAAAAATAAAAATATTTATTTGTATATTTTAACTTAAAATGCAGCATTTACCTCTCAAGCATAGCATTTATTGCTGATATTTTTATAACTCTTAACACCGCTTTCTTTTAGTCTGGTGTAATACAAGAAAATAGAGGTTAGATAATTAAAAGATATATCAAATGTAATTCAATTATTTAATTTTATTATTAATTTTAAATTTTGTAATTTTAATTATTAACAGAAGATCTCTTACTTGATATTGTAACCCTATTACCTTATATTTCCGGAGCTGCAGGTTTAAGCAAATATCTTTTGCTACTTATTATATTAAAAGCATACAAGGTATTATTACTTATTTTATCTTACAATAGGCATTAAAAAGAATAAATTAAATTTTGATTCTGTATAGTACTATTGATTTTATTTATTTGCTAGATTCATTCGTAGCTTAAATAAAATTCATGCTTTTTATTAATTGGTTAATCTACCTATCCTTTTATTATCTATTTTAAGCTAATTAAATTTTTATTTTTAGTAGTAATTTACAAATATTAAATCGATTTTATGTAAACTAAAATAAAGCTTACTTAGATTAGAAAACATCTGGTTGAAACAATTTAGCCAGGCGAAAAATTTCTTATTGTTATAAGAATTATAAATGTATTTCTACTTATATTTTTCATTGCTCACTTGATAGCAACTGGATTTATTTGGGTTGCTATGCAGTAATATCAAACACAAGATGACTATGACAGCGTAGTTACTTGGATTTCTAAAGCCGGACTACTTTATAAACCTTGGGGTTAAGTATATTTGAATGCACTTTACTGGGCCATCATATCAATGTAATTTCTTAAGCTTTTAACATATTCTATATTTATTTGTTTTAAAACATAGGATTACTATTGGGTATGGAGACATTACTCCTTAGACAGTTGAGGAAAAGGCTTATACTATTTCAAGTAAAACAATAAAATATGTTTCCTTTTTTAAATTTTTTTATATTAAAATTATTTAGTTTGCATGATATCAAGTGCTGTCTTTGCTTATTGCATTAACACAAGTAATTTTTAAGTTATTGATTTATATGAAAAAATATTCTAAATTTTTATTTTAAAGTCAGCCAAATTATTTCAGACTTGAAGTAAAAATAGAAGAAGCTAAAAGCAAGAATAAAAAATTTAAACTAATTCCTAGATACTAGAGGCTTAGACAAACATTTGTAAATTAAAGTAAGAAAATTTATAGAGCACATTCATATTTCAGAAGAGTTCGAAGGATCAGCTATGAAGGATTTAGAAATTATACCCAAACAAATTAAATAAGAAGTTTAAATTGATATTTATGGAAAAATTTTGAAAAAAATTCAGCTATTTTAGTTTAACTTTTCTGAGGAGGCCATAAACAACTTGGCTCTTAAAGTAACTGAATCCAGTTTCACAGCTGGTGAATTCCTGTTTAGGGTATGCAATAATTTTTTTAAATAAAGTTTTTAGACAGACATTAAAATTAAAATAAAACAGTAAGGAGAGTAGTCTGAAAAGATGTATATTTTGATGTAAGGAAAAGTTGAGCTATAAATAGAAATGAAGAGTAAAGATAAAGAAGATTTATAAAGTACAATATATGTTCTTGAAAAGGGACAAATATTTGGAGTTGAAGAGTTTTTTGGTGAGCACACAAGAAACTTCACAGCTAAGGCAGTAGATGTCAGCAGAGTTATAGAAATTTCTTAAAAAAATATTATTTAATCGCTTTCATCGACATCATAAAATGATATTGTAATATTATTCATTCATTTGCTTCTTTTATTTGTTGAAGAAAATAAATAATAAATTTTATTTTGAAATTCTACAGGAAAAATTTCAAATGATGAAGGACAAAGTTAAATTCTCGAATTCGACAAGAGGACTAGGAGTCTAGTGTTACTATTGTCTAAGATATACTCACAGCTATTAAGACTGTCCAAATTTTAATGTATCAAATAATAAGCTTGTGTGTTTAGCAAAATATAACTACAGCTAAAATATTTTGGTTAGAAATGAATATAGAAGGTGTGGTAAAAAGATTAATTCAGTCGCTTTAAAACCTTTCCTGTCAAACAGCGTCGACTATTATCTCCATTATAGATAGTTTTAAGATAATAATAAATAAACTGATGGATTTACAGGTTAAAAATTATCTTTTATCAATGCAATTAATTTCAATTAATTTTATTTTTATTAGAGGACACAGTTGAAAATGTGAGACCGAGAAACATATCTAACTTTAGCTACCATATGAACTCTCAAAGAAACATATTCAAGAATTACATAAGTGGCAATGACTCTAATAATTAAACATCTATAAAATTAGCAGCTGCACCTAATCCATAACCTTCTTTGATGCTTGTCGAAGCACTAGACTAATAATTTTAGCTCTAACAGTAATAACAATATCAATTGTCTTAGTAGTCAGAAAACATGCTTGAAGATAGACCATCCATTTCTAATATTAGACCAAATTATAAAAATTTAAGATAAAAAAGTAGGGAACACAGTGTAAATAGAATCTAAAAGAGAAATCTAACTAATATTGTTGAAGAGAGGTCATTCATGAATGAAACAAATATAACTTCGAATCCATCTTAATTTTAATCCAATCTAAATGCTATGAGTAGCAATAATCAAGTTTTGCTTAGAAATTCTACAGGAATCAGAAATTTAACTTGGAATGGTGTTTAATAGAATTTGTACTAGCATTAATTTTCAAATCCAAAATTTGATAGCACAAATGATAATCAAGACCAAAACTAAAAATCCCCAAGTCTCCTTCACTATTAATTATCTCCTCAACTTTTACCATAAAACATTTTATCAAATAATAGTCTAAACTCTATTCCTAATCCTACAAGTAGTATTAATGTAAACTACAATAATAACACTACAACTAATAACTCGGCAATGAACAATAATTATATTCCTACTGTAAACAGTGCATTTGGAACTAATATTTAGAACGATCTTGTTGCTGGTAAGACTTCTTCGAATTATATTTCTTTAAATGAAAGAAGAAACTCTTTAGCTACTCCAAAAAATAATGTGTACAGCAATACGAATAATAATCTGAGTCAAGGTGGAAATCAACAATAAAGAGATTAAAATGGTAACCCTAATTAAAGCCTTTCTTAACAGTTTATTCAAACCTAAAACAGTAATCAACCAACTAACAGCGAGCTTAATGCCTTTAAAAATTAGTTAAATAACAATGAGCTCCAAATTGAAATTTAATCTATTAGAAATATAAAAGCCTCGAGCAACTGGGAGATAGAATCCATGAAATTATTTGATAAATTTAGAATCTACAAATAATACTTCCCCTACAATAATATAGATAAAGTTCTAGTCAGAGTGAACGGAGCCTATTTCCTTATTTAACAAAAGAGAGAAAGAAATAAGAAAAAGATGTCATTGAAGAAATTAATGAAGAAAAATAGTATTATGATTGATGGAGGATTATTAAACTCTTCTAAAAAAAATACATCTAAGAAATTTAGTTTAAACAATATGGATATAAATTCTATTAATATTAAATAGCCAAATACACCATCTAAATCTAAAGAAAAAGATAGAGATAGTCAAAAATATTTGTATACAAAAGACAAAAGTTTATCAGGTGGTGGGTAAAATATGAGGCCTCATAAATTTAGTCATTAGGATTCAACAACGATTAATAATCCAATTTGATGTTTCTGTAATTGAAAAATATATATTGCTTTATTTAATAAGTTATCTTAAATTTATCTTACATTATTAATATGTATAATTTGATTTGGTAAGTTTGGATTTTAGATAATAAAATATCAATTAAATAACCCAAAGTTTATTTATTAATCAATTAAAAAGATATTTACATTTATTTGCTTACAAGTTAAATTTAAAGAAAGAAAGATGATTCTTTTAATAGAAATTTTGATAAGATACTCTATGTTTTTAGTATTAATTTTGTTAATAGATATATCTCAATTAATTTTATGTTTAAACCTAAATACTCTAATTATTTTCAAAATTTTTTGTTTTATCTAAATCAATCAATTCAGATTGCATTTAAATTTAATTTACTCCTTGATATAGTTTATTTATATCATTATTAAGTATATAAATTATTTTAAATATTAAACTATTCTTAGAAGAAGATAAAATTTTGGTTTAATAAATTAATATTTTAGATAGTGAGACAGTTTTACCAATTTAGAAACAAACTAATACAAAATCATAAAATGGTTTTAAAAGTAATCCATAAAAAATATATACAATAAATTCAATGAATTAACAACAAGATTAATTAACTAAAGTTTAGAATATTTTAAAAAATAAATCACTAATATGTTTAGGATAAATTGAAAGGTGTTAATTTATAAAGATTTATATAAAACCTAAAATAAATTCCTAGCTTAATAAAAAACAATAAATACATTTAAATATAGCTAAATGGTAAATTTTGATTTATGATTAATTTTTATGCAAAAATTTATTTATAAATTTAAATTAATCAATAATTAATTATAAATTTGAACTTTCTCTCAAAATTATAAAATTCAAAATATAATTAATATCTTTATTTGTGCTAGAAATAATAAATAGCTTTCAATTTTAAATACATAAATAAATAATAAGCAATTTTAATTAATATTTATAAATGAAAAAATAAAATAAGTTTTACTTAAAACAGACTATATTTATATTTTTAATTATTCAAAGCAACCATAAATTGCAAAATCAATAAAAATGTTTATTATTTACCTTAATAAGATGATTTTAATTAATGCTCATTAGTACTTTAATGCTCATTTATTGTTTATATTTTTGTATATATTAGTTTTAAATTATTTTATAAAAGTCTATATTTAGTAGTTCAATAAATTAGTAAGTTGAATAATTAAAACAAATTTTTCTAATTTATAAAATAAATTTAAGAAAATGTTCTTAAAATTTTAGGTTTTCTTTCTATTTAGAAAAATGGCTATTAAGATATATTTATTTTTAATTTATACTTATTAAACACGCTTATCAAACTTTTTATGATATTAGTAATAGTTCTTCTTTAATAATTAAAATTACTATTTTTTGTCATATCTATTAATCTAAGAGTCTAGTAGGTTTGCTTAAATTTTTTAGTATTTTTTATTTCAATATTACATATGATATTTTAATTCAAACTAAGTAACAATATTTCAAAGTATATTATCGCAAAAACCTTGGTAGCATTAAGTTTTAATTAAATATTTTTATATTTATTTTTATCAAATATAAAAAAGATTAACTGTAACTAAAAAACTTTTTTTTGTTTGTTTAATTTTGTTCCATAAAAGAATCATAAAATTACTAGAATAAAAAATGAAATGTGAAGAAGTTAAGTAGTTTATTTTATTTTGAAAATGATTCTAAAAAAGTTTAGTTAAACTCTTTTTTTTCTTTGTGATAGCATAAATGATAAAATGTAATTTCTTATAGATTTAGCATTTGATTGTAATAATTTAGTATTTCTAGTAATTTACAGACTTAATATTTGGAATATATATATCTATTTATCTATTTCTCTATAATAATGAAGAATGATCATAAATGCTGAATAATTAGTATAGTTTGATAAATCATATAAATTATGTGGAATATAACCAATGCTAATAATATCAAATATCGCAACAATCTTTTCTTTTTTATAAACTATTTATTGGTAATTATCTCATGATTAATTAATTTTCATATACCAAATGAGTAAAAAAGCAAAAAATTAAGAATATAACATAGAAAGGTAGCTGTAAGAACTTTGGTTCAATTTAGACTACAGCAATAATAGTTAAATTAAAAAAAATGCAATTTTTGATACTACTACTATTAATAAGGATAGTATTGTTGGATTAGATAATCACTCGCTATCTAAAAGCTTAGATATGCTTCCTAAATAAGCAAGTTTTTAGAAAAATAATTTGATTAATTAACCTACTGAATAATTAAGAGGAGATGAAGATGATGATTAAATATTTAGCCCAATATATGTAGAAAATAAAGTTGTTTTAAATAAAGCATCAAAGCTAAGCTTCGATATTAAGCCTCCTCACAAGAACAGTAGGTAAACAAGTACCAGTAACCCTAGTAAAAATGACGAAAGCTAATCGTATTAAATGAATAATGATAGATTAGATATTAATAAGTAAGTAAAATCATCTCATAATATATGAAGACTAAATACTATTTTTAAAATTGCAAAAGCATCAATCTTCTTCCTTCCTATAGAAAAACATCGTAACTTAATGATACTGAAGTAAATCAAACGAATAGAGAGGACTCATACACTACAAACAATATGCAAATTTTTTTAAAAATTAACAATGTAATAGAATAGTTTATTATAGTATTAAATGCAATTATTTTCACAATTACAAAAATCTTTCCTTTTTATAATCAAATTAATAATTTTAATATTCTTATTTGTTTTTTTTAATCAGAATAAAGAGAACACTTAGAGAAGTTAAGTAAATCTTAAGCAATGGTAGAGTTCTAATTTTTCTTAAGCTGCTCTTAACATTTCACCTAAAGGCAAGGAATAAGAGGGAGTCAGCTTGAATCATAATTGGAAGAGAGGTGCATTTAGTATTTTATAGAAGATTGCCTAATTTAGAAAAATTATGTTGGTTAAAAGCGATAGTAAAAAATTTAAAAAATTAAAGGCTACTGATTTCGCTATTATTGGCGACAAAGCTTCAGATTTCAAGTACTATGTATATAAGGGGTTCCTTGAATCATAAGTGAGATATTAGTTTATAATTTATGATTTTTTTAAGTTAAATAAATTAATCAACTAATTCCACAAAAAAATTAATTGAGAAGAAAAAGAAATTTAGTTATTTTTATCACAAAAAAGATTCTAATCAAAGATTTTAGCAGATTTAAAATAATTGATTTTTCTACAAACAAAAAGATTAAATCTTTCTTTTAACTCAAAATAAAACTTTATTTCAATAAAATTTATTTTATTAACATTTTTTTTTTGCTTCGTAATTTTTAAATATTTTCTAAAATTAAATAGAGACCTACCAAAATTTAGAAGTGTGTTTACCAAACAACAAAGATTATTAAAAGTATAATTTTTTCTTTTTTACTTTCAAATTCTTAATTTTTTGTTTGCAATAAAATTTTATTTTTTTTCTATCCTTTTTTTGTCTCTAATTTTCAGACACCACATCTGACCAAAAGAAAATAATTTAATATAAACAAAAATATAGATTTTTTTTCTTCAGTGTTTGAAAAACTTTCTTTATCTATCTTGAAGCCAGACTCTAACTTTAAAGTCCTTTGGGATATACTAATGTTGCTTCTTATTTGGATAAATCTTATTATATGGTAATTTTTTAACTTAATAAATTATGAAATAATTAAATAAATATATTCACGCTTTCAATTTTAACTTACTAAAAAAAGTCCACTGATATTTAGTTTTGATGAATTCGAAATATAAGATAAAATGTTACTTTTGTAAGAAAATTTTGATTTTAAGTTACTATATTTATTAAAATTTTTAATATAAATTATAGTATGGTTTTTACTTGCTTCGCTTTTGCAACTGATATCATTGTGTAAATAAATACAGCATTTTTCCATTAAGGCATAATACAAACAAGTAGACAACAAATAATAGCAAAATATTTTAAATGTAATTTTGAAAATATAAACATGCATTGTTATTAATCAATTATTAATTAAAGAAAGCATGATCCCTGATATAGTTACTTTTTTTTGCTACGTAAGAGGAGTATTTACTGGTGACAAATATTTATTGTTAGCAATACTGTTAAAAACAATCAAAGTATTTTTATAAAATTCTTTTTATATATTAAAATTGCTTTAACTAGTAAATAATTTATTAGGAAATAAAAATATAAAGCAGTCTTTAAGAAGTGTTTTAACCTACAGAAAAGTTTATGCTGGCGATAAGAGTTTTTAATGTATTTTAGTTAGTTTTTATAATAGCTCATTTTGCTTCTTGCATATTTAATTGGGTAGCTTCAATTTAATACGATGGGAAATAATAAGACGATTTACCTTATGTTGAAACATGGCTTTCAGCAAACCATTTAATAGGTGCTGACTGGTATAAAATATACATAAATGGGTTTTACTTTTCTATGATTTCTATGTAAACTTTATTAATAATCCCCAAATATCATTTAATTTTATTAATTGCAAAAGGATGACGATAGGCTATGGCGATATTACTCCAAAATCCATCAATGAAAAGATCTATACAATTTTTTGTAATTAAAAAATTCAGATTACAGATTTAATTATTATAATTCACTCTAAAATATTAAATATTAATATCAGAAATGAGTTAGAAAATTTCTTGTTTAAAAATGAAAATTGTAACAAAGAAAATTTATATTCTCAATTAATTACATTTTTAAATAAATAAAATTTATATTCACAATTTGATTTATTTATCTTAAAGATAAATAACATGTCCATCTGAATGAAATTTTGCATCATTTTTAAAAGAGTGCTTTCAAGATATTAACCAAGAGATGAATAAATAAATATATTCTTTTGTTAATTATGTCCTTTAAAAATTAATTAATACTTTTTAAAATAAAAATTAGTTTGTGTTGTATCATGTGCCTCATTTGCTTATTCTATAAATACAAGTAAAACTATTTTTTAAATAAGGAAAATCTATTATTAATGAGAACTAATTAATTGTTTATAGTCAGTTAGGTTATAACTGATGCAAAGAAAAAGTCAAAGAACTTTAAAGAGAGAATGAGAAGTCTTAACTTATTGATGCAAAACAGATAAATAGATAATCATTTGTAAATGAAAGTCAGAAAATATATTGAATACTTACAGGAAACTAGTGAAAATATGGATTATGCTTACAAGGATTTAGAAGTTCTCCCAACTTCGATAAAGCAGGACGTTTAAATAGACATGTATGGGAATCTTATTAAAAAGTAGAAATTATTTTATTTGAATTTCTCACAAGAAACTATTGAAAAGCTTGCTTTAGCTGTTAATGAAATAAGCGCAGGACCAGGAGAAGTTATTTATAAGGTATTCATTTCGAAAAAAAGATGAATTAATATCAATAGATTCTTTATTTTAACTTGAAATTAGCCTAACGATAGCCCAGATTCCTTATATATTGTTTTAAGTGGAAGAATCGAAATTTACATTCAAAGCTAAAAAATTAATGGAGTTGAAAATGAAACTAATATTGCTTATATTGAGAAGGGTTGTGTCTTTGGAGCAGAGGAATTTTTTAATTAAAAGCCAAGGCAAAATGCTGCAAAAGCAACAGAGCTTTCCTAAATCATATAAATTCAAAGGAATTAGCTTGAGTAAGTACTAAAGTCAAGCGAAGATGACTATGTATAAATATTTTAATTTATTGACAATAAAAAAATTGTTTTTCTATTAAAGGAACATTTTAAAATGCTGAGTGACATGGTTAAATACTCCAATACAACAAGAGGCCTTGGTATACAGTGCCATTTTTGCAAGAATTTCACTCATTCTTTTTCAGAATGCCCTAATGTCACATATTCTAAAAGAAAAAATTTAATTATTATGAAATTGAATATTTCTTAAGATTAGCAACGTGACTATTATCCAAGAAAGCACATAAAATCAAAGAATAGCTTGCTATACTAAAATTTTTTAGTCAAGAGCATTAAATTGTTTATAGATTTAAAGAAATATGAAACTAAAGATACTGAAAATCAAGATGGAATGATTTCTGGAGCTTCAGGTATTTATTTAAAATTTTATTTTTTTATTTAGTAATATTTTTATATTCATTAAAAGAGTAATTTGATGATGCAGCTGTGGAAGATAATGAACTTAACTAAATAATCACTGAATATACTCAAAAATTGAGAAATACTTAGAAGACAGAAGAAGAAAGTGAAATATCATATGATGATGCTTAACAAAAATATAATGAAACAAATATAGCTTAAAAGTTAAATTAAAAACCAGAATAGGTAAGTATGCTTTATGCTGAATAGTTTTTAAGCAACAATAACAATAACAGTGGTGATGAAAAAGATAATAAAAAAGGAAATTCTAGAACATCAAACACTAACAAACAGAGTGAAGAGGTTTTATCTTCTCCAAATATCAATTCATAAATACCAAATTCATTAACTTTTATTCAAAACAATTCACCAACATTTAATTAAAATGTCAATCAGGAAGATAATTCTTGTTCACAGTTACAAACTTTTTAGCTCTCTACCAACCCATAGCTATAAGTTCCTTAGTAATTCCCTGAAAGGGAGAGACACTCCTCTATTTAGAGAATGTATCCTGGAGAGATCAAACTATTTCCATTATTCTCAAATACACCTTAGGAGACTAGAATAACTAGATAAACTTCTATTGATTTCACTATTTAAAATTAGCTATCTAATTTATATCCTTAGAAATAAAGCACTAACAACTTTAATTCAGACTTTAAAAACTCTAACTACGCCTCTGATTTCAAAAACTCAAAATCTTCATCATTAGCATAGAATTATACCCAGTAGTTGTAAAGCTAATAGTCAAATATAATTAACACTAATAGCTAAAACTCACAAAATTTGGGTTTCCAATCTATGCATCAACAATAGTAGCCTTTATCTCCTCAACTCGTTAGCGAAATTTAGAAATAAAAATAAATTATTCAAGATGCAAGTTTGATGAAGCTAAACACAGTTACAAGTAATATAAACACATTAGGAGGGAAGCTTGATTCAAAACCTACTTAAAATTTAGGATCTCAGCTAACTTCATTTGAAAATATGAAAATGGGAAGCCAAAGCTTTGTTTAACTATCATTTAATACAAAATTAGGGACAGATGCAAAGGGAGTTTAAAGCATAAATGGAAAAGAAATAGTCTCAAGTGTTAACTAAAATCTAATTTAGTAAGAAACAAAAATGTTGAATCAGCAATAATCTCAAAATTAAATGATATTAGATAATTCTATTGAAATCCACTCAATAAGAGAAATTAAAGGTCTGAACAATTGGGAAAGTGAAACATTAAAAAGATTTGACCGTTTTAAGATTTTTAAAAAATATTTCCCTCTTTAAAATATTAATAAAATATTGGAAGTTTTGAATTAAAGAAAAAATTCAAAAGGAAGTCCAAGCAATAAAAAACAAAGAAAAAAATTGACTATGTTAAAGAAATACGATATTCTATTGAAGTCATTTCATGCCAGTGAATTTTCGCCTAGAAAAAGTATTTTGAGTAAAAACTTAAATCTCACAAATTAGAATTCAGAATATTTGAAAAGAATAATCCCATCAAACTCTAAATTCGAAAGTCAAAAAGATGATTGAAGAATAATTAAATAAAAAAATAAAAATAAGAATTAGTTGATTATGTTAACTTTTTGTTATCAAAAATAATCGAAAATTCTAACCAAGTTTTATCTTGAATTATATATAAATTTAAAATATAAATTAGATTTAATAGAAAGATGATTGAAAGAATATATTTATTTACTTATTTAACTATTTTCTGAATTAAAAATTAAATTTCAAATAACATTTAATATATATATTGTTAAATTATTTAGTTATTTATCTGTAAATGCATTTTTAATTTTATCAAAGATTTTCGTTAAAATAACATATTTTTATACTTCAAAATATTTTATTTCATAAAAAATTGATTGGCTGATTGGCAAATTATTAAAAAAATTATATTTATGTTTACAAATTTATTTATTATATTTAGAATTAAAAAAATATTAAATTAAATTTTATTGTTAAATTATTTAGATATTTTTTTGTCAATACATTTTTTATTTATAATAACAAATATTAAAGATTGAAAATATTTTATTTGATAAAATTTGAATAATTGATAAAAGAATATATATGCAAATGCATAACAAAAACATACATATGTAAAAAAAATATATCTATTTATGGATTTATTTTATTATTTTTTGATCTAATAATATTAAATTCAAATTTAATTCGCTTTTAATTGTTGTTAAATTATTTAGATATTAATTCGAAAATAATTTTTTAATTTTTTTAAGATTTTAGCTAAAATTAAAAAATTTAATGTTGAAAATATTTTATTTCTTAATGTAAAAATAAATTTACTGATTGATAAATCAATAAATAATACACATACATTCTCATACATAAATTTGCTTACTAAAGATATCAAGCATTCATAAATAAATTTATATCTTTTGATAAAAGTGAGTTAATTTATTTATTTATTTAATTAATTAATAAATTAATTTTGCTTATATTTTATCTGATCCATTCTAAACTGTAATTAAAATTTTAATCCAAAAAAATATTTAATTAGATTATTCCAGATTAGATTTAAGAAAAAAATGAGTAGCAAATCCAAGAAAAACAGCAAGCAAATTAATTAGGAAGTTTAAAAAATGTTTTAAGCTGGATGTGAGCTTCTTAAGGCTGGTCAACCAGTATAGGCAATCCATATTTTTAATTAAGTTATTCTTCATGAACCTTAATACTAAGCTGTGTATAATAATTTAGGGCTCGCCTGCTTACATCTTAAACAATACAAAGAAGCTATATAGCATTTAGAAGAAGCCGTAAAGCTAAATAAGTTAGATTATGGCGCATAGAACAACCTAGGATTAGCTTATGCAAGTAGTGGAGATCTCTAAAAAGCTTTAAATATTTTTGAGGATCTTGTAAAAAAGGATCCAAATAATTTAGAAGTATTCTTTAATAAAGCAGTAGCATTGATTGAAAATAAGAAGTTTGATGAAGCAATTTTAATTTTAATGGATTTAATTAACTAAAAATATGAAAAAGCATATTTTAAGCTAGTAGACTGTTTCGTCTCACTGAATAAAAGAGAAGAAGCCATGAAGTATTTGCAATAATATTACCAAATAAATAGTGGAGACTCTTAAAAGACATATCTTTTGGGAGAAAAGGCAATAGATATCTAAGAAGTTGACTATGCAGTAGAGTGTTTTGAAAAAGCAGTTTAACTTGATCCTAAACATCAAAATGCTTGTCTCTTTTTGGGTATGACATATTATAATAAAAAGATGTATGAAAAATCAATACATTACTACTTGAAGACTTCTGAAATAAATCCCAAGAATTTCACTTGCTTAAATGGATTGGGTATTGTTTATTTAGAATAGAAGGAGTATGAAAAAGCTTTGTAGTATTTTGAATAGTCTTGTAAACTTGAACCCAGATTTGTCCCTGCTTTGTTCCACAAAGGATACACATATCTTAAAATGGGTAAGGATGATGAAGCTCTTAAAATATTTAACTAAGTTATTCTTATGGATAAAAACTATCCAGATGTTTTCTTTTTAAAAGCCCAAATATGCTAAAAATAGAATAAATTGAATTTAGCTTTAGATAACTATAATTTTGATTTAAAGTTTAATAACGATTCTGCACAATCAAAGCTTGGAATAGCAAGAATTTACATTATTCAAAACACAGAAGCAAGTCTCAAGCAAGCTGGAGAACTCATAGAAAGTGTATTACAAAAGAATAAAAATAATGGACTAGCATTAGCAACAAAAGCCCTTTTAGTTGTAAAATAAGACAGTAATAATAAGGAATAATCTAAAGAACTTCTAAACTAAGCCATTGAATTGAAAGATAAAGATACTGAAGAATATATTGAAATAATTGCAAAAGAGTTAGAATAATTACTAATTTGAGTTAATCCAAAAAATAATAATTAAATTAATATGAAATTACTAATTTGTAAAAATGCTTTATTTATCTCTTCTATAAATTCAAATTAATTAATTAATTAATTCATTATTTCAAGGAATTTTATTCTTTTTATTTTTATTTTAACTTTGTTTCCACAAAATAAACAAAACAAAATAAATTTTTTCTTTCAGTACATTATTAATAAAATCAATGTATGTAATTTTTTAGATCTTATGATTTATTATTGTAAATGAAAGAATGAAAAATTAATGATAAAAGGTTTTTGTAAAATTGATTGAGTTGAGTTTTTGATTAAGAATTACGATTCAATAATTCTATTATTATAATATATTTACACATATAAAATTGTATGAAATTAAGTAAATCTCTACTTTTAAAATAAAGGAAGAGACTTTTAAAACACGAGTAGCTATAATACATAAATTTATTTACTTATCTTTTTTATTTAAAATAATTAGGTTCTTTTTATAAAAGTGCAATTTTTGTTTGAATAAATTCATTAAGTTTTGTTATAAATCCTTCCTTCTTTTGAATTAAGGATGAATAATAAAAATTATTGTTATAACACTAACTTTTTAGTGGTTGAATTGGCAATGAGATGTGGCTGGGTTTAAAAGGTATTCTCATCAAATATAACTCACAAACAAGTTGCTCTTGCCAAATAAGCTAAAGCCTGATTTCATTCATGTTTAGAGAGACAGGAATGGTAATAAACTTCGATTAAAATACTAGTTGAATTGATGAGTAATGACTTCATATTTTTGAATTGCTAGCAGTAGGCAATACTACTATACTTTCCTATAATTTCTATCTAGTGCCTTTTTCTTTTTAGAAGCAAAGCAAGAGACAGGCAGACAGACAGACAGACAGAAACTTTTAGTATATTAAGTAGTAAGCAGTTACATATCAATTATTATTTAAGATAGATAAAGATGATAATAGACAGTAACTTATCATAAAATAGATTATTTGATAGTAACTTTAATAAACAATCGCGAGCTGCTTTCTAGGTTTAAAAATTCTCTTGTTTTCTATTAAGGAAATTTTTCTTCAAGTTATGCTTGCTTTTAATTTAAATGGAGCGCTAACTAGAAGAAAAATCCTTGCCATAAATTGCTTAAAAGAAATGCTTCATAATAAAAAGAATAGCGATTTTTTAAGGCTATAAGCAGCAGCATCAGAAGTGAGAAATCATTACAGGTTGTAGATCCCAAAAAGTAAAGACTTTTAGGAAAAGTATAAATAGAATGAAAACCGCTCATTTCGTATGCATTAGAAAGTAAAAGCAAGCAATTTTCTTAGTTTTGTGATAATAAATAAAGCTAGATTAATTACTATAAATTGATAAAAATTTGAAGTTTTTTTACTATAATTTGTTTGTTATTGTCTTAATGCAGTTTAATAGACAGACAGCCAAAATTTGATGAAATTCAGGAAAGTTTATTTGTTTGATTGATTGATTGATTGATTTATTAATTGAATTAGTTTCTTAGTTAGTTAGTTAATGAGAATACGCAGTATATTAATTTGTACATTTATTAAGAAAAGATGATTAAGAAATTGAGAGATTAATTTATATATATAGTATAAGTTAATGGAAGTTGATTGATTGTTATTGATTGAGATAGTTTTTTTATTGAGTTAGAAATTTGTTAATGCATTTAGTTAAATAATGTATTAGAGTTTTGGTTGATTGATGATTGATAGGTTGGTTATGTTATTAAGTTAGTAAGAATCATCTCTCTCAATTTGAGAAAGAGTTTCCAGGGAAGTTAGCGAAGTCTTCTTCGAGTTGTTAGAGTAAGAGGTTATTGTCAATAAACATTTCATCGACCTTGCTTCCGTCGAATCTGTTAATTTCATTTTCAAGTTGATTCATGGAATCAGCTCTTAGACGATTGATTTCTTCCATATCGAAAGGTTGAGATTCAGGGGAGCTGAAGAGTTTCTTGCAAGGACTTGAAAAGTTAGAGAAGATACTAATGTTGTTATCAAAGCTCAATTGAGAGTTATTTGACAATGCGGGTGAGAAGCTGCCGAAGCTGGAGTTAACATCAGAGTTGCAGCTCATCTTGACAGGTTAGGGTGAGTATAATTTATGGTTTAAGCTCTTTTTAGAAGAGGATGAGGAAGAAGAAGAGAAGTTTACGCAGTTCATTTATTATTTATTTTTTTTATGTCTTTGTTTGTTTGTTTAGATTAAATTCCCTTTTAAAAAATGAGAGGAATAATAAATCAAGTATTTTATTATTTTTTTTTTTTAATTAATTTATGAAGTAAAAATTGATTAATAAATTTTTTATCTTTCTCATCGACCTACTATTTAATTAATTTTTCCCTCTTCGCCTTAATGCATGATATCGTCTTTTTAATATAATTAATTATAAAAGGATTAGATAGATGAAAGAGATTCATTTTTTAATAAACAAGGTGAAAGTAAGAAGAAATTTTACTAACTAAAAGCTTAACAAAATAAATGACCTTTTAAAAATTATATATTGATATATGTTATTCACTAAAATAAATAAATATATATACAAATAAACAAACAAACAAAAAATAGAATGTGAAATGCTTGCAAATTTAATTTGTCAGCTCTTTTTTTATTTATGTCATTCTATCTATCTTTTAGATTCTATCCCCACCCTGTTTCGTTCCTTCGTCCCTCCTTTCAAGTTCATAAAATATGTATTATCTAATCAAAAAATTATCAAATCAATAATTAAAATATAAAATCCATAAATCAAGCTATTATTATTTTCCATCTTCCTTTCTCCCCAGCTTGCTTTTGTTTGATTCCAATCAAAATGAATAAGTCTAATTTATTCACTTAATCAATCCATTTTAGTGTTAAAGAATGATATTTATAGTTTTTTAGCAATCACAATTTCACTCTTCTCTCAAAGTCTTCTATCATTGCTCATCCTCTCTCATTTATGTTTCTCCCTACTATTATTATTTTTCTAGTGGCACACAAGCATCGGTGGATGCGCAAATAGCACGCACACGCGAAAAAGATGAATGGAAAAATATTTTTCGCCAAACATTATTTAAGAGCATATTTACATATAAAAATTGATTCTAATACTGTATTTCACATTATTCTCCACAAATTTTTTGGTCTCCTAATATAAAATCTTTAGTTTTTACAATTAATTCTAATCAGCAATAATGAACAAAGAGCGCAACTATTCCTCTAGGAAATAAATTGATGACTTTATGATAACCCTATTAGATTAACCCTAATAATAAATAAAGCATACATACCTTGCTTATTTTTCATCAAGTAAAAATTACAATTGCATAGAAAGAAAGATATATATATATAATCATTAAACTTTGATTGCACAGAGATCCACAGATAATTGAATTTTTTTTAATTTAATCAAGGAGCACTTAAAACATTTCTCCATTTATGGAGTTGCAGCACAAGTCAAAATACTGTAAAAATTCATAAGTAGCAATATTAATTTTTAAGTAAATGGAGTAATTTATTTCATTTTTTGAAATTTGTTTGTTTTTTGGCATAATTAATAGTTGATATGTCAATTTGATATCTACTTTATTATAAAATTGCGAAACTCTTGTTTGCTTAATTGCTAGACCTTATTAAATTACTAGCTTTCTTTATTAAGCTCTTTGTGCTTTGGAATTCTAATTCTGTTTGAAAATATATTTAATCTAATTTGAGTCAGTTTTCTAAGATTAGCTCACAACAAATCTACTCCGTTATTTTTAATTTTAATAATAGTAAAACTTTTAGATTAACAGAGGATAAGAATATTTAATTTTTTATTTTCGATTTAGACTTTAATGGTAGCTTAAATGATTGATTTATTTTTATTTCAGATATTGAGGTATTTACTAATCACCCACTAAATAAAAAAGCAAATATCAATATCTAATTCATTACTTTTTTCACTTTTTTATTTTATTCTGCAATACTTTCTATTTCTTTTTAAAAAGAAACAAACAAAGATAATTTGCTTGTATTAAATTTAGTTTGTTTAGCTTTTACTTTATTAAAAGCAAATCCTTCTATTTCAATGCTTTTTTTCAAATTAACAAACAAACAAAAAGTAAAGTAATAGAGAGTATTATATAATATATGTATAATTATTATTTTTTTATTTATGGGGGGAAAAAAATAAATTTATGCATGCATTTCACCTTCTACTGCTTGCAGATTCTCCGAAAATTTACTACGGAATTTTGTGCTATTGATTGCTGGAATACTAACTTTGGGAACTGATTGATAATATTGAATTTGGTTTTGCTATTTGACATTTTTTTTGATTTTCATAAATGCTTGATTTATTTATGCTGATACATTGGAATCTTCTAAATTTGCCAGAAACTCTTAAATTATTTTTTAAATTCGTAAAAGAGTTATATTGAATAAATCAAGCTGGTATTAAAAAATTAAAAACACATTCAGTAAGATATAAGCAAATATCGATGAATTATTAAAAAAATAATGCCATTTCCTTAGACTGTTGAAACAGAAAGCTCCTCATTTATTTCTAAAAGAAGTATTTATTTTGTCATTATAGTTGAATTTTAGTGTACTAAGTATCTTTAAAGTACATTCTATAATTGTTTCTGTCTTTAAAAAAAACTATAAGCACTTACAGAGTATCCAAAAGGACTTATAGAGTTTATTTGAAGTTAGAAAGGAAATTTTGTATATATCAAGTATAATGTCTGTCTTTTAAAATGAAATCAATTAATCTGCATTATTTTTAAATTTTGATTAATTTCATCTCTTAAATATATAAATTATAAAGCCATCAAATAGAGCTGAGTAACTAAAAATAATAAAAGATGAATAAGTATTAATATTTTTATAATTATTATTTGCTTTCGTTATTTCAATTAAGAAATTTACTGGAAATCAAATATTTGATAAAAGTCTATTTAATACAAAAAATATCTATAAATTATCAACTCCACTGCATCTATAAAATATTTTTTCGCCTGAACAGGAAAAACAAAGAACAAAGTAGAATTGTTTCTCTCTTTCTCCTTTTTCCTTTCAGATATATAAAGCATACAGTCATTCAAAATTTTAATCCTTGGTAATGATTTCTACGCTTATAAAAGTATATTTGGGTTTTAAAAATAAAATTTGTTTGAGTGAGTTAGAAATAGTTAATTGCAAAAGTGGGGGCTAGGTCACATAATGAATATAGATAGATATATAGATTATTAATTATTCATGAAGGAGGCATATCTTAAATTTATTACTTGCCTCATTGTAATAATTATTTAGTTAATTACTTTATTATTTTTATATATATATTTATGCCTTTTTATCACTTTCATTTGATTTAGATTTATTACTTCTCACTTTCTTCCCCACTCTATAAAATAAACAAACAAACAAAAAAATATTATTACTCAAATATAGGGGACTTTCTATTACTACTGTATCGTAATTATTATACTTTTTTACCCATTCAAATCTGAATGTAAGATACTTTTCAACATTTTCTGCCTCTTGTTTTTTTATAATCAAATCAGAATTTTAAATTACATGAGGTGATCCAATATTTTTTTTGCTTTTCAAAATATGAACAAAGATAAAACTATCAAAAAAAAGCTTTTTATTAAGTGCAAGCTGTTAAAAACACATCAACTACTAGAATAAATGGTATTAATTATTTGTAATTTAACATTTCCTTCAAAAATTACTCAAATTATCATTTATCTAGGCTATTGAGTGAGTAAATTAGCTAAGCTTATTATTATATTTGAATATAAAAAAGAAAAACTAAAAAGCAATTTGCCTTGTAAATCTTTAATTTATTTTATTCATTTGAAACAATATAAATTTACTCAATCAATCAAACATAATGAATAATATTTAAAACTGCTATCACTTTTAAATTGAAAATTATCTTCATGCTCTTCAAATAGAGGCAAAGTTGAATGGAACAATAGATTTATACTTAAGATGAATAGTATTTTGTTTATTGCACTTGATTTATTGAGTGAGAGAGAATTTCAACTATTATTTTTTAAATAACTTAACTCAAATAGATTCAGATATAATGTTAAATAACACTGAAATTTTTATGCCAAAATTTGTATTTTTTACTAGAAATTAATAACTTGATTCTCTAGAACGCCAAAAGTCGAGCATGATTAACTAATTTTATCTTTCAAATTTTAATCGAAGAACAGAAATTATGAGGAGCAAATAAAATTCATGAAAAAAAAACCAAATTCACATTCCTCTTTTATAAGATTTTATTTAATAGCTTAAATTATATAATATGTTCTTATCTTAGTTTACAAAAATAGCTCAATTTAAATCTATTTTCATAAAGTTACTGCCTTCTTGTATCAATTCCAAAAAAGTTTGAGATTGAATGATATTTACTAAAATTGTTTAGAAAAATGTATTCTATGATCCTAAAGTCATTAAACAAACAAAAAATGGACATAAATTTTCACTAATTTTTGTTTAAATCAAATACTAGGTCTTCGTTTATTTAATTATCAAATAAGCAGCCGTTGCTAATAGAACAGGCGGGTCAAATTTAGCTTAGAAATTTAGTAAGATAAATATAAATAGATATATAGATAAATGTCATCCATAAAGATGATTCTAGATAATTAGCATCTGGCTGGATCTGCAAAAAAAATGATAGATTACATAATTAATAATGAAAAAAGCAAAACAAAATAAATTTAATAATAATGAACATATATATTGATTGCAAATAACACAAAAATTAACTAAGCAGCTCACAAATAAATCATACAATAGCAAATAAACAAGCAACATTACAAAGGGGAAAATTTAAATAACCTTTATGACTAGCAAAGCAATCTAAATTTTGCATTATTCTACCTAAATATTTATCGCTAGTAAACAAAAAAAAAACTAACACAAATACAAAAAATTTTGAATAATTAAATTGACTTTTAATTTTGTTTCTTTTTTTTTGCATAAAGTTAGCTACTCATTCATTTTCCATGCATTAAAAAAGTAATTTATAGATATGAAAAGTGAAAGAAAAATTATAAATTTCCTTGAATTTATGTTCATTTCCTACAAAAATGAATGAAAGAAATAATTGAATAGTTAATAAAAAATAAACAAATAAATAGCTAACTCATTTACATAACAGAAAAGTATATTTACTTGCAATACTAGTTTAGTTTTATTCGATTTACTCTATTAACTTTAATTATTACTTTTTCAAAATAAACAAAAATTTCAATACATCAAATTTGCTTAATAATTTTTTTTATATACCGCTGCATTACTATTGTTCTAGGTGTGCGAATAACTTCAAAATTAGAGTTTTGTTTTTTCTTCTTCAATAATTAAATCATTTGCACTGATTATTCATTTATAAACCATTCTTTCTACCTCACTTTAGTAATAATACAATTATCAATTCCAAAAATACTTTAGGTTAGGCTTAAGCAAATAAATAAATTTTCCCAATAAATTATAGCCTAAATTTCTTAATCATTTGTTTTGTGAAAATACAAGTACATTAAGGTGGAATACTGATGTTTTTTACATTAATACAATTAAAGAATATAATTAATATATTACCTTAAAATTTATAAATTAGTCCTTGTAAATATAACAAATATTATCCACAGTATTAACTTTAATTACCATTCGAAGATTATAAAATAAAATAAAACAAATAAAAAACAATCTTAATTGTTTGAAAATATTTTTTATTTAAAATTTTACATTCAATTTATTTGTATAAATAAATAAACAAAATTATTAGCTTTTTGATGATGCAAACGTTAAATTATTATTATTATTATTATTGAGGTTTTAAAAATGGTTCAGCTCTCTTTTTATTTAATTACCACCTAAATCTTCAAATTAATAATTATAACTTAGGTAAATTAGCAAATGTTTTATTTTGCTCCAGTAAGTACTTTATTCTTAATAATACACATCTTTACAAATATTTTTTCCTTAAATTTACTATCAGTTTTTATATTCATTTATTCAAGCATGTACAATATATGAAGTATATCATCGATATTTGCTAAATTTATTTTATCATAAAATTAAAAAATACTAAATCCATTTAAGTAATATTAGAAAATAATTAAAAAATGCACTTGAATTAATAAGCTGCATTTGAAATTACAGCTGGTTAATGATTGTTCATTTCTATAAGTTATTAAAACTAGTTGTGTTTAAAATAAATAATTTTTTAAAAACCACACACTGATTACACAGATTTTTAAGCAGCTATAACGTTAGTTATTTATTTTTTTTGATATTTAATTGCATAAATATCATTATCAGCCACAATAAAAGAAAAACCAATTAATGATTAAAATAAATACAGCTATGCATCAATATAAATTAATTTAATTTAAAAAATATACATAACTATTTCTTAACTCAAGTGTCATTTTATCACATAATTGCAAATAATTGCTTTAATTATTTAGTGACATATTTATAAAAAATAAAATAAGTCTTGAATTTGTGAAGAATTAGATCTCAAATTTGCATATTTTTTCATTTCAAAAGTTATTCAGATAGCTCATTGTAGCTAACATTTATATTAATAAAAATCACCACAAAAAATCAATATTTTTGATATTTTTATGTGTTTTTAAAATATTTGATCAACATAAAATTTTTATTATTCTAAAGAAATAAATTCAATAAAATAATTGAGAAAATAAATTAATTTTATTTTGTAGAATTCTGATAATTTATTTCATTATTTCATATTTTTTTAATTTTTGAAGTTAACCAGGTAAATTAATTACGAAATTAATAATTTCTGCTATTATTTCCTATCATGCTACTAAAAAAAGCCCTTTTATAAAAGCATTTATCATTTGATAATGTATTCCTTGTGCTTTTATTTATTTAAATTTTTAAATTTGAAAATGGTTATTTTAAAAATAAAAAATTAACAACTTTGAACTGAAAGCTATATTAAATATTAAACGTGTTTTAACTATCACTTATAAATCCAAATGACATAAAATAGCTTAAACATAATGATTTTTATTAACTTTCTTAAATCAATAATATTACAAACGCCTTTAACATAATAAATTAATTTTTATTAGATTTATAACATTTTTTTAAAATAGCAATGATATTCTAACGATAAAATTAATGTTTATATTCTAAATAAACGTTTTTTTATTGTGCAACTTTTATTAATTATATAGATAATAATTGCTAAATATTCATAAAAATTAAAACTTTTAAATATTAACTTTAATTATATAAAAGACATTAGTCAATATTTTTGATTATTTCCTTTTACAATAATTATTTTAGATGTTTTGGATATATGTTAAATCAAAATTCAAACCATTTTATTTTTTCAGAAAATAAAAATTGTGATATTAAATAAAATAAGTTTTATATTAATTATTTAAAAAGTAATTTTATTATAATCAAAAAAATTGATTTCTTTATCAAACAAAAAAATCTTAGCTTTTAATTTCTAATTTTAAATTATGAATAAATTTAATATGTATGTTTTAGCTAAAAAAAATAATTTTATTTGAAATATAAAATTTATTTTATTAATATAGTTTATAAACTAAAGAATAATAAATAAATAAATATTATTTTAATCATAATACTTTTATAGCTAGCTCAAATATAATTATTACTAAGTTTTTGGGATTTGGATGTGTCTATTATTTAGCTGATAGAAGTATTATTTGATTATATTTTAGAAAGATTTTTATTATAATTTGCAAAGCAAGCAAGCATATCTAATTTTTTTGAATAAAGTGAACACAAATTAATGAATAAAAATCAATCAGAAGCTCAAAAGTATGAGTCATTTTTAAATAGTAGACTTAAAATAGATTTGAATAAAGCTTATAGAAGAAAAGAAATATACTAAATGAGACTAAGAGATTAGTATATTTAAACATAGTATATCATATATTCAATTTGATATTTTTAACAAATAATAGTATCGAGACAGAAATGTTTATACAAAAGGCAGAAAGCATTTAAGGAGATTCAATTAAAATGAAACTGGATTTAGGACATTAATTTTTTGCAAACGCGGAAATGTAATCAACTAAAACAATAGATATTTTTACAAATAATTATTTGATTATTTATAAATTAGTGAAAATAAAGATAAGATTGTTTTGGATGTAGGACTTGGAGTATTTGTAGAGTTAACATATAAAGAAGCAAAAGATATTATATTTCAACAAAAGATTGAGCTTGAAAGATTGATAAGAAAGGCTGATATTGATATTGTTGATATTAAGACCAATATAAAAATAGTAAATTTTGAATTTGTAAATTTTTTCAATTTATAAATTTTAAAAAAATAGTTTGAGAATACTTTGAATTAGCTAGCAGGTTTAGTGTAGCAATGAGCTCTAATTTTGCAAATAATTTAATATTAATTTATATCTCAATATATTGTCAAATATTTCACATTTTATATAAAATATTTTTCAATAATAAGATAAGAGTAGTAATTAATTATTAAATTTACAAATTTCATTTTATGTTATTTTTAAAATTAATTAGTAAAACAAGCCCATTTTATATCAAACAATTTATTTTATTATTAAGAAATATTCAGTGTTAATATTAATCTAAATCACAAATAGAAATTATTTTAAATAAAGTTTTGAGAAGTAAAACAGATTAGGAAATAATAAAATATATTTTAGAGAAAATATTAATAGTAAATTCATTAGTTTAAGTTTATACAACAATATTTTGAGTTAATAGAGAATAAATAATAAAATAAATTAATTTATTATGATATCTTTTAATAAATAACACTTTAACTTTTTTAAAAGATATTTTTCAGAAAAAAAAATAAATTTAGAGAAAATATTAAAAGAGAATTAAGTTATTTAAATTTCCAAAAAGACACCCAAAATAAATGTATTATTAAATTAAATTTATTATTTTTTAAAATCAAATATTTTAGAAATTAAACAGCTTAAGAAAAAATGTAATAAATTTTAGAGAAAATATTTATAGAAAATTGAATAATTTAAGCATAAATAAATATATCTTGAAGAATAGTGATAAAAAATAATAAATTTAATTAATTTGATATTATGATGTCTTTCCATATAGAATACGATTTATTAAATAGTTCATAAAATACATTTTGTCTATTTAATAAATTTAAAAATTGTATTTTTTATTGAGATATGATAAAATATTTCATTTATTCCTAATTTTATATTGATAATAAATTATTTTTGTATTATTCAACAATAACTCTTAAAACTTGGAAGATAATTGAATTGACTGAATTTTTTTTTGTCATATAAAATATAGAATACTTGAATATATTAGATTGTTTTTCTTTAAATTATTAAAAAGCTTTATTACTTACTTATAATTTAATAAATGTAAATATTTTTTACTATTAAAATAAAATATGTAGAATTACCTTAGTTAAAAACTTAGATTTTAAGTTCAAAATATTTACTTTTTATTGATATTGTATCGATTTATTAATTTCTGTTATTACTTAAAAAAACTTCAGGTATAATTTTTGTAATTCAAAAGCTAGCCTTTGCTAATTGAATCTAACAGCCATTTATGAGAAACTATTATTTAGCCATCGTTACTTGATGATTTGAGAGATTTTAAACTATTTTTATCAATATTTTACGCTCCTGATGTTATTACTACATGGAAATATTCTTCTGGTTCATCTCTATTATTATCTATTACGACTCCTCCTGCTAATTTTATCAGCTAAACCATTTCTTTCTTAGTTATTTATTAATCTTTTTTTGTTTGCTTTTCACTTATATAAAATCTTAAGTTTTCAAGTAGATCTGTCAATCCGTTCTTTGTATAATTATACAAAAATAAAAAACTTATTTATTAGTTTTTTTATGTTTACTCTAAGACGAGATTCTCTAGGAGTATTAATCCCATAAGGATCACCATAAACTTCAAATTCTTCTTCATCTTTCAATTCGTTGTACCCATTAGAGTGTATTATCCCTATTTTTTTTTTTAGAATTTAATTTAAAAGAATAAGAAAGATTAAAAATTACAATTAAATCCTACAATCCATATTCCCTCCACTAAAGCGCTTAAGTATTTTAAAGTTCTTTTGGCAATTATTTTATCATCTTTTTAATCTATTGGAAATACAACTAAATGAGTGAGTTATTCATGATAATCTTTGAATTGCTTAGCCTTATATAGCTTGCAAAATTTATCTACTTCATGCTTTTTCATGAAAATTTACATTTATCTATAAGCTCAAAAATAATATTTTAAATTTACTTAAAATTCTTCTGGCATGTTTGAAACTAAAATATTTATTTTATCATTCCTCTTTCTTGTCTAATACGAATATTTATTTATTAATCTATTTATTTTTCTTAACTGATTAATAATTTTACTTTTGGTTTTGAGTTGTTATTACTGCTACTAATAGTACTATTCTCATTTTTTTATATACTTTGAATTTAATTGGATTATATTTCATAAGCTAATTTATTTCAATATAATTATTTAGAATTTAACTTTACTCAATTCATTTTATCTAAAACAAATAAATATCAATCAATTAATTAAACAAACATGTTCACATTTTAAAGGTTGATGTAACTCGCTAGCTTTTCTTTTGCGTGTTGAAAGTAAGTCTTTTTTAGGTGTTTCAGTTATTTGTATTTTCTTAATCGGCTTTATATTTAAGATTATTGATGCTAAAACTTGAGCCTTTTTATCAGGAATGTAGTTTCTCTTACCAACGGGCATCTTGCAAAGTGGACAAAATGCTTATTTAGCTCCATTACTTCTAATATGATTTTCTAAGCATTTTTTACAATAAGTATGTTAACAAAAAGTTGTTACAGGATCCTCAAAAATATCTAAACTTAAGTATTAAAATGTAATTTTAAGAATTATTAGTGAATTAAGCTATCATTACCATATTGCGCATCTAGTTTCGTTTTTTAAAGCTAAAAAATCATCAGGCTCTAGTATATAATGATAATTCTAATAGTTTTAAGATAGTTCCATCAATTTTTTATTTGAAAATAAAATATTTTTTTCAAGATTTGATAATAAATCAAATTGAATTTATTTCTTTGTTTTGAAATATGAATTTTGATTTTTTATAATAATTGCGCAATTTTATATTGTCTTGTTTTTTGTTAAATAAAGTTAATTTGATGATTTATGGTTTGGTTTGATATCTCCCGCCTCAATTGATAAACATTATTTCGAATAGTAGAAAAGGAATATTTTTTCCCTGAAATTATATCAATTCTATTTTTATGCAAAGTAGAGTTTGTAAAATTTCTATTTTTATAAATATTTTAAAGAAAGATTCAAATAATTTATGAATTTATTTCTGATCAAAAAGATTATTTGAAAATTAAAAGTTTAATTCAATAAATTTGAAAATTCAAGAATTAAAATATAACTTTATAAATTAATTAATTTGTTGCTCATATGCCACTAATTTAAATTAAAATTAAATTATTAATTTAAAATGTTGAGAAGAATAGAAAAGATTTAATAAATGAATTAGCTTTTGAGAAATACATGATTAATTGTAATGAATTCTTTGCTTTAGCTGAGATGCATTGCTCTAAATAATTTAATTATTAAAAAAAGCTCTTTGTATAGATCTAATATTGATTGGGGTTAGAGCATTTCTTATAATTTTATTTATTTGGAAATAAATCAACTTTTTAGATTTTTACATGGGTAGAGATACAAGGACTACAAGTATTAAGAATAAAGATACCAAAAATGAAAAGTAGGAGGTATCTCATACAAAGTCTAAGTAAAAAATTAACAAGAAGAAAGCAAACTAGAATAAAAGCAAATCATAAAAGAATAAAAATGGAGCAAATTGCTAGGAATCGGAGGTCAGATAAATGAGGATTCGTGCTGGCTTAGTTTTAGATAAGAAAGAGGTTCACACTATATGTTTAAATAATAATGGATCTAACTCATCTTCATCAGAAATAAACTAAAATGGCATATAGATGGACGAAGAAGTACTTCAAAGTGACAGTACCGTATCTAATAACCACACTAATGGAAATACAGCTTTATCCAAGAATAAGGTTGAAGGTAGAATTATTTTCTTTTACTTTTTAAATTGGTTGATTGCCTTCTAATTTTTGTAATATATTTATTTTTTCATCAGATAAAAGGGGCAATTCAAAAAGAAATAACAAAAAGATAGCAACTTAAAATTATGGTATGCAATAAAGTGACTAGTAAATTTATTAATTCTTTGTTATCTTTTAAAAATAGAAGATTAACACGATTAGTGCGGTTAGCAGAATCAGTGTTAGAGCAATATCTTGAATCCAGAAGTAGTTGGTGTTTAGCGATTACATTCTAATGGAAATAGCAAAAATGATTCATCTCTTTTTTATGATTAAGATAAATAGAATTTTAATTGCAATAAAGATGTCTCTAAATCAAATACTAATGGACAAAGAAGTCTCCCAATAGCTAAAGGAATAAAGCAATCAGACTATAGCTAATTCATTAATTTGCCAAATAACTTCAATTCTAATGGGAATGATACTAATAATATTTAAAATATGACAACTTTTAATAGCGGATTTTTAGGAAAAGAAGATTAATTCAAAGATTTTAGTATAATTGTTGGATCATTCCAAAAGCAACACTCTATTTTTTATGGAAGTACCTTTATCTAAGAAGCAAAAATGAGAGGTTTCAATTTAGAAATCGTATATGATGATAAAGAATTTATAAGCAAAGTTAATAGCTTTGATATAGCTTGGATTGTAGATAATTCAGAATTAAACAAAAAATATGAGCAACAATACATAGAATCAATTGGTACTTTCTTTAAATCCAAAAAGAGTTTATATATTCATGCTGGAACTAATTAGTGCTACTCTAGGACTAACATTATCTTATAGAACTTTTTCAGTAATTTTATTTTTTTAAAAGTATTTTAAAAATTAACTTAAAATATTTTTCTTATAAAGATAACATGTCTCTCTAAGGCAAAATTAAACCCAAACAAAAAATCGTTAACCCAGATTTAAATTCATAAAATACACTCCCTTACTCATTTAATCGCTCTCTTAGTTTAGCCCATGGTATATCTACCCTTAAATTGACCAACGACTAAGCAATAGTTTAGCAGAAGCATGATGATTTTTCCAATTTCATAGTAATTTAAAACTGTCAGCCAATAGTGCTAATTTCTGAAGAAAATGATTAGCATGGTAGAATTATCCTTGATTGTGGTTTCTTGAGCTATGATATTAAAACTTGGAGCTCTGATCATTTCCATCATTACCTATCTAACTCTACCGTATGGCTTACTGGTATACCAAACTGAAATCTTAACAAAAGATTCTATTTTTCTCCTCTTCTTCATATTTCTAAAATTCATAAAAAGCAATAAAATAATTTCTAAAGTAATCAAAAATCTGAAAATATTATAAAGTAAAAATAAAATTTTTCAAAAGAAGAAGCAAATAATAATACTTATTTATAGAATGAAGCACACTGTTAGCTTCTATTAAATTAACTCTAATTTTATTTATATCTTAACTATAATTAAAAATGTAATGTAAACCTTTATTTATATCATATTTACTTTCTGTATTATAAAATTAATATTAATTCAAAAACAACTAAATTTTTAAAATAGATTTAAATGATTACATTTATTTTTCCGACTTTTTTAAATGAACAATCATTTTAAAACAGGTTAATAATAAATTATAATTTCTCTTTTGTAGCTTTTAAATTCAGATTAATTTAAGCATTTAATAAAAATTTATTTAACACTATTTTTTAAAAGTTTTTTGAAGAATAAACAAATGTTTTGATGGATAAAGTAAGAAGAATATGAATTCCTAAATTTATTTTTACAAAATACTTTAAGATAAAAAATAAATAAAAATTTTTATGTCATGTTTTCTTCATGTTTATTTTATAAAAAAATATTTTTAAAGGTAAAAAATACTTATTTAAGCAAGTAGTTTTCAACATAAACTATTATTTTTTTCCAATAATTTATTTAACTTTTTAATCTAAAATTTGTGTTTATTTATATTACTAAAATAATATTTTTTATTAATTATCGATTTATTTTGTTGTTTTAATAGCTTTGATTGTATTATTTATTTTTTTTATATTACTTTGAAATAAAATATATTTATTTCTTTCTAATTTTTATTATGTATCATTATTTTTTTTAATACTTTTAAATTTTTAGTTCTCCCATCTTTTTCTAAAAGATTTCAGATAATAAAGTATATTCTAAGTAGTTAATTGACTCTATATCACTTTCATACTAAATACTATTTTGTCTAAGGCTAATAATTTACTATAGAGTGGTGGCTGAGACATCTATTTTTAATAAAGCCATAGAAAAGTCTGACACAAATTCAACCGAGCTCTGAGGAATTATATCTTGTAATGAAAGAATTTTAAGTTATACATCTGCATAAAAGGTCATTTCGTCATAAGTTATGAATTTCAATTTAAAGGGTTTATTTGTATCTTCAAATGTAATAAATTCAGGAAGATTTGGCAATTTATACACATCAATCAGCAATTTTTTAATTACTTTTTTGTTAATTTCCATGTTTGATTCATAGTCTAAATAATTATAACCTCCATTTCTTTAGTATAGCTCATTCATTTAACTTAAAGATCTACCTAACAGCATACAAAATGCTTCACTAACAAATGTATTATAGCTTAAAAAACACTCCTTTTCGAGGTTTGGACCTATATTGGCTCCTATGTACATTTCATCTTTCTAAAATGTTGTTAAATATTGTTTAACATAATTGTCAAACATGATCTTCCTTATACACATCTCGCCTTACAGATTTTCGTTTTATTTTATTTACTAACAATATAATTTCTACATTTGCAAAATTTGATTCTAAACACTTAAGTAGTACTCAATGATTTGAAATAAGCTATGTATTGTTTAATCAGGATATGAAAGGTATCTTTTTTTGTATTTATTAACATCTTGCAAAGGTTATGTCTTGCTATCCAGTTAAAATGTCAATATCCTATTATCAAAGTCAATAACTCCTTGTGTCCATTATTTGCATTAGTTCCAAAATGATGTTTTATCTTCTAAGCTCTTCTCTTTTTAGGTAAAATCTACGAAGATTTCCCCTAAAAGATAGAAAGCTTCAAAGCACTGTGCCTTGAATCGACAAATATTAGTCACTTAATATTCTACACTCTTAAGAGTCTCTTCAGAAGATAATTAAATCTCACAACTTTTATCTTTTAATTCTTCTTCATCTTCTGTTTAAAACTAACCAATAGTATGTGGAATAGAATGTGCATTTTATATGATCAAGCCTTATCCTCTAGAAGTCTCGTTCATAAGAGGATACTGTAAATTCTTATTATTTTACTCTAAATTTGATTCTTCTTAACATTTTTTAATTGCATTATTAGGATACTAATAGAATTATATCATTACTTAACTAACTATGATTGCTTAAATTAATTATTTTTATATAAATTAAATAAGAATTATTATAAACATGCTTAACTAACTTTAAACTTATTTTTTTTTATTAAAAATTTTATCACCACATAGTATCATAAAATAACAAATTATAAAAATGGAAATAAGATTAAATTGGTTACAATTAACATTTATTTTTAATATATTGTTTAATAGATTTAGTTGATTAAAAGTAGAAGTAACTTTTTGTATCCTTCCAACATATTTTTATTTTTGGAAGTATCAACTTATTTTTTTAGTTTTTGAATAGTTAAGTCACAAACTATTTTATTTATTTTAGCGAATTCTAAAATTTTTAATAAATGCTTGAAAACAAGATTTAGAAACATATAGTGAGTCAATTTATATAAGTCTATGCATACTTTGCAACATTTAATAATAAATGATCATATATTTACAGTATGTATGTTTAGTGGTAACAAATGATTATTTACTGTGAATATTTAGTAAATTAATAAATAAATTAAATTAAAAATATTTGATGATAAATAGAATTGACTGAAAAATGATTGACCCTTATTACGAAAGATATTGTAGGAGTAAAGAGCTTTTGCTAAACAATTTACCTCATGAAGTGATTAAGTAATAGGAAAAAGTATCTAGATAGTTTCTGAGGAGATTCTACATCATTTATAGATCATTTTTAGTTATAAGTTTTTTATATGCTTCTGTATCATTATATTTAGGAATTTACATTTAACAACTCGCTCAATATAAAGTAGAAAGCATTTTTATGTTTACAGGAGTAGTTTTCTATTTTCTTACTTCATTCGTATCATTTTTAACACCATTTTTCAGCTTGAAAACAAGACTTCAGAGAATGGCTTGTATAGCTAATTACTTAGGAGGATCTTTTATAATTATAGACTCTCTTGTAGTATTTATAATATCACTAATTGATGATTGTTGCGGTAATTAATTGTCTAAAATACATAAAGCATGAAAAAGAGCTATAAAAATCTATTTGTTTTAAAAATAATAGGAATTTAATTTTAAATAGATTCTCAGTAGGTGGTTGACATGTGTTAAATTTTATAAAACGGTCAAGTGTGCTAAAAAATAGGAACTTAGGAGTTGATTTAAAGAATAAATAGTAAGGAATTTATATAGTAAGTTTGCTAAGCATATTCTTGCACTGATATGGAAGTTGTTACTATTAAAAATAATTTAATATATTGGATCTGCTGTATAAATTTCATCATATTTTTTTTGGTTGGAGCTCTGTTCATGCACCAACTATTAAAGAAAATTTAGAAAGTAGACAGTGAAATAAAAAAAATATAATAGGATTATGTGTATTCAAAATATTCCAGCTCATCTGAATACTGAATCAATAAAAAGTAAGTAAGTAAGCAAATATTCAAAATTTGTTACAACTTTTAATATAAAAGAATATCCATTGTAATAAACTAATGAGATAATTAATATCTATGCCAAATAAATTAATTTAATATTATTATATAAAATAAGTTAATAAAAAACAATTCAATTTAACAAATCTAATTTATTTATTTATCTTTAAAATTATCATTTTAAATTATTGTATTTATTATTTATTCAGATGTGTGAAAAATTACAAAATTGTTTCTTCAACATTTTTAATAATTCTAAATCTTATAAACTAAACTTTATTTGTTATTCAAGACTTTTAAAATAAATAAATTTAATTAAAATAACTATTAAATAAGAATATAAGTAACCTAATCTAAAATGTTTGTTTTATAACTTTTAATAAAATATCTCAAATAATTTCTTCAATATTCTTTATTTTAATAAAGGTAAAATAATTTAATTGTTTTTATTATTAAAGTGGGTATGATATTGAAAATTTATTTAAATACTTCAAATTTAGTAAATGAGTTAAAATATGGAAATCTTTCCTACAAGCATAATTTTTACATGCCATCACCCCCGCTTACTGTCATTTTAAATGAAAATGAAACAGCAAACCTTAAAAAAAGAATTATTATTTCCTTCATATAAACCCTTAAACTATTTAATTATGTAAGTAAGTAATGAATTCATAGAAAAAATCTACATAAATTACTTGCTACTAAAATATGCAAAGCATATACAAATATAAATTGCTAAAAGTGGTAAAGCAGAAGATAATATAGAGAATATCGTCATAAATGACAAATGGGAAATATAAATATTTATGGGCTATTGTAAAGCAATTCTTGTTAAAACAATTGAAGAAGCTAACAATAAAGCCAGAAAATAAATATACAGTAAACTTAACATTATAGTTAAGTTACAACCATTTAAAGATATCTCTAAAAAACTAAACTTCGACCACTCTATCAATTTAATAAAATATATTTACCAAAGCCATTCTTAAGTTAAACTATTCATAGTAGATAATATCAAGTACTCACTTAATGATGTTGCCGAATAGATGTTAGGTCAAGCAGAAGCAAGTCAATTGAGAGAGATTATCAAAAAAAATAGCCCTCCAAATGACAACGATCTAATGCTAAATACTATCGTGAGTGATACTAAAAAATATATATAAATTAATAAAATATTAAATAAAAATAAAATATTTTAGAAAAAATTAATTATATATATATATGTCTACTGTAAAATAATATTATAATTAAGAATAATTTGGTGATTGACACTGGGGTCTGAACAAGAAAACTCAAAGGCTTCGGCAACTAGAGTATTTCTACCCAAAGACAATCAAATTAAAAAATATTAATATATAGAATTAATTTATGAGTTTTGCTTTAAAGTTTGTAAAAAGAATAAAACTTTCAATCTATTGAAATATAAAATATTTATTTATTTATTTAATAATTAACTTTATTTAGATTTGGAATCAAAAAGTTAAATTTAGTTAGATTTTTAATTAAAAGTAGTAGAATAAGTTACATGAGAGAGGGATGTTCATTAATCATTTAAAATATAATAAAGTTTTGAATATTAATTATAAGAATCATAAATATTATATATACGAAAGGAATTGAATACAAATAAGAAGAAATAAGTAGTTGTTTGTGGGAAAGGGAAAGGAAATTTATTATAATTAAAATTTTTAAATTAATTTATTGTTTTTTTGTTTGCTTAATATATAAGTGTTAATTTAATCTAATTAAACTAATTAAAGGGATAATGGTTGCTTCTCCATTTAGTCAAATTTCTTATTTAAGATATATCAAAGTGGTCTATATCCACAAATTTTGTGTTTGTTCTAATCGTTATAAATACCGCCATTAACTTCTGATTACTTGCACAAGAATTTTTCTTTAAATATTTCAGCTTAGATTGTGTAGGTGATATCTTCTGCTTTGTCATTTCTGAGACCTAAATCCCTAAGTTATTGTCTTTGTATCTTAATCTATTCTTCCATAGAAGGTGATACATTTAATATAAAGATCATTGAGAAGTAGAGAGATTTAATTCCAAGATCTTGGTTGTTCTATTTTTGGATGAGAGTCTAAACAGTGACATCAGCGTAGAAAGTGATATCATCAAATGTTTAGAATTTTAAGTTTTGAGGTGAAGAATACTCAAAAAATTCTTCAGGAATGATTGTTTGTGCTGCAAATTTTTCAATTATACTTTTCATAAAGGTGCGTTGCATGCACATAATAGTTTCGAAATCAAAGAAATCAAAAAGACCAACTCTGTGTTGTTGAGATTAGTTTTCTTCAAGTGTTTAACCTAAGAGCTCGCATAGAGATTCACTCATAACTTGTTGATAGAACTACATTTTATTTTTGTTAAGATCAGGACCAAAATGTCTAGCAAAGAATTTGGTATTTTATCCTAAGGTTTAGTAATGGTAGAACATTCTCTTTTAGAAATTATCATGCATCATAAAATGGTGATAAATTTTAAATTAAATATGTGGATTAGTCTAGGGCATAAGTTGTTAGTTTCTTTTGTACTTTTCAACTAATTCTTAAAGACTCAACACAATTTACACAAGTTCCTGAACATCCTTGTTGGGGTATTAAGAGTATTTTTTAATAATATATTCTTAATTAAATTAATGAGCTATTTTATCATCTAATTTAGTGACGAGTAGTCTTTTTTGTGTATCGATGAGAGAGCAATTTATATTTTTAAAGTAATTCCAAGGAGAATACAAATCGGTGTACTGCTTTTGGAGCTTACTAAAATCGACAACTATTTCTCCTGAATAGTATATTTCGCTAGCCTCGCTGTAGAAGTTTTTATAAATGGGAGTAATTATATAGCTTCCATATTTAGGTGGTTCTGGAAATCTTCTTTTTTTATATTATCTTTTAGCTATTGTTTTAGTTTTTTCTAAGGGTTTCAGCTCTGTAACACTCTGAGTATCTTTTTATTTAGTTGATTCGCTCTCGTCCTCTTCTGTATCAATAAATTTTGTTTCAATATCGCAGTAAGTATCCATGTTTATTGAATTGAAAATGTTGGTGTATGAAATATGTTTTGATAGTTTATTTGTATTTTATCTTTGTTTTTAACAAGTTTTAATTGATTTTTCTCTTTATTTATTATTAAATACTCATCCTTGAAATGACCTCACTTATCTATCAGCTTTATTAAAATTAGTGAAGATCTGGTTAATATTAAGAGTTATAGTTTTCTCTTTAATTCTATTAATTTAATTTTGAAGAAAGAAATAGATAAACCGATCTAATTATCATAATATTGAGTAAATTTATTAATAACTTTAGATTTATGATATTTTATCTACATTAAAGTCAATTAAATAAAATAGCTGCTAATAATTATTCAATTTACATAGTAAAACATCATTATTGAAAAAGTATTAAAAATTTAATTAATTTCGAATCCTTCTTGAAATAGAAAGATATTTTATTTAAAAAAATCAAATTTTTTAAAAAAGATGCATAATTTTAGTATAACTAATGTCAAATTGATAAATTCCAATTAAAAATATCCTATCAATCTATTTTTAGAGCCTCAATTTGAACTTAAATTTAATATCCTTTTATTATTAGAACCAAATTTGAAATAAATGTTTTCATCTATTTCAAAGCTTATTGTGTTCGGTAGATTTTATTTGTCAAATTTCAGGTTATTTATATGCTGCTTAATAAAATTAATTCCAAATACTAAAGAATGAATTAAATCAATAAATTCTTTATATTTGAAGTATTTAGTTTGCTTTACTTAAAAATGAAAATAAAGATAATAAAGTGAATAATTTTAGTTAATTATTATTTTTTTGTAAATGTTGTAAGTGTAATAATTATGAAGATAATCATTGGTGAGTTAGCTAAATAGAGACATATTTGAAAGTTATTAAGAATATTTTTCTCTCCCGTAATTTAAATATAATAATTAGAGTAAAATAAATAATAATTCATATATTTTTCTATTTCTCTTAATAATAAGTTGTATTTTTTATTAAAAAAATCAAAGCAAAAAATTAATTTTACTTCGTATTTCGAAGAATTGCATTTCAAATTATTATAATTAATTATATTTGCTAATAAACTACATTTAAATAGAAATTGAATTATTTTTAAAAAGAATTGAAATAGAGTAAATTTACATAAGTTACTTACATTTTATCTTTAAAAATTTATAATTTCCTATCAACCAAAATAACAAAAAATAATTATTAAAAGTAAAGTAATTAATTAAAAAATAAAATTTATATAATTTAAAAAAAAAAATTATTTAAAAAATGTATCAAGCATCAGAGATACAAATACATTTTTTCAAGCTACAAAAAAAAATAGTACTTTTTTTAAATAGAATATCTTAATTTGCTCTTTTATATAAATAAAATAAGCTTTATATTATTTTTAACTATAAAAAATATTTACTTTTTGTATATTCTAATATATTTTAGAATTTATTACATTTTTTTAATTGTTTTTTTTTGAAATAATTTACTTAATAGAATAATAAAATATTTAAATTTTAATTCTACTTATTTACTTATTGGTTGATTTTTAAAGTAATAATCTATATGTACATACATATATGCTCTATGAAATATATGAAAATTATGTGTAGAGCGCGAAAAAAGGAGGTAGGAATAATAAAAAAAGAATAAGGCTTAAATATAAAAATATTGTAATAAGAGAAAAGATATTAACTGTATTTAAAAATCTAAGAAGAGAGACATTAATCTATAAATGCTACTTTAAATAGAAAGAGAGATATCTTGTTAATAAAATTGCTGATATTAATTATAAATTCGCAAAAATTTTAATCTTTTAATTAAGAAAAAAGAATAAAAAGCAAGTAATAAATAATACAATTAATTATCAGCAAAATAAACAAATAAAGAAAGAATGGAGGATTTTGAACAAAAAGAGCTCAAGCGCAGAAAAGAAGACTTTAGAGTTGAAATTAGAAAAAATAAATAGGCTAAGACTTTTAGTGCAAACAGAAAAAAATTGATCTAAAAGCTATTTGAAGAAGAAGAAACTACTTCTTCCTCTTCTACTTCATCTCAAGAAAAGCACGCTCTAAACAGCTCAACTGGAAATAATTAGTAGAATATATTTAGCATTTCCCCATTCTAAACTAAGGAATCTCAAGTATTGAATCAACAAACTTACTTAAATTCTAATTAATCAAACCTTACTTCTAGCAACAGCTTGAAGGTTTACCTTATATATAGCTTATAAGAAATAGATTAACTTGTAGTTGAATTTGTAGATTATATTTAAAAAAGCACTCAATAACTGATTTAGAATAATTCTTAATAAATATATTTAGATAACGCTGTTTAAACTGATATATTAATTGCTTAGAGTTTACTGAAGGAAGTCCTTTAACCTTTATTGAAGTATGAGGACCTCTTTAAGCAAGTAAGTGAGAAAAATTGTCATTTGTTTGAGTAAAGTTAAGTGCACATCCGCTTGTTTGAGTATCTTTAAAATATCATTAACACAATGCAATTTGCTATGTCTTTAGATTTATAAGGTGCTGAAGCACTGTTATGTAAAGTTTTTTAATACTTAGTCAATGTTTGCTTAAACTCTGAAAAGGCTTTAGACGATTGTTTTTCATTAGGAATTATTAATTACTTTATCAATATTATGATTTCTTCTAATTTCTACAAGCAAAAGTCAAAGATGATCTTATTTTCTGTAAATTTGCTTGATCACATAGCCTCAAGAAACAATAGCGAGCACATCAAAATTTTAGCTGAGAAAGAAATAACTAGATAAATACTCACTCTAATGACAGATATTTAAAAAAGCATTTAAGAATAATAATAATAATTACACTAAATTTAGTAATTTGACATGTAGACTGAAGCAAATGTAAATAACGAATTAAAGATTGATAGCTTCTATCGCAAATTGTTAGTTCACTTAAGCAGCATTTTATCAAATATTTCATCCAACAAAGATCTTATTGACCAACCTAATAAGGATATGCTCATCTAGATATGCCAAGAACTTCTATTCCTAATTTGTAAAGATTTAAATGAGAAATCAAAACAACTAGTGGCTCTTTAAAAGTTTTATTAAACTCTCCCTCATGAGTACTAAAATTAAGGTATGAAAAGTAATTTAGATGAAGAAGAGGAAGAATTAAGTGAAGAAATAAACACTCTTCAAAAAAAATAAAGATTCAGACCACCTGAGGAATAAAAGATCTACGAAGAATTAGCATAAATTGAAGAAAATCTTGGAGCTTGTCTTTTAAATATTATTGAAATGATGGAAGCTGATGATTTAGATGAATATATTAGCAACAATATAAGCTTTTTAGTGTTTTCACAATCTCAAATACTACCAGTCGAAGAATAAAACTAAGAAAATAGCCAAAGAATTTAAATATATGGCGAGCTCATGAATGGATTGCTGATGGGTGAAGAAGATTAAATAGAATTAGTTATCGACACTTTCTAAATTTTAGACTATATAAAAAATTTAATTTACTCTAACTATAACAATTTGGTAATAACAGGACTTATTTGTCTCTTTGATATTTTAATTTCTGCCACTTAGAGCCAATTTGATTAAATATGTGAAAATGATTAGAATATAATATGCAGATTATTGTAATTAATTAATCATTAAACAAATAACACACAACTTTAAGTAGAATCCTTAAAAACTCTTTCAGCTTTTGTTGACAGAGCACCAAAATAAATTATTGACTACAAACTTCGTCCTACCAATATAATAAATATTATCATTCAAAAGATGGATCCTGAAAATGAATCTGCAATTATTAAATCTGCTCTTACCCTATTAGAGTCTCTTTTAAAATCAGAAGAATGTAATGACAACGAAGAATTCGAAGAAGAACATGAAGATATAGAAGAAGCTAACCACAATTAAATAAACAAAATGTAAACCTTAAAGCACACAAGCGATAATTATTGGGCTCTTAAATTCCAATCTAATCCTGCAGGCAACAACATTATAACAAAACTTATTAACTCACTTCACTCAACAGACATAATTTTACAATTAAGTAGTATTCTTGACGAATACATTGACTGATTGAAGTGATTTTATAATTAACATTTTAAAATAAAAAAAATTACTAAAAGTAATTTATGTGTATAAAAATATTATTATTTGATTTCATTCTTTTCTAAATTTAGAAATAAATGTTTTTATGATTACCCTAGTGTATTTTATATATAAAATTATTTATGTTGTATTAAAACTGAAGGTAATTTGTTATTTAATTAATATTCATTTATCTAAAATTGTATTATAAAAATTGTAAAGGTCCTCTTTTAAATACTTAATTAATTAAAATCCAAAAATTGATAAGTTCAATAATTAACTAATTGTTTAAGATTTATGAAAATTTTAGATTTTATCAGCAATTTTTGGTTGTATTAAATACAATTTTATCATTTAATTTTTAAAGCCATGACTAAATTTTATTTACAATCATTTACATGTTTTTTTTTGATAAATAATTAAATCAAATTATTTTAATTCTAAAATTAAACAACCTCTTTTAAATAATTGATTCATTTTATCTATAAAGTATTTTTTAAATTATAAACTGTAATTTTTATTGAGTTTTTGATAATATTTTATTCTTGTTTTACTTAAACAATTCCTCTAGATAAATTTTGATATTGGAATTGTAGGTAGTTTGTAATTTAAGTATTTTTATATAGCTAAAAAAAGTGTTAAATTATAATGTTCTATTTTTAAATACTTTTTATGTAATTTAAAATCTAACCATTATTAAAGGTCAATTTTTAACATTATTTTGTATAAAATTTATCAAAATTTGATATGTTTTCAATATTTTCTGTTACATTAAATATAGTTTGATCATTTAACATTTTAAATGATGGCAAAAGTTGAATTTCATTCCTCAAATTTTTTCTTATATTTAATAAATAATTAAATAAAATTCTTTTAATTATGAAATTAAATAATTTCTTTATTAATATTTTTAGATTGGCTTATTATGTATTTTAAATAAAATAAAAGAATAATTTATTAATTTGTTATTTATTGAATTAATTTTATATACAATTAGCTGAAAATTAATTAATTAATTATTTACATTTATATATTATAGTTTTATAAATATGTTAATGTTATTTGTTATTATTTAGTTAGTATAAAACGTTTTTAATTTATTTTATATAAAAATTAGTCTGATAGTTTTCTTAATTATGTTATTTTTTATTAGTTTGTTTGTTTGTTTGTTTTTTGCAGGTAAATACTTGATTGGTGGTTATTTTAAACCAAATCAATGTGTGTAATTTCAATTATTTAACTCGTATTTTTCTTCAGCGTATACAGTAAAAAGCTATGTTTTAACCAAATTATGTAAAAAGCTATCATTTTTTCCTAAATTTTTAATCATTTGCTTCTCTATTTCTTCGAAATTAAGTATATTATTCTATATTTTAAATTATTAAAATATTTATTATAAAAAAGAAAGAAACTAATTTTAATTTATACAGATTAATAAGGAGGATTTGCAGGCATCTACTAAATTATGTTTTAGATTAAAAAGTCTGAACAGGTTTGCAGTATTTTCATGCAAGCTGTTTTTTCTTGATGGTTAGGGTAAGTTATAATTGTTTTCTTTCTTCTATGTGTAGAGTTTGAATTTATAAATTGTTAGGATTGAGGTCCATTTGATTTACTATTTTTATTTTTGCTTCCAAGGAGAGTATTAAATGCATCTGTTGCTGCGTTTATGATAAATGATTTTGACCTATTGTGTTACTGCTAGAATATAGAATTGCCTTTTTTAGTATTACTTCCCAACAAATTATTTGAAAAGTTAATTTAGCTATTACTATTAGCATTGTTAGTATTGTTGTTTGAATGACTTAAAATCTCTTTGTAATTGCTATTTTAGCTATTGCTCATATTATTATTACTAGAGTCATTCTAATTTGAATAATTCATGTTATTGCTATCATCTGTGTTGTCTCTTTCGAGATCATCAAAGTAGTTGCTAACTTTTTCAACAAGCTAATATTTAAAATAATTAATTTTTTAATAAACAAAACAATTTTTTGTTTTAAAAATTTACATGCTAATAAAATAATGAATCCTAAATATGTGAAACAAGATCTGAGTTTAATAATTCTATGTTTTCGTCAAGCAAGACAAATAAACAGTTCTCATGCTTTTGGGCAAGATTATTTTGATAAACATATGTTTTGTCTTTGTTTAGTCCTACTAAAATAGGAACAGGAATATCCATCAAATGGGTGAAGTTGTTGGGTAAATTAAAAATAAGAGGATGATGCCATCTAAAGGGTTTTAAAAGTGAATGGAAAAGTAGCATTGTAGAAGACAGCAGGGCTGAATTACTAGACACAAAAACTACGCTTTGTTCTAGTAGCAAAGAAAGAAAGATATTTACAAATAATTCTTTCTCAAAACTTGAAAGGACTAAACTGCATCCCCATTCAGCCTCAATATGTTTAGCTTCTTCTCTATTTGGTACTTAATAAGAAAAACATTCCCCATTAAAATTTAATTAAAGTCTATTTGATATGCTTGGTAGTGCTATTTTTTTTAGCTCTTCAAGGAGTTCCTTGCATTCTTTGTTCAAGAACTAAATTTTAAAAAAAATTATTTTCATTTTCTTTTAAAAGATAGATGTAAAAATCAAACATTTTAATAAAAAATTTAAAAGTAAATTATCTTAATTTTGTTTATATAGAATTTAATTACATTATAGAAGAACTCATTTTCAAGCTTAGACAAAGCTGATGGATCATGTCTGATATTTTCCTGAATTCTCGAGAAATATTCGATTCTCTTCATCTTCATTTAATCTATTTAATAATTATTTGTTTTTAATATGTAAAAATAAATTGTTTTGATTACTTAACATAGATGATATTATATCTAGGAAAAATCTGTGAAATGGATAGTAAGTTAAAAAGCAGAATAATTTGTTAGTCTTCCAACAGTTTTTATTTTATCCCTTTTAAAATAAATAAGTTAATAAATAAATACAATTACTATCATTTAGTTTTAAAATATTTACATTTTCAACAAGCTCTTTTACTCGGAAACAAATTCCATATAGAAGATTAGAAGGATTGCAAATATCAAGTAGCTCTTGATGTTCATTTTGCTTGTAAATAGAACCTTCTTTATTTTTTTAAAATTTGTAAGATTCTTCAGATTTTATGGCAAATACAAAACAATTATTATTTGCTTCTGCCATGTTGTTAGAAAAGATAATCTCATTTAACTATGAAAGAGAATCGGTCAGACGAATTTATTGAGTTTCTACTCCAAAAGGGAAAGCAAATTATTAGAATACATCTTCTCTCCCCTTCTCTATTTATGAGTTTTCGGGGTACTTAAAATATAGCTAAGGAGTTAAACTTTACATTTAAAATTAATTGAAATCATTAATTTAAAAAAAATAAGTTTTACCTGAATACTTCTTTTGTTTAAGATGGCTTTAAATTATTTATCTCTTGTTTATCTGGTCCATAAATCATCAATCCTTCAAATATCCTGTTTCCAATATCAGTCATTTAATTTTCTTCCAAATATTTCTTCATTTTTCCAGGCTCTTTTTTTTCATGAATGCTGTATTTATTTTTAATCTTCCTTTCTAAAACATTCTCTACCTATACCTACTGAATAGCTGAAATACTTTAATTGTTACTAGGAGAAATCGAAATACAATTTAAATTAGAGAGTTAGCTTTAATTTTTGAAATTAGTCATCTTGTTGTTTATTTAATTATAAGTCTCGACTGATTGATGTTTTTCATAAATGCTTTTGCTTACTTCTTCTGTGTTTAATCTTGCTGTTTCATGTGTATGCTAGTTAATTGTATGGCAATAAGGATTGTTTGTGTATAAGTAGCTATACTAATTAGACAAATCATCTACATTAATTAGCTATTCTGTAATTTAATTATAGTTGCTGTATGGGTCGTACTAATTACTTGTATAGTTTTGAATATTTTAAGCAAGATTATTTTAAACAAATTAAGGCATGTCCATTTGTTGCTATTATTGTTGTATCTAAAACTCCTTTTACTTTTTATTAAAAGTAGAAAGACTAGGATTTTCTATCTTTGAAAAATACTGCTCAGTTTTAATTCTGATATTTTTGCATGAAGTTTTCATCATAAATTTAAAATGAGATCCACTTAAATTTTCTAAATTAGCCGCTTCATCTGCATCTTCTTCTACGTTTGCTATAGTGTCCAAAACATCTTCAACTGTAATTGTAACATCCTCTTCTTTTTTTGGCTTGGAGTTATTATAGTAAACGATCTTTCCTTAGTTTGAAAGAGATCGTTGTTGCATTTCAGCCTGAGCATTAGTTGGAGTTTTCTAACCCATAATTTACTACAAAGCTAAATCATTATTGCTACTTTTTCTGTTTAAATTGTTTAAATTACTCAATTGATAAGTAATTCCTTCACTATTTCCAATACTTTCATGTCTACTCTTTAAATACATACTGTTTATTCCTGTTTTTTAATTTGTATATTGCTAGCTAGCCTTAGAAAACTACTGATCGATTGTATCTTTTTACAAAAATTTAGGACTTTTTAATTGCTCTTCTATTTATTTTTTGTTACTAAAACTAGAAAGTCTGTCAATTCCTACACTTTTTATTTCTACATCTGAAAACTTTTTATTTAGCACATTTGCTTAATTATTGAATTCGAAAGTGTTAAAATCCTGAGTTTAATTCTAATTATTAGGATTGTATGCAGCAGTTGAGTAAACTTAGTCCTAAAATATGAACTTACTCTTTCCAAACTAATTATTTTATTACTGAGCTGGTTTGGAAGATTAGTAATTACTAAAAGAATTCTATTAGTTTTGTGTAACCTGACTAACTTAATTTCCCTACTTTACCTCAAATTTTTCATTCTCGATTTTGTTATTCTTATTCTCAAACTATTCATCACATTAACTTTTGTTTTTATTGTTTGGAGAATATATTTAACTCTAATTACTAACAATAATGAGCTTTATGTCATTTTCTGAAGAATTAGAGTTTTGATTAACTTATTCGTTGTTGTTATTCACATTATTAGCATTTTTGTTATTGCTTCCGATAGCAGTATTAACGAAATCCTTTTCCTTTCTAATGCTGTTGGCTTTAAATATTGGATTTTGGCCAGCTTTACTTAAGTAATTCATGACAGAGTTGACTCCTAAGTTTTTTTGAATAATTTATTATTGAGCTTATTAATCTTCTTTTATCTAATTGTACTGAAGTGTAGCTATTTAATCATTTTGTATTAAAATGTTGTTCTAAGGATTGTTTAAATTGCTGCTTAAATAAGAAGAGTTTTAACTATGGCTAGGAGAAAGATTTTTATAAATTTATTAATTGTAAATTTTCTAGTTGATATTATCACTTGCTTATCTGGTATGTTGTGTTTATTGTTGATTATAATTTAAAGGTATTTATGACTGTATTACAGTTGATTAAGAGCTATTTTGGTTTACCTACAAATTTGTTTTTGACTAAACAGCACTCTTAGAACTGTAAAAAGTATTCTTCTTTTTTTATAAAGAAATAGAATTATTATCATTGCTTATTTACTATTTTTCTATTTCTAAGTTGCTGCAGTCTTTTAAATTATTATCACACTTTTCGATATTTAAACTTATCTTTTAGTTCTAAAATTATAAATTGTTCTAAATGCTATCCTCTTGATTGAAGCTCATGCTACTATTTTACTTAATTTTAGTGCCAGCCAATACATTTTAATAAACTGAATTCGAAGAACTTTAGTGTATCGAATAAAATGGTTTTCTTTTAGATTCATTTGATTCCAAGGAATGCTTGCCGTAAGTTATCATTGAACTATTTTCTTTATCAGATTAATTTGGAGTTTTAGACACTGCATGTTTTGAAGCTTTTGATTAAGACTGCTGAATTGAAGTAGCACTGAGTACGTTAGTCAAAGAAGGATTAGCTTAGTCAGTTACTTCTTTGTAAAAATCATTGTTTTTTCCATTTCCTTTCTTAGTAAACTAATTAGTAGAGTTCTCTTTTCCATCTTAGCCATTTAAAAATGTACTATAGTTATATTTTAACTGTGTGTTGGTTGCTGTTATTGATGATTTATCTAATTTTAAATATTAAAAATATTTAAAAAAATATTATAATTTTTAATTATTTTATTAATCTTAAAAATTTTTATTTTATATTTATTCCAATTTTTAAATGAAAAAGTATTTAAGCAATTTATATAGAAAATAGTTAAGAAAATTTATTAAAGTAAATTGATTGATTGATAGAAAGAAAGATAAATTGTATTCGTTAAACGTTTCTTTTTGAAAGTTTTTATATATTAAATAATCCTTGTTGTTTTATTTAATTGAAGTAAAAATCTATTTTAAGCAAGATTGTTTTTAGGATAGTTATTGAGTGATTTATCTAACTTTTTGATTTCTTATCACTTGAAATAAATGAAGAGCTAGATATTTAATAGAATTTAAAGTAAAGTTTATTATGTACCTGTGTTTTGAATTGAGACTGCGCTATTAATAGATGTCGAAGAACTTTCATCTACTTTTGATTTTAAAAAATAATTATTTAACTGTAACCTATATTTTTCTAAGTTATCCTGTAATCCTTTTATTATCCCATTTTACTTCTACTCATTTTACTTAAATGCAATAATTTCTTTTTCTGCTTTTTTTAAGTGCAGACCTTTTTACTATAACTCTTTCTTTAAATCTACATTTTCTTTAGTTAGCTTTTACACTTTAGACTTCTCTTCTTCGATATTCTTTGTTAAATTTTTAAACAAAATTTTAAATATTAAAAAAATAAAATGTTGTATTTGTTTAATTTATGTTTTTAATAATTCAGGCTCATTTTAAGTTAAAAAAGCTATGTATTTTTGCTCATATTTCTTTGCTTAATTTATATTTTTGATACTAAACTAAATTCTATTACTTTTTTCAAAATCACAATGAGTTCACTGAGGTTTTTATTGTGCTTTTCGGAAGCATCCAATAAACTCTTTATAAATTGCTAATCTTTATCCTTTGATAATCCCTCTTTTGTATTCATTTGGATGGATATTTTTCTATAATTTATGCAACTAGAGAACAAGTTTTGTTTTATCTCTGTATGTATCTGTTTTTTTAGTGAGTTTAATCTATTAATTAGTGAATGACTATTTGCTATTAAATTATCTATTTAGTATTTTCGATTATCTTATTAATTTTTGAAGTAAAACAAAATTATTATAAAAAGAGATTATATTGAAAAAATTACTAAAGTGCTATTAAATTTCTACGTTAAATTTTTTTCTTTTTGCTTTCTTTATATTTTTTCGCTTTATTAAGTTTAAAAGAATGAATAAATGAATAAATAAATATATAAATACCTGTCTGTTTTTAACTATTTGTTTGTTTCTTCACTATTAAAAGAAAAAAATTCAAAAAAACACATAGAAATATAATAAAATCAACGGATCATATCTATCTTACTAATATTGTTTTTATATAATAATTTGAATCATTAAATTGAAATCTACTTAATTATTCTATTAAAAGGATTTTTAATTGTTGCTTTTATTTTCGAAAATAAATTTTTATTTCTATTAAAATTGTTTAATTTTATAAAAAAGTTGAAAAAATATTTTTATTTATTAAAATTCTTTTTATTTTAATAATAAATTGATTATTTTAGACAATTTCTTTAAAAAGAAATATAAAATTTATAATAATAACTAATTAATAATTAATTTTATAATTTTAAATTTTGCTAAATATGCCAAAATAAATACATCTAAATTATATTAAATTACACAAATTTAGAAATGATTAAAGTTAATTATAATTTTAATACAATTAACTTTGAATTTACTTTATGTATGTAACTTTCATTTGGATCGAAGTTATTTTCTATGTTTTAATTATTAAAGAATTTAGCTTAGTTTTTTGAGTAAATTTATTTGATTTTACTCTAAGGATAAATAAAAACAAAACAATATAATTAATTATTTTAAACTTTTAAAAAATTTATTCTGCCGATGCTTAAAAATTTATTTGATTATTTTAATGAATTATAATCTCCTGATATTTTATAGATATTATTATTGAGATGATAAAAAACTTGTATTCATTAAATTGTTTTTTTAATAATGTATTTTTTTCTACTTTAAGTGCTCTATAATTTTTAAATTATTTATTGAGCAAGCTTATTAATTTAAAATAGCTAATATAGACAAATATCTAATTGACTAAAAATGATCAAAAATAGTATTTAATTTTTCAATTATAGAATTATTAAGCAATAAAGAAATAATTTTAAGCAGAAATTAAAATTTTTAGATAATTTTATAACAAAGAATTCATAGAATTTTACATTTAAATTATGATAAAATAATAGAACAAATATTTAGTGTAAATAAAAAATTGAATGAAAGGCTAATCAAAAGAAATATTTATAAATGCTAATTGAATGCTTTTTAGTTATAGGATTTACAATTAAAAATAATAATAAGTAATTCTTGAAAAACTTTAAGCAAAAATAGCTGATATAAAGCTGAAAAAATAGCAAAGTAAAATAAAGATATAGTTTAAGAAGGAAGGAATTTTTCTATGAATGAATATTAGGCAGATAAATAAAAGGTGTTCAAGATAATAGATAACTATTTGATAGACTCAAACAGCATATTAGGAAGTGGACAATATGGAAATGTTTATAAAGGATATGAAATAAATAATTATGGTAGATTGTTTGCAATCAAAGAAACATTGTTATCAAGAAAAAATGTAAATTTAGACACTTTTACGAAAAAAAAAGAAGCTGCAATTCGAGAGATAAATAGCTTGAAGGAGCTAAATCACCCAAATATAATAAGATTTATAAATGCCAAAAAGACTGATAAGCATCTTTATCTCATTATGGAGTATTGTTCTGGAGGAAGCTTAGAAAAATTTATAGAAGAAAATAGGCCAGAAGAAAGAGAATGTTTATATTTGTTTTCTCAAATCATAAACGCTTTTAAATATTTAATCAAAGAGAAAAAAAGAAGGCATGGAGATATAAAACCAGCTAACATACTCTTAAATAATGGATTAATAAAAATTGCAGATTTCGGCTTTTCAAAGCAATTTGTTGAAGAGAATGATTAGTTTTACTCCTATACAGGTTCTCCTCTTTATACAGCTTTATAAATTTTAGAAGGTAAATATTCTTTTTTAATAGTTGATATTGGAAGGATTTATTAATGAAAAAATGAACTGTTTAATATTTTTTGAAAAAATATCATTTAGCATTTACTAAAAAATCTGTCTGTACTTCTTTAGAAAACAAATAATTACAATATTTTATTTGTAATGTTTTGATAATTTTTAATGTTTTAATTAAAGGCAAAGCATACACAACAAAGAGTGAAATTTGGAGTTTAGGAGTAACTTTATATTTTATGCTTTGTTACAATCCAGAGAGAAGAGAAGCATCTTTTCCATGGTGGGGTGGTACTGATGTGCATTTGGTTAAAAATATAAAATAAAATCCTGTTTTAAAGTTCAGTTAAGAAAATGAAGAAAAACTTAGTCCATAAATAAAATAGCTTCTACATAAAATGCTTTAAGTGGAAGAAGAGAAGAGAATTGATTGGGATGAATTATTTACTTGTCCTATATTCACATTTGATTATGCTTAAGAGGTTATCTATGATGAATACTAAGAAGAATGCGAGAATGATGAATAAAATAATGAGCATGAAGAGCTCAAAGAATAGCTTGAAGACTAAAGTTATGCAAAGTAGCTATTTACTGCTTCTTTTATTGATTCGAGTTAACTTGCGACTTCTCAAAAGTCTAATGAAAAAGATACAAATCTATCTAGCTCTATAAATAATATGAAACAAACTAGCTTAAATGGCTCTGGAAATGCTCATTTAGCATAGAGCGATGAAATTGATAATTAAATGAGTACTCTTGGAAAGAGTAAAAAGATAACAAGCATTGATGTTGTTCATTAGTAAATATATAGAGGAAATAATTGTATAAATGATATCTAACAGGGAGAAAAAAATAGTAAATTAATGCAAGATTTAAAGGAATATATAGACTAAGAGAGATAGCTGTATTTTTTTGTGTACAATACTGCGAAAAATTTCAAAGAGTCATTTGAAAGGCTTCAACTATTTTTTGGCACACAAAAAGAAGCCAAATTGATTGAAGCAAAAGTACTTTATATATTATGCAAAAGAGCAAATATAATTTCAAAAGAATTGCTAAACGACATTGAATAAAAAAGAAGTGCTCATCTCCTAAAAGGAGGAGCAGGTTCTAATTCTAATTTTGGTTTAATCCAAAGCAATAATTAAGTTCTACAATAATCGAAATACACTATGATAAATAATTTAAATATCACAAATTCAAATATTAACAATTAAAAGTAGACCAATAATTTGGGAAAATCAGTGAAGAATTAAAACAATAATTTAATGAGCTAAATAGGCTTTTCAAATTCTGTAATTGTCATTTCAAGGGATCATTGGAATTATTTTTCAAAAAATTTAATTATGAAATAAAGCTACGAAGATAAACTAAGGTAGGAATCTAAGATATTTTAAGAAAACTTTAATATTTATAAATAAAAACTGGAAAATCTGTTAAGCACAATTGATAAAATTGGCATAGAAGACAAGCAAATTATTGTTAATTCAAACGATAATGTTTTAAATTTAAATTACGAATCTATTGTAATAGGGGAAATATTACAAATTTTTTTATATGACTTATAGAGAATATCTAACAAAGTCATGAACCATGCTCATCAAAATAGCTAAAACGTACTATCTATACTGAATGAAGAAGACCTTAAATTAATATATCTGATCGATGACCTCTTCATGATCTACTGCTTCGAATCTACATTCAGGAATAGAATAATGTAAAAAAAAGATGAGAAAATTAATATTTAACATTTTTATTTCTTAAGAAAAAACTCCAATCCTCTCTTCCTTATATAAAGACTCGCTACTTCTTACAAAACCTTTTTCTTTCCTTAATGAAATAAAACAAAATTAACCCTTTAAAAAAATTAAAATATTATTTATTGTACCTTCTATCTAAATTATTTCTCTTCACAATACTTAATCTTATTCTAAATTAGAATATTTTTTACAATTAAATTTATATTAAATACATTTTTGTCATTTATAAGTTTCTAAAAATTTAAAATGAAAAATAAACTTAAATTAACTAACATTCATTGATCATTCTAAATTGACTTGTAATTTTTTTATTTGTTTTATGAATAAATTCTATTTGTTTTATGTTAATTAAAAATTTCATTTCGTATAATAAATAAAACTAAAAAAATTCATATTTGTTTTCAAATTTTTTATTCAAAAAAATAATAAAACAAACTCAAAACCCTATTTGATAAAAATAATTTTTACTTAATTTTTAAAATAGTTAAATTAGCTTTAAATTTATTAAAAAATTTGCTTAAAGCAAAAATAGTACTGTTAAAAAACAACTAATTTTATTAAAGTATTTGTTTGCAATTAATTCATAAATAATTTTTCATATTAAATTTGTAAAATTAAATTTCTTAAAAGGAGGGAAAATCCCTTGATTTTAATTAATTTTTTCTAAATTAAATGTGATGCAACAAATAACAAATCAAGTTTAAAAATAATAAAGAGTGTCTCAAAAAGTATTTGAGCCAAAATTTTTTAAAAAATTTATTTGCTAAATTAAATAATCTTGAAAAAAAACATTTTAAAATTCCAAAAAAACTATCTAATTAATTAATTAATTTTAAAAATCAAATGATTATAATAGCTTTATTTATAAATTAAATTCGTTTATTTAATTTTTCTTTTGGTTTTACTATTTTAATTTTTTCATTTAAAAAAACAAATATGTATAGTCTACTTAAATAATACATTGAAAAGGAATTAATAATGCAATTTTCAAGGAGCGCCAACTTAATTAATTTATTACATAATTAAATAGCAATTTAATTTCAATCAGTCAATCTTTAATGATAAATTGAATGAATCAAATATTAATAATAATTTAATGAAATATAATAAAGAAAAAATCAAGGCACTTTTTATCAAAAAGAATAATAATAATAACAAAAACAAGAGACACAACAAAATTTCACTTAAGCAACATAAGTAGAGGTTCACACACATTAAGCCAAATATTCCAAGTTGAATAGACTCAAAAATATCTCTCAATATGTCAAGTATCAGTCATTCAAACAGCTTAACTTTAGAATCTTCTAAATGCAGGTAAAATATTGCTCATTTTTATTTTCTGCTCTTATTTTAGCCTCAGTCATCATAAAAAACTTTTATGATTAATAGGGAATCTTAGTGCAGCTCAAAAAAGAAGAAGGTGATATTTGAAGAAGAGCTTAGAGGTTATAAGCCCAAGGAAACATCTAAAGCTACAACATCATATGATCCTATGGTGGAAAAGCTTAAGTAATGGAAGAAAGAAAGGTATTTTTTTTTATTGAAGTAGCTTTAGATTTTTATTTCTTTATTATTTAAATAGGGAAACTAAATAATAGAATTCCTCTAGCAATAGCTAAGTTAAAGAGCTAAAAGCTGCAAATGGCATTAACCTTTTGTAGAAAAAAACTTTTGAGAGCTCACTAAGGAGCTACAAAAAATAATCGCTTACTTCATCTAGCTAGATAAAAAGTAGATTGCAAAGTTCTCTATAGTAATTCTATGACAGAGTTAATAATCGTAACACGAAAAGCATGAGTAATTCTTAATATTTTACTGGTAGCCTAAACAGGTCTTCTATTTTCTCAAGCATTGTTAATCAGAGCCATAAGAAAGGGTACTATTCTGAAAACAATAGTGTTTGCCCATCATTAGATAAAAATAATATTGATTTTATAGATCAGATAGAAGATAGGATTGAAGACTTGTACTACGATTTCATGGTAAAAAATAATGATTATATAAAAAGATTCTTTCAAACTTTATTCTATGAATAAAAAAACGATAAAAATTATTTTAGCTTAAGGATTTAAATTAAAAATATATAAAATATAAATAAATAGGAAGGAAATATTATGGATAGATAGCAGATGAGAAAAGAAATTATCGATATCTTGCACATGTGCTAAATCAAAATAGTGAAAGGAAAAATGATTGGAGGAATTGAAGAAATAAAAAGTAATCAACAGCTATGGTACATATTCCTTTTGAATTTTGATTTCAAACCAATATGGAAAGAGAATGCGATTAGATTTATCAAGGTAAAAATTATTATTAATGTTTATTTTAAATAATTTGATATTTAACACTAAAGTGATAAAAGTTATTTCTAAATCAATTATTGATAGTTTTTTAATATCTTCATCATCTAGGATACATACATACATAATTTATTAATTAGATAGATATATTTTTTAATTAAATCCTACCGCAATTTTAATTCTTTCAATTTTTTCATTTATTTTTTCTTAATCAAAAATTCCCACTTTACATAAAATTTTGAAATCAAGTAAAATTTTTAACGGATTCTTTAAACAGATATATTTTTTATTATTTATGTATATTATTTGCAAAATTTTAAGCCATCCTTAATTTTTAATTTAATATAAAAAGGAAAATAATATTATGCAACAAGATCATTTAGAACTTGCTGAATAAAATATGAGAATTATCTCTGAAGACCAAAGCAATATTTCTTAATCACAAATCTTAGATCAAAGCTTGGTTGAGGGACATAGAAATTTATAGGATAAAATTTTCATCAAGTTCGAATAAATGGATAACTTAAAATTCGAAGACACAATTAAATAAGAAAACATGGAATAAGAATCAAATTTTCAATCAAACCCTATTCTTGGTTCTATAAAAGAAGAAAGCATTGAAAATACTTAAGACACTTTAATTACATATACAAAAACTAATTTTAAAGCTGAAAGTAATGCATAATTATGTGCTCAAGTTGATCCTCAATTAAATTCCCAGCTTTAGCCTATAAATAACTAAGATATTGTTTAAAATAATTAAAATAATAATTTCTAACAAAATGAATATTTTACTTAAAAAAACTAAACCTAGATATTTGTTCAAACACATTAAAGTGAGTTACTTGCTGGTTTAGAATCAGATTAATAATTTACATAAAGAAATTAAAATGAATAATTATCACTTAAAGAAGAAGAAGAATAATAATTATAAACAAAATTAGATAGTTCATTATTATAAATAAATTAAGATGGATAAATATAAACAAATTAAAATACCAATTTTGCAAACACATAGTAACCTGTTTATTTAGCAAAAATCTAAAATGATGAAAATATTGAATAAAATAATTAATCTCTTATCCTACTACCTAATTAAACTTCAAACTAAATAGATGATCTATAAAATAAAAATAATAATATTGGCTGTTAAAACCTAAATAAAAATTAAATGGAAGTAGAAGAGCATGAAAATGAAAGTTTAATGATACCACAAAATATATTTAAAAAGTTTGAATTTTTATAAGCTGAGATAGCACATTCTTATACTAAGGCCCAAAGAATGCTTGCATAAAATTAATCTAATAATAAAAAGTTAAGTGAAGCTTAATAAGATCTTATTGAGCTTAGCTATGGCTCTTAATTGATCGAAACGCCTAGCTACTCAGAATAAAATTCTGAAAATAATATTAAATCTATAGTCAAGAAATTAGACTATAAGTTAAATTTGGATAATCAATTACCTCTTTTTGATTTAAGTCCCTGGAGAGATATGAAAAAATTAAATGAATAAGCCAATCAATCAAATTCTATTTTTAAGTCTTCCTAATCTATATTCAAAAATAGCTAAAATAAATCTATAGAAACAGATGCATTTTTAGAAAAGCAAAGGGAAAGGATGTTTAAATTTAGTTTTGGCAATAATAATGCACTCACACCTTTACAATAAGATGAAGCTTAAAATAATTAATAAAAGGATAAATCTGAAATCACCGATAATATATCATCAGTACCTGATAGTAATCAAAAGGATTAAATTTAAAAATAATTATTTGAAAAAGTAAATGATAACAATGAAGGAGAGACAAGAGAAAACATATTCAAATATGACATGTCCTCGTAGTCTTTTGATAACAACAAAATAAATATAAAAAACCCATTAGAAACTGATAAAAACATCGTTTTGTAATAATTCACTGATAATTTTAATGCTAATAAAATATTTACAGAGACAGATTAAAATAAACCTGAAAAAGAAACTTTGTAAAAAGAAAATGTAATCTTTAAAAGCAGTATTAACAATATTTTTGCAAATAACAACTTAGAAAAGAAAATCTCCAACTAATTTAATACATAGCATCTCATTAATGAAAAAGAAAACATTCAGCAACATGATTAAAGTTAACATGGAATATTTTATGCAAATATTTAAGAATCTTCGCAAAGCAGAATTCAATAGAAATAAAATAAAATTTTTAATTTAAATAATTGCAACGCTGCCAATTAGTATAGAAATACTGAAAAGGAATTATTTGTTTAGAAATTAAATGAAGAAGAAGAGGAAAATTAGACAGAATGGGCAATCAGAAAGAAAATAAAAAATGAGCTAGGCTTTTATTAAGATGTATGTGATAAACAGCCAGGTACCTTGTCTAAGAATGATGATTTGAGAGAATCCACTTAAATTTCTATTTTACTTAATTCATAAGTAAATAAGCCAACTACTTACCATGATGAATTTAGTTTTAACTTTAAATAATTAACTAATTAATAAACAAATGAAGGCCAACAAAATAACTTGTTTAGTTTAAACAAGGAGGGAACAGATGAATCAAAGAATTAGAACGAATAACAAAATACTTGCAGTTTCTCATCTATAATTAATAATTCTAGCAACTTAATAAAAAATAACACATTTCAATCATTAAATTAAAACCTTATATAAAATAACAGCAGTTTTACTACTACAAATACAAATCTATAAAACTTTAGTAACAATCTTTTAACATAAAACCAAGAATTACTATAAAATTAAATATCAAACTAAGCTACTTTAGATAAACTTCATAGTTAAAATCATTTCAATTATACCTCTTAAAATAATTAAATTTCTATCTTAAACATAGACAGTAAACAAATCTTAGAAAACAAAATTGATACCAACAATGGTAACGTATTTCCAATAAATAATTCAAAAAAGTTAAATGAAATTAGCCCTTAGAAGTAAAATAATTAAATTCTTAAACAAATAACTTCAGAAAAAAGATAGAGCATATTTAGCAGCAAGAAAAGAAGTTTGATATGCTCTCCCCAAGTTTTCTAAAACTTTATTGAATCAGAAAAAAAATAGTCATAAGATTTCATACAAAATTTATCTTAATCCAAAAAAAAGTCTCTATTAGGGTTGGATGTTTAGGATATAATCAAGACACAAGTTAGTGAAGACTTTGGAAGTGAATTCGTTTAGTTGACTATTACTCCTAACTCAGTCAAAAAATAAAAGAAACCACAATAAGAAGAAAATTTCGTTTGTAATAAATAATAAAGTAGCATGCTATGGGTAAGAAGATCCCTCAGACTAATGAATAATAATCAAAGCCCTCCTTCTTCTTAATCTCTCAAAAGCTCAAGTAAAAAATATGAATCTTGCAAAAGTAAAAAAAAGGGGTTTAGAAATTGATGGAATTTAACTATCTATATTTATAAACCTATTTGAATTTACAACCAATTATAAATTTTGACAGCTTTAAGTATTAAAAAAATAAAAGCTTTAAAAATTAATCACAGCTATTATTAATATTAAAAATTATTTATTTCGTAATTAAATTAATATGTTTTGTATTTTATTTTATATGCATTAAAAAAATTATTTCCCTTCTCATATTAATAAATATTTTTTTTGATCAAATCCATTTATTTTTAAGTATTTAAATTATTAATTTTGAGTTTATAAATTAAATTCTTTGATAATTAAAATAAGTTTGAAATAATTTTAAAATATATTTATCTTTTTAAAATTATTTCACTATTAAATTAAAAATATTTAGGAAAATTTAAAATAAAAGATAGATTAAAAAAATAATTTAAAAGAAGCTCTTTATTAAAAATTATTATGCTTAAAACATTCATTTTAAATTGAATTATTTTTAATTTCTGAATTTGTAACATAAAATAATTTAATATTTTATTTATAAAATTATTTTCCTTTTACTTTGAATTAATTATAGGAATAGGTAAATTATTAAATACCTTATTAATCTCAAAACAATTTTATTTGCTTTCTTTGAACACTATTTTTTAAATAAAACTATCAATCAGTTATCAAATTATTGATCTCTTGTATAATTAATTGTAAATATCAAAAAATCAGTAAATGAATTATTGAATTTAATTAATTTCTACTCATTATTATAACTAGAATGTATATTTTTATATACATTAAATAATTAAATTTCCTTTCATTTTAATTAATGGTTTGATTAGTGGCTTAGTAAATAGATATTTTATAATTATTTAATTAAATTAAGAGAAGATTATTTGTAGATATTTAGCAAATAAGAATGGAAAGAAGAATTTTTAGCTAAGATAAAAATCTATTGTTTGTAGGGCTTATTTTAACAGCTCTTCTTTCAATCACAAATGCATAGAGTAGCATATAAAATTGCGAATAAATGAAGAATGGAATGTGTGTTTCCTGTTTAAAAGGTTTTGCATTGAGTTCTAATAGATAATCTTGTGTTACAAGTCCAATATCAAATTGTGTTTATTTAGATATTCAAAATAACTGCATAGAATGTACTTGCGGAATGGTTGTGAATCCTGAAGGAACATAATGTATAAATGTAAGCATAGAAGGTATATATATTTATACTTATCATCCAAAATTTTACATGAGAATTTAAAAAAATCTAATTATCAATCATATTATTTATTATATCTGTTCAGTAAAATTCTGAAAAAAAAATATTAATAATCCATAGCGATCTTATATATTTTATTTATAATATTTAAGGTTGCAGAAAGGTAGATACATCAGGAAAGTGCATAGAAGCTAAACCATTTTATATGCTGACACCCTAAGGAGTATCTTTAATTACATATATTTTAATTAAGTTTGTCAAAAATAATTAAATAACTAATAAGAATATCATAGAGCTACCCTCAAATTTTATAAATTCAATCATTAAAAAATTATTTTAATGAGAAATTACGAAATATTTAAGGACTTTCTATGTAATATATTTGAAGATGTTGTGTCATTTAGCCATAAAACCAAAAAAAATGAATATTTTTAATTAAAATTAGCATAAATAAATAAACAAACAGTTTTAAGATTTATTTAATTGAATATTCCCTTTTAAAATAGCATTTTGAAAATAGTAGTTATTCTATTTTGATTATTATTAATTATTATTAGGTGTTTTTTAACATGAATAACAACTGTAAGGTAAAAAGTAATATCTGGAATACATTCGACTGTTCTTAATGTCATGAAGGTTATTATCTTTAAAATGGTAGATGTATGGAATTATCTACTATTGCAAGCTATTCTAATACTTATGCAGCTAATTTTATGATAGATGCAACAAATAATCTTGTTTTTACTTGCTTAGGAGGATATTAAAATATTTAGTAGAATTCTTAAAATGGATGTTATTTGACAATATCAAATTGCATTACTTATGTTTATAATGGAGGATTGGCATCATGCTGGACTTGTGATGTTGGTTATATTTCTTCTAATAATGGAACAGTTTGCACAATTGACAACAATCAAATATAAAATTGTGCATAAATAGATAATCCTGCTTCTTATTAGTGTGTACGCTGTAACTCAGAAAGCTTAATATTGTCAGGTCCAAACCTTTGTACTTCTAGAGTTTAAGTAACAGGATGTGCTAACCATGATCCTAAATAAAATACTTGTCTTTAATGTGATTCTTCTCATTTTCTTTAGTCTTCTACTACTTGCACATCAAGAGCAAACAATGCTAATTGTTCAATCGTTGATCCTTAAGCAGATAAATGTATAGCTTGCTCTAACTACACTCTGTACTATTTAGACTCCTCTACAAAAACATGCAAAACTAGAGTAAATATTGGTGATGCAAATTGTATATAGTATGATCCTAATAGTGATTCATGTACTTTATGCAAACAAGCTTACTATTTATTTAGTGGTACTTGCACAGCAAGGACTACTACTAATTGCATCAATGGAGTGCCAGATAAAAACAAATGTAGTTTATGCAATGCAGATTACATTTTGTTGCCTGATGGAACTTGCAAGCAAGATACTATTGGTAAGAAATGCTTAGCTATTGATAGTAGTGGAGTATGTACTCAGTGCATTGATGGTTATGGTATAGCTCAGCAAGGTGAAACATGTTATGATAACTTCTAAAATATTCCTATGTGTAGCGTCTACGTTAAAAGTAGTTAAACAACCTGCTAGTAATGTTAAACTGGTTTTTTACTCTCTACAGATTCTTAACAATGTTTAATCTCATATGGTTCTTGTAAATAATAAGCACCTACTTGTAATTAAAGTTATCAATCAACACCATCGTCATACGAAAAGTACACTTGCGATTTTGCTGCAATAATTTAAAATCAAACAATTTCTTCTATAATTATTTAATTCTAATTTATACTATATGCAATTGTTATTATAATGTGTTTATAGGTATGAATTAAATATGTATTTTTGTTGTATTATTAACAAAGTAATTAATTCTTTTACCCTCTTACTTTAATAAATCTTATATATTATTTATAACTAAATCGTGCCTTTCTAAAATGAAAGTTTCATATTAAATTATTAACTCAGTTCATTTTATGTATTTGTTTAGAAAATTAATAGCTTAAAATGCTTAAATAAATAAAATATAAGCTAAAATAAAGTAGAAATTTAAGATTTAAAATTTAAAAATTAATAATTTCAAAATTTTCTTATTTAAAATATAATTCAGTTTATAGTAAATAAGGTAAAGCCTATTAAATTGACCACTATCAACCACTAATTTTATAGCCAAATCTACAGGTACTTTAAATAAGTTGTTTAAGAAATAAAATTAATTAATTTTTTAATTTTTTAGGAAAATTTACAATATAAAAAATAAGGAAATAAAATTAGAATTTTAATAATTGAGTATTAAAAATTAATTAATTAATCATTTAGAGACAACATATTTATCTGCTTATTAGTTTTCTTTTAAAATTAAATTAAATTGGCTTTATTTTACAAAATTTTCACATGCCATATTTTTTCAACATTTTATATTTTTTATATTTTTTTAATTATATTATCAGAAGCTGCTATTATGAGCATCTTTTTAAGAGCCTCCTTTTTACTAGGCTGCTCTCATCTACATTTGTTGTTAGTATTCTTCTTCTTCGTCTTCATCATCATACCCTTAAAGGTGTTATTACATCAAGATATATTTAATTTAATCTTTAGGAAGAGTCTATCCATTATCATCCACAAAGTTAGCTAAATCTTCTGGGGACATTTAAGCTATTATTTCTTCTAATTGCTCATCCATAGCTTCTATTTACTCTTCATCCATTGCTTCCATCTAATCATGTTCTTATTGCTCCATCATAATCTATTCCTCTATCATTTATCTGATTTCTTGCTCTGTTACCTTTTTGCCTGCTGCTAATTATTTTTTTAATTCTGTTTATACAAGGTAATTTATATATTCCTCCTCAGATTCGAATTGCTATTCGAATTAATCTTCATCATCATATTCTCCATATTCCTCATCATCTTTTTCTACATTTTGTAATTTAGTTGCTCCTTTTTGTTAGTCTTTTTCAGGAATACTTTTATTTTCTTAAGGTTTTTCTTTAGATTCAGACTAGGGCTATGTCTATTTCTAAACTAAATTTGCTGTGGCAGCAGCAGCAGCTTCTTATTATTTAAGCTATTTAATTTTTTCAGGATCAATTGGATTTCCATGTTGGTCTACGTATTCCTCTTCATCTTCATCGAATTCTTCATCATCATATTCTCTTTGCTTATCATTTTTAGAATCTCCATGATTTTCATCGAAATCTTCATGCTCTCCTTCTTCGTTTGCATGTTGCATACCTCTCATTTTTTACTCTCTCAAAATTTCTGCTACTTCTTCACGAGTTAAAGGATTTCCATCCTCATCAATATATTCTGCCTCTTCAGGATCATCAGGATCATGCATTCCCATTTAATCCTATTGAGCCATTAGCTTTTACTACCTCATGAATTCAGCAACTTCTTCAGGTGTCAAAAGATTACCATCCTCATCATAATATTCAGCATCTTGAGGATCATCTTCCATTGCTTATTGCATTTTCTGATGTTTTAAATACTATGCTACTTACTCTGCTGATAAAGGATTGCCATCTTCATCTACATATTAAGCATCTTAGTCAAGAAGATCTTCTTCATTTATTTATTCGTCATCATCATAGTCTTGCTCATTTAATTTTATTTGATTATTGTTTTAATTTTTAGCTTGATCTTTTTAGCTTGGTTAATTATTTTGCTGTTATTATTAAGGTGGCTGTGAAGGAGCAGCAGCTGGTTTTCCAGCGCTCTATTCTTCTGCTCTAGCCTATTAAGGCTGCTATTAAGCTTATTATTGTTTACTGACTGAAGGTTATTAAGAGCTTCTCTTAGAATCTGTATCTCCAGGAGAGCTTTTACCTTTTTATTAGTCAGATCCAGCTGCATAAGCCTACTATTATAATTATTTTTAAGCTTTGCGTTCTTCTTTAATTTATTTAACAAGTTCTATAGGTATTAGTTTACCATTTTCATCAAAATATTAAGCATTCTCATCATATTCATCATCATCGTCATCCTCATCATATTCTTCGTCATAATCACCTTGTTCTTACATACGACGAATCTGTTCTTGGTATTCCTTCAACAGCTCGGGAGGAATAGGTTAACCATTTTCATCATAAATTTATTCTTAATCTTCATCAAAGTCTTCTTCATCTTCATCTTCATTTTGATTCTTATTGTTAAGTTAAGGATATCCAGCATTTTGTTAAGGAATACCTGAAGCTTAATTAGAAGCTGCCTTTGAAGAGGAGTTTGACTAATTAACCTTGTTAAATGAGTTTGATTATTGTTACTGCTTAATATCTACAGAAGCATTCTTGCTTCCCTTTTAAGCTTATTGCTATTATTATTATTATTATTACTATAATTTTTGTTACTATTAATATTAAGGATATATCTTTTCATAGTCATCAGAGCTGCCAGGCTATCCACCAGCATCGATTTCATAGTCCTCATCTTCATCGTCATCCATTTATTATTATTAAATTTGCTAAACTTATTTTTACTACTCTATTAGTTCTTAATTATTATGGAAATCATCTTCTTCATCATCTTCTCCTGCTTCATGCTAAGCGTCTTTAGAATATTATTGATATTCTTCTTGTATTTAATATTATTGATTCATTTTGTTGACTGCCTCATTATCTCTTTCTTCTTCATCTTTAATTTAAAATATTACTCATAAAATATATTTATCATAATTTTTAAGCTCAATAAAATTTATTTAACATAAATCTTATTGAAGATATTGTACCAAATAAATGAAATCTTAATAAATTGAATTAGTAAAAAGTTAAAATACCTTCATGTTATCCTTAAGGATTAATTTCTTCTCCTTCGTGCTCATATTCTTCTTAGTTATTTTGATATGTATGCTAATCTTCATCCTCTTCGTCCATTTCATTGATATTTGGCATTTGTTTCTTTTATATGTACTAAGTGTATAATTATTTTCTAATTTCTAGTGTTTAAGGGTGAACTTAGCTAGGATCTAAGTAATTGTATAGCTAAGCTTAAGTCATTTAATCAAAGTTTGGAATTATCAATTCGTCTTCGTCTTCATAATGCTCAGATTCTTCTTAAATGGGAGCACCTATTTTTAAATATTATTTTAGCTTATTTTTCTGTATTTGCTTATTAATAAATAATACCTTCACCAAGAATTTATCTCAATCTTTAAGCTCTTCCAGAAGTGAATGCACTTTATGAGACTATTTTGATTTTAAAATATGATTATAAGCCTCTAATTATATTATACATTAATTACCTTATTCGATAAGAAGAGGACGGCGAATAACGTTTTGCATCATTTCTGTCATTTTTTGGTCAAATTATTATTCCCATTATATTTTTTCGATCATGCGATTTTCTCTTTCTTGATATTTTTGCTGTCTGAGCTAGTTTGCATATTCTGAATAATTAACATTGTTAATACAGCTATTGACAAACTCTGCAAACTTCTTTCTTCTTTCATTTTTATCTTACTCTCTTGACTAAGTAACTTCTTTTTAATATTGTCTTACTTCTTATTCAAATCTCTTTTTAGCAACCAAAGCTTCAAACTTCTTAGTTGAAGGTGGCTGATATTTAACTTTCATGGTCAAGATTCTCTTGAGTTTCTTTTCTCTAACAACTTATTAGCTAGCTTCCTTAGTTTTCTTAACTAATTCGTTTTCTTTGTCTAAATAATCTCTCTTAGGTGCTTTCTATTATTCGTTTTAAGCAAAATTATTTGTTTTTTTCTCAAAAAAAATTTAAAAATACTCTTGTTTCTTAGAAATTGAAAGGAGCAGGAATAGTTGGTTGGAATTCCCCTTTCTTCTAGCTCAACTTTTCTTCAAAATCTTTTTAAAGAGTAGCAAAGTCAGGAACACTTTTAGCTCTGGGTGGTTAGAAGGAATATTCAAGAAGACGGTTTCTTCTTTTTTCTTCTGTGATCTAATCTTTAACTTTCAATCTTTAGAGCATACTCTTGACTCCTTCAGGTAACTTACTTCCCTTCATAAGTTCAGCTTTTCTTTTTTCAACATTTTATCTGCTTTTTTCCCTTTACTTTTCCATCAATCTATCAAATAATCTAACTCTGCAATACCTATTTACAATTATTTTTACAAGTTAACAACAAACAATGATTAAAATCCTGATATAATAATATACCATGGGGCATGCTTAGCTTTGAAGTGTGTGAATTTGTATTCAGGTTAAAAGTTCTTTCTTTCCATTACTTTTTACAAATCACGATAGTAGAAAGTAAATGGATTCTCTCTAGCCAAAGTCATGGCTTTAGATTCTTTCTTGACAATCTATCTTCTCTATTCATTCTTTTGCTATATTTTTTCCCATCTATTTTATTTAAAATAAATAATAATCAAAAAATATTCAGCTTAGGAATGTATTTACAGATGTCTATCTTTAATATGATTTGGAATTTTATTAGCTCTGAATGCAGTAGCTGTTGAGACATAATAATCCTCAATATCTTGCTTTTCTTGAAGCATTTCTTCAAGTCTTCTTTGACGTATGCTTTTTTATTTTTGCTTATCTCTGCTATCAAACCTGAAGGGCTATGGTACAGTGATTATGAAATCATCATCTTCAGATTTAAACTAAGCACCGAAATTCTTTTGTTACATAAACTAATTCTTTTCTAATTGCTTTTAAACATCTTCTTCTGTTCCTTGTAATATCTTAGCAACCTTTCTCTGCTTTCTTTTTTCCCTGATTTCGGATCTGTCGATTTCAAAACTATCATCCGATTCCTCTTTTTGGTTTTCTTATACTTCCTACTTCTCTACCTTTTTCATCAATATTTTTTTGTGCTTTTATTGCTTTATTCTTCTAGCCAAATATCTTGGACGTCCTTTTCTAGAAAAGAAGTCAAGAATTTCGTCTTAAGTATGATATATATCGCATTCTTGAGACATTCTTTTAAGTACATCATCAACAGTTTCAATTTCTAAATCAATATACTTCTTGCTTCTTACGAATCTTTAGATAAATTTTTAATTCATTAAATATAAAATCATCTAAACAAAATAAAAAAAAAGGGAATAATCATGGATTTATTTATTTACTTTGTTTTAAAGAATGTATATTGTTTGTTGTTGATTAATTCTTCAATGAAATCATTAGTATTAACATAGTATTAGGCATATTTAGGAAGGTTCTCAAAAGTGCTCTTAATAACTTGCAAGAAATCCTTAGGAATTTCGATTGTATCACCAAAGTCATATCTTCCTAGAAGTCTCTGAGCTGCAAATACTTTATCTCTAGAAGGAATATCTTTTCTTTTATAGTTTACAAATAACTCTTTAATAGTATCCCAGTCTACATATTCTTTTTATCTTCTTTCAGCTTCTTTGCCTAAGGACATCCATTATTCTAATTCACTGAAAAGGTCTTCCATCAAAATAGTTCTGTCTACTTGCTTTATAAATGCAATAGGTTTTTCAATCCAATCCCTGGTTCTATGATCAGTTTTTACTTTGGAAATCATTTGCTTTAACGAAACTTTGCATTCACCAAAAGTATCAATATCTAAGAATATATCTCTCAAAATATTAACTTGCTCTTCTGTTAATAATGACTAAGCTACAGTAAGAGTCTCTTTTCTCTCATCTTGCTTTAGTTTTTAAATATTTTCATAATGTTCCATGCTTAAAGATTGTCTATCTCTCATTAAAAACTCTCCAGCTTCTTTTAAGCTTACATATCCTGCCTTTTTAGTTGAAAGTCTCAGCAATTCCTTATGCAAATCTTCAGGCTTTATATTATAAAGTAAAAGTATTTCCCTTTTATTCATCAAAGCTTACTCAAAATCTTCCTTAGTAACAAAATCTCCCTCTTCATCATCTCCTTCAACAGTGTGCTTTAAAATAAAGAAAATAGATTAATTTTAAAAAATAAAATTTTTTTAAAGCTTTCAAATTTAATCTAATAATATCAAGCAAATAAAATACTTTTTCATTTCAAAAAAAATATTTTAATAAACAAACAATTTGATATTCTTTATTTAATAAATTCATTCATTAATATAATTTAAATTACCTAGGGAATCTTGGAAAAGAAATAAGCAATCAAGAAAAGTTCATCGTCTTTGAAATCTTTGACTCTGTAACGTTTTTTCTGCTTTTTGCTTTATTTATCTGAATTTTCAAATATTGATTAAAAGTTAGCCATGATATCATTTCCTGTTTCAAAAGCATAATTTGAAAGATCATCTGAACAAGGAGTCATTATTTCATAGTCTTCGTTTTCTTTCACCTTATCATATAACTTTCTTTCTTCAGGTCTGATTATAATTGGCTAAAATGTTTTTGGAGTTGCAGGAGTTATTGATTTCTTTTTCTCTTTCTCTCTTAAATAGTCCCTTAGGGCGTATTCATATTCTGCCTTTTCTCTGTTCTCATAAAACCAAAGTGTACCTTTCTTCTTACCTCCACCAGCAGATTTATTAGAGATAGGAGTTTTGCGATTTACATTTGATTGAGGAGATTTAGATGCTTACTGAGAAAGTTAGTGCATTTAATTCTATGAAAAACTAATATTTTATTACGATGAAACTTTTTGCTAAAGCTGCATTTAAAGTTTAACTTTTTCTTTGATTTCTTCAACTGTTTGTGGCTTGATGCTTAGAATTCTTCTTAAATTATCCTCTTCCTAGCGTGCCTTTTCTGCTTACTATAAATACTCTTCCTATTGTTGCTTGCGTTTTATCTATTGAATTTATATTTCCCTCATTGAATTGCTTATTTCTCTTTCGCTATCTTCAAGTCTCTAATGGTGATTTTGCTTTTTTAAAAATAAAATTAAAAAAATCTTTAAAATAAAATCTTAATTATCTCATAATTTCTTATAACTAATGAATGAAATATTTATTAAATAAAATTAAAATAGAATTCTTACGAAGACTCTTTCAATCTAAACCATATGTTTCTCTTTGAGGCTTCTTAGATAGCTTTATATATCATTCTATAATTTATAAAATAAAACTTTAAAATAATTGCTTGCTACTTATTTTCCAAAATGAAATAATTTGTTAGTTATTTATTTATTTACTGGATCATGAGGAAGATCTCTTGATATATTTTCTTGCCCAAAAGATGCTTCTGAACCAAGATCAGCTGGTTATTGCATCTGAGAATTCTCTAAACTCATGTAGTTATCTTTTGTTTGACTCTAATTACTTATAAAGGATGATTTTTTAATTATATATGTATTTTATAAGAGGTCTATCTTCCTTTTATGTTTTTAATTTTTGATTCTTCTTAGCTTATTTTAAATTATATTATCAATATATCTTTGAATATATTGTGTTTGTTTTGCTTCTTTCTTTTTATTTTAATTTATTTATGTGTTTTGTTTGTTTATTGTTTGAACTGATATTTTTTAATTCAATAAATCCTTTATAATCTTTAAATATTTCATATCTAAAGTCTTATTTTTTATATATAAATCATTTTGTTCAGTGGCCTTCTTTAACGTAATCACAATCACTCATTCATTCATTAAAAGCTGTGATTTTATTTATATAAAATATACAATCCTCTATTCATCCTAATTGAAAATTTGAATTTTGTTAAATCCTTTTAAAAAATTTAATTTTTAAATAATAGAAGTAAATGCTTTGCTTTCTTTGTCTTACATTAAAGCAAACTATATCAATTCAGTTTCAAATTTCTTTTAACAAAATTATTTGTGTTTTTTATATTGCTAAATTTTAATAATAAATGCTACAACAACTTTCCTTTTTAAAGTTAAAAAAATAATTTTTTAATATTCAATCAAACTTCAAATTCTAATAAATCTAAATAACTAAATTTATTCAAAAACTATCCAAAAATTAAATCATTTTATTTATAAAAATTGAATAATTTTAAAACAAAAAATTATAACAAACAGTTTTTTTGATAGAGTCATCAAAACCATCTGATTATAAATTTTTGACAATAATGTTAAGACATTGATTATAGAAAATTATAAAAAAATAATTTTCTTATTAATTTTTCACTTTTGAAGAGAATCTATCTCCAATTTTAAAATTTAATAATAATCCCTGATTATAAAACAATTTTTATTAATTAAAATTACAATAAATAATAATATTTTAATTATTGATTGATTCATAAAATTTATTAGAAAATTAATTTATTATATTTAATTGGATAAATTTAATAATAAAAATTATTACAGACAAATATACTTACTTACTTAATTAAAATAAAAAATATATTAAATTTAAATTAATTTATTGAAAGTATAACATTTACAGGTTAAATTTCCAATTAATATTTATGAAATGAATAAATATTGGAATACGAATTCATATAGTAATAAATTAGATCTTTCAATTGAAAATTAAATTTAAAATGAAGTTAATTACATAGATATAAATTAATTTATAATAATATAAAATAAATCATGATTTACAATTTATAATCACTTAATTATAGCTAAATTGGTTTTCAATAAATTTTATATTAGCTGATTTTAGCTTTGAAGGAGGCTCTTTTTTGTTAGCCAAGAGAAGAAAAGTCATTATTTATAAGATTATTTAGCTTTAATTTTACAGAATTAGGGGCAATATTATTAGGCTACTGCTAATTGTTATTTTTTAAATTTTATTCTAAGGAGAAACTATTATTTGATGATCTTTTATTTTAATTTTAAAATGACGTATTTACATTATACTCATCGAATGTTTAGTTGTGCTTATTGGAGTTCAGCTGATTTTGTTATGTAAATGGTCTTTATCTGTTTGCTAATTTGTTCTCCTATCTTATAGCTCTTGCTACATCATATTACTCAATATCTCTAGTCTAAGGTCTAGAGAACTTTTCCACTTACTGCTAAATGCTTAACTTATTTATAGGAGTTGTCATGGTTTAATCCTCACTTTCCTTATTTTATTGTTAAATCTCTTCAACCATTTGAACCAATTAGTCAGTATCAATATTTTTTCCATTCTGCTTGAAGTTTTATTAATGCTTTTGTATTTCAAATGCCTTCATTGGGTCTTTTTCATTAGTGTTTTAGAATGTCTAGTTTAATGCTTGGCTCATAAATTTATTGAAGTTTTAGGGGAAAATTTTTTAATAAATAAACATGAGCAATCTTTCGTTAGAGAGTAACAATTCTAAAATTTTAATTTTATCTTCATTTCTAAAAACTGAATAGTCTTTAATTTGGGTTAAGTAGAAATTAAGCTAGTTTTCAGCAGTTTTAGGAGGTGGTTTTCTTTTTATTATTTACTTTCTTACTGTTTCAATACACTCTAAGAAAAAGTTCTCAAGGTCGCTTCTGACTACGTTTTGAGTAAGTTTTTCTTTCAGGACTTTATCTAATCTTTCTTTCAATTTCTTGATCTGCTTTTATTTTTTTTCATCTTCCACTTTAAACATGTGTGTAATCTCCCTAACTAATGCTAACTGATCATTCTCATACTTCATAACCATCTCAGCAATAAAATCACTTTAAGGTATCCATCCATCAAATTTATTTGCCTATTACCCGAATTATACCTTTGTATTTCTCATAATGTTAGTTTTGCTTTGACCAAAATCATCATTGTTAGCCTAACTGTTTTAAGTTTCATTTTATTCCACAACGTCTCCTAACAAATTATATTAGTTATTACTAGTGTTTTGATTCAAGCTAGAAAGATAAATGTTGTTGCTGCTTAGATTGTTTATATTGTTGATGTTATTATTTTAACTATTAATGTTACTGTTACCATTAAGTTAATTGAAAAGATTTTGTTAAAATTTACCCTAGCTTGTTGAATATTCAGAGGATTAAGGTCTTCTGCTGTTGCTTGTTCCTATAGAATTAGAAGAACCTTTTCCTCTGTTGTAATGATTATTTGGCTAAGCATTTAACGAATTATTGTTGTTTGCTTAACTTATATAGTTAATAGAGTAATCTTACTAATTGTTTACTCCTTATGAAGAGTAGTAATTTTATGCTGAAATTGAAGCACTCCTTTCATCGAAGTTAACATTTTCGTTGCTAGATATTTTTCTCATTAGAAATCTGATTTTTTTATTAAGTTTAGCAATTTGCTGCTCCTAAAACTCAATATTTTTCTTTTGATCTTAAATAGTATGCTTATAATCTGTAATGCTTTTATCCTTTTAGCCAAGTTTTTCATATAATTTGAGAGATTCTTCTCTAAACCATGAAAGTTATTTCTCTAATTAGTCCATTTTATCTCCCGCCTTTAACTTTTTATCTTACTCATCCATACGATTTTTCATTTCTTATAATTCCTTGCGTATTTTTATCATGTGATTTTTATAGGCTAATAAAAATTCAGCTTCATGACGTTCAATAACTCCATCAACTTTTTCTTCTAAAAACTCTACCATATTATTTAATTAACTGTAAGCTTCTGAAATTTTAGGGAATTAATCAATATGTTTATATTATCCACCATTTAAATTTATATTAGAACTGCTATTTGTGTTGTTATTATTTCCTTAAGATGTTAAAAATAAATGGTTGTGGCTATTAGAATTGTTTGCTTAGAAGTTGCTGTTACTATGGATCATCTATCTTGATTTTGATTTACCAAATTATTAAATATTTGCCTAGCTACTGCCGCTATTTTATCCACTGCCTACTTTCTTAAGTAATTGATTTTCTTATTAGTTAAGAAGGCTATCTTAATCATTTAGTACTGACTGAGATTTTTCTGCAATATTTTAAGCAAATACTACATCTCCTTTAATAGCATTTAGATTTTATATAGAACCCTCTGCATTCTGTATAGAATCTGCGCTCTTTCTTCTTTCTTACTTCTTCATTTCTAATACCTAATATTGTAAATGAAATTGATCTAATTTGTTAGATATTATATATTTATTTGTTTGTTGTTAAATGTATTAATTTATTTCAATTGATTAGTATTTTAGAAACCAATGATTGACTTATAATAATTTAAGAAATTTGTGATAAATTATATTCGTAGAAAAACAATTAGAACTTATTCAATTTTTAGTCTTATACCTTACACCGTTAAACTTTATTAAAAATTATTTTAAAATTTTTATATTTTAGTCACTATTAGGAATTTTAGGAAAATATTATCTATTAAAAATTTTATTTAAATTAAGATGAGAACATTTATATTATAGTCTTTAATTTTTTTTTAAAACTTATTTAATTTATAATTTTATATTAAAACCTTTTTATTGGAGTAGTTAAGATCATTTATAGATTTTTTGTTAAGTAAATATAAATTGTTGTAATGATTTCACAATAAAAATTAAATCAATTATCATATTTTAATGTTTAAAATTAAAGTTTGTATCTGTAATGTAATTTGGATAAATGTATTTTTTTTTAAAATTAAATTATTTTTTAATTAATATTTAATAAAAATTTCTATTTAGAATAAGCTAATATTTTAAAGTAGATTTACTTTATTAAGTTTTTTTAAGTTATTAAAATTTTAAATTTTATCTTTGTAATTTTTAAATTTAGTTTCATAATTGATGACTCCTTAGCAATATTTAAAACACAAAAGGTAATATTACTAACTTTAGAATGGATTAACATCAACTTTATTAATATAAATTAATAAAAATTTGAAAAGAAAAATATTAAAATATATAATATAAAAAAGTAATTAATATATTTTAAATAGAATATAACAAGAAAAAATAAAAATTAAAGATTTTTATAATCAATAGAATTTAAAATAAATTAGAAATTTGCAAGTAAAACAGTCAGTCATTATAGTATGTAAAATTAATATTAAAAAACAGAGATTTTATTAGAGAATAATTTATTTATTAAGTATAAATCAATTTTAAAAATATAGATTTTACCTAATTAACAACAAAAGCTGAAAAAAATGAAATAAAATAGTTATTTTGGTGGATTTATAAAATTAATAAAAAGTAACTTGTTTGTAAATAGCCAAAACAAGGTTAACAAAAAAATTAAATTTAAGTCAATATATAAATATTTAATTTTAAAAGCAATTAAATCTGTTTACTTAAATAAAAAATATACTAATTTAAACCATAAGCTTAATGTATTAGAAAAAAAAATACAATTAATTATAAAAAATAAAATATTAATTTAATTTTTAATTTACTTGAAAGATATCTACCTATTTTTCTATTTTTTATAGCTAATGTTTATAACTAACTAATAGAAAAGTAAATAAGAAAGAAAAAAGCCGTTAACTAAATACTAAATGCTATTTATATTTAAAAACATTTAATATAAACTAAGAAGCTATAAATTTATAAATTAAAAATTATGATAAATATCTGATTTTCTATGCAAATTTTTAAATTCAACTCTTCTCAATCTAACCTAAAATTTTGATTAAAGTCTTTTTAAAAATTTTTGTAGATAAGAACAAAATAATGATAAATTTTATAATTTTAAAGAAATTACTTAAAATTTTAATTTAAAAAACTGTTTTAAGGAGATTTGAAAACTTTTATATAATATAATTCTTTCTTAAACATATTTCTACTTCATAAAACTATTTAATTTTTGAAAGAAAAATAAATTTGTGAAAAAAAGGCTGAAAGGTAATTTATATTTATTCTCTTAGATAACATAATTAAGTATATTTTTTTTATCTTATTACTTTTGACTATTGAAATTTAAAAAAAATAAGCTGTTGGTGAATTTATATTTAATTTTTTTAATAAAACATAAAATATGAAAAATAAGCTTTAAATTTATCTACGTAAAACGTTTTTTTTTATGAATTCATTGATAAAATAATAAAAATGAAATAACCAATAAAATAAAATGATTAAAAATATTGAATTTTTAATTCTGTCTATAAATTTAAAACTTTGGTTGTAGATATTTCCATAAAATAACTATTAAAATGTATAGATGTTTCTCAAGCCATATTATTTTTTATTTTCTAGTTAAGTAAATGAAAGCGCAATCATGATACTATTTATATACTGCTTCTTGAGCAGATTAGTTTTAAAATAATAATATGTTTATTATAATCATTTTTTGGAACAAACTAAGAACTTGCTTCAATATTTTTTTTAAAAATAAGTTTTAGAAAATTTAAATAAAGAAGTTCTAAGCAAATTAAATGAGCAAAGAAAAGTACAGGTATTAACCTAATTTTAATTCATAGATATCAATCTAATAATTTTCAAATTATTACTATTACCTTTTTTTTTTTATTCACTCAGGTTTGATTTAGAATAGAATCAATCAATCAATTATTCTTCCCTAAATTGAAATTTAAAAATTGAAGGTAAAGTAAAATTTTTTAGAAAGAAATAAGAAAATGAGAGTTTTATATGATTTGAATGAATGATAAATAATTGTTGGAAATTAGAAAAGTTGAAAATAATTCATAATTTAGATAAATTCAGGTGACATTAAAAAGTTTAAAAAGATAATACTTAATTTTAGAATAGAAAATATTAATAGTATTTTGAAAATGTTTTTCAAAAGTAAGTAAGAAATGTAATTATCATCTTAAATTTGAGAGAGAGATAAAAGGCAAATAAATAATTTAGGTAAAATATAAGTTAAATAATCACATATATATTATGCTTATATTTTTTAGGAAGTGTTTGGTCCTTACTTATTTACTTGTGATTAGCTTTTTAATTTTTTTTGTTTTAAAATGAATGAGATTTCCTCAATTGATTTTTTTTTGTTTTGAAGAAAATCTATTAAATAATTATGATGGTTGATGGAATTAATTTTTTAATATTATTTATAAAAAATATAAAAAAACAAATTGAAATTATATATTACTTAATTTCTGTAAATAATAATCAAAAGCAAAAAAGAATAAAAGACTCAGTATCAAAAACTAATATATTATTAACATTATTAATTATTATGCATCAGCACCCTTAGTTTCTATAGCAATAAATGCAGTAATTTTAAATCATCTTACCTATATATGCTTAACCATAAAATAATATTTTTCCTACATAAACATCGTTTACTCGTTCGCTGAGGTAAAGAATCTTTATTTATGCATCATTGATACCTTTTGTTTTAAATAGCCCTGTTGATAATTTTTATAAGCTTTTATTACAATTTAGTGCAGTGATTTTTAATAAAGCAAACTTTTTTGTCTTGCAAATTTTTTTGTTTTGAATAACTAAACGATAGTCTCTTTAATAGAGAGTAAGAAGATGAACTTTATTAACATGTATTATAAAATAATATAGGGAGATTAACTTAATAGATAAGAGTGAGCTAGAAAAAATATAAATATTTACAGTAAGTATTGGCAATTTAAACTATAATCGCTAGAAAGATATTGATTTTTATCCTAACCATTTGAGGAATTGCAATCAATTGCAATATAGTCAGGCTTAATTTGAAAAGAAGGCTTAAATTAATTAAATTTAAGATAAAGAGGATGATGTAGAAGAGATAAAAGATGATTAAATTAAAAGCAATGATATTATTAATTCAGGGGTTTAAAACTCTTTTAGAACTTTGTAAAAAAATGGCAAAATTAATCAAGACTTTAATGCCTTATCAAATAGTTTGAAGAATAACAAAGGAAATTAACAAGTCAGCCTAAGTAATCAACAATCTCTACAAAATTCTTAGCCTTAAAGGATGGAATCTCCTGACAAATTTAAAGGTAAATCAATCATATTTTGAATGAAAATATTTTTTTTTTGACCAATAAATACTTGTATCTAGCTTAATTTGTGTTTTTAAATTTAATTACTTCATATTTAAATCAAATAGATTCCATTATAGAGCAGAAAAGAAATAATAGACTCAGCAGACTTAATATTATAAAAGAAAAAGTATAGTAAAAAATAAAAGAATACAAAGCAACATGCAAGCTCAGTCAGAAATAGTAAAAGAATCAGCTGCTAAACCTCATGCAGATCAGTTAATTAAATGAATAACATTCTATTTAACAGCAAGAATCGGCTAATAAAAAAATAAATAAATGTTCTGACTTGTAAGAAAATATAGATAATGATAAAGTTCGTCATTATAATACAAGAAATTGTACTGCTAAAAAATATAATTGTTCTCAGTAATAAAATACAAATTTGAAATAAGATACTAAGAAAAGATAATCTATTATTTAAAAAGATGATGATGGGGACTTAGATGCAATATCTCCAAAATTATGCAAGAAAGTTAAAAAAAATTCAATAAGTAACAATAAAATAATTATAGAAAAGAAAAAGAAAGTATCTCGTTCAATATAAAAGTAATCTTTGGAATAACATGCGCAAAATTCTAAAATCCTGAGCTCTTGTGTTTCAGATAATGACTAGCTCACAGATGGGTTACAAAAAAATAAAAATTAAAAAAAAAATAATATGGAGCCAGTAAATGTAGTTTTGAATTAAGAGGCTGACAGAAGAATAACTAGGAGCACTGCTGCAGCTATTAAAAGCTAAGCTGACCAAAAAGAACAATAATTATAATCAAATTTATAATCTAATACTCAAAAATAAAGTACACCTAAAAATTAAAAATAAAGAAATAAATTATTTAAGGCCGTAGGTGTAGTAGAATAGGTTGATAAAAAATAAGTCTCTAAGAAAAAAAAATCAATAAATCTTCAAAAATAGAAAAAGTTAATTAACTCGACATAGTAACAGTAAAACAATACAAGAAATCGTTCAGCTTAACAAAATTTAAATTAAAAGTCTGATACCAAACAAAAAAAGTACTAAATTAAAAGCGAAGTTTACAGCAACAGTAGCGAGAGCGATACGAAGGAAAAAAAAACTGTAACTAAAAAAATTTAGGGTATTAAAAAAACTCAGTATGTAGAAGATATAGGTAGCAAGTCTAAAACTTAAAAGAAAAATCTTAAAGAGAATAACAAAAAATTAGTTGCATCAAAAATATAAGAAGACGAAGACTAATAAGATTTGAATCCTTTGAACGATGATGATGATGATGATTTATAGATAAGTCATTAATAGAATAGCCAATACCTAGAGTTGGAAGAGGATGAGGAGTCAGATTACGATTTTTAAGATTAAGGTGACAGAAGCTAAGACGAGAGCTTTATTGTGGAAAGTATTCACGAGCAAGAAATTTAAGATGAGGAGGAATAAGACGATCTTGATGAAAGCAGTTACTTGAGTGATGATATAAAATAATTAGAATAAGAAATTGATTAAGAGAAATACTTTTAGGAATCATTGACTGATTTTTATGATTACAATGAAGATGATTTGGAGGAAGAATTTAATATTTAAAGCGGAAGTGGAAGTGAAAGTGATAGTTCTTCAGAAATGGAATCTTCTGTTTCTAGGTTTGAATAAAATATACAGCCATAAATACAATCTTAAAATTTTTTTTCATCGAATATTAATTTTAATAATTAAATGCAAATTCCCACAATTTATATTTCTTCTGATGATAGCTTGATGGAAATTAAATTAGACCAAATTTGTAACAACTAATAAAAAAAGTAAGAGTCCTTTTAAAGTGAAGAAATACCCAAATTGGAGATTAACATTGAAAATGATTTAATTAATTAGATGTCTGATTACATCCTTTGCGGTCATTTAGAAAATCTCAAACAGATGATTCTTCAGTCAAAGTGTGATTTGCTAAATCTAAAATGCTACAAGTAAATAAATATTTTAATATATACTTGATCAAATATTTTTTTTTTCCTAAGACATAATCAATTTATTTATTGATGTAAATTAACTCTATTTATTATATAAAAGCCATGACAGGTTATTTGCAAATTAGTATCTATACAACAACTTCTTTTCAACTATAATACAATTTGCAGTAAAGCAAAGGACAAAGCAATTCAAGCTTGAGTTTCCAAAGTAAAAAATTTGATTTCTCAATATACTAATTAAAATATATATATATATAATCGCAATAGTTATAACATGCTTTAGAACTTTACTGATAACCTCTAAATTATACCCTCTGAATTTGAAGTTTTCAAAATATAAATATTCGAAGAGTAAGTGGAATACATTATGGATAATAAAATAATTTGTGATTTTACTGATACTTGTGTATACAATCCATTTTCTAAAGTTATTAGAGCTTTCAAAGGTCTCTACAAAAAGGCAATAGTAAACTTAGCGTAAACTTTTAATAAAAAACAATATAATATTAATAAATAAATAAAATATTTTAAAGACAAATATCTCACTTACCCAGAGTCATGAAAGACTTACAAGCCTCAGAGTTCTCAATTAAAGTCCAAAGCTCGTAATATTTCATTGAAAATAAAAAAAATCTAAATTAAACTTATTTTTTTTTTTACAGAGACATCAGAGGCAAGGAAATGCTAGAATTTATGAACAGCTTTCACTTTAAAGATATCAAAAAAATGGATGTAGCTTTTTTGAATGATAGGATCAAATACAGCAAATCCATACCAATTAATCTATATAAATCAGAAATGGGTTGTCTTAGCTAATTCATCAGATTCAAAGAGGCTGTAGAAAGAAATGCATATTTCCACAAAACAGTTGAGATAAATACATAAGAGTAATCAATCTACTAATTTCAGACTTTTTTATTCCATCCATTTAAATAAAAAATGGATCTCATTTGGATTTTTTAATTTATGGATTTATTAGATGAGAATTATTTTAATTATAAAAAGGTAAAATCTGAGTGATAGCTAATGGAAATACCTTACTAAATATATCAGATAAAAGAAGGACTAAAATATCTTTGATGGAATAAACTTTAAGATACAATATATTTCAACTTCTATTTTTAAATATCTTCTCAAGTTTATTTAGAAAACAGAAAATTCATTTAAAAATAAGTATATTATTGTTAGCAAAGATATAACAATTAAATATATTGAGTACTAGCTCATACTCGAATCTAAAAGATCTGATCTTCTTATTTAGCTTGCACAGAAAATTAACATTTTTCAAAGGATGCATAAATTTTGCTTACTTGGATTAGAAAATAATCCATTTTTAGATATTTCATCCACCCTTAAGCATTTTTAAAACAAAATACCTCGCCTTCCTAACCTCTATCAAGTACATTTCGAGATTCCAAAGTAAAATATCATCTTGTAATTTAAGTACATTATTTAAATAATTTTTATTTAAAAAAGGGTTTTAGATAAAAAGTAATCATAGAGATTTGGATTTATTTTGTCTCAGCTGAAAGAAGTTAGACATTTAACTATTTAAATAGTGGATAAAGAAAAAGAGTTAATCAGTCTCTATAATTATTCAGTTAACTTATGTAATGTATTTAAAGGAATCCAAGAAATGCAAAGTCTCAAATATTTAAACATTTCAATGATAAAGTATTTTTTTTTCTTAAAATACCTGCAAAGGTGAATTATTAATTTATTTTTTCAGTTATATAAATTAATATAGATATAACAGTAGATCTCAAAAAATAAGCAATAAAATCATTGAATAAATTAGTCTACTTCTCTAAAAATGCACAAATATATCTGAATTATATATGAGTTTTCCAATTTTAAATTAAACTCAATTAAAATAGCTTATAACTCCTATTTCTAATTTGTCTCTCAATGTTCTAGAACTGAATCTTGTTTCGTTAAATGTAAGCTACAAGACCTCTACTCATACTATGTATATTACCAATGGTAGGATTCATTAATATCACTACAAATACTTCTCTGTTGAAAAACTCATAATGGTCATGCAGAAACTTAGCAATGTCAAAAACTTTGATATATTCCTTAATCTAAATAGCCAGCAAGTCAAAAAACTTAAGGCCTTTAATAAGCTGTAGCAAGGTATCAATTCAATGTCGCTGCACTTGCAGTTTGACAGTGCAGTAATGGTTTTTGACTTCCATTAAGGAAAGCACTATAGAGTTGAGTTGAATTCTTTCAATATATAAAACTTTTTTAGTAACTCAAATGAAATCTGCAAAAATTTAATTGGAATATTTCTACCTTTAGATAATTTCATGATCACAAAAGTCAATAAATTCCTCTTCCATAATGTGTAATTACAAAATTTCTTTTATTTTATTTACATAATTTATAAAAAATTAACATGAATAGAAATATAATATCACCTGACCAAAATGCTTTCCTAATAGACAGCATTAAAAAGTGCATAGAGTAGTTAACAGAAGTATCTGAGATCAATATTATCCTTAAAATGAACCAAAATATAGAAATTTAATCTAAATTTATTGAATTTTTATCAGATTAAATCAAGAAACCTAAATTTGCTAAGCTCTAAAAACTATCCTTAGAAAAATTATGGTAAATAAAACAAAAATCAAATAATTAAAATTAAAACTTATTTTATTTTATTTTATTTAATTAGCGATGATGCTTTTAAGATTCAATCAATTAAAGAAATTTGTGAAAAGTTAATATAAAACAAAGGAAAGCTAAACTTGTCATCTATTGAATATGATTTTATAGCAAATCTATCTCCTAAGACAGTAGATTTTGTGATAAAAAGACACATGCCATAAAATTTTACTATAAGGACGATAAATAGTGACAAGATAACTATCGGATAAGGAATTCTTGAATGTTGCATGATGTATTTAGCAAACTTCAAAAATTTGGATAAAGCAAGCTTTGCATTTGAGAACATGTATGTGGATGATTTAATTATGATTAATGTAGTGTAAGATATTATAGCATCAATAAAGTCATGTGTTGATTTCAAGCTTATCTTACAAAAGTATTTTTTTAATTTTAAATGAAAGCTAAACTAATAAATATGTTTATATTTAAATTAAAGTTTTAGATTAAACCAACAGAATTTGCCCATATTTAAACCTATTTCATAGTATGCAAATCTAAAGCAACTATAAATCATTGGCAATTACGAGTAATTAAATATACTTTCAATAAATATTAAGTAATCTAAATAATATTTAAATAGTAAAAGACTTAAGGAAGTTAATGGAGTTATAAACCTTGAGAGAAACAGTTCTTCAGAAGAAGAAGACTCAGACCATTAGATAGCTTTACAAGATCAAAAACTCTAGTAAGACAGATTCTTAATATACTTAAGTGAAATACTAAGACAAAGCAACACACTTACAAAATTCACATATAGACCATACATTTAAGGGTAAATAAATACTTAATATTGAATGTTTAAATAAAAAAAATATTTTATTTAGTCAATAAATATTAAATAAAAATCTATCAATCAATCAATCAAAAATATTAATTAATTTTAATATAATTTAGATAAAAATTCTCAAACTTTAGCATGATCAGAAGCATAAGAAACTTAGGCTTCTGTAAGTCTTTAAAAGATTTTAAGATAGAACTAGAAGATGCTATTAAGCAGCATATATTTGCTGAACTAAATAATAAACTATCAAAACACTATGACAAAAAAAGAAGAATATGCCAAATAATTAAACTGATGCAAGCCAAGCAAGTTTTAGGAAAACTAAAGCGTATTGAACTCTTCCATGAAATCTTATAAGAATTTTACTGAAAATAAGAACATACTAAATTATTTCTTTTTTACTTATTCTCTTCCATCCACCATCGACCTATCTATTCATCTATCAATACTAAATATTTTGTTTTAATATATTAATTAATATGTGGCTCTTAGAATCATTTTATATATTATTTATTTAAAATTATAATTTTATAATGAAAATTTTACATAATTTTTATCTTCAAAAAAAAAAAATTTATTTGCATGAAAAGTATACCTTATTTGCTTCTTTTAAGTAAGTTATTTTAAATTAAAAATGGAATATTTTGATAAAAAATTGACCATTTTGAAAAACTGCTAAATTTATGCGAGTTCCCATTTTATTTTTAGAGGTTTTACTGTATTACGTTTATTTATAAAAAAGTTCTACAAATTTAGTTATCTAATTATATATAATTAATTAATATATATTATCAAAAAATTAATTATAAAATTAAACATCAAATAAAAATTGTATGTTTTATTAAAATTGAATATTATTTAATAACTATATCCTTGTAATATGAAGATTGATTATGATTTTTTAGAATTTAGAATTTTTGGTAGAGCTATTTTGAGAATTATTTGAAGCTTGGAATAATATGTATGTATGATTGATTGAAATAATAATTTTAAAGGCTAAAAGAATTGAAATATCTAATAGTATTAATAAACAAATTTAATCAACTCATTTAGTTTAGTAATCAAAAATAATGCTCTGAAAGCTTGTAAAAGTTTTAAGGATAAGAATTAATTTAATTTATCTTTTTGTATAAAAAAATTAAAATAAGCTTAGATTATAAAAACAAGCAAGCAAATGGCAACAAGACCTGAAAATATATGTCCTCCTGAAATAGTAATTAGCTATTAATTAGATTAAAATTAAGTTTCATCATGAGTTTTACTCTCATAGCTGATAATTTCATGTGATAAATACATTTTTTTGTAAAAATTAAAGTACTATAATCAGGATGAAGCTGTTAAGTATACTAATTCTACAAGAATTATTGAAATTCAAGAATAATTAACTGGTAAAATAGTTTTATAAATTTAAATAAGCATCAAATAATTTGGAAATTTTTGCTTTAAATACTCAACTTAAAAGCATTTAAAAAGCCTATAAGGTGAATTTAGCTGATTGAAGTTTTAAATTAGAATGATGCGAATTTAATATAATTTAGAGATTTTGCTAAAAATATTTCATTAAATAAAGAAAGATGCATTGAATTATTAAATATACCTGAAGGCGAGGATTAATTAATCCTTGATATTGGATGTGGAAGTGGATTATCTGGAGCTTAGTTAAGTGAGCACAATCATCACTGGGTTGGTATTGATATTTCAAGAGATATGTTAAATGTAGCAGTAGAAAGAGAGAGCGAAGGAGATCTCTATGAAATAGATATGGGATAAGGATTTAATTTCCGTCATGGTGTTTTTGATTCTGCAATTTCCGTTTCTGCTTTATAATGGTTATGTGTAGCATCTAAAAAGTCATACAATCCTGTTGCTCGTCTTAAAAAATTCTTTTAAAGCTTATATAATAGTTTGCGTGCAGGTGGAAAAGCTGTATTATAATTTTATCCTGATGGAGCCTAATAACTAGAAATGATTACAACTGCTGCTATGAAGTGTGGTTTTGGAGGTGGTGTAGTCGTTGACTATCCCAACTCTGCTAAGGCCAAGAAACTCTACTTAGTCATTTAAGCTGGTGGTGATACAAGAGAATAAAATATAGTAATGATAAACGGATTAGAAGACGAAAACGAAGAAGAAGCCAAATTCAATGCAGCTCAAAAGTATTATTCTTATCAATCATTAGAAGACTGTATTTACATAATATTAAAGCTATTTTATAATATTTTTTAATTCAAAACTTTAATGCATAAACTACAGCTTCTGCTAATAATTTTTGCATTATAATTAAATTTGTTTCTTTTGCATTTAATTTCTTAGGTAAAAGTAAATTCATAAAGCTAAAAAGCCAAAAATAAAGAGCAAAGAATGGATTTAAAATAAGAAGGAAAGACAAAGAGCATAAGGAAGAGAAGTAAGACCAGATAGTAAATATACCGGAAGAAAGAGATCAGGTCCTTCCAAGTACTTAAAATGAAACATTTAATATTGCCAGATAAAAAGATAGATATATAGATTAATAAATATACGTTATTTATGTTTGTTGGAAAAGTAGAGATAAAAATTTTTTTACAACAATACAATTATGTGTTTCATTATGATAATTATAATCAAAATAATAGTGTAATAATAATTAAATATACTATTTGTAAAGTAATTCAGATAATTGATTGGTTATTTATTGATTTATTTAATTAAGAATAAATTATATTGAATAAAATAACTTATAAAAGAGAGGATTTTTATTTTTATTTTATAAAAGTTACTTTTCAGATTCAAATCTTCTGTTTTGAAATACTGAAAAAATTGTTGAAAGTTTCTAAATTTTCTTATGAATTTTAATGACTACTCTCAACAAAACCTTTATTTAGATCACTGAAAACTCCTGTGTTTTGCCACTTCTATGATTCTATAGTAGATTTTTAGGTTATTTAATTTAAGCTCTGCAGCTTTTAATTATTGCTAATATTCTAAAATGTCGAATCTTTAATTTATTTAAATTCAGTTTCTATCTCTTCTTTTAAATATTTTGGAATCAAATCAACAACTTCATTCTGTTTTGAGATTTTAATAGGTTTATACTTATCCTAATCAAATGTATTTTAAATATAACTAATTCAAGTAAAATAAATTTATCAATACAAAATAGGTTGCTAAAATGTATTCCTAGGGATTCTTTTTAGTAGGAAAAGATGGTAAGCATATATTTATCTAAGATGGCTTATGTTCTCTATTATAAATTCTCATCAAATGTTCACTTTTGCTGTTTACTACTCCACTTTTTAGCATCGAATTACATATCAAAAATTTTGGATTCTTTTTCTTTTTATGTTTTTACTTTAAAAAAAAGTTGAATTTTAAATTATTTTATATTAAAAAGGTTTAATAAGATAAGGAGGATATTATGAAATTATAAAATATTTATTTATAATTTTTTCATAAATTATTTGGTTTTATCAGCAAAAAACCTAAAAAATTGATTTATTTCAACCCTACCTTTATTTTGAATAAAACAAAATTGTCTTTCTTAAAGTTATTTAAGAATAAAGCAAAAATACTAAAAAATTGAATCAAATCATGCCAAATCATTGGATGATTATTCAATTTTATAGTTTTAGTGTAAGTAAAAACCTTTAAAAATTATAGTTATGCTTTTAAAATGTGATAAATTAAAAGTAATTTTATTAATTTTCAAATTACTGGTTTTTCCAAATCTCTAGAATGGAAGGCTGAAGCTATTGATTTCGAATATAAGTCATAAATTCGAGTAAATTATTGTTCTACACTTACCATAGAAGAATTCATTATTTTTTATTTAAATAAATCTACACTGTTACTTGCTCCCTAAAGTGAAGACATCTAGTCTTGATTAGTATTTTATAAATTTTACTTAGAAGAGCTTTCATTGTTTTGCTAGTTAAGCAAGCTTATTTGAGAGTTTTGGCTTTCGAATTACTACTCACTTTTTTCCATGTTTTTCTTAATCATGTGTTGTATAGAAGGTACAGGCTATTCATTGTTGCTCAAATCAGATAAAGGTTCTGAGTTAAAAGTTTTAGAAGGCTTTTCCTAAATAATTTAGCTTGGGGCAAACATTTCTAATGATCCTTTATTATCTTAATGTTAAGTAATAAAATCAAATTTAGATTGCTGCATATCTTCTTCTTTTTAATAGTTTTCATCATTTTATTCTTCGAACGTATTTTAAGATTAAATGTTTTTTTTAGATGAGTAAAGCTGTTCTAATTCATCTTTAAGTCTATTGATTTTCACATCTAATGATTTTAACTACTTACTATATCCGACTTATTTTTTAAATCTATCTTATCCCTCAGGCTTAACAAAAATCAATATATTTCCTGAAAGATTATCTGGAGACATGCTTCAATTTTTTTATAAAATAGAAATTATCTTTATTCCTTTTACAATAATTGCGGCTTTACCTTAGATACTTGTTTTATGTATTTATTAGCTCACTGAATATTTGTTTACTTGTAGGGCTCATTGATTATTTAGATAGAAGATTTTCTTTTACTGATGATGAATGGCTTAATTTTAATGATTTATCCTCATTTTTTTTGCTTATTATTAACAATATACAAAAAATAAAATAAATCTATGCATTTTGTTGATTCTAAATATTTGCTGGTAGAATAGGTTTGAAAAGAGCTATATTTGCTGTTTTAATCTTTGCTGTGATATTGTTTAAATAAAATTTACAAAAAACGCTCAGCTAATGAATATTTTCTGGAATCATTATTTTTCGATATTTTGAATTAGTGTCCTAAATGAGAGTTTTTAAGCTCCAATGCTTGAGAGTCAATCTATTATTACTAATCAATTGATCTTAGAGTTATAGCTCCTGAAAGTTCATCTTTTGTTTTTTCTCCATATCTTTTAAAATTATGTTTGGAGTCTTTTGTTAAAAAAAGTACTCTATTAGTAAAGTAAAAGTAGAAAAATGGAATAATTGGTAGATACTCTTCAAAGAATTAGTTCCTTGCTGATTATTACTTTACTCAATAGCTTTTTTATTGCTGCTTATTTGAGGAAACATTAATCTTATAAAAATATCAATCAATCAATATATATATATATATAAAAAGTCTTGTTTCTACTTTAATAAAAAAAACTGATAATTACTATGAAATACTCAAGTAATTAAATGCAACATGAAGGTAACATTTATGTTATTATTATTAATGATATAAATGTAAAATAAAATAATTTGCTGATATGTTCTCTCAAAACTATTAAATATGGAAGAAAGTATAGATCAAATAAGAAGAAAGAAATTCATAAATAAATATATAACTAATTTTTAAAGAATCAATCAATTTAATTCATGATAATTAATTTAGGTTTCTTTAAATCTAAATGAAAAATCTCCATACAATTTCAAAATAGAACAAATATTATTTTGATATAAAAATGTGATAATTACAAATATTTTATACTACTTAACACAGATAAAATAGATATTTGAACAGCGTAACATAAAAAACTAAATAAACCATACTATATTTCAATCATGATATAAATATATTTACATTGATATTAAAATGTTTTTTATTTAGGATATTAATAATTTACAGTAAGCACTTGTGTATAAAATTATAATTTGTAGAGTTTTTGAGTAGAATAGTTTAATTATCATAAATAGATTATTATTTATACGTTTAAAAAATCATTCAGTTAATAGTGCTTTACTTTATCTGTTTACTTTATATATAGAGAAAAAGGTCGTTTAGCGCCTAAGGATGAGTTAGTATTCAAATCATTTTTTATAAAATCAGTAAATATTTGTGTATACGCAAAAAAAATTTTTACAGTTTTTGAGTAGAGTAGTTTAATTATTATAAATAGATTATTATTGTGTTAATTATTGATCGTATTATTTGTTTACTTTTTATTTTAGATGTTAAATTTTGAAAGCTTTCGTGAAGTAATAAGCATCAAACCCATATTTTAATTTTCAAATACATTTAGTAAAATAATAAATTTCTTAAATATAATTTTTTACAAAGTATGATTCTTTGTAAAATATTAAGCAGGATACTTTAATCATGATATAAATATAAATTAATTTCGTTGTAATTTTTTAGGAAATAAATAATTTGCAGTATTTATTTATATAATAAATAATATGTAGAGTTAATTAGATATTTAGTTTAATTGTTATAAACAGATTATAATTTATATCACTTAATAATTGATTATACAGTTATTAAGTGATTAGTGTTATTAGTTTTCTTTTGTATGAAACATATTTTTTATTTTTAAATTCTTGTAATAATCTTTAAAAAATCTATTTTTTAATTTTTTAATTCAAAGAATAAAATAATGAAATTTTTAAATACAATTTTTCCATATAATAGAAAATTAGTTAAAAAATAATGAATAGATTACTTTAATCATGGTATTAATAAATATAAATTTGGATCTAAGCTTTTTAGGGAATAAATAATTTACAATAAATATTAGTTGTGTTTTGTAATTAATAATTTTTAGAGTAGAGTAGAGTATTTTATTTAATTATTATAAATAGATTTTTATGAATATATATTCATTTTATAAATTAATCAGTTAACTAGTTAGTGATCAGTGTTATTGATTTTCTTTTTATTTTAGATATTTAATTTAAGGTTTTTTAATGCTTTCTGCAAAATAATGCGTATCAAACCCCGTTTTTTCACTTTCGAATTCATCGAGATCAAATAATGAATCAGATTCTTCTATTTTTTCCTAAGTCAATTTTTTAATATTTTCTAATCTTCTTTTTACAGTTAGATTTTTTGTGATTACTTCCCACAACTTTTCTTTAGATTTAGTTGTAATTTCCAAAAATTTAGTTTCACATTTCTTATTAAAAAATAAACTTTTACTATCCTCCATGCTCATTTTTACTTTGTTTAAGTTGTTCAAAATTTAAGTCTCATCTAATGTACTCAATTTATCAGAATTAGATGAAACAAGCGACACTGACTTTGTTGATAAAACACTAAATTTCGATTTATCTTATAGCTAACTATTCTTTATTATAGTAGATGACACTGGGTTAAAATTCGAATTTTGTAAGATCTTTTCTTTATCATAATTAATAATATGTGAGTAAACTTCTTCCGCCTTCCTGTAATTTTAGGGTGTTCCTAAACCTTTCTCATGCATTTTGCCAATTTTATATAAACTGATTATATCTAGTTTTTGGAAATTACTTTTAGTGTAATCGAGAATATTTTTAAAGTAAATTTAAGATTCTTATGTTTTACCTTAAACTAAAAGTAATTTCCCCATCCTGTAGTTAAGAGAAAAATCAAATTTTTAAGAATTTAACTTAGAATAATTATCAAATTATTATTTATAAATTTTTTCTGCTTAATCTAAATTTTTTAAAGTACCATACCCTTTTTCTAATATCAATCCATTAAGAATTTCAATGTTTTTTTCACCCATGTTAGACAGATATTAAATATACAAATTGAGGAATGCAAAATCTTTAAAATGCTTAGCAAGTCTAACCATATCATAGCGAAAGCAATCACTGCCTAAGAAAAATAACTCTTTCATTAGCTAATAGGCTCCTTAGAAGTCTCTACAGAAATGATCACCTGTTATTTTTAGCTAAATCTATATTTTCATACAAGAAGGTATAAGTAATTTACAGCCTTGCTAGAGATATTACATTAATTTTTATTTGATTTTAGAATCTATTTGATTATATTAATTGAATAATATTGTGGCTAATTTTGTATGGGCTTTTAAGTGTAAATTGTCTGCAGCTTAGCAGAGTAAATCTATGTAATTATTAAAATCAAAGGGATGGTTAGACTACAAACCAAATTTTATTAAAAACTCAACTGCGAATTAACCTATAACGTTTTGGTTTTGGTTTAAGATAGATTGAAGAAATTCTTATTCTTTCTAGGATACATTTTTCAAAGATTTTTTAATAAAAATATTATTTGAAGGCTCTACATTTCTATTTAAATCTAAGTTTAAATTCTAAAAGGAGTGATATAACGAATAATCCCTTTGTTGATTGTTAATCAATATTTCTAAAAATACATTCATAAATTAACTGACACCGCTTTTCAGCTATTCAAATTTTTTTTTTTCGTCTGTTGTTTCAAACGTTGATAAGGCGTCATGAATGGATAAAAAGTTTTCATTTTATTGGTCCAGCTTACAAAAAAATGTTTTTATTTTTGTTGAAGCAAAGTCAGACCCAAAGAAAAATGGTAATTCATCATTGAGGAGCTAGTTTTCATTCTCTCCTTCAGAACAATTAAGGGTAAAATAAATAATATCTGCAAGCAATGAGTTCTGATATTCCATACCTTAAATAATATATTGACCCAAATCAAAAAATTAGAATGTAGCTAATTACTTTAAAAATTTTTAGCCAAGCTAATTACTTTAATGAACGGAACCCTCAATACCATAAAAATACATAAGAGATTAAATTGCTGCTGAATATGGTTTATCCTAATTATTTTCTAAAAATTCAATTATTTAAGATCTTAATTCTTTAGGACAGGCTAGAAAACCTTTGCTTTTGAAAGAAGGTAATTTATAGTCAGCCTATTATTTAATTAAAGGCTAAGAATTATGTGAGATGTGAAGATTTGTATTAATAGAATTATTTGTGCTAAATGGGCTAATTTTTAAAGATTTTTTAGAGTTTTATTATGTTTTCTCAATGCATTTTTGTATTTTATGTCTGATATCCTCCTCAGTAAGATTGCAGCTAGTAATTTATTACTCATAATTAGATATAGCAATTTAAGGTTAAAAATCGCTACTGCATTACCCTATCTTTGAAGCTCTAGATAAGCTCAACATACTGTTTTCGGATGAAATAGATGGAACATCCAAAGATAGATTATTGAAGAGAAAATTATTAGAAGTGGTAAGAATGCTCAAAAAATCTTGGAAGCTGAATCCATCCTAGATAGAAAGATACTTGATATAGTATAGTTTATTATATATTTCTTCAGGTAAGGTTAGTCCTTCTATTTTTTTATAATATTATAACTGAAAGTAAAAGGGATGTCTATCATTATTTTTTTATAATTATTTAGCAACATAGCAATTCTTAGGAGCAAGCTTGTGCTAGTTTCTTTGAGAGTTTAGTTCTTCATCTAAATTTTCTTTGTCCTTTTACTAATCATTCAAGATATAAAAAGGTAAATATATAGCTTTCATAGATTTGTTTTTGTAGTTAGTATAATTAATATTTATTTTTTGATTAATTTATTACACTTTTACAGGGTCGATGAGCTTTTGATAAGATTTTGTTCTATTCTTATAATCACAATTTGATTTACTTATTTATTTATTTATATATAAATTTAATATTTTCTGAATCCCTTCCTTCACCTTATAAATTTTTTACCAATTAAATTTTTAATGCAGACTTTATAAACATAATTAAATAATTGGAAATAAGAATGCGTTTAAATTTCTAATTCTTTTGAAAGTGAATTTTTTATTATTTCTATTTGGAGAAATTTAATTAGCGATCAGCCCTTTATTTGATGTTATCTAAACGCTTATAAACATATATTTTTATTTATTTATAAGTTAATCATGATAAAAAGTTTACTCTAATTTGATTCTGTTTTTGTAAAATAAATTTTTCTTCAGTAAATCTTTTTGAAAAAATGTTTAATAAGATAATGATTGGGTATTTTTATCAAAACGCTAATCAAAATAGGAAATTTTATTGACACTCGTTCTATAAGCGAACAAATTAAAAAAAAATTTGATAGAAAATAGCAGAAATATTATTCATTAATTTTGCATTCAATTTTCTAATGGTAAAATTAACTCTTGTTAAGCTTGAATGCTAATTCTTTCCCTTAAAATGCAAAAAATAATCTTAGAACTTATATAATTTGTTAGATTATTCGATAATAAACATCCCAAAAAACAAAATAATGTTTTTATAACTACTTTTATTTTTAAAAATTTCTGGCCTTAATTTGGTATACAATATTATAAAATAACTGAATACTTTTTCCCCATTAAATTTGACAAATTCTTTTCATTATATCATAAAGTAATTACTAAATTCTTATACATTTAATTTATTATATCAGTTTATTGAAATTGCTAACTCTATAATTTTTTTGTACTTTCTTAATACATTTAGCTTAGCTTCGAAGATATGTTTTTCCTTAAAATTTAAATATTTCGATTGTTTTTTCCTTTAATTTTTTCAAGATAGTTATGAACTAATTAGATTTCATCCTCTAAAATTATTATTATTTAAACATAAAATCAAATTAGAAATCATTTTATTTATTTTAAAATTGTGGTTAAATTAATTATATTAAAAAAAATTATTTCTATTTCAAAACCTCTATTTATTTTTCACATCTAACCTTGTGTTCAAAAACTTATCTTAATAATACAAATAAATTGTTTACTTCAATTTAATGCAAGCATGATAATTATTATCAAATTAACTTTTTTAAGTTTATATTTCTAAGTTACTCAAAAATAAGGCATATAGAATAATAAACATAATGTTAATATATATTAATTATAAAATATATTTTAAATTATGAAAATAAATTATGTTTTTATTGAATAAAATAATTAAAATAAAACTACTTTTATTATTATAACTATAGATAAGTTACTATTTTTACTGAATATTATATAATATTTTCTATTTTTATAAAAAAATACAATTTATGGCATAAAATTACTAAATTTTCCCCAATAGAAATTATTTAGCTATGCTTATTTTTAGAAAGTATTTTTTTATCCAGAAAAAAAGTAATTGATTGTTATTTCCGAATGTAAAAGATTATTTTGTTATTTTGATTCTATGCCTTTTTGTTAATAAGCTTGTTAAGTACTTAACAATAATTAATTTTATTTATGTAGTTTACAAAGAATTTGAATCTAAACCACATTAATCTAACCAATTTTTACCACAAAAAAAGATACAATACACTAAAAATTCATTTTTAACATAAAAATTTATTAAATTAACTATGTAATTATGTAATATTTTTAGAAGGTAATTTTAGCTTTTTTTTATCGATTTATATTTAAATTAATTATCATTTTGATCTATAAAATATTCTTTAAATTTTTGCTATATTTTATAATATTTTAATTTTATAATTTGGTTATAAAAGTTAATACTGTAAGCTCGGGTAGCTCAGTTGGTTAGAGCGTGGGTCTAATAAACCCAAGGTCGAGGGTTCAAGCCCCTCCCGGAGCATTTTTTATTAAATATTACTTGTTTAGCTTCTAATTTTTTTTAAATATGAAATTAAATAGTTTGATAAGAATTAAAAAATTGAATTTTTGAGTAATTACAAAGAAAACAATTTCTAAAAAAACATCTGTGTTAAAAATATATATAAATCATCTAGCTCGGGTAGCTCAGTTGGTTAGAGCGTGGGTCTAATAAACCCAAGGTCGAGGGTTCAAGCCCCTCCCGGAGCATTTTTTATCCAAAAAAAATTGATATAAATAATTACTAAAAAATTTGTAAAAAGTATTAGATTCTCTTTTTATTTCAAAAATAGCTACAATAAAAATACTATTTATTAAATCATATGAAAGAGAGATAAAAATTGTATTAATATTTAACTTAGTTCGATTGATTGAGTTATTTAATTTTTTTAACATCAAATTACAAAAAATTAAAATGCTTTTGTTCAGCTCGGGTAGCTCAGTTGGTTAGAGCGTGGGTCTAATAAACCCAAGGTCGAGGGTTCAAGCCCCTCCCGGAGCATTTTTTTTAAACAATTTAAAAATGTTTGATCAATATTTTTCGTATAAAAATAAATGCAATAAATTAAATATAAAACAGAATTCAAATTTAATATAAAAATATTTTTTTCATAATAAATTTAGCTAAAATTAATTAATTAACTTATGATAAATAAATATGAAAAAATATATACAATTTTCTTTATTTTCTTATTAATTTTTCTAATTTTTAATTCATCTCTTTTTCTTTTGAATAGGTTCGAAATAATCAAAACCATCCATTACATCAGATTATACACTTTGATCAAAACCATAGGATTGTGATGCACCAACAATATCTTCACTTGAAGTAAACATTGGATTCTTTATTTACGGAAGATAAATATTAATAAATAGAAAAATAAATAAGCAAAATTCAATTACTCTATGGTCTTTTTTATTCTTATAACTGTAAGGATCTCTGTTAGAGTCTTAAAAGTCATCGATATCTTCATCAAGATATTCGTTTGAATCATCGTTTTATAATTTATTTTCTTACATTATTAATTTTATTTTAGCAAAATACCAAAATTTAAACAAAAATATAATTTACTTTAATTTTTATTTTTGTAACTTACTCCTACATAGCCATCATCTAAGTCATAAGATTAAGGATCACCTAATCCACTGCTACCTGCAAATTTATTTTTTTTAGGATCATCTTTTTTCTTTTTAGGATCATTTGTTTTATTGCCTTTACCATATGCCCCAAAGCCAGCTTCTGACAAATCATAAGCATAAGGATCACCAGCTAATATAATTTTTAATAAATTAAAAATTGATGAGGAATTTTATTATTTAGAAATTAACTGATAAAATATTTCTCTTCTTACATTTACTATTGTGATTGGCATCATCATCATCATCGTCATAATCATAATTATATGGATCTTTTGCAGGCTTCAAGGGTGCATCTAAATCATATTCGTATGGATCTTTTGCAGGCTTTAAGGGTGCATCTAAATCATATTCGTAAGGATCTTTAGCTGCATTGAAATCAAAACCATATTTTCCAGTTTATGTAAAAGGATCTTTTTACTAAGATGAAGTTGATCCTAATCCTGCAATATTATATATGCTAGAAACTGCACTTATATTTTTAGAATTGCCTCCTCTAATTTTATTTACTGCAGTTGGTGGTGGTTTTTTTTCCTCTACAACAGGAGCAGGTTGAGGTTTCTTCTTATTTTTATTCTTTTGAGCCTCTAATTCATCTTATTCTTTTTTCAATTTTTCCTATCTTTCTTTTTCCTCCTTTTCTTTTCTTTCATTCTCTTCTCTTTCAATTCTATCAAGCATATCATCCTTGTCTTCAGCAGTCCAATTATCTTTCTTTACTTCATATTTATCATAGCTCTAATCGTAGCTGTTTCTGCTTTCCTCTACATTATCCTTCTCCTTTTCTTTTGCGTTATATGCTTGTAAGAAGATTTTGCTAAAAACTTGCTGATTTGCTAAAAATAATAAATTTTACTATCATTATTATAGCTTACAGAGAAATTATTTAAATTTGCATTTGAATAATCCAAAGCATTTTTAGGCGAATTCATTGCAACTAATCCATTTTCAAGAATATGCACATAGTCAGTAAATATATTTAAAAATAATGGCTTGCTTGAATCTGGAGTTTTTCTAAAATTTATATCGTTTTCTAATTGCTTTCTTTGAACCTTTGAGTTAATTGCAACTTCTTTTTTGAACACTTCAAGTGTGTAATCTAATCTAAAAAAATCTAAGAATTCATAAATCAACTCTAAACACATTTATCCTTTTAAATTTAATGAAAGCCTTAAGAAAAAGAATTCAACTTGTATATTATTTAATTTACCATATTCTATGCTTTTTAAATTTTGCAATTGAGGATGTTCCCATTAGAAGCCAGCGCTGTCTTTTATACCCTTAGATTAATTATCTATAATCTAATAATAATTAATTTGTTGATTAATTATTTCTTTCAATAAAATGGTTTATAAAATTAATTTAAAATCTCACACTTTGAATGTTTAAAGCTTGAGTTTGGCTCTCATATTATCTAGAAAGCCATCCTTCTGCATGTTTTGCTAAACTAAAATTTTAAGCTAATCTAATGATAACATTCGATATAAAATTAATAAGTAAGTTAGTAGTTAAAATTCTTTATGATTTTTCTGTCAAGTAATTTCAAAATCTTGTTAAATCACTATTGTTTGCTTGGTATTATTAATGTATAAATAATAATTAAAAATCAAAAATCCAATTATTTCATCATTGATTATAAATTTAAATAATTTCTTACAAATTTTCTGATAAATAACACAATTTCATTTGAATATGTTAATTTCTATATTAAATCAAAATATAAATTAGCAACTAAAATACATGCAATTGGTAGCCAAATCATTTTACTTTTTTTATTTTTTATTCTAATTTTCAGTAATTTAAAATTCAAAAAAAAAATCAATTTAAAAAATGCTCCGGGAGGGGCTTGAACCCTCGACCTTGGGTTTATTAGACCCACGCTCTAACCAACTGAGCTACCCGAGCTTACAGAAATAGCATTTCAAATATTAAATGATAGTTTACTTACTTACCTATTTTTTATGAATAAATAAATCATTTAAATGATAAAAAATATGACTAAAATTGTATTTTTAAATAACTAATATAGCAAATATTATTGAAGATTTATTAATTCATTTATTTTTGATATTTTAAAAGCTTTTATTATAAATTTCAATTTATTTTGTTTGAAAATATAGTTTATTTACTCGTTATTCGGTTTTAAAATTAATAAAAAAACTATTTTAATAAATTTTTCATTATTTTTGATATGATTATTTTAATTTCATTTACTTATAGAAGACTTTTAGATCAATTTACATTTTTAAATTATTTAAATCAAACTAGAAAATTCAATTTAATAAAAGTAAAATTATTAATATAAAATTAAAATGAAATCAAATATAAATTAATAATTAATATCTTTTATTTATCAATTATAAAAAAAGAAAGTTGATTATTTAAATAAATATTGTTCAATAGTTAATTTATTTAATTCAAAAGTTATAATTTTAAATTAATTTTATTTTTAAAAACTAAAAAATAAAAAAAATAATAAATTTAAACAAAAAATAATAGTTAGCTCGGGTAGCTCAGTTGGTTAGAGCGTGGGTCTAATAAACCCAAGGTCGAGGGTTCAAGCCCCTCCCGGAGCATTTTTTTTTTATAAATTCAATATATCAAAGAAAGCTACAATTCTCTGTACTTTTATTTTCTTGTCAATATTAAAAACCTTCTATTTTAATTTTTAATTAGTTATTAGTTTTTAAAAATTTAATCTTTTATTTCAATTTTTTAGTATTTGATTTTTATGAAAAATAAATATTTATTTAGGTTTATACTATCAATTTTATCATCTTTATTTATCTGAAATAGATATTAATTTTTATATTTTAAATAAAAAATTGAGAATTTCTTCTAATTAACTTTTGAGATTAAACAACAATATGAAAAAACTATTTTTTTGATTTTAATTTTTATGCTTGTATGTAATAATTACTATATCCTCATTTGATTTATCTGAAAAATAATTACTAATTTGATTTTTTTATATTTTAAATAAAAATTTCAGTGTTTAATTGTATAAACTTTGAGATTAAGCAAGCACATAAAAACAAATTTAATGATTTTTAATTAATGCAAAAAAAAAATAAAAATTTAATATTTGTTAGATTGTTTATGAGAAAAACATTTAAAAAATATATTTAATAATAACGAAATTAATAGTTAGGTTTTAAGTAAGTATATATTTTAATATAAATATATTTTATTATTAAATAAAGTAAATACATTTCTAATAATAAAATAGAGAAGATTTAATTATTTTTAAGCTTTTATTCATTATAAATTTTCTAATTTTAAGTCTAAAGCAAATTAAAATATACTTGTTTATTTGCTTACTAACTTTGAAATCTATAGCTAAATCTTCATCTAATTTTATTTATTATTTTTATAATTTTTGAAAAGTTGATTTGTTGTTATATAAAGCTTATTAAAAAACAATTTAAAGTTCACTCATTTTTTACAAACTGTTATTTTCCTCCTTGCTACTACTAGTTCTGATCATTTTATTATACAGAAGGGGTGTTGTTAACAGCGTTGCTCAGTGAGTTTTAAGATCTTATTGTGTTAGTTTATTTTATTAAAGGTTTCTGATTCTAGATAGTGAAATTGTTTTCATTATCTAAAGTAAATTTTTATAATTATAGTTTTTAGTTTGCACTCTTATTCATTGTTTATTACTTTTCAGACTTTAATGGAGAAAAATTTTTTTCTTAAACTAATTATTAATTTGGTAGATTAGATCTTTGAGAATAGGATTACATTAACTCGATTTCCTTTACTTGCTTATTCACATGCTGCTATAATTTATTGTCTAATGAAAAGTTAGAACTATTTCCTCCCTGCTGTTTTGAATTGTTTACTATATAGGCTCCCACTGTCGGAGTTTCATAGGTGTTTGAGTTATCTGATTGTAATCTATACAAATTGAGTTACAGAGGTTGCATAGTTTTACTATATTAGAAAGTGGTTCCACTGTTAGAAAAAGGGCTTTCTTGTTTTAGAGATCTGTTTTTTTAGTAGAGTTACTGCTATGATCCTACTGCAGTATTTTAATTGTTTTATTAAAATATATTTTTTGTCAGTGAATGTAGAGAGTGGAAATCAGTTGAATTTTGATTCATGTTTCCCATCATGTGCTAAGTTTAATACATCTATATATGTTTCTAATGACTTTCTAGTTGTTTTTCATCCACAAGAGCAAAATTGTGTGGCTTATTCTCCAAAGTATAAATTGTCTTACATGTTTTATTATCTATTGTATTTGCTATTTTTCTTATAGTTTTGACTGCTTTGTTATTCATTAAATTTCTTAAATCAAGAATTTCCTCATATTTCTCACAGTTAGTGACAAAATTGCTTTCTAATTCTTGTGATTCTAAGTTTGTATAAAGATAAAAAGATATTTTATTGTGGCTAATTTATATCTTTTTATTAGGCCCCAACAATTTTATTATTTCGTTTGTTGCTATCATTTGGATCGATTCATTGCTAAAAGGATTGAATTTCATGTTATCTCCTTCCATTTAAATTTCTATTGCAATAACATCTGATCTTGACCTGCGATCATCCTCTCCACTTCTTTTATTCTTCCTTGATGAAGTATTCTTTTCTTACAAATTTTATTTAACGCTTTCGGCTTCTTCATTTACAAACTAATTAATATTTTATGCTTTAGAATTAATTCCTGCAGTACTTATTCTTTTAGAAGCATACATCTTTGTGTTGTTGTGATCTCCACTCTTATTTGAAGTCTTTCGCATTACTATGCTGCTGTTGTTACTATTCGCTCTACTGTATGGTTTCACAATCTTTTTAATGCTGCTCTTCTTCTTATACTATTGATTTTCAACCAATTTTACACTTTTACTTGATAAATGATTTTAAATGTTTTAAGATCTTATCATTTCTTCATCTAATGGCATCTAATTTTAATAATACATAACACCTGATTCCTAATCTTCATATTAAGTTCCTCCGCCAATATTTTATGCTTTATTGCTTGGGAGATTAAGCTGCTATGAAGTAGGATATGCTTAGTAGCTTTTACTAAAATAACTTTTTGCATTTATTTTTGCATGGGAGGAGTGATAATCATTTGTAGGTGATTCACATAAATTACTAGTGACTTTATTTTAGATATTATTAATCGAATTATTGTAGTTAGAAGGCGAAAATATAATTGGGGGAGATTGTATTTCAAATCCTTTACCCATTCCAACTGTACTTTAAGACTAACGTCTTAAATTGTATGCTGACTCGTTCGGACCATAATTCTGATTTTGATTTTTCTAACTTACTAAATTTGTAAAAATTTATTCTTGGTCAACAAATTATGTTTGATTTATATTTTCTTCTTTGCGGTTATTTTTGACATTAAAGAATGTTATAGGCTTTTACTTATTAGGAGGAAGAGACTAAGAATCCTTTACTTTATGATTTTAGCTATCTAATTTTGCAGACAAGGAAATTTATTGATTCATGTTAGCTAAACATGTGATATCCTTGACTAAGCTCTAGTTATTTTAAGATCTTTACTTTAAATATGGAAGTTATTACTATGCATTCTGTTAAGATACATTGCTGAATTAAGCAGCTGTGTTGGCTGCAATAGCTCTTAAATTAGTATTTTGTTACTAATTGCTATTATTTGGGTTATTGTTATAATTTTTGTTGTTTGAAAAAAAATTGTTTTATCTGTAATTCTAATTAGCGCTTGAGATTTCTATTTTTAAATTTTAGTTATTATTATTATTGATTGTGTTTAAATATTTAGAGTTTTAATTTTAAAATACAACTTATCCTTAGCTAGAAAAGTTATTATTGCCTTCCAGGCGTGGTGTGTTGGAGTTGCTCCGCTTATCGCTCATTTCTCTAAGCTTTTTTTCATTTTAATGATATTACAAGTTTTTCATAACAACATCGTCTACATTTTCGTTAACATTTTACTCACAATAGTTTTCACTAAATATTTCATCATCTAGAGAACTACTTTGAGCATTTATACTTGGTCTTTAGGGTATTTAAACCACATTAAACTTTTAATTCTTTTTTTTTAAGTTTATTTTTTGTGAGAGGTTATTATAATTCTCATCATCTAATTCTCCATCAAGGACAACCTCTTCCAGTATTGCAGGATCATAGAATTTTCTTCTATGTTAATAATTTTATTAATTTGAGTAAGAAATATTTGGGATACTTTCTTAATTTGCTTAAGTGTTGTTTTGAGTTATCATTTGCATGTTGCTTTGATGCAAGTTATTTGTTGGGGTTACATCATTTATATTTGTTTTGTGGTGTGTTATGTCAATCAGATCTTCATCTCCGTTTAAATTTGTATTTAAGTGCATTTTTGGTATTGAGCTCATGTTATTACTAGGTATTTAACCAAGAGTAATTAAATTATAAGTATCTTTATCTATTTGAGAAACATCCTATTTTTCATCTGCTGTAATGTTATTTACTGTATAATTTCCTCCTGCACTGCTTCTAATTAAAAGAGGTTAGCTGTTGTCTTCTTTCATATTTGAAATTTTGCTGCTACTACTAGATTGAGGCTAAGCAGGAATATTCGCATTTTAAGCATTATTCTGTTCATTATTGTAATCATCTGCTTTTTTTTCTGACAATCTCTTCATATATCCTACTTTACTCTATCGACCACTGTGGTGATTTGGTTGTTATGCATTTGGAGTTGACTCTAATTCTACATTGCATGATCTATCTGAGTTATTGAAATCGTGCAGCTGATTATTATTGATATTATTGTTGTTGTAATAATTATTATTATTTCCATGACTGTAATTATAGTTTTAATTATTGATTTAAATATTTCCACCACTATTTTCTTTCCTTTTATGGCTATATTCAGTATAATTTTCAACTCCCCTCTGAGATGCGTACATTTTGGATTAATTAGTCATATAATTAATGAACTTTGCTGTATCAGGATTTTGGGAAGCTACTTTTGAAATAGATTAATTCATTTTGGTCATCTCATATTCTTCTTAGTCCATGACAATAAATTTAATTTAATCTGTCTTTTTCAAAAAATTCAAAATGTTGAAAATAACTTGAATTAATCTTCTATCGTCTGATTTAATAACTTAATGCTTCGATTTATAAATTAAAATAGGCTTACTATTAAAGTAAAATGTATTTAAAATTAGCTCGCTAATTTAGAATTCAGAAATTTTTAATGGAAGAGGTCTTGCTTCCTTATGGCGGTAGCAGTCACTATAGTTGCTAACCTAAATTAATGATTTTAAAGCAATCAGTTTGGCATTATGACAAATCTCTACTAAGCTCTTATTGTATTTAATCAGTTAATCATATCGTTTTCTGTCGTCATCGTTTAAAATTTCGTCTTGACTTAAAATTTCTTTTTCTTCAGTGTTATTTATTTCGTCTTCATCAATAAGTGGAATCACTTATTCTGATACTATTTTTTTAGTCTCAATAATAGGGCCTTAAGGTGATTCAATCTAACGGTCTTAAAATTAGCTAATATCTTCATGTTAAGTGGCCAAATCTTTTTCATTTATATTGTTTTGGTTGATTTTACTGTGTATATCATAATCAGTAGGATTTGCTAGTGCATCTTGAGTGCTTGGTAGACCCTTAATTGATGGTGCTAGCTTAGATATTTACTAAACACTTGAAATATTTTGATTGCTTTAGTTGTTGTGACTAAAAGTATTTGAATGAGCTTTTACGTTGAGATTATATGTTTTATTTTAATTATTTGGAACAGAATGGTAAATATTGTTGGTAATTTGAATATTATTAGTGATGTTATTAATAATTTTTACATTATTATTTTAAGTGTTGTTAGGAATATTATGATCTACACCTTGCTTGAAATTCACATTTTAATTAGTGCTAGTTGTTGTTTAATTTTTAGAGTTTTAAAAAGTACTGTTGGCATTTTAATTATGGTATGCGATATAAGGGCTTAATGTTTAATTGCTTTTGACTGTAAGAATTTAGTTTTATTATTTTTAGATATTAGCATTTGCTGATAAGTTATTATTATTAATCTAAGAAGTAATATCTAGAGTACTCCTCTTCTTAGCTTAAACATCCAAATGTTGTCCTTTTATGTTCTAAATTTTAGTTGGACTTGGATCAGGAGTGTAGCTTCTTAGAATTTATCTTTGATGGATTTACACAGGAGGAGGTGCTAAAAAGTTTTGTTTTACATGTTCTTTAGCCCTGAAAGTATTATTAGCATAAATTTACTCATTTCCTTCTTCGTTTTGCTTATTTGTTTATTTACACTACAAAGATGAGTTAGGAGGTGAATTATTGTTATCATCTTCATGTAAAGCTAAATTAATGTTGTGATAATCTTTTGATTATGCTGAAATGTTAGATTTATCCATTTTTTTACCATATTTAAGCTACTTATTGATCTCTACTAAAGATTTCGATGTAATATCTTGAGATTCTGCAATATTGTAGGTTCCAGAACCACTAGCTTAAACTATATTTTCCTAGCTATTAATTTCTTAATTTTCATATTGTAAAGAGTGAGAAGAATAATTATATTTAAGATGATCATTGAGGAATTTAATTTAGTCTTTCAGTTGAACAGAGAAAAATTCTAAAATATTTGTTATAAAATGTCCTTTTTCTAAAATAATTTCTTTTAAATTTTTAAAGTCATTCTTGTTTATTTCTTCAATACAGAGAATGAGAAGTGGAGATTTATCTCCAGAAGGACCACCCTTGTACTTAAATACGCTTACTTTGTATTCTCTCTCTAAATCTTTATTGATGATAGTGCAATTGAGATAATCGACGTCAATACTTTTCGAAGGAGTCTCATCCAAAAAATTGTAGTAATTACCTATATTTTCCATGCTTAATGGATGATTATTAGGAAACATATCAGCATCGTTTCCTTTATTTGTAGTTAATTCATCTACAGAATATGTTTTTGGTCTCTTTGGTTTTAAGCAGCTCATTTTTCGCCAAGCAGATTTGCAAATGTTAATTATTATTTACAAATAATAATTATTTCTCCTGAGACTTTAACCTCTAAATTTTAATTCACCTATACCACCACCTCCTCCAATTCTCCCATCAAACTTGCCTCCTGGATCGGCATTACATTAAAAACCTGAGTATATTGAATTATTTTACATTAATCGCTTATTTGCTGCTTATGCTGCTGCAACTTACATTGCCTACATAACTTCGTTTTTCGGAGATTCAATTTGTGTTTAACTTTTTTTCACTCCACTACTACGTAATTAATTATATGAGGTATTTTCTTATTTCATCTTTGAATGATGTGCTAGTAAATACTCTCTTAGATTGTTTAAGTTTTTCTTGAAAGGTAGATTTTCGAAAATACGCGAGTTGAAAACACATTTGCCAATGTTCAGTTTTGCTTTATTGAGAAATTCACCAAAATTTTTTGGTTTTATATTGAACAGTGTCTAAGCTGTTTTATTGCATGAGAAAAGAGCTAGTTGATTATTATTATTCAATTAAGAGACAATAAATGCCTGGTTGACAATATGCTTTGAAGTATTTCTCCAAACCATATCATCCATTTATTTAATGAAATTTTCGCGGTCAACACGTTCATTTTTATAGTCAAAGTAAATCATCATACATCCTGATAACATAAAAAAGATAATTTGAAGAATTCTAGGGCTGCGCTGATCTTATTCTAAGGAAGAATTTTCCTCTTCCTTCTCGTATTCATTAGAATAATAAATATTAAAAACTATTAATGTTAACGCGCGGTTAAAAATTATGAGGAGTGTGTTGAGTAAAAAACTCGAAGTACGTAGGCATCATATCAGCATTAATATTAAAAACTCGCCCATTGCGAAGGCATGAGCGAAAATAGGACGGACTACATGATTTACTGCCAGTAGTTAGGTAATCACACTATGATTTATGCTCAAAAATATGATCAATTTATTTGTATGCATTGGCTTTCTAAATGTTAAATAAATAAATATCGAGCACAGTAACAGTTAAAATAGTATGAGACCAAACTAAACTGCATGCACTCCTTGAGTGTAATTTTCATCTAATGAGTAATATGAGATAGCCAACACGCTTATCATAATTAAATAAATAATGCTGTTAGATCTAAAATGTTTGTATGTTTTTTAAAGATGATATTAATCTTCGCTATACTACTCCTCGAATTGCAGGAGTTTTGAAAGACCCACCTGCTTACTAATCATTTTAAATACTATTCAAATTGCTGATGAATCAGATTCTCTCTTGTTTGTTTGTCTGCTTGCTTATTTTTCTTTTTTATTTTGTTCAAAGATGATATTTTTGTTCTTTCAAAATTGCTAATTCTGATATTAACAGACAGACTTTCCCTAGTTAATTTTTAAAACACTAATGCTATTCTTTTTTTACACTAAATAACTCAAAATTATAAATCAGGAATATTCTGTCGCCCTAAGAGCCAGAGCGATTACTGAACTTAATAGAATGTTATTAAAAATATAAAAATGAGTTTTTTATTTGCTTGTCCTTTGAAAATAAAGCAGGTATTTATGAACTTGATCGAGAAATTAGCTACTATTTTATCTTTGAAAAAAATGTATATTAATTAATCTTATTCCTTAATTACCAATAACTTACTTAAGTTAAAACTATGGTGTTGTCTATTTGTTTTTTTAAAGTAGCTCTATAAATTAATCTACGAATATGCTTGCTATTTGATTTATCTATCAGTAAAGTCTAAGTATTCCCTCTGATTGATTGGTAGCTTAACTATATTTTTTTTGCTGATAACTTTTAATAAAGAAGGTTTTGCTTTGATTTTTTACCTTGCTTTTCTATCTGTTTTACCAATTATAAGAATATAATCTATTAATTGTTTTTAATAATCTTATTTGTTCAATAACCAAACTCTCAAATGTGCTTTTCTTTTAATCAATTTTTTTTGTTTTCGACTGTCTTCATTTACTGTTCTTTATTCACCTTGATCTTCTTTATCTCTATATTCCATATTGAATCTGATTCAAGACCATCCTTAATATTATCTTGTTTTTTTATAATTTTTCCATTCTTTTTTTCAGTCAACTTCAATAAATTAATAGTCAAATATCTACAAACATATGACTATATTTCACTCATTATAATATAATGATTTTTCCTATATATTTGTTAAATTTCTAGTCAATACATTGCAGTCGCACTATTTGAAAACAACTTGATTTATCTATCAATTAATCAATCAATTTTTTTTTATGAATAACTTTTTAAAAATACATTTGATTGATAAATAAATAAAAAATAAATACATTTATTCTTTCGCTTTAGAAAATATTCTTACTGTAATAATGTATTTAAAGTAACCCAAATTTAGAGTATTGAAATATTTTAAAAAATTAATGAAATTTAATTAAATAAAATAAAATTAAATACATGGATTCAATTAATTATTTATATTTTAATATTAAATAAAAAAGCTATTTTAAAATAAATAATAATTCAATTATAAAAATCTCAATTCAAATGATAATTATTTTAAAAGCTTTTGATATTAAATAAGATTCTTTAATTAGTTTTGACTATTTAAAAAAAAAAAAAAAAACAAATCAAAAAAATAAGTGATTGAAATTATTAAGCAGCTCAACAACTTACATTAGCTATTTTTATCCTAACAATAATTTAAAACAATAACTCATCATAATATTTTTCTTTTAGAATATTTCTTTAGAGAATTACAAATTTTTCATGAAAGTTAAGCAAATTGGTTAAGCTTAATTTAGCTCAATGTTTTGGGATAAATAAATACTACTTAGTATTTTTTAGAGAACCAGATAAATAAATTAGTAATTTTTTTCCTTCATTTACACATTTACAAATATCGAATGAAAATATGAAAAATTTAAAAAAGTGTTTCATTTTTAATTGAAATTTTCATTTAAACTTTAAAAAAAAAGGTTTATTTGATGTAAAATCTTTAACTTTACTACACAATAATTATTATTAATCAATAGATTTATTAACATGAAAAGAATTTGAAAATTTTACAACAAAAATCAGATCTATCTATCACTATTTTCTTTATTTGACAAATTTAATTAAATTTTTATTTTAAAGCTAAATTAATTTGTGATCTTAATAAAATAAAGAATACTAAAACATCCTTTTCATTATTAATAATCTTTTTGTAGTGACTCCATCTTTTTCATATACTAATTTAGTACTACTCACTTATCATAATCACAGTAAATGGAAGCAAAAATAAGTTTATACATGTTTTTATTTTCAATCAAATTTATATAAAACCAAGAACAATTTTTTAGTTAAAACAAATATATTTCTTAAATAGAATATTTATAAATATATGCACTTATAAAATTACTTTTTGAGTTTACATTAAAAAAAGAAGTTATCAATAAATGATTGTTTCTCTTTTGATAATACAGATGATAAGTTTAGAATTAAAAATTCTTTAAATATTTTAATTACATTTGAAATTTCTCAAAAACTTAATCTTAAATATATGGAAATCATTTATTATTTTAAATTAGGGGTTGGCTCGAGTGTATGATTTGAGTTGAGTTTAGAAAATAGGGTTGTATTAAATTTTTTTTGGAAAGTTGAAATTTTAAATTACTGATATAATTTTAGTTTAAAATTTTTGAAGATTTAACTCTAATCTACTTGACAATAGCATACATTATCAATATCTCTGATCTGTAAATTTATATTTTTGTGAATTCTGAAGAGGAGAAATTTTTAATTTTTAACAGAAAAAAGATTTAGTTCCTAATTTTAACAAGCATATTCAATTAAAAATAGAATTTTATATTATATTAGATTATAAATTTACATTATTTTTTTCAATAAGTATTAAATTAATATTTATTATTACTCAAATTTCAATTAACAATTATTAAATTCAAATATTTTAAGCCATGAGGTAAGAAAAATATCTTTTTTTAAAGGAAAAAATTTTTATTTTTTTATTCAGCTATAAAAATATTTTCACAATGAGTCAAAATTTATTATCCTATCCTACTTTTTTTTTTGTAATTTATGAATTGAACTTTTTTATATTATGTTTTTGTTAAATGTTTAACTTAACATTAAATCAAAATTATTTTTGTTTTACTTATGATTATTTTGAGTTTAGATAAAATAAATTATTTGGGAATGCTAATTTGTTTTGTTGAATTAAATTAATTAGTTTTATACACATACATTTAATAAAATAAATTTGATTTTACATTAAATTAATTTTTCATTAGTCTTAGTTTTTTTTATATCTAGGAACAACTTTTTTAAATTTTATTTTATTTTTTTTATCACTTTCTTGACTATTTAAGTTTTAATCTTAATCTTGAGCTCTATCTGTAATAACCCTTTATGTTTCTTCTTAATCATTTATAAATAATGTCTTTTTGTTGATTAGTTCTATTACTTATTTTAGCAGATCTTTTTAATCATCATCATATACTTTATCAATATAATGCTCAGGTTTTATTTTTTCTTCATGTCTCTTTATTTCTTCTTGAAGTAATTAGGATTCTTTCTCTAACTCTTCTTATGATTTTTATGGTTAATCGTCTTCTATTATTGTCTATGAATTATCATTGTCTTATTATTATTTATTTTTGTTTGAGAACAAACTAAAGAATGAATCAGACTCAGTTTACTGTTAAATGTATTCTTTGTCTTCACCAAGACCAAAGATTAATTAATCAGAAATACAATTTTTGATTTTTTTAACCTCGCTGTTGTTCACAAACTTAACGTTGGGAGAAATACTTTCAAATGAAAGCAAATCTGTGTATTGATCTATATATGAAATATATTAATCTATATTAATACGATTCTTTCCTTTTATAGTTAATTCTCTAACACAGCCATTATCAATGACTTCGTGGAGTACTTCAAGTAAAGCTATTTTTTCTAAGTATTCCCTCTAATTTTTACCAAACTCTCTTTTTAACTCATCCTTATACTTATAGAAATCATATCCATCAAAATCTGCATTTTAGTCATCATTTTCCATTATTATTTTGACTGTTTCATAAAGTTAAAAGCTTCCACATGCCACTAAAACCTGATTGTATTTCTTGTTTTCTAACAAACTTTAATATACTCTATCTCCAAAATACCTCACTTTTTGACTCAAAGGAAGAAACTTTGGGTCTCCACTTAATATTTCAAGATAGGCATCAGGGACCTTCTTGATATTTTTATTTTATTCTGAATAATAAACATCTTTGTTGCATGTAGGACATCCTTATTTAAACAATGTGTTGTGTGAAAAACTAGTTTTTTCCATCAAAGTAACAAAATTGCACAAACGAACTGTCTCTTTTAAACGATTTAAGGGTTATAAAATAACTAAGCTGTTGATGTATTCATTTATTGGCATATCAGCTAGAACAATTTTAGAAGGTAATTCTTTAGTAGAATTAGCCTACTTGATAAAATCAATGTATAGAGAATTCAAATGCTCATATATCTTCATTTTTCTATGTCTAAACTAGCTTTATTCAAAATCATACACATAAGATTCATCACAAAAACAATTTAATAAAAATTATCTTAATTATAATCCTTTAAGTTCATAAACATCTTTTGTTGTCTTATACCTTTAACATTAAAATAAATTAGCATTTTAATGAAAATAAAAAATATTTTACATTTAATTTATTTCATCAATATAGTATTCATCATTTAATTATTAAGTATTTTTGGCATCTGAATCGGTTATGGGTTGGTCTTAAGTAATCAGCAAATTAATCTATCCTTTCTTTTCTTTGAATATTTGCTTAAATGTGTCATACGAATTGTAAGGATAGTTATCTACTCCTTAGATAATTACCTCTTGGTTATTTTTTTCATCAAACAAAACAAACTAATTCTTATCTACCTCAAATTTAATAATCTTATAGTTTTTAGATTACTGCTTCAAGTTCATTTTCTCAAATACTTCTTTCTATAATTCTGCATTGGTTATATTCAAATATTTCTAAATATTCCCTTTAAGTTTTGGAGATTATTAAAGCAAGCTTTTAATATTACTGTCTTGGCTTCCTAGTATTTATTTTTCTATATTCTAAATTTAATTGTATTTGAGAAGGAAGAATTTTTCGCTAATCTCTTCTAAAAGCTTAAGTCCTATTCTTCTATACTTTGGATTCTCCATCAATTATATGATATCTATTAAAATTTATTTTTTTAATTTTCAATGTAGAAAGAATACTACAAATAAGCAATAATTCTACCTGAACAGAATTTTTCCATCTAAGTTGATTCTTAGATTTATAAATGCAAATTATTATCTTTTATTTCCTTTACAACTTCTTCTATGATAGGGTGATCCATAAGACCAATATTTAGTAAGTTGTTTAGTGAGTTAAGCAAATAATTGTAATCTTTTCCTTTAAATGACTTTTAAATGATATCAATGTTTTTTTTCATAGTCATAACTAGCTCTTCATAATTATCTCTAGCTTTTTGGCACCCATAAAGCTTATTCTTAGAAGAGAAAAAAAGCTTCTGCTTAGTAAAAACTTGTTGATTTCTACCATATATCTTTAAAAATTGTGCACCTTTTTGTGCAATACTTTTTAATGCAAACATTTATCTATTTGGTATAAACTTAAAAGTGTTATTTTTTTTATTTTTTTAAAGAATCTTCTTAAATAAATTTAACAACCAAATTTAAATCTTTACATATTTCAATGAATAACAAAATTTTTATTAAATACTCTAAAATCTTCTATTTATTTTCCAAATATTTCTAGAAAATAAACACCATAAAAAAAATGATCAGCCAAAACAATGGCATCTTTTTTTTTTAAGGCTTCATTAATATCTAAAATTGAATGTCAAAATCTAAAATTCAGTTCAGCAACTAACCAATGTCTAAATTAAGAAAAATTAAGTGAAAAATTTATTAGTATCTTTATTAATAATAATAAAATTATTAAAAAATATAAATAAATATTAAAACCTACTCATAATTTATAATAAAGAAAATAAATGAAATAATAACATATAACAATACAAATACTACTTAAAATATAAATAAAATAAGAAATAATAAAAATATAAATTTAAATTTTATATAAATTATTTTAATTAAGTATATGCTTAAGTAATCATGTTTATTAAATTAAAAAGGAAAAGAGATCTCAAAGATATTTAAGGAACAAAAAGACATAAAAAATTGAATTATAAATATATAAATCTAATTATACAATATGAATACCATGTATACATAAACACAATAGAATACTCTCTGAATAAAGAACAAGTATTCAATCAATAACATTAAGAAAATTATAAAAAATAAATATGCTCGTTAGCAGTAAATCAGCTTAGAATATAACAATCTTTTTTAAAAATTATTTTTTTTGTCTACTATGATTTGCTATTTTTCATTAATTTTGAATTTTGCTAATATTTTCTTATAGCTTTTGGAATTACTGAGAAACTGACTGAAATTTACAAGCATATTTTTTCAATTTTCTTGTTATTTATCTTCTGCTGAAATTTTATTGTTGAGGAGTAAAACAAGTACCTATTCTATTAAAAGATGATAGAGGACGCTGCTTTATCTTATCAACTTAGTTATTTTATGCAACAAAGCTTTCTTAATCAATAGTTTATGAAAATTTTTCACATTTATTAGTTGTTTAATTAGGAGATTTTTTAAATTTTAAATCCTAACTCTTGCATTTATAAAGTGAGTTTACATCTGATTATTATTATCCTTCCTTTCTTATTCTTTAGATATAATTCATATATTCCTAGTATATCATGTCATCTGTGCTGTAAACTTGCTTTACCTTCTCCTCTATTGTATAAAATTAAAATTATGATTTAATAATATAAAATACTATTTATTAGTTAAATAGTTAGTTAGTTAGTTACCTAGGTAGTTGATTTCTGTTTCTTTACATTTTTTGTCTATGTATTAAAATAAGTTTGAGCTCTTACTCAGGATTTTCGCATCCTAGCTATATTTTTATTACACAGAAGATATTGGTTTAGATTTTGAGTGAGAAGAGGTATGAAGCTCGAATTGTTTCGGTTTCAAGAGCTAAATGCTATTCAACTCACTTTAATCATAAGAATTTTAAGCCTAAAAAATAAAAGACTAATTTCTGCATGTTTAACTTTGACATCTAGAGACAGATGTTTATGGACGTTAAACATGTTCATTTATATATTAAAATTTATATATGTTTTGAGATGGCTAAGTTTATCTTTTTTTGATTGGTGTTCCACACCTTGTAGATTAAATTGTATGTTGAGCCTTATTGAAATATATGTTCTAAAAATCTTTATTCATATTTAACTAATGAGTAGGCGTTTAAATAAGTGAAATAGGAATTTTAAATTTTCTTTTGTTACTCCAATTTTATTCTACTTGCTTGCTAAAAGCATCAACACTACTGCTAATCTCGTCTGTATTTATGTTTTGATTGTAAAATAATTCTGAATCTTAAATAGTTTAAGTATCAGCATTGAATTAATCTCCTTTGCTATTCTCAATATAATTATTAATAATCGTAACTGAGTTTCCTCTTTAAATTTGATTTGAAAACCCATCGTTCTCATTATGCTAAATATGTTCATGATGATCAAAATCTTCTTACTTAATTTAAAGATTCTCATTTTTAAGAGGAGTTAAATTTTGGTTAAGCTTTAATTCTTACTTTAATTATGTTAAATTTTAGCTATTCTATTTTTCTAATTGAGCAATGTTGATAGTGTTTGATATTAATTAATTAGAAAATGGGTTGCTTATAATTTCTTTGGGCTTGTTTCTACCAGATTCCATAAATACAGAATTATCAAAACTCTGTAGACCTCCTCTTTAAGATTTTTAAAATATATTTTGGTCAATTTCTAAAGACTAATTTTAGCAATCTTTGGTGCTGCAACTAATAGGTGTATTTTCAAAGTTTTGATACAAATTTGAAGGCAATTACTAATTATAATATTCCATGCTTTTCTTAGATTTTTCAAATACCTTATCAGGCTATGTATTTACTCTTATACCATTTTCTTCTTCCTTTGACATTTCATAGTAATTACCACTATTGGGATAAGTTATTAGAGATTTAGTTTAGTTACGAAGACTCAAATTTTAATTATCCTACCCACTAAATAAGCTATTATGTTAACTTTGAACTCTGCTATTAAGTGGTTGCATATTAATTGATTCTTTAGTATTGCTCCTTGAAGTATTTTAAGCAATATTATTAGGAGCAGATACTAATATTAGTGTGCGAGTACTTATAGAGGTCTATTTTTATCTAAAAAAGTCTTACATTTATTATTTCTAATTTAGACATGTATTCTATGAGTTAATTCTACTTGAGTATTATTTAACATACATATTATTTTATGGTGTTTAAGAATAAAATTTTCCATGTATCTACTCATTCTTTCTATTAAGTACCTTTTTGCTATTTAAAATAGGATTATTATTAGCATTCTATCCTATACTATTTTAGCTTTCTAGGCAAAGTTTGCAGCTCTCATCAGCACTAAAACTTTAATATGTGTCTTCTTTTAAAGTAGACTTTTCTTTAGATTCTAGTTTTTTCTGCCTTTCTTTGTTCACTCTATTAAATTCCTGCTAAATAAGCCAACCTTAATCTTAAGCAATCATATTATCTTAGACTGAAATAGTGCTTTGAGTTCTTTTAACTTATTAATCTATTTCTTTTAAGTAAAAATTAATATTTAAACAATCATCTTGATTACTAATATTTACATTAATCGATGCTTTATTGAGTTGACCTAATCATTTTAGAGTTAAGTTTAGTCCCAACTAATTAAAAATTCTATTTCAGTTAATATTTATACTCATACTTAAGCGGTTAACTCTGTTCTTAAATTAATTTAGATAGTTCCTTTACTTAAGATTGCATTTAAATTTTGAGAGTGATATTTAAATGAAGGTTAAATTAATTAATATATTTAATTATTATCACATAAAACCAATAGACTTATAAGTTATTTATTAAAAAACTAAAAAAAGCCTATAATCTACTTATCAATCTATATAACTATTTTTATTAATATTACAGAGTTATAATTTCTTTTCTTATACATTTATTGTTTTTATTTGAGAAAAATAGATAAGTTGATATTTTATAACACATGAAAACTCAGTATTAAAAAATTATTTTGTGCTATAAATTAGCAACATATTCTCATAGCAAGTTTTTTCGTACATTCAAATTGGAATAATAGCTTTTATATTATATTTAATCATTGTTTGTTATTTAATTACTTTGTCTTGATTTTTATTAAATTATTTTTACTCAAAATCGATTCATGATTCCAGTAGAAGAGAAATTCTTACTTATTAGAACTCTATTTTAATTTATTTCAATGCATTGTTCACATAAAATATTTTAAATTTATTTTTTAACATTTTAAAAAGATTTAATGTTGAATTTTTCAAAATATTTTATTTTAAGCTAAATATTTTTTTAGGCATCAAGGCGTTTGTTTTCATTTCTAAATAGATATTCATAAAAAATTTATAAATTGAATAATTTTCTAATGATGTAATTCATTAGAAACTGAGTTAAAGACCTTTATATTTTCATATGCATAAATTCATTATGTTAATTAATTGTTTTTATTTTTATAAATTTTTATTATTTTTAAGGTTAATTAAAATTTTTATTTTCCAATTATAAAATTTGTTTTATTAGCATCAAAAGACATAAGAAAAAACCAAATTACAAATTAAAAAAATACATGTTTAATTTTTTTGTTGAAGCTTAATTTTTAACTTTAAAGTAGTTTTTGTTATTTTCATAAAAAATTTAAAATTAATTTAAATAAAAAATTGAAATGTTAAATTTAAAGTAATTTTAGAAATACACAATTAAAAAAAATCAACTCATAATTTCACAAGATGAGGAGTTACATATTACAATTAATTTTAGTTATTTTTTTTAGTATTTTACAAAAAATTTTGTTTGTTTTATATTTTTGAAATTGAGTTTTAATTATATCTAATTTGTTAATATCTCATTTGACTTCCATAGAATATACTATTGATGGGTTACTCTCCTTAATCTAAAGAAGTATATTTTTATAATTTTTATGGAAAATTTATCTGAATTGAACTTGAGTGTTGCTAATTTTAATTATGAGTTTATTAAGATAAAATTAATGAATTATTTAATGAGTTGTTGTTAATTTTATTGGCTGATTATTTTCTTTTCTTATTTTAGTTTAAATTCATTATGCCATCATCAAAATCATGCGTTTCAAAATCTTATGAATTGGTAAATAAGGCGCTATTATAATTTTCAAAAGCTACACTATTTCTTTAAGATAACACTGTGCTGTGTTTTATCTAATTATTTCTTTTTAAGTTGGTGATTTTTTTTGTTAATGGAGATTCGGTCCTTTGTTTTTCAGGTGAAATAGAAGTATGAATTCTTGAAACAGGTCTGTTTTAGCTTTCTTAAATCTAAATGTCCTATGATGCTTATTAGATTTATTTTGAAGGATTAAATCTATTTTAAATTTTAATAGTCTTTAAATACTCTTCTATAAATATTTCGCTCTCTTTTTATTTACTCATGTCTGGTTATGACATCCTTTTAAACCTATCATAATACATTTTATTTTGCTACTTTTCTTCACTTAGTTATTGAGATTATTTCAATTAGCTATCATTTTTTTAGATATATTCCTAACTCAAACATTAGATACCTTATAGGTCTATAAAGGAAGATTTTTAAACTTATGCTTATGCTTTCTTTAAATGATTTTTTATGAAATAATTATATGGCTTCTTTTGAGGAGACCACTCATTTTATTTGCATGGATACTTATCAAATAACTATCTTGTCTTACAGGTCATATTATTAAAATTATTTGCTAAAATACTATTCTCGAAATTAGGCATGATAAGTTATTCTATTTCACCTGCTCTTTCATCATGCTATGACGTCTAACAACGCTAATTACCTTTTTGAAACGTCCCAAGCAAATTGTTTTCAAATATCATGTTTACAGATTCTGCTCGCACTCTACTTTGACAAGTATTTAATCTATTTTAAGCTAAAGCATTTAAAATCTAATTTTTATGATTTGTTTGATTTTTCTTTCTAATAATAACCTGTTTCCTTTACTATTAAGAGGCCTCTTAATCCCTTTTTTGGCAATAATTAATTCCAACATCAAAAAATATATGTTAATTTTATAAAGCATTAATATTTTTGCCATTTTATTCTAATAATGAACTGTTTTATAGCTCTTTTTAATATAAATATCCTGTTTTTTAAAGTGAATCATTATTAGAAGGAATAGAACATGGAGTTTTGCTTCTAATTGAATATTCTTCTGTTTTTTATCTCGCTTTTGGACTGTTGTAAAATTATTGATTCAAGTGCAGCGAATCATCATTTCTATCGTTTTGTTGCATCTTGTAATATTCTACTAATTCCTAGGCCAGTTCACTACTCTTTATAACACTCTTCGCATCAATTTATTTTTTTTAATTGATCTTTTTAATGTGTATGACAGTATCCATTTAGTTCAAAGGTGAAGGATTTGTCAAACTTTTTTTAATTTCTTCAAATAATACTTTTTTCATTTATATTATTTAAATAATCTATCTTTAGTGTTTAATTATATGTATTATTTTGTAAACTATATCTTCAAAAATTAATAATCATAGATTTAAGCATTTGCAAAAATTAAAAAATCTACAGTGATAAATTGAAATACTCTCTTTTATTAAAATCCATTGATTTTATTAGTAAACTGGATGGTCCTCAAATAATAGGATTACTTATTATTACCTTAAATATCTTCTTCACAAATAATTAGCTACCAATCATTCTATTCTTCATTAAAATATACATTTATTTGTAAACAAATTAAAAAAATGTATTTATCGAATAAAAAATACAAATCATTTTTCTTTTATAAAATCTACTTTTATCAATAATTAAACCTTAGCAAAAAACTTTATATAAAGTCAATTATTATTTAAATATTCAAAGGCTTAGATTTTATTTTTTAAAAACAAAGAAAACATATTGTGAATTCAATTCTAATTAGTAAATCCAATAGTCAAAAGTGTTTTTTCTAAAAAAACATAATAAGAACAGCAATAAAAGTGTATTTAAGATTAGATAATTTAACTTAGAAATAATAAAATGTAAGAATTTTTTTTTATTTATTCGCCTTTAATATTTCTTTGAATATTAATTAATTATTATAAAAATTAAGCTAATATTAAAATGGTCTTATTATAACTTTGCCTTTATTAATAAAAAAATGCAAAGAATTTTCTTTTATTTTGTATTCTAGAAATTTTAAATTTTTTAACAATAAACTTTTTATATTGAAACCAAAATATTTTATTTATTTCAAAAAAATAATTATTTTAATATAAAAATAAATAGCTAATTTAGTAGAAATGATCAATGAAATTTATATTAATAAAGAAATTAATTATTTTTGTTGAGTTTATATCATTATACAAAGAAATATTTAAGCGATAATTTTAATATAGAAAATTTTATTCAAAAAAATAAAAATAAACAACCTATTAAAATACGATTTTCATTAGCTTTTCTATATTATTTTTAGATGTAGCTATTGTTGTTATCAGAAATAGTCAAATGATTTAAGTTTTAAATTCAATTTTATAAAGATATTAAACATAACACTAAAAAATAAAATTTGTGACAATAAAAATAAAATAATATAATAAATGGATCAGAATAAATAATAGACTTAGGATGAAAATTTGTGTCTAGTATGTTTTATAAGAGAAGCTGATCCTAGCATAATATCTGATTTAAAAATATGTAAAGAATGCTTCTAGGTAACAAGCAAGATGATGAACGAATTCAAGTAAAGCAGATTTATGTAGGGTAAAAAGTATGTAGAAATAAGTGAAATTATAAAAGATAAGCTTTATTTAGGAAATGAAGACGCTGCAACTAGCAAAAAAGATTTATAGGAGAGAGGAATTACTCATATTTTAGTCGCAGGTAGCTAACTTGATTAATACTTTAAATAAGATTATACATATCTTTAATTAGAGCTCGCTGACAGTATCAATGAGAATATATCCAAATTTTTTAAAGTTTCAAATTAATTTATAGAAAATGGTAATGTTGTATATGTCCATTGTGCAGCAGGAGTTTCTAGAAGTGCCACGCTCGTTATTGCATATTTGATGTAAAAAAATAAATGGACTTTTGATTAAGCTTTTGAGTTTGTAAAAAGTAAAAGACAAGTTATTTGTCCTAATTCATCCTTTAGATCTTAACTAAAAGAATATGAAAATATTATTTTACAATCTAATTAATAAGAAAACGCATAAATTGTATGAATATACAAATAATTAATTATTAATAAATATCTAGCTTTAAAAAATAAATTTAGAAATAAAAAATAAAGAATTTTTTAAAAATTAATTTTATACAAGATGAAGGTTAAGAAAAACTTTAGTTTATCTTATTATATAAATTTCCTTTTTCTTCTAATTCAATTTTGCTTTTATTTATGCTAGGATAGAGTACTCAAAAATGATAAAAAAATTTATTTTAATAATATTTGTATTTTTTGTAATCAATAATTATTTTGTGCATATGAGTAAAAGAAAAATATTTATCATTAATAAAGAAATAAATCACAAAAAGTTAAATATTTTTAGTATGATTTACCTTAAAATATGTTGGAAAAAAAGTAAATAATTTAAAAAATAGAGAAATTAATTTTTAGTGACTATGAAATTAAGAAAGAAGTAAACTATATATATACAACATAGTAAGAAATTATAAACAAACAAAACTTTTAAATTTCACAAATATTTTAGAAATTTTCCAAATGTTAATTTCAAACTTAAAATTTAAACAGTTAAACATTCAATATGAATTTTTTAATTTTCATTCATTTATCATAAGATTAAGTAAAAGCTATTATTTCAAAATCTTACTAATGTTTTATTAGTTAAAACAGATAATATAAACCTCAGTTTTCTTCTTAGTAATTTTATAAATAAATCTGTTACTGAATCAAATGCTTTATGTTGTTTGTTTTCGTTTATTTTTTGTAGTATTTTTATAGAACTCACTAAATAAAATTGATTTCAAAAATTATTTAGGTTAATTTCAAATAAAATACTAAAAATATTTAAAATCAAAAAAGAATAAGTTAAATTAACTTTAACTTTAATCCTTCTAAAAATATTTAGCAGTAATGTTGGTAAATAGTTAGTTAAAAATTTACATTTTTTTTGTTTATTTGTAATTTTGCAAAAAATCTATAAATTAATTGAAAATTGTTGTAAAAAAATTTGTATTGAAAAGTATCAAAAAAAGATATTTTAAATTTTTAAGGAGAGATGCTCAATACTGGTTTAAATAATCTGTAGGATCCTAACAAAATATAAGATTAGTTCATTTTAAATTGCAATATAGTTAAATTCTAGTTTACTGATGGATAAATATTTTAGATAAAGAGATCTTACGTTTGTATAGAGGCACTTAAAGATGCTGATGAAGGAAATTATGAAATTATAAATCTTGTAGAGATAATAAAAAAATAGCTATTTCAACACTATAACTATGAAACAGTTAAATATAGAGGGAGGAATACATTCAGCTTAAACTTTTTAGCAAAAGAAAAAGAGACGAGAGTCATTCACCAAATAGCTTACATAGCTCTTAAAAGTGATAACCCATAAACTACTTAAAAATTAGATTCTACTTTAAATAAATTAATAAAGATGGATCATCCAAATGTGTAAAAGATTATCAAATATAGTAGATTAGAAAATTCTTATATTGTATTTATGGAGGAATGTATTGGATCCATGCAAGATCTACTTATTTAGCAATAAAATAATATGAATTAGAATACTTTTTTAAAGTATGCGGGAGAATATGTAAATGGATTAGAGTATTTAGTAGATAAAATTTAAATTTCTAGTCAGGTCTGTTAGTTGAATAGTTTAATGATTTCCTTTAATCATTTAGCAATCGTTCCCATTTTAATAGCAGGAGCCTGCGAAATTATGAAAGAAGGAGGAGTGTATTAAATTTAAGAGTTAATATATAGTATAAATCAATAAATTTATCAAGTTAATTCAATGTAAAAGTAAAACCCAAATAGTGTTGTAGAATTATATGCCAATCATGGGATACTTGTTCTGCTTTTAATTAATATTTTAATACCAAACATCAAAAATTCAGCTGAAAAAAACTATGTGACAAAGAATAGACAAGAGATATTATAAAAAATGGTTTACTTTGAAAATAGGGAATAAATTTTGAATATCATTATAGATTTAGAGTCTTACTTTGACTCTAATTTGACTAAATAACCTCTGCAGAGTTTTAATGTATCAATTAATCATCTTAAAAGAGGAGTTAAGTGGTTTATAAGACCACAAGATTTATCTATAAATGGAATAGAGCAGCAAACATTGGCTGCAAATTTCATAAATTATGACTTTGCATAGGTTTCTATGAATAAATATGTTCCTATTTTGGATGAGGATCTAATCAATCATTATTTTCTTTTGTATTAGCAATAACTTTACTAACTAAAAAGAAAAAACCCACAGCTTTATAATTCTGAAAATTATAATAATTCTTAGTTAAGTATTTCTCAATTTAAAGAGTAAACATCTCCATCGAAGGCAGCAATTAATGATATTTCTAGTGGCTACAACTCTTAAATTAGAATAGAAAAAGAAATTTAGTAAAATTACTTACAAAATATTTAAATTTTAGAAGATTTTATATGCGACAATATTGAAGACTTTGATTTGGAAGATTAAATTAAATTAGAGGATCTAAAAGCTATTCTAGATTCTCTTTGCAGCAATAACAATAATATAAAACCAGGCTTTTAAACTTCAAATAGGTTTGACAATTAAATTTTTTAAGAAATAATGGAAAAAATAAATTATAAATCTCCGCGACTAACACTTTAAATATTTTTGGAGGCATATCTTGAGTATGAAAAAGACTTAATTAACTAATTCTAAAATTTAGGCTATGTAGATTAATTTGATGTTTCTTTAAACTCAAAATTAGCCAGTCCTACATTTAACGACCGAAATAACTAATTTATAGAAATGGAAAGTCCATACAAAGAGCGATTTCGTAAAGACTCAGTTTTTACAAAAGATGAAGAATTGCAAACATAAGGAAACATTAGAGATATAAAAGAAAAAATGTAGCTTTTACATTAACCTTTTCAGCCGCTACTAAATCCTCCTTAAAAGCTTGAAGAAATCAAAGTTAACAAGTTAATGCAAGAAATTACAAAATTGCAAAAAGATATCGATTTCAAAGTTGAAGTTAAAGAAGAATAAATATTTAAATTACTGGATTCACTCTGTTATAATAACTTAAAGCAAGCAAAGATTGATTATGATAAAAAGCCATTTTTCAAAATTATAGAAAATGTATTTAAAAGAAATTAGGTTCTAAATTATAGTAATTTTTTAATTGTTTACCTTGAAGTTTGCCACGAATTATAATCCAAGCTCACAAATCTGGTAGTTTAAAACTGTGACATAAAATCACTTGACTAAGACTAGTTAAAAAATTTAGTAACTTTCAATAATGTTAAACATTTTTTAGATAGTATCCATGAGCTAAACTACTTAGAGTTTAATCACGATTTAAAATAACTCAAAATTCCTTTTAGAAGGATTTTCCAAAAAATAAAAAGATCAACAAATGTAAATAATATTCAAAAAAAACAATAAAATTAATAAAAGGAAATACTGCCTAACTTTGGTGACATATATTACCAATCTTAGCTTTAAAATTAACAACCTTTAATATAGCATTCTTATACTTGCTCAATTATATTTTCAGTTGGTATACTCCTAGGATTTTTATTACTTGTATTTTTATTTACGTATTTTATATGGTGATGAAAAGTTAATCTTTTCAAAATTATACAGTCAAAAAATTTCAAATAAGTAAATTTTATTTGTGAACATACAATAAAGAAATAAAAATAATATATATTTATTTTTTATAAGAGAGACAGTATAAATATAAAAAAATGATTATCAATATTAATTTTATTGAAATTAAATTGGTATTTTATAATATGTTTTTTTTGAGTAATTATGAATTTGTAAAATTTACTGTAACTTTGAAATATTTATTTAATCTATTTATAATGAAGCTAATAAATTACCTGTATTGTAAATTTATTGATTAATTATTTATCAATCTATTGATTATTTATGTTTTACTATTTTATATAATTTTAATTTGACTTTTTACAAAAGTATGCACAAAGTATTTAAAATGATAAATTGAATTTATTAAGGTTATTAAATAATGATCCGCAGATAATTATTCAACTAATTTGGGGTTTCATGATTTTTATGTTAAATTAATTTGGTTTTTTCATATTTATCTTGTTTTTTTAATCATTCCAGTAAAAAGTAATTCTTTCAAAAAATACTAGAAAAAATTGGATATAATTGTAAGCTACTATAAAAAAAACTAGAATGGGATTAATATAAAATAAATGAGCTTTATTTCATGGCCATATTTATTAATTATTAGATTTTTATCTAAAAATAAACATATTTGATAAGGCGGATCAAGATTAGTTAATAGAAAGAAATCAATGTTTTGGTAAATTTTGTATACTAAAAAGTGTAATATGATGGTCAATTATGAAAAGTTAACTATATTGTTTAATTTTAAGTTTGTAATTATTTAAAAATTATGCGTTCCAATTTATGAAATTTGTTAGTCTTAAATCTAAAAAATAGAATGTGAAATAACTAGTCATTCTTTAAGTATTGGATAAATATTATTTATTTAATTTTCTCAAATTATGTATTTATTTATTTGTTTTTAGTTCTAGATGAAAACCATAATAATAATTAAGTAAATTAATTAATTAATACTTCTACTCAAAGGCCCTACATAAATATAATTATAATAAAGTTAAAAAAAATTGTAAAATGAAGCAAATTGATGACTTGAACTATGAGAATTAGTCTCCTTATCTCTCAAAGCTTAAAGCAATGGAGGCTTTGGAAGAAAGAGATTAACTCTCTTTGATGTTCAAGAGATAGGAAGAGTCTTGTAAGTTAGAAACTGATTTAGAAATACCTAGTACAGTAAAAAACTAATAAGATGATGAAAAAGAAGTCAAGTTATCAAATAAAGATATGGCTTCCAATATTACAGAATTGTAAGGTGAATAAAATGAATATAAAAATAATGTTCTAAGCCCATTCATAGAAAGAGATAATAATCGAACTATGTCTAGAGTTTCTATTATGAATAACAAAAATCTTAATAATAGTTCTTTTATAAGTAGAAATCTTATCTATGACTATAAAAAAGTAGATTCAATCAATTAAGATGGTGATTATAAAACTCCAGAAGATGGAGATATTACATAAATGCTTGAGTCATAAAATTTATATCAAGGTAGGAAGGCTAAATAATCACGTTTAGTTTAATAAAACTCGATTTAATTGATAAATAGCTAATAAGTAATAAAAAATTAAGCAGGAAATACTGGTAATGCTTAAAAGGAATTAATGAATAGGTTTTTGATGATGTATGCAAAATAGAAAAATCAGATAACAACACTAGATGTTATTGTCAAGTTGAAAATTAAGCTGCAAGGATTTTTCGAAAAATACACATATTCAGGCAGAGTAAGACAGATTAAAAAAAACCCAAAAATATGCGAAGCAATAAATGATAAAAGTGATGGTCAAATACTCTTGAAAAAATTGGGAATATTTGGAAAAATTGAGCTGCTTAGCAGATAAATTACGAAATGCATCTTCAAATACTCAGGAAAATTTAAAATACTGAGTAAAATACTCTCATTTTTCCTTAACATGTTGAAAAAATTCATCCGATTTTCTTAAGGTAAAATATCTTCAGTAGAATTTTTTAAGCCTCACCACACACCTCTACTAATTTTTAATTTGTCTTGCATAGTTTTAAATTGCATTTTTCTATATTTTCTTTCTGTTTATGTAGTCTATTAGAACATAATGGATATTCCTAAATCTATTACTTATCATTACTTTATTCTAATGCTGGTTTTATGGATCATCGAGTTTTTTGTAAGGATAAATACTGCTGAAATATTTAGAACAAATTATGTACAAAATAGAATGCAGACATTCAGAAAGTATATTAAAGAGGGTTTTATTTCTGATTTTATGCCTATGATTGGATTACTCGTTTCTATAACTAATGAGAAAGCCCTCTTTTTTGTATTTTTGAAGTATCTAGGCTTGAGAAAAGATATCGAAAATGCTGAAAAGAAGTTATTGATGAGATTGAATAGGCATTATTATATTTAAATGATAAATTTAGCTGCTAATATATTTCTTATAGGTCATGTAATTGGAATAATGTACTACTTAACAGCAAGGATAGAGTTAGATTTTTTTGATGAGACTTATAGCTGGTTAGATACTCGTATAGCTGTTGAAGGAGATTGGTATAAGATATATCTTCAATCTCTCTACTGGGCCTTTACTCTACTTACTACAGGATCAAATGAAGTTGAGACTGGATTAGAAATGTTTTTTACTACATTTATTATGATGTTCACTGGTGCTATATTTGCTTACATATTCAACACAATAGCAAACATTATAGAAGAAATGAATCTAGTTGAGTAAGAGAAAAAGAAAGACATAAATCTTATCAATAATTACATGAGAAGGAGGAAAATATCAAGGTAAAATAAATAAATTAGATTATTAAAAAATACTAAAATTATTATCTTATTATTTGATTTATTTAGCGAAGTTTAACATAAGGCAAACGAAGATCTAGAGTTCTTTTACTAAACAAGCTATAAAAAGAAATCTGAGGAAGAGAAACAAGTTTTATCTAAGATATCATTAGAATTGACTAATAAAATGTAGCTTGAATATAATCGAGTTATTATCAACAAAATTAAGGTTTTAACAGATAATTTCAGTCCAACCACTATTGACTCAATATGCTTTAAAGTAGATGAATAATTTTATTCCCCAAATCAGATAATAATAGAATAAGACTCTCAATTTTATTAAAGTCCTTCTTTAATATTCATAGTCAACGGAAGTGGTAAATTAATAAATAAATATTTTTAATTTTTTCATTTGTAATTATTTATTTGTATCTATCTATCTATGTATGTATGTTGCATACATGCATACCAAATAGAGGATAGTAAATTAATTTTAAAAAAAAAACAAATAAATAGTTGAAATATTTGAAAAACTCAACAACTAAAATGAAGCAGCTACTACATAATTAATTTCAGGCACATAAGAAAATAAGTAAATAAAATAATTTTTTATAATCACTATTTAAGAAATCTAGGCTGATATTTTAACTATTTGTTTGTTATAAATAAAAAAGTTCAATCTCAGTTGTAAAAGAATATAAAAAAGGCGATATAATAGGAGAAGTTAACTTCTTTAATGGTTAGTCGATGAATATTTTTATGAGATCTCAGGATTTTACAACTATTTTGAAGATTGATAGGGATATTTTTCTTGACGTTTTGAAAAACAACCAGAGAGATTTTTAGAAGTTTTGTGAAATAAAAGATAAAATTCTACTTTATTCTGAATTTAAATCTCTAAATTTGAAGTGTTCAATTTGTAGAAGCAGCTAACATCTACTATAAAATTGCCCATTGTCGCATTTCAGGTCAGATAATCCATTTTTATTTGCAAAGTATAATAAAAGTGTTGATTAATAAAGAGATAAAGAGTATGAAAGAAAAATCCCACAGTAATTTAATGCTTACACAGATATGTTTATTATTTGTAGTTCAGTGAATAAGATTTTAGATTAAATATAAATAGACTCTCAGTTAGATCAAATTTATAGTTCTTTGACTAATATGACTGAAGAAGAAATTTAGGAAGAAGAAGACCAAGATCTAGAGGATGATTAAATAACTCAAACACTTACTAAGACAAAAGACAATTCGGTTGCTCTACCAAATAATAATTAAAATAATCAATCTTAGTTATCAGTTATTCCTCCTATTGAATAATCAGCTCTAATGCCTTAGCAGTCAGTATAATTATATGGGCATAGAAGCAGAAGGTAATCAAGAGAGCATTCATTTTTACCTTCTGTTGAAAAAAACTACTTAACAAACTAGTTATCAATACATAATCCTTCTAGCTCATATTAATAGTTCGAGAGTTACTAAATCTTAGCAAACAGTGATTAATAGAATAATTTCAATGGAAATCATTCTCCTATAGAAAAATAATTAAGCTAAGGATAATAAATTTAAGTAAGATTTGAAGAAAACTATAATAGAGAACCTTCAAGCACAAGTCTAAAAGAGAACAACTAAACTTAACCAATATTTTTAAGAAGAAGGCATGAACAAACAATCATCACATAAATAAAAAATTTTTTGAAGGATCCTAACTATTTCAATGTACGAGAAGAGAGCATACGTACTTAATCATAATCTAAAAATAACAGCAAATAAATTTAAAAATAACAACAAGCAGTTAATCATATTACCGATACATAATATGGTTTAAATATGGAAAAAATCAAATAGTAAAATTTCTATTGGTACTTTGATCATTAAAAAGATTTTTTACATTATTTCCCAGAAGGAAATATGTTCTTACAAATTCAAAAGTACAATAACAAAAAGAAGAAAATTAAAGATAGAAACCAACCATTGACCTCAAGAAAGGATTCCTTTTCACCAGTTAAGAAAGCAAAAAAAAGCATGAAAAGAATATATTGAAGAAAATAAAATAGCTTATTATCAACCTGAATTTAACAAAATTTAAATTTGATAATTTTATTTTTTAAAAATTACGATTAAAAGCTTTCAGCTATTTTATTATATTAAAACTTGCAATGTGCGTGTAAATAAATAATTTTGAATTATAACTTTTATATAAATAAAAAAGCATGAGTTATTTATTTACTTAATTGTAATTTTAAATTTCCTTCAAAGCTTATATATAAATTATGGATAAACTTGCTTAATTGTTTAGCTTTCTTCCAAAATAAATTATCCTTAAGTTGATTCATCTTAGCTTATTTTAGTTTTTAAGATTAATTTTCTAAAGAAATTGAAATATTGTTCATGATTTTAATATAAGAAAAATGATTAAATAAATCAGAATTTGTACTAAATTAGAAATTCATATTAGGTCTAATTATTAATAACTAGATTGTGGATAAATGAACAAATAAAATATTTCATTAATTTATTCATAGGTTTAAAATACAAAATTTAATGTTTGATGTAAATTTTATTTATATTTTTAAATAATTATCATCAAAATAGAGTAGATAGATCATTCACTTTTAGCTAGTTTTCAAATCAACTAATTTTAAATATCTTTTAACTTATTAAATTTATAGATTAATTTTTTAATGAAAAAGAAATATTTAGTTACAAATATTAATTAATAAACGATGAAAATATTTTGATAGTTTTTTCATTGATAAAATATATTTATTTATTTATTTTTTGATGTAAATTTTAATAAATTTATTTATATTTTTAAATAATTATTATCAAAATAGAAAGAGAGCACCATTTGCTTTTACCAAATTTTCAATTAGTTTCAACTAAATTTTAATATCTATTACTATTTGGTTAATCTTATTAAATATTTAAAGTGGCCATCTGAACATTAACTTAGATTTCATTTGCACTATTATTTTATTCTTCTGAATTGTTTTATTCATTTTCAGCTCCATTGATTTATTGATTATTTCTATCAGTATTTCTTTTTAATAATTCTAACATAGAATTATATAAAAATATAAATATTTTTTCTCTGCAAAATGGACACTAGTTCTTTTTCAGGGCCCATTCTTCAATACATTCTTAATGAAATACATGACGACAACATGTTACTCTTATTCTATCATTATCTTCATATTCGCCTAAACAAATTGAACAAGTATTTTAATCATTATTTCTATGTAAATTTTAATTCTATTTAAACTAAGAATATGTCATTAACGGAAGCTGTTTTTCCATCTATCTTCTTCTCATAAATTTAGTCCATCTCTTATAAACTTCACTGCTAAAATATACAATACAAAATGAGCATCCGCAGAAAAAGACTCCTCCTTTTTATATAAAAATTATTTATAATAAACTGAAAGATTTCCATTAATTATTTTTAGAATAATAATAAACTGATGCAAAAATAAAAATAAATCATTTTGCTTTAAATTCTTTTAAAATTTGGAGAAATTTAGATTAGTAAACATATTGGAGTAAACGGAGAATTTTATTTGAATAAGAAATTACCTATTAATGTATAGAATAGATAGCTAATTAATATTTAAATAAATTGATCTAAGAATGTTTAGTTTGCTTCTTTCATTGTGATTTCAAGCTCCAATTGCTGAACATTATCATTTTTAAACCAAAAATAAATGCAGTTGATTGTTTCATTATAAGGTAAGGGTACCACTTACTATTTTCTTTTGTATTATAATTTCAAGCTCTTATACTGGAATGTCTATATAAACATTCTTTGTAATTTATCTTCAGTATCAGTTTAATCACAAAAGAAGTAGTTAAAAGTTGCGGTGTTATTTAACTCAATAACAAGATTATAATAATTGTTATATGTGAACTTGTAGGATTAATATTTATAAGGCTAAATTATTGCATTCTGAGTTACATCACCAGATAATTCTTCAACAATAAATTCACAAAACATTCCTGCAAATCCCGGATTGCAAGTACATTATTGTAAAGTTAAGTTATATTCTCCTTGAGAGTTACAACCAAATTACTTTGTATGAACTTAGTATAGCCCAATATTAACATCTATGATCCAGTAATTATTATCTAGCAATGTTCCATTATTATTCAACTTAATGTTGCCAACAGGAATCTTATCAAAATCATCTAATGTTTCTGATATAAAAAAATAATTTTTAATATTAATTATAAAAAGATGTTGCTAGCGGAGTTAATCATTTATTAATAAATAGGTTGACAGACGAGAATGTAATTTGATTTTCTATATTAAATTTTAGTTTATAAAATGAATTTAATAATTTAAATTACAAATTTAAAGTGAAGTGATGTTCAAAAAGGATAAATAGTATTACGCTTCAATAAACCATTATTCGGAGTTAAAAATTATTCTATATTACCCTTAATTTGTTCTGTAGCTATAAAAATCGCAATAATCTGCTATAACTTTTGGAGCTATCATATCTTTTTATTTTACTATACTTGTTGCTGTTTTGTTACTAATACATAAAAATGGAATTTAGTATTCAGAGCTGGGAAAATGAGTCACGTTTGCATCTATAACTAATTCATAAACAGTATTTTTTATTACTGTTTATTCTACTTGTCCCCAATCTACTTGAAATCCAATAGTGTGATTTTGAGTATAAAACTTTATCTGCTGACTAACATTTTTGTTGAGTGATATCTGAAAATTATCTTCTTATCCTATTATAAATTTTATCAGTGCTAACGCCACCACTAAAATCTTAAACATTTTTTATATAGCTAGCTACTTTGTGAATAAAGTAATTTTCTAATAAATAATTGGCTTATTCTTATTTCTTTCTTTCTTTTAAATGAATTAAAAAATATGCAAAGTAATTAATTATTTTTTGATTGATTGAATATATTATTAAAGTATATATTTATTTGTATAATAAAAGCAAACATATTCTTGCTATAATAATATCAATTCATTTTTCTACTCTAATTTTTTTTCTTTTTTAATTCGTACTTGATAAATGTTTTACCAATCAATGAAAAACTCTCAAATTTAGATTTTTTTACAGGTTGCTGCAAACGTTTTGATGTAATCTACACAAATAAATAAATTAGAATTTGTTTAAACTTTTTATTTAAATCATTTGAAGTTCTATTAATTTATTTATTTAAATGTATTTTTATTAAAATGTCATGCAAGACATCAAATTTAAAACACTGATTAAAATCTTTTATAATTATTTTTTTTGCTGATTTAATTCATAAAATTTTAATAAGCAAGATTTAATTACGTATTTTAATATATCTTTGAAATGAAGGTTTTTGTTATTTTAAAATAATTAGCTATAGAGGTTAGTTTAACTTTCTGTATAAATATTTAAACTGTTTTTTATGATAATTTTTTATGATTTTTAAATTGAAAACATAATTTAATATTAGAATAAAATGGATAAAATTTTTTCCTTTATAAATATTTTATTTATTTAAAGTTAAAGTTAAAGTTAAAAAATATTTCTTAATTTTTTTGATTTTATTTATTTAAACGTAATATAAGTTTTTTAAAAAACTGATGATATTTCTGCTAAGATTCCTTATAAATATATCAAATTATAGATTTTAAATTGTATTTAATTTTAAAAGTATGAATAAGTATTCGTCAATAAATACAGACGACACTGATGTGAATCAGAGAAAACAGGAGCCAGAAAATATAACTATAATTTCTTAACAAGAAAAAAAGAAAAATGGCCCTTTTATCAACAAAATTGTTGTCATAATATTTATTTTATGCGTGATTACTATTGTTTTCACCTTCGGTTTTAGTTCAAAATATTAGGGTACCAAAAAAAATAAAGAGCATAAAAATAAATACAAATTCATGAAAGAAAACATTCAACAAAATAATAACTAAATGTAAAATGAAAATTAAACTCAATCAAAAGATTAAATGAGCAAAAATTCAGGTGATGAAAGCAACAGCTCATAGAAAAATATTTAAAATTTAGAAAATAATAATGATGCAGATAATTAGAAGAATAAAGCTTCTTCGTAATTAGATGTTAATGAAAAAAATACAAGCAAAGATGAAACTAAACAAGGGAATAAAAAGGATTTAGTTAATAACTTGCAAATAGAAGGAGAATAAGATGATGATTATGATGTAGAAGCACAAGTAAAATAAGGCAATATTAGAGGAAGTTAAAGCACATAAAAGGAAAAGGATAATCAAAAATTCATTAGCTCCAAAATAGTGAACGAAGATACCATTTTATGGGGACATTATAAGTCTCATTTAATCTATAATATCTCTTAAAGAAAGAAAAATCCTTTAAGCATGAGCATGAGCTACTTTCCAGATATGGAAATTAATTAAGTTTATACTTTGTATAATAAAAAGGCATTTGAAAATCAAGTTTTTTATGATTTTAAATACAACGATGGGACTAGGTTTTCTGAATATTTGATAAATGACTAAAGATATGACTTTAAGGTATAAAGCATATTTATTAAAGAAAAAGCAAATAAAAATAAACAAAAATGGGTAAACTAGCACACAGTCTTTAAATCAACTAATTTTTCACCTAGCAGAAAAAACAAAAGCCTAATATTTAGTATTAGTCAAGAAGTTTATGATGATAAAAATTTATGGAACGAAGGCTAATACTTCCACTTCAAATTTATCAAAAATGAAAATTCTATCACAGTTGAAGCATTTTAACTAAAAGAAAATAACAAAAGTTTAGCTGAAAATAAAGACTCAAGCAATTTCTTAGGTTCATTTGTTTTCACTGTAGAGAAAGATAACAAGTTAATTGAAGGCAGCGAGCTCCAAAATTTAATTAGTTATAGCTAATTATTTATGCCAAAGCAAGAAAATAATTGGGATGTATCAAAAGCAATCAGCGAAAATATTAAATATTAAACTAGAACACTTAACAATCATGAAACATCAGGATAGCAAATCAATAATTTTATCTTAATTTAGTTCAATTTCTAGCAAGAATTTGAATATAAAATTCATATTTCTTATGATTCATTTAAGAAAGCTAGCTAATAAAAGTTACCATCTTAATATCCATTTGATGATTCTTTACAGAAGCTTATTAAATAGTATGAAAAACAATTTTAATAGTCAATTGAATCTAAAGGAGTGAATGATAAACACAATTGCACTGTATTTGCTGTATCTAATTTACTGGGAGGAATGACATATAAATATGGAAATCTATAATATACTCAAAAGGAAGAGGAAAGAAGTAAGATTTAATAATATAATTATGATCATTTCAAAGCTATTTTTATTTTAACAAATAGAATCTCAACCTAAATCTATTTTCTCTTTTACACCATCAAGGACTCGCTTTGGATGGCCTTTTTTATGGGATGATGGATTCCATAATGCTGTTGCAAGTAAGTTTTAACCTAGGCTTTCTGCTTTTGTAATAAAAAGCTGGTTAGATACGATGAATGAAGATGGATGGATTTGTAGAGAGTAATCAAGAGGAGAAGAAGCCTTTGGTTTATGCAGTTGCCCAGCATTCATCAAAAAAGATAACCGTGATGGTAATCCTCCAACACTCATATTAGCCATAGAGTATTTTTTGAGAGACCATAGTAAAATATTATGAATAAATTTAAATTATTTTATAAAATGATTTTATTCATTTTTTCAATAAAAAAAATAATATTTAATTTTGAAAAGTAAAAAATTTAATCTACTAAAAATTTTTAAAGTAAATTGTTTATTAAATATATTGATAAATAATTATTAAAAAGTGGATATTGCTAAAGAATTAATCTAAGAAGGGTACTTTTCAAAATTGGAAAAATGGTACCATTGGTATCTAAAAACTTAGATGGTCAAAGATGAGTTTTTTACAGGAAACGCTAATAATTTTAATGACTTTGAAAAAAATAGCTTTGTTTTTAAATTTTGGGATCAAGATGGAAACGTCGCTTCTATGAATAGTGGATTAGATGACTATCCAAGAAACGATAACGGTAAACCCTTCAATGAGCCAATAGGACACATAGACTTGCAAAGTTGGATGTATCACTTTACATCAATAATGGAAAAGTTCAGTCTCTTTAATTAAGACATGAAAAAATTTGAATATTATCTGAGCATAAAGGAAGTAATTTTGTAAAGGACAGAGGAATATTTTTTAGATGACAGAGATTCCCTTTATAAAGACATAATATCTTCAAATAGAAGTCTCAAATCAGTTGAGTTCTCACCTCATTTTGGTTATCCAAACACTTTGCCATTAGCATTTGGCATAGTAAAAGACGATGGCTATCAACTTCAAACGTTATTGAAAAGAATTTAAGATTAAAACTTTCTTTGGACAGATTATGGGTTGAGAAGTTTATCTAAATCAGATAGTTACTCTAAAAGAGGTAAAATAAATAAATAAATAATTTAATATATTTTGATTTTTATTCAATATAAAATATTTTTTTACGTAATATAAAGTTAGAAAATTACTTTGCTTTTTTTAATAGAATTACTTAAAAAAATAAAGCAAAATAATATTAAAATGCATTCAGATATCAAATCATTTTTTTAATTTTTAAAATATTTTTATTAAAAAGATAAACAAAAAATAAATTTTAAAATTATTAAAAATTAAAAAAATATTTTTTGTAAATATAGATTTTTTTTGAAATTTTAAAAATTTATTCTAAAATTATTAAAAATTTTAAAAAGGCAATAACTATTGGACCAATCCAATATGGATATAAATGAATTATTTAGTTTTAAGAGGATTAAATTTGTACTACTAAGAAAATGAAGAGGCAACTAATCTTTATTCAAAACTTAGGAAAAATGTCTCAAATACTGTGTGTCAGAATTGGGAAAAAACAGGCTTTTTTTATGAAAATTATAATAAATATGATAACGGATAAGGATCTGATGCATATCCATTCACAGGATGGACTGCAACTGTAGCTTTGATTAATGCAGAAAATTATTGAAATGGTTTCTAAATAATTAGATTAGTTAGTTACTTTGAAAATATCAAGATAGTTTGTTATAATAACAATAAAAGGTTGGTGATTAATAATTTTTAATTTGTGTAGATTTTGATTGTTTATTTGAAAATTGACTATTTTATGGTTAATGCTTAATATTTTTATATTTGTAGGAATCACTCTTTGTTTGTTTGATAAAAGTCTGAATTATTATATTTGTAATTTTGAATTTAACTTTTGAATGCAATAAAATTTCTGTCAAATAATAAATTGATAATTTAATTTGTGTGGTCAAGATTAGTATAACTAAAAGTAAAATAAACAAATATTTAATATAATTTGTTTGGTAATCTTTACAAGGATTTATTTTGATTAAAGCCATTCACACACAACAGATTCTAATTTAAACTAAAAATGCTGAAAAAAAGTGCTCCAAAAATATTCAAAGCTTAAAAAAAACTTATTGGCAATCATATAAATGATTTTAGTTAGTTTTTTCTAAATAATAAAATAAAAAATGAATGATTATTTAAATTATGCTTAAAAACTAATAGAATTCTTTTCACTTGCTGAAAAAAGTAAACAATAATTTCTAACGAAGAATTAAGCTTATTAGAAGAAAAAAATTGAATGGTCAAGTTAAGATTTTTATTTAATTTAAATTGCCAAAAAGTTAAATTCCTTTTGTTTATCAACATATTTTAATATCTTCTGAATAAATAATTGATTTACAAGGTTTTGAATTAATTTTGAATGAATATCTAATATTTAAGTTGTATATACATATCAATCAATTAATTAATTAATTCTAAAAAAAATACAATTATTCAAATTAGCATTACTTTTACATTTCAAATACTTAAAGAGGGACAAAAATTTAAGTTAGAAGCATTAGTTGAGCTGAAGAAAATTAGGATTAGGTTATATTCAATCGCAATCATATCTAGTTAGGTTTTAAATAAGTATTACCTTAGTGATAAAAATAATTTTACTCTAAATATTTTAAGAATTTGAAAGGTTTTAAGATATTAAATTATGATTTTTCTAAAGTTTATCATCAGATTGATTTTAGCTATTCAATATATAAGACTAGTTACTTCCTATTGCACTTAAGATAAATAATTTGTGTAGAGAAGTGATACCTTCGTCTAGCTTGTTTTTAAATATAACTAGTTTTTAAATGTACTTGTTGCATAGTCAGATAATAGTTAATAATTAACAGCCACTTCCAGTCTCTTTTAAGGTTTAGTAATAAATGATTGTAGAGTTATTTAAAATGGTTGCAGTATTTAAGAATAACCTAGCTGCCCAAATGATATTTTTAATACTTTTCCTTGTTCTATATCAGGTTCTACAATAACTCTATAACCTTGGCAAATTTCATCATTAAAAACATACACTTTTATGACTCTTTATATACAAGTTGATTTTAAAAGTTCATTATCAATCAAACCACCATAATAATACGATATATAATATAATTACTCTTTCACAAGTTCCTCACAAAATACTTGCACCACCAGCTATATCATATCACCTTCGAGACCAGCATGTAATTTTTTTAGTATTTGTTTTAATTTATATTAAATTAAATTGTTTAAAATTTTTAATAGCTTTGTCAATGTCTTTCTAGACTCCAACAACTTAATAAGTAGTATCAAGCTCTGCTCCTATTTAGATAAGTTATACTCCTTAATTTGACACAAGCTCTGATTCATTACAAATCATGATAAATCAACAGCAATTTAATTTAGATTTTTCCAGCACTTTTACTTCTTAATAGATATGGGCATATACAAGAGCAGTTTTTAATCCTACAGGTCCTACTGTTATGAGCACTTAAAATTGCATCCTTGATTAATTGAGTTAAAATAGATATTATTGTCTTTAGTTTAACTTAAATTCATAATTCGTTTTCAAATAGAATTAAGCCTATACTATCCTCTTTTATAATCTAAACTATCCTTTTCATCCATTAGGATTTGCAGATGTATAATTTAAAGTTATGCAATCACAAAATGCCTGCGAATAGGGTACTGTTATTGCAAGTTCTGCTTTCATGCCTACAAATTTTAAACCCTAAACAGGTTTATTAACTTTGAAGAGCATATAATTCTGTATTGACGTTAATAACTGCTAAGCTACAGGATAAGTGCTTGCAAATTATAAAACAGTTAGTATAACAATTTAAAATCCAACATTATTAGCTACTGGTACAAGACTGGATCTTATTTTTAACATGGATTTCATACTTTTTGCAAGTTCTGATAACAACAGAGCTGTTTAAATATCGTTTGCATCATCAGGTCCATCTTTAACTGGATCTTTTTCATTAAATTAGCCAGCGAGTAATCAAATGTTGGCAAGTTTTACATTGGCAAGATCATATATACCAGCAAATGATATAACAATTACAATATCTAACGCTTTCATGGGATTTGACACTAAGAATACATATGCTTTCTATTTAAATGCAATATGCAGTTCATCTTTAAGTGTAATTTTAAAAATATTTTTTCTTTAAAAATGATTTTTTTTTTTTTTTTGAAATATTATTTACTGTTTTGATAAATTTGTTTATATTAAATTTTATAAAATTAAACAATAGAGTAATCCATCAACACCTACACCATAATACTAAATGAATTATAGCAGTCTATCTTTAAATAATAACGTTTTTAAAACCTTAAGTATTGATGGAAGTATTCCATTTTAAATAGGCTAGTCTTCTAATTACAACTTCAATATTATACCTTCAAATTCATTTACTTCAAGCTAAATGCAGATAACTATAACATTCCCTTCTAACACTTATAAATTTTTAACAGCGAGTAATAAAATTTAAATTGAAGTTGAATTTTTAAAAAAATATTTTTATTAATAAAGCAAATCCTTGCTATGCAGTAACTCTAAATGGTAGCATTTAAATAGATTAGAGCAAGATTACAGAAACAAAGAGAGACTCTACCTCAGGAACTGTTATTTTATAAATAGCTTTTCCTACCCCTTAGACTATAACTAGTTACTCAGTAAGTATTTGCAGTGTGTAAAATCCTATGGTGACAGGTTCTTCTGGTAATATTTAAGTAGCAGCTAACTATGGATCAAATAATTTTTTAACAGAAAATGGTTCTGTCTCAACCACAATTTCACCAGCTCCATTTGCTACTGGAACTTCAGTAGCTCCTAAAGACAATAAAATAATGTAAACTATGGCCTCAAATGGATATACCTTTACATTAAATTTACCTGTCTAATAAAAAGCTTAAAATACTTTAAAGATAGTTTTCCCAAATTATTTAGCAAATAGCATTACTTTTTCCTCTTCTTCTGTAACATTCAATAATTAATAAACTAATTAGCAGCCTAATATTTATTGGTAAGGCTAACTAGCTTCTGATGTTACTACTGCCATTACTATCACTTTTACAGGTTATAATCCTCCTTTAACATAAACTAATTATGTCTTCAAAGTAAAAAATAATTTCAACTTTTAGATATCATATTTTTTAATTTATAAAATAAATAAATAAAAATAGGCAACAATGTATGATAGCAATGGAAACCCTTAATTGAGTTCTGATATTACTTTATCCACTGCAGCATATACACCTGCTACCTGTGGTTAAATTTTAAATAATCGTTCATCTAAATAGAATGGTGATTCTACAGACTATACTTTTACTATTAATACAAATTATTTCATGGATCCAAGTTTAAATTTTTTTATGAGAATTCAATTAGATCCCACATAAGCTGTAACAAATTTAAATGTGTAAGAAATTTCAAAAAATTTAAAAGGCCTCACTTCCACTTAGACAAATGATGGTGCAGCAAATAATTATATCGTAATTATTTTTTACAATTACTATTTTATTTATTATTTTAAAATATATAATAGGATATAACAGCAAGCTAAGGCAATAGCTTTTAATATATAAGTGGATATAACGCATAATTTATATTCAAAATCCAAACAATTACAAACTATAGGAGTACAAAACCAATTACTGGATTATAAATTATTTCAGGAATTTCAGCAAAAAGCTTAGGATGTACCTAGACATACTCTTGGAATGATAATATAGTTAAGCCACTTTCATAAAATTCTGTATCTATAACTAATATCGATAAGCAATATTTTGAATAACAAGCCACCTATAGTTTCAAAATCTAATTAGATATTGCTATTCCATAGAATGGTTATTTTGATATTGTAGGATCTTAAAATTTTCCAACTACTGTTTAAATAAATAGTAATCCAGCTTCTATGTTTACTTTTACTCCATTAACTAATCCTTCAAGTAAAATAAGAATTACTTGTATTTAACAATCATGTACTACCTTTACATTAATAATTAATCCTATTTCTAATCCTAATTATGCCTCATTTTTAAATGGTAATACTCCTATTCTAACTTCTATCTCAACTTATGATTAGGCAGCTAGTGATTACTTAATTTAATCAGTTTAATTTAGTTTAAATTCTCTTAATTATTTCAATTAATGCTACACATCCTAACCTTATAAAAGTTTCTGCAAAGATTGTTAAAACTCTAATTAAAATTATTGTACTTCATGCTACTCTGGTAGTATCTTTAACGGATAAACTTATAATTTGCTCGACACAATAAATAATGTATGTGTTTCTACTTGCCCTACTATCTCTTATAATAATGGAGCTTCATAGTGTGTAAAATGCATTAAGTAATTTAAATATTTTAATAGCAAAGTTAATTTTAAATACCATTTTAATTTATTCTTAAAAGTAACTGTGCAACTTGTACTTCTGCTACAACTTGCTAAAGTTGTGTTTCTCCATACTAATTATAAGACACTACATGCTAATAAAACTGCAATCCGACTTATTATTGTATTATTTTTTATTTATAGTTTTGAGATTAACATTATTTAAATAAAGCTGACTCAAATAGAGTGTGCCAAAAATGTGATTAGACAAAGTGTCTTAATTGCTAAGGATCAAGCACTAATTGCTTAAGTTGTTAACCTGGATTTGGTTTGATTACTGTGTCAGGATAATCCTCTTGTGTAAATTGTAGCTAAACACCTGGGTATTTATTTATTTAAGTTATAAATTAATTAATCATTTGAAATATATATAGTTACTATGATAAAAAAGATAACTCAGGTACATGTGGTATTTGTAATCCTTTATGTACTTAATGCTCTGGAAACGCAAACAATTGTAGTGCTTGTGTATAAATTTCAAATGGATAAGCTGTTTATTTTAATCCTATAGCTAACACTTGCACAACAAGTTGTGAAAGAGATGGCTATAACCTATTAAAGTAAGGAAACACTTATGTTTGTGGAGTATGCACAAATTCTTGTAATACTTGCAAAAATTAATCAAGCTATTGTACAAGTTGCAGCTCACCACTTTATTTGTTACAAAATAAATGTATAACGAAAAGTGAAATTACAGATGGTTTTTATCCTAATGACGCTCAGCATACAGCAGACTCTTGCTCATCAGTATGCACTAAGTGTGTTTCGTCTTAGATATGCACAAGTTGTATCCCTAATTTCTTTATGGTGGCTGTAATAAATTCACAATAACAATTTTTTAATTTACTTTAAAATAATTTTCTATTATATTTAGGGATAATGCTTATCTTAATGTCCAAATAATCTACCTGTTCCTGATGGCTCAGGAGGATGTAAAGAAGATACTTCTTCAAAAGTAAGCAACATTTAAGATGATAATAAGGTAGTTCCTTTCCCAATGCTCTTAGCTTCAATAGCTTTTTGTATTTCTATATACTTCTCTAAGTATGAGTATCATGCAACATTTGTTCCTGGTTGTGTTGTTGGATTTTGCTCCTTGTTTGAATGGATTTCTTGGATAGCACTCATTGCAACTGCTTCTGATTACTCAGGAATGTAAAGCGCTGCTGCTGTTTTAGCACTTTTAGGATTCTTATTCTTATATATTATAAATATTATCCAATTTATCATGATGAAAAAATACATAGAAACAGATACAGTTTTTATGGAGTGGGTCTTAAATAACCATAAAAATAAGGTTTGCTTTACTATAATTAAATATGCTTCTTTGATAATTAGTTTTAAGGCTACAAGAATAATATTCTCAAAGTATTTCAACTAAGGCTTCTTCAAAGTAATATTTTTATTATTATCAATTTATAAATTATTTAAAAATGAATATCTTTAAATAAAAAGGCTAAGTTAAATAGCATTGATCTTTTCTCACCTTTCAATAAGTTAGCTATTGTCAGCGTTTTAATGAACAGTAGTTTAATTATTATTTCATCAGCCATTGCTACATATACTTACGCTAAGCAAACCTAAGGATTTTTCCTTGGATTAGATAGCTTGATAGTTACTATTATGATGATTATTTTTATGATTTGGGATTCTCTAAAGAAAAAGGATTTCTTTGAGGAGCCTGTTGATTTAAACCAAACATTTAGCTAAAGATTCTTACCATTCGACTAATCATACATGGATAGATTGCACTCTAAAGTATTGGAAAATAGTGCTAGAATGAATCGTGGAGAATCAAATTCAAGTCTGGTTGATTTCAAAGAGAATAAGAAAGTAACTGTCCACGAAGGTCTTCAAAAACCATTACAGTAAGTACTAGATCCTAGTGAAATGTCTGCAAATGCTAGTATAGACAAAAATGTTCTGAAAAATTCTGAAAATGGAGCTTTTTATTTGATCTAGGATCATTTGTACGAAAGCTATAAACCTGGACCTAACGGTGGAAAAAGACACTTTGAAAAGAAACATATAGCTCCTTAATTCGACTATTCAAGTAAATCATATTAAATAAAATAAACATTTCAAAATTATTTTAAATAAAAATTTAGAATACAACCCAATTTAAGAGCATTCTAATGAAGATGAATTAGATGATGACGATGAGCGTATGGACCTAAAGAACAGGCAAGGATAGATGATGTTTGACTAGTCAGGATTAGTTAAAGAGTCAAACATGGAAAATTAAAGAGCATCAAAAGGAAAGAGAAATTCACCAGGTGGTGGATAATATGGCAATCAATACTAAGATGAGGAAGAACCTGTGCCTCAGAAACCTAATACTCGTCATACAGTATACTACAATGAGAATGTTTAGGGAATGCTTAACAGTGTTTCAACAAAAGGTGCAAATAATTCTTAACTTTAAAACTAGGAAGGAGTTAGCATAGGTGTTAATATGAACTAAGAAGAAGATGAAGAAAATAGAGAATTAAGATAGAGATTGTACTCAAAACCTAGCGATATTATGAATGGTGATCAATCAAACCCATCTGCTGTCGCTGCAGCTATGATGATGAGACAATCATATTCGCCTAAATAGAGCAACTTATATGAAAATTAAAAGACATCAAAAACTGAAGGAAACAGATAAAGTATTAAAAATAACTCTACTTTAAATAATTCTCCTTCAAGCAAGTCGAAAAAGAAAACTTCTCCAAGTAGATCAAGAAGTATTTCACCTTCCTTAGCTAAAATTGAAGATAAAAAGATGAAAAAATCCACCTCTCCTAAAAAACAAAAATCTCAAAATTCAGATGAAGAAAATAATATGAGAAATAGCTAAACTTCAAATAAGTCTGCAAAATCCAATAAATCTAAAAAAAGTTAAAAGAAAGTAATCAATTTAACTATTTATTTTTTATTAAATTATTTATTTATTTTTTTATTAATTCTTTTTTAAAATATTTAAATTAAAATCTTATTTCTTATAGGGAAAAGGAAATGATGATGATAACATGCTTTTCTATTTTGCTCATCCAGTAGATGGAGATTAAGCTTTACCTCCTAACTAGGCTAATAAGAACAGCTAAAAGAAAAAAGAAAATAATAATTAGAATAAGAATAATGGAGGTAGTAAAGGTAACTAAAATGAATAAAGTGATGATAACAAAGTTGAAAGAATCATGCCAATAGAAGAAAATCTCGATGAGCCTTTAGCAGAATAAAAGCAAGTTTAACCCAAATACGATTTAGCAAACCAAATGAAAATGAAAGGACCCTATAATAATGATAGAATAAAATCTAATAAAGGCGGTCTTATGGGAGTTGAGAACGAAGATGACCCAGAGGATTTACAAAACAGATCCAAAGGATTAAACTATCAAGGAAGCTAAGACATAGATAGAAATGTAAATTTTATTTTTAATTAAATTTTTATTTTTATTTTTAATATCTTTTTTTAATTATTATAGATTTATGACTCAAGCGAAAGTGTTAGAACAGCTGAAGAAGCTGATATGAATTACAATGAAGTTAGTCCATCAGATTTTAATGTATTAAATCAGAGATACGAAGAAGACTTTTTTGCAATATAACTATAACAATAAATATAGCGTTAGTAGTAATTATCTGGAAATAATTTGATGATAAATCCAGACATATAATCCATACAAATGGGATCCGTAATTCAAAGTCCTAATAACTAGCTTCTTTCATCATAATAAGCTTAGCTTATGGGAGGAAGCGTGTAACAACGTCCTCCTCTTATTCTTGCTAATAGTAATTCAAATATATCTATAGCTAATCCTAAAACCACTAAATCAGCTGGTGGCGGAAAAAAGAAATCTAAAAGCAAAACTCGCAGTAGCTCTAAAAATCACCCTAATTTGAGCTCTCAAAATAATCCATTTAATCATGCTGTTATTCACTAAGGTTTAATGACACCTTCTTCAGGAAGCGTACAAGGCATGAGAAGTGGATAAGGTTTTATGTAGTAAGATATTGATCCTATGACATAAAAAGACTCACCTGTTGGTAGCCATAGAACTGGAAGAGGTGCTGATGTCTATCATAGCAGCCATAGCAGAAATATTCGTCCTAACTCTTAAGATTAGTCAGATGGCTTTATGAGATCAAATACTCAAAATATGTATCACACATCTAATTCTAAAACTGGAAACCCAATGGCTAGTAAAGTTAGCGGAGGCGGTTCAAGAATGGGCAACATCTCTCCTTCTAACAGCAACTAAGTAATTACATATAAAGTTCCTTAAACAGATATAAACAAGCTTAAGAGTTTGGAAAAAATATATCTGTAAAGACTTGAAATCCAAGGTAACAACAATGCCCAATCCTCTAACAAGAAACCAAAGAAGAATAAATAACAGCACTCAGGAAATGTAGCTGATTTCAACAATGACTTTGACCAGAATTCTGTTCATAGCTCCCAAATGCACAACATGAATGGATTCTTTAAACCTGATAGCAGATAAGCTAGAGATACTTCAGATATCCATGCTCCTTCAGCTATCTTAATGGAAGACCCTAATTCTATGGTGATAGCAGATTTTGGAGATGATATTTACAAAGACTGACATTATATTATTTTCTTTATATATAAAAATATATATTATAAATAAATAGATCCTTCTGATTAAGATCGTTAATTGTTAATTGACATATAATTTATTAAATCTAAGTAAGTAGTGATGAGTTTAATGATTCCACTACTGTTTATAAGTTATCAGATTGAATTATTTTTTTTATATATAAAACTCAAATGAATATTTGTGTGTTTATTTTCTGTATTTTCAAAATATTCTTTATTAAATTCATTTTATTTTGGTTTCAGTATTTAAAATAAAATTTTAAGCAAGCTAGTTTGTTATGATAATTCAACAATAAATAACAAATTAGATCAAATTAATCGCTTATTTTGAATTTTGATAAGCAACAAACAGTTTAGTAGTTTGCAAATACAAAGCCTTACATATGCCGATAATTCTTATTAATTTAATTTAATTAATTTAAAAGAGTTAACCCACTTTTTAATTTAATAGATAGATTATAAGTCAACCACTAAGTTATTACTAAATAAAAATAATCTTTAATAAAGTAGAAGAAGCTAACATATAGTAAATAATTTATTAATATTTTAATAAGCTTTTGAAATTTATAAAATGGATAAAGAAATTAGAAACCTTTATCAAGTAGATAGCAAATAGATGTCTGAACTGGCTGATCATGATTAAGAAGCAAATGAAAAAATTCAAATATTCACCTCAAACAGCACTCTTTAGAATTATAAAAATTAAATTAATTTTCAAGAAAATGAGCGCAGCTTTAACCTTCATGATAGAAGCTAAAGTAGAAATAGTGCCAAAAATTTTTTTGTTTAAACGCAAAGTCTTTTGGCAGACCAAAAAGAAATTTAATGGCCATCAAAGCAAAACCTATAAATTAGAAAATCTGTTAGTTCCAAAGTTATCAGAATGACAACCTCTTAATTCAGCAAGAGATAGTAGCTAATGGACAGTTAATAAAGGCTTCAAAGCTCAGATTCTAAAAATGCTTATCAGCTTATCAACAGCCCAAACTTATAAAGGTAATTTTAAAAGTACTGTGTTACAAGCAGAAAAGGGAGCATTACCTAAATTCCTTAATAATCTGAATAAATTCCTATAGGCTTTAACAATAATAAAAGGCAATTAGTTTTATCATAGAATATTGAAAAAAATCAGACTTAAGACTAATTACCTATGTCGTTATAATATAAAATGTTTCAAGAATCTTATTTTCAAAGTTCAAAAAATACTTCACAGATTCATAATTTTAGTTAAGTTAATTCGAGCACTCCAAGATGTATTAATTCTCCCTTTAATAACAACTTTATTTCTAACTAGAAAAGTTCAAATTTATTGTAGAAGTATTTTACTAGCTAGAGTTCAAATGTCTCAAACATCAATAAGCTGTTTGGTATTTCTTCTAAAGAAGAAAACAACCTTTGCTTCAACGATTAAGAAGATATCAGTACAGCTAATTTAGCAAGTAGCACATTAGAACAGATTCAAAATTCAAGTAAAAATAACATGTCATAATCTAAGCTAAACATATTCGTAAAATAGACTTAAGGCTTCTAAAATTAAAGCTATTTTTCACCAAAAGCTAGTGCTGTCAACACAACAGCAAACACTTACTTGACTAAGATGTCTTTTCCTAGTTCTCCAAAACAAAATTTTTTTATTACTGAAAATCACTCAGAAAATTTAAATATGATGATGGAGAAGTAGTATTCAATTCAAGACTAGGTTAATAGTGATAAAGAAGAGCCAACTATTTTCATAAATAAATAAGATAATAACAAAACTACTTCTATAAAAAGTAAAGAAAAACTACCCTTTTTGAAGAAAAATATTGAGTCATTTTCAAGAGGTTCGCTCTTTCATTCTCCAGTCTTGCTAAGTCAAACTACAGATAAAGCTAGGTTGAGTCTTCAGTAGCAGTTTTAATTAGATTAAATACAATAATCATAAGAAAAGTATTAAGATGATAAGCTATCATTTTGTCAAAATGATAAATAATCTTAACAAACTTAGTCAGAAAATGGAGAATAAGATGATTTAACGAGCTAAGACCTATAAAAAGATTAAAATATAGATGATAAGTCAGACATTTCACTACCTTTTAAACAAAAATCGTTGCTCTAAAATACTAAAGATAAACTATATTATGAGTAACTTATGAGCCCTTTAAGCTCTAAAAGTGAAATACAGCAAGAAAGACTACTTAAAGAAAAGCCATCAATGAAATTTTATTAAAAACTGAAAAGAATAGATAAAATTACTCAAGAAAACGAATTTGATAGAGTAAAAATAAGGAACATAGATTTGGAAACTGCTGTGATTTAAAAGTAGCTAAAAAATGCTATTTTACCAATTAACCTAAGAAAGTTCTATAAAGAAAATGTAATCCCTAATAAAAATATAAAATTAAAAACATAAGTTAGCACTCATAATGAGGTACCTACTGATTAAAACGATTAACAACCAAATTAAGGAATATAATTATAACAAGAAACACAATCAAATGCAGAAAAAACTGCTTTAGAAACTGATTTAGGACAAAAAAGAGTTAATGGAGTAAATTATCAAGGACTACAAGATGAAGAAAAAATTAAAGAAATGGAGGAATTCTTAGAAAGTGATAAATATAATGAAACTTTTTATGCAAATAATCTGAAAATGGGTAAGTCTTACATAGATATAATAAGTGCTATTCTTTAATAAAAAAAGGCAAGAAGATCTCTGAAACAAGTCTTTATTAAAAACAATAGAATAAATAACGAATCACTAGCTAAAATCGTTTAGAATCTTCCTCTTTCTACAAAGTAATTTTTAAAGTTATTCAATTTCAAATAAAATTTATGAGTTTTTAAAATAAAATTTTTATTAATTCTCCAAAATTCTTTCTACTAAATTTTGTTTATTTTTTTAAAAAAGAAGATAAATCCAAACACTTTTATCATATTTTGCCTTTAATAGGAGGAAATTATTTGGAGTGTTAAAATTTTATTTTAAAATAATTAATCTTGATATTTTCATTTATTTAATATCACTTATTTATTATTTATTAAATTTTAAAGAAAAAGATTTCTAAATTTTAATTAAATAAATTTATTTATTTCAAATAACATTTCTAAAAATATTTTTTTTATAACAAATAAATATTTGATCAAATATTTAAAATAAAAAACATAAAAACAGATAATTAGATATTAGCTGTAATTAAATAAATCACATTGGCTCAAAATACGTGACTGAACTGATTTAAGATAATGCGTTTCATAATTTAGAGTATCTGAATGTATCTAAAAATATGATAGGGGATATTGGAGCTATTAAAATTTTTGAGGCTGCTGTTTCAAATAACTTTTTAAAAGTTCTGGACCTTTCACATAATAGAATTACAAATTTATGCAATAACAACATTTAAAAGCTTTTGCAACATAATTAATATTTAGATGAACTCTATCTAGGACATAACACGTAAATTAATATTAAATTATATTTATTTTAAAATTAAATAAATTCTGAAAAGCTTGATGAATGAAAGTCTGAAGAGCATTTGTGATGGATTAGTTAACAACTACAACTTAAAGGTATTGGACTTACAAAATAATAGCTTGGGTGGAAGTCAAGATCCATCAAAATTTTATGGTAAAAGGCTGATAAGAATTTGCAATAACAAGCAGTCTAACATGAAACACCTCGATTTATCTTTTAACAGATTTTAAAAGCAAGAAGCTGTTGAGATTTCTGTTGAGTTGCAAGATAATTTTTATTTATATGGAATGCATTTTGAAGGGAATCCTTGTAATTATATAGTAAATGCTAGAGGATTTCTTGTTGAAAATAAAATCCCTTTAGATGATTAAGGGAGAGGGTTTTTAGAGAGGAATATAAGGATCAATGGATTTTAAAATGTCTCAGAAATATACAAAGACTTTTACTACAAAACAATAAATAACAAATAAGCTTAATTAGCAAGAAATCACTAAACAAAAGCAAAAACTCAGAATAAAAAAAATGATGAAGGTTATGGAAAAAGTGGTGAAATATGTTGGATTTGTGATGGGTACAAAGAAGTTAAGTTCACATTTAAGCTAAATTATAAAATTGACAGAGAACCTGTTTATATTCATCTAAGTTTTGAAGATTACGAACCTTTTCGAATGGATTAAGATCCTGTTGATAGCTCTAAATTTTTTATTTATAGAATGTGTCCACCTGATTAGCAAATTACATATTTCTTCTCAAATCCTTTTATAAATCAAATTTCTATTTTACCCTACAACTAAATTAGATCTTCATCAAATCCAATGAATAAAAATTAAGGCAGTAGCAATAACAAGAGGCCTTCTATGAGAGCAAATCAAATTTTTAATCCTAAAACTGAATCTTAAAAATAGAATTAAAATGTTTTAATTGTGAATTATACTGACATATAAAATTACATAATTCCTCTTCCGTATTTGATGAATATTTATAAATAAAATAACAATGATCAAGACCATAAAAATTTAAGTAAAATAATAATTTTTTTATCATTCAATAAATAATCATTTTGAAAAATAAATTTCACAAATAATATGATATAAACTTTTAATTTGGAATATTAAATATGTAGTTAACATAGATAATACAAAAAGACTAGATTAAAATGGGAACGATTACATAGAATCTGCTGAAGAATTAATCTAGCAAATAAGTTAGCAAGCAGAAATGAAAAAAGAAGAATATAAAACCCACATAAATGGAGATGATTTTGACAAAAATCCTGAGGGATAAATTATTTATATTTACAAAAAGAAGCTAAGTAACGTATTAAATGAGAACTATGATCCAATTATAAGAAGTATAATAAGATAAATTTAAAAGCCATTCTTAGGATAATCTGAATAGTCGAAGGGTTGGAAAAAAAATGGCTGGGATGTTAAAAATAGTATATTTGCAGAATATAAAAGTGATGATTATTTACATTTGAAAAATTGCTTCGAATTTGATTGGGGTTAATCAAAATTGACTAAAATGGTTAGAAGTGAAGATGATAAAGAAGATTTAAAATAGGTCTTATATGATATTTACCCTTTTCTAAAAAATACTTACAAATAACTTGCATGCTAGAACATGTATGGAGAAGTATTTGCTGTTTCTAGTTCGCTATTTTAAGATTTAATTTCATAAACTAAAATTAGTGATGGAAAAATTATAAAATCGAGCGATATTGAATTTAATTTCATAGCCACTAATGCATAGAAAGAAAAGCATCCAAGAAATCCTGATAAAGCTCTGATAAGGTTTTAATTTATGGAAGTTTTAGTAAGATTGGCCTTTGATAAATATGTAAAAAACAAAACATTTTCTAGTTTTTCAGAAGCATTCAAGCAAATATTAAACGAAGAAGATTTATTGAAGGTTTTAATGGCATCAAATGATCCTTAAAAGTGGAGAGAAAATAGGTAAATATATTTTTATTAAATTTAAAAAAGTAAATAATCTTAAAATTGAAATTTAAAAGATTATGGACTCCATAATGCGATACTTTGATTAAAAACAATATGGAGTTTTTCAAGAAGATTTATGAAAAGTTTGCTGGAAGTAGAAATAAGGAAAAAAGGTTATTTACCAATGTGAAAGTTATGTGTTGTTAAGAATTTAAAGATTTTATTTTTTCATATCCTATTTTCAGCGAATTGACTAACGAAAGAGAATTGAATTAATTTTTTAACGATAGCATCATGACTTAGGTGGATGAACTAAATAAAGATAGGCACATGCAAATGCAATTAATTGAGTTTGTGGAAGCTTTTGGAAGAATTTCTGATAAACTTTCTCCAGTTCCTTATGGCGAAGATAAAGATGCCTATACAAAATAAGAATTAATACAGCTTCCTCTGCATATGAAAATAGAAAGCATTATAGCATAAATTAATGGCCTAAAAGGCGGACTTATTCCCCAAAAATAACCTTCAAGACAATCAATTTTAAATATACCTTAAACTTCTATGCCAAAAATAAACTCACAAATTGTATTGGATCAAAAAAGTATAGAAGAAATAAAAGACGATGACAGTGCTTTAATAAATAATAACGCTCAAATAAAACTAGGATTTAAAGGATTTATGTTAGCTAAATCACTAAAAAAAAGGCTTATAGAAAATAAATAAAATTCAATATAACCTCATTAAGGTAAATAAGAGAGTATCTAAGATATATAAGATATAGAAATGTGATTTTTTAAAATGTAAAAATGTATTATAATTATCCTTTGTTTCGTTTTGGATTTTTATCAATTATTTATTAGTCATTAATTTATTTATCTATTTATCTATTCAATTAATTTTGATAAATAAAATAAATTTTTAATTTCAAACATAATTATTAATTAATATTTTTAAAAATTACCATCAATAAAAATTCACATAATTAAGTGCATTAGAGAAATAAAAATAGGGGTATATATATATGAATGGGGGTGATGGAGTAATGGTATCCTCTGTCTATTATACTATACCTACACCTCCAAATCTTTTAATTACCGACTGGGTGAGCAGATAAAATAATTGAAGGAAGAAAATCAAAACTAAAATTTATTAAATAATATTGAATAAATAAACTGCTTGTAAACAACTGAGGATTCTTACTTAATTAACAACCCAAATCTAAAGAGAAGAATAAAAAATAGAGCTATTAATAGCAGCTAAGGCTAAGTACAAATAAAGCATTCAGGCAAAACCATATTGTATTAACTCTTATAAGCAACATTTCAACAACAATCAAAAAAATTAATATCGTAAATCACATATCAAATAGAATCCAAAAATCTATCAGAAAAAAATGTATTTATTTTTAAAATAGATATTCATAAAAATTGTTTATCAAACATTTGAAACAATTTGCTGATTAAAAAGAAAGCTCATCATCTTTAATTAAATTAAAAATGTTAATTAATTATTAAAAAAGAAAGAAAAAAGCAATTCAATAAAGGAAAACTAAATAATCCTTAATTGAAATCTACTTATAAGAATAAATTTTTCAAGCTTTATTTCACTACAACTTATATCAGATAATATTGAAACTGATCTACTATAATAAATTGAGAAGAATCATTCCCAAAAAAAAATATTTAACAATCATAAAATTAGGACCCACATAACTAATTTATGAAAAATGTGAAATAACACGCCTTTAACAAGGAAGATGGGAAGTTATCTATCTATACTAAGCGAAAAAATTATTACATTTGGAATAAAAAATGTGAGGATTACTTTAAAAAAATTTAAGTTATTTAACATTTTCATTCTTCCCTTATTTAAAAGATTAAAGGGTCTCATTTAATCGATACCTAATCTTATTTATTTTTTACACCTATTGAAATAATTTAATCAACACCTTAACTTTAAAAATTAAATATTTGATTAAAAATTTTAATTTCTTCATTAAAAACTAAATCTTTAATTAAATATTATTCTACTAAATATTTATTTCCTACTAGATAATTATTATCCAAGATAGCAATAATATTTTTAGTTTAATTATTTATTATATGTAAGTAATATCTTTTAACTTAGATATTGATAATTAATTATAGTTTAAATTTTATCAAATATAATTAAAAATATTTTATTGATTTTTTAATTTAATAAATAAACATATAATTTGAAGAATACTTTTTAATTAAACTATTCTTTAAAATCATTGATATAGTTTGGTAAAATATAAAAACTGTAGAACAGTTAAGCATTTTAAAAAAATTTTTATTCTTCATATACAATTAGTATAATCTATACAAGAAAATACGGTATTTATTTAATATGCATCTATAATAAATATTTAAAATATAAAAATATGGGATTTAAAATTTTATAAACTACAATATAGCGAAAGTTATGATCCAAAACTTAAAGGTTTAAAATAAATATTTTTTATTTATTTATTATCTTTTTCTTTGGATTTTTAATAATTAAAAGTGATTTCATCTAAAATAATTAATATTTAAAACCTTTGAGATAGATATATATTATTTATAAATTTAAAAACATTTAGATTAACTTTCATTATGTCAAAGCTCCCTCCATAAGACTAATAAAATTTTAACTCAAAAATGCAAATTCGATTTTAGTTAAAATACATTTTTAGGTTTAAAAGCTTATAATTTAATCTTATTGTTCAAATCTTAAAAAATTGTGATTATACTCGAACTAATTTAACTTTTTATCCTGCTAAACTTAGTTATTTAATCAATAATATTAAAATTTAATTTTGTATACAATTAATAAATATTTTATATAATATAATTAATGTGATTTATTAATTAGTGTATCTAGCTCTAGTTTGAATGATTAGTTAGCATAATTCATTAATCTACAAAATTTTCAATTAACTTACAGTTGTTATTTACTTAATCAAATAATTAAAGTGTTTATCTTATTTATACAAATTAAAAGTAAATTGAGAATTAAGATAAATATGACTTAGGAAAATTCCTTAAAAAAATGATAAAACTTAATAAATCTAAATATATAACTAAGTAATTTTAACAAAATAATAAAATTATATAAGTTTATAAATATTTTTATTGAATAAATCAAAATATTTCTATTTCTCTTGCTCATTACTCTATTCTTTTTCTCCACTGTCAAATAAATTAGTTTTTGTTTATTAAATTGTCTTCGTTCGTTCGAAGAAGAGATAATTAATTATATTAAAGTCTTTTTAGAGCTTATTTCAGTTTTTTCAGTTTTTTTCTTTTTGATATCTTTTATTTTTAACATTTATTAAAAATGTAATCACCCCCACCAATCAAACAAAGCTAGATACAAAAAAAGAAATCCTAATAATTTATTTTTCAGAAAATATTTAATTTCTTGTTTTTGATATGTAAGAATAACTATAATTAAGAAACTTAGAGAGAGAGAGATAAATTGAATGTGTATGTGAATAAATCAAAATGAAAAAACAGTTCAATTGAAATCATAAATTTTATACATAAATAATTTGCTAAGAAAAATAAGATTTAAAGTAATATTAAAAATAGATATTTTGAAAAATTATAGTAAAACAAACATGCAGGCAAATAATCAAAAAAATTAAAAATAGTGAAATAATATTTGGTGTCATTAATTTTATGCATTGAAAGTTGATGATATTAAAAAATTTATTAATTATTTAAATAAATATCAAAACTTATCAGAAAATTATTTAATTAATTATTAATTCCAAAAGTTAGTGTTGTTGTCATATTTCAAACTTACAAATAAAAAATGGAATCATTTAAATAAAAAGTAAAGGTTTTCTTTAGCAAAGTTAAGCGACCAGGGCTTTTTCAAGAGCAAATCAAACTCTTCTTTAACATGTTTTTTGCTTATGCAACTCTCCACTGTAATTTATTTAATTTAATTTAGTTTGATCATAAATTTATCAATTTCTATATTGAAAATAATAATTTATAATTTAGAGATAAGATCTGGATGGAGTTTTGCTTCTAAAAATATGTAGGATGATACTGGATTAAGTAATTAAGATGTAGGTGTGATAAATATGATTTTCCTTTTATTCTTAGGAATAGGTTTTGAAATAAATGGTTAAATAGGTAAAGTTGTCCATTAATTTTCTTTTAGTAATTTTAATTATTAATAAAAGGTGATAAAAGGAGTCCTAAGCATTTTATTACACTAGGAATGATAGGATCAGCTTCTGCTATTTTATTGCTTTGCTTTTCAAGGATCGCTGGTTCAAGTAGTGTAGTACTTTATAGTTTTTTCCAAGCATTGAATGGTTTCTTTGAATCTATGTGCTTTCCATGTTTATTGAGGCTTCTTGGTGTATGGTTTAGTTAAAAAAACAGAGGTAAAATTCATCATTCATGCAAGATTTGGAAAATTATTGTTACATCTAAAAAATAGTTTTTAAAAAACTTTTTCTAATATTTGCATATGAAAAACTATAATTATTTTTTGAATATGTTTATTATAAAAATCTATTTTTAGGAGTTAAGAAAAATTAATTTTTAATAGGTTTGATTGTAAGTTTGTGGACAGGAGGCAAAAATTTTGGAGACATCATGGGATCAATTCTAGGAGATATTTTGATGTTTAGAATGGGTATTAGTTGGTATGGAGCTCTTATCATATATTCAATATTGTGTTTAATATCAATGGGGGTAATCTATGCTAAAGCTGAAAACAATCCAGGAGTGAAAGGTTATTCAATTAACAAGAGGATAAACTAGGAAAAGATAGTCGATGCTAACTAAAACAAAGATGAAATTATTGATTAAAGAGCTGAAAATGTGAAATAAGAAATTTAAATTTAATAAAATAAATAAAAAAGCCAAGATATTAACATTGAATAAAGTAACAAGTCTTAGATAGAATAGCAAAATTATAGTAAAGAAAAAGATTAAATAGCTCAATTAGAAGCAGTTTATGGAGAGGACAACAATAATGAGCAGATATCTAATGCATAAGATAATATTCAACCATAAGAATAAGGTGATGAAAAATTAAAAACACTCACAATTAAGCAAGCTTTGATGATTCCTGGAGTTCCTTTCTTCATTTTAGGGTTTATGTGTTTGAAATCATTGAATTATGGACTTATCTTTTGGCTCCCTAAATACCTTTAAGATAATGGACTAGAAGAATATAGTGCTTCTATATTTGTCATTTGGAGTATAGGAGTATTCTGTGGAGGTATAACAGGCGGTATTCTGGGAGATAAACTTTAAAAAAGATCTTTTCTGATGCCACCTTCTTTATTATTTTTACTTCTATTTTTGTTCTGTTTCAGTCAGATCCCTCTTAACGAATCATACGCAGCTCTCTTTATGATCTTTGGCTTTCTCATGGGTGCACTACAAGGTATTCCTTATAACATTATTTCAGGACCTCTAATGATAGACCTTGGAAAACATCCAAAATTAAAAGGAAAAGCTCAAGCAGTAGGTACTATAGCAGGTTTGATTGAAGGAAGTGGAAGTCTCTGTGCTGCACTCATACAATTAGTTATACCTTCTATTGGTGAAAAAAATATTTTCATATTATTTATGCTTTCAACTTTTGCAAGCCTAATTAGCTTACTGCCAGTTGCACTCAATGACTATTTAGCTTTTTTGAAAGAATAAAGAAAACAGCAAAAACTTAAATAATAGTAATAAGAGTAAGAATAATAATAAAAGGAGTAATAATAAGGAAAGGAATTTATTTATGGATAGTAAAATTTTGCTAATGATGTAGAAAATAAAGGTTAATAAAGCGATTTAAAAGACTCTTAAGACTCTGGCTAGATATTTAAAGCTAGCTAAAAAGGAGATATTAAATCTATAAATTTACATGAAGAACAAAAAAATCCATCTCTCTAGTTAAATTTACTTAACAATTAATATGAAAATAATTAAGTGAATGATGTCATAAATGGAAAAGCCTAATAAAAGGCTCCTCTTAACATAGAAATGAACTTATTTGATGATGATAAAATTCAGAAAGGTAACAATAATAATTTCCATAATTTTGAAAATAATATTCAATAAAATGGAAAACCCTTCATTTCTCCATCAAGCATTTAAAATGCAGATTTTGAAAACGAAAAAGATTTATTTAATTAATAAGAGCAAGTTTCGCATCTCAACTAAATAGCATTAAAGATTTAGCAAGATTAATAGTTTTAAAAAGCAGATTTCTTTTAACAACAAAATGATCAACTTCCCAAACAGAACGAAGTTTAGATTTTGGATTTAGATGATGGAGATTCAAGTATTAATTGATTTATAGCAAACAAATAAAAATTATAAAATTTCATTTATCGCAAACCGTTTTTAATTATTAACTGACTAACTAACTAACTTAAAATTTCTAAGACAAACATAATAATTTATCAAACTCTATACATTTTATCACTATTTATTGAATAACATGTATTTATTCTCAATCATACCATTCAATAATTTGGTATTTTAATTTCCATTTATAATTTAATTCTTCTCATTTTAATTTATTTATTTATCTCATAATACTCAATTAAATTATATATATTTTTTTACAAAATTTATCATTAAATAGAGTTCTGAATAGCCAATTAACTATCTATCTATCTATGTACCCATCTATCTGATGACTTTTAATTGTGTATTTTTAACATATTACTTGAAAGTAAATTATTGCAAACTAATTTATAATTTTTATTTAAATTTCTAATAATATTTATTCATTATTAATTCATTTTTAGCCATGCTTTATAAACATGTTTGATTATAGAATATTAAAACAAATTCAAATTTCATACCTTTTTTGTAAATTTCCTCTTCTTTATTTGAAATAATGTTTATTTAAATAATCATTCTACTTTACAATCAATTTTATCCTATTTCATTTATCTAAATTATCTTATATTTATTTATTTTGTATTCAATTATATTTAAATGAAATTGAAATTAAAGAATCTTTAGGATTGACTTTTTTCAAAAATTTTTTCTAGAAATCACTACTGCTAAATTATAAGAATATAAATAATTTAAAAAATAAATACTCTATATATATATTGTATTTTATTTTTATGTAGCTCTGAAAAAGGCAGGACCACATATTAACATACATATATTTGAAAATAATTTATTTTATTTTTTTAAAATTTTAAATGAATTGGTTTTCAAGAGGGCATAAGGTTTATGTTTAATTTAGCAAAATATAATAATCTCTCATTTATAATATTAAATAATAAGTAAAAATATATTTTTTAGTTTTATAATTTTATATACCAAATTATTTATAAATTTAAAATATAATTTCTTGCAATATAATCATTTTAACAATCTATCTATCTGTTAAGATTTTATTTAAAGTTAAAACTAAATTAGTGAATTATAAACAGTTATTAAAAAAGAGAGATTATTTATTAAATAACTCAACATTTGATTAATTTATTAGGTTTAAGAATACCTAGAGTAAGTTTATGATTAAAATGTCAAAGATCTCTCAAAATTAAATTATTTCCCCTAAAATAAAATTAAAATATTTAAAGGAATTTTATTTTTATATTTTCATATTTTTACTAACTCTATTTACAACTTGATAAATAAAAATTAGCAATAAGAATATTGATTCTTAAATATTAAAAAAATAAAAAAATATAAATAAAATAAGATGAAACCAAATAGAGATATATTTATTTTTAGATAGTTAATATGAAGCTTAAACAAATATGAAGAGAAATTTTATAAAAGAATAATATTTGCAAATTTATTTTATAATTTTGATAAATATAAATAAATTTAGTTATGTAGCAATCAATAGTTCAGTACGATTACGAATACTATAAAATTAAATATATTGTTTCAATGGCTTTTAATGCATGAAGAATTTAGATATTTTTTTATTAATAGAGAGATTACAAAAGTTAATGGGACAATCAATCAATTATACATTTATCTATTTATTTGTGTATTTTTTTTACTGATTAAAAAAAATATAATACTAAAAAAATATTATTACTTTTTTGATTGATTTTTTTAGATTATTAATTAAAAGTAGAAATTTTATTGGTAGAAATATTGCCAAAGGTTTAAATTATTTTTTTATAGAAAGATAATACAAATATAGAAATTAATAATAGAATGGATTATTTTAAAAATATTAATGATCATTCAACAGAAAATAATGAACCTTAGCTTGTAAAAAAGATATCTATGGTGACTTTTTAAGATAATTACCTCGAAAAAAGACACTAAAGTACATTTAATAATTAAGAATCGCTTTTAAACTTAAATAGAAGAAAGAGTAGCTTCAAAACATTCATAGGATTTCAAAATAACCTGAACTAGCATAATAAAGTTGTAATCCAATAGTTTTGTCCAAAGACAGAGGGCTCATAACTTGACGATTCTGAAGATATGATTGATGTTTTAAGGCCTAAATAGAAAACTGATTCACAAAATAATGCAAATGATTAGAATAAATAATTAGATTTTAATAAAAGAAGAGCATCGATTTATCCACAAAATTTGGAATCTGTTTTAAAAAATAACAGGAGATAGTCATATGTTTTTTAAAAGTAGTTTACTATGAATTTAAATTCATAAAAATTGATAAGTTAAGATCAAAATAGTGGTAAATCTCTCAATTAAAGAAGCTCATAATATATGCAGTAGAGAGTAAGTATTAACTTAGATAAGAATTAGATAAATTCATAGAGATAGTTAGCCAGAGAGAGATTAAAAAAAATATTCAGAAAGGGAATGTTGCTAAATAAAACAGTCAAAATATTTGCATAAGTGATAGGTGCAAGGTATATTCAAAAGAAAACCGAGTTCTTGTTTAGCAAGGACACTTACTTTAAAATAGATTTACAAAAATCAAAGTATTTCGATGACATGCTTTAAGGTAAAGGGTTATTCTCTCGAGAATACATCAATTCTTAAACTGAATTTTTGAAGGCCCTTTTAAACTTGCAAATAGACTTATCTAATTAAATTCATGCAGAGGTAATTCTTCATTTAATTGATCTAAAATGAAAGTATTTTTATTAAAGATAGCAGTCAATCTATTGAAAAAGAAAATAAAATCTTAATTAGAAATGCAATACTTATCTAAATGCCTAATTAACCTTGATTTATTTAAGCAAAACTCCAATATTTTAGAAGATTAGGACAGTTTAAAAATAATTTTCTCAGAGATAAATTATGTTTTTTTTCCTAAAAACTCGATCATTTTCAATTTCGGTATGATTTTAACTATTAATTTATATTTACGCATGTTTTATTTACAATTTTTTTCTATATCCTACTACCTTCTGATAGGTATATACATACATAAATATAAATTAAATTTATTTAATAAAGATTAAAATTAGTTAAATCTTTACTTTATTGATTTTTTCTTAATTTTTTAAAAATTAAAAGGTGAATATGGGAACAATTATTATGTTCTTCTGAAAGGTAAATTAATTTTTTTTTTTAGTGAACATAGATTATTTTTTTTGTATTTTAGGAAAAGTTTATTGCTTCATACCTAATTAGGAGAAGAAGGATTAACTCATTTTTTAGCAGATGGAAAATGAGAGGAGAGCTATAAAATCTAAGAAACTCATACAGCTTTCAGGCCAATAAATAGATAACTCTCCAGTTTCATATGAGTATATTAAATCTCCATTACATAGATTAAACTCTACAAATCTTACTTGGAGCTCAAAATAGATAGAGCCAAATAAGGTTGCTTTACACAATTTTTAAAATGAACGAAGAGGAATATCCCCAAATAAACAAAGAGATAATAATAAGAGTAGACAGCAAAATCTTCTTTATAATTTAATGAATGAGAATTAATAGGATAACTCTACTGAAGCAGATAATATAAGCTTAACAGCAGATGATAATAATGAATAATTAGATTGCTTTAACATGATTATGAAACAGGCATTCAATTAAAGCAAAAAGTAGTTTTAAAAAATTTGATAATAATATTAAGATGTTTTATATCATTAAATAGGGAAATTACAATAAACAAAAAAAAGTAAAACAAAACTAACTCAAATATAAATGAAGATATTCAGTACTAACAGACATATTTTCCAGACATGAATATGGTAAAGATATATACTCCAGGTGAAGCGTTTGGTGAAATTGCATTAATGACTAAGGAAAGAAGGTAAATTGAAATAAATAAATTTAGTTTTAAAAGTAATTTTTTACTACTAAATGCTTAATAGGACAGCAAGTATGGTATGCAAAGAAGATTCTCACTTAATGGTGCTAAGCAAAGAAGGTTTTGAGAAAATTCTCGGAAGTTATTAGTAGAGTATTGTAAAACAAAAAGTGAGTTTTTTGAAATCTTTTTCATTTTTTGAAAAAGTAGCTAACAGCTAGTTAATGAGCTTTTTGCATTGCTTCAAAATCCTTACTTTTACACCAAAATCGACAATTTATCTAGAAAATGATCCTGCTAATGAAATTTATTTGATAAAATCAGGAGAAGTCCAAATCTAAAAGTAAATTTATGTTGAATAAAAACTTCAACAGCAACTCAGTAGGGAAGCGAATAGCTAATCGATGGATTAAACAAATATATTATTCAACAAGCATTTGCAGAAGAATAGAAAGTAATCTCAAAAGAGAATAATTTAAATTAAAAGTTTAGGTCCAGTTTAATATTTTGGATAGGATGAAATACTATCTTAAGAGCCCAAAAGACTTTTTAGAGCAGTAGCCCTGTAACAAACCTAACTTTACATAATTAATAAAAAGGTAAGTTAATAAATAAACATTTAAAATTTTACCATTCAAATTTAAATAAACATTTTTAAAAAGGAGTTTTTTAGTTTTCTGAAGTACCAAAAGTAACTGAATATATTTAAAGATTAGTGTCAAGTCAAAAAAACATGGCTAAAGAACAGAGAAGAAGAAGTTACATAAGTGGTTTCTCTCTAAGAATCCAACCAAAAAACATATACTCCAATAGAAATAACTCCTTCCAAAACATAAGATCCCACATTTTAATTTAATACAACTTCATAAAATTTAAAGTCTCTTAAAGATAGTAAATAAAACTCAACTTATATAAATAATACATTCTCCATAAATAATAATAATAATAATAATAATAATAATACTTTTAATAACAACAATTATACTAATAATAACAATACCAATAGCAGTTTTTAATCTCCTACTATAAAACCCTAAGAAAAATTTTTTTAATTTTTTTAAACCTCAGTGAATAATTTTGAGAAAAATTCACCAATATAATAGATTAATTGGTAATAATAATATTTTTTCCCTTAGGAATAAAGCTAAATACCAAATATTTAGTTTCAAAATGAAAGTACTATTCAGTCTCCATAAAGTAAATCCAGCTAAAATAACTTGGCTCATCAAAATATATTTTCATCTTTAAAAAAAAAAAAAAATATGAAAAGCCAAAGTATTAATAATGCTTCTAGCATTAAAAATATTTTTCAAAATCAGAAACTGCAACAAATCAATAATCCCCAAAAAGAAGAGGAGGAAGAAATCTTATCTAAATCTTCTATTAAATAAAGAGTTGTAAAATTTTCAAATGATCTCCTCTAAAATAAGAAAAAAACACTTGAAAAAATATCTAACAGAACAAGCATAGAACTTAAAAAACCAGATTAGCCAACTTCTCATTACTTAGACTTATAAAAGCTCTTAAAAATAAATGAATAAAATGTAATTAAATTTATTTATTTATTGCTTTTTTTTAGCTTAAAATATATATTTACTTTCCTCTTTCCTCTTTATGTTATAAAACTTGGGATAGTAGATATCAACTTCTTAGTAATTTCTGCCCCCGATTTCTTATCCCCTTTACACTTGAATTATATTAAAGCTAATACTCTGCCATTAAAATAATTTGAAAAATACATTTTAGTTTTAATTATTTATTTATTATAGCAGGATTAGTTAATTTTTACTTATTTTAATGGCTTTTTTATTTTAAATATTTTTAATAAAAGTAAGTAATTATGAAGGAGATTCAAAGCAAGAAATACTCAAATGTTTCAGTAGAAAGATTACATACAGATGGTCCATACAAAAGCAATAATTTAGATAATATTTTTGATATCTTAACAAGGTCATCTAAAAAAGAATATAAATATGCAAATTCTAAAAATAAATTCTTTTTTCCTGAATAAAATAACAATATAATTTCTCCTAGAAGCGAAAAAAGTTGCAATAACTTAAAATCTTTTGGTAGAATTAATGAGATGCCATCAGAATCACCTATGACAACTCTCAGTTTTTCAAATAGTATTAAAAAACCAAACTACCTCTTAAAATCTTTCCTTTCAAAACCTTAGTTGGACATATAAAAAAAATCAAATTAAAATGAATCTTTTATAAAAAGTGGTATAGATTTACAAGAAAAAAATGATGATTCTTTCTAAAATAGATACACAAAACACGTTAATCAATCAGATTTGAGTTTAATTAATAATTTTACATATGCAAATTACTATAATAAAAATACAATTACCAACACTCATAAAGCAATAAACAGATCTTAAGATTTTAAAATAAGTGTTCCGAAAAATTTGTAAGCGAATCAAAGTTTAAATGAACTTAAGATTAAAAGCTCAGAAAGTTCTCCGCTGAGTATTTATTATGATAAGTAAGATGACATAAAAGAAGATGAAATTTAGAAAGAAAAAGAAGTCTAATTATCTTTCACTAGTTTTATCTAGCAAAACTCAGATCCAGTGACAAATTAAACACAAACTGTTTAAAAAAATAAAAAAAATGAATTTTAATAATTTTTTTAAAATAATGAAGTTTTAAAAAATAAAAGCATTCTTAAAATTATCAAATTTTAATAAAAAAACAAGTATATTTTTAAGTAGCTATAATAATACAATAGCAGCACATTTGACAACAGCTTATAGGATCAATAAACAAATAAATAATTTTCTTGATTAATCTATTATAACTTAAATATAAATATATTTTTAACTAATTTCATAATAAATTTAGTTTTTATCAAAATATTTATTTCTTTCTCTTCAAATTACATAATTTATTTTATTTTTAAATGTATATTACGAACTTTAATTTCATAATACCATTGCAAAAAAATTTTTGAAATTCGTTATTAAAGATTTATTTCCAATTAATAATACAATAAATATATTTTTAAGTAGCTATAATAATACAATAGCAGCACATTTGACAATAGCTTAAAAATCAATAAACAAATAAATAATTTTCTTGATTAATCTATTAAAACTTAAATATATATATATTTTTTATTTAACTAATTTCATAATAAATTTAAGTTTTTATCAAAATATTTATTTCTTTTTATTGAAATTACATAATTTTATTTTATATTTTTATTTTTAAGTATATTACAAACTTTAATTTCATTATACCATTGTGAAAGAATTTTTGAAATTAGTTATTAAAGATTTATTTCAAATTAATAATACCATAAATAAATTTTTAATTATGGAAAATAATATGGTGTAAGTATAGCTTAAAAAGCTTATTAAATGATAAAAGATTACTAAAAAATATTAAAATCAAAATGGGTTTGTTTAATTTAATAAAATTAAATATTAACTCTTCACAAATAATTAAGACAAGAATATTTTTTTCAATAGTTAGTTTTTTTCTAATAAATTGATTATTAATCAAACTATTGGTCAAAAAGTGATAAAATTAAATTAATAACCAATCTTATATATATTTTTTTTTTTGCTTGTAAGAGTACTATGTAGAACTTGCAGATAGAATAAAGCATAAGCACTTAAAAAAATATAGAAATAGAAAATTAAAGCAACCATTAAGAATGGGAGCATATTGAGAATCAAGATTAGTAATTAAAAGAATTTCACCAGCTAGAAGCTGCAAAAATAAGCTAAGACAAAACAAATGTTTTAGAAATCAATAAAAATATATTTGACTAAGATCTAGATGAAAGTATTGGATAATTAATTTAAGAATAAATGTTAGACAGCAATACGATCTAAAAAAATGAGTACTTCAACTAATCTCATCATGATATAAATTTATTTTATTAAGAAATGCAATTTAGATCAATACAAAACTTGCATTTAACTCATAGTTTTGCAGATAAATTTTAAATAAAATAGCATTTGTATAAATCATAATCAGTTGACTGTAATATGGAAAGCTTTAATCAGAATTAAAAATAGAAAAAGTTTTAGATTTAAGACTAAGAGACTTTTTCAAACTCCTAATGTCTGCCATTTTAGCATGAATACTCAGATTCTTTCAAAAAGTTGTACTTAATTTATGAACAAAAAAAGGATGTGAAGAAAGTAGAATAAAATTAATAAAAAATACAATTAATCGATGAAGAAAACATAAACTATTTTTTAATAAAGTCTCAAAATTAAAGTATGAAAGATGTTGAAAAATAAAACTTGAGTTTATAAATTCAATAAAATAGCATAGATTTGGAAAGAGAATGCCATGAAATATAAAAAAATAGCTAAGATAATTTTAAAGAAGGTTAGTAGAATTAAAGTACAACTGAAAAGGGCTTACAAATTTCTTATAACATAAATATTGTTCCAGCAAATATAAATATTGATGAGAATTAAGATAAAATGTAGCAGTCACAAAGTAATTCCATTCAAGACAAATAAGAATAGTAATATGTCATATAAGTATCATAATCTAATCAATAAGATACAAGTAACACTAAGAATGCTGGAAGGTAAAGTCTTATTGTTTAGACAATTCTAAAAAATAACGCTTTCAACCAAGCAAATTTATTAAATGCAAACGAAAATTAAGGTTCTTTAAATTAATTTGGAAAATCATTTGCAAAACTCTCAATTGACTTAGGAATATAAAAATCTATTGATATTCCAAGCTAAGTGCTTTCTTCATCATATTTATAGGGGAGTGATGTTTTCAAGACAGAGTCCTAAATAAGTCTGCACAAATAGACTTTAAAAATGATTGAAAAAATAAAAATTTTTAATAAATCAGCAAAGCTAGATTTAAAAGATCCAGAAATCAGTGATGTAAATAAATTAATAAAAATAAATATTTACAATTTTAATAAATTTTATAAATTTTCTACTAAAAAAATATAGATTGCAATTTAGATTTTACAAAAAAACGGTAAAATCGCTCACGAAATCAAATTTCTTCAGAAGTGCATAGAAGGAATGCCTCTATTCTAAAAGCACTAAGGTCTTTTTGAAAAAGCTAACACTTCATTTCATCTCTTCTCCCAAATAAAACATGTCAAATATTCAAAGAATCATGTCATTTTTAACTTTGGTAATTTTGCTTGAGAAGAAAATAAGCCAATTTAATTTATTATATTTTTAAAAATATTTCAGGAGAATACGGGTATCATTACTATATTGTCCTTAAAGGTAATAAATATATATTCAATTAATTAATCAACTTATTTTATATCTTAAAAGTAACATAAAGCTTAAAGCACAAATAAATTACTAAATATCACAATTAATATCTATTTTTAAAGATAATGAATTAATTTTTAAGAGAAAATTATTTCAAAAACAAATTATTTTATCTCAAAAATTTTTTAAAAAAATACATTTTTTCTTAATTTTAATAGTAAAATTTAATTTTGTGAAAAATTAATTTATTTTAAATCTGAATTAAATAATAAAAAATTTTTTTTTTTTGAATAGGTTCTGTTTCATGCTTAATTCCATAAAATTAATACAAAGATGAACTTATTTAAAAATAAAAGAAAATTGAATTTATGCAGCAAAGGATTCAGAAATTAAAAAATAAATAGCCTCAAAATGAAAAGGAAGAAAATGCCCCTTAGTTTATAGATATTGTAATGTAAGCATTTAAGTAAAAATAGGAAAGTGATTATCTTTCTCTCTTAAAGTCTTAGGGTAAACCCGTACCTAATATTTCTCTTTCTAAAAGAAGGAATTTTAAACCATAATAAGCTCAAGATTAAAACTTAACACCAGAAGTTTTAAAATAAAATTAGCTTTTCAACTAGTTTCTTTAAAAGAAAGGAATGAATAAACAAATAGAAGTTGTTGAAAAGTCTTCATTTTTAAGAAGGAAATCTAAAATTGAAATCGATACTAGCAAAAGAAAATCAAGACTAGAAGATGAAATAAATAAAACTAAACATAAATCACCATAACTAAACTCACAATTTTTAACTGTTCAGTAATAAAATGAATCACCTACAGAAAAAGATAAATTATAAAATAAAATAGATCAAGCAGATGAAAAAAAGGAGGAAAATTAATCAAAGTAAATATTTTTAAATTATTTTTAATTAAAATAAAATTAAATTAGTAATCAGACAACAGAATCTTAAAAATAAACTTTCTAAGAGTATCTTTAGAAGGAATTTTCTTAATTCTTTCCAGTTAAGACTTTTATAGCTGGAGAATCATTTGGAGAAATAGCTTTAATGACAAAGGAAAGAAGGTATTTGCTAACTTTCAAAAAAAAAATATATAATTATTGTTTTATATAGAACAGCTACAATGGTTTGTCAAGAAGAGACTCATTTAATGGTTTTGAGCAAAGAAGGATTTGATAAAATTATAGGCTCTTTTTAGTAATAAATATTAAGGGAAAAGTTAGAATTTCTTAGGAAATTTTAATTTTTAGACTCATTACCAACAAGTTAACTAATGAGTTTACTTCACTACTTTAAGATTAACAATTTCACTCAAAAAACAGTAGTCTATAATGAAGGAGATGAAGCTGATAATATTTACTTTATTAAATCAGGCGAAGTAGAGGTACTTAAAAAAGTAATGATATAAGATAAAAAGTACCATCAAGCTAAAAATGATGAAGAAGAAGAATCAAGCAAAAATCTTTTAGAAATGAATATTTCACTAAAAAATAGAATTAAATAAAAAAGGACAGAAACTATATCAATTAAACTTTTAGGTCCAGGTCAATGTTTTGGAGAAGAAGAAATAATTGAAGAAAAGAGCAAAAGATTATATAAAGTGGTTGTCACTCAGTAAGCTGAAATATTTTCTATTTAAAAAGAAGTAAAATATTATTTATTATCATTTTTTTATGCTTTTTGTGTCATCAAATTAAATTTTACAAATTTATTTATTTATTTATTTATAAAACAGCATATTTTGAATTCTCTGAAATCTTAAAAAGGATTGACAATACTATAAAAGTAAAAATAAATCAAATAAAATTGGTAAAATTTAATTTATCAATCATCAAAATAGCTAAGTATTTTTAAATAAATATAATTCAGGATAAATCAAAGAGAGAACTTTATTTCAACAAAAAAAGTAGAAACAACTTAAAAACTAAAAGATGATATGCACATTTTTGAAAAAAACAACAAAAAGAAAATTGATTATTTTGATATGTAAAGGTAAATAAAAGAAAACTTTATAGAAAACTCAAGTAGTGAATAACAAAACAAGCTAAATTTGTCAGATACATCTAATTCTTCAACAAGCAGATTTTTTAAATCTCCTCTTTAGAGTCCTTAACGATCATCTGTAAAAAAGCAATTAAAAAGCAAAACATCTTCATGATATATTTTATTTTTAAATAAATTAGTCTGAAAATCAAAATGAAATTTCTATGTCTTCTTAATTTTCCCCGTTAAGTTAAAAAAATTATCCACTCATGGACTCTCTAAAATTAAACGAGAATTTTGAAAAATCAGAGTAAAGTTTTTCACCAAGATTAAAGTAAATTTTTAACAAATTTAATTAATATTAAGATTTTAAATTAAAAATATAAATTTCAATCAAAGATTATAAAAATTAAAATATTAATAAGGTTGAATTTATTTTTTAATAAGAATGTTAATTTTTTTACGAATAAATAATTTATATAGAAATTCACAAATAAGTGATCAATTGAATTCTCCAGCTTCTTCTTAATATATGCACCAAAGCTCAGCAGATACTTCAAATATACTAAATTCTTAGAGTTAAAATTAAGAATTTAAAGAAGAAAAGAATATGAGAATTAAGAACTTATAATTAGATCAGATAAAAAGAACACCACAGATAAATAGAATTTTAGAAAAACACTCACCATAAATACCTACTATTTCGCTATTTGATTATAAAAATTAATCAGCTGAATTTGAGTTTAATTTAAATTCTAAAATTGTAGAAATTTAAGAAATGACATCACGAAGTAAAGTAAAAAATTGTTTGATTTATTTCTTTTTTTTGCTAAATTTATTTAAATAAAAGATTCTCAAGCAAAACAGACAGAATTTAATTTTTCTTAAAATTTATATTTTTAAATAATTTTTTTAATTGAAAAAATTAGATTTTTTTATTATTATAAAAATTAAAATGTAATTTACCAAATAAATTTATTAGAAAACTAATTGATTGACATATTTAATTATACAAAAAAGAGAAATTTTAAAACTAAATTAGAAAGAGAGATTAAGAATAATAAATTGTATAATTTTATAAAATGTTTAATTTAATAATAAAAAATACTCAAGCAATTAATTTTTAAATTAGAAATGTTGATTGAAATTTTTTATTAAATTATTATCATTAGTTAAAAAAATATTTGAAGTTTTTTAATATATTTAAGACGAAAATTAACAATTTAAGTTACCAAATAAATTTATTAGAAAATTTACTCAACTGAAATATTTATTATTATCAAAAAAGAGATTTTAAAAGAGTTAAATTGAAATATGAATTTAAGAATATAAAATTATGCAAAGTCTGACTTTAAAATCAATAAATTTTTTTTAATTTTATAAAATAATTAAATTAATTTTTTTTGAAAATAAAAGATGGATAATTATAACTTGCTTATTAAAAATAAAAACTAAATAGTAGAATCTAAAAATGATGTTAATGATAGAGATAAAATTTAAATTGATTTATTTAGAGATATAAAAAAGAAAAAATACTCAAATTTTAACAGTGGTAATGGTATGAAAAAAGGAGATGAATCATAAATATCACAGTATTCAAATAGCAATCTAGCTAAAGAAAGATTTTCAGAAACATAAAAATCTTTTTTGAAAGGAAATAATAGCTTATCAAAGCTAAGAGATATTCAGTCTAGAAATTAGAGCAGCACATTTTAAAATAATTAATAATTCAATTCTAAATTAAGAGAATAGGGTTAACTTTAGGGTAATCAAATTTTGAATGAAAAACTTAAGGATAATCAAAAAGAAATTACAAATATAAACTTAAATGAAACAGTATTTAAAAGCAATTCAGCTTAGCAAAAACCATAGTTTTACTCTTTATCTCCCCACTCTTTACAATAACATTTAAAAAAAGGAACTATTATGAATATCATTAAATAGTGCTAATCTACCTAATATATAAGTCAAAAGCACATTACCGAGTTTACAAAAGAAATAAGGAATAAACTTCAAAGTTCAACTTTGTACAGTAAAGCATTAATGAAAAAATAAAAAAATAAATAAAATATAAAATCATTCATCTCTCAAATAGATTTTAGTAATGTACTTAACGATAAAACATCAATCACTTAGTAAGAAACAACTAACCAAGAATAGCAGTAGCAAAATAATTAGTACAGCGAATTTTCTCATTAATTTGATGATAAGTGCTCTTTTTAACATGACTCTGATAAAATTGACAATAAAAAGTCATTATAAAAATTAAATAACGACAATAATAACATCCTTTGTCAAGAAAATTTTTAAGCAAATGAATCTTTTTATTCTACAACATAAAATAGATTTAGGTACAATAAAGAATTTAATAAAAGCAGAAAAGTTAAAGAAAGAATAGCTTTATCACCTCAAAATTAAAAATAAGAAAATTAAAATAAGGATTTTTCCTTTAATAATTTTTAATGTTCTTTAATTTAGAAATAGAATTCTAGATAAAGCAGTGCAGAGTACAGTAAATTTAATCCACACAGCTCTGCTTAAAACTATACATTTGAAACTTTTGTTAATCATAGTGAATCAAAAAATAGAGACTAATAAAAAGAAAAAAGATAATCACTGAACCTAGATAACTCTAAAAAGATAATAAATAAGGAATAATAGCTGCAAACTAAAAGCTACAATAAAATATCAAATAAATCATAGCATTTGAAAAATAATAGCTTGAATATGAATATGATTACAGATTATCAATAATAATAGTAATAAAAATACTAAATCAACGCAAGCTAAAAAAGTTTTTTGGTTTTAAATGATTAGCAGCTGACAGCTAACACACAAAATATTTTTACTAGTGTACCTACTACTCTAAGCGATTAGAAGAAGAGTATTTTAACTTTCAATGGTCTAAATAAAAATATTATTAAAACTTTTAAACTTGATAAGATCATTCAAAACGAACATGAAAAAAATTTTATTAAGCTTGCATAAAAATTTGAGTAAAACGTGAAAGATTTAAAACAGCTAGATAACTTTTAAATTAACACAAATTCTATTAGATATAATTTAACTTAAAGTTAATCTGCAATGGTTAGAAATAGACATAATCAAAGACTGATCGACCTTTGCAATCTAAAGAAAAAAATAAACATGAGCACAATATTAAGGGACAATCATAACAATAATAACATTGAAAACGTTTAAAATTTAAGAAAAAAAATAGATAGTTAACAAGCAGAGAGAGAATAGTCTGAGTAAAATAAATAAGATATTAGTCTACTCTAAAATCTACATATATAATAACTATAAAAACATAGTAAGCCCTCTTGAGATGAATTCTAGTCTTAGCATTATATAAAATTTATATATTTTAAAAAATGGCTTAAATATTTTTCATTAATTTATTTTAAAATTTTTACAAGTCATCTAAAATTTAGGTAAACTTTAAAATAAAAGATTTATTTAGATTGATTAAAATATTTTCATTTGTAGAAATTTTGAAAATTTGTTAATTCCCTATTGAAAATTTAAAATAAAATTAATGAAAATTATTTATTTTTTATTATATTTTAAAATAATTTATAATATTTATTTTTCATTTTATAATATTTGTTTATTGACTTTAAATTTAGATAGATGCTTGGCTTGTTTAAAACTATTTTATTAATTTGAAATATTTTTATTGTAATAAAACACATTATTATTTTTAATGCATTCATTTTGAATGTAATCTAAATGTTTATTTTAATGAACATTTAAGAATCTACTTTTAAATTAAAAAAACGACTTGCAATCATAATTCACACTCAAAATAAATCCATGATAAAAATAAAATAATTTTTTAAATTTATTTAAATTTAAAATAAATAAATAATTTATAGTAAATTTATCAAAATTATTAATTAAAGTATTTGGTAATTAAATAAAGGATATTGCTTGCTTATTTTTAGTATTAATCTTAAATTTAATTTATCTTAAGGATTATTTTTTGATAAAAAATACATTTCATTAGATCAATTAATTTATATTTTAAAAGTAATAAATAAAATGTTTAGAAACTTATTAGTTAAATCAATTAAGTTAGCAGCCAACAGACAGCTCTTTGCTTAATAAAAAAATACTAAGCTCTTTAACGCTTGGTTGAGTTAAAACTAAATTTAAAGCCTCAACGCTTTAAGTTCTCAAAACAGATATAATTTTACTTCCTCTGGAGATACTTAAGTTAATCAAATTTTAGATGAAGTTGAAGCAAAGGTTTTCTAAGTTTTAAAAAGTGCTGCTAAGTGTAAAGCTGATAAATTGAGCAGAACAGCTACTTTCGAAGAACTAGGCTTTGACTCTCTCGATGGAGTTGAGCTCGTTGTTGCCATGGAAGAATTATTTGGTTTTGATATTACTAATGAAGAAGCTGAAAAAATTGTTTCAGTTCAAGACGCAATCACAATTTTCAATAAAAATCTTGTAGAAAAAATCAATAGAGATAAGCTTGTTGAATTATAAGAATCCGAAACAACTCCCTTAAAGAAGTGAGTGCTAAAAAATCCTTAGTATAAATTTTTAACTTAACATTATCAGTGAATGAATGAATGCTCTTTTTAAATTAATTATCAAGTATGAAAATAAATAAGTATTTTTAGATGTATTTATATGGCTTATATTCAATTATAACCTCATTTAACCACTTTGTAGTTCTTTAGATAAAATCTTTTAAGAAATAAATGGTTTTATCTTTTCTTAATTTTAATCTTTGAAATTTGTTTGTTTATTAATGTAAAAAAGAAATCTAAATAAATGCTTGATTTTTTTTCTAGAAAATTTATTTATATACACATTTATGCACAAACTTTTATTTCTATTTATAAAAATACATAAAAATATTAAAAGACATATCTCTCATTCTGTAAATTGGCACACTTATGGTTTTTCAACATTTAGATAATCTTCAGTTTTCATAGAAATCGACTTAGTCCTTAATCCACAATTAAAGTTTATTACATCTCCTTAATCTAGCAGGCTTTAATCAGTAAGAGTTTTTATACCCCAAATGGATCCAAATGGTGGTACTGCACCTGGGATGCATTTTGTGAGGCTATAAACTTCTTCTGGTTTAGCTAAATCTAACTTTTTATGTCCAACAATACCTCTAATTAGCTTCCAAGAAAGCTTTTTACTAGCTGACATAACAGCTAATATAAATGTAATATTTTATTTATCCTTAAGTAACATTGCTTTTGCCCCAGAATCCAAGGAAACTCCTCTAACTTAAGCTGATTCTTCACTTGTTTTGCATGGTTTATGATCTAAAGTTGTAAATTTTATCCCATTTAAAAGCTTAAAAACTAAATCGCAAGAATAGTTGTCTTCTTTAATATTTTCGTCGCCTTGTTCAATATTTGTCATAACTTCTTCTTTTTATTGACTTTATTCTTTAGTTTGATTGTTTTAATCCATTTTACTATATCTTTTTGATTATTAATATAATGATATCAAATATAAGATTTTTTGCAATTAGATTAAACAAATTTGAGTTCTTAAAACTTACTTTTCTGAAAACTATGAAAAATCTTGGAATTTTCATCAATTTTGTAATATATAAACTCTTTAAATCTTGAATTAGTTAATTCTAAAATAAAATTAGAAATTTTACATCAAAATTTTATAATAATTTTAATTAATGAAAATTTTCATATTAAACTTATTTATTTTTATCTTTTAGAATTTAAATTTTTTTATTTTTGAAAATAGTATTCTATTTTTTTAAATGAAATTATTTGAGTAATATTAATTTATACTTATTTAATATGATGAATTAGTACTTTTAATTAATTAAATAATTAATGATATCATCAGACTTCAAAAAGATAATATTGTTCATTGAATATTTTTATTTTTATATTATTTTTAATAATAAAATTATATCAATATTTCTTCAAGAAGGAGGAACTTGCATTTACTAATTTTTGATTAATTTATACTTTTAATAAATAAATGCTAAAACTAAATAATTAATTTTATGATAAAATTCAAATAATATTTTTATAAGTTGAGTATTAGACTTTAATAACCCAAAAATTGAAGGAGGAAAAGAGAATAAGACAGACAAAGTAGATACAAATTTTCTAATATTTAGACTTAATTCAGTATAAAATTACTTTTTTTTATAAATTTAATAATAAAATTATATTGAATAATATTTATTATATAAATTTATACTTGCTTTGATAAATTAGCACTTTTAATTAATTAAACTCTAAAATTAAATAATTATTTTATCATCAAAATTCAAAAAAGTCTTATTATAAATTGAATATATAAAAAATATACTTTATATTAATTTATTATTTTATTTTTAATGATAAATTTTAATAATTTTTAATATAATTTGTATTAATAATATTTAAAATGAAATTTTATTTAATAATGACTGATCAATTAGAACTTTCAATTAACAATATTCTAAAAATTAAATAATCCCTTTTATCATCTAAATATATTAAAAAATGAATTTAATTAATAAATTATTTTTTATTTTTAAAAGATACTATTAAAAAATTATTTTTATTTTATTAATTTTTGGTTTTAAAATTATATTGATTTTGAATGAATTTATATGTATAATATTTAATAATGAACTAATCTATGTATGACTGATAAGCATTTTTATAATCCAAAATTAGTTTCTTTTTTAATTAACTATTTTTTTAAAAAAAAAAAAACAGAAGTTATTATACAATACACTTTATGGTCTCTAAAAATCATTAATTAATTTTTTGAAAGAAATCTTTCTTATATAACTTTTCAAACAGAAATAATTATTATTTTGTAATAAAGCTTTATAATTTAGTTTATTAAGGTATTGAGAATATAAATCAACAATTACTAAAAGCATAAAATATAGTGAAGTGTAGAATTAGGATTTAAAAGTAGTAATTTAATAAATAACTATTAAGTTGAAATAAATAAATAAGTTGAAGTGATCTCAATCGAAATTTTCAATAATAAGTAAGCAAATAAGTAATTAACTAATGAATAGAATGAATCCATACGATAGTAAAAATAATGATCCTATTCGCGAGAAGCTCAAATAGTTAGAAGAAAAATCAGTTGAGCTATAAAAATAGGGTAAATATGGAGAGTCTCTTGATGTATTAGAAGAAGCTTTTAACCTAAAAATCAATGCTTATGGTGAAGAAAGCGAAGAAGTCCTTAAAACAAGTGAAAAGCTTTGTGAGCTTTGTAATTTGATTGCTATGTTATGTCTAACAAGAGGGAAAAATGAAGCTTGTTTTGAATTCTTAAAAAAAGCGAGAGTTTTATGTGAAAATTCATACAACTTCAAAGCAGTAACCTACAACAATATGGCTTGCTACTATAAGCGTATAAATAAAAATAGAGTAGCTCTTGATTATCTCAAAAAGGCCTTAGAAATAGAGATACATATAGATCGCCCATAAAGCTTAGCTGATACCCACCTTAATTTATGTGCAGTTCTTTCATAGTTAGAGCGCCACAAAGAGGCTCTTGAGCACGTTCTTATGAGTATTGTTCTTTTACAAGAGGAACACATGCAGAATGTTCTTTAGTATGGACATCCTCGCCAAAGATAGTAGCAAAATATGCATAATTCAGAAAATTAGGATCCTAACGATAATGATGATGGAGATTATCAAAATCATGAATAAAAAGGATAATAAAACAGTGATGGTGGAAATAGAAATTTTGATGATCGTATTGCAGTTTTAGCAATAGCTTACCACAATATGGGTGTTGAATTAGAATTCCTCAGTCGTTTTGAGGAAGCTATTCAAGCTTATAAGAAAGCTGTTAATTTTTCGATAACTTATCTTGGAGAAAGCCATAGTCTAGTAGAAAATCTCAAAGGTGTTCTAGCCTAAGCAGAAAACTAAATACAATCATAAAAGTCTAAGGAAATTCGTAGAAGAGAGGGTAAAGACATAAATAAAAAACCTTCAATCCGTATCAACCAAGCTTAAACAGTTTACAATACATCTGATATGCCATATAAACGTGCTACAACTGCTAAATCTGCTCCTGGTGGAGGTAATTTTAGAATAACTTCTGCCTAAACCACTAATAACCCTTAATATAAAACAAAACTGCCTTCTATGCAATTCTAACAAAATCAGGGCACAGGAGGAAACATTCCGATTTAAGGAGTCCGCTCACCTACCTAGTAAAGGCCTTATACATCTAACTATCCATCTCAAAGTTCTAAAAATATGAATCAAGGTTAAATGAACTAAAATTATTATTAGAATAATTAATATGATTAATAATAATATACTCCATAAAATTAGCAGCAATCAAACTACTAAATGTAATAAAACAATTAACAATATCCTTAAAACGAAATGCTGAACCCTCGAATTGATCATTCAAGAAATGATATTTCCCCAGACTAGTACTCTAATTAAAATAATTGAGAATTTCAATATAACTTTAATATAAACTACCAAATAAATTAAATATCAAATATTTAAGTTATCTTTTCATGCATAAAAACAAATTTTAATAATATTAACTTTGCATTTTGTTATTTATATTGATTGATTGATCGATTTATCGATCTCATCTGACTATTTATTTATGTTTTTTAAAATAAAAAAATTTTAATTTTTAATTGTAAAATAATTTTAATTTTATTTTTATTAATTTTAAATATTATTTTTAATATTTATTTTAATACAATACTCATATTTTAGATAAAAATGGTTCTTCAAATTTTTATTTAAGTTGAAAGAAAATTTTGTATGATTTATGAATATTATTTTAATATTTAAATTAAATGTGGAACTAATTACCAATAATCTTAATGACATATTTCTATAAAAGGAAAGTATAGACAAATAAATAATATTGATTGAAATTATTCTTGTAAAAAAATTATATTTAAAGAAAATCTTATTATCTTATACGTGCATTAAATAAATATAATAAATAAATAAATAATTTATATCATCTGTTTTGTGTTTTGAGGAGATAAAATAATAGTTGGTTTGCTAAAATGTTGTCTCAATATTTTTATTGGTTAAGAATTTAATTTATTGATTTCTCCTTATAAAAATGAGGAAATTTAGAAAAAGAATTATTTTTTTTACATATTAAATATATAAACTATTTTAACTAACTTTAAAATTGTTTGGTTTGGATATATGTTTTTTGAGGAAATAAAAGTGAAATAATGAGAATATATATTTTAAATGGCTTAATTTATATTTACTTATACAATTTTTTATAATTTCTGATGAGTTTAATGATATTTGTTTATTTGTATGGTAAGAAGATTTTTCATGTAAGGTAGATACGATCAAAAATGTTAAGGATTTTAGATTAGAAGAAATAATTTTGCTTATTTTTTATCATTTATTTGTTTTTTTATTTTTATAAAGATTTATTAGCAATTATAAAGTAAATTAAAAATATAGACAATTAATTAGTTCGATATGTTAAAGTTATTCAAAAGCAATTCTAATAAAACCAAAGAAAATGAAGTAATTAGTATGAAGTTTGAAAAAACTGAAAAGACTGTTAATTTATAGACCTACAATACAAGAGCTATATAATTGATAGAGTAGTAGGATTTGTTTTATCTGCAGGCTGACAAATAAATCACAAATATTCAAACCTGCTTATAAATCGATAGAAAAACTGGAAATATTTCAGAAATACCACAAGATGAGGTTAAAAGCAGCAAAGTTTTAACAGATTATAGTGGATTTTTAGGTATTATTAATATTGCAGGTGTTAATTTTTTAATGTTTGTGAAAGATGTCCACATTCTATCTGTTCTTGATGGAAGAGATAAAATTTATGAAATGGTTTCGCTGGATTTTGTGCAAATTCATTAATCAGCTAATAAGTTATCAAAAGATATCCATGAATTTACATCTTATATTGAAAAGTATTTATGCAGCAAAAATGGAGGATATTACTTCTCGTATACTTATCCTTTAACTGTGTCGCAGTAAAAAATTAATGATTTAAGAAAACTTTAATAAAACTTGAATAAACCAGTCTTTCACTTAGTAGATAATGATTTCTTATGGAATCACCACCTTCTTAAACCTCTGGTTGATTAAATGGTTTCTAAAGAGTGGCAAGCTTAGCTAATCCAAGGTCACGTTTATAATGTAGTAATAGGAAGCGATGCCAAAAATTTAATTTTTTATACAATCATTTCAAGGAGATAATGCAAGAGAGGTGGTACTAGATATAATCATAGAGGAATTGACTCTGAAGGTTATGTAGCTAATTTTGTAGAAAGTGAATAAATTATTCTATTTAATTCTATGAAAAGAATAATCTCACATCTGTAAATTAGAGGAAGTGTACCTTCTTACTGGACTTAGAGAGGTATTTCGGCAAAATTGATAATTGAATCATCAAGGGAGCTTTCTGATCAAGCATGTTCATTGCATCTTAACTATCTTAAGAATAATTACAATAATGTTATTTGTGTAGATCTTATGACTGAAAATAAACAAGATGAATTAAAATTGATGACAGAATTCAGGAATCTTTTGCTTAATCCTTCTACTGAAAGTAATTCAATTGGCTAAATTAAAAAAGACTTTTAAGGCTTTATTTAATATTTTGAATTTGATTTCCATAGAGAAGTAAAAGGCGATAAATTTGAGAATATTGATAAATTTATTAGTAGCACTTTTCTTTAAGATTTGTAAAATTATGGATGTTTTGTTAAAAAGTACTCATTAGAGTTTGATTAGATAGGGAAATCTTTGAATGACTAGATAGGCGAGGTTTAGTGGAGACAAAAAGGAATCGTCAGGACGAATTGTTTAGATTGCTTAGATAGGACTAATTTCTTCTAATTAAGAGTTGCTTTTAATGCTGTTTAGAAAGTAATATTTCCTTACTTAGGAATTGAGTTAAAAAATGCAGACTTTGACAATTTTTGTAAAGATTTTCAATATAGCTGGGGAAAAAATGGTGATAGAATCAGTAATCACTATGCTGGAACAAAAGCAACTACTTCCATGGTTGCTAAAAAAGGAAAATCTGGAGTTTTGGGTTTTATTAAAGGGAAATTGACTTCAGGATAAAGATTCTTCAAAGGAATTTTCACTGACGCTTATAAATAACAATGTTACAGCGTTATTCTTGGAGAACACTATGAGACCTAGCAAAACTTAGAATATCAGGAAAATTTGTATAAAGAATTAAAATAGGCAGAAAGTAGATTTATAAGCCATAATAATATAACTATTTTTGTTGCTTCATGGAGCGTCAACTCATATGTTCCTGACAAAAAATCGAACCTTAACACAATTTTTAAAAATAATCTCCACAATACTAACTGCAATTATAAGATTAGAAACATGCAATAGTCCTCAATTAAAGAAACAGATAGCAGATAGATTTCATGTAAATTTGTTAGAATATATTTTTAATAAAGTTGATTTATTTTAATTAATTTTTTAAAATTTTAATCAAAAGAAGGAGGAAAAGATTCTATTTTCTCAATTAAAAATTCTAAAAAATGCGATATAGTTATAGTGGGTCTTCAAGAAATTGTTGAATTGAGTGCTAAAAATATCCTTTAGATTAGTTAACCAAAATCCACAGATTTATAATAAAAATGGTAGGAATTAATACATGAGCACATAGGTGGATAATAAGAATATTTCTTTGTTGATTCTCACAGTATGGCTGGAATAACAACCTTCATTTTTGCAAGGGTCGACTTGAAAGAGAAGATTTCAGATATAGAATATGATGATGTTCCAACCAATTTAGGTGGAAAATTCATTAACAAAGGTGGGGTTGGTTTTAGATTCTGGGTTGATGATACTTCGATTGCGGTATTAAATTGTCATTTACCAGCAGGACAGTCAAATATTGATTAAAAGATATCTTCATTTAATAGCATACATCAGAAATTATTTTAGTAAGAAGGTATGGCAATTTATAAGAGAGACCCTATTTGGAAGTCAGATAAAGTCATTTTAATGGGAAATTTAAATTTTAGAGTAGATAAGAAAGAGAAAGACTGTAAAAATGAAATTTAATAAATTATAAATTTACAAAAAGGAGGAGAATTTGTTAAGTCTTCTTAAGAAATTTAACAAAAATTAATTTCTTATGATCAACTTAAGTGTTTAAATTATTTAGCATAGAATTAAAATTCATCACAAAAAGAAAATGTAGATCAAAATTTAGAATTCTAGCCATTAAGTTCAGATGCAAAAAAATACTTTAATAATTACATAAGCGACTGTAAGTTATACCTCGAAAATTACTATGAAAAAAAAATACACTTTCTTCCAACTTACAAATTCGAAGTAGGATCTGATAACTATCATAATTCTTGGAAATCAAGAGTGCCTTCTTATTCTGATAGAATCTTTATTTGGGATGTTGAAAAGTAAAACTAAGGCATCGAATAATCATATCTCTAATACGATAGTGTATATGGCATAGATAACTCTGACCACAAGCCAATTTTTGCAATTTTAACTTTCGATGTAAAGGAAATTGATTATTAATTGAGAGAATAAATTATAGAAGAAATTATTCTGAAGCAGTAAGGTAAAACTTAGTCAAATTTTTTAATGAATCTAAATAATGACGATAATGACTTTTATGATTAGAATGAAAATATTACGTAAAAGGGAGCATTTGAAAGTTTTGTTGATAAAGATTTTTTTTCTTCATGAGAGCTAGATAAGATAGATAGATAGAAAGATAAATAATAAATTTAGATAAAACTTTTGTAACAAAATTATATTTATATTATATATTAATAAATAAATAAATCTTTTATAAGCTTAACTAAATTTGATAAAAAGTCATTGATATGTAAACAAAATGTACAAAACCAATTAAAATTCTAACTAGACCATTTTTATTAATCTAAGATTTAGATAAAAATTCTAGTAATATAATTTTTAATAGCTGTTAAAGATTGTAATTAATATTATTTTAATTTACATAAACGAGAAATGATAAAAAGAATTAGTTAATTTTTTTCTTTAGTAAATACTTGGAGTTTTTTATTCTTTCTCTAATGTTTAAAATTATATTTTAATACTTCTATCAAAAATTTATAAAAGCCTTCTATAAATTAAGTAAATTTTATTTAAGGCAAGTTATGATGTAAGGAGTAAAGAAACGATTTTAATTCTATGCTAGACTATTTCTGTTTTTTATATGTTTTTATAAAGTAGTATTTTAGTTTTTAATTACTATTAAAGCATGAATTAATATAAAATATAGAGATGTAAAAATTATTTAATACCATAGATATTTTATTATCCATAGATATTTATAATGCTTTTACTCTCTCAAAAATTTAGTTTACAACTTTATTATTTTATTTATGGTAAACTCAAAAATTTAATTATATTTTTTTGATTTTAGTTTTTGTATCTATTTCTGTATCTTAAATATTTTTATACAGTAAATACATCCAATAAATTGTAGTTTAAAAATATGAGAAATAAAAAAATTAAATATCAGAGAAATTTAATAATCCTTGAGATATTTAGAATGTTTTCTTAAATATTTAATTTTCAATTTCATCTTTATTTATATGATAAATTTGATTTTTCTATTTTCGATTTGAATATTATTTTTTTTCTTCAATATCTTAAATACTATTTCTTATTTATTATAAACTAAATTTTCCTAATCATTAGATTTGAAGAAAATTATAGATATTATAAATATTTTGATATTGTAAAAAAATATAAATTTGATAATCTAAAGTTCATTTTATATTTTTTATTTTAAGACAATTCAAGCTTAATAAATTAATTAGTTGGAATTGGTGCTAATCTGATTTTTTAAAATGCAAATTTATTGATATTGTGTAAATCAAAAGTATAGTTCGGAAGGTTATTATTTTTTAAAAATAAATATTTACCATAAATTTATTAAATCTTTCTACTCAATATTCAATTGTTTTTAAATTTGATGTAAATTTTTAAGAGTTCTCTTAAGCACCATCCAAATTTAATTAAATGATGATCATTTCTATCCATAAGAAAGTTTTACTTTCTATTTATATTAATGGATTATGGATAGGGATTTTAGTTTATACAATTACACTAAAACTACTGAATAGTTCTATTTAATATTTATGGAAATTAGATTGTATTAAAAAAAGTACTAGTAAAAAAATATTAATTAAATAAACAAGCAAACAAACAAAAACAAAGATTGAATAAAATGACTGTCAAATTTTAATTGAATATCTTATTTTTATTTCTAATTTATTAAATAAAAATTCTACTTTCAAGTAAAATATCTTTTCACCTTTTATCCCTTAGCGTTTATTTTAATAAATAGAGGAGTTACTCATTTCTGAAGAATTTTAAAAACCTTAAATTACTTCTGCGGATGTTGTTGGATGGTCAAAAAACATTATTAGAACTTGTGAGCAATAAAATATTGTTGAGTACACTGGATAAATCTTTGGGGTTTTTTCTTAAGATGTTACTAAAAACTTTAAAAACTACACTAAATTACCTCCACATTGGAGTGCGCTAGTAAGATTAGACTTGATGCTTTATGGAAGTGTAGATGCTGATGAAGGAGATTTTGCTGGAATTAGCATCGACTCAAATACTATGGATAGATATACAAAAAATGATGTAGATGGATATAGAATTTGTTCAGATTCGTCAAACTTTTGGGGTACACTATATAATGATGCTATTTATCCATATTAAAAAAATGTTACTCACGCTAGTAGTTTTTTAGTGCTCAAAATAGATTCTCAATTTACTGGAAAGAATACAGCTCGTGATTATGAAGGCTATGCATTCAAACATGTTTCAGTTTATGTTGATACATGTTATGAGAGTTGCTAAACTTGTAATGGTCCCACTTCTGTAATTAAAACTCAATTCTCATAAATAAATAATTAATTATTTTTATTTATCAATAGAATTAATGTACTGCTTGTATAGATAAAGCAGTTTAAGTTAATGGTGTATGTACCTGCCCAGGTTAACTCTTTGCTTACAATTTTGAATGTGTTGCTGCTTGCCCTCTTGGTTATGTAGGAAATGTAGTAACCAAAATATGTGAATAGTCTAAATGCTTAAATAACTGTAGCAATTGTGTCAATTAGTAATGTACCAAATGCAACTCTCCTTATAAATTAATAAATGGAGAATGTGTTTCTGCATGTCCTTCTTATTCTACAGATAAAGTAACCTATTGTGAAGATAAAATGACAGGGTTAAATTGTAAATTATTGTTTTTCATATATTTTTAATGCTTTAATTATATTAATTATTTTCAAAGATGGAGGATATGCTTTTAAAGGTCTTTATTCTTCTAACTTTGGAGATAGCGAAATTTAAGGTTAAGGTTTGAAACTTGTAAATTTTAAAAATGGTGGTGCAACTTTTAGTAGCTGCTCAGGAGAAAGATTTGTAGGTGGATGGAATGTTGCAGGCTCAGGGTCTGAGATTAGAAGAGAGATTGCTAACTTGTATTTTTAAAATATTTAATTAATTTAATTGATAAATTTCTTTTTTATTAACATTAGTAAACCTCATTGGTCAATAAGAATAGGTTTTAAATATATAATGATAGATAATTGGGCTAGTAGTGAAAATATTTAAGTGGTTTTAGATAATAATAAAGTTATTTCTACCATATCAAAAGCTTAATCTAATTAGGTAGGTAATATATGTGGTAATAAAAATACCGAAGCAACAGGAGTCTATGACTATAATAGCACTCATATAAGTTCTTCTCTTATCATTTCTATTAAAACCAACTTAGATTCTGGAAAATCTCCTTTTGAAGCCTCGTTTGGAATTAGAGAGTTGTTTATTTTAGTCAATTATGTAAGTTTTTAGTTTATTTAATTTAATGTGAAATTAATTTTACTATTTATGGTTGATTAACAGTGCTAAGATAATTGCCTTGAATGCAACTAAAATGGTTGCACAAAATGTCCTCAAGGAACTTATCTTTATTAATATAATTGTGGTACTTCTTGCCTAACTGATCTAGGATATTGGCCTAATGATAAGACAAATACTTGCGATACTTGCTAAGGAAATTGCTTAACATGCGACACGGCAGGTAATTTAAATATTTATATATAATATATTTATTAATTAATTAGTTGCTTTGATTTATAAACAACAGCAACTTCATGTTTAAAATGCAAACCTGGAACATACTTGTATAACAAATCCTGTTCAAACACGTGCCCAGATGGATACGCTCCAAATTAATCTACACTAACTTGCGATAAATGTCATTAAAACTGTAAAACCTGCTCAAATCCAAGTAATTTATATGATACCCGATAAAAAATAATTTGACATAAAATTTATTAGGTGATGATAGCAAATGTACACAATGCTAAGGTTCAAGATTTTTGAGTGGATCTTAATGCGTAGAAATATGCCCTAATGGATAATATGGAGAATTTAGTAAAATTTTTTACAATTAATTGTTTGATTAATATATTATTTTAAAAGATGGAAATAAATGTACACCTTGTAATGCTAACTGCTTAACCTGTAAGGGTCCAACAAATGCAGATTGTTTATCTTGTAACATAAATAAGCTATATTAACCAGATAATAATACTTGCGGAACTAGCTGCAAAAGTAATTAATATATTAATGGAACAAATTGCACTCCGTGTGATAAAACATGCTTTACTTGCAGTAGCGGAACAGCAAAAGATTGTAAATCTTGCAATAATGGGTGAGTTTTTTTTATAAAAAATTCTTAAAATAACTTTAATTTTATTGTAAAATAGATATTTATTTTCAAATCAATGTCTTACTTAGTGTCCAGACCAGTATTACCCAGACTCATCAGATAAATCAGCCTAGGTTTGTAAATAATGTAATTCTTCTTGTTTTAATTGTAATGGACCAAATTAAAATTAATGCACATAATGCAGTGGAGATTTATATTTAAATCCTGGTAACCTTTGTCTGAAAACTTGCCCTGATGGCCAATTCTAAAATTCAACAAATAACAAATGTGAAACTTGTGATTCTAATTGTAAAACTTGTGCCACAGCGAAAAATAATTGCTTATCGTACTAAAATAAATTAATTAATTAGATTTTCTATTTAAAATTTTTTTTGTTTTATTTTTAGATGTAATGCAAATCAATTTTTAGATACAGATGGAGTTTGTAAAGGTGCATGTCCTTCAGGAAAGTGGACAAATAATAGTAATAAATAAATAAATAAAATTTATCAAATATTTTTTAGTAAATATTTATTTTTTCTAAAGCAACTAAAAAATGTGAGTTATGTGATCCTAATTGTAAAGCATGTGATGCAGCTAGCAAGAGTAAATGCACTTCTTGTAACTCTCCATTGTTTTTAGATAAAGATAAAAACATATGTGTTAATTCTTGTCCTTCTTAATATTTTGGAAATTAATCAAGTTTACAGTGCTAGGTATTAGTTTATTTTTTATATTTATTTTTTTACAAATTTAGAAATTTTTAACTTATTTATAATTTGTTCTACTTTAAAAATATTTAGAAATGTGATACTACCTGCTAAGAATGTACTGGATAAAATAGTAATCAGTGCACTTAATGTAGTGGCACTTTATACTTAGATGTTAATACATGTGTTGCTACCTGCTAACCAGGAAAATTTTCTAATTAAAAAACAAATAATTGTGATCTGTGTGATTAAACTCAATGCAAAGAATGTACTGGTTCTAGTACAAACTGTACAAAATGTAATACAAATTTATATCTTAACAATAATAACATATGCTAAGCAATTTGTCCTAAAGGATATTATGCAAATTTATAAAATGGAAAATGCGATTCTTGTAATCCTAGTTGTGAAACTTGCTTCGGCCCAGGTTCAGATTAATGTACTAATTGCAAAGGAGATTTATTTTTTGATCCAATTTCATAAAAATGTGTGAAAAATTGTTAATAATAATATTATGCTAACAATGAAAATAATTAATGCATGTAATGTGACAAGTCATGCCTAGAATGTACAGGTTCTCTTAAGAATTAGTGCACAAAATGTCCAGATTAAATCATCCTTTTTAATAATCAATGTATATCCAATTGCCCTGACAATTACTTTAAAGATCCAAATGCTTATAATTGCATCAAATGTGATTCAAGTTGCTATAACTGTAGTGACAGTACCCCAAATTCTTGTACTCTTTGTAAAGGAGATCTTTATTTGACACCTTCAAAGCAATGTCTATAAGATTGTCCAGATGGAACATATAAGGATAATAATATTTGTAAAAAATGTGATTCAAGTTGCTTAACTTGCTCTGGACCAGAAAAAACTAACTGTTTAAGGTAAATAGTTTATTCAATATTATGAAATAGAGAATATTTCTGAAAATTTTTTTAAATAAAATACTGTAAAATCTTTATTTTTTTTCAATAAATTTATATTTATTTAAATTTTTAAGTTTAATTAATTATTGTTTTAAATTTTTAACGATTAAGGTTATCAAACAGATTATAATTAATATTTTACAGTATTGAAATAGAGAGCTTACTTTTTTAATATTTAAAATTATATTTAAATTATTTTAGGTGTGGAGGTTTAACATATTTAGAAGATAATTAATGTTAATCAGATTGTAAAAATGGATGGAAAAATTCAAGTAAATTTAAAATTATTATTAAAAAAATATCATTTATTATAAAAATAAAAAGATACAAACACCTGTGATGCATGCAACAGTAAATGCTCTAAATGCAATGGTCCTGATGAAAATAATTGTAAAGAATGTCCTAGCGGAACATATCTTAATACTTTAGATAATACTTGTGGTACTAATTGCCCTCAAAATTATTATCCTAACACATCTAACAACAAATGCACTGTAAAATTTACTAAATTATTTATTTTATGATTAATAGCTATTATAAATTCACTATCACATTAGACATATATTAAATAGGCTTTATTTTAAACTTTAATAAATTAATAGTAATGCGATTCTTCTTGTAAAAATTGCTCCAATAGCGGATCGGATAAATGCACAGAATGCTAAGGCACTTTATTTTTAAAAGATGGTAAATATTGTTCACCTAATTGTAATGATAATGAGTATGGTAACTAAGCAAATAATATATGTGAGCCTTGTGATTCTAAATGCAAAACATGCAAAGATATTGCTGATCAGTGTACTGGCTGTAATTCAGGAACTTATTTAAATGATAATAAATGTGAAACAAATTGCCCTGATTCTACATTTAAAAATGATAAATCAAATATTTGTGAAAGCTGCCACAATTCATGTAAAACTTGCTCTGGCCCATCTAATTCTGAATGTAACTCTTGTGGAGTAGATACTTTTTTGGATAAAACTAAAAATACTTGTGTTCCTTAATGTCCAAGTAAATATTTTGGAGATTCTGCTACAAACACATGTTTGAATTGTGTTGAAAATTGCGATTTATGCTCTGATGATAAAATATGTTAAAAATGTTCAATTGGATTCTTCTTGCATAATGGTTCATGCGTAGCTTAATGCCCAACTAAATACTTTAACGATTTAAGTAATTTCATTTATTTCTAAATTTTTCAAATTAATTTTTTTTTACAAACTTTAATAAAATAAAAATTAATTTAAAAAAAAATAAATAATTTAAAAATAGACAATTAATAATGCTCTCCTTGCTCTTAGAATTGTTAAACTTGCTTTGATGCTACAAGTAATGGATGTTTAACATGCGTTTCAGGGACATTTAAAAATTAAGATAATAGTAGTTGCTTACATGATAACGAATGTCCATCTGGTAAATATCCAGATTTAAATACTCAGAAATGTGAATCTTGTTTTTCAACATGTTCTGAATGCACAGGAAAGGATGAAAATTAATGCAAAAAATGCATTTAAGATAAATTATTTTATAAGGGGGAGTGTTTGAAATAGTGTCCAAGTAATACTTATATATTTGATAATTAATGTATTGACTGTCACAAGTCTTGCTCTACATGTTCTGGTAGCTCGCAATTCTAATGTTTAACATGCCCTACAGGTGATTATTATTTTTTTAAATAAAATTTAACTCAGTTGAATTAATAATTATTCTAGGGTTTCTTTAAGAAGGAAGTTGTGTTGACTAATGCATTTAAAATTATTATCCAGCTACAAAAAATGGGTAGTAAGTCTGTCTATAATGCTATGAAAAGTGCTCTAAATGTAATGGTCCAGATTCAAATAATGTATAAAATATTATTAAATAAATATAATGATTAAGAAAAATTTTTTATTCTTGAATAGTGTACTGAGTGTCCATCAAATTCATTCATGAACTAAAACTAATGTGTAGAAAATTGCCCTGTTTAACACATTTATGATGTTTAAAGAGTTTGCTAAAAATGCACAAAGGCAATTAAGAATAACAAATGTGTAGAGGAGTGTGCTTAAAATGAATATTTAGACTAAGCAACCTTATTGTGCTAACCTTGTGCAGCATAGTGCCAAACTTGTTATGGACCTACTACAGACGAAGTAAAATATTGCGTTTTATTTAAAAATTATTTAAATTTTTTATCAATAAGTGTAAAAAATGTTCAGATGGAAACTTTTTAGATGCTTAAAAAAACAAATGTTCATAAAATTGCCCAGATAAGTACTTCCCTAATAAATAAAAAAATCTTTGTGAGGTCTGTGATCCTAAGTGTAATACATGCAGTAACTCAGGTGATTCAAGCTGTTTGAGGTAATAATATATTTTTTTATTAAATTAAGCTTTATTTAAATATTATTATTAATAGCTGCAATAGTCCTTTGGTATTATTGGAAGGTAAATGCTTAAAAGATGCTCCTCCAGGGTATTATAAAGATAAAGATGAATTTAAAAAATGTCATGAATCTTGCAAGACTTGTGATGGACCTAGTTCAAGCGATTGTTTATCTTGTCCTTAAGATATTTTTATTTTAGATAAAAAATGCTTCAATCAATGTCCTTCAACTTATTTTAAAAATGAAAGCAAAATGGAATGTTCTAAATGTACAGGTTAATGCAAAGAATGCTAGAGTTAAGATTATTGCTTAAGTTGTCAAAATAATTAATTTGCTTTTAAGGGTAGTTGCTTAGCTAGTTGTGACCCAATTCTTACATTTTAGGATGAAAAATAAAAGCAATGTATCTAGTGTCATTCTAGTTGCAATTCCAACGGGTGCTTAGGACCTGATAAAGGTGACTGTGTTAATGTTGGAGCAAGTGGATTTGATTTACTTATAGTTAAGATTTTGATATTTAAAACTGGACTCTGGGTATTTTCTTCAGGCTTAGGCGTAATTTTAGACTATAAAAATTCATAATCTTTTGGTAAATTTGGATAAGTCAGACCAAGAGATAAATAGCTCAGTATTCATGTTAGTGATAATCAGGTAAAAGAAATTATTCAGAGAGAAAGAAAGGATATGGATTTCTAAGGCACGTAATTGAATGTTAATACATCTCCAAATAGGAGAAAAAGAAATATTTTATCCCGTGCGTCAATGATCTAAATATTACCATCTGAATAAACTACTGCTAATAAAACTGCATTTGGAGACTATTAAGAAGCTGAATCTCCTACAAAAAAAAGTTCTTTAAACTTCTCTTCTGCAAATATATAGAGCTAGCTTAAAATATTACCTATCTAAAGTTATTAGAATGAAATAAATCATTCTCCAACTTCAAGAAGCCCACACATAAGTAGCACTGAAAACTAATTAAATTTTAATGATTTCAAAGCCAAAGCAAGACCTGTCAAAAAATCAACTCTAGCCAAAATAAGCCAAGGATTGCCTACATTCTAAAACAGTAAATTAATATTAATAATTTGTAAATATTAAATTTAAAAATAAAAATATAGTTGAAGATTAAGTGAGTTCAGATAATCGTTTTTAGTAATAATCTGCAAAGGATATTGATTCAATTATTTAAACAAATCAACAAGAAATAAAAACAATTAGTTATCCAAGAAAACTTTATTTCACAATGGTAATCTAATTTTTAAGAAAAATATTTACTAAAGTTTAATATAAAAATTATAAGATTGGCAATGAAATGCTTTCTATAATAACTATATATGACCCTAAAAGAAGCAGATTGTTTAGGTCTGCAATGCTTTATCTAAAGTATTTGGCTCTTTTCTTTATGACCTATATCTCTTAAAATGTAAATTTATTAATTTCAATTATTTTTTAAACGACGAGATTATTAAAATAAAAGAAAAATTATGGAGTAGCAGCTCTTGGACTTTTAGCTGTAATTGCAGGTAAAGGAATCTTATAAAATGCATTATCTTAAGTTGGGTTGTGCCTTAGAAAAGCAGGTTTACTTTCTTTAGCTTTTGTAATGATTCTTTCAGGATCCGATATATATTTCTGGTTCTTGCCCAAAATCCAGTAAATGAGTCAAAATTTAGATATGAAGTGGTCTTTCACTTACATCCTTCTATTTACATCAGACTTTTTAATAATCTAATCTTTCATTTCTTTTATTAGCTATATTGTAACAATTAGATCTAACTTTGTTAATAACTCAAAGCTTTCAAACATTTTACTAAACTTTTTCTTTTAGCAACCTGCTTTGTTACAAAATAAAAATTGAAAATAAATCTAAATTGTTATTGGAGTATTAGCTAGTAATCATTTAGGAAACAATTATAAATAAATTTAATCAAATTAATCAAATTCAAAAGGAATTCAGCTCAAAATATATCATAGACTTATCTCAAATAATTAAATGCTTAAGAGAAAATATTATTTTTAAATAATCAAAAATATATTCTTTAGCTTGAATGAATTTTAAAACCTAATGTCAAAAAATTTATTCTATTTATATAAAATAAAAATATTTTAATTATATCTGTAATCAATCATAAAGTTTTTAAATAAAAAAAATATAATTTTCTTTTTTAATATTTTGTTTTAAAATTAATAAAATAAAAAACATTTAAATTTATTATCTTTTTCTCTATTCAATAAAAAAATTAATCTAATTGATACATTATTTTTATTTGAAATTAATGTTATATAATTAATCGTACAGCTATTTACTCAACTATTACCCACTTTGATAGATAATTATTGTTAAAAAGATAATTAATACGAAATCGAAAAGAATTTTTTTACTCGCTCTATTCAATTACAGTATTATTATACTATACCTAAATAACAAAGTTATTTATAAATAGTACAATTTAATATAATTTTTAACCATAAGTACTATTTTTTATATTTATTACATTGATATTTAGAGATTGTAAATTGTGTTTTATTGCATTTCTTTACACTGTGATTATTTAATCACCCTTATTAATATTTTGACAAAAAGATTACATTAAACAAATAATAATAAATTAAAAAAAACAAAACTAATAAAAAACACAAGCTTTAAATATAAAATGATCATAAAGGGTCAATTTAAAATTTTGTATTTATTCTTAGCTCATTTATTAAAAATTCTACTCCCAAGTAAAATTAGCTCTCATCAACTTTATCTAAATATTTTATTTTGTTAACAGAAGAGTTGCTCATTTCTGAAGAATTTTAAAAACCTTAAATTATTCCTGCGGATGTTGTTGGATGGTCAAAAAACATCATTAGAACTTGTGAGCAATAAAATATCGTTGAATACACTGGATAGGTTTTTGGTGTCTTTTCATAAGATATCACTAAAAACTTTAAAACCTATTAAGAATTACCACCTCACTGGAGCGCATTAGTTAGATTAGATTTGATGCTATATGGAAGTGTAGATCAAAAAGAAGGAGATTATGCTGCAATTATTATTGACTCATATCCTTAGGATAGTTATACAAAAAATGATAAAGATGGCTATAAAATTTGCTCTGATTCTAGAGGTTTTTTTAATTAGCTTTTCAACGATGCAATCTACCCATATCAAAAGAATGTTACTCATACTAATAGCTCATTAACAATCTAAATAGAATCTAAATTTACTGGAGATAATTCCCCAAAGGACTATGAAGGTTATGCTTTTAAACATGTTTCTGTTTATATTGATACTTGTTATGATAGTTGCTAAAGCTGTAATGGTCCTTCTGCTGTAAATAAAACTCATATCTATCTATAAAAAAGTTGAATTTTTAAAATAAAAAATAGAATTAATGCACAGTTTGTATAGATAAAGCAGTTTAAGTAAATGGTATTTGTACTTGTACAGGTTAATTATTTGCATACAAATTTGAATGTATTTCAGATTGTCCTTATGGTTTTGCAGGAAATCCTGTTACAAAAATATGCGAATAATCTAAATGCTTAAAAAATTGTGGAAATTGTGTAAATTAAGAATGCATACAATGCAATTATCCAAATAAATTAATTAATGGAGAATGCGTTTCTTAATGCCCTTCTTACTCTATAGACAAAGGTACATACTGCGAAGATAAATTATCAGGGTTAAACTGTATGTTTTATTTTTTTAAATTTAATTCATTATTTTAATTTAAAACTGATTAATTAAAGATGGAGGATATGTTTTTAAAGGAGTTTACTCATCTAATTTTGGTGATAGTGAAATACAAGGTTAAGGTTTAAAACTTCTTAATTTTAAAAATGGTGGAGCAACTTTTAGTAGCTGTTCAGGAGAAAGATATATTGGTGGATGGAATATTGCAGGCTCAGGCTCTGAAATTAGAAGAGAGCTAAATAATTTGTAATAAAAAATGTATTTTTTTTTACCAGTTAATTTTTTATTTTAATAAAAGCAAACCTCATTCATCAATAAGAATAGGCTTTAAATATATAATGATAGATAATTGGGGTAAAAATGAAAACCTTTAAGTTGTTTTAGATAACAAAAACATTATATCTAATATTAATAAAGAATCAGCTACCTCATAAGGTAATATTTGTGGTAATACTTATCCTGAAGCTATAGGTGTATATGATTATAATAGTACTCATATAAGCTCTTCTCTTATTATTTCAATAAAAACCAACTTAAATTCTGAAAAATCTCCTTTCGAAGCATCTTTTGGAATTAGAGAACTATTTATTTTAGTCAATTATGTAAATTATTTTTTATTTATTTATTTATTTATTATTTTTAAATTGTAAACAACAAACTTTAAAATTTAAATAATAAAATCTGAATGAATATAATTTTGAATGATTTATATTTCATAAGATAAAATCTTTTTAAAAATTAATCAAAATCTTAGAATAAGATAGTTAAAAAATATATATACTATATTTAATGCAATATTTACATTCAAATTTGGAAAATTCTATAAAAAATTTAAGATAAAAATTATTTTAATATTATTTATTTTTTGGTTTTAACGGTTTTAATTTAGAGGAAATTTAGTATATAAAATTAATTTAACTAATTCAATCAAAGTGCTCAGATAATTGCCTAGAATGCAACTAAAAAGGATGTACCAAATGCTCTCAAGGAACTTATCTCTACGAATATAATTGTTAAACTTCTTGTCCTACTGATCTTGGATTTTGGGCTAATTTTAAAACAAATACTTGTGATATTTGCTAAGATAATTGTTTAACATGTGATTTATCAGGTATTTTTTACTTTAATTTAGTATATAAGTTTTTTTGATTTTTAATTCCTTATTTTAGCAACATTATGCTTAAAATGCAAACCTGGAACTTATTTATATAACAAATCATGCTCAAAAACATGTCCAAATGGATACGCTCCAAACTAGGCTACATTAACATGTGATAAATGCCATTAAAACTGCAAAACTTGCAAATCTCCTAGTAAATTAATCAAATTGTCTATTTATAGTATTTAGATTTAAAAATAATAAATAGATGATGATACATAATGCGATTCATGCTAAGGCTAAAGATTTTTAAGTGGCACTTAATGTTTAGAATTATGCCCAGATGGGCTATATGGAGAATATAGTAAAATTTATTAGAAATTAATATTAATCTTAAATTATTGTTAAAAAAGATGGAAATTATTGTGCTCCTTGCAATGTTAACTGCTTAACTTGTAAAGGAAAAACAAATGCAGACTGTTTGTCTTGTAAGAAAAATGCATTGTACTAACCTGATGATAATACTTGTGGAGATAAGTGCAAGACAAATTAATACATTAATGGTAATAATTGCACTCCGTGTGATTAAACTTGTAAAACATGCAGCGGAGGAACTCCAAATGATTGTAAAGATTGTAGCTCAGTCAGTAATAGGTGAATATTTTACATAAATATTTGTTAGATTTTAATAAATTTTGGATATAAAAATAGATATTTTTTTGCTAATCAATGCCTTTCTTTATGTCCAGATCAATATTACCCAGATAAAGATTCATAAAAATGCAAAAAATGTGATTCTACTTGCTTCAACTGCACTGGCCCAGGCTAAAATCAATGCACTTAATGCAGTGGAGATTTATACTTAAATGCTGGAAATAAGTGTCTGAATAGTTGTCCAAACGGTTAATTCAAAAATTCAACAAATAATAAATGCGAATCATGTGATTCTAATTGTGTTACTTGCAGCACAGCTAAGAATATTTGCACTTCGTAATTAATTAATTAAATAAAATATTTTTTTAATCAATTATATATTTTTATCTATACATCTTAGATGCAAAACTAATTAATTTTTAGACACAGATGGAATTTGTAAAAGTAGCTGCCCTGAAGGAAAATGGACAAATTAAGGTAACTTGAAATACAAAAAATCTTACTTACTTTTATACATATTTTTTTATAAAAAGCAAAATAAATATGTGAATTATGTGATCCTAATTGTAAAACTTGTGATGCTGCTAGTAAGAGTAATTGTACATCTTGTAGTTCTCCTTTGTTTCTAGATAAAAATAGCAAAAAATGTGTTGATCCTTGCCCTTCTAAATATTTTGGAAATAAATCAAGCTTATCATGTGATGTAAAATTGATCTTGAATAATATAATATTTTATTTTTAAAAAGTAAAGTGAACTTTCATTATTAAAATTTTTTTTTTATGATTAAGAAATGTGAAAACACTTGCTAAGAATGTACTGGAGAAAATAGTAATTAATGCACTAAATGTAGTGGTAACCTATTCTTAGATAATAATAAATGTGTTACTAATTGCTAGCCAGGAAAGTTTTCAAATTAAATTACGAATAATTGTGATATGTGTGATTAAACTTTGTGCAAAGAATGTATTGATTCTAGTACGAATTGTACGAAATGTGATATTAACTTATATCTTAGTAATAACACTTGTTTAGTCACTTGTCCTAAAGGATATTATGCAAATTCATCAAATGGTAAATGTGATCCTTGTAATACCAGTTGCGAAACATGCTTTGGTCCAAATGATAATTAATGCACAAATTGTAGTGGAGATTTATTTTTTGATCCTGTTTCATAATAATGTGTGGGAATTTGCTAATAAAAATACTATGCAAACAAAGACAATAATTAATGTATGGATTGTCACAAATCATGCTTAGAATGTTCAGGTTCACTAAAGAATTAGTGCACAAGCTGTCCAGATAAATTTATTTTATTCAAAAATGAATGTATCTCTAATTGTCCTGACTAATATTTTAAAGATCCAAACGCTTATAATTGCATTAAATGCGATCCAAGCTGCTATAACTGTAGTGATAGTAGCCCAAACTCTTGTAATGCTTGTAAAGGAAATCTATTTTTGACACCTTCAAATTAATGCTTAGAAGATTGTCCAGATGGAACTTATAAGGATGAGCAAGAAAATATTTGTAAAAAATGTGATTCAAGCTGCTTAACTTGTTCTGGACCTGATAAAAATAACTGTACAAAGTAAAAACGCAATAATTTTATGAAATTAAAATAATTTTAAAAACTTTTTTAATTATAAAAAATTTTAAAGATAAATTAACTCAGTATTTTTTAAAGCTACGAGCAAAATAAATATACCATATAAAATATAAATCCCAATTAAAATTTTAATAATTTATTTGAAAAAAAGGTGTCCAAAAGATACATACTTAGAAGATAATATATGTAAAAAAGAATGCACGAATGGATGGAAAAATGCAAGTGAGTTATATTATTTTTATAAAAAAGTTAACATTTATTTCATTTAAAAAATTAATAGGTAGTAATATTTGCGACGCTTGCAATAAATAATGCCAGAAATGTGATGGCCCTAATCAAAATAATTGTTTGGAATGCCCTACTGGGACATTTTATAATTCTTTGGATAATACGTGTGGAACAGAATGCCCCTCAAATTATTATGCGAACACTTCAAATAATAAATGCGATGTAAATATTAAAATTTAATATTTTTCACAAAAAAAAAATTAATAAAAAAAGTAATAAAATAAATTATTTTTAAAACAATTATTAATTTAATAATAGAAATGTGATAAAACCTGTAAAAACTGTACTGATAATGGATCAGATAAATGCTCAGAATGTGAAGATATTCTATTTTTGAAAGATGGTAAATATTGCTCACCTGATTGTAATGATAATGAATATGGTAACATTTTAAATAATAAATGTGAACTTTGTGACAAAAAATGCAAAACTTGCAAAGATAAAGCTGATTAATGCACTGCATGTAATTCTGGTACTTTCTTAATTGATGGTAAATGCTAGTTAGATTGTCCAGACTCTACATTTAAAAACGATAAGCTCAATATTTGTGATAAATGCAATAATTTATGTCTTACTTGCTCTGGTTCATCTATTTTTGACTGTAATTCTTGTAAAGAAGGTACTTATTTAGATAAAAGTAAAAATACTTGCGTTTCTTAATGCCCGAGTAAATACTTTGGAGATTCTTCATCAAATACATGTTTAGAATGTATTGAAAATTGTGATGTGTGCTCTGATCATAAAACATGCTCAAAGTGTTTAAGTGGATTCTTCCTTTTTTATGGATAATGCTTAGACTAATGTCCAACTAAATATTTTAGTGATTAAAGTAATTTAATTATTTTGAATAATATTTGATATTTTCTATTAAATTTCTTAAATATTTAAACAAAATAAAAACTTTTAACTAAAATATTTTAAAAAATAGAAACTTAATAATGTATTTCTTGTTCTTAGAATTGCTAAACTTGTTTTGATTCTACAATCAATGGATGCTTGACATGTATATCTGGAACATTTAAAAACTCTGATAATAATAGCTGCTTATATGAGACTGAATGTCCATCAGGTAAATATCCAGATTTAAATACTCAAAAATGTGAATCATGTTTCTCAACATGTACTGAATGTACTGGAAAGGATGAAAATCAATGTAGATAATGCATTCAAGATAGATTGTTTTATAAAGGTGAGTGCTTAAAAGAATGTCCTAGCAATACTTTTAAATTTGATGATATGTGTATTGATTGTCATTCATCATGCTCTACATGCTATGGTAGCTCTTAATAAAAATGCTTAACATGCTCTTCAGGTTTTTATTTTTTTAAATGATAATTAATAAAACTTACTATTAACAAAATCATAGGACTTCTATAAGAAGGTAGTTGTGTTGACCATTGCTTATAAAATTACTATCCAGCTATTAAAAATGGACAACAAATGTGTCTTATGTGTAATGAATAATGCTCTAAATGTAATGGTCCTGATTCAAATAATGTGATATATCTTTAACTTTTTAACATTTATTTATATGTTTTTGATTTAAATAATATATGAAATTATTAGTGTACTGAATGTTCTTCTAATTTGTTCATGTACTAAAATAAATGCGTAGAAAACTGCCCTGTTTTTCACATTTATGATGATAAAAGAGAGTGTTAATTGTGTACAAAATCAATAAAAAACAACAAATGTGTAGATGAGTGTGGTTAAAATGATTATTTAGATAAAAAGACATTAATATGTTAACCGTGTGCAACAGAGTGTCAAACGTGTTATGGCCCTACTACAAACGAAGTAAAATGTTACATTTAATCTAAATATATTTAAACATGTTTCATAAAAGTGTAAATTATGCTCAGCTGGGTACTTTTTAGATGTTTAAAAAAACCAGTGCACATAAAATTGCCCAGAAAAATATTTTCCTAACAAATAAAAGAATCTATGCGAAAAATGTGATTCAAAATGTGATACATGCAGCAACTAAGGAGATTCAAATTGTTTGAGGTGATAAATAAATAAATATGAATAAAATAAATTAATTTTATAAATATTTTGAATATGAAATAGCTGCAATAACCCTTTGGTGCTATTTGAAGGAAAATGTTTAAAAGATGCTCCTAATGGATATTATAAAGACAGAGAAGAATTTAAAAAATGCAAAGAAGATTGTAAGACTTGTGATGGACCTAGTTCTAGTCATTGTTTATCATGCCCAGAACACTTCTTTATTTTAGAGAAAAAATGTTACAAACAGTGTCCTCCAACATACTTCAATAATGAGAGCTTAATGCAATGTACAAAATGTAGAGGCGTGTGTAAGGAATGCTAAAGTTAAGATTATTGCTTAAGTTGTCACAGTAATTAGTATGCTCATCAAGGAACTTGTGTAGCTAGTTGTGACCCTATACTCACATTTCAAGATGAAAATTAAAAATAATGTGTCTTATGCCATTCAAGCTGCAATACTAACGGATGTTTAGGACCTGAATAAGGGGACTGTATTAATGTAGGAGAAAGTGGATTTGATTTATTGATTGTAAAAATTTTAACACTTAAAACAGTTCTTTGGATAGTTAGCTCGATAGTTGGAATAATTTTAGACTATAAAAATTCAAAATCTATTGGTAAATTTGGATAAGTTAGACCAAGCAAAAAATAGTTAAGTATTCATGTTAGTGATTAGCAAGTAAGGGATATAATTAGAAGAGAGAAAAAAGATATAAATTTTTAAGGTACATAATTGAATGTAAATGAATCTTCTAACAGGAAAAAAAGAACTTTGAAAGTTCGTACTTCTATGATTTCAATGCTTCCTAGCGCGCTTGAACAAACAGATATTAAATAGAGTGCTTGCGGGGAATATTTAGAAGCTGAATCTCCTTCGAAAAAAAGTATCACAAACTACTCTTCTGCAAATATACAGAGTTAACTCTAAATGCTACCCTATTAGCAATCATCTAACGATATAAATATTTCACCAACTTGTAGAACACTAGATAAAAATGGTATCAGTAATGAAAATAATATTACAGATTTTAAAATTACTCCTAGACCAATCATTAAATAACCTACTTTACCCAAAATTAGTGATGCTATTCCTACTTTCTAAAATAGTAATAAATTTATTTAAAGAAAAAAAAATATATTAAATTTACTCTTTAATAAAGTGGAAGAATAAATTAGCTCAGATAAAAAGTGTGAGAATGAGTCATCGAAAGATATTGATTAGGTATCTTAGGGTAATGAGAAAAATACAAATATTTTTAGCTACCCAAGAAAACTTTATTACACTTTAGTAATTTTTTTTTAAATAAGCTAAAATATAATATTAATTTTATTAAATAGATTGGTAATGAAATCATCTCTCTTATAGCCTTATATGACCCATAAAGAAGTAGACTATTCAGATCTTCAATGATATATCTGAAATACTTGGTTCTTTTCTTTATGACTTATGTTTCTTCAAAAGTAGGCTTATTTATTTTACATATTAATTAACTTAAAAATCAAAATATTAACATATAGACAAATTATGGTGTAGCATTTGCTGGATTATTAACTGCTATTGCTTTTAAAGGAATAACTTAACATATTTTATCATAAATTGGATTGTGCCTTAGAAAAGCAGGGCTTCTTTCATTAGTTTTTGTTATGATAATTACAGGAACTGACATTGGTTTCTGGTTTGTACCTAAAGTATAAAAAATGAGCAAAAATTTTGACTTATAGTGGTCTTTTACTTATATTCTTCTATTTACCTCTGACTTTCTAATAGTATAATCTCTGATTTCTTTTGCCAGTTATATTGTTACTGTTAGATCTAATTTCGTGGATAACTCCAGGCTTAAAAATGTTTTGTTAAATTTTTTGTTTTAATAGCCTACTTTGCTGTAAAATAAAAATTGAAAATATAATTGATATTTTTATTTAGAAATTGAAGAGTGAGTTGTTAGCTACATACAACGAAATAAAAAAATAGATAAATGAAAATTGTAACCTGAGTAATTTAAATATCGAAGAAATTTTAATCATTATAATATGTTTTTCAAGATAACATCAAAAAAAATTTTTTTGTTATTTTTTTACTTTATTTTCTGTTTTAATTTAAAATATATATTTTTGTAAAAAATAATTATAAATTCATAAATATATAAAATAAGCACTAGTTTTTATTTTAAGTTAAAGTAAAAAATATAGAAATTTTGAATAAAAAATAAAATAAGTTATAGAAAATAGATTTTTTTTTTTTTAAAACAATAAAAAATTTTAAATTCTTATAAATTAAAAAATTAAATAATATTTTGAATCATTTAATTACAATATAAAGTAAATATTTTTACTATTATTTGCTTTTTTATTTTAAATAACCTTTCTTTTATAAAATTCAATTAGAAAAACAAACAATATCCTAAAATAAATTATTTTTGATAAATTGATAATGACTTTAATTATGCCTAAAGAATTTTATTACACTTAAATTAAGAAAATTTTTTATCCTTATCAATATTTTATTCAAATGAATAATTGAAAAATAGTAAATCTTCTAAAGAAATTAGAAAATTTATGATAATATTCTTTCATTAAAAATATTAGTTTGTTTTATTACGAATTATTATATTTACACATAAACATTTAATTTAAAAATTCCTAGAACTTAACTACAAAATTTTTTATGCAAAGAAAATAAATTTGTTTAGTTAATGTCCGCTAAAAAAATAATTTAATTAAGATTTAACCAGTTTGATGACTTTTTTATTATCTATATAAAATTAGTGATTTTAATTTAATTATTATAGATTATATTTATATGACTGTTACTTGGTAGTTCTAGTAACTATTTTTGGTAATCAAAGATTGATTATGTGTAAAAAGCATAATCATATAAAGTATAATAAATAATAATAAAAAAAAATTAATAAACTAAATAAAATGATGACAAAATTATAATTTTACAGTATTTATTTGTTGATAGTCTATTTTTTTAAAGTCATTCTTTCAAGTAAAATATTTTTTGTAAATTCTGTCTTAGTTTTTTATTTAACATTTAGAGGAATTGCTCATTTCAGAAGAATTTTAAAAACCTTAAATTACTTCAAAAGAAGTGATTGGATGGTCTAAAAATATTATTAGAACTTGTGAGCAAAAAAATATAGTAGAATATACTGGCTAGATCTTTGGAGTTTTTTCTTAAGATGTCACCCTAAACAAAAAGACTTACAAAGATTTACCTCCTCATTGGAGCGCTTTAGTAAGATTAGATTTGATGCTGTATGGAAGTGTAGATGCTGATGAAGGAGATTATGCTGGAATTAGTATAGACGATAATACTATGGATAGATATACAAAAAATGATTAAGATGGCTATTTAATTTGTTCTAATTCTAAAGCTTTTGGTTTTTGGGGTAGACCTTTTTATGATGCTATTTATCCATATCAAAGGAATTATACTCACAATAATAAAGAGCTAACAATAAAAATTGATTCTAAATTTACTGGAACGAATACAGATACGGATTACGAAGGTTATGCTTTTAAACATGTTTCTGTTTACGTTGACACATGTTATAGTAGTTGTTAAAGTTGTTTTGGTCCTTCTTCAGTAAATATGAGATTAATTATTATCTATAAACTTAAAATTTTTTATTTTTATAAATAGAATTAATGCACAGCTTGTATACCTAAAGCAGTTGAAGTTGATGGAGTATGTACTTGCCCTGATTAGCTATTTGCATATAATTTTTAGTGTATTTAGAATTGCCCCTATGGATTTGTAGGAAATCCTATCACTAGAATATGCGAAGAGTCTAAATGTTTAAATAATTGCGGAAATTGTGAAAATTTTTCTTGTACTAAATGCAACTACCCAAATAAATTAATTAGCGGTGAGTGTCTTTCATAATGTCCTTCTTTCTCAATAGATAAAGGAACATATTGTGAAGATAAAATTATAGGATTAACTTGTAATTTTTGAAAAAAATATTTTAATTTTTTAATTAATTGTTATTTAAAAAGATGGAGGATATGTTTTTAAAGGACTTTATTCTTCTAATTTTGGAGATAGTGAAATCTAAGGTTAGGGCTTAAGACTTTTAAATTTTAAAAATGGTGGCGCAACTTTTAGCAGTTGTTCTGGAGAAAGGTTTATTGGGGGATGGAATGTTGCAGGCTCAGGTTCTGAAATTAGAAGAGAATTACCCAAATTGTATTTTTAATGAATTAATTTATTTATAAAGTTGAATTAATTTCATGTTCAAATAAAAGCAAACCTCATTGGTCGATTAGAATAGGTTTTAAATACATAATGATAGATAATTGGGATAAAAATGAATTCCTTTAGGTTGCTTTAGACAATAATAAAATTATTTCTAATATTACAAAAGACTCAGCCACAAAAGTAGGTAATATTTGTGGTAATACTAATCCTGAAGCAAAAGGAGTCTATGATTATAATACTACACATATTAGTTCTTCTCTTACTATTACTATAAAAAGCAATTTAGCTTCTTCCAAATCTCCATTTGAAGCTTCTTTTGGAATTAGAGAGCTATTTATTTTAGTTAATTACGTAATAATTATTATCAGATTTTATTGGTCATTGATGGTTATTTATTTATTATTCTTCTTATTTTAAAATAGTGTTAAGATAATTGTTTGGAATGTAATGAAAAAGGATGTACCAAATGTCCTCAAGGGACTTACCTCTACGAATATAATTGTGAAATTTCTTGTCCTACTGATCTAGGATTTTGGGCTAATGGTAAAACGAATACTTGTGACAAATGTGAAGGAAAATGTTTAACATGCGATAGCTCAGGTATTTCAAATGTATTATATACATATCTTTTAATTTAAAGTTTTTCTTATTAATTAGCAACTTCATGTTTAAAATGCAAACCAAATTCTTACTTGTATCAAAAATCTTGCTCAGAAAAATGTCCTGATGGATATGCTCCCAATGAAACAACTCTTACATGCGATAAGTGTCATTAAAACTGTAAAACATGTACAAATCCAAGTAAGTTTTATTGAATTTTTTACAAGGGAGAATAGACTAAAATAAAATTAAATATTAGATGATGATAAAAAATGTACTTCTTGTGAAGGTTCAAGATTTTTAAGTGGTAATGAATGCTTAGAATAGTGTCCAGATGGAACATATGGAGAATATAGTAAAATTAGTAATAAATTAATTATATTTAATGATTTTTCATTGAAAAAAGATGGAAATAAGTGTTAGCCTTGCAATATTAACTGTTTGACTTGCAAAGGCAAAACTAATTCAGATTGTTTGTCTTGTAATACAAATAAGTACTACTAGCCTGATGATAATACTTGTGGAGATAAATGCAAGATAACTTAGTATAAAAATGGAAACAATTGTACTCCATGTCACGAAACTTGCTACGATTGTAGTGCAGGAACTGAAAAAGATTGCAATTCTTGCAGCAAAGCCAGTAATAGGTATGTATAGTTTTTTTTAATTTTAATAAAATAAAATTTTTTTTGGTGGTAAAATTAGATTTTTATATGAAAAACAATGTCTTTCTTAGTGCCCAGATTAATATTATCCTGATAAAACTTCATAAACTTGTAAATAATGCCATTCTACTTGTTTCAACTGCAGCGGACCAAACTCAGATCAGTGTACAAAATGCAGCGGAGATTTATATTTAAATCCTGGAAATAAATGTCTTGATTCCTGTCCAGATGGCTAGTTCAAAAATTAAGCAAATAATACATGTGAAAGTTGTGATTCTAATTGTGTTGCTTGCATTAAAGCGAAAAACAATTGCACAAAGTAATAAAATAAATGATTATTGGAAAGAATTAAAACATTTTTTTTTTAAATTAGATGTAATCCTAAGATGTTTTTAGATTCTGACGGAGTTTGTAAAAATAGCTGCCCTGATGGAAAATGGACTAATAATTGTAATCGTTATCAAACAAATTATTTTTGTTTATTTTATTTTTTTGACAAATAGCGACTAGATAATGTGAATTGTGTGACCCTAATTGCAAAACATGTGACAATGTAAGCAAGAGTAATTGTAAGTCTTGTAATTCTCCTTTATTTCTTGATTTAAATAGCAAAAAATGTGTTAGCCCTTGTCCTTCAAAATTCTATGGAAATTAGTCAACTTAAACCTGTGACGTAATTAAAAACTTTAATTTAAATCATAGATTTTTCGCTAAGTTTAATATCACTTTGAAATTAAATTAAAATGAATAAATAAAAAGAAATGTGAAATTACATGTTAAGAATGCTCTGGCCCAAACAGTAACCAGTGCACTAAATGCAGCAATGATCTTTACTTAGATGACAATAAATGTGTAAAAATTTGTTCACCAGGAAAATTTTCTAATTTGAGTACTAATAATTGTGATCCATGCGACAAAATGAAATGCAAAGAATGTGATGGTTCTAGTACTAATTGCACTAAGTGTAATTCAAATTTATATCTTCATCATAATACTTGCTTAGCAATATGCCCAAAAGGATATTATGCCAATTTATCAAATGGAAAATGTGATCCTTGCAATACTAGTTGCGAAACATGTTTTGGTCCAAACCCAGATTAATGTACTAATTGTAAGGGAGAATTGCTCTTTGACCCAGTTTCAAAAAAATGTGTGGAAAAGTGTTAGCAAAAATACTACGAAGACAAGGATAATAATTAATGTGTTGAATGTGATTCATCTTGCTTAGAATGTTCTGGTTCTTTAAGCAATTAATGTACAAAATGTCCAGATAAATTGATTTTATTTAAAAACGAATGTATTTCTAGTTGTCCTGACTAATATTTCTAAGATCCAAATGCTTACAATTGCATTTAATGCGATTCAAGCTGCTTTAATTGTAAAGATAATAGTCCTAATTCATGTACTGCATGCAAGGGAAATCTCTATTTGACACCAAAAAATTAATGCTTAGAGGATTGTCCAGATGGGACTTATTAGGATACTTTAAATAATATTTGTAAAAAGTGTGATATAAGTTGTTTAACTTGTTCAGGACCAGATAGAACTAATTGCTTAAAGTAAAATTTTAATAAAAATATTGTGTAAGATTATTAATAAATTATCATCTATAGAATATTAGTAATAAAAAGTACGCAAAGTAATTAATTTACAAAGCATATTTGTTTATTAAAAATAGTTCTACAGATGAAATTATTTGTTTAAAATAATCAATCTCTATAATATTCTATAAATTTAAATAATTGATATTCATTTCAATTTCAATGTATTTTTATCAATAATTAATTAGGTGTCCTGATAGTACATACTTTGAAGAAAATTAATGTAAAAGTGAATGTAACCAAGGATGGAAAAATTCTAGTAAATTATTATTGTTTTATAAAATTATCTTCAATACTATTAATTTTATCCTTTAAAAAGCAAATAATACATGCGACGAGTGTAATATTTAATGTTCAAAATGCAATGGCCCTAATGAAAACAATTGCTTAGAATGTCCAAATGGCACATTTTTAAATCCACTTGAAAATACTTGTGTCACAAAATGCCCAACAAATTATTATCCAAGCAATTTAAACAACAAATGCCTTGTAAATATTCAAATAATTTTTTTATTTTTACTAAAAATAACTAAATTGCAAAAAAATATTTTAAAAAATTATAAAAATAACATTTTTTAAAAAAATAGAAATGCGATACCACTTGTAAAGAATGTACAGATAGTGGATCGGATAAATGCACAGAATGTGAAGGATCTTTATTTTTAAAAGATGGTAAAACCTGCTCTTCAAAATGTAACGATAATGAGTATGGAAATGAATTAAACAATAAATGCGAACTTTGTGATAAAAATTGTAAAACATGCACAGAAAAAGCTGATCAATGCACTAGTTGCAACTCAGGAACTTTCTTGACAGAGGGCAAATGCGAAAAAAACTGCCCAGATTCAACATTCAAAAATGAAAAATTAAATATTTGTGATGATTGCAATATTTAATGCCAAACTTGTTTTGGTCCATCTAATTTTGAGTGTAATTCTTGTAAAGAAGGTACATATTTGGATAAGAGTAAAAATAACTGTGTTTCAAAATGTCCAATTAAATAATTCGGAGATTCCACTTCAAACACTTGTAAAGATTGTATTGAAAATTGTGATGTATGCTCTGATGATAAAACATGCAATTAATGTTCAGGCGGATATTTCCTTCATAAAGGCTTATGTGTAAGCTAGTGCCCAACTAAGTTTTTTAACGATATCAGTAAATAGACTTTATTAAATTAAAATAAAATTAAAAATAATTTTAAGTTTAGCATAATTATTTATTTTTAATTAATTCAGGTTCTTAATAATGCACTAAATGTGCTTATACATGTTTAACTTGCTTTGATGCCACAGAATAGGGTTGCTATACTTGCATACCTGAAACATTTAAAAATACAGATAATAATAGCTGTTTATATGAAAATGAATGTCCATCAGGTAGATATCCTGATACAAATACAAAAAAATGCGAGCCTTGTTTTTCAACATGTGCAGAATGTGTTGGTAAATCAGAAAATTAATGTGTATAATGTATTTAGGATAGACTACTTTATAAAGGAGAATGCTTAAAAGAATGTCCAAGCAATACTTTTAAATTTGAAAATAAATGCATAGATTGTGATCCATCATGTTCTACCTGCTTTGGTAGTGCATCTTTCAAATGTTTAACATGTTCATCAGGTTGGTTTAAAATTCTTTTAAATAAATCATTAATAATTATACATTTTTTATTTTAGGATATCTTTAAGAAGGGAGCTGTGTTGAATAATGTGAAACAAATTATTACCCAGCTATTAAAAATGGTTAACAAGTATGCTTAAAGTGTCACGATTAATGTTCTAAATGCAATGGCCCAGATTCAAACAACGTATAAATAAAACATAAATATACTTTATAACATAAAATTAAATGTAATTTTAATAGTGCACAGAATGTGATTCATAATACTTTATGTATCAGAATTAATGTGTTGAAAATTGTCCTGTTTTTCACACTTATGATGAAAAAAGAGTGTGCTAACTATGTACGAAGTCAATTAAGAATAATAAGTGTGTAGATCAATGTGATTAAAATGAATATTTAGAAAAAAAGAATTTATTGTGCTAACCATGTGCTGTTGAGTGCTAAACTTGCAATGGACCTACAAAAAACGATGTAAAATGTTAAATTTAATTTTTTATTTGCTAAATAAATTTTAAAATTAGTGTAAATAATGTGCAGATGGTTATTTTTTAGATGCTTAAAAAAGCGAATGTACGTAGAACTGCCCTGAATCATTTTTCTCTAATAAGGAGAAGAAGATATGTGAGGCTTGTCATCCTTTATGCTAGACATGTAGCAGCTCAGGAAACACGAACTGCTTAAGGTAATCAATCTATATATATATTTAATTGATTAAATTAAAATTTAAACATTTTATCATATTTAGTTGTAATAGTCCATTGATATTATTCGAAGGTAAATGCTTAAAAGATGCCCCTGATGGGTATTATACAGATAAAGATAAATTCAAAAAATGTAATGAAGATTGCAAGACTTGTGATGGGCCTAGCTCTAATGATTGCTTGTCTTGCCTAGAGCACCACTTCATTTTAGATAAGAAATGCTACAAATAATGTCCTTCAACATATTTCAATGATGAAAGCTCTATGAAATGCACTAAATGTTCTGGTTTATGCAAAGAATGCTAGTCTACAGATTATTGTTTAAGCTGCATAGATAATCAGTATACTTATTAAGGTACTTGCTAAGTTAGTTGTGATCCTATTCTTACATTTTAAGATGAAAACTTAAAGTAATGTATTTAATGCCACTTTAGCTGCAATAAAAATGGCTGCTTAGGACCTGAATAAGGTGATTGTATAAATGTTGGTTCAAGTGGATTTGATTCACTTATTGCCAAAATACTGATTTTTAAAGCTGGACTTTGGATATTTTCTTCTATAACAGGAGCATATTTAGACTATAAAAATGGAAAATCTTTTGGAAAATTTGGATAAGTCAGATCAAGTTAAAAGTAACTAAGCATTCATGTTAGTGATAAGCAAGTACGAGATATAATCAGAAGAGAAAGAAAAGATTTAGATTTCTAAGGTACTTAATTAAATCTAAATCAATCTCCAAATAGAAGAAAAAGAACTGCTATTACTCGTGCTTCTATGATTTCAATGCTTCCTACTGCTTTTGATTAAACGAGTTTAAAGTAAAGTGGATACAAAGACATATTAGATGCTGAATCTCCTACGAAAAAGAGTACAACAAACTTGTCATATGTAAATATACAGAGTTAACTTTAAATTCTTCCTTTCTAAAATTCACAAAACGATGTCAACATTTCCCCAACATCTAGAAGCCCTTATAAAATAAGTGGGAACAAAATAAACTTTGCTGATTTCAAAATTAGAGCAAGACCTCTTAGGTAGTCTACTTTAGCAAAAATAAATGAAGATATCCCTACTTTCCAGAATGGTAAAAAAAAAATTTTAATTTTATTGTGTAAATATTAATTTAAAAATTAAATAAATAGTAGACGAATAATTGAGCTCAGATAAAAGTTAGTAACAGTCAATAAAAGATAATGATTCTGACTCTTAAACATATGAAAAAGACACAAATAAAATTAACTATCCAAAAAAGCTTTATTACACTCTAGTATTTTATTCAATTTGAAACAAAATAAGAAAATATATTTATTAATTAAAATAATTAGATTGGCAATGAAATAATTTCTATAATTACTTTATATGACCCTAAAAAGAGTAGAATATTCAGATCTGCAATGCTTTTTACAAAATATTTGATTCTTTTCTTTATGACATACATTTCATAAAGCGTAAGTTTACACTCAAACTCAATTTATTTTTAAATTATAAATATTATAATAATTAGACAAACTACGGAGTAGCAGCTCTTGGTTTATTAGCTGCAATAGCTGGTAAAGGCATATTACAAATAGTATTATCTTAATTTGGGTTATGCCTTAGAAAAGCAGGGCTTCTTTCTTTAGTTTTTGTATCAACACTTTCAGGATCAGATATTTATTTCTGGTTCATACCAAAAATATAGGCACTTAGTCATAATTTAGATATGAAGTGGTCTTTTACTTACATTCTTTTATTTACCTCAGACTTTTTAATAATATAATCACTGATATCTTTGACTAGCTATATCGTTACAATTAGATCTAAATTTGTAGATAATTCAAAACTGTCAAATAAATTACTTAATATATTCTTTAAGTAGCCTGCTTTATTGTAAAAAGCAAGTTGAAATTAAAATTTTAATTTTTAAGTATCTTATTTATTTAATATTTTATATTCATATTTTATTTGAGAGAAAAATGTTTTAACTTAAGATGATATTTAAAAATCATCAGAAATTTTAATATTCTATTTGGTTTTATATAAGATATTAATAATATCAAATCCAATTTTTAATAAATTATAAACTAAGAAAATTAAAATCACTTTGTTATAATTCAAAAAAATTAAAATTTTGCCGCAAAAACATCTTATAATTAAAAAAGAGTAATAACAGAAATATTTATTTAAAGTAATCATAAAAATGGCATAAAATTACTAAGAATTGAAATTTCCTGTTAAGGAATGTTGTATAGGATATAGCTAATATCCATAAACAGTTGAGGAGTTTTATAAAGATAAGCTAAATCAAAATATTGCTTTAAATATTGAGTAGCTAACTTGCAATTGTGGTTTATAGTGTTGGTAGAATTTATTCACATTCTTTTCTACAAGAAAATATATAGCTCTTAAAAAACTTAGTATAACTTGGGGTCCTTTAGTTACTCTAAAGAAATCTGTTTTTGAGCAAATAGTAATTGGAGTCAGCAGCTTAAGCTGCCTAGAAAAATTAAAAATCAATATTTACTTTAAAAATAACTTTATCGATGTAATAGCTGTTTGGATATAGTAAATGATAGAGAAAATCAATAATAAAACAAAAAAATTTTCAATTAAAATTTTTTAAATTCAAGAGTAAGAAATATCAGATGATGCAAGGATAGCTAAGGTGTTGAGAGGAGTTATGAATAGGAATAATATTGAGAGTTTTTCTTTTGGATACTTTTTTTACAAAGACAACTACAACTATGATATATTTTTAATAAAATAATCAAATTGCTAATCTTTAAAAGAGCAGACTCTTAATGGATTATCATAAATTTTAAATACGGATTGTATAAGAAAGATGAAAATTTAAGTTAATTAATAGAGTTAGCTAATTTAAAACTAAAACGAGCTTTTAAAATTTTGCTAAGCTATTTAAAATAGCAAAATGGTTGATTTTTCAATATAGTTTGACTAAGAAATTTACACAAACAAGACTCTATACAATAAAATAGAATCAGCATGGCTAAATAATTAAAATTTAAGAAAGCTATCTGTAAGTTTCAATTAAAAATAATCAAGTTTTAATTATAGGAATAGCTAAACTAATACCAATATTAGGATAACAAAATTTAATAAAAATTGGTAAGTTTTAAAGCTTAGTAAATGTGACATTGATTTCTCTTAGCTGCCTATAGGCTTAAAGACTCTCTATTTATGTGATCCATCAATAAATTTCTACTAAGATTTGGAAATAAGCCTTGTTGGCAAAGTTCACTAATTACAAAATTTTTACATGGATTCAACTAAACCAATACTACTATCTAAATTCCCTTCTGTTATAGAGTCATTCTTTCAAAATTTGGAGGTTTTATAGATAAAAAATATTTTAAACAATAAAAGGATGCTAAACTACCTGTAAGCAAACACTAACCTTCACACTTTGAAATTAATTTCATTTAATCCTAATTTACTCAATTAAGAAATTTAGAATACATCGTTTACAGAGCTTATTCAAACTGTAATAAAATGCCCTCACCTAAAAAACCTCTATTTAAATATTCCAAGTGCTAATTTTATTCTGTAGCCTGATTAATTTACTTTTGGAAAATACCTTGAATCATTTTATATATCAATATTTGATGCTCAATACAGTATAATTTTAAAGCTATAACCAATATTAGATGCATTAAATTATAATAGTAATTTATTAAAGTTAGTGATTGATATTAAATTTTTTGGCTACATTGTATTCGCTTAGTAAAATTATTAAATGCTCAAAGTCGATTTAAGCCAAAATGAAACATTAACAGAATTTGAAATTTATTCAACAAAAAAAATAAAATTACCTGATAACATTCTTGTATTTGAAGAAAAAACTAAGTAAAGATATTGTTCTATGATGCAATTATGTGCTTTTAATAATTAAATATCACCTTTTTTATCTTATAATCCTTAGCTATCGTTTTGGGATTTATACCTATGAAAATTATTTTTAAAATATTTAAGTTTTTATGAATAAAACAAACCAAGAAAAAATGAATTCTGTTTTTAATAAAATTGTAAAAAATAAATAAATATACACTAATTTTAAAAATTAACTTCATATATATAAATAAGTAAGTATTGAACTACTTTTATAATAATTTTATATTATTGAATAAATTTTAAAACTAGAAACATAAAAATACATAAGGGAATAAATTTAGGTGAGAAAGCTTTGATTTATGAGAACCTGTAATATATTGATTAGAGTTCTGATCGATTCAAATATTTTGGAGTTAGTTAGTTGACTCTTAATATTTAAATAAATTTTTTTACATTCCAGTCAACTTTATATAGAGTATACTTACAATTTAAGTTAAGTAAGTAAAATATTAGAAGAACCTTCAAGGAAAATTCATTTCTTATTATTTTAAATTTTTCAAAATTAATTTAGTCATATTTGTTAATTTACTTATCTGATCAGTTATACATGAAATTTTCTAAAATTAAATTTTTTATTAAAGATATCTAAACTGAGGATAAATCAAAGAAATGTATATCAGTAAGAGAGCTTTTTAAGCTCAATATGATTATATATTAAAATTCAAATTTTAAGTTATTAAATCACTTTAAAAAAGTAGATTATCTCATTAATAATAAATATTGAAATTAAATTATGACTATCATTAAAAAAAATCTTGATTGGCTATATGTATTATTTCCGTAAATTATAATTCTGTTGTTCGGTATTGGCTGAGTAAAATAATTTAAAAGAGAATACAATTAACTTTTAATTAATAAACATAAAAATATTATTTTAAAAACTAAATAACAAAGAAATTAGATAGGCAATCACAAATACAAAAACATAATCAAAAATTAATCTTTTTTCATTCCTATGTAAAGGAAATATATGATCTCATTAACATTTATAAATTTGGTACATTTCTTATCGATAAAAATTCCTGATTTAACAAAATAAAAAATTCTATTTAGAAAAAATTAGGAAAGATAAAAACTGAAAGTAAAAAAACAAATGAAAGTAAATATTTTGAGCTTTTTTCAATTATGCTCTATAATTACTCTTGTTATATGTTATGTTGATGAAATATAATACCAAAAATTAAATGCCAGCTAATGTTAAAGTATAATAACGGATTAATTCATATAGTAAGGGATAGATTTCAAATGCTCAAGCGGATAAATTGTTGTAAGTAACTAAAATGAAATTACATTAGATTTAGATTTAGTAGGAAAAAAGATTACTACACCAATAATGTTTAAAGATATTGCGAAATTGAATTTTAATAAAGTTTAAATCACTGATTGCAAGTTAGAAAAATCTTTTATAAGTGTGAGAGGTGTTCAAGAATTCAACATAAACAGTATTATGGTAGATATAGCAAATCAAGCATAGTTATCGTTTGCATGGCTAATTAAAGCAAATGAAATTAAGCAATTATACATAGATTAAATAAATCTAGAGCAAACATCATATCTTATTTAATTAAGCGCAGATAATATTAAAATTAATAACTTGTAATCACTATCTATCAGCTACTTTGAACTTTTTAGTGAAAACTTAATATAAATAAATTATTTCTTAATAAAAGAAGTAAAAACACAGAGTTATACATTGACCTTAAAGCTTCTAACAAATACTAACATTGAGATTGGATAATTAATAGTATAAAGTAGTTCTTCAAATTAAATTTAAGGATATCTAACTAGTAATATTAAAATTAGTGATGATGATAGTTTTATTGGATATGAAATTCTTTCTATTTCTGTTAACTATTAAAAATAAATCTAATAAAAAATATTAATAAAATATTTATAATTTTAAATCTATGGTGAAATTTTTTTAAAAAATTAAATTTCATTCAATAAAAATAATTATTCAAATAATGAATTGCTAAGATCTTCAGAAATTAATTTTTTTCTGCAAATAGACGAGATAGACTATCAAATATTTAATTCATAAACTTTCTTTTAAATTTCTATAGCAAACATAGAATAAGTAAACATAGGATCAATGCTGGTAAAAGGATATACTACTATACCTCTTTTATATTAAGATGAATCTTTAATTAAGCTTAAAGAAGCTCGCAATTTTACTATAAGCAACATTTAAATCAAAGAAAATAGCTTTATTAGTTAAAGTATAATAATTGGAACAATATTAGATTTCGCTATAATAAATTAGATAGACATCAAGCCTGGGTGTAAATTTCAATCCTCTCTTTTAAACATAACTGCTTCTGATTTATTGATTAAAAATTTCAATATATAAAAATCAATCTTTAATTCATATCTATTATATATTCCTGAGTCAAACTAAGCTACAATAAAGGGATTATCCTTGGATGGTATTTAATTTTAGCAAGAATCCTTATTTTATTATGATGTAGTTATTTAAGCTTAATTTAATAAAGTTGTCATATAAAATATATTTTAGGCTCCTTATATGGATCTAGACTAACAAAAAATATAGCAGTAATAATTTATCATAAAAGTTTAATAATTAAGGAGTAGTTTGAAATTTAATGATTTATTTGTTGATATGAAGTAATCCAAGTAATCTTAAAATCTATCCTTTTTATTTTTGAAGATGGGACAGCCTTCTGAATAATAGCCTTTTTATAAGTTAGAGACATAAAATTCTTACATTAAAAATGGTTAATCTTAAGATTTTGGAGGATGTATTTAATTGCATAATTTAAAATAATCCTCAAAAAAATAAATTAAATTAATTTTCAAAAATACAACATTTGATTCTTGTGTGAGTAAATATTTAGGAGGCGCTATTTCTGGAGGTTTTTTAACTAAGGCTAATGATTTAAAGATAATTAATTGTAAAAGTAAAATAGGTGGAGGCCTTTATATTTATCAATCCAAGTCAAACAAAACAGAATTGCAGAAGATAAATTTTTAGAATAATAAAGCATATTTAACTGGAAATGATTATAGCTTTGAGATAGAAGAAATTCTTATCCATAAAATAGAAGAATTAAATTTAGACTTAAAAAACCCTTATGCAATAATTAAGACAGATCAATTTTTATATTAAGGTTTGACTTATGTTGTCTCTCTTTCTTTTAAAATAAATAATTAAATCTTTTCTGATTTTAACCAAGACTCTTCATTTGAAAATATGTATAATTTCATACTTAATACAAATGATAACTACTTGCAAGATTCTCCTCAACTTCTTTCAAATTATAATTCTCCTTATTTCATATGGGTTTTAGAGGATGCAGGTTTTTAAGGAAATCAACCAGCAAACATAAATTTTAAAAAAATTCTATTTAATAATATTAAGTTTAGTTTAAATACGAGCAACTACTAAGTATTAAATGGGTGTAAACTATAAGGAATGGAAAGAGTTGATGTTTAAAAAGGAGGTAAGCATACATTTATATGCAGATATTGCTAATAAAGCAAAGCAAATTATGATTAAGCATAGTGCTAATCCTGCTCGTTTCATCAATTTTAAGAATGCTTTGCAAATTATTCTCTTTTGTAAGATTCTTATTGGAGATTAAATTATACTGTAGACTCTGATTAAATATATAAATGCTCACTTAATCCTTCGAGCTGTGTTTCAGGTAAATTAATTATTTTTAAAATATTTAAATGTTTTCTTTTAAACAATAAAATATCCATTTAATTAAATTTTTTTCTGTATTTAATTAAAAATAATAAAATTAAAATTAAATAAAATCTATTTTGTCCTAATTTCTAAATTAATAAATTGAATATAAAGGAAGCGGAGTTGGGAATTCTTTATGCTATTAAGGTCACGTCGGAGCATAATGCTTAAATTGCGACATTGATGGAGTTTACTGGGGTGAAAAGTATTCAGTTTAAGGAAACTTTTAATGTTCAAAATGCAACTCAACAAAATCTAATTTAATAAAATTGATTATAATTATAATTATACTTATGGTTAGTTTAGTAGTTATTATAATGTCAACTTTTAAAAGACTTAGAAATGAGTTGTTCGCATTTTATTTATCCAAAATGGGTATTTTTTTTATTGGAAAGACCCTATTAACTTAAAATCTCTCCTCAACCTACATGAAAATATTCATGTTTCATGCATCTATTTACTCTGTTTCTCTTTAACTCATCAATATCGATATAATCTCTTCAATTTCTGCTTCATAGTATGTAGCCTACAACCCTTTAAACTCTCAATTCTTTTCATTGAGTTGCTTGTTATCTGAATTTAAATCTGAATAGACTTCTATAGGATATTTGTATCTCTTATTTCTCTTTTTAGTCCCTATTTTTATATTTTTATTTATTTTAACTTACCTAATTATGGCTATCATCTGTAAAAAAGTATCTCTCAAATAATCTTTGTACATTGGATGCCTATCTTTGATTTACATTTTTCTCACTGCCTTTTATTCTATTCTACTTGAATTATGTCTATCAAGCTTTAGTTGCTTCACTTTAATAAAAGATCAATCCTACTCACTTATAGATTTAAGTTTGTAATGTGGTAATTCTTCTTAATTATAAAAAATTTAGATACTTAGTCTCATTATACTACTTATTGTTTTAACCTTATTTCCTTTACTTGTCTATGCTATGATTATACGCTCAAGACATAGGTTGAGAAAAGTTAAGGTTATGTTTACTTATGGATTTTTATATAACGAATATACAACTCAATATTATTATTGGGAAATAATTAGACTAATAGTTAAAATAGTTACTGTGGTATTGAACATTCTATTAAAGTAGTATTTCTTAATTTCAGGTATTTTAATTTCAATTACTCTCCTTTTATATTTTATAGGATTATAAGTTTGCAATCCTTTTATATCTAAATTCTTGAATAACCTAGAAAAAGTTTCCATATTTTCTTTATAAATATTACTATTATCTACAGTTGTATTTTAAGAATATGATTATGACAAAGCTACTAAAAATGTTCAATTATTAAGCATAGTATTCTTTTGCTTTACTTAGATAATTAATTTTTTATTTATGCTATACATTTTATGGTTGATAGTTTAATCCTTCTTAGAGTCAAAAATTGTTTATTTAATAAAATACTTTAGATGTTGGTGTTTACAAAGATTTGTTCCTTTATATAATGTTAGAGTAAACAACAATATCAAAAAGTTAATAAGACTAACAAAGACTATGCAAAGCATGAATAATTTAGAATATAAATCAAAAAATGAAACACTAATTCATTATGAAATGATTCAAACATCTTGATTAGAAAAAACCAATGATGGGATCTTGTATCTGTTTCAGGTATTAGACATTAATGAATCATTAATTTAAGGCGAATTTTAACTTTTGTTTTTATTGATATTTGCTGCTAAATTTTTCTATACCTAATAAGTTAAAATTAAAAAAAAATAAATAAATTTTTTATTTTTATGTTATTTTATTTAATATGTTATTTGTTTACTTTTTAATTTTAAATGGATATCTTTAATTTTAATTTTTTTAAAAGAAAATAGTTTCTAATTAAAAAATTGACTTAAATTTGAGGAAATCTTGACTTAAAGACCCTAGTATTTTTATTTATTATTTATTCACTATCTATTATAATTCATTTCAGTTCTTCATAAGAGTGTGGGTATGGAGATTATTAATTTAGACTTTTTTCATTTAAATAAGATAAAATTATAAATTAAAAAAATAAAATACATACACAGCCACAAAAACAAATACAAAATCAAAAATAATCTTTTTAATATCTAAATAAAAGAAATTCTTTGTCACATTAACTTTAGATCTATAAACTACGAATATTTCTTATAGATAAGAATTTCTGATTAAGCAAAATAAAAAATTCTATAAACAAAAAATTAGGAAAGATAAAAATTAAAAGTAAAAACAAATGAAAGTAAAAATTTTGAGCTTTTTTTAAATATGCTCTTTAATTACTGTTGCTATATGTTATGTTGATGAAATATAATACCAAAAATTAAATGCCAGTTAATGCTAAAGTATAATAACGGATTAATTCATCTAGTAAGGGATAGATTTCAAATGCTCAAGTGGATAAATTGTGGTAAGTAACTAAAATGAAATTACATTAGATTTAGATTTAGTAGGAAAAAAGATTACTACACCAATAATGTTTAAAGATATCGCAAAATTGAATTTTAATAAAGTTTAAATCACCAATTTCAAGTTAGAAAAATCTTTTATAAGCGTGAAAGGTGTTCAAGAATTCAACATAAACAGTATTATGATAGATATAGCAAATCAAGAAGGGTTATCACTTGAGTGGATACTCAAAGCATATTAAATTAAACAAATAAATATAGATTAAATAAATGTTGGACATACACCTTAATATCTTATTTAATTAAGTGCAAATAGTATTAAAATTAATAATCTATAAACATTATCTATTAACAACTTAGAACTCTCTAGCAATAACTTAATATAAATAAATTACTTCTTAATAAGAGAAGTATAGACGCAGAGTTATACATTGACCTTAAAGTTATTAACAAATACTAACATTGAAATTGGATAATTAATAGTCTAAAGCAGTTCTTCAAATTAAAATTAAAGATATCTAAATAATAATAGTATAATCAATAACAATGGTAGTTTTATTGGGTAGGAAATTCTTTCTATTTCTGTTAACTATTAAAAATTTATTTAACAAAAAATATTAATAAAAAATTTATAATTTTAAATCTATGGTGAAATATTTTTAAAAAACTAAATTTCATTCTATAAAAATAATTATTCAAATAATGAATTAATAAGATCATCAGAAATAAATTTTTTTCTGTAAATAGACTAGATAGAATATCAAATATTTAATTCACAAACTTTCTTTTAGATTTCTATTACAGAAATCGAATAAGTAAACATAGGATCAATATTGGTTAAAGGATATACTACTTTACCTCTTTTGTATTAAGATGAATCTTTAATTATGCTTAATAAAGTTAGCAATTTTACTACAAGCAACATTCAGATCAAAGAAAATAGCTTTATTAGTTAAAGTATAATACAAGGAACAGTGTTAGATTTCGCTGTAATAGATTAAATTGATATCAAGCCTGGGTGTAAATTTCAATCCTCTCTTTTAAACATAACTGTTTCTGATTTATTGATTAAAAATATCAATATAGAGAAATCAGTCTTTAATTCATATCTATTATATATTCCTTAATCAAACTAAGTTTCAATAAAGGGATTATCCTTGGATGGTATTTAATTTTAGCAAGAATCCTTATTTTATTATGATGTAGTTATTTAAGCTTAATTTAATAAAGTTATCATATAAAATATATTTTAGGCTTCTTATATGGATCTAAACTAACAAAAAATATAGCAGTAATAATTTATCATAAAAGTTTAATAATTAAAGAGTAGTTTGAAATTTAATGATTTATTTGCTGATATGAAGCAATCTAAGTAATCTTAAAATCTATCCCTTTTATTTTTGAATTTGGGACTGCCTTCTGAATAATACCCTTTTTATACCTTAGAGACATAAAATTCTTACATTAAAAATGGTTAATCTTAAGATTTTGGAGGATGCTTTTAATTGCATAATTTAAAATAATCCTCAATATAATAAATTAAATTAATTTTCAAAAATACAACATTTGATTCTTGTGTGAGTAAATATTTAGGAGGCGCTATTTCTGGAGGTTTTTTAACTGAGGCTAATGATTTAAATATAATTAATTGTAAAAGTAAAATAGGTGGAGGCCTTTATATTTATCAATCCGAGTCAAACAAAACAGAATTGCAGAAGATAAATTTTTAGAATAATAAAGCATATTTAACTGGAAATGATTATAGCTTTGAGATAGAAGAAATTCTTATCCATAAAATAGAAGAATTAAATTTAGACTTAAAAAACCCTTATGCAATAATTAAGACAGATCAATTTTTATATTAAGGTTTGACTTATGTTGTCTCTCTTTCTTTTAAAATAAATAATTAAATCTTTTCTGATTTTAACAAAGACTCTTCATTTGAAAATATGTATAGTTTCATACTTAATACAAATGATAACTACTTGCTAGATTCTCCTCAACTTCTTTCAAGTTATAATTCCCCTTATTTCATATGGGTTTTAGAACATGCAGATTTTTAAGGAAATCAACTAACAAACATAAATTTAAAATAAATACAATTTAATAATATTCAGTATAGTTTAAATACAAGCAACTACTAAGTATTTAATGGCTGTAAACAATAAGGTATGGAAAAAGTTAAAGTTTAATATGGAGGTAAACAGACTTTTATATGCAGATATTGCTAATAAAGCAAAGCCAATTATGATCAAGCACAGTGCTAATCTTGCTCATTTAATTAATTTTAAGAATGCTTTGCAAATTATTCTCTTTTGTAAGAATCTTATTGGAGATTAAATTATACTATAGACTCTGATTAAATATATAAATGCTCACTTAATCCTTCGAGCTGCGTTTCAGGTAAAATAATTATTTTTACAATTTAAAAATTTTAGCAATTTAACAAAAAATATCAAGTTTTTTTTTGTATTTAATTAAAAAAATTAAAATTAAAATTAAACAAAATCTATTTTATCCAAATTTTTAAATTAATAATTCTAAAAAAAGGAAGCGGAGTTGGGAATTCTTTATGCTATTAAGGTCACATCGGAGCATAATGCTTAAATTGTGATATTGACGGAGTTTACTGGGGTGAAAAGTATTCAGTTTAAGGAAACTTTTAATGTTCAAAATGCAACTCAACAATATCTAATTTAATAAAATTTATTTTAATTATAATTATTCTTATGATTAGTTCAGTAATTATTATAATGTCAACTTTTAAAAGACTTAGAAATGAGTTATGCGCATTTTATTTATCCAAAATGGGTATTTTTTTTATTGGAAAGACCTTAAGAACTTAAAATCTCTCTTCAACCTATATCAAAATATTCATGTTTCATGCATCTATTTACGCTGTTTCTCTTTAACTCATCAATATTGATATCGTCTCTTCAATTTCTGCTTCATAGTATGTAGCCTACAGCCCTTTAAACTCTCAATTCTTTTCATTGAGTTGTTTGTTATCTGAATTTAAATCTGAATAGACTTCTATAGGATATTTGAATCTCCTATTTCTCATTTTAGTCCCTATATTTATATTTTTATTTATTTTAGCATACCTAATTATGGCTATCATCTGTAAAAAAGTATCTCTCAAATAATCTTTCTAAATTGGATGCCTATCTTTGATTTACATTTTTCTCACTTCCTTTTATTCTGCTCTACTTGAATTATGTCTATCAAGCTTTAGTTGCTTCACTTTAATTAAAGATCAATCCTATTCACTTATAGATTTAAGTTTGTAATGTGGTAATTCTTCTTAATTATAAAAAATTTAGATACTTAGTCTCATTATACTACTTATTGTTTTAACCTTATTTCCTTTATTTGTCTATGCTATGCTTATACGCTCAAGACATAAACTGAGAAAAATTAAGGTCATGTTTACTTATGGATTTTTATATAATGAATATATTACTCAATATTATTATTGGGAGGCAATTAGACTTATAGTTAAAATAATCATTGTGGTATTGAACATTTTATTAAAGTAGTATTTCTTAATTTCAGGTAATTTAATTTCAATTACTCTCCTGTTTTACTTTATAGGATTATAAGTTTGCAATCCTTTTATTTCTAAATTCTTGAATAACCTAGAAAAAGTTTCCATATTTTCTTTATAAATACTGCTATTATCTACAGTAATATTTTAAGAATATGATTAAGATAAAGTTACTAAAGGCATTTAATTAGTAAGCATAGTATTCTTTTGCTTTGCTTAGATCATTAATTTCTTATTTATGCTATACACTTTATGGTTGATAGTTTCATCTTTCTTAGAATAAAAGATTGTTTATTTAGTAAAATACTTTAAATGTTAGAGTTTACAAAGATTTGTTCCTTTATATAATTTTAGAGTAAACAAAAATATCAAAAAATTAATAAGACTTACAAAAACTATGCAAAGCATGAATAATTTCGAATATATATCAAAAAATGAAACACTAATTCATTATGAAATGATTACAAATTATTGATTGGAAAAAATCAATGATGAAATAAATCCTTTATCTGTTCAGGTTTTAAAAATTATTAAAATAATATACCAAAAGCTACATGGAAATTTATAGGTATTTTTTGCTGTATTATAGAAAATAAAAAAAATATTAAAAAATAGATGTTAATGAATCATTAATTTAAAGTGAATTTTAACTTTTGTATTTATACATAAATATTTAGCATTAAAATATATGAAACATTAAAATATTCTTTTTGTTTTATTTATTATTTAATAGATGTTGATTATAAAGTTTTTTGATAAAATTTTATTACCTTTACCGAATAGTTTTTAAAATATTATCTAAAAACTAGGGCTAAAAATTTATATTTTGATAGAAAAATATAAGAAATAATTAATGTGATTAATTAAATTAAAATTTTAATAAATTTTTAATGAAATAAATACATATTAATTTTTTCTACCTCAAAAATTAAAGTTAATTGGTTATTAAATTTGACAAAATTAGAAATAAATTTTAAAAAATTTTAAAGTATAGTTAGCAATTAAGTGTTTCTCATAATCTTTTATTCTTCAAATTAATTATCTAATTTTAATTTATTTTATGATATTTTTATCACAATAAAAATAGTACGTATTGAATTAAAATGCTTATTTTAATTATACAAAGCTCTAATTTCATTATTTTGAATTTATTGCAGGAACCTAAAATGTGTTATTTTTATTTCCATTCAAAGTATATTTAATTAAGATATTCGTAATTAAAAAATAGAGCGCTAATTTGATTATTTTAAAATTAGAGTAGACAGAATGAATAAATTAATTAATTCATTATATCAAAAAACTAAAAAGATAAATTTTCAACTTATTTTTCAAATTAACTAATTATATAAAAACTTAATAAGTAAAAAGTTAACTAAATATCAAAAGGTTCAATAATATAATTCCAGAAATGTCAAGATAAGAATTAAAAAATAACGAAACTAATTAATTACTAGAAATACAAACAGAATAGTAACTAAAAAGAATCTATGAACATGTCGATTAAAAAGTATTTTAATCTGAAGAAGTTGGTCAAGAGTAAAAAGAAGAGGATGAAAAGGAATTTGATGAAGAAGAGAAAGAAGAAGAAGAAGAATTAAGTGATAATGACCTTAAAAGTGATGAATAAGATAGCTCTATTAATTAAGAAGATGATTTTTCAGATGAACTAGAATTTGAGGAGTAAGTGGGATAATCAGAAAATTAAAATGATAAAAGCGAAGAAGAAGAAGATGACATAGAAGATTAAAATAGTGATTATAGTAGTGATTCTGATTATGAAGTCTTATAAATATTTTTTGATTATACTTCAATCACTTTAGAAAAGGTAATTTATATTAATTAATAATATTATACAAATTATTTTAATAAAAATATAAAAGTTACAATAAGAGGACTATAAGTATTGCAGGTACATTGAATTATGGTAAAAGTTTTTGTTAATTTAATTTTTGTCATTTTATTTTATATATTTAAATATAAAACTGATATAATATATAATTCACTGAGAAGTTTATTTAACAGATTTTTCTTAAAAATAAATGATTTAATTGTTATTTTAATTCTAATTTAAACTTCTTTAGCTTTTAAGGATTTTTTTGTTATATTTTAATTAAAAATATGTGTATTATTTATTTATCATTTTCAGAGTATATTTTATTAAAAATGATCAATTAGTAAGAAATAATATATAATTTTTGAATCTTAACTTTATTCATTATTAAACCTTTTTAAAATTTTTCATTTTAATAAATTAATCATAGGGGTTTTCATCTAAATTCTTTATCTACTGTTTGTAAAGCGATATCTAAATGTAAAAATCTTTTTGCCTTAGAACTACCTATAGAGTAAATTTTTATAAATAAATATTTTAGTAAAAAATAATTTAAAAAATACTTAGTATTTTGGATTAAAGAGACATATATAAACTAGGATAAGAACTAATAAAGCTAAATAAATTATTTGAACTTAAATTTGAGTTAAAAGAAGATATTTAAGATAAAACTTACGAATAGATGATAAGATTCTTTAAATTCTGCTAGAAATATACCAAATTGAGGCTATGTTTAAGGTATAATACAATTTTTTGTTTTATTATTTCAATAAGAATTAGAAAATATATTTTATATTTTAAATTTTATTTGTTACATCATTTTATTTGTTTTTAATAAATTGGATAAATAAATTTTTTTTTATACTAACTTAAGAAATGTCCAAAACAAAAATTTAATATAATTTTTACTGAAAATTTTAATTATTATTATTTTAGTATAACTGGCGAAATATAATTGAAAAAGTAATCAATATGGCAATAAAGAACCTTACAAAATGTATCTAAATTAATTATCCTGAAGCAGTAATTAATTAATTTTTATGATAATTATTAATAAAGTTAATTAATTTTTAATTTGAAATAATTTTGGATTTTAGATTATTTTAAAACTAGTTTTATTATTTAAAATTATAAACTATTAAAAAGGGATGCTTATGTAGATAAAAAGGATTTAAAATATTTACGAAAATTATTAACTAAATGTGTGAATCTTTAACATTTATATATTGATTTGCTGTAATCATTTTCATAATAATAGCTTATTTATGGAATAATTAAATTAACTTTACTATTTTTAATAGAGGTACTACATTAGATTCAGAGAGTTTAGGTTAAGTTTTAGGAAATTATGAGTAACTTATATCTTTGAAAATTGTACATGGTCATTACGATTTTTATAGGAATTGTAATAGGTAAATAAATAAATTTTTTTTATCTATTAATATATTTATTAATTAATTACTTTTTATTCAAAAGCTTTTCAATAGATAAATTCTTGAGTAATTTAGCTAATTGTAGATATCTTAAAAATTTGGATTTAGAATTTTCGTAAAAAATTAAAATTTTTTAAGTATTAAACATCCATTTTTAATAATATAAATATAATTTCATTATTTTTGTATTAGGGAAGAATAATTTGGTTTTAAGAGGTTGGTAAAAGGAATAAAAAAATTAGAATAGTTAGCAACTCTCAGATTGAAGTAAATTTAATTTAAATTTTGTTTTGAAGGTTTTAACAATAAAAACTTTTTTAGACTTTAAAATTTTTAATATTTAGATAAAAGTGATAATTTTTTATTAAATAAAGGATGTACGGAGATTATATGAGTGATTATTTAGTCATATAATTTGCTAAATTAAAAAGATTGGTTTGTTTTTCCTATATTAATGATGAGTATACATCAAAAAATAAGGTTAATGATTGTCAACTTTTCAGATTAATAACTAAACATCCTGATTGGTTTTATTGAAAATAATTTGCATTTACAATTAAATAAAATTATTAAATATTTGTTTTTTGAATTTATAAAGTATTACTTTAAGATAATTTATAACATTATTTAAAATTGATGATCATATTTTCTTTATGAGTACCTTCATTAAATTGACAATTTTATTTATTTTTTTTAATCCAAGAAAATAAAAGTAAAAAAAAATAATTACATACATATATAAACTCTTTTTATATGAGAAAAACTAAAATAAAATAAATAAAAAGCTTATTCAATAATCTTCTCCAATGTAACAAATAATCCATTTAAAAATATAAATTTTAAAAATTATATTTTATAAAAATGTTATTATAAAGTGTAATTTGCATTTAATATTAATGAAAATTGATATTGAAAATTTTCGATTTAAAACTTTTGATAAAACATGGACTTTTAATGCTTTTAAATATCTTTTATCAAACAAATTTAATGTTTAAAAAACTAAATTTATTTATTTTATCGGTTTTTATGACTTTAAAAAAATAATAATAATTTTATATTCTCTGAATTATATTTGCTTTGGTATTTATACTTTTATTTTTCATATTATATTTATTAAAAAATATGATAACTATCAATTACTTACTTACTTACTATATTCTTTTATTTTAAATACATTCTTAATCAGTATATAAATAAATATAAATGCCTTTCTAAATGATATGGAATAATCTCTATTTTTTTAAATACATTCATGTATTTAAATAAATTCATATCTTAATGAATTTGTAAAAGTATCCTTTTTTTCACATTATTATGAAAAAATTATGTTTTAATAATGCACAAAGTAAAAATTCAATTAAATATTTTAAGTGTACTTCTCAATAAACTAAATATGAGCAATTACTAAATATTTAATGTCTGCAAATATTAAATTACGGAAAAAGTTGAAGTTTAAAAAAGATTGAGACATACTTTTGAAATCATTTATTATTTGTAAATAAAGCCTTATTATAATCAAGTATTGTGCTTATCCTGTTTTTTTCATAAGTTTTAAGAATGATTGGCAAACCAATCTCTCATATAAAATTCTTACTGAAGGTTATATTACATTTAAAACTCTAATTAAATGTGGATCAATTAAAAAAATATATTTAATTTTTTTTTTACTGTTTTTAATGAATATTAAATTATCAATAAATAAAATAGAAATACTGTACTTTCTGTTTTATTTCCACTCAAATATATTAGATTCCAAATTTTTAAAAACCAAATTTTTTTTGTAGTTTATTTATTATAAAATTTTATTTTTTAAATAATAAAAATTATGTTGCAGTAAATTTATATAAATTTAGAATTTAAAAACAAAAAATATTTAATTCAAATTTTAAGTAATACTTTAATTGTATTTTATATTGTATTCTTCAAAAATTAGCTTACAGCTTTACTTTAGTATAATAAAAATTAAATTTATAAGTTTAGAAAAACTAAACAATTTTTTATTCCAATATTGCTTGAGATTAGCTTCGTTTTTTGTTTTTAAATACTGTTTAATCTTATAAAATATATTTTTCAAATAAAAAACCATTCAATTTTATAAAAATCCTATGAAAAATTGTCTCCCTCTTCAAATATTCTTCATTTTCATATTAAAATTTATGAATAGATTAATAATTGATTTTCTAAATTTTTTCGAATATTGAATATAATTTTGATGAGAAAATTAAATATTAATTATTTTATTTTTTGAAATAAAAAAGCACTTATCAGAAAAATGATCAAAAAATTGTATTTAAATTTGATTTTTACAATCTAATTTACTAAAAAAAAATAAACACTGAAAATAGACAAAGTCAAATTAAAAACATATTCTATTAATTCTTATATCTGGTTCATAAGTATTTTTTTTTAATTAACAAAAATAAAGAAAAGAGGAGAAATAAATGTAAATAAATATCTTGAAATTGTTAAAGATATACTCCTTTATTGGTATTGCTATTTGCAATATAGATCTAATCAGTAATTATGAGAAATAAGAAGAGCCTTGTTAAATCATATTAATGGATTAATTCAAAAATTAAGGGATTGATTTTAAGTGCGTTGATGGATAAATAATGGTTATTCAATAAAATGAAATCACACTTAATTTAAATTTATTATCTGAAGAAATCACTACAACAATAGTATTTAAAGATATTACCAAGTTAAATTTAAATTAAATTTAAATCGTTGACTGTTGTTTCAGAAAATTGTAAAATGATTTTATAAGCATTGAAAATATTCAAGAATTGAATTTAAATAATGTAGAAATTAGCATAATATTTTTTGGTCTTAGTACTAAGCTAATCAAAACAAATTAAATTAATTTAATCTAGATTGATAAAATAAGTATAAAATTTTCTTACCTAATTTTAATGAGTGCAAAAATTATTAAAATTAATAGCTTGTTAGTAGAACCTCAATCTTAATTATAAATCATAAGCTAAGATTTACTGTTTATAGAAAAAATTTAGATTAATATGACATAATTTATTATTAATAAAAACTTAATTCTATCTTCAAGTAAAGAAATTTAAGTTAGCTAGTTAATCGTAAACAACTCTTACCCTATCATATAAAAAAAATAACTCCTAAAAAGCATTCCTTAAAGAAATCTTAATGAATAATTAGTATCAAGTTTTATTTAATTTTATATTCCATTTGAAGAATAATATGATCAAAAAGTACTAATAAAATATTTATTAATTACAGGTTAAGAATAAATATTTTTAAAGAGTACTATATCATTCTTATTATATTCCTTTTATTAATCTCGTGATTAAAGAACTAATTTAATTTAAATAGACTAGATAGACTATCAAATCGCTAATTTTTCAAATTAGTTTGATATTGAAATATTAGATTTTACATCAGTAAATATTGGTTCAATCGTTATTCGAGCATAAACTAAATTCATTCCTAATGATTTAAAATAGTAACTCATTTTTGCTTAATCTGTTGATAATTTGAATATAGATAGCATTTTAATTCAAGAAAATAGCCAATTAACTTAAAGTTTGTTAACTGGGTCTGTAGGTAATGTAAATATAAATTAGTTTATTTCAAAGTCTGGATGCAGATTTTATACTTCTCTTACAGATATTAAATCATACAGTATTAATATACAAAATATGCATATAGAGAAAGGAGTCTTTGATGAGTATCTTTTATATATTCCGTTTTCTAGAAATATTTTAATAAAAGGATTATATTTGGATAGTATTTCGTTTAAGCAATAATCTTTATTTTTTTTTGATGATAGCGATGCTGTTAAAATTGAAAATTTTGTTATATAAAATATAAATTAATCTTCTCAGTACCAAGAAAAATAGGAAAATTAAGAATAGCAATAGTTCATAATAGTAGCTAAAAGGATATAAAGCAGTTTGATTCTTCATGATTTATTTGCAGATATGGGGTAATCAAAAAATTTATCATTTCTATTCCTTGAGTATGTATATCCTCCTGGCCCTCAAATTTATTCTCAACTTTATGTTGAAAATGCTTACTTTAAAAATGGTCATTCCTTAGATTTTGGGGGATGTTTTCAGTTACATGGCTATCTTAACTCATCATAACATTAAATTTAATTATATTTTTAAAATACTACATTTGATTCTTGTGTCAGTAAGTATTTAGGAGGTGCAGTCTCGGGAGGTTCTTTAATTAAAGCATAAAACTTGAATATAATTAATTGCAGAAGCAAAATTGGTGGAGGCCTTTATATTTGGCAATCCAATTCTGATAAAAATGAATTAAAATAAATTAATTTTTAGAGTAATGTAGCATATTTAACTGGAAATGATTATAGCTTTGAGATATAAGAAATTGCTATTTAAAAAATAGAAGAATTGAATTTTGAATTGTAATAACCATACACAATAATTTAGACGAACAAATATTTATATTAAGGTTTGACTTATGCCTTTTTACTATCTTTTAAAATTAATAATTAACTATTTACATAATTTGACAAAGAATCTTCATTTGGAAATATTAATAATTTCATAAATAATAAAAATGATAATTATTTGTAAGATACTCCTGAATTACTTACAATTTTTGATTCTCCTTCCCCATATTTTTTAATGATAATATAAAACTAAGATTTTAAGGGAAAATAGTAAGAAAACTTAAATTTGAAATAAATATTATTTGATACATATTATGATTTAAATACAAGCAATTATAAAATTTATAATGGCTGCAAAGAATCAGCAGGAATGGAGAGAGTCAGTATTTAATCTGGAGTTTATAACACTTTTATATGCAGATATTGTAATTAATAAAAAGTCAATTATGATCAATCACAATGTTAATCCTGCCCTTTTTAGTATTTTTCTGAATGTTTCGCAAATTATTCTCTTTTATAGGATTCTTTTTGGAGATCAAATTATACTGTTGAAGTTAGTTAAATTTATAAATGCTCATTAAATCCCAAAAGTTGTATCTCAGGTAAATTAATAAATTATCTATCAATACTTTATTTTTTTAAATATTCTTTTTTTCTCCTTTAAATTTTTATTGAAAATAAAATTCCTCAAATTAATTAAAATAAATTTTCTCACACATATTTTCTTCATTTACAAAATTTTAATTCAAAAAATTTTTCTTAATTAATTAAATAAATATTTCCAAAATATATTTTGAATAAATAATTTAAATAAAAACAAAGGTAGTGGATTTGGTAATTCTCTCTGTTATGAAGGTCATATCGGAGCATAATGCTTAAATTGTGATATTGATGGAGTTTATTGGGGAGAATAATATTCAGTTTAAGGAAATTTTTAGTGTTCAAAATGCAGCTCAAAAACATAAAATTTAATTAAATTTGTTTTCATCATGATTTTCCTAATTATAAGTATAGCTATTATAATTATTTCAACTTTTAAAAGATTAAGAAATGAACTATGTGCATTTTATTTAGCTAAGATGGGTATTTTTTTCATAGGTAGGACTCTATAAAAATAGAATCTTTCTTCAACTTATATCAAAATATTTATGTTTCATGCCTCTATCTTTGCTGTATCTATTTAATTCATAAATATTGATATCATCTCTTCAATTTCTGCTTATTAGTTAGTTGCCTATAGTCCTTTAAACTCTCAGTTCTTTTCTTTAAGCTGTTTAATATCTGAATATAAATCTTATTCAACATCTATTGGATATTAGTATCTCTTGCTTCTCTTTATGGTTCCTATATTTTTATTTTTATTAATTGCAATAATTTTAGCATTTTGCTTTATCTTTAAGAGGATATCTTTTAAATAATCAATATATATGGGATACCTATCTTTGATTTATATTTTTATAACAGCTTTTTATTCTATTCTCCTTGAGGTATGCCTATCAAGCTTTACTTGTTTCTAGCTAGAGAAAGATAAATCTTATTCACTGATAGATCTTAGCCTACAATGTGGTAATTCTTCTTAGTTAGAATAGATTTAGTTGCTTAGCCTCTTGATGTTGCTCACAGTTTTAACCTCTTTTCCATTATTTGTTTGTGCTATGATAATCCATTCAAGACACAGGTTGAAAAAAGTTAAGATTATGTTTACTTATGGATTTTTATATGATGAATACAGGCCTTAATATTATTATTGGGAGATGGTTAGGTTGCTAGTTAAAATATTAATCGTAGTATTCAGTATTTTTTTTAGGTAATATTTTTTAATTGCAGGAATATTGATTACTATTGTTTTGATGCTGTATTTTATAGGACTTTAATCATGCAACCCATTTATATCAAAATCCTTGAATAGAATTGAAAAAATATCTGTATTTATTTCTTAAATATTATTGTTATGTTCAGTAATGTTTTCTGATTACAATGAAAAAGATACTTCTCAAGCTATTTAAATTCTAAGCACAGTAATGTTTACTTTCACACAAATCATTAATTTGTTATTTATGATTTATATGCTATGGCTGATAGTGGTATCATTCTTAGAGTAATAAATTGTTTTCTTAATAAAATACTGTAAATTTAGGTTTTTACAAAGATTTTTAAATGAATATCCTTTGAGAGTAAACAATAATATAAAAAAAATGATAAAATTAACAAAAAGAATTTAAAGTTTGAATTGTATATAAAGTAATTCTGACTATGAAATACTAATTCATCATGAAATGGTCAGAATATCATGACTTAGAAAGAGTGATGTAAATTAAAATTAAATATTTTTTGTTTAGAGATTATAGGTTTTTATATTTTGACTAAAAAGAGGAATTTGGATTTGATTAAAATTAAATACTAATTTGTTTTGTTGTATTACTGTATTATCTGGTTGTTTTATTTTAATATTTTTTTTAAATTTAGATTTAATTTCAATTTTCAAATTCATTATATTACTAAATAATAATTTGAAAGAGAATTTCTGTAAAATAATTAAAATTACAATAATTTCATAATTAAATATTTATCATTTAGATAATTATTTCAATTAATATTTTTAGATAAAATTAATTTTAAAAATGGCTAAAAATAATTAAACATTATCTATTTAGTACATTTTTTAATTTTATGATAAATCAATTATCATAAATGTAACATAAAAATTACTGAAATATAATTACAATTTAGTACAAAAATATATGGATGTTATCAAAAGTAAAATTAATAGAATTCAAATTTATTTATCAGTGATATTTTGAAATCAAAATGTCTAATGAAATAGATGAGGTATAAGGAACTAACAATTGAGGTCTATTTTGATTCAATCAATTCCGAAAAGAGAAGTGTAATTTGTTTATTACCAGATTATTTATTTTCAAATTATTACAAATATTTTCGATCATAAAATATAAGAAATAGAAAAATAAAATTTGTAGGAGCAAAGGTCTCTCTATTCATGAAATGTTAATCCTCTAGTGGTTAATATTAAACCTAAATCGATCTAAAAAATTGATATTGAGGACTTACTCACTTATAATGATTTCACTCTAGCCACATTCTAAGTGCACAAAGTAAGTAAAGCAGACCAAGTAAAATTCATTACATGGGAATAAGGAGTAATGAATTGTAAACAAAATATTAATTAATCGGATTATTGAAACAAAAATTTGGCAAACATCTTTGATTGATCAAATAAACTTCAGAATATGTCCCTTGCAAATTATTTAAATTAAAATCAAATTAGTCTATTGAATTTAACCATAAGAAGATAATTATATCGAAAAGCAAAACAAATATAGCTGACACTTATAAAATTAAAAATTGTAACAAAAATGAAACTAAAAACAAATTAAAAATACTTCTTATTAAACCTCATTTATTTATCATATTTCATTGATCTAGCTTTTTCAGGTATATTTAATTGCTTTAATTCAAATGGAGTTTTTTCTTATCTTATGATTTACTTCTACATTATTAAATAGATTTGTTATCTAGCCAAAGTTACCTACTTTAGGAGCTTGATTAAGATGTCTTAGATCCATCATTAAAATAATTGTGGGAGAATTCTAAGATAATACAATGTGAAGACACTGATTTTATAGAATTTGATAATAAATATATTTTATCTTCAACCTCTTAAAACGAAAATTCTTATCTTAAAAGAGATTTTGAGATACCAATTCCTCATTATAAAATATCATTATCATTTGAAATTTTGCTTTTAAATAGCATGGAGAAAAACAACGCAATAAATATTTAATATGATGGCATGCAGGGAGGGATCATTATTTTTGATCACGAATAAGCGAGGCCATATTGCTTTAAAGGCTAAAATTAAATTCTTGAGTTTTACTAGATGTCATTTATTCATAATACATAAAATTTGGTGTTGAATCTAACAAGATTAGCTCAACCAGGGTCAAATGATATAGCACCCTATGATTTTGCATTGAAGAATATATTTATTGAAGTACATTAATGCCACTAATCATGCTCTAAATGCAGTGGGCCAAGTCATGTAAATATTTTAAAAAAATAATCTAACAAATAAAGAATGTTAAAAGTAAAATAACTCCTAAATCTTATAAATATTTCAATTATTAGAATGAATGCACAGCCTGTCCAGAAGGAGCAAGTTTGACTGATAACACATGTACTTGCTAAAACGGAAAGCTCTTCTTGAATTATAAATGTGTAGATCAATGTAGTTATAAATACATATAAGATCATTCAAGCTAGAGCTGCATTTAGAATAATTGTAATATCAGCTAATGCTCTTAATGTGACTCTGATAAATTTAATTACTGTGAGTTATGTTAAAGTGACTTTTTTAACTACGAAGGTTAATGTATTAAGAGATGCCCATTGTGGACATTTTAATAAGGGCAAAAATGTATCATCAAAATCATATAAACATCTAAAAGTAAATTTTCTAAATTTAAAAACATTTATGTTTGAGATCTTAACTAGTACTAAAAATATTAAGATTAGTATATTTATTTAATTTCTTTACAATTCTTATATATTTAAGTTTAAATTAATTTTTTTGTATTCATCCTGCAATAAAGGTTCTAGCTTCCTCCTTCAAGGACTGTACAATTAGTTTTTATCTTAGGATGAAGCTAATAGCCTTTAATTATAATACTCTGGTTTTTCTTCAACCTAATAAAGCTAAGTTAGATATTGTGGTAATTAATTTTACGTTGGTGGTCCGCTTCCTTCTACAAATTAAATCTTTATAAAAAAATCTATTTCGTTTATGTAAGCGCATTTTAATTAATTCTTATCTGATTGTAATCATGTTTTTTTTTTTCTTTTTAAGACCTCCTCATTACATGCTAACTTTAAGTTTCAACTATGTTTTGATTGATATGGCTATCAATGAAGGATTTAAGATTCTTATTGATGGAAGAATTGTAGCATTTATTTATCAATCTAGCGAAAACTTGTCAAAAAATTAAAATATTTGTGGAGCAAGCTAGATAGACACTATTGACTCATTTAGTTACACATTTAAGCACAGTTTATAGAATATAACAATAGAAATTTATATGCAATTAACCTAGCCTTTCACCACATAATCATTTGGCATCAGAGATATTCTTATGATATCTTAAAATGTAAGAAATATTTAAATTATTTAAATATCTATAAAATTCTACATTAAATTAAAAAGTGTAATGACAATTGTGAAGAGTGTAATTAACAAGGGGTTTGCACATAATGCCAGCAAGATTTTATGTTTTAAGAAAGTGATAACACATGCAGAAAAAATTCCTAATGCTCCCCTGGCCACTATAGTGACCTTACATAAAAAAAATGTTTGAAGTGTCATTCACAATGCAAAACTTGCTCAGGATCATAAATTAATTAGTGCATGTCATGTTAAAATGGAAAATATTTATCTGACTCTAATTGCGTTGAGCAATGCCCAGCTGGAAGCTTTTTGAATAAATAAAGAGAATGCCAAAATTGTAATTCTACTTGTTAGACATGTTCAGATGATAGAGTTTATAGCTGCCTAACATGCCCATTATGTAAATTTTTAAAGTTGATTTAATTAAAAAACTAAAAATTTTTTTAAAAAAGAATTAGTTTATTAAGAAGGCTATTGTCTATAAGAATGTAGTTCTGGATATTATTTTTAAATGAGTAATAGATCATGTTATAAGTGCTCTTCATAGTGCAAAGAATGTTTTGGACCTGATTCTGATCAAGTATTTAAAAAATATATCAAAAATTAAATTATCCAAAATTATTTTAAGAGAAAAAATTTTAATAGTAATTTAATTAAAAATAAAAGTGTAAAAGTTGTCATGAATAAAAATACATACTTGATTCATAATGCGTAAATAGTTGTCCTTAAAATTATTTTGTCTCTACTGCAAACATATGTGAAAAATGTGATGAAGGATGTAGTAAGTGTGATAAAAGTAGCAGTAATTGCTAAGAGTAATAAATTACTTATTTAAATATTTGTTAAAAGTTTTTAAAAATTTATTAAATTTTTTAGGTGTAAAAGCGGTTATTTAATGCTTAAAAATTAATGCTTTTCTGAACCACCTGCTGGATACTATTTAGATGGAAATTAATTTAAAGAATGTTTTTAAGGGTGTGCAAAATGCATAAATTCTAGTAAAGATAGCTGCTTATCTTGTATGTAAAACTATTTCACATATTAAGATAATACTTGTGTTGATAAATGTCCTGAGGGATTTTTCCCTAACTAAAATAAATAATGCTAGATGTGCTCTGGCTATTGCAAAACTTGCACTAGTTTTTACGAGTGCACAACCTGTAACTACGGTTTATTTGAGCTGAATGGAAAATGTGTAAGCGAATGTCCTTCTTAAATATAATATTTCCAAGACGAAATAGATTTAAAGTGCATAAAGTGCAACTCAGAATGTCCATAATAAGGCTGTAAAGGTCCAACTATAGAAGACTGTATAGACGAACAAATTCAAATTCAAGATACAATGGTTTCCAAAATAATATTTATCTAACTTTCTTTTTGGATAGTTTGCTGTATCGTTGGCTATATGTTGGATAAATTTTAATCTAAATCCTATTTAAACAAAAACAGAATTAATTAATAAGAATATGAAGAAGAAAACAAGAGAGAGGATAAAAAATAAATGAGACTTCCTACGAAAGAGAATTAAATGAAAGAAATTAAGCTAAATTTCAAAAAAAATTCATCAAGTCTCCCAAAAAGCTACTAAATAATGTAGCAAGACTAAAACATTAACATTCAAAAAATAGAATTTCCTCAAGTAAATAAAGATTGTAAAGAGGACTTATCCTTTACTAATGACAATATAAGCGTAAACAGTAACTCTCCTACTAAAATTGGTTCATAGACAAGCTTTAACAAAAATTCGTAAATAATTAATGTCTAATAATTAAAAATTTTAATTACTTTTTTAAAGAAGTATAGTAGGTTTATTTAGTTCAGTAACCTAATTTATGGAAAAGGTAGCTTCAACTCCAGAAGGCTCTCCAAAATCAGCGAAGCTTAAAGAAAAAGAAAATAATTAGATATAAATGGACCTTTCTTAAGCTCTACAAATTTATTAAGTCAATCAGAAAAATAATAAGCAGGAGATTTTACCAACATTTTCAGGAGGTAAATAAATTATAATGTTAAAAATGTATTAATTAATATTTAAATGAATGAAAGATGTTGAATGCATAACCAAATTTGAGAACAAATCTTTATAAAAAATGCAAGATTCTGATAACTCTGAATTATTAAATGAATAATCTAAATTTAATTAAAAATTATACTTCACTCTGGTAAAAAAAATTTTCAAAATAAATTTATTTACTTAAAATTTTTTATCAAAATAATTAAAGGCTGGTAATGAAATAGTGTCTTTTTTCGTATTTTATGATCACAAATAGAGCAGAATAACAAAAAGCAGCTTATTCTTCTTAAAAAATATATTTTTAATTAGCTTTCAAATATTTGCATTGATGGTAAATAAATAAGTTTATAATTTTATCTTAAAAATAAACATATTTTTTAATAATTTAATAGGAAAATTCATTGTAACTATCATTCATTTCAATATTGTTAGGAATAACCTTGAAGGGAATCATTTCTAAATCTCTTATCTATATAAAAACATATTAGATAGTTAAAATAGCTGTATCCTTACTCATAACAATTGCTGCATTCTTTTTGCTTATGACATAATTAGTTTATCCTGAATTAAAAGAAATCAAATACAGCTATGATAGAAAGTGGGCATTATACTATCTTTTTGCACAAACAATTGATATAGTAATAATTCAATCAATAATTTCCTTCTTGAGCTATTATATAACCAGAAAAAATACAATCATGATAAGACAAACAAAATTATTCTTAGCAATGAAGTTCGTTTTTAGGAGAGAATAATATGAACAAAAATTTGAATGAAATAAAAAAATAAATTAAATATTTATTAATGATTTTACTTATGTTGTAAAAATTATTAAACTAAAAAATATATATTTTATAATTCTTGATTATTTATTTTTTATAATCAAATCTAATTACTTCAATTTTAATGTTTATTGTAAATGATATTTGATATTTTTCATTTAAATTAAGAAATTTTATTTGCCATACTAATTATATTGGAAATAGTAAATGAGTAACAAAATTTTATATAATATTCTGTAATCCCCTATAGTCTAGCAGGTTAGGATAGAAGGTTTTCACCCTTCAGACCCGGGTTCAAGTCCCGGTGGGGGAAATTTTTTTGAACTAAAATATTAACATTTCATATTTACTTTTTTAGATGATATTATCAATTAAAAATTCTTTCTTGAATAACTTTGCTCAAAAAAAAAAATATAAGGAAAATTAATTGTATTGAATAAGAACAGCCATATACAACAACTGCGAGAATAAATGTAAGAAAACAGAAATATACAATTACAAAAACACTAAAAAAATGAGAGAGTTATTTATTTTTCTACTAAAAAATTATTTATTTGAATGAAAATTTTTTTCATAAAGCATTTAAAAGGAAGAATTTTTAATTTCATATAAAAAATTTTTAATAAAATATTTATTTATCTCTAGAATTATCTAAATAAATAAATATTTATATAAGGTTTTAAAATTTATTTAATACTTTAATTTTTTGAAGGTATGAAAAAATATGTAATAAATTAAATAATAGAAAAATGTTAATGGTATTAATGTTAACATTCATTAGTTATTTTTTATTTGAAACACGATTTGCCTTCTAGTTGAAAAATTCAAACTTAAAAAAAATTGAGGTAATTTGTAATCCGTAAAACGTAAAACAAGATAGGCTTGATGACGATTTACATTTAATTAAATGGATGGTTTAAATTTTTTATTTTTATTTTTTTGAAATTACTTGACAATTTAATTGGAATGCTCTAAACTAAAGATATCCTTTAATAAAATGAAAATTTTACCACAACTTTATAATATAAGGTGATCAAATGTTAGTATATTTCCTTATTTAAATTATACATTTAATTTAAGTTTATATTTCAATTAATAATTAATTGATGGTTGATTGTCATTACAACTTTTTTTTTTTTTTGTAAATAACATAACAAATATTTTCATTCTAATTATCTAGTTACAAAATAAGACATATTAGCAAACAATAAAAATTAGAAAAACATAATATTTAACACTATATACTAAATGGCAAATAAATAATCATAAATTTACTAACAAAGTAATTAGTAACCTACTTTTTTTAAAAACAATTAGAATATGGTGATTAAAATCATATTTGCCACCCTCATATTCATTAAGTATGTTTTAGCAAGTTATATTACTTACTACCATATTTTTGTTTATCTTAATCCTTTTAAATTATTTGAGATGGATTTCTAATCGGTAATGAATTTTAGTTACATAATCCCTCTCCTCTTAAAGGATCTCCATAATAAATTATTTAATTCATGTCTAAATATACAAGTATCTGAAAGAATTAGAAAGTGTTTGGAATTATTGAAAAAAATAATTACTAAAACATTTAAAAAACATATACAATTACCTACCATTAGTTTTCTTATTTAAGGTGCTAAAGAATAAAGCTAAAAAATTTTTTTTGTTCTTAAGTTTAACCACTCTGATTTAAATCTAAACTAATAATAGTCAGAATAATTGAGGTTTTGTATTAACTAAATTAGTAAATTTAGTAGAAATTTTTAATTTATTTGTGGATATAATTAAATTGAATCAATTAAATGATAATTAATTTTACTAAAGTATAGTATAGAATGAAATTAATTTAGCAACAAATTATTTGTTTCTTATAACCAATGTAATAATTAAGGGAATAATTTTGCATAAATTTATTTAAATAAAATTCCATCTAAAATATTAAAAAAATCTTAATAATTATTTAAATATTAATTTATTGTGTCAAATTTTTTAAATTCATATTTTAATAATTTAATATTCAATTCATATAAACTAGCTTATTTTATTAATATTTTTATATCAAAAAAATCAAATTGTTTTTAGATGTTTAGCTATTAAAATGAAATTAAATTATATTTTTTACATTAATAAATGATTTTTAATATGCCTTATTTTGTAGTTTTGGAATAACTATTTATATTTATTTATTTAATAAAGTATCTACAAATAAAAAATGCTTAATAAAAGCAATTCAAATATTTTTAATTATCTTACCAATTCGAATAGCAAATATGATATAAAATTTAGTGATCAGATTAGATTATTCAAACAAAAGATTTTATTAATTAATACACTTAAATAATTTGTAATTTATTAATTAAGTTTTGAAAAAATTGTTTAATCAATTTTCTTTTTATTAATTTAAATAGCAGTAACTCTCCTATCCAAAATGTAATAATTCTTGCTAATAACAAATTTATTTATAGGAAAATTAAGAAACAAAGTTATTAGCCTTACATCTTTTTTTGCTTAATTTTCAGAGATATAAATTTAATTAGTATTTAAAAGAAAAACTTTATTTCAGAAATAAATAATAAATAACTTTTAATTTATTATGATTTCTTTTCAAATTTAATTGCTGTGTTTTGGAATGATATTGTTCTATAATAACACTGAAAGGAAAAAAAATTAACAAATATTGAATGGAATTTAAATCAATTTACAAATTAATTAATACACACTTAGAATTTTTTTCTTATTAGAAAATTATTTATTTACTTATTTTTAGGCTATTCTTTTTATAAAAACTCCAAAATTATTTTCTTTTTACTCGCAAGCCACATTTAGGCTGCAATTTGAATTTGGAATTGTGATTAGTTTTACAAAAATAAAAGTAATCTAAATATCATACAATATATGGCTTAATCAATTTTATGGCTATTCCTTGCTTAATTTGCTGATATATTTTTTTCTTTATATGGAATTCAAATATGGTAAATTTTATAAAAAAATAATTTAATACCACAATTTAAGTAATTCTTTTAATCATAATTAATAAAAGTAACTAAGTCAGCTAAGGAAAGACAGATTACAATTTATTTAAAAAGAAATATGAATTTTATCTTTTTTTAGAGGCTTGCTAAAAACAATGTGAAGATTAAATAGGCTTTAATTGATTTATTAGGAATAGACTTTTAACCATAAAAAATTAATTATTTAATACGAAGAATACGAAATCAGCTTACAATAAATTTGCATACATCAAAGTTTATTTATACATTTTTTTATTATTCAGTGGTTAATGTTTTTGTATATATATTTTGACTATTTTTATAAAGATACTTTTTTTATTAATACAAATTGATAATTACATTTCGTTTGTGATAATAGAAATAGAACAAAAGTTCGAATAAAAAGGATAATTAATTTAATTATCTGAAATTACTTTAGATTTACTAATATAAATATCAATATCAGTTATACATACTACTTAGACAAAATGAAAATTCAACTTTAAATTCTACTAATCATCTTTTTTTTCCTGCGAGATATTTATTCTGGTAATTTATTTAGAAAAAAGTATATTAAAAATAGCATTTTTCCTTACTTTATATAGATGGTTTACTAATAAGTGATGAATTTCACTTAGAAATGACTGCATCCTAAATCTAAGGATGGCCTAGTCTCACAATTAAATGTACATCAACAGATTATGTTAACAGAAAAAATTAGTTGATGTATGGTATTATTGATAAAACGAATAACTAAAACATTCAAAAGACTTACACCATTAGTTAACCACATTGGAGTTTGTCTGTAAGAGTAAATATCTACACACTAAGGAATTTTGCAGCTAGTGATAACATCTAAGTATATATGGATGGAACTAAGTAGATTTAATATCAAAAAGGAACCAATTTAAATATTGGAGAATCACTTTGCCTATCATAAAATGATTACCTTTATTAATTTTATAAAAATATTACCCATTCGGCAAATACATTTGTCTTAGCATTTTAATCATCTATTTCTACTTCTGCATCAACAGGAGGATTTGCATTAAGTGAGCTATATGTTGAAATAGATACTTGCTATCCTGGATGCTAAACTTGCTCTGGACCTGCAAATGTACATTTTTATATAAAATTAAATTGTAATATTGATCCAATTTCATTTAAATATTAATAAATATGCAGCAATTATAAAATTTTATATATAATTGAATTAACATTTTAACCCATAAATTATTTTATTTAATTTTAAGGGTAAAAATAAAATTAATTGCTATCCTTTAACTTTTTAGTTTTTACCCTTTGAGAATTGTGGCAAAATCATGCTAATATTATATATAACTTATTGATAACATAAATAAAATAAATTACTCTTAAATTCAAATTAATAATTTTTATTATACAGAATTAATGTCTCACATGTATAACAGGAGCTGTTGCTAATAATGGTTAATGCTAATGTACAACAGGTTTTGCTTACTAAACATCTTGTGTCCCTACCTGTCCTGCTGGGTTAAGAGGAGAACCTACTTTATTAGTATGTGTTTAAGATTATTGTGATGCATCTGTTTGTGCTACATGTGACAATACAACAAAATCATGCACATCTTGCAAAGCTGGTTTTTATCTACTATAAACTTAATGCGTAGCTTCCTGCCCTACTTATACTAATTAATAAGGAAATGCTTGCTAAGATATACTACCATCAAGTAATTTTTAAAAAAAATAATCCAAAAAATTAACTATTATTATTTTAGATGGGATGTATCTACTTAAAGCTCTATATTAAACTTTTGTTTCTGAAAGTGAAATCGCTGCAGGTGGACTAACAGTTACTGGTTTAGAAGGAAACGGATTCGGTACAGTAACAAGTTCTGGAGCTTACACATCTGTTTGTAATGGAGTTTATTATATTGGTGGCTATATGTTAGCTGCAAGTAATGCATCATTTAAAAGAACTTTTACTGGACTGTAAAAATCAAATTTTATTTTTTTTAACAATCATATTTTTAACATTGAATTTAAAAATTTTTAGACCTCCTCATTCTTAAATAAGAGTTGGTTTTACATTCGTAGCTATAGATGATTGGGATAGTGAATACATTTACATTAATTATGATGGTTAATAGGCTTCCAATTTCATGGTAAATATAGCCGATACTGTAGATGCATTGTGCGGATTACAAAGTTTTTTGGATTTGGTTTATAATGTAGACAAAACTGCAATACATACAAGTCCTACTCTTAATTTAGAAATAAAGGCGACACTCTCTTTAAATTCATCATAAAAATCTTATGGTCTGAGAAATTTATTTGTAATTTTAATCCAAGTAAAATCAAAATTATTCTTATTAAATTCCAATAAAAAATCATTTTTATTTCAAATTAAAGTGTAGTTAATGGTGTATATCGTGTAATCCAACAACATGCTTGTAATGTGATATCACACATTATTTATACAAAGGATCTTGTTATGTAACTTGTCCAACAACTACATACATAGATTAAAATAGAGAATGTCACGATTGTGATGCTTCTTGTGCTACTTGTAGCGGCCCAAGTAAATTTATTTAGTTTTTATATTGAAATCGATAAATACACAAATTAATTAATTATTAGATAATACTGATTGTATTACTTGCCCACCTGGAAAATTGCTATATAATAATGGTGGTTGGACCTGTGTAAGTAATTGTCCTGCTACAAATTATTACAGTGATGGTACTAAATGTTAAAAATGTGATTCAAGTTGCTTGACTTGCTCTGGAGGTAAATTTAATATAATTATTTTGCAAAATTAAACATATCTTTTATTAAATAACATTAAAAGGAGCTAATAATAATTGTCAAACATGTAATGCTGGAGTTTTTTTGTATTAGAATTAGTGCTTAGCAAGTTGCCCTTCTAATACTTTTGTTAGTGGAAGTACAAAGATTAAATTATTATTGAATTTGTACTTAAAAATATTTTATTTTATTAGCCTAATGTGTTAACTGCGATGGTAGTTGTAAAACATGTACTGGTGCATCAAATTAATAATGTGCATCATGTGATACTACATATTTATTGACTTAAGGAACTTCCAAGTCATGTGTATCAAATTGTGGAAATTCACTATACCCAAACACTACAAATCATACATGTTCTAGCTGTGATTCTACTTGTTTTAATTGCTCAGGTCCTAACCCTAATTAATGTACTTAATGTACAGGAAATAGGTAAAATAAATTAAAATTGTTTTTATAAAATTAAATCTATACTTTTAAAAAAGATATCTTTAGGGAAATTAATGCTTGCTTACATGTAACCCAGGATTTTATGCAGGAGCAAATAATATGTGTGTCGCATGTGATTAAACATGCGCTACTTGTAGTGCAGGAGCTAATACTAATTGCTTAAGCTGTTAGCTTCCTTTATATTTGAATGGAAATTAATGTCTAAATTCATGTAATTCAAATCAATACAAGGATGATCCTACAGCTAGCTGCCTTAGCTGTGACTCTAGTTGCTTAACTTGTTAAGGAGCTGGTAAAAGAACAATAATTTTATTTGCTTTTAATTCAATTTAAATAATAAATTCATAATAAAGATAAGAATTTTTAATATTCTATAATTATTTTTTTTTAATAATAAGGACCTAAAAATTGTACATCATGTCCTGCATCCACGTTCTTGAACGTTGATCATTCTTGTGTTTCAAAATGCCCAGACGGGTTATATGCAGATGGAAATGTATGCAAAGCTTGTCCATCTTAATGTGCCAAGTGTGTTATATAAGGTAAATCTAATCTTTAAAAAATAGTCTAACACTTTTATAATAAAAAGGTACTTCTCCTGTTTGCACAACATGCCCACCTAGTTAAGCTTTATATAATGGAAACTGCGTGGCGACTTGCCCAGCAAAAACTTATTAGACCAATAGTAAATTTTTAATCTTTAATGTTCTATATTATTTATTTTTTTTTAAAGATGGAGCAACAAATATTTGTTCTAGTTGCGATTCCAGCTGCTAAACTTGCTCAGGTCCTAATGCTAATTAATGTTTATCTTGCATACTACCAAATTATTTTTAACCAGATACTACCTAATGCGTAACTACTTGCAAGACTAGTTACTATCCTGTCTAAAATACTGCTACCTGTGCTCCCTGTAATGCTACATGCTACTAATGCTCAGCATCTACTGCAAATGATTGTACAAGTTGTACAGGAAATTTGTAATAATTCATAATTCATTTTTTGTTAATTTTTATAGAAAATTTTAATATACAATTTTATTTTCTTATAAAAGATATTTATAAAATAACACATGCTCATCAACTTGTTAGAATGGAACTTATCCAGATAAAACTACAAATAAATGTACGTAATGCGATTCGACATGCTTAACATGTTCTGCAGGAACAAATACAGACTGTTTGACATGCAGTCCTCCAAATTATCTTCAAACTGACAAAAATTCATGTTTGACCACATGTAAAAGTAACGAATATCAAGATAATTCCTCCAATAAGTGTGTAGCTTGTAATGTATTATGTGCAACTTGCAGTGGTCCTGGTATACTTTTTTAAGCTTAAAATAATTTTAATTTTGATTTATATTTAATTAGCATCTACTTAATGCTTAACATGCCAAGCAGGATAAATATTATATACATCACCTGATAATAAAAAGACTTGTGTGAACTCTTGTCCTGATGGGTATTATAGTGATACAAAAAATAATGTATGTGCTTAATGCAATTCATCCTGTTTAACATGTGCATCACCAGGTGATAATAAAAGTTGTTTATCCTGTGCTCCTACTCTATATTTGCTGAATGGCTAGTGTGTTAATTCATGCCCTTAAAAGTACTACTCTACTACAAGCACAAGTATAGATTAATATTTCTTATTTAATACTTATCAATATTTTTTTTAAATAGATCCTTAGACTATGATTTGCAAGCAGTGTTATTAAGATTGCTTGACTTGCTCTGGACCTCAGAGCACTGATTGCAAAACATGCTAGCTTCCAAATTATTTTGTTGCAGCTACTTCTTAATGTCTACCAAATTGTCCTGCTAAATTTTATAAAAATGATCCACTTGCTTAATGTTCTGCCTGTGATCCTTCATGTGCTAACTGTAGTGGGCCATCAGCTAGTTAATGCACTTCTTGCTCAGGTTCATTGTAATAAATTAAATAATTTAAAAAATTTGAAATTGAAATGTACAATATTTATTTTAAAATTAGGTACCTTGATGGTGTTTCTTGTATTAATACTTGCTCACCTGGTAAATTTGCAAATCAACAAAATAATACTTGCACGGCTTGTGATCCAACTTGTAAGACTTGTGATGGAACTACTTCAACAAATTGCCTTTCTTGTGCCCTTCCTAACTATTATTAATTATCAACAAAACAATGTGTTTAATAATGTAATGCTAATTAATATAAAGATAACGCAACAATTTCTTGTATAGCATGTAATAGTACTTGTGCTACATGCAGTGGTCCCAGTAAAATATTGATCGATTTTAAAATATTTTATTAAAAATTTTTTTAATAGATTCAAATTAGTGCTTAACTTGCAACGGAACTGATGTATTAATTAATGGTAATACTTGTTAAAGCAACTGCCCAGATGGTTAATATTAAGATTAAACTGTCTGCAAAGCATGTGATTCTTCTTGTAAAACTTGCGTTTTTCCTGGTAAACTTTTTAACTTTGTTAAAATCGTTTTATTGATATTAATCATATTTTTTAAATAATGAAAAATATAGGTAGCTCTAATAAGTGTGTTACTTGCAAAACTGGCTAGTATTTCTATTAAAATCAATGCTTGAGTAAATGTCCTAATAAAACTTTCTCAACAACATGTAATAATAATTAATAATAATTTAAATGAGCTAATGTTATTTTCATAAAATAAGTGTAAGACAAAACGTTAATTTGTACAGATTGCGATTAAAGCTGTTAATCTTGTAGTGGATCTTTATCCAATAATTGTCTTTCATGTGCAGGTTCATTATTCTTGAATTCAGACAATACCTGCAAACCAACATGCATAGTAGGGTAGTACCCAAACACTTAAAATTCTACATGTCAACCATGTGATAAAAGTTGTTATTAATGTAAAGGACCTAATAGCAATTAATGCACTGCATGTTAAGGAAATAGGTATAAAATAATTTTATAATCATAAAAAATTAATTAAAATTTTATGTAAAGCTTCTTAGATACTAATGCTTCTACATGCGTAGGAACTTGTCCTCCAAAATAGTATGCAAATACCACAAATAATACTTGTTCTGCTTGCCATCCCACATGCAACTCTTGTAGCGGTCCATTATCAAGTAACTGTACTTCATGTAGTCTCCCTAATTTTATGTAAACTAATTCTCAGTCATGTTTACCAACATGTTAATTGAATGAGTATTAGGACTAAGCATCAGTATCTTGCAAAGCTTGTGATTTATCATGTAAGACATGTGGTGGTTAAGGTAAATTTTTTAATATTGAATAAATTATTCTAAGTAATTTAATCAATAAATTAGGACCAAATAATTGTCAAAGCTGTAATGTAAATTAATTTTTGCATTTAGGAAATTCTTGTGTCGCAACTTGCCCTGCTGGATATTATAGTAATGTAAATGTTTGCTCAATCTGCTCTAAAAATTGCTAAACTTGTAATTATCCTGGTAATAAAATTATTCTTTAGAATTTAATAATTCAAAATAACTTTATAAAATAGGTGATGATAGCTCTTGCACAACTTGCAAAAATAACCAATTCCTATACAAAGGCTAGTGCTATTAAAATTGTCCTAATAAGACTTTTTCATAAACAAGTATTTATATTTTCTTTATCAATTAAATTGATTATTTTTAGAAATATGGAAATACTTTTATTTATTTATTTATTTATTTATTTTATCATTCAAATTAATTTAAATAAATTTCATTTATTTTTTTAATTTTAGTTTAAGGAATTTAAGTTTGCACAGACTGTGATAGCTCATGCTTGGCTTGTAATGGACCAACAAATACAAATTGCACTCAATGTGCTCTTCCTAATTATCTTTTGCTATCAACTAATTCTTGTGTTTAGAATTGTCCTGATAGTTTTTACAAAAACGATTAGTTAGCTTAATGTTCCTAATGTGATTAATCGTGCTTTCAATGTAATGGTCCAACGGCAAATTCATGCACAGCATGCACTGGAAAGATGTAATTGAAATTTTTTGTTAAAAAATAATTGATTAAATTTTTGATGTAAATAAAATAGGTATTTAGACAACCAAAAATGTGTAGCTAATTGTTCAGATGGGAAGTACAAAAGTCCTACTAGCAATATTTGTTTGAATTGTAATTCAAGCTGTAAAACATGTAACCCTGCAAATCCTAATAATTGTCTTACATGCACTCTACCATTATATTTCTAATATAGAGACTCTACATGCCAATTAACATGCCAACCAGACTAATATAGAGATAATGCAACAGTAAGTTGCATTAACTGTGATTCATCTTGCTTAACTTGCTTAGGAAGTAAAAATACAGATTGTTTAAGTTGCACAGGTACATATTTACAAAACACCTAATGTGTGAACAGCTGCTCTGATGGGTACTATGCTAATAAGCAAACATAGAGATGTGAGAATTGCAATAGAAATTGTAAAACATGCTTTGGTCCAGATTAAAATAGTTGTATTTCATGTTCAGTTCCTCTTTTGTTCTAAAAATCAACATATTCTTGCGTTACTAGATGCGATAAAAATTATTATAGTAACTACTCTACTAACTCCTGTGAATTATGTCATCCAGATTGTGCTTCATGCAGCGGATCTCTAAATAACTAATGCACATCATGCTCAGGATAAAAGTAAATAGATTTTTATAATATAAATAATTAATATTAATATAAATTTAAAGGTATTTATATTAAAACTCATGTGTGGCATCTTGTCCTAATGGTTTCTTTGCTTAATAAAATAAATGCTAATAATGCACATAAGGATGTTAAGTTTGTACTGATGGATCTGTAAACAAGTGTTTAGTTTGTATGAACACTTATTACCTGTATTAAGGATAATGCGTTAAAAAATGTCCTGAATTCTTTTTTGAGGATATATATTCTTACACTTGCCAGCCTTGCTCTTAAAATTGCTCTTAATGTGTTAATTATGGTTCACTTACTTGCATATAGTAAAATTATATAATAATTTTATTTAAATAACTTAAAAATTAAATAAGATGTGGATAAGGATACAATTTGTACAACAACGCTTGCATAAAGAACTGTCCAGTGGGTACCTATGTTGATAATCAAGTATGTAAAGACTGTAATATAGAATGTTTAACTTGCATAGGTCCTTAAGATAGCTAATGTACATCATGTTAGTCAGGTAAATAATTTCTTACTAAAATTATATTTAGATTTTATGTTTTTTTAATAAAGGAATGTTATTATAAGATAACTACTGCGTTAATAGTTGTGATAGTAATTATGCCTTGATTTAAAGTTAATCTTTATGTGTAAAATGTGATTCTTCATGCTTAACTTGTACAGGATCTGATAAAAATTAAGTAAAAATTTACTTTATTTATTACAAAAATAATTCTTTTTTAAAAAAAAAGTGTGCAACATGTCCTTAAAGCTCAATACCTTTTAATACTTAATGCTTAACATAATGTCCTTAAGGCTTTTACTAAATACCAAATTAACTAAAATGTAATAGCTGTAAACCTTATTGCAGTAAATGTACAAATAGTAATGACTGCTAAGCATGCAGTAAAGGCTATGTTATGCTAAATGGAGACTGCTTAAACTAATGTCCAAATTAGGATTATTTTGTAGACAGTAGTACTAATCAATGTACAGCTTGTAATGATTCGTGCAAAGAATCTGGTTGTTTTGGCCCTGGAGAAAATGATTGCATAGTTAGTTACATTGAAGCTAAAGAATCCATATTGTTTATAATTTTCATGGTTAAACTTGGATATTGGATATTTAATTCTATATCTGGTTACTTTATGGATAAATTTGATGAAAAAGAACATTAGAGAAAAGTAATACAATTTATGAAAGGAGGAGAATAAAGTAGAACTTTTAATTAATCTAACTTATAATAAACACAAGAAGGAAGTGTAATTAAAAGAAAAAACCGTAATAGATTTGATGATTAAAACAATTTATCAGCAACTGAACAGAAAAATATTTATTCTTAAAATAATCAAACTATTTAAAATATGTCCTTAAATACTTCAACTTACAATAATCAATTAAACAATTCAAAGATATTAAATCTTCAAAAAGTGAGCAGTTAAGCACAGATGAGCCCCCTTAAAAATCAATCGTGGAGAGATCTACCTAATGAATTAAGTAACATTAACAATTAGAGCTACAGAAATAATGATGATAGCCCAGTTAAAACAAACCAAAATTTAAACACTCGTCGCCCTATCATCGTGAAGCGCTTTTCTTTCAAGCAAGAAGACGGATGTCCAACATTTAGAGGTAACTTTAAACAAAAATAATAACTTTAAATTTAAAATTAAAATTAAATAAATAGATTAAGAAGACTAAAAAAACAGTGATTCATAAAGCTAAAGCAGTAAAATAGATGATACTAATTAACCAATCGATCTTCCAACTAATTAAAAACTTTATTATTCACTTGTAAAAAAATTATTTTTAATTTACATTTTTTGATAAAGGAATAAATAATTAATTCAATAATTTAAAAATTAGATCGGAAATGATTTGATTTAAGTATGGACTTTATACAATCCATACATAAGTAGAATATTAAGGGCAACTTTAGTTTACTTCAAATTCCTATGCTTCTTTTATGGAACAAACATAATTTATAAGGTAAATATTCTTATATAAAAAAATTGAAGTATTAATTAATAATTTAATAAATAGAAAAGTCCAGGTCTACTGGTTTTATCTTTAATTTTAGGCATGATAATAAAAGAAGCTGTATTTATATTTTTTATTCAATTTGCTATTTGCTTAAGAAAAAGTGCAATGATTGCAGTAATTTTATTGGTAGGTTCTGTCATTGTTGTTTGTACTGTTTGGTTTAGACCAGAAATTTAAAAACTTACTACTAACAAAGACATAACATGGTCTTGGATGTATTTATCGATATTTTTAGTAGACTTTATTTTTGTCTAAACTTCATTGGCACTTTTGAGATACTTTTCTTCTGTTAGAAGTTTAGAAAATAGAAACGATAAATTTCAAGCTTTGCTTGACAAAACTCTTGTTGATTAAGGAGTCATTTACAAGATTAAAAATGAATCTTGATATGAATTGAAAGATTTTTTTCATAAAAAAAGAGATTATAGAAACTGTATTTCTTAAATTTGAATACAGTAAACATTATTAATTTTTATAAATAAATAAATAATATGTAATGTGAGTTTTATAGTATTTAAAATGTATAGTAATAGTTACAAATTAAATTTCAAATTAATTTTTAATAATATATAGTAAGCGCTAAGCAATTTTAAGTTTTTAATTAAATTTTATTTACCATAGATTTCGTTTTGCATTTTATTTGTAAAAATTAATAATAAATATGGGATATATTAAAGTTAATTATAATTAATTTTATGGTGAAAACTGAAGAGTTCTTATTAATAAAGGTTGGATGGTGATTAGTATCAAAAATAAATTAAATAACTAACTAAAATGATAAAATTTGTAGTATTCAACTTTTCTTATTAGAATTGTAGATAAAAAAAATGTTTGCTGTAAACTTTTGAATAAAGAAATTAAAAACAGTTCATATTAAAATAAAAATAAGGAGATTTTAAAGCTGAAAAATCTACGATATAAATTAAGTTGGAAGACTGAATCGATTTCAAAATTTATAGTGATAAATTAATAAACTCCTTTTTATTGTAGATTATAATATGAAAAGTAATAATAATGAATTATTAAGCTGGTTTATGAAAAATCTAAGGAAAACTTACATAGAAATTCAAATAGAATGACAATAAGTAAAAATATATAGAATGTATGCTTTATTGTTTATTTTTTTGCTTGTACATTTAAACAACTTTAATGACAAATAAAAATATATATATAAAATAAAAGGGTGTTTAGAGAAATAATATGCTAATTACATAATTAATTCACTAACTCACTAATTAACACTATTTGGGAAAAATTCAGTATGTGTGTGTGTATGTAATTATTTAGTTAAATATATGTATTAGATAGAAGTGATCATTGAATTTTATTTTTAGAAAAATTAAAAGAAAAACCAATTAATTTATTAATAAGTAAAAACAGTTTGATACAGATACAAACAAACAATTAATCAGGCAAGTAATCAAATTAATTATCAAACGATAAAGAGAGAAAGAAAGCCATTATTAAATAAATTTTTCTTTCATAAATTAGAAATGGATGAGGATATAATGCTAGAGTTATTAGCAGAATACTCTGGAAATTGGAAGGATAGGTAGTATTTTGAGCATATTGTGCGTGAAATTTAAAAGAAGCAACATCTATCTTAATTGATTTAAGAGCATAACCATGATCCAAGAGATTAGTTAATGCTTGAAGCTTCAAAGCGAAAAACTGTTTTGGAGATTGAAAAGAAATATCAATAGTCAGTAATAAATAGCACGTATGTATTTCCCAGAAAGAAAAATATAGGTAAAGCGGGAGATGGCTCTTCTGTAATCGCAGTAGAAGATGCTACACCTAACGATGATTCATATAACAACTCTTTAGATGTTGATTTTTACAACTTAAAAGCTTAAAATACAAAGAAAAAGAGACAAATAATCAAAGTACCTTAAAGCCAAGAATAGAATGGCAAAGGGGCAGTTTTGTCTATGCAGAGTTTAAAAGCAAATGTAAATAATTCTCAACAATCAAATGAGAGCAATTCGTTATCTCCGATTTCTCGTGTGTAGTAGTAGTAAAATAACTAGGCACAGACTTCATTTTCTCAAAGCAAGAACATTAATTTGACTAATTCTAATTAATATTAAAATAAAGGTGAAGGATTGAAATAAAATATTTAAAATGGACAAGCAAATAATAACGAAAACTTTTTACGTAATATCCAAAAAGAAGATTAAGATGAAAAGATTAACAAGGTTTAAAAGATAGCACTCAACTAAAGTTAAGAGAAATTTTTATAAAATGGTAACTAAAATCAAAATGCAAATTAACTTGCAAATAGCGTGAATTCTCTACCTTTAAATAACAATAACAACCAGCTTTAGTAAAAGAATGTAGGTATTATTAGTCCTAACAAATAGACCACTAAAATAGGTATCAACGAAGCATTTTCTCCTTCATAAATAATTAACAAGTAAAACTAATTATAATCAAACACAAATACTGGAAATAAAAGTAATGCAAATAATGTTTAGCAACAGTAATATCAAAAAACGTTCTTATAGAACTAAATCATCAAGTAGCAATAGCAAGCAATTTTAAGAAATAGCTAGGAAGATAATCAGGCTGTCATTAAATAAAAAAATGATAGAAATAGCTAGCATGCGTAGAGAGATAAAGAATCATATTAAGGAGAATCTGGAGCTGGAACAAGATTAAACACCTGCACAAATGATACTGAAAAAGACCCAGAAATTATAAGCAAGATTTAAAAGCAAGTAAAGAGTTAAAGTAACTCACCAATAAGCAAAGTTAATGGCCAAGTTCAAAGCTTGAATGGAAATTATTACTTATCTCCTTAGTAGCAACAGCTGGCTCAACAAAATCAAAATTAATAGCAGAATCAAAACTCACAAGGACTTTAAATAAAAAGTAAATTTTAAATTAATTTTAGATAAGTATTTTTATGAAGAAAATTTGAATAAAACACGCCGTAATTGAAGTGTTTCTAACTTAATGATTACTTTAAAAAATATAAAATAAAAGGTAACCCAGCGACATAACAGATTTCAGTAAAAAGCTAGAATAATTTTCAATATAATTCAAAGAATTAAAATCTAAGTTCTATAGGAAATGGTAAAGAGCTACTATCTCAAAACTAGAAGTTAAATAGCAATTAAATTAGTTAAAAAGATTTAAATAAGCATAGCAATTTAATAGATTCCATTCTCAATCGCTAGTAATAACAGTATTCAGCAGTGAATAACCTAATGAATAATCATCAGATACTAAATACATAAGAAAGCGCCAATGGAAACGAAGACTCTTCTCTATCACTAAATTAATTTACTTAATAAAGTGCAAAGTCTTAGAACCAATATATCCAAGGAGATAATGATTAACAATAAATTTTAAAATAAATCCACAATCAAAATTTAAACTAAAATAATATTTATAACTCAAAAAAGCTATATCAACTCAATACAAATGTACCGAGTAATAATATATTGTAATAGTAGCAGCAGTAACAGTTACAGTAATTGTAGAATTAGTAAAATGTAATTCACAACAAATAGAGGAAATTAGTTTAGTAAAATGGGATTCAATAGAATGTTAATCAGAACAGTGGTCATCTACCTTCTTCTTTGCAACAATAGCACTTAAATCAAAATGCTAGTTAGTAAAACTAATCTCCATTCACTTCTTACAGTTAGCAAAATATAGTAGTCTAAAATAACTCTCAAATTCAGTACTTGCCATCAAATGAACAAATATCGAGCAATTCAAATTTAGATCAAGGTAGAACCAATATGATCCACTTAAGCTAAAATTAAAACAACTAAGCTCAGTATAACACTAATGGTCAAGTTGCTTATCTAAATGATAATGTGGTTAGTTCTTAGAATGGCACAGATAATTAATAAATTCACACATATAATTAATACAATGAAGAAAACAGCTTGGCTATTGATTCCTAGCGTAAAAATTCTGTTAGAAGTAAAAGAAGTGGTGGGCCAAATGGAATCTAAGATGATTAAGATCAAAAACATCTTATTTAAAATTCTTAATAAAACTTGCAATTCTCTCAAACTCATTCTTCATAGTACAAAAATAAATGGATAGACTTCAAAAAAATTAATTAGTAATATACTAATTCATCTTTTATAATTTATATGATATTTAAGTTTAAATTATTTATTCTGAAAGCAAATATTGAATTTTATAATTTTAAAAAAGATAATATAAAGGCTCTGAGAGAGTTAATGGAGGTGCTATAAACTAAACTTAATTAGAAGACCATAATAGTGCAGCAGCGAATTACAGAAATACATTTAGCTCAGTAAGTCCGAACGGTCATCAAAGTACTTAAAATAACTCTAAAAAAGGTTAGAGTACAATAAATAATTATTTATCTCTTTCATCAGCAATTAACAATATTGGAAATTCTCCCTCAATACAATAAAATTCAACCATAAAAAATAAATAAGGAATGGTTTCTTCTATGACATAGTCAAACCATTTCCTTAATTAAGCAATAAATAATTCTAATATAGGTTAACCTAGCCTATAAAAAGTTCCTTCATCTCATTTGCACTAAAATTAACATTCCAATTTGGCGAGTTCCCACCTTAATATGCAATAGAATCTATAAACTCAAGTAAATTTTTTCTTATTAAAGATTATATTTATTTAAATTTTTTTCAATTAATAATTATTAGAATTCTTAAGAACTTGCAGCTTATCAGATAAAAAGTGGTAAGCTTGGATTAACTGAAAATTAAAGCATAGATAAAAACTATCACACATAATTTATAAATAATGCCAAATAGTTTCACTAGCAACAGCAGTTTTTACTCCAACAAAACCAAGCCATAGAAGAAAATAACCAAAATCAAGCTCTTAATTAAAAAAATGCTTAGAGAAAACAAATAAACAAAGTTAATTCATGTAAGAGCTTTGAAATAAGAGATAAATTTAATAAGACTGCAACTAAGAACAACCCTAATAATATAATAATCAATTTATCTAATGTAAATGGAAGTAACAATAATAACTATCATAATTTATATGCTTAAAATTTGAATCACACAACAGGTAACCACAATATGTCAGCTCTTAATAATAATAATAATAATAACAATAATAACAATAGTAATATAAATAGTAGCACAATTAATTAAAACTCTGCTTAAAACAACTTACTTTAATCCCAACTTTTTTCTTAACAAAACAACAACAACACTTAGCAGAATAAGCAAAATTTATTGAGTTCATCTCAAAATATTATATCTTATTTACCTACTTCATAGAGCAAAAATACATATTCTGCTGCTCTATATCAAAAATCATAAAATAACATTCTAAGCAAACAAGCTAAAAATCCTACTGAAAACACGATGAGCAATCTTTTCAATAACATACATAGCAATAGTTCAAATAATATGCTATCAAACAGTGGAATAGTAGCTATTTCAGGATAAAATGGAGTTAACTCATCTGTAAATATCCCAAGGAATACATCCTAGAATGCTAATGGCTCAACATCACAAAGTATTAATAATTTAAATTTAAATAGTTATTTAACTAATCACAATTAAAACTCTAACACTAAATTAGCTAAAAAAATAGACATGTATAAAGTATTTAATTCTACCAATTCCAACAGTTTCAGCAACTAAAAAGAATAGCAAGCCTCAGTAAAATAAGCCAAAAACCTTGGATTAGTATTGCAAAAAATAATTAAAAATAAAACTCTAAAAATAAATGAAAAGAGTAATTAACTAAATTAATAAATTTAATTGGCCAGTAACCAAATTCAAAGCAACCTTGCATAGACCACAAATATCAACAATAACTACAATAATCAGACAGCAAAAAAATAATCTACTCCTGGTAAAAAGAAGATGTCGACTTCTGGAAACTCGCAACAAAATAACTTTAACAACTCTAACATTAAATCTCCTTAATTTTCTTCTTAATTAAAGAAAAACTACATCTGATAATTATTTAAATAAGGAAAGGAATAATTTTTAGATTAAATATTATTTTAATTTACAATAATTCTAAAAATTTTAGAACAAATAAGTGCATAAATAAATAAATAATCGATTCCTATAAAATATATAAAATAAATAAATAACTAAACAACGTAATTAATCACCTTTTAAAAGACAAAATTATTTATGAGTCTTTAAATCTAATTATTAATTATTTTTTCGTTTATTATCCAACAATAATTAATTAATGCAAATAATAAAATTCACTAAATTAAGTATGAATTTGCTCATTATTAATCTTTACAATTGTAATTTCTATCACATCTACATTAAAACATAATAAATACTCTATTTTCATAAAAAATAATTAAATCTTTTTTAAAAAAACTAAATAAAAGAAGAATGTGAAATAAATAAGTATTTATTAAAAAATACATTTTTATATAATAAACAGGATAGTAATATTTATTTTTTAAGAAATTATTTAAAAAATAATATAAACAGTTGATACCTAACTTCATAAATATATTTGATTTTTAACTTTTAATTTGATTATTTATTGATCTTTAATCAAATATTTCCTTTGAATAACAAAATAAAAAAATGTTAAAATATTTTCATATCCGAAAAGAATATAGATTAATAAAAATAACAATCTAAAAATAAACTGTTGATATCTAATTTGATAAATATATTTTATATCCTAATTTAAATTTAAATTTGATTATTTATTACTCATTTCTTAGTTTTTTTTTTTAAAAAAGAAATAAAAGAATGTCAAATCTATAAATATTTAGCATCAATTTTATTTCACATATAAAAAGAATTGAGATAAAATAATAAAAAATAATTGATTTAAGTAAATTATTAAAATATGATTCATTTAATTTAAATTATATATGCAAATAGTTAATACATAACTAGATGAATATATTTTATATAAAAATTTAATTTAAAATTTCATTCTTTATTATTTATGTTTATAGTTTGCTTATAAAAAAGAAATAAAAGAATATGAAACCAATAAATATTTCATGAACGAAAATATGTTCATATTCAAAAATATTTAGATAAATATAATTAAAAATAAATACTTTTAAGAAATTAATTCAAATATGAGTTATTTAATTTAAATTATTAATATAACAGTTAATAATTAATTAGATAAATATATTTGATATTAAAATTTAAATTTTAAATTTCATTCTTAATTACTTTTAGTCATCAATTTTTTTCTTAATATTTTTATTACTTGATTTATTTTTAATAATATGATTTGATAATAGCAAGCCTCTTTAATTAATAAAGATATAAATACTTGTTTATCATTTTGGTTAGAATATATTTTGATATTTTTCAATAATATTTTCTTAAATAATTGTAAAATAGAAAAAATTGTTCCTTTTCTAAAATTAATTATTTTCGCGCAATTTAGGTTATCATTTATAAGATGTTTTAGCTTGCTTGTAATTTTTATTATTTTATAAGAAATTAATAGTCTTTTAACTCCTAAATAATAAGTTTTGAAAAAAAAATATTTAGCTCATAAAAGGTAGCTGTTGATAAAGCAAAAAGCCAATAGATAAAGCTAGATAACAAAATAAATGAATGCATAATTTAATCCTGAAGAAATAAATGTCAATTATGGATAACCTTGTATTTTAATAGGTGGATCATCTTAGTATAAAACAACCTTTTTACTGCATTATGCTTATATAAAATCAAAGGAATGCAAGAACGAAGTTGAATACGGAATAGTAATATGCAGTCAATTGAAATTAGATAAAGAAGATAGACTCATATTCGGAAGAAAATAATATTAAAAATAGATATAGCCACAGATAACTAATACAATAAAATTAAAATATATAGAAACTTATGCAGAGTTATGCAAATTCTTATAAGTTTTACCATTAATTGATAGTTGCCCAAAATATGTATTTATAGATGATATTAACCTTTATGTGGGTTAAGATCATAGGAAGCTAGGATTTCTCTTACTTCTTTTAAGAAATGTTTCTACTTTTATAACTTCGAGACAAGGAAATACAAATAATTTTAATGTTTTTGCTACATATTAAATAGATTCGATGGATAGTGAATTATATCTACGCGATAAGCCTGAAATTACTGAAAATGATATAAACCTTTCTAAAATTAAACAAAAATGTCTTTTATTTAAAGTTTACAGTTAAAATCTCTTTTAAATTTAAATCACTTAAAATGACCAAAAAGTAAATTTATATAAAGTCTATCAAGATTATACAAGTTTAAAAATGCATAAATGTTAATTTACAAATAAAGAATTTACAGAAATATTGAATCATATAAAAGGAATATTAGTGTCAAAAAATTAAATTAGCTAGCAAGATAAATGATTTTTAAATAAAATAAATTAAATAATTAATTGTACATAAAATTGTAAATATAATTAGTTAAATATTATCAACTTAATATAATTATGTCTTTTGTTAATAGTATAGTAATTCTTCAAAGAAGTATACATATTATACTTGATATTTTCAAAATTACAATAGGTTTTTATTTTCTTTTTTAAAACTAAAAAATGTAATACAATAATCAAAAGATTTTAAATAAATAATTGAAAAATACATGTCAATAAATAATTAGTTTTTTTTAAAAATAAAACTAAAATAAAAATTAATATATTATTTTGCCTTGTTTCATAAATATTCTAATTAAATAATACATCATCTATTTATTTATTAATTAAATTCAAATTTTGTAAATATGAAAAAATATAAAAAAAGCATTTTAATTCATAAGAATAAATATGGGGAAGCATTTATTTTCATAAATCTATAAAAAAGTAGTTAAAAAACGAAAATGAAAATTATATTTTTGTTGATTATCTATTATTAGAGAGAGTATAAGTTAAGTTACTTCATAAATATTTATTCAAAGAAATATAAATTAACTTTCCAAAATTATTTGTTTATATTTATATGAGTAGCTATGAAGCACAAACTAATATTTTTATTAATAGAGAAATAAGGAATTTATAGATAATATGATGTAGTAAATATAAATCAAATAAGATTTTTAATGGGAATTATAAAATTATAATTAAGTATATTTTAAGCTCAGTTCATACTTCTTAGTAGATAATTTTAATATTAGTAAATAATTAGTATATTTAGTATTTATTTATTTAAAATTGTTGTTAATTATTCCAAATCTTAGTCTATAAATTAAAATATTATTCACTTTTAGCATGTTCGTTCAGCTTACAATCAATAAAGATTTCTTTTTATCTTTGACATCTTTGTTATTTTAATATTACAATTTTTATTGTATCTATTTTTGAATTTAAAAGTTATTCACTTTCTTGGCATTTTCATGGTTTTCTGACTGATAATAAATACCTGCATTAAAATGTGTCTTTGGAGAGTTTTATATATTATTTTAGGTACCAGCAGGTGATTATTCAAAAATTTTTGGCAATATTAATGGAGATGGTAAATGTGAGGTATTAGTAGAAGAAGTGTTTTCTGATTTGGGAGCATTTAAATTTTGCATTTAAGTTTGAGGATTTTATTGCAACTGTTAAGTCTACTAACCAATTGAGTCATTTAAGCTTTTTCCAATCTAAGATTTAAAATAATCACTAAATTTAGCATTTTAATTTGTTATTTTTTTAATCTTTCTTATCAAGCTTTACTACTATGCATCTTCAAAAACTTGATTATTTTTTTTCCAATCCCTGATAAAATTATCTTTTGAGGGATTAGTATATTTTATAAGTCTCTTGTTAGGGACATTAAATTAATAAAGATTGTTATCTACTTTCTAAGAATCAAATTCTGAGATTTGGTTTAACATATTCTTTGAGTTATTAAGAAGAGCACTTTTATTTTTAGTTAAACCTCCTTGAGAAGAAGGAGAATTCTCTTAGTCATTTTAGTTTATTTATTCTAAGTAGGATTGTTTTTTAGAGAATGTGTTTGAGCTTTAAAATTAAGAGCTTTGGACACGCTTCAATTCTCTTGATTATTTTTTAGGCGATTACAAAAGATCATTGAATTTTTTATCTTCATTTATAGATTGATTTTTTGACAGTGGTGTTATTTAATATAAATTGTTGTTATTTTAAGAAATGCTATTGCTTTTATTAAGAGCCTGAAAGTTATCTAAAGATTGATGTCCAGCTTGATTTCTAAAAATTTGTTATCTTATTAAAGAAGTCTTATTGTTTGTTCTTTAAGGACTTATAGTAGGTACTTAACTCTTAAGAGACTCGAGTTAACTATTCTAATCAATATTCGAATTTTTTGTTTGTGTTTTTATCATATCTTCAAAATCAACCATTGATTTGTGCATATTTGGAATATTATTTCTACTTTAAGGGGTCGAATTCTACTTATTTTGTAATGCTTCTTATAATCTTTTATCATACATCAGCTAGTTTGTAGCACTTGAGAAGGAGGACCTTCTATCATCATATTTTTATGGTTGCTACTAAAATTCAGGGGGAGTTTAGTTTCTTGCAGATGGAGTTTTAGATATACTTTCAGATAAAATATTTAAACGCTTATATTTTAAATATTGCACTTAATTTTAAAACATCAAACTATTAGCTTAATTATAGCGCTTACTGATTGCAATTTGAGAAAGAATTGCTTGTTGATACTCATTCTTTTTATTAAGGTTTTCTATATCTACTAATTATTGACGAAATTCACTAATTTCGGTTTACTTTTGTTCCAAAGACATCCCATTATTTTGATACAGCTTTTCGATTGACATTTTAATCTTTGTTGGGATACTGTCTTGGATAAGAAAGTTTTTATATTCATGAAACTATTAAATTCTCTTTTATACTCTTTCTTAAAATTCTTCATTTATATGTTAAAATCTTTTATAAAAAGCTTTTTACATTGTAGAATCTTCATTTAATTTTCTCAAAAAATCATTGATTTTAATTTTAACTATAATTCCTGAAAGGCTACAGCAAACTAATTTAAATTCTCTTTGCTTCTTATTTAAAAAAAATTCCTCTCCACAAATTTCACCTGTTGTCAATACCTTAATCTATTTTTAATTAAATTTAGAGTAAGTATAAAATTGGTAATAATAAAAAAATTAAATTAACGTATAATTAACAAACAAATGTTAGCTAGTAAATTAATAATAATTATTGACAAATTAATTTATTAATTACCTTTATTTATTTTGATATTTTTTAGCTACTATTTTTATTTAAGACAGACATGCTTAAAATGCTTTATTTCATAATTTCTTCTTTCTAGTCTACTTGCTTCTCAACAGATTTGTATACCTAAAAATTTAAAAAATATATTAGAATCCAAATGTAAAAAAATTTAAAACTAAAATTTTCATTAATTCAATCATAGATTTTTTTTATATCTTTCTTTTTTTAAATTAATTTAGTCTTTTAATGTTTGATGATGAACCAATTTAAACTTAATAGCGTTATATGATTTTGAATTAATAAGGTATAGTACTATAAAAAAAAGGTAATAGTTTTTGCTTAAGTCTCCAATATTTTTATAGTATTTTGTAATCTTTTAATTAATTCTATAGTAACAATAAAATTGCGAACGAAATAAATACATTCAAGCTTATTACCTAAGCAAAATTATAAATTTCAATTTAAATCATGCTTACCTCAAATTCCCCTTCTTTAATAACATATATGCAATCGCAAGGATCTTTTTCATCATAAATAACTTCATTCTTTTGAGTTTCAAGTGTCTTATTATTTAGACATAAATATCTGATTTACTTCTAGTTAAAGTCTTTGAAAGCAGGAACCTTCTCAAAAAATTAAATTTCTAATTATTAAAAAAAATATTTTATAAAAAATTTATCTTAATCAAATTTAATAGCTAAAGTAGCTTGAAAATACCTTTCATAATCTTTTGTTCTTCATGCTCTTTCAGAATTTTGTTAAAATTCTCTTTACTGAGAGTAGCAACATGAGTTTCACGAAGGGTTTTTATAGTGGCAAGTCTTGGCTTATTATTCAGTAAGGCTAATTCACCAAAAGCACTACCATCACCTAATTCTTTGACACACATAAAATCAGCAAGAGGGTCAACTACTGCATCTTATTGAGCCTCCTTCTTCTTATCATCTTTCTTTTCTTCCTTTTCCTTATCTAAGACACTTTAAGGTTTTTTTACAAAAACTCCTACTGATCCTTAGAGTACAATGTAAAACTTATTACCAACAGATCCTATAACAATTTTATAATTTAAATATGAGTTATATTCTTTTCATTTGTAAATATTTTTTTGGAGATTAAAATCACTTTAGTGAAAGAGAATAATCTAATAGAATAGTGTAAAAAATTATATTTTATATGCTTGAAAATAATGCTAAAGATATTGATATGTATATATTGCTTTTTGATTTAGATATTGCATATATAAAATAACTATCACTTAATTAGTGAGTTAATTTTTATAAGAATTTGTAGAATAGAAATTATTTACCAAACTCAAAAACAATATCAGCTTCATTAAATTTTTCAATCTCCATATATTTACAGCAAAGTTTAGGGACATTTGCTGTTGAAGGATTTGAATTATACTCCTTAAAAAATTGTAAATCGCCAACTATCTCTAAGAGTTCAGTGCATTATTTTAATGTTCTAGACTCACTAGGTGTTTTAAGTATTCTTGTTACTTATTTCATCTAAATATTAATAACTATGCTAAATTTGAATTTATTTAAACTATTTTTACATCAAGCTATTTTTTATCAGTAGGATTAGGCTGCTAGCTCATTGATCGATATATATTTTGGCTTGTTGCTTATCTAATTAATAATATGTCTTCTTTATAGATAAATAAATATAAAGACTCTAAATCTTTCTTAGTTATTTCTTTTAGTTATTTTAATTTAAACAAAAAGTTTTTTAATCAAAAATTTTTATATAATCTTCAAATTAGATTGCCTCTTAATTAAATTACTGAAAATCACCTTACAGATATACACAATATACAAGAGTGATTTTTTGAGAAAATAATCTTAAGTTTTTTTAGTTTAGTCGATTTAAATTGTGGTATAAATTGTTCGCAAATTGTATTTTATAACTTTTGGCTTTAAGTTTTGTTAAAATTTTATTCTTGTTATAGTAAGAATTGTAAAATAAGTAAAATATTTTCAATCTTTATTTTAAAAAGCCCTCTTTTATCTTAACTTTATTTTTCATTTGTTTTGATGTTGGTTCGTTTCAATAGTGTTATATAACTCTTAACCAAAGGTGCTTTTTCTTGATCATACTCAATTTATAAAGTATATTAATTATTTAAATACAAAAAATAGGGTCTTTAACATTTGGTTTTTTATTTACATAGATAGTTTATAATCAAATTATTTTTTTAGTAATGAATTAAGAAAAGCAAAGTTTTTTTTGAAGTTTTAAATTTATTATAATGTGATATTAATCTGCTTTATTCATTTAAATTATCCATTTATCAAGTATTTTTACTTATTCGTATTGTTATCTATTTTTTATTTAAATTTTTTTACTACTCTAAATAAAACTTCAAATTCCTTGCAATTTTGTAAAAATACAATTTACGAGTTGAATTAATTTAGATTTAATTAGGTTTTCATATAGATTCTTAATTAAATGAATAATAAATTGTAACCCATATAGCTTTTTGGATTGGCTTAAAGTGTTTACAAATTACTTCTAATTCTGAGATACTTATTTAATCTTTTATCAAGAAATCACCCCAAAAATAATAATTTAAAATTGTGCAACTATTTTTTTTTTTTGAAACTGATTTTCTTAAAAAAAATATTTAGGTTTTAAAGGATTTGATTTAATAAAATGTTTTGAAATTAATTTTAATAATCTCTATTATATTCGTGCTCGGGAGTGAATTTAGTGATAATTAATGAGGATATAGGTATATAATAATTTATTTGCTTATTTTTCCTTAAAATATGAAGTAATAAAGATTGTTATTATAAAAGAATCTTTTATATTTAAGTAATTTAATTAGAAAATTCCTTTTTATGTTTTAATAATCTGTAAAAATGTAAATTTATCTTCTTATTAAATAATTAGAAAATTAAATATAAAAAAGAAATTTAAAATTAAATGATTTTATTTCATTTTTGAAACTCTTTAAAGATTGTAAAATATCTCTAATTTAAACGAGAACATTTTTTATTTCTATTTTTTAATGGAATATTATAGAATATATCATGTGAGATCACTCTTTATTATAAAAACTATTTGGAAAGAAGTAAATAATAAGGATTGTATATTTTATAGTCTAATATATTAACATAGATAAATTGAGAGGTAAAAAAAAATATAAAAAATAGAGTGCTAACATTTATCTCACTATTCAATAAGAAAAAAAATTTTTTATTTTGAATTTTTATTCAAACTTTTTTAATTCATTAAATTTAAATTATTTTTAATAAGTTTAATTTTCTCCATCGATTTAAGATATAATTTTAATTAAATTTTATTATTCAAATAAAATTATTGTATTAAAATTAAGTAGTTTCAAAAATTTTAAACAAATATTTAATTTTAAAACAAAATTCTTTTAATCTTTAATAATTTAGGTAACTAAGCTCCCTGACCAACTTTTCTGCAAAAAGTTTTTACCTTATTTTATTTTCAAAACAATTTTTCTATATCCTCTAATAAAACATAAATATCATAAGCTATAGAGGGAAAATATAAAGCAAAACTATGTATTTGAATAAGCTCACCATCAAAAAAAAAGGAGGAATATTTTAGTAGATTTTTTATTTACTAGGGTATGAAGCATATAAAGAGAATGGGATAAAAATAAACATCAAGCAAGTTGGCATAAATAATATTTGTTATTGCTTGTCCCTTCAACCAACTAGATAAATTTTTGATTTTGGATGTTATAATAGAACGTAATTTTAGCATTTTCACTATTTATATTAATTATTTGATAATATTTTGAGGGAATGTATTAGCATGCTATTTAAAAAACTTTAATTGAGATTTTTAAATCATATAAAATCAATTTTATAAAAATTTTCCTAATTCATAATCTAATTTATGAAAAAAAAGATTTTTACCTTGACATAATTTTGTCTTTATTAATGAAGTATAATTTTTTTAATAATTCATTTTTAAAATATTTATAAAAAAATTGACATTTTTAATTTAATTTAAGATTAATTTGAGCAAATTTGTTGTAATTTTAGATGTTTATTTATTATTTGAATAAGTCATATTTTACAAAATTTATTAAAAAATTGCGTATAAAAATACAAATGTTTATTACATTGATAATAAATTTAATGTATGTATAAAAAAGAAAACTAAATATTGCATGTGATGCAAACTTGATGACAGTGCTTGTGCAAATAATGTGAATTAGAAATAAACACAAATTGATAGATTAATAGAACTATTAGTCAATGATTTATATGTCATCATAAGAATTTTAGTAAAAATAGACACCTAATAATTTATAGCCTTATTCATAATAAATAGATTTGTTAAAATTACATTAATAAATTGTCAAAGATCAACTTAAAATTCATTAATAAGTTGATTTATTGATTATATAAATCAATGTGACGAAATCTTATTCTTTGTATAGGTGCTTATAAAGTTCAGCTCTCTCTCTTTTGAGTTGAAAAATATAATAATTATATTTTATCCAAATAATTTCTATAAAATTCGATTAATTGTAATAAAAACTAAACAAATAAATCAGTTCATAATATAGCCAACCCAACATATTAACTATAAAAATAAAGCTTAAAATGGCAGATTCAATTAAAATAGTTCAATTTTAGGATAAGTATAAGGACTAAGTGGTTGACTTAGTAAAAAGAGAAACAGCTGCAAATGTAGGTGTCAAGAGGCTAAAGTGGATAACTCTTTTTTTCAAAAGAAATGGATTTATTGTCAGTACCGTTTATGTGATGACTACCGTTTATATTTTTAACTTTTTATTAGGCTTATTCACCAGCAAAAATAACATCTTTGTCTCAGCTATAATACTCGCTTCTTTTATCTTCTTTGTGATATTACCTTAGCTATCAAAAAAACTTGCTAAGCAAGCAGTTCATTACTCAGAATCTATTGCTGAAAATGATCTCGATGATATTAAAGGCACCTATTTAGCATAAGATGACAAAAACTTCTGGGTTGCTATCGATGAATATGATAATGTAATTTATAGTTTAATAATGCTACTAATAGAATTTAAATAAATGAGTTTTATATTTATTTACTTTCATTAAAGGTTGAAATCCTATTTTTATTTGTGTTTTCAAATCAATTATTTATTACTGACTAAAATTTTAACAAGCATGTAAAAAGTATTTTTAATTATGAAAAAAGGTTTGTGGATGTGTTTCTCTTTCAAATTAAATGCCCATGGAAACATAGTATCATTTAGGAAAATATATCAAAGAAAACGATGGTATTAAGGTAGCAGAAATTAAGAGAATGGCTGTCAATCCTAACTATAGAAGAAGAGGTATTGGAAGTAAGTTGTGTAATGAAGCTGTAAATTTTGCAAAATAAAAAAATTTTAGAGCTATTGTAAACACAACAGTAACTCTCAATTAACCCTTAATTGGTTTATATAAAAAGGCTGGATTCTTTAAGGTATCCTCATTCTTCTTCTAAGTTTTATGGAAAATTTTTGGTATTTAAGTTGAAGTTTATCTTAAACTTTTATGAGAATTTGATAAACATGCAATTATTATTGAAAAATGCTAAAATTGAATTAAAATTATTTTTAAATTTAATTTAATTTCAATTATTTTTGTTAGTATTTATTTTGTATTCTTAAATTGTAGTAAAAAAATGTTTACTAACTGAATTAATATTCAAAAATCTTTAAATATCAAATTATGCTTTTAAGTATGATTTGATAACCAATAGTTTTTTTTATTAATAATATTTTGTTTATTTTTGAATAAACTTTATATTTTTATTACAAAAATTTATTATTTACAACTTTAAAGATATTATTTTATCCTAATATGTTAGTAAATAGGTGATCTTTATTTTTAAAAATAGTAAATATTTTTTTAAATTCTTGAAATTAATTTAATATTTTGAAATGGACATATAATATGATTTTTTATTGTTTTATGGTTATTTAAGAGGCAAATAATTAAATGGATTTTTTTAATTAAATTTATTTAAATAAATATAAAATCAATTTAACAAAAACAGGCTAAATTATAGAAGAGTAAATTAATTAATAAAATAATGTAAATTCTTTATATATAAAGACAAAACATTTTTAGACCTAGCTTTGAAATTTTGAAAAAGAACCAAGTTTGAAAGGAAAATTTTTTCTGAGTTTGTCTCAAAAAGAAAAAATTACATAATATTTCTAAATAAGATAAAGTTTATTTTTTACTACTTTAAGTTAATTACTACTTCAAAAAAAGACAACAAAACAAAAATAAAATTATGTTTGGTATATGAAATTTGATAAAAATATAGCTTAAAAATATTTATTTAATATATTTGGATATACTGTTATGCTAAACAAAATTAAATTTTATATTTTAAATTTATTATTTAAATTTAAAAATCATAAAAGAAGATTTTATTTTTACAATTAGCAATTTATAATGTCTAATAATAAAAATAAACATTTTTTTTAATTATTTAAATGTATTTTAAAACTGTGGATTTAAAAATTATTATTTTATATTATTATCTGATAAAGTGTTTAAATATCATCAGGAAAATTTATATTGTGTCATTTCTTTCTTGTATTTTTTGCTACTGGTGTTTTCAAAGATTTTATTATATAACATTCATAAAATCTTAAATAAGAGAATATTAAATTATTAATTAAATTAAATATTATATTTTATATTATATTATCCTTTGAAAAAATCAATAAAGAAACTTTTTTGAAAAATAGAGAAAAAATTTGATATACAAAATTATTATCTAGTGAGATAGCATAATATTAAAATAGAAACTTATAATCTAAAAAAGAATTATTATAAATTTTAGTAAATTTTATTATGTTATATTATGTATAATAAATTCTTTTATCATTTGAAATATAATTTGCATAAATTTTAAAATTTAATCTACTAAAACATATAATTCAATAAATATTTTATTATTTTTGAAAATCATTAGGTATCAAAATTATTTTAATGCCTGAAAATTTTTGCTATACTAAGTGAATAAAAACATAAATTTATTTTGATGAAGAAAAATATATTGGAAGAATATATTATTATAAATTAAAAGAAATGAATTTAAAGGAAAATTAATTAATTTCAGGAGAAAAGGAAATAAATTGCAAGCAGAAAAAAACTATTAAGTAGACATAAAAAGATATTGAGCAGTTCACTAAGTTTACTTGAAAGCCATTTCTTTTGTTAGCTAGCTATAGCAAGTAGGACATATTTTATAAATATGATATGCATTTTAAAAATGAAATACTGATAGATGAAATAAAGTTATATTGAAAGATACATAAAATTACAGAATAATGTAATTGACAATCTAAGAATAATATTAAAAAGAAGCCAAGAAAAGAAATTATAAGCATAAGAAATTTTATAAAAAATCAAATTTTCTTTTAAGATCAAAGATTTAATTGCTGACTATTTAACAAACAAACAAACAAATAAACCTACAAACAGTTTATCAAAGATAGTTAATTTTTCTGATATATATTCACATTAATTAACCTTTATACTACATATAAAAAAACACATATAAATCAAAATAAACAAAGAAGATTTCTTATATTAATTAATAAATGATTAATTAAATACAAAGAGCCTAATTCATCCTAAAAAAAATGAATTAAAAAAATATTATTCAAAAAACGCCCTAGTTCTTACAATTTATAAACCAGTTCTAGAATTAATAGAAGAGTGAGTACGCTTAGATATTTATTACTAAGAGTCCTAACTCTTCTTTTATTTCTGGCTAGCCTGCAGGATTTGACAATACAAACAGTCTTTCTAGTTAAAACTCAGATTGTTCTTTATTTGGTAGCAATTAGAATAGAACTACTTATAGCTCTTCCTCTAATAATAAGAAGCCATCTTCATACATAAACAGCAATGAGCATATTTAAAACTAGTGGATGAAAAAAGTTGATGACTTAAACAAGCAAACTGAGTAAGCAAATTAGTAGAATTTGCTTAAAAGAGGAAAATAGTGTGTTCAAGTAGATTCACATTTAGAGGATATACCTTCTCAATCTTGGAAAGACTATTAAGAGCTATAAAAGCAATAGATTTTAAGTAAAAATAATAGAAAAACATTAATTATGAATTTCATAAGATTATTTCCATTAAATTTATAAATATTTAATTTCTTAAAATTCATAGTCGAAGAAGCAAACAGCAATTCATAGACATAGTAGAAAGAAGTAGATAAAAAAGCAGAATTAAAGAAGCAAAAGAAAGTAAAAAGAGATAAAAATGGTGAAGTTATAATTAAAACAAGCAAGCAACCAGAAAATGCAGACTAATTGAGGGAGAGATTAGCTCTTCATGAGTAAATGATGCTTTTACCTAAAAATGAGAGAAATAAAGCCTTATTGAGCTAAAAGAAAAGAGATGAGCGTTGGGATAAGCAAGCTCTTACACACAAATAGGTAGCTCATTATTCAGGTAGTGCAACTGAATAGGATAAGAAGAGAGCTGTAGAAGAAATACTCGCCTAAAATCAAATAAAAAAACAAATAAAGGAATCTAAAAAGGCTAAATTACCTGTGATCGAAAAAGAGTAAGCAGATATTTTTGATGAGATGATACAAATGTTAAAAGAAAGTGGTGAAGTCAAGACAAAAAAAGAAAAAAAGCAAATTAAAGAAGATCTAATCACCGAAATAATTTCAGAAAAAGAATCTTAAAAAAATAAAAAGCAAAATTCAAGTTCTTCAAATGGTGATGAATCAAAAGGAGTTAAGAGACATAATGAAAAGCGAAAAGCTAAAAAAGAAAATTCTGACTTATTGTAAGAAGAAAATAATGAGTGCATAGAAGGCCATCCTTAGAAAAAGGATAGTAAACAATCAAATAAAAACGGGTCAGATAGTTAAAATAATCAAGTTTAACTTTCTGTATCTGATAAATTAGCAGATTTCCTTGATAATGAGCTCATTAATCCTTACAGAAAGAATATAAAGCAAGAAAAGAAGTTATCAAAGAGTAAAAAAAGTCAAGCCCAAGAATACTTTGATGAAGAATCTAAAGATGAATAAAAAAACCATAATTACAAAAATGGAATTAAAAAAAATAAAAATAAATAATTCTAATCTTTTGAGCCACATTGGTCCTCTCAATAAATTAATGATGCTATAAAATAAAAGAAAGCATTCAAGGTAATAAATAAAAAAAATATTTTTAACAAATTTGGAATCTCTTATTGATAAAAAAAATTGATTTAAGGAAATTTATTGAATGAATATTTGATTATTCTTGTCTCAATAAACCTTTTTAAAAACAATTGTTTTAAAAGATTCCTTTCATTAAAAATGCACATAAAATTTTTACAAAAATATTATTTAAATTTAATGAATGGATTTGTTAGTTTTATTTAGAATAATATTATTTTTTTGATTTTATTAAAAAAGGAAATATCAACAATTTTAACAATTATTTTATACTTATTCTATTTAGGGTGTTTATACTGCTAATGAGAAGAACCAATAACTGGGTCGCATAAAATGTGATGAAATCGATGGTTTAGTATTTATAAATTCCTATATATACTAAAACAGAGCACTTCACAATAGTGTTGTAGGTTTTGTGATTATTTAAGGCGATCCTTCAAGTAGATTGAAAAATATTGAAGGTAATTCTGATATAAACTTGAAAAAGATTTAAGCAGATAACCTAAATGAAAACGAAGAATCACTAGACAAAAGTTTAGAGGAAGAAATCGATGATAACGAAGAAGACTGGGAAACTGATTCTGAAGATAATCTACCTCCTGTAGATCAATCTAAATTAGTAGCTAAAATTGTCTACATATTTGAAAATCCATACTAAAATGACAATATTGTCGGGTATCTTGAAGAAGTCTAAGATAATAGATAAAAAAAGAATGGTAAAAAGAAATATTGGTTCATTCCTAAGTACAGCAAATTACCTAAAATGTTACCTGTAGAATTCTCAGATGAGTTCTACCATTAAGTTGAAGAAAATGACATCGATATTAGTAAAACCTATGTAGTTGGTAAAATGAAAGGTAATTTATTCAATTTTAGTTAATAATTCATAAAAAAAAGTTTGATTTTTATAAAATTATTTCAATTTAGATATTAATAAATTAAAAATTTTTAAATTATTTAAAAGATTGGAGCGAGGAAAGCTATTATCCATAAGCAACAATCAGTGAATGTCTAGGTGAGAGAGGTGATATTGAAGTAGAATGTGATACACTTCTTAAGGAGTTCAATGTTTATAATCAAGATTTCACTCCAGCAACTGAAGAATATTTAAATAAATACAGAGAATAGCTTAATGATAATGGCGAATATGTAATTCCTGAAAGTGAAAAGAATATTAGATGGGATCTAACAAAAGGTAAAAATAAAAAATAAAATTATATTATTTAAATCAAAATATTTTAAATTTAATAGAAATTATATGTACTATTGATCCTCACGATGCTAAGGATTTAGATGATGCACTAAGCATTAAGTATTTGCACGATGATATATACGAAATAGGTGTTCATATTGCAGATGTTAGTCACTTTGTTTAGCCTAACACTTCTTTAGATGATGATGCAAGATTAAGAACTACTTCTGTTTATCTCGTCCATAGAGTAATTAATTAATTACTTATATAATTATATTTTCATTTAATAATTAAATTATTTAATATTGAATATAGGTTATTCCTATGCTTCCTCGTTTACTTTGTGAAAATCTATGTAGTTTAAACCCTAATGTTGAAAGATTAGCATTCACAGTATTTTTCTAAATGAAAGAAAATGGTGAAGTGTTATGGGATGGTCCTATTAGAATAGGAAAGAGTGTAATTAAATCTTGTAATAAGTTCTCTTATGATACTGTTTAGATGATGATAGAGAAGAAAATTAAGTCACCAGGGTAATAAATAATATAATTTATAAAAAAAATTTATTTTATTTTTTAATACAAAAAGAGAGCTTCCTGAGCATAATATACCTTAGTAAGGAGTGGACTCACAAAAAATGTTTGATGATATTCTACTTTTAGCTAAGTTAGGTATGAATAGAAGAGAAAGCAGATTTAAGGGTGGTGTTTTATCTATTGAAAGTGTTAAGAAAAGATTTAAACTCAATGAAAAATTATGGCCTGTAGATTTTACTCTTGAAGAAAGAAAGGATGCTATGTTTGTTGTAGAAGAATTTATGTTATTAGCAAACTAAATTGTAGCTAAAGAAATGGTAAAACAATGCAAATCACTTGCTGTCCTTCGTTAACATTGCTATCCTTCAGATATAAAGCAAAAGCAACTGAATGTAATTGCTAAGAAATTCGGACATTAAATTGATTTCTCCAGCTTACAGGCTATTAACTAATCGATTGAAGATATTAAAAAAGATGATAAGCTCTCTTTTGAGAAAAAATTATTTTTAAAAAAATAAATGTTTTTGGTTTTAGAACAAGCTCTCTATTTTGTTGCAGACTAATTACCTCCCAGTGAATGGAAACACTTTGCATTAAACTTCGATGTTTACACTCACTTTACATCTCCTATTAGAAGATATCCTGATTTATTAGTTCACAGAGTTATGTACAGTATCCTTTAATACAAATAGGATGCAGTCAAATATATTGAAAAATCCTCCTTACTTTCTATAATGGAGGTGTGCAATGAAAATAAAGCCAAATCCAAACAAGTTTCAGATAACTGTTAAAAAGTAAGAACAAATTAATTTTAATTAATTTATTTACAGATATTTATTAATCTCATAATAGATCTTCATGTGTCTCTACTTGAAAGACCACTCTGTTTAATCAAAAGGCATGGTAATTTCTTTCGGTGTCACTAGCATGACCATTTTCATACCAGATCATGAAACCTAAAGAGTAATTGATTATTATTTAATAATTTTATAAAATAATTTTTTTTAATTTAATAAATTAAGACTGTTTACTTCAAAGATTATAAAAATATCTTGAAAGCTAAAGTAGAAAAAGAAAAAGATGGTAATAAGTTAATGATTACATATAAGACTGCAAGCATGCCTAGAGAAAACACTGTTTACTTCCATGTACATAATTTCAAATTTATATTTGTGTTGCTAATTGTTTAAAAATAAATTTAAATAGGAATTCTCTCCCATTATAGTAAGTCTCACAAGCACAGATACTTTCCCTATCGATTATAAAGTAAAAATTTCTCTTCCAGATCCAGATGATAAAAAAGTTACTCACGTTTTGGAATGACCTTGCAAACATTTAGATTAAAAAAAATTAATTCTAACTAAAAATAAAATAAAAATATTAAATCTATTTATAATTTATTAATACAAACTCATTATTTCAACTCAAATAATTTCCAATTAAATAATTTTGTAAATAAATTACTTTTTTATATACTTTTTATACAGTAATCAATCACAATTGACTATTAAATTATAAAATACTTAATTAAATTATTTATTTTTTATCACTATTTTTCATAAAATTATATTTGTTTTATTTCTAATATATATATTGTAATTTCTAACAATTCTAAAATGATTTAGCGTAATAAATTTTAATTTTGTATAATAATCAAAGTGCACCTCCCCTATTAAACTATTTTTTGTAATTAATAGTACTTATTATTAAGCTTTACAGTAGAAATACTTAATATACAAAGGAGGTCATTTAAGCTACAATTTAATTTTTAAAGAAATTTGCCATTTAATATAAGAAAATAAACAAAAAAAGTGATTAAAATTGATAATCAATTTATAAATTAGATTTTTTAATTTAATTTTATGACTAATTTTTGCGAAATATAGATATTTTATTTCTGATGTTTGCTATCTTAGATATTATTTATTAAAAATTAGATCTATTTTAAATTAGATATTTTTACTAACAGATAGAGATTAAATTTCGATTATTTTAATACAAATATCTACTTGAAGCTTACTGAAAACTAAAAAATGGACTAAAATATTATCAGATTTGAAATAGCAAAGAATTTGTTAAAAGCTACTGGTGATTACAAATAATATTTTACACAGAAAACTGTGAAAATTAACTTGAAGTAAATCAAATTTCAAAATATGAAATAATTAATCATTCTATTATATGAATTAAGGAGTAAAAAGTTGAATGTAGAAAAAGTAGAGCAACTGTGTTTAGTCTTGTAAGGGTTTGTATAAGCAGAAAAGCTAAAGTTAAACTTAAGGTAATTTATTTTTTTGCTCAAAATTATATAAAAGATTTTATAATATTATTTATTGAAATTTTAGAGAAAATATATTGAAAGATGAAGGAGTTAAATTAATTGCTGAAGCAATTTCTAAATTGAGCACTATTAAATTTTTAGTATTAAACCTTTAGTAATGATTTTTTTTGATTGTTAGGTTTAAGGTTTTCTGAATTAACAAATTTGTTTATTGTTACAATAATTATTTAGTGGAGTAGAATTAAACGCTGAAGGAGCAAAATATTTGGCAGAATATCTCCCTAATTTAAAAAATATTGAAACACTAAAAATTAACCTTTGGTGGAATAATGTATAAAATGAGGGTATTTTGAGCATATGTAAATCAATTGGAAAATTATCAAAGCTAAAAACCTTAGAGTTAGATTTGGTGTAATTTTAGTTTTTAGGTCTTTACTGATTTAATAAAATTTAAAAAATGCAGACATAACAATATTAGTGATGATGGATGCAAAATGGTGGAGTATTTAGAATCGAATACCTAGCTTTCTAATCTCTCTATCTTTTTATAGTAATTTTATAGCAACTACAATATATTGTATTAACTAAAAATAATTAAAATAATATCAAAGGAATAACTTAATTGGACCAAATGGTATATGCAATTTGCAAGAGGGTTTCAACAAAGCTCCCTAAGTTGAAACACTAGTTATGTTTTTAGGGTATTTTATATTTAATAATTAAAGCAAGTAAATAAAGAATAGATTAATACATATAATAGTGTAAATAAGATTGGAGTAGAAGGTGCATATTTTCTTGGGTAGTGCTTTAAAAAACAAAATCTAATAAAAAACCTCACACTTGGCCTATTGTAAAACTTTAGATGATTAATTATAAATAAGATATTCATTCAGCTTAAAAATTTTAGGAAAAATGAATTTGGTGATGAAGGATTAGAAGAAATTGCAGAAGGCATTTCTAATATCTAATGCTTAAACCAATTAAGTATGATTCTATGGTAAATAATTTATAATTAATGTTAGTTTTAACTAATTTTAAATTAGGGAAAATGATTTAACTGAAGTTGGAACATCTGCTCTTTCTAATATGATACAGACTTTACCTAACTTAACTCATGTGTTTTTAAATCTAAGGTATGAAGCTCAATAAAATAAATAAAATGGTTTAAATTTTAATTATATTATAATATAGAAATAATAGGCTAGGTAGTTAAGGACTATATGAGTTAGGAAAAGGGTTTAAAGATCATCAGAATATAAGTTATTTGGATTTATTTTTAATGTAATTTATTTAAATTTTTTAGGAAGTATGTATTGACTGAATTTCAATTCCTTTTATTTTTAATTTAGGGATAACCAAATAAAAGATCAAGGTTTTATAAAATTTTCAAACGAGTTGAGAAATTTACCTAATCTTCACACATTAAATTTAATTCTAACATCAAATAATCTAACTGATAATTGCTGTAGAACTGTAGGCGAATCTTTAGCAACAATAAAAAAACTTGGTAGTTTAGAAATTGACCTTGTGTAATTTTAATAAAAAATTATTTTAATTATCTGAATTATATATTATTATCATTAGGCAAAACGAAGAAGTAACATAAAAAGGAGTAGCTTTGTTACATTCCTTTGCTGCCTAACTTGATAGACTGCTTTAATTTAAGATTGAGTAATATTGATTTTATTTAAATAATAATATATTTTTATCTAATAACTTTAGATATGATAAGGAAGATAAAGATTAACTCATTTAAAAATACTAAAAAGCTATTTAAAATAGCTAATTAAAAGTAAAAATATAAAAAGTTATGTATAATACACCAATTATTTAACTCTTAGCCTCAAAGAAGATTTATGGTGAAGTTATTCAAAATTTGCCTCTAATTATTGAAGATTTGAGAATACCTTAAAAATGAGTTAAACTATTTAAAAATAATTAACAAGAAATTGAAAATTATTTTTTTTCTTTTCAATTTCTTAAATTAAATATAAACAACTTGTTTTCAAAATGTTATTTTGTTTGTTTTTTTTTTATTTTGTTTAGTTTAAATTATTAATGGCTTACTTAATTTTTAATTTTTGATTTTAAAAATCTAAACTGTATATTGAGAAAATTTTACTAATTAATTATTAAAAAATAAAAAAATCAACTTTTTTAAAACGCCATTATTTAAATATTGATAAAATTAATATTATTCAATAAAAAATATTCGTTAATCTTATAACAAGGATATGATATTTCTCTGTATTTTATCAAAAAAAATAAATTAATCTAAATTAATAATTATTCTAATTAAATATTTTAATAAAGCTTAAAAATTAAAAATGTAATAATTTATTTTTCAAAATTATATTTTATATTTAATTTTAAAATTTGTATTCAAGTAAATTATTTTGATATTTAACAGTGAAAATTAATTATTCAAACTTTAGTAAAATATTTTTTCTATTTTTCTCAATTTATATCCATCCATTGAATTTCTATTTTTATAATTTTTACTTTTTATATTAATAAAAATGTTAATTCTTATTTTAAAACAAGTATATTAAAATAAATAAAGAATTTATTGAAATCATAAGAAATTTTATTTATATATTTTATTTATTTTTACTTATTTGAGTTAATATAAAATTTTAAAATATATATTCAAATTATTAAATAAATAAATAATTAATCAAATTAAAATTAATACTAAAAAATTTAAATTTATTTTAATATAATTTTGATTAAAAATTTATTAATTAAAATTTATTATTTTAATAGCATTTGCTTTATCCAAATGGTATTTTTAAATAATTTATAAAACTTAATTCAATTCTAATATAAAAAAATTTAAACAATATCTTGAAAAAATGATTGTGCTTATTTAATTGAATTCTAAGTAAATTAGGAAAGTTTTTTTTAAAATGAAATAAAGTGTTGGAATATATAATCGTACAGTGCTCAAAAATAAGCTTTAACTAAATGATAAAAAATGGAATTGAAGGATTAATGCGAGAATGAGAGGAAGTTTTGTGAATTTTTTTTTTTTTTAAGAGGGAGGAAGAAGAATTAAATAATATTTAAAAAGCGCTTAAAATAATACTTTGACATTGCTATGTTTGTTTCAATTAAATAGAGGAATAACTATTCCTAAGATTTTTTTGCATTAAGAATTAATTAAGAAACTCTATTAATTAATAAATAAATAAATTAACAATCTCATTTATTAAAGTATTTAATAAATTAAAAGCTCTTCTATAAGCGGCAACCATCAAAAATATTATAAAATATAGATTTTAATAAAAGTAGATCATTAGAATATCAATAGGATAAAATGTCTTTAACTGTAACTTATAATAGTGGAATGGTTAAAAAGCCATTATACTAAAGAGTACACGAAGTACTTAATCGCTTAGGTTTATTTTATCAAGACATTTGTGTGGAGGCAAATATAAATGAAGAAAGTTTGATTTAGTGGGTAAACTAAGACCCTGAATATGATTATGCCGAATTAGAGCTTTCTCTTGAGAAATGGATAGATTCAAAGTACTAGCGTTCATAGAACAATGATGAAAAATAATATTATTAAATTCGTTCTCAATATTTAAAAAGATTAGATATAAATTAATAGCTAGCAAACTAATGGCTAGAGGCACCAAATATTGATAAAATTCCTTAAAATGACCAACCAAATGAGTATCTAATACCTATAAGCATTGATATTGAATTGGATGGATAGACTTTTAAAGAAAATATAATTTGGAATTATTATGAACCATATTTTACTCCAGAAAACTTTGCTCATCACTTAGCAAAAGAAAACAGATTAAGTCCTAATATAGAATAAGAAGTAGTTAATGTAATCCGCAGAGCTCTTTAAAACTATCGCTTCTACGATCCTAAGGAAAGAGAGCTCATCCGTACTATTGAATTAAATATATTGATAGAAAATGTATAGCTAAAAGATAGATTTGAGTGGGATATTAATGATTTCACAAATTCTCCAGAATAATTTGCTTTTAATATGTGCAATGAATTAGGTCTTAGTGGAGAATTTGCATAGAGAATAGCGTATTAAATAAGAGAATAGATTCTCTCCTTCTAAAAATAAATTATGGAAAGACGTATAAACTAAACTGCATCTAATTTCAAGAAGTCTACTCGTTCTTTAATTGAATCCTCTTAAAATTTCACAAACTTTGACCCCAAAATTCACATCTAAGGAAATACAGTAATTACAGAAGAAAATTATTTACGTCCTGTACTTTAAGATAATGATTATGATAGTTTTCAATGGGAGCCAAAAATTTCAATCTTATAACCAGATGATATTAGAAAGGTATAGAAAGAAGAATAGAGAAAGCAACGTCTTATGCGTAGAACTCGTTGAGATGTTGAAGCATATCATTAAAGATAAGATAAATCATTTATTACATCATAATTTAAAGTGTAATTTTCTAGCACCAAAACTCTATTTAAGAAGTATTTTAAACATATTGATTGGTAGGTAGGTAGGTATGTCATGGTTTTATTTATTCATATATAAAAAAAAGTGAATATCATGTATACCACCCTTAAAAAATTGTATTCCATTTATATTATAAGAATTAGTAATTATTTGAGGAATTTAAAATAAATTTTATGTTGTCAGTCATAAAAGATTTCGTCAAATTTAATTTTCTTAAAATAATTTTCAAATCTAACAAATTAATTTTGCAAGCAAACTAATTTTTACTTTTTCACATAATTTTTTTCATATTTAGAATAACTCCATAAAATTATCAAAATTAAAATTTAAAAAAAAATTAAATTATCTAGAAAAAAAATAGAAATTTTTTTGATAGATAGGTTCTGCATAAAAATAGTTAGTATTATTATTCTTATTATTATTTATGATAAAAATATTTGCTTAGATATTTATTTATTTATTTTTAATTTTTATTTTATATTTTTTGTTTTTATGTTTATTTTTTATCAATTTATTTATTTATTTTTTAATTTATTTTATTTATTATTTTTTATTTATTTATTTATTTATTTAATTTTTATTTATTATTTATTATTTATTATTTGTTTATTTTTATTTTTTTATGTTATTTGATTTTTGTATTTTGCAAGCTCAGATTCATTTGTTTTAATTTAAATAGTGCTTAAATCGAGTGTTGAATGATCTCTACTTATCGTCTCCTAAAAAAAATACTAATTATATATTTTAATATAAGATTGGCAAATTTGGAGAGAGAGGAATATAATTTAAACTTAAATCATTTCGCTTTTCAAACTATTATTATTATAATGCTATTTTTTTTTTTGGTATATTTAAAAACTTGAGGGGTAAACGTTTTTAACGTGCATGATTTAAAGTAGAATTAAAAAATTTTAGCATTAATTATAAGTAATTTGCATTGGCGACAGGTTGTCTAGCATTCTGATTTAAATTTATAAAATATTCCATTTTGCTTTTTATTTGAATAAATTTTTGCTTTTATTGTTTTTTTCTTTTTAATAATTTTTTTAAGAATTTGTTTTTTCCTTTTGTTTTTTTATTTTAAGAAATCAAATATAAATTTTGAATTTTTCCTTTTCTTTTTTTTCTTTTTGGGAGGGAATTATGTAATTTAATTATTCATAAGAAAAATGAGAAATTTTAAATATTCCAATAAAGAAAGGTGAGTCAAATTAAATAATTCAATAAATAAGTGGGAGAAATTAAATAATTACAAAGAGTTTAAAAAAAATTAAGAAAAATAAGTAACAATTTTTTTTAAGAAGTTTTAATAATTAATTTGTAGAAATAGTAAGGATATTAAATATGGATTAACAAATCGTACTATTGAGAACATAATTAAATAAATATAAAATTCAATATTAATAATTATATCTTAAGACATTTTAATATAAAATAAAACCTTTTTAACAAAAACCATAATTATTTTGTATTTTTCAACTCTACTGATAATATTAAAATAAATACTAATTATTACTTTTTATAATTTAAAGTATATTATTATATAAATAGGCTCCAAACAGTGGAAATCTATTTTTTAGTTATTTTTTAATATAGATGTAATTAAATAATTTAATAGATTTTTATTGTTACTATGTTATAGTATAAGTAAGATCAATTTTTCTTCTTATATTTAATTATTTTGTCAATCAGTGAATTATCAGTAAAGCATCTTTTTATAAACGAAATACAGATCATGTGATAATCACTATTTTTTAGAGAACCATTTTCTATAAATTCGTCTACATAGTATTCCATAAAGTATTATAAATAGACTGAGAATCTTTTACTTTTTAATAGGGAGACCAACAATCCTTAGTTAAGTTATTTCTTTTTGGTAAAAAAGCAGAATTCTTTTCTGATTTATTAAAGGCTTCTTTATTTACCTTCTATTAAGTTCAAGATAGATTCTATGACGACTTAGTCTCCATGGTGTTTGATAAATTTACAAAATTTGTCAAGAATAAATTTTGTTTGGTTACATTTCTTGCAAGACATATATAGCTTAAGCAAATGTTCAGTGTCAAGCAATTCGAACTTGTTAAAACCAATTATATTTTATTCTTCATTCATTTGTTTTTCATACTCAAATTAAGTATTTGATTGTTAAAATGTGTACTCCATTTTTATTTTATTATTATTTATTTATATTTTTATTTAATAATTATTCTGTTTGATTTTTTTAATTATAAAAATATTATAATAAATTTTTCTAATTAATCCTTCAATTTAACAATGAAAGCTTTTATGCTATAATTGATTTTCAATAAATTAAATTCTTGCTTTTAAGCCTTAAAATTGAATTAAAAGAAATTTGAACAATTTTTAAAACTATATAAAGCCTGTTGAAAGAATAGACATTTTTGAATAAATGGTAAAAAACATATACTTTATAGCTTTTATGATGGTTGTTGATTTTTATACTTGTAAATTTAGAAAGATTGTGGAAAACATATTTAGTTTTTCCAAAATCTATTAGTTTTTTAATTACAGCAGAAGAAGTAATTTAAGATAAACAATACTAAAATTGCATGATTAATGAATTGCGGATTACTTTATATTCTGATTTCATTTTATTACTAAAATTAACCAAATACCAGATTTTAAAAGTCTTGATTTGTTAAATTTTGATAATCCTTCTATAAATTAAATATATATAAAATTAACAAATGAGTTTTACATAAAATTAATAATTAACTTTTGGAGATGTAATTACCTTGAAGTAAACATCAATTTTCTAAGTATTCTTTGAATATTCTTACGATTCTTTTAGCATTTTCTTTGTCCAGATTACTAAATTTTGATTGAAGTCTAAATACAGTAATTTACTCGAACACTCATAACAAAATATCTAAAATAACAACAAAATATTTTCTTTCCGCTAACTCCTAGGATTTTTTTTCCACCAATAAAAAGTTAAACAGCCAAAGAGTTAATTCACAGTTAAAAAATATTATTTTTAACACTCCATCATTTACAATAATTAAAAAAAAAACATCGCAATCTTTTTTAATTCAACAATATCAGAGAAAAAGAAAAAAGTTTATAAATTTTGATAGTCTAGTACTGTCTGTAAAACAGTGGATTTTATTTACATATGTTTCTAAAACTCAATGAGCATTATTGAAAAAAAGATTCATTTATGCTTAATAAAAATTATCATTTGTATATTAAACACACACAAAAATAATTCTATATTTAATATGATAAATATAAGCTTTAAATTCATTTTAATTTATGCAAGTCTCAAAAATTATTTTAATTTAATGCTTGTCAATAAAAGCAGATAAAAATAAGCTGATTGAGTATCTTCTATTTATATTCCTTAGAGAAAATGTAGAATATGTGTATATATATGTATATATGTATGAATGAATGAATGAATCTGTGACGTATTTGCTTACAAAGTTGAGTCAAAGTAGAATCAATGAATAAATCCTTAAATATAATAGAAATTAAATTCAAGAGGATTACTAAATAAAATAATAGAAAAAAAGTAATAATTTTGTAAATTATACTGCACATAGATTTTTTTAATTTACAATTAATCTTTTAATTTCTAAACTATCCTGTTTTTTTTGATTTTAATTATTATTATTTACTTCTCTTAGATATTAATAGAATAACATTTAATTTCAATTTTTGGATATTATTTCATAGTTTGTTGATTAGTCTTTTTTTCACGATAATAAATCAAAATCCTGCTTTTTTTCCTTTATTTTCTGTTTACAATATTTTTTAAATATATTTTTTAAGTATTTTTTTCTTAAGTATTTCTAAATTAATTGAATGAATTTTTTTAGTCTATTTATTAAAAGAAAAAATTTTGTCTTATCAATTATAATTAAAAAAAGTATTGAAAATTAACAAGAGAAGCTAATAAGTAAGTAAGGTATTAGCTAACTAACTAAATGAATTATGAAATAGAATAATCTCAAATATTATCAAGTTTTTATCTTATACAACATAATTTTTTCACTCCAACTACAAATTTTTGAGGTATAAAAAAGTACATAGACAGCTTTCACCATAATAACTTTTCCCGATTAATGCGATACACCATTTAGATTTCATAATCAATCCCAGATCATGTGTCTAATGGGTTCATAAATTTACAAAAAGCTCTATTTTGTTTTTATGAATCTTCGCATAGTTATTATTATAAGTTTTTCAAAGGATTCAATAACATTACTAGTCAGATTATTCTATCATTTTTCATGTCTTGTTCCCCTATAATCGATAATTTATACTTCATAGCATTATTAAACAGGAAATTTTAGAAATCAGATACATCAAAAAATAAATCTCCCTCTCTCTCTCTTTTTTTTAAAATAAATATTCAAAAAAAGAATTATTTCCTTATAGGATATAATATTAAAGTGCGGCTTCGATTGTTTCTTAAAAAACCTATAATTACTTTAAATATTGCATAAAAAATTAATTTATGTTGAATAACATTTTAATGGAAAAAAACAAGATATTCCTTATCTAAATGAAAAAGTAAAGTAATTTAATCAAATCAAATTTCAAAGATATATGAAAAAAAGAGCAGTTAAAACTAAATACTTTATTAAAAATTATGAAAACAAAACTAAATAAAAAATTTCATTGAAAGTTTAATTAAAAGCAAGTTAAATGCGAAAAAATTAAAAAGAAAATTTAATTAAAAAACAACATCAGAATTATAGGAAAAATAACAAAAGATTTTTAATTAAAAGATAATAAATTGCAGAAATAGGAAATCTATCGAACAATTTAATTTTTAGATCAGCTTTAATCAAATATTATTTTTCATTTGTATTTATTTAAAAAATTTTAAGCGTTGAATTTATAAAAATATTTTGATATTATTTTAACAATAAATAATATTTAATTTTAAAGAAAACGTTTTTTTATTATATTCATTCAAAAAATATAATTTAATTTTATGTTAGCACAAATTAAAAAAAAATTAGTTTAATAAATTTCAAGCTATAATTCACTGAAAAGTAGTATGTTTTATACTCTTTTTTAGCTACTTAGCTTAAACTATAATAGTATTATATGATTATTGAATATGAGTGTACTAATAATTAGTATTGATATAAAGTCAACTATTTGATTAATTAATTAATTATTGAAATAATATAAATAAATCTTTTCAAAATTTAATATTATTTAGTAGACAGCAAGCCTTTTAAAAAAGATAAATTATTAAACTAGCAAAATGGAATAAGAGATAGATGAATCTTCAATTTATCTGAAAAAGCCAGCAGACACATCTTTAAGTATCCATTCTGTTTACGATTTCTTAAGTAAAGAAAAGGAGCGTTCAAGTTAAAAAAAAGGAAGAGATAACGCTGCAAGTTACTCTAAATTTCATCAATATTGTGAGAAGGTGTTGGATAAAAGAAAAAATCTTAAATTAGATGATTAAATATCAAAGTAACATTAATATATTTTAATTGATAACTTACTAAATATGTTTAATAAACAGATTAAAGACAAAATAGCTCCTAGAATTATTTGAATCAGATAACTAAAGCTCAAAATAGATTTTTAAATTAACTTAATAAATAACATATCTTCAAAATAAAATATGGGACTTAGATATTGTTGAATTGCAATCGATAAAGCATCTAGTTCCAGTCTATGAAGAACTGTTTGATAAGTTAAAAAATTTGCCTAACTATCTCGACAGACAAAATAGGTTCTAAAATATTGTTTTAGAAGTTGCTCAAGATTTAAATTAGAATACCAAGTGAAAAAATAAGTGTATGAACAATTAATTAAATCCCTTCAAATAAAATGTTTATATATAAATGAGTAGTTAGCATATAAGTAAAGAAATATAAAAAAATACCTAACACAAATATAAATTATTGTCTATTATTTTCTTATGTTATAGTTTATCCATATCATGATTAAATCAATTCAGTCAAAAATTATCTTTTTGCCTTTAATATTGTTTTTAAAGATTCTTTTTCGCTTACAAAAATTGAATCAAATAAATAAAATATTTCTCAATTCTAAAAATTAAAATAGAAGTCTAATATTTTATTTTTAATTTAATTTAAATACTATATCCCTCCCTTTAAATTAAAAGAGTTAAGTGAAGCCCAAATCTAAATTATTTCAAATATTTAAAATTCTTACCTTTTTTCACATATAAAACATGATATCAATAATATTTATATTAATTACAATATTTAAAATATTATTTAGATTTTATTTCTTAAAAACAAAAATAATTTAATCTGTTCTAACGTAAATTAAAAAAAGAATCAAAAAAATTTACATTTTTGATTTAAAAAGTAATTGCAAGACAATAAAATTGGCTATTTATTGAAATAATTCAGGCAATAGCGAGTTTAATTAAATCATTAAATGTATCAGAATAAATTTTTTTATAGAAACAAAAGTCAAAAGTTTCATCTTCTTAATCTTGTAAATTTTATTTAGATTAATTTTTATTTGGTTCGCATGAACAAAAGATTGGTTTGATTCGATCATCAATTAAAGAATATATTTTATTTATATTTTAAACAGCCTTACTAGCTTTTTATTATGAAAATTCTCTATCTATGAATATCAATTTATACTTTGGACAGCAAATTGAATTCTGAAATTTATGCTTAACTTTTTATAGCAACTATTTTCCAATTAATGAGCAATCTGCTTCTAATTTTAAATTAAACAGACTTTGCTTGATATATTTCAGACTGTTTTCTGTTTATTCTACTACTAGAATTTAATTACAACTGCACATCTTTAATTTAGAATTAATTTTACTGTTTTTTTCAGTTTTTTTTGATTAGATACTGGCTGAAGAACTGGGAGATCCTTAAAATATTGTCTAGTTACATTAAGTAAATTCTGTATGTACTTTTTTTATTACATTTTATGAATGTGAATCTTCGTTTAGAGCTTTGATTACTTTTTAACTTTAAATAAATAGAGGTGAATCTTGAACGTAATATTTTTATATGTCCTCTTATTCAAATGAGTTTTAAGCTTCCGTATTTTTTTGATTATGTGACTTGTATTCAGATTGAATGAATTCTGAACTAGCATGTCGCATTGAATATGCTTTCTTAAATGGGGATTTAGTTTTAATTAAACCTTCGAAATTTTTAGAATATTCATGGTTATTTTTAGATCTAGGGGATTGCTTATGGGCTTAATTGTTGAATAATATTGCATTTTAAGATTTACTTGGAGCAAAATAATTTTAAAGTAACGAAGAAAAATCACTAAAAGAACCATTTTAATCACTATTAGTTGCTTGCATAGGATTCTCGCATTTGTAAAAGGAAGTTGGGTATTTTTAATGTAAATTGGGGTTTTAAAAAGAGGTAAATTATTAATTTATGTTGTTCTCTTCAAAATTATTTTCGCTTTGAGAGTCAATTAATTTGTTAATATTTCTTTAATTTCTTTCTATACCAAATTAATAAACATCATATTCTTCTACAATATTGTCTTAATTTTATTAGCTTTGGGAAACATTTTCTAAACCAGCTTGTGTTTTACACTTTCTAAGTTTTATACTGCATTAAATTTTGTTTTTTTGAAATAAGCTTGTTTCTACTGAGTTATCTTATTAATTATAATTTTTTTCTATTTTGTGAGTAACAACAAATTGTTCACATTTTGGGGTTTTTTTTTGAGAGAAATTTTGTGATAATCTACTGTTGTATTCGCTTTAAACATTACAAGATTCTTCATATATCAAATTTTAAGCATCACTAAATAAACTTTTTCTTCCAAATCTACTGTTTTTATTACTAGAAGATTGATCTTTTTAGGAAAGCTTATCTTTATCTGATTGCATATTTTAACTGTTTAAGTTAAAATCAGACTTATGTTCTTCATTTCTTTTGTCATTAAGAATTTATAGATTTTATTCAACTGGCTCTTTATTTTATTGATTTGGATTTTAATATTAAAAATGATTAAAAGCTTTTTCTGAATATCTAAATTGCCTCGCTTATTGATTTTTCATATTTATTTCTTATTCAAATGAGCATTAAAGTTAGCTTTAATTATCTGATTATGTATTTAAAGATTCATTCGTATGATGCATTTTTTGGTTTATTTAAGATTAAATCTCTGATTAATCTTGAACATAAAACACTAATTAAGTACCAATACCCTTTTTGCTATTTAATTAGATTGAATTATTACTCCCAAGCTTCTTAGCAATAAAATTTAGCATCAAAAATTTTATATATTTTAAGGAGCTTTCTTCTTTAGAGGAAGTTTTTTATTATTTGGTATAAGGTGAAAAGGCATTTGAAAAATCCGTTTTATCATCTATATTATGATGGTCCTTAATGAAAGAAAAATTATTTGAAAAAATATTTTCATATTCAGATAATTCATCAGGATTTAAATTCATTATTTGAGATATTTTCTAGCATGCATGCGAATCAATACCAATGCCTGTATCTTAAATACTTATTTTATACATTTATTGAAGAGGAATGTAGTCAATTTAAATTTATACTTTTCCCACTAAAGTGTGCTTAATGGAGCTAGCTAGCATATTAACAATCAGTTACTATAGCCTCAGTTTATCAGAGCATAAAAAAAGCTTTGCACTTTTTTACACTTTGAGTTCAAGGTAAATGTTTTGGTATTTCGCTTGTTACTTAAAAATATCAAGGCATTTTGAAAGTAAATTTAAAATATTAAATGATGAAAGGCTCAAGCAAAATTTATCTTCTTTTATTTAAACAAAATTCCTTGAATTTTATATTATGTTAAATATCAACTAAAATGAATTGTAAAAAGGTATAATAAATATGCTTTTTTATTCTTCAGCAGTAAAATTTTAAAACCCTCTTTTGCAGTACTATTTAAACAAATTGGCTCTCTAAATGCACGGCTCTAGTACTGTTGTTAGTTTTCTTTCTAGCCAAGATATTGATTATGCAAAATGCTCAATCTTTTTCACTTTTTCTTACTCTTATTTGCAGTTTTGATTCATATTTTAACTGGATGTAGTGAACTCAAAAAAGGCAAATAAATTTTCAAAATTGTCTTCTTTGCAAAGCGATTATTGCTAGAGAATTGTTATTTTTATAGTCACTATAATATTTGATGGCTGTATTAGCTTTTAGATCAATATTGAGCAATCATCAACAACGATATCAAACATATGTTAAAAGGATTTATTATTTTAACAAAGCATCTGTTTTTAAACAGATTGTTGTTATAGGAGTTTAGAATTAATTGGAGTGTATGAATCGTAGCTGTCATAGTTAGAATATCCATGTTAATTTCCTTTCTCTTACTTATCATTTCTTAATTCAATTAATCTATTAACTTAACAACCTAAATGTTATTTCTTTGGATTATGATAAGTTTTAGGATCTAGTATAATACTTAATATGTCTTTAATACTGCAATCTGATTTACTTTTAATTAAATCTAACAGCTCTTAATTATTCTTTAGATCTCCTCTCTATTTGAAAAAGAAATCTTATGAAATATTTTATTCACATTCTTAAACTTGGAAAGAATTTTTCTTTTAAATTGCATTAAGTTACCATTATTGAGAATTATTACTAAACTATCCTTGCAACTAATTTGGAGTTTATTAATTGGCTATTCCTTAAGATTTTTTAATTTCATTTAATTTATTTCCACAGTAACTAGCATTTAAATTGTTTTAACTTTCTTCAATAATATTTGAATAATCGATTTAAACTTCTGATTATTATAATTATTTATTTTTGATAAATTTCTATTAGCTCATAATATTGCTTTATTCAGCTTTAGCTTAAGGTGAAATCATGTTGGCATTCTAATATTCATTTAGTTCATTGACTTTATCACAAGTGCTTCCAATAACTATTCCTCCTTATCCCACAACAGGAAAATTAGATGAATAATTAAAAAAGTCAAAGGTTTTATCACTTTTTTGGCATGAAGTAATATTTTAATCATCTAAAATTTTATTATTATCTGAATTTTCAATTTTTTTAATTTGAATATCTAATTAAATGTTCTATTCTTTTTGATCTTATTTGATATTTGACTATTGAGTTTATTCTGTGTTCTACTAAAAATAGAGTTAGGATGTTTATTTAGTTGCAAAGCTATTAGGTATTTAGCTAGAATATTCATTAAACTAAATTAAGCCTTTGGAATCAGTTTTTTAAGGTTCATTCAAATCTTGATCATAATTATCATTTCGATTATTACTTTAAGAATTTTCTTAATTTGTAGCTTAATCTTTTGTAAGTTTAATAGATAAAATAGTTTCAGAAGAAGTCACTTTTTTATCGAAAATATTTAATATGAATTAAAGCTATTAATTTTCGAAGATCAATTATTTCTCAGAATTAAAAATAGCTATCCCTTGTAACGAAATGTAAAAGAATGGGTTTAAACTATAAACATCGTTTCCGTCTTAAATAGATATTTTTACATCTTTATCTTTGCAATTACTTTTTGAAGAATTTAAGTTGATTTTTACTTTTTAAGGTAAGAACTCCTAGTGTTTATACAAGAAGTCATTTGATTCTTATCCATCGTTGTATTACTCTCTTTATTCTTAAATCCCTATAGATCTAAGTTTTTACTTGATTTCTAAGTTTAATTAGTCCTACTTTTCTTAGAGAATAAAATTGATTCCGTTTATAAAATTTTCTTCTTTGCTCTAAAAAGGACTATTTTTAAGATTTATACTCTTTTGTTGAAGACTTTCTACACCAACAAAGCCTTTGGAAATACTACGACAACTCTTCTAATTGTTAGTATGAGAGTCCTAATGTTATTTTATTTATTGCTTAACCTAACTTACTTCTGTGCAAAAAAAGAGAGATAAAATTTAAAATAAAAAAATAGCAAGACTAAATAGCAACAAACTCACTTAAAAGCCATATGCTATAAATCCTCGTAGAATCAGGTATAATAAGCTGAGAATTATTGAAGTTTAGGAAATTAATTTCCTGCTGATAAACTTAACAATAAACTTTTATGAGTATAAAAAATACAAAATCATCCACAGCATTTGTAAATACATAATGTTTTGTTAAAATTAAATTTCTACTAGAAAAAAAATAATTATTATTTAAAAATATAACCCTTAAGCATTTTTATTTACTCTACATTTTTTATTAGCAAAGTTAAGAAGCATAAAAAGTATAATACAGGCCATAATAATTACTCTAATTAATTATTACTATTGTTTTTTTTGGATATTTTATATTTCTAAAATGCATGCATCGCTAATCTCTAAATAATTGTTTTAACCAATTTAAACTCCTAGATAAATGAGTAACTCGAAGCATCCGCTTATAAAGATGTTAATTGTTAATAAAATATTATCGCAATTCTCATTAATTTTATTAACAATTTTTGTCATTTTAAACTTCTAAAGTAGCTAAAAAGTTAATAAAAATCTGTTTAAATATTTTATCTATTTTTGCATTATGCTAAAAAAACAGATTTTGTTTAAGATAATTCTTGCTCAAATTTTAATTAATAAAAACAAAAGACTTTTAAAAATGACATTTCTCAGTAAAATAAGTTAATAAATCAAAAACCAACAGTTTATATTGAAATCTAAGTATATAAATAGTATTTCAAACTCATTTTCAAAAAAAAAAAAATTTAATTAATACAAAACAAAATTTAACAAAATATTTTTCATTTTATTAAATAATTAAAGTATAATTATAGATAAATAAAGTACCTATTAGCTAATAATAGCAAGAACTATATATCATTCATTAATTACCTTTAACAAAAATTTAAAAGAAAATGTAAAATTCAAGCGAATAACTCATACAATTTCAAGAAAAGTAAAAAAAAATAACAGAAGTAATAAGCTCAGCTTTGAACTAGATATTTAAAACAAATCATAAAGTTAAATCATTAGATGAACTTGATATAGGTTCTGGTTTATATTCGTATGGTGGAACCTATAGCAATACAAACTATTATTACTTTACTTCAGGATAATTTAAGAATCATATCCCTATTGATATAATATAAAACTCTAACTAGGTTTATAATTGGATAAAAAAGAATTATAATTAAACAAATAATGGAGGCTGGTGGTGTATTTTCCATCATTCATCAACATATTTTGAATCCAGAGAATATTATGAAGATGTAGAAACTGTAAACTCATACAGAGAAAATAAGTATAACATATATAAAGGCGATTCTTTGGGAAACTTTGGTGAGTTAAATGAAGGTATATAATCAGATGAAAATACTCTCAAAGCTATTTAAGATTTACTCCAATAAATAAAAGATTAATCTAATAAATTGAGACTAGAAAAGCAAATACTTTAAAACTGAAAAAATAATTAATTTTAATGTATGTAATTATAATATAACAATACTCAAAATATATAAATGTATTTCTATTTATTTTAATTTAAATATTTTATAAAAATATTTATTTTACCATAATCAGAAATTCCTTCATTAAAATTTAATAAAATAATAAATAATTTATACTCAATGAAATAAAAACTTCTAAATTTTAAAGTTTATAAAGGTTCTTATTAATTTATTGGGGTTGGGGTTGGGGTTGGGGTTGGGGTTGGGGTTGGGGTTGGGGTTGGGGTTGGGGTTGGGGTTGGGGTTGGGGTTGGGGTTGGGGTTGGGGTTGGGGTTGGGGTTGGGGTTGGGGTTGGGGTTGGGGTTGGGGTTGGGGTTGGGGTTGGGGTTGGGGTTGGGGTTGGGGTTGGGGTTGGGGTTGGGGTTGGGGTTGGGGTTGGGGTTGGGGTTGGGGTTGGGGTTGGGGTTGGGGTTGGGGTTGGGGTTGGGGGTTGGGGTTGGGGTTGGGGTTGGGGTTGGGGTTGGGGTTGGGGTTGGGGTTGGGGTTGGGGTTGGGGTTGGGGTTGGGGTTGGGGTTGGGGTTGGGGGTTGGGGT